TTATTCTGCCCGTTAGTAATTATAGCGTTGAGAAAAGCGAGCTTTAAGCTCTAGATAGCGCTAGGTAAAGTTATATACCTATTTTTCGCCGATAGTCTGGATAGGGGTAGAACCGCGCTTCGTAAATAGAATATTCGCTATTTCTCGTACGTGAGCTTACGTAGGGGCTACACCGCGTGAATCTAGCGATAATATCCGTTGCTAGAGTATATCCTCTTCGATTTAGGTCAATTTATGACTATTTGCGCGACGTTCAGCGCGGTTTATAGTACCGCGTAGTCGACGGCGGAGCGTGGTTCTAGGCATATTAAATCGACGTGCTATCTCGCGTATAGACGTGATTTCCTTATTTTGAATAGCTTATATAGTAATTGATAAACGGCCCTCTTGCTGGACAGAATCCTGGCTTGATCCGACACGAATTGGAGGCATAGTGCTTGATAGAAGATAAATAGACGCGCGGAGATGCGAAAAAGTGACGGGTGCGCCGCTCGCTTACATGCGCCACTCGCTTACCGACCACGTTATCTAAGAAATATAACGTAATATAAGATAGCCAGTCGCTATCTAAGGGGCCTAAAAGATAGTAAATAGCGCCTTAAAGCTAGAAGATATATAAAGCTTTATATTATTCTAGTCTTAGATCCTATTTATAGCCTATTAATAAACAGGCGAGGGCTATATTCAGAAGGCGAATCCACTTCCTAATAACTTTGCCTTCCTTATATTCGTTATATAGAAGTGACGGAGCTAGCGCGGAGGATTAGGAAGCGAATAAGGTAAAATACTACCGCGCTTATAGTATTATTTATAAGAAGGCGTACCACCTAGCGAGCCTAAGGGTAAAACCTCTATATACCAAAATAGGGCACTATAGTGTAGGTATTCATAATTTATACGCCTTAAAGATAGCGGACGCTAGCGAGTAAGTAAAGATATCTATACTAAAGGCACCGAAAGGGTATATAAGTGTCAGCATATTTAAGGACTGTCAGCATTACCTTTAGTCATCCAAGAAGACTATGATCTTTATGATTGGTCAGGTAAATACGAAAAGCCACCTAATTATAATAGGTCTATTAAAAGGTGTTCTATGGATAGACTATTAATAATGCCTTGATATAGGTCTAGACTATTGATGATACCTTGACATAGGTCTAGACTATTAATAATGCCTTGACAATAGGTCTAGACTAAAAATGATGCCTAGACTATAATTGATTTCAAAGCAAGACAGGCCTAGACTTAAAACAATGCAAGTCTAATATAGGCCTAGAATATTATTGATTGTATATAAATATGTCCGCAATTCTGTACAAGAAAAAATTAATTCTTCTTCAATTATCATATCATACCCTGAGGTTTCCTATTAAGGAAATATCCTTTTATTTATCGAAGGATAAAAGACTTAATCTCTTATTGGATCTTCTACTGGATCTCCCACATATTATTTAATATATTATTAGTAGTAACTATAAGGATATAGTTAATAATTTTATATTATTAGAGAATCTATATAATAACCTTACTAAGGTTATTACCTAAATACATATTAGATAGAGATTTAAAGCTAAGAAGGACTTCGCGATATATTTAGTCCTAATTTAGGAAGTAAGCTATAATTACTATAAATACTTATTAAAATAATAATATTTAATAATTAAGTATTAGAGATAGCTTTATACCTAATAATAGACTTTAGAGAATAGTTATTTAATTTTTAGTAATAAATTAATAAAGCCTTATATATATTATCTTCCGAGAAAGAATAATTAGTATTATCAGAGCTAGTTATATATATAAAATAAGATTATAGAACTCTTAATACTTAAGAAAAAGGAAAGATAAATATAATATAATAATTAGATTTAGAAGCTTTTATTCCTAAATATTCTAATTAATTATCTAGGTAGGCGCTTACTAACCTTAGTAAGTTAATAATTAATTAATGTAAAGCTAAGGGATAGTCTAAGTTATATATATAGCTTATATAAGTAGCTTATAGATACTTAACGTGGTCGGTAAGCGAGTGAGCCATGTAAGCGAGTGAGCCACCCAACCACTTTTTCTACACTTTTATACATATTAATCAACCACAACGCCTTTATATTGATTAATCTCTAGCTTTACATACATTCCTTTTATGTCCGATCTGTCCGTAGCTAGTGCATTAGGGTGGACGCCGCGTCTTCGGTGCTGGTGTGTCCCGCGGTAGTAGGCTTGGTGGAGCTAGAATTACCTAAGAGGGCTCCTTATAAGCTTCCTCGAGCTCTAATGCTTCTCGTACAGAGAGACCGTTATCGTGGGCTATCTATCTAGACTTACGAGCACGCTTTTGCTTTTGCGTAGCGTTTGCGGCACGTAGCTACTTATTTTCTTGCTTAAGAAGGATACCGTTTTATATTGCGATCTGATAGCCTTTAATAAGCTAGTTTAACGCGGTTTACGAAGGCGATAGCGGACTTTTTAAGCGTCGCTTTAAGAAAGCTTTAATTAAGGATACTTACTTTAAAAGCTTATCGATATTCGCGGGCGTATGTGGGTAAAAAGCGCTTAATTAACTACCGCGGCTTATAGGAGGTATTAGCGTCCGAAGTTAAATATTAAGCTTTAATAGTACTTATTAAGGATTAATTAGTACTAATCCTGCTACTCGGAAGCTATTTTATATTATATTTAGTTTGTATACGTCGACGCGAGCTTATAGGTATATAAAAAGGAAATTAAGTTTATCAATATAGTTAATCCCGAGCTATATCTTTTGGTCAATTAGACCGCCATACAAACGCTTTAAAACGGCAAAACATCCGATATTAAGTGGCTAAAGTAAATACGAGGAATACGGTAGTATACAGATTAGGATAATATCGTGATCTGCGCAAATTTGGTCAAATTCTGGCGTAAGATAACTCCTATATCCGTCGAGGACTAGAAGTCGATATCTTCCACGCGTACGATAATTTATTAACGGAATAAATTGCTTTTGAAGCCAGCGAAGGCCTATCTCGTCGGTTATCTATCTATTTATACTAACTTCGAAGCGCTAGTCAGGTAAAAGGTCTTTAAACTATACTTAATTATATAGTTTGCCTTTAAAAATAAGCGTCGGCGGAAGCACCTACCCTAAAGCGTTAATTAACTTAATTACAGTTACCCACTCGCGGTTTCCTAGCTATAAAATTAATCTCCGACCGTAATATTCTAATCGGGTAATCACCTTTTAGGCCGTACAGAGGCCTATTACGAAGCTAGTCTCGTTAAAGTTATAGATATCGTCCGGTAAGATACTATATTACTGAATTGTGGCTTATACGAGGTCAAACCACGCTTAAATAATCTTTGGATCCTCTTATTCGGCCCGCTAGTAATTATATCGTCGAGAAAAGCGAGCTTTAAGCTCTGGACGGCGCTAGGTAAAGTTATATACCCATTTTTCGCCGACGGTCTAGATAGGGGGTAGAACCGCGCTTCGTAAGAAGAATATTCGCTATTTCTCGTACGTGAGCTTGCGTAGGGGCTACACCGCGTAGATCTAGCGATAATATCCGTTATTAGAGTATATCCTCTTCGATTTGGGTCAATTTATGACCATTTGCGCGAGATTCAGCGCGATTTGTGGTACCGCGAAGCCGACGCGTAAGCGTATAACGATTAATTTTAAATCGATCTGCAGCCTTCCGAATAGTGCTGATTTCTTTATTTTTAATAGCCTATATAGCAAGCAAGAGGCGGCCTTCTTATTCGATGCAATCTTGGCTTGATCTGACACGTTTTGGAGGCATGGTGGTTGATAGAAGATAGATTGTTGCGGTGGGACGCGAAAAAGTGGTTGGGTGGCTCACTCGCTTACATAGCTCACTCGCTTACCGACCACGTTAGTTTACTTATTCTCTTTTAATATTATAGCCCTTTAAGATATTTAGATATTATAAGATATTAATATATTTAGTAGCTAGATAGTTAAGAACCTTTTAATATCTTATATATATTATATTAGGCTTTCTATCCTTTATATAAGTTACTTAAAGCTATCCTAATAACTTAGTTAATATTTTTTATCCTAATTAATTTATTTTTTCTTTCTATAGTCTATTTAGAGCCACTAAGTTATAAACTCTTTATATATTTTATCTTTATATAATAGGAATTAGTTTATTCAGTTAGATTTAATTTATATAAGGTTATTAGGTACTAAAGGTACTCTGTAGAGTATTAAATATTATATTAAAGATAAGTTAGCTTAATAAAAAGAGGCTTATAAATAGGGTATTATCTAAGATAAGGTATTATAACTTATTTATTCTAACCCCCTTAATTACCGAGAATAGATATATATTAGAGATTTAGGATATAATAGATATATAGGTTATAGAGAGATAGAATAAGAGGACTTATAAAGATTTTAGACAAAAAAAAGCTATTATATAAAAGGAATCTATTTATCTTAGTCGCGTAAAGATATAAGTTAATATATTATCCTATAGGCCCTAACTTAGCTAAAATTCTCTTATTTAATTAGGTCGCGGAGAGAGTAACCCTTAAGACCCTTAGGGTCACCCTTTAGATATATAGTCTTAAGTTTTATAATTAAAAATATCTAAGTCTAATAATCTAGCTTTTTAAACTTATTTTATATAATAACTAGAATACCTATAAAGAATCTAAATTAGTAATTATTTAAATAAGTCATCTCGAAGGCCTGGGCTACTGTGAAGAAGGATGCCTTCACCCCGCCGGATCACGATACGGGACTTCTGTATTACGATCGTGAACCATATACACCTAATGAGGTTAGAGCTAGCCTGACTTCTTACATGAAACAGGGCTGGATTGCCAACGATCGGTGGTCAGAGTCAGGTAGCCGCACGCTGGATTATGCGTTTGACGATTATGCCTGTTCCGTTGTAGCAAGCCATGCAGGTGCGGACAACGGATCAATCACAAAACTTCTGGCCCGCAGTTAAAATTATGCTTACCTTTGGAACAATGAAACCAAATTCATGCAAGCTCGCAATGACAATGGCACCTGGGCGAACAATGAATGGGGCTGGACCGAAGGTGATGAATGGGTCTACACATTTGATGTCATGCATGATGTCGAGGGGCTAGCGGCACTTTTTGGTAGCTGGGAGGCTATGCGCGATAAACTAGATGCTCATTTCAGAGGAGGCCATAATAACCAAACAAATGAGCCCAGCCACCATGTGCCGTACCTCTATTCCATGCTTGGATACCCCGATCATGCCGCAGAGGTGATTCGAGAGGTTGCTTGGCCGAATTACAACGCAACCAGCGGTGGACTCGGCGGTAACGAGGATCTGGGACAAATGAGTGCTTGGTACATTTCTTCTACTCTGGGCTTCTACCCAGTCAACCCAGCCAGCGACGAGTACATCGTCGGGTCGCCTTTCTTTGAGCACGTATCAATTCGTTTGCCAGCCGAGGCCGCTACAGGAGGACGGGTGCTGGCTCGGCCAGAGAAAGAGCTGGTGATCAGCGCACCAGGAGCACCCACGAAGCCATACGTAAAAGCTCTCAAAATTGATGGGAAGAAAATTTCAAGGCCGGTCATAACACATAGCGATCTTGTCAACGCGACAGAATTGATTTTGAGATGAGCGACGTTCCTTCAACGTGGGGTACGAAACATACGTGGTAGAAATATCTTGGCTGATTAATCCCAGCTCTTTGCCGTGGAACCACTGCTCTGTGGCATCTTGCGAGATCTCCAAGTCATGTCATGATCTCTCTGGACATAATTTAGACCCTTGCATTTGCGTCATCAGATCGGGAATAATCTTCTGCCATTTTAGAGCCTAAGGCGCGATGGCCCGCAGGCCGACAGGCTATGAAATTTCCCCCGTTCTGCGGAACCCCCACATTTGTCACCCCAGCAAAAGTTAGGTAACCCCTGGATTGGACATTTTGAAGAAGCAGAGCTCTAGGTTAGGACGGCGAGGATCGAAGGAACCCAGAGCTCCATATCGAGCGATCAATTCGGCTATGATGGCTATGATGGCTATGATGGCTATGGTAGCACAGGGGACACCGAATGTATTTTCCTAACAGCTATGCAGGACATCACATCCCCGGGACCGCTTCGGTAGACTTCCGACCGGAGGGGTCGCTTCGAGCCGAACGAACAGGAAGTGTGGGGTCTATGGCACCATCGGCACTTTCAATCAGCCAACTGACGTCGTTGCAACAGTCGATCTTCGTGAATAATGGTGATTTCGTTCCCTTATAGCGCCATGTTGAACTACCTAAAACTGCTTGGAGTCTCGGCGTCTCGGTAGATAGTGACGCTTAAATAAGGGAACTGCTTCCCAGCTCCTTTGTCTACCTACAGGGAGATCAGTTTCAAGATGTTATGGTCAAGAATGTGGGTTTGGGCGGCGATTGCAGTATCGTCGCCATCTCTTGCGTCCAAGGCACCGTGGGATCTTGGTAACGGCTTCAACCTTGTCGTGGATGAAAGGACCAACCATCTCTCTATCGCCCGCCGTGGACACACGATCTGGGAGACAATACCTGGAAAGCTCTTTCTAAGCGCAAGCGCTGGGAAGGATCAAGTCGTCGCTTCTAGTGGCAATTTCAATATCACGGAGATCGATAGGAGCAAATGCACCGGACAACGAATTAGCCGAGTTACCCAACGTGCCCACGACAATGTGGCCGTCGTGCGAGGCATCCTGACGGGTTGCGGGAATGGAAACACGCGCTTCTCGCTTTCGCTGGGGGTTCCTGCTGAGCTGCCAGATCGCGTCGCCTTCCACATCGATCTAAACCCTGGTTCTTCGGGCTCAGACGCCGCTACCAAGTTGTTTTTCACCTATTCCTCGTCACCAACTGAGGACTTCTACGGACTTGGTAGTCAGGCATCCTTTGCTTCCTTCAAGAATCAAACTGTGCCTATCTTCTCGCGTGAACAAGGTGTCGGTCGGGGCGATCAGCCAACTAACCGCCTGGAGAACGAGGACAGCTACTTTGCCGGCGGCGACCACTTTACCACGTATTCGGCGACTCCTCAGTACATAAGTTCGGAGTCCCGGGTGTTCCATCTCTCCCGAGATGGCACGGGCTATGCAAACTTCGATTTTCGCAACCCTCGGGCGGTGACAGTGAGATACGACGCTTTGAAGGTCGATGGTTATTTCATGCAGGGAAGTAGCATGTTAGATGGAATTTCCATGCTCACGAAGTACATCGGAAAGTAAGCAACATCTGGTCGCTTACACGGATTTTACCTTTGAACACTTGCTAAACTTTCACTCCAGAATGCCAGCGCTCCCACAATGGGTCGATACCGGCGCTGTTCTCGGAATTCAAGGAGGCCAAGAAAAAGTCAACCGAATCGTCGCGAGTGGACTCCAGCAAGACTGTCCCATTGCAGCTGTATGGCTGCAGGACTGGTAAGGCCACTCCCGCTGTTCATCTTTGCGCCGTACTGATTCGAGGATAGGTCTGGCACGCATTCCCAGAGCGCCTCGTACATGACTCTCAACATCTCACGGCTATGGTGGAACTGGGAGTCTGATTCCAAATTGTATCCCACATGGAAACAATTTGTTCAGGATCTGCGGGACAACCACAATGTTCGAACCTTGTCATACATCAACCCGTTCTTGGCAAATGTGAGCAGTAAGCCTGATGGTTATCGCCGAGACCTGTTCCTGGAGGCCACTCAAGGAGGTTATATGATCCAAAACTCCACCATAAACAGTACTTCCATCGTGTCCAGCGGTCCCGGGATTGATGCCGGAATTCTTGATCTGACCAACCCCGCCACACGTTCCTGGTTCCGCAACGTTCTTGTCGAACAAGTCTTCAGTGCCAACGTGTCTGGGTACATGGGTGACTTCGGGGAATACACGCCTATCTACGCAGACACTCGCTTCGCCAATAAAAGCTTGGATCCATTCTTCTATCACAACGAGTACCCTCGAGAGTGGGCCAAATTGCACCACTCGCTCGGCGAGGTAGTCCCCTCTTTCTCGGACGCAATCATTTTCCACCGCTCCTCCGCGCTTGCCGCCAATCGGTACATGAATTTGTACTGGGCCGGTGACCAGAATACCAACTGGGGTGTCAATGATGGAATTAAGTCGGCCGTAACGGTCATGGGCCACATGGGCTTGTCCGGCTATGCACATGGCCACGTGGAGATTGGCGGATACACAACTACATGGGACAGTAATGGCGTCGTCAACCGCACGGCCGAGCTCCTTGGTCGTTGGGGAGAGCTATCCGCAGTATCTAGCGCTGTCTTCCGGTCACACGAAGGAAATGTTCCCCAGATCAACGCGCAATTCTACACCAACGCGTCAACCTATGCGTACTACGCCTACAATGCCCGTATGTTCCGCAGTCTGGCGCCCTATCGGCGTAGAATCCTTGATACAGAAAGCAAGAACCTGGGCTGGCCATTGGTGCGAATGCCGGTCATCTACCACCCTGATGACGCGAAGGCAAAGGCGATCAGCTACGAGAGCTTTTTCCTGGGCTCTGACTTGTACATTGCACCCGTGCTTGATCCAGGCTGCAAGAGCGTTGAGGTCTATTTCCCAGGCCAAAACCAGTCATACACACATGCTTGGTCGGGGCGGACATACCATGGTGGTCAAACAGCCCGTATCTCTGCGCCATATGGTAAACCTGCTGTGTTCCTCGTCGGCCAGCCGAAGCACAACGATCTCAAAAGCTTCCTTGAATTTGTTCGCAAAGAGAATGCGACAACAATTCATGTTTAAAGAAGGCCACTGCCGGAACAAGGATGTTTTCAGAACGGATGAACCTGAACACATTTATTGGTTTAGATATAAATCCTTTCGGGTGCCGAATGTTTGAAGCCAGATTTCCTGAATGACGATACAAGTTCATGGTGTACATCAGGCAGGGCTTCTTACCAGGACTGGCTGTCCACTCAATACGCGTCTTTACTTTCGCAGCTTGACTACGGAAATGCGGATACTGCATTGTTCTTTACGGCTGTCTATCGATTGCGAGATGTCTGTGATGGAAAGGTCTCTGTAGAAACTCATGTGGCCACTTTTTCATCCTATGCATACCCACCGATGCTTGCCACGTCGCCCTTTATATGGTAGACTACACGGTTTTGACATTCCCTACGTGGCTTTAGAGCCTCGGAGGCTGAAAAATCGTGGCTATGGGGCTACGGGGCTACGGGGCTCCAATTCCTTTCGATACGCAAGACATCGGCTGTACGACCTAAGTACCAATCAAACAGTTCCTCAAAGACATTTCAAGCCCGGCCTCTGAACTGACAGTGACACCCAATTGAATCTATCTGAGCTGCATGGTGAATGTGCGCGACAAGATCTGGATGGGGTTGAGCTACACATGTGCAGCTGATTTGGAGATGGTGTTCACATCGTCACGCGCAGACCTCCTGTTCCTCTGAATCGATGGTTGCATTAAACACAAACATGAAGAGGCATCATTATCCTGACACCGTCTTTTCAGTACTATGTCGGGTCGTGTATCTTCCTTGCTTGCCAAAAGATGCGCTCATTCACCACCTAAATTACTCTCTTTGGCCTTCCATCCGGACCACGCCATCACAATCATTCCCTTCAGAATGGCGGCTGTCCAGAGGGCTCCCATCATACCGATCGAGCTATGCGCCCATAGTCCACCTAACACGGTCCCGAATAGAAGACAAAGGATCGCGCCGGCTCGGCGCATCTCTTCGGCATGAGCGATCACCTTAGAGGACAGAAAGTCTGGATGAGAAAAGAAGTCGCAGTAGATGCTCGTAAGAACAACGCTCGTAAGGCCGTTGTAATTCAAGACGCGACTTGCCACGGCTTGTCCGCTACTCTGGAATGCTATCAACCCAATGGGCACCAGTACCAACCAGCTTAAAGGGTCATCACGGGCGGGGCGGTAGAGAGTGACAATCAAAGCCGCGCCAACGACACAGATCAGTTGCACAAGGAAGGATGCACACAGCACCCAGCGTTGTCGTGGCGCAAAAGCACGATGGAAAGCGGCGAAACAGAGGGACCCGAAACAGAAACCCGCGATGGAGGTACCGGACTTGATCCATCGATCATCATCACTACCAGCTAGCCCAAGGCCAAAATAGACGGTGTTCCCGGTCTGCATGCTGACAAAGGAGCCCCATATAAAAACCGCCGAGCTGTCGAGTAGACCGGTAATGATATAGCAGAATAGCAATACCCAGTCTCCGTAGCGTGGGTCAAGCTCATTGTGTAAATATTGGGAGAGATGGCGCGATCGCCGCGGCGGCGGCTGCTCGCCCCCTAACAATGCGTCGGTCTCTTGAGACAAGGGCATGATAAGACGAAGAGTACTTTTCACTAGGTAAGAATGTCAAGATGTACCTGGACCTAGCCTTTGTGCGGGAACGCGCACCTTACCGGTTAATCCCCGCCAAGAGGGCAATTCCCCTGCGTCATTACTGTAGGTCCACCGCGCGGGGGGATGAAGACTCGGTTACCGCATAATTTGTGGCCGAGCCGATCCGTTAAGCTTTACGATGACTCCAACCCAGACGGTCGCGGAAAAGAAGTCCCAATGAGAACTCTTGCTTGGAATCAGGTTCCAGATTTACTGCCGGAGGTGTCCGGAGAATTGACGTATTTCGAATGAGGGGATCCTGGGCAGTGTGAGGCCAAAGACGACGTTAGAAAGGGCCAGAGAATTGATGATCGATTGATCAAGTCGTAAACACTTCCATTGAATATCAATTTGCCATATCAGAATGCAACTTCTGGCAAAACAAGTCGCAGCTCTGATGAGTCTGGGATTGCTGGGCGCATATGGGATCCCTGCTCCGGATCATGCGGTCCAACAATTGATGCGAGTGCCTCCCAGCAACTATCAGGAATTCTTCGGTAGCCCGCCCTTCAGGCCTGATCACCGTGATCCATACGATCACAAGGTCGACTCGGTCGGAGAGGGTCGACAGCCCTTACCCTTTAGAAATGGCGACGGCGCGAGTATTGACGGCCCACGAAATCCCGACCGCGAGCGCCAGAATCCCGATCTGGTCCGCCCTCCTAGCACGGATCATGGCAGCATGTCGAACATGCGCTGGAGTTTTGCTGACTCGCATATGCGCATCGAGGTGAGTCTGTCGACCCGTCCATCGAAACTGGTCTGACACGTGTTGTAGGAAGGTGGGTGGGCGCGACAGACTACGATCCATGAGCTACCGACGAGTCGTGAATTGGCAGGCGTCAACATGCGCCTCGACGAGGGCGTTATCCGTGAGCTGCACTGGCACACGGAAGCCGAGTGGGCATATGTCCTCGCAGGCCGCGTGCGGGTATGTGTGCTTTCCCCGACCATGGTAACTCACATCTGACTTCATCTAGGCCACAGCACTGGACCCTGATGGAGGCAGCTTTATGGAGGATCTCGAAGCTGGTGATCTGTGGTACTTCCCGGCTGGCCATCCGCATTCACTGCAAGGATTGAGTCCCAATGGCACGGAATTTCTCTTGATTTTCGATAACGGCCAGTTCTCCGAGGAGTCGACTTTTCTCCTCACGGATTGGATGGGTATGAAATTCAGATCTCACGTCTTCCAAGCGATCAGTACTCATGATATCTAGCTCATACATCTAAGGCGGTGCTGGCAGAAAACTTCCGTTTGAAGCCGAACGCGTTTAAATCGATCCCTCAATCAGAAAGATACATCTTCCGTGGTTCGATTCCGGGGCCCATCGACCACGAGAAACCAAGCGGGTTTCGCAAGTCGAGACTGGACTTTTCGCACCATATGCGTGCCCAGGATCCCATCCGCACATCGGGCGGATGCGTCCGAATTACTGACTCTACCAATTTTCCAATTTCCTCGACCGTGGCCGCTGCCCACTTGGAAATCGAGCCGGGCGCCCTGCGCGAAATGCACTGGCACCCAAATGCGGATGAATGGACCTACTTTATCAAGGGACGTGCGCGAGTCACGATTTTCGCAGCTGAGGGCAAGGCTCGCACCTTTGATTACATGGCTGGGGACGTCGGCATTGTTCCTCGAAACATGGGACATTTTATTGAAAACCTGAGTAATGATGAATCACTGGAGGTTCTTGAGATTTTCCGCGCAGACAAGTTCCAAGACTTTTCGTTGTTCCAGTGGCTTGGAGAGACCCCTCAACGAATGGTCGCGGAACATCTCTTTGCTAATGACCCCAAAGCCGCAGAAGCATTTTTGAAGCAGATTGAGGGAGCCGAAAAGGACCCCATAAAGGACACTCGACCATGATCGCGGGCTTTTAGCGCCAATGGGGACTCGAGCTCCGAATCTGGCATTGCAACTACTATATTCTACGCAAGTTGAAAGCCGCCCGTGAGATATGTTGCCCGGTGAACTTTCGGAGTCCGTTTGGAGGAGGCCCAAGGATAGTCATAATTCCCACGACCCGGCAAGAACAAAGTCATTCACTCATTCACTCCGACGGGGATCGAACTTGCCTGCCAATATTGCTAAGGAGACAATACTAAAATCAAACCTGATGAATGTCCATACCTAGACCCGACAAAGTGCCTCCGTTGTAAAAGGCGGTCGGATTCGATACTGCCGGCCCGGGATGGACGAGTGCCTTTTGAAAGTGGCTTGGCTGGTGCCAGAGTAGGCTCAACTCTACAGCTACAAGTTAGATTGCCGCACAACGTAGCTGACTTGATTTGCCTGTCTTCCAGCCTTGTTCTCTTGAAGGTATAGGAAGTGCCAGGTGGGTCCGTTCCTGGATGATCCGTCACAATTTACTGCGTCATAGCGTCCCCACTTGTGCCTTAAGGAGCCTCCTCATGTTCCAGGGTTCCGCCCGCATCCGTGATCCGCAACTTTTTCTTTTCTAATTATGGCATGAAGCTTCTGGGTTTCGTCTTTTCAACGTTGCCTCCATGCTCTCAGACGTGCTCGCTGCGTTCAGATCAACACCCGGGCCCGAGGGGACTCCCCAACGACCCCCGCGCTATGTCGGTGAAGATACCACCCCAACCAGCCACCAGGAGATTCTTGGCTGGTACTCCTATGGTATCGCGGCCGAGGTGTTTGCTGTCTGCGGTGTAGGTGCGTGACCATACAACTTGACTCATGAGAGCCCCTGCTCATTAAAGTCCAGGATCCTTTCTGCCCTTGACCCTCGAACAGCTTGCGCGAGAGCACGGTACCATCCCAGACAGCAATCAGCCCTGCTGGGGCCCTGGTGCTCCGGAGAAAGAACATGGAGGTGACCAATGTGTGGTCGGGTTCTTGGGGCTGCATATCAATACCGCCAGCTTTGCCATGTACACCTTCTCGCTGGCAGTACTCATCCAGGCGTTGACGTTGATTTCGTTCAGCGCCCTAGCCGACTATGGTACAGTTTCCTCTCACAGAACAAATCTTCACAAGCGAACAAGACGGGTTGAGCTGGACAGCTAACCATGGTCATGTCATACACAGGGCATAATCGCAAGACTCTGCTTCTCTCTTTCGGCTTCATTGGGTCCGTCACCAGCATGCTATTCGTATTCGTTGCACCTCCAGTCTTCATCCTCGGCTCAGTTCTCGCAATAATCGGTGTCACCTGTCTCGGGTCCTCCTTCGTCGTGCTAAACTCATTCCTGCCAGTCCTTGTTGCGAACGATCCGGCAATCCAAGGCTCGAAACGTGAGGGCGGGGAGGAGCTGTCCAACCTGAGTCGAAATGAGGACACTTCCGATTGGAATACATGGGACGATGACGATAGTGCGGACGGGACTCAGGATGCGGATCATGAGACTGGATTTGTCGAGGAAGGGCTGAAGGGTAAAGAATCCCAAGGTTCTGCACCGGAGCTTCAGCGTTCTACCCAAATTTCTTCCAAGGGTGTAGGTCTGGGTTACTGCGCGGCTGTGTTGGTTCAAGTCTTGAGCATTCTGCTCCTCATTTTGCTCAAGAAAACGTCGCTTTCGAAAATTTCTGATACTCTTCCGACCCGCTTCGTGCTCTTGTTGGTCGGAATCTGGTGGGGTGCTTTCACCCTCGTGTCGCGCCGCTGGTTGCGCTCTCGACCCGGCCCTTCCTTCGACGAATCCACGACTCCCGGCCTTCCAAAGTGGCGCGCGTGGCTGCGACTCGTTGGATTTGCTTGGAAGTCGCTCTGGCAGACAGTGAAGGTGGCGGTGCAGTTACGTGAAGTGCTGATATTCCTGGTCGCCTGGTTCCTCTTGTCGGATGCCATGGCCACTGTCTCGGGCACGGCCATCTTGTTCGCTCGCACTGAGTTGAAACTAAGTACCATTGCAGTCGGAGCCTTGAGTATTACTGCGACACTCAGTGGAATGGCTGGCGCATTTCTATGGCCTCATGTGTCTCGATGGTTCAATCTGCAGCCAAATCATACGATCATTGTCTGCATTGTCCTGTTCGAAATCATTCCACTTTATGGCATGCTTGCATACATCCCGTTCATCAAAAAATGGGGTGTTTTCGGATTACAGAGGCCTTGGGAAATTTTCCCTCTCGCTATTGTCCATGGCGTCGTCTCGGGTGGACTGTCATCTTATTGCCGCTCGTTCTTCGGCCAGTTGATTCCGCCGGGCAGCGAAGCTGCCTTTTACGCATTGTACGCTGCTACCGATAAGGGAAGTTCCTTTATTGGCCCAGCTATCGTCGGTGGTCTGATTGACGCGACAGGTCAGGTGCGGTCGGGATTCTTCTTCATCGCAGTGCTGATCGTGCTCCCGATCCCTCTGGTCTGGATGGTCAATGCCGAAAAGGGTCGTCGTGAGGGGCTAGCTATGGCCGAGAAACTGGACCTGTCACACAATGGGGCGGCTAATGAAGCCCATGAGGCTGAAGGACTTCTAGCCCATGAAGCTTAGAATGCATGATGGAATGACCTCATGAACATAGAATGAACATGGCCCGGTAGCCAAAAATTTTCTTTGAGCCCAATTCTGGTATTTCTCTAGACTGATAACCGCCTTCGGTCCCCACCTCAAAGATCTCATGCCGAGTTCGGCTAGCTTTGATGCCCCAAGAAAATGGCATTCGTTGTTGGCGCAGTGTAACGAGGTACGAATTTCTATACATGATATTTGGCGCCAGAGAGCATCGTGTAATACATGAACGTTCCCGAGTCTAAAAGAATCAAGCAACGCCTAAATGCAATCATCATTTCCTTTCAAAGTCATCCAGATGCCTCCGGAGGCCTACTGAAGACTGGGGTGCTTACATCCATTCGTTGCTCTTCAGAATTCGAGAGACCTAATCCAAATCTGAAAAATATAAGCACCTCGAAACCCCTCCTCTAAATATGGTTTGGCGCGTGATAACTATCTAAGCTGTCGTGTCAGCCAGCTCAATGCCTTATAGGATCAGATACATCTACGGACACCCGGATATGCCAATCAACTTGTGCAGCCTTGCTCGATCGGCCAAGGACAATAGTCCGGCCCGACATACCCTTCGACACTCGGAATGCTCAAATCAAGAACATTTGGGGATCAGCACAAGCCCCATTCTCTTGCTAACCCTGGCAGGCGGCCTGCCACTCCGTTTCGAATACGGTATAGATCGTTCGGTAGCCTCGGTGGCGTCAACGCGTCCAATCATAGACTGTGCCTCCTTGACCACATTTCACTTCCCCAGAAAGTGACTGCGGTCCCGGAAAAATTCTCTAGTCTCTGCTATTCTGACATTGCATATAACCTTGTGATAGGTGCAAAATTTGGTATTGTTTGAATTTGACATTCCTAGACTGCATATTCGCGAGCCCTACTGGCCAGAGCCTTCGAGCACATTGGCTAGCCCACCTCCGCTAGCCTTAATGAGTCAAGCTATCCTTGCAGCTGCATGTAATTTCCCCGCGATCTCCAGATCTGGGCGTGGCACGTGAATAATGGCGTCGCTGAGCGACGCCGAAATAACTCGATATGTAGAGCCGTGCTACCCAGCGAACGTGCAAATACTCATTTGAGTAAAAAAAGCTTTTCTCAAATCCGCCTACATTCCTTCCCATCAAGCTCAAAGGAACGTTGGAAGACCCTCTGCTGTCGATATCTACCATCCTCTGCTCCTGGGATTGGTATTTGGTGACGGAACGGCATGATGAACCTCACAGAGACTGAGGTAGCGCTGGAGAAGTCAGCTGCTCACCACGTAGAGGATACATTGGGCCATGGGGCAATTGTTGAAGCAAAGCACGCCACAGATGAAGAACACGCGCAGACTCTGTGGCAAGGTCTTCGAGACAATCGGAAAGCTGTGTTTTGGTCAGCATTAATTTCAATGGTAGGCCTTCGCTACTGTCTCTTCTTGCCAGACACTTAATGGCTTACTTGTATCACTCACTTCCAGTCAATCGTTATGGAGGGCTACGATATCATTTTGATGGGCAACTTTTTCGGATACCCTTCTTTTCAACACAAGTATGGGCAGTATTACGGCGAAAAACTTCAGTGGCAGATCCCTGCTCGATGGCAGACTGGCCTGAACATGTCTAGTACGGTCGGGTGCATTTTCGGTAAGGATTTGTCCCGCCAGAGAGGATGAGAGACTAACACAGATTCAGGTGGTATCCTGAACGGGTATCTTGCCTCCCGTTTTGGTTATCGTTTTGTCATGATTGTCGCCTTGGCTTTTCTGAACGCTGTCCTTTTCATCGTATTTTTCGCCAGCACAGCTACCGTCTTGCTCGTGGGTGAGATATTTTGCGGGTTCGCATGGGGCGTCTTTGCCACCATTGGCCCAGCCTATGCCTCGGAAGTTTGTCCCACCAACCTGAGAGGCTATCTTACCATTTATGTCAACATGTGCTGGGCCATCGGCCAGCTGATTGCGTCCGGAGTGTTATATGGCTTGGTGAACCGCTCAGATCAATGGGGCTATAGAATTCCGTTTGCTCTACAATGGCTGTGGCCTACACCTCTGATAATTGTCTGTTGGTTGGCACCGGAAAGCCCTTGGTACCTCGTACGCAAGGATCGCCTAGACGACGCCAAACACAGCATTCGCCGTCTCGGAGGCAATAAGACCGAAGAGCAGATTAATGGACAACTAGCTATGATGGTTCATACTGCGAAGATTGAGTCTGAGATTGAATCTGGCACCACTTATTTAGACTGTTTCAAAGGTGTCGACCTGCGCCGCACGGAGATCTGCTGCGTAACATTTTGTTGCCAGATCTTGTCGGGCAGTACTTTTGCCTACTCGCCTACCTATTTCTTCGAGCAAGCCGGCATCGCCACCTCGCATGCTTTTCAACTTGGCGTTGGCTGCACCGCCATCGCCTTTGTCGGGACCGTTTTATCCTGGTTTCTGATTACAAAGTTTGGACGTCGCACCCTTTACGTTTGGGGTCTCGGTACCCTCTGTAGCATACTTTTCATCATTGGAATCGTTAATGCAGCAGCGCACACCAATGGTGCTATGTGGGCCCAGGCTGCCTTGTGTTTCGTTTGGCTATTCGTGTACTCTCTGACCGTGGGCCCGATCGCCTACGCAATCGTCAGCGAAACCTCTAGTGTTCGGCTGCGGCCCCTCACTGTCTGTTTGGCACGCACGGCCTATCAGATCGTGAATGTCGTCTCCATGGTCATCGAGCCATACGCCATGTCCCCCACAGCATGGAATCTGTCGGGGAAGACAGGTTTTATCTGGGGCTGTACTGCACTTGTCGCATTCATCTGGGCTTTCTTCCGCCTGCCGGAGCCGAAAGGTCGCACCTATGCCGAGTTAGATATCTTGTTCGCCACAAGGGTCCCAGCACGCAAGTTCTCTTCCACTTCCGTGGATCCCTACGCCATCGCGGTCTCCCACTCACAGGATGGCCTTGTCCAGGAAACAAAGCAATGAATCAATGATAACGCTAGAAACGAATGGCACCGATGTATTAAAAGGCGGTAGATTGCAACGTATAGTACGATGAAGAAGAAGCATTGTCAAGATCATCTATTCAATTTCGAAGCATAGCAATATTCTACTAATTGGACTATTGCTATTCAATGTGTCTCTGAAAATCTTCAATGGTTATCGGTCTTAGGTTTTTTCAAACCGTGTTTTCATCGGTATCAAACTTCTATATCTACTCACCTTGAAATTAGATAGGGGCCCTTGCGAGCTGTCGAGGGGGCACCAAGTTACCCCAAGGTTGTCCTGCTCCCCAAATCCAACAGCTTGCTGACCCTTCAGCCACACCCAAGACCGTATTCGTGGGATGGCTGAGTGCATCCACATGTTTGGTGACTATCCCATCACAAATTTCTGCTATCATCTCGAAAGTGCGATGGTCATTCCTACGACAAAGGGAAGACTGTAAGCCGAGACCCTGGACCTCACAACTCGTCATCCGATAAAACTCAACAACGAAACATTTCTCAAAGAGATCGAGAGTTAGTTCGACCACAGAGAAAAGGTCATGGACAGGTGACACGATCCTGGCAGCTCGTCTTTCGCGGGGACGAGTCACTAAATATATCCTACGAGATCGAGACTCAATGTCACGATGAAGAAATGAGTTATGACAGAGATACTGGTCCTGGTAGCTCCTCGCTCGCTTATGGCGAGTTACCGCATCGGTACTCGGAGGCAAGAAATATCAGGCCCATGACCTCAGATGAAGCAGCGACGGTTTTACATTGAATTTATATTCTTCAAGGAACTGACATAGATGTCTAGGTCAGCATAGACTGAAATTATCAGCCTGGTGCTAACGTAGGGACTACCGGAGATGCACCATCATGACTTCGTCATTATTAATTCACCTCTCAGAGGTGGCATCCACTGTCATGTCCATTCAGCTGGCCGGTGCACGCAGTGCTATCCCTTCCAGATCATGCCCATCTAACTCCTAGCTTGACAAGGTCCAAAGTGATCTTCTAAATGGATCGTCCCCGCATGGACGGAGAATCGCCACCCAGACGGTCACCTCAACTGTCTAGGAAAGAAAGAGTATCATTCGAAACCTTTGACGCCTCAAATATGGATCGTAAATTTTGGTTATCATCCCAAGAGAGCGACGGAGAAGACCATTTTCCTAGCATCCATGATAAAGAAGTCAATCTAAACGGTCAGGAGTTTTCGATGACAAAAAAACTTCGAGCCATGCACATTGCCTCTGCCGACTGTGCCTCCGCAGATTGGACTTGTACAAATGGCGCAGGATGTCTCAATTGCCCGAGTGAGGGCATCCATATCTCGAATGAGCGGGGAGGACCAATCTCCTCCTTTCAGTGAATGTCCGCCGCAGGATGTCCCAACGGCCCCGGGAAGTTCATTCATGACTCGAGTCAGCCAGAACCAGCCCCTTCATGCTGGTCAGTGTCCGCCACAGGATGACTCAACAGTCAGATTGACAGCAAGTATGAACCGGATTCGCGAGAAATAGCAATCTTCCGCTGTTCAGCACTCGCCGCAGGATGTCTCGATGGCTTCAACCCATGGTCCGCCGGAACAGCGGCTGCATCAAGTAAGTTCAGATGCGATTCAGAACTTCCACCACCGTAATTATAACATCAAGAGAGCGAGGGCCGATTCCCTCGGTGATCACGACATAGGAACACAATTGAAGCGGACCCGGACTTTGTATGGAGCTGAGACTATCAGTAGTGCACATTCACTTCCGAGTCCGCGGCGTTCTAACCGTCTGCGCACAACCAAATGAGCGATACGACGAAGTGGCACCCTTGAATCTTCTGTTCATACCCGATTGCTTTTCTCTATTTTATATCTCCGTTCCAGAGGAGATGGTTCGTAACTGTCCTTAATGTCCACCGAGCAATCCGTCAGACAAACCCCCGCCCAACCCATGTTTTTAAAGCGGTGAGTATCTGCCTGAAGCGATCGTTACGGCCTTTCTGGATCCTCAGTCGATCAAAAGTCAAGAACGACACTTTTTACCAATGCAATTGATCCAACCCATTGGTGTATAGATGAAGAGTGTTGAGTGAACTAATTGTTTTTGTTGGTCCTTGGCTGGGCTATGCATCATGTCCGCCGCATATTTGTAGCAACCCGAGATGCAGGGCAAAACAGCCCATTCTACGCGATTAAAGGTGGACTGTACACGATTAAATTGTGAACATTTCAGTCATTAACAATAAGAACTATTTCGTGACAGTTTCAAATGTGCTTCATCATCTACCGCACGCAGTATCCTCCGTCAATGAGCAGATCGGATCCAGTCGTGTAGGTGCTCGCGTCACTGCAGAGATAGACATAGGCTCCCTTCAGCTCCTTAGCCTGGCCTGGCCTTCCCTGGGGGATCATAGAGTTCCAAAGGTCTTGAGTTTTTTGGTCGACAAAGTCCGACAAACCAGTGTCGATGTAGCCGGGGGAGATGCTGTTGACGCGGGCGAAGTCGCGCCACTCGTTGGCGAGGGAACGGGCCATGTGGATGCAGCCAGCCTTGGCCACATTGTAAGAGGTCTGTTCTTGAGGGAAGTTGGCAATGTGGCCAGACATAGAGGAGGTAATGACGAAGCTGCCGGTGCCGCGCTCCTTGAAGTGGGCGCCGACGGCCTTGGCGCAGTGGAAGGTTCCGGTCAAGTCGGTCTGAATGACCTCTTCCCAGTCCTTCACGGAACCATCGAGGATACCGCTGCTGGCTGTGCGACCGGCATTGGCAATGAAGGCATCAATCTTGCCGAAGTCCTTGATGACATCGTTAACGAAGCCGGACACGCTCTCCCAGTTGCCCACGTCGCACTTGTAGGCCTTGACCTTGACGCCGTACTTTTCACTGAGCTCCTTCGCGTTGCGCTGGCCGCCCTCGGCACGCGAGGCGTATGTGATGGCGAGATCAGCACCCATCTCGGCGCAGCCGCGGGCAGCCTCAATACCCATTCCGCGGGGGCCGGAGGCACCCGTAACAACAACGACTCTGCCCTTGAGGCTGAAAAGGTCCTGCAGGCTGTCGGCTTTAGGGACGGGAATCATGGTGACGGTGGTTTTTCAAAAGAGGTAATTTGAAGTGGGAGAGATGTTCAAATGGAGGATCAGGGGGAGATGTGTTGAGGAATAATAGATATATGATTTTTGAAGTTGCAGAGGAAAGCATGGGCTTATATAGCTTGGTATACCCCTCTCTGTGACAAGCCTCTCCGGGCATGACTTAATAACGGGGTATCCCGGTCTCAATGGGGCCATTTGATTCGCTACCGAGACCATTGTCTGCTGTGTCTAGCCTTGTTGTGACGCACTGTCTGATTCGCCCAAACCGGGAAAACCTGGGAAGAACAATAGTGAACGACGTGGAAAGTTGATGCGGATGACGGCGGCGCTATGATGTCATGACTTCGCCCGGTCCTGCTTCCCTACTGGTGATCTCGGCCCGAACATCACACCCAACGTTCTCATACGGTGCTAACACAGTGCTAACATAGTGAATATGCTAATATGGTGCTGACCGCTCGCTCCAAATGGTTTAGGTTCCTTAGTCACGCCGGAAATCAGTTTTGAACGCTTGATTTTGTGCGGTGTCTACCTCATGGTTGAGACAGCCCCCACCTTGGCCAACATTCCAAAGTCGATCAAAAGGGTTTCTCGTGGCAGGATAGCGTTAGCGCCGGTCGAAGTGAAAATTGTCAAGATATCGGCATAATGACTCTCAATTTCGCAGTCATGACCATCTAGCTACAATCTATGTACACAATTCAAATCATTCAATCTCGAGACCAAAGAAAACCTTTCGCGAAACAGGATCGCGATGACTCCGGGCCATGACGCATTGTATGGGCAGAAGGAGCTCTGTGTGAATAGTCGTTGACTCAGCGATGCTCAGAAAATCGGACATATTTTCTGGCTCAGTCCAAGTTCCATATTGAATTATTTCACGCATCGTGCCTGATTCATAGTTATGGAAGACAAAATGAAGATGAGATACCCCGGACGCAAGCCGATGTGGAGCCCGCGAGTGAAGCTATGTATTGATCCTCTACCGTTTCCACTCTGCACCACTATCGAGGTAGGTGTCGCTCTGTCCAACTGGACGATCCCATCCCATTACTAGGCCCTGCTTGCTTACTCTGTGTTAGATGCCGATCTTTCTTCAAACGGCACTCTCATATTGAGAAAGTAGGTCTCAACCCCATTCGAGAAAAAGAGGATCTGGAGATTAACACCTGGAATGGCCCTGATGATCCGGACGACCCGTAAGCATCGAGTCAAGGACGCTTTGAAGCTCGACCCATACTGACTATGATAGATTCAATTGGAGCAACACTTACAAATGGGTTCTAACACTGACGGTGTGTTTCATGTCGGTGATCGCTTCCATTCTCCACAACCTACCGCTGCTAAAACGACAGTTCTATCCTGCCCATTTTTTTCGGGCAAGGGTATCACACAATTTGCGAGCGTTTTCTTAGTCGAAATTCTTCACAACAATAATTTCTGATATGAGGGTTTGAGTAGTCGACAATAGTGGTTCCCAATTAGACGAGGAGTTTCCAGGGCTAGACAGCTAGAATTTACTGCACGTAGATTGAGGGTGCGATGCACGTTTATATAGACAACTCCTGACGATCTGTGTTCGATGATCCAGATGTCAGACATGGTTCCGAGCATCCCGAAAAGTCCTCGTTCTGGCTGGGAAGAATTGAATTGTTGAATTTGTTGAATGTAAGCTTAGACACACATACACTGTCACAATTGGGATCCAGTCTCAGTAAGAAGACCTTGAAGCCTATCTTGCATCAAGGTAAGCGCGTAGTGGGTATCATACTGCGAGCAAGGATGAAGTCTCTCGGATTAGAGGTTGATAGGTCTTCTCACGATCTGGAACATTGAGATTTCCTGACATCACAAGAGAGATCCTGCGAGCGTTTTTAAATTTACGGCTCAACTGACTACAGGTGCAGCGTTTATATGTCGTCATACGTCAATTGAATACAGAAGTAAGCTCAAGGTATAAGTAAATATTGCTCATCGCGCAACAACAAGGCATACTCCGAGGTTAGAGAAACGTCGGTGACCGTATCGAAGGCCATGGATTGTGCAAGATAACTCTTCAAAATTATATCAGTGTTCATGATGCATTTTTTGTTCTCTAGACACCCTGAATTGTCTACGGTATGTTCCAAATCGTCAGAAAGGGTGACATGGGGTACGGGCAGTGCTAGCTGCCGCGATATATTTAAATATAGAATGCCTTTGTGACGTACACTTAGGTATAGCTTCCATTGCCAAGGCTACTTGATAAGCAAGCGTTCTGGGCAGACCTGTGAACACCAAAGAAGCGCACTCGTGCGTGAATCGAGCTCAAGCCAAGCCCCTTCCTCCGCGTAGACCAGCCTTACACCTATTTGGAAATACAGAGCCAATTGAGAAGCTGAGGTGGTACCATAATGCCGTGGGGACAATACAAAAAAAAATAAAAAACTTGCGACCGATGGCTATATCCAGCTCTCCAATGCAATTAAGTCGCGAATTTTCTTCCTTTCCCTCCCATTTCTCCCACGATGAAGCAATCGGTGATACGTACATTGCGACCGTGCGATCAGGCTTCTCTGAATGACTATTCACGTTGTTTCGATTAATCAGCGGAGCGACATGACCGAGAAGATACGCTATGGCTGCAATGCCTTCCCAAAATTCATCGCCGGCACAATGACTGCTGACGCGGTCTCAAGCCGAAATCAAATGCCGGTTATGACCCATCTTTCATGGACCCCTGTAGACAAGGTACTGTAGACGCAATTCCTTCGTTTTGGCTGGAAACTGCAGAATCCTTCTTTTCAATTCGAGCCAATTGATTGGCCAGGCCCATGTCGATCACCGCCAACTCCAGTAAGCTCGCGGGGCTTGCTCGCGGGTGGAAGTATCCTAAAGAGCCCGACACGCGGCGCCAAGCACCCGTGGAGCTTGAACGAGTGTGAGTTTGAGGGCCAAAGGAGAGCCATTAGTGACCACACGGCTCAAGCAGAAGGTCTCGAACATATGCTCAATATCTAGAGAGCCGGCCTACATCCACGATGACGCGTCCAGCAACGGCAGCGAGATGAGCGATACCTATATAAACCATTCGCTCTTATGGCCTAGCCATCAAGGAGTTCTTGATTATCGGTCCCCTCGACTACGGTTTTCTACCAATACCAAAACAATTTTCCAAATATGGTCCAGCTTTCAAAATTCCTTGCTGTGGCAGCAGTCTATTTGGCTGCCCCGGCCATAGCTCACCCAGGTGAACAGCACGATCCGCACATGGTGAAGCGCGGTATTCATGCTCGCGATGCGATGGCAGCTGCTGCGAAGACCTCTCTGGAAGCATGTGAGAATAGTCTTCACGCGCGAGAATTGGCGAAGCACAACATTGCCCGGCGTGCCCGTACCGTCCAACAGCTTCGCAAGGAGCGTGGGATCACAACTAGTAAGTCCTCCCTCTTCTAAGCCGCCAACCCATCTTGAAGAAGCAAAGGACTCATACTCTATAGCCTCCCAGAAGTGGACCAGAAACCTGGCTGCTCTTGAGAAGTGGGAGGCAGTTAACCACAACAAGACAGATATCCTCAACTATAGCCCTGCGACACCGGAGTCAGTGGTATTCGCAGCTAACACCAGCTGCATCCTGACCCCAATCGTCACTGATGGTCCGTAATTATGTTTGGGGTGAGGTGATGCGTCACAATGTGAGAAGAGGAACTATACTCAGATGGCGTGGACACCTTCCTGGAAGTCCAGTACATCGACATCAACACTTGCCGGCCGGTCCCAGGTGCACTGGTCGACATTTGGCAAGCAAACGCCACTGGTGTTTACAGGTATGTAATCTCATTATATTCTGAGAACAGGTTTGCGATGTCGAGGCTCTGACTAATCTTCATAGTGGAATCTCCGAGTCTGGCAACTACGCCGCTGGAGGCTGGGACTCTACGTATCTTCGCGGCATTCAATTGACGGACAAAGACGGAGTCGCGAGCTTCGAGACCATATTCCCAGGACACTATGAAGGTCGTGCCACACACACTCACCTGTTAACCCATGTGGGTGCGAAGCTTTTGCCAAACAAGACTCTCGAGGTGGGCACCGGCAGCATGGCTCACATCGGTCAGCTGTTCTGGAACGAAGTCCTTCGCTCTGCTGTAGAAGATACCTATCCTTACAACATCAACACGCAAGCCATCACTTCAAACGCCGAGATATGTGGTCCATTGAGCAAGCCGACAGTGCCTATGATCCCTTCCCGGAGTATATCTACCTTGGCGAAAGCCTCGACGATGGTCTATTCGCTTGGATCCAAATCGGCATCAATGCCACGGCAGATTACACCGACAACTCGTATGACAGCATTGCTGCTTATCACGATGCCAACGGTGGACACGAAAATTCCGACAGCTCTGTAATGGGCGGCGCTCCTAGCGGCACCAACAGCTCCATGCCCTCGGGTAGCTTCTCGGTCGGTGCTTCTGCGAGCTCCTCCGCGTAAAATGTGGATTGAATGGGGAGCAAGCTCCACTCATTGGTTTCAAGATCTTTTGCTGGCCACGGATAAAGCCATGAATTGAAAGAAAGACGACGTATTCCGAAGACGGTGGTTGGTAGAAGTATCTGAACTTCTTCAGACACGTTCTTTTAAAATTAGATTGAATTTTGGATCACTCATCAGAGAAACTGTTCTGTCATAAAAGTCATAATGGTCATTCAACTACCTGCCGACTGATTAATAGTGCATTCTACACGTATGGGAAGAAAGCCAAGTGAGCCTATGGGTGTATTCAATTCGGGGCTTTTGGTGGAACAACATACCGATTATTCCGTCTTGGCCCCCAGCTCCATACTGAAATAAGCGGGGTCCGAGAGTTTGTCGGACGCTATTTCTAACGTATCTGCGAATAACAACGATTTCATGATTGCTTAAAGATTGCAGCCTCGCAACGCTGCTCCCTAGATAGAGAGATCTGTGCTCTTCTTGGTTGACGCCATACTACCGATTTCCATGGTTGGCTGGAGGGATGGATCCTTTGAGATTTAGTAGTCTTGATGCACAAGTTTTTATTCATTACGAATATGAAATTTCGATAATATGAGGACTACTGGAGGTGCTCGGTAACAATACCTGATCATTCCGTTTGTGCAGTGGCCGCGAATCGAGCAGATTGTCCTGATGCTGTTGTAATCTCCATTGTTTGACTCTGCCATTGGGACAAGCAGACTCGTACATATGCTGAGGTCGTGGCTCCCATTGCAAAACGCCCAAAGCTGTCTTCGCCGGTCGAGATAGAGTCGGAAAATGAGGACGAGCCCGATGACTCCAAAACAGAGTTCCACCGCCCAAACAATGAAAATAGCATAGAGGGTGGCCCGGAAAGCCTCTCCAAGGATGATGAGACTCTAGCGAGGTTAGCTGCGTCGATTTTCTGTTGAGTTATAAGCGAATCAGAACACAGGAGAGAATGAGCTTAATGAAGACGCTAGTCTTCGTGATATTGCCCATTCGCCTGAGTCCTATGATAAAGATGCTGACATCCTGAATGGTGCGAACATGAAGCCGGATAAATGAAGGGCAGCCATTTAATAATGATTCATTCGTCACAGCAGATTGTTTGTCGTAGACCAGTTGGACGAGAGGGGATCCAGAGAGAACAGCGCATCGTCCCCCAGTGCCCACTCAAAGTCAGCCAGGAATTGCTCGTCCAGATGAAAGGCATCATTTCTCTCGGGCACTTCAGATGTAGTCGTTCCGCTTGCGAATTCTCGATTCATCTCGCCGACTGAGCTCCCCGTCGCGCCTGTGTACCGCGAGTGAGCGTAGCCGTTGCCCTGAGCCGGTTCCACCACGGATCTCACGCTTCGAGAACCTGGATCAAACTCATTGCGCCACCACCAGACCGTGTCTCAGGATCGGACTCAATACTAGGCGACTGCGGATACGTAGGGAGTTGTACTCGGTCCCATCCATCTTGCGGAAAGCCCTGCTGCTATTCCAGATTGCCTTTAAGACGGTCACGGTCTTTGCAGCTAGGTCGGCACTGTCAACCGACATTTGCTGGGCCAGGTTTATTGCGGTGAAAAGTGAAGCTCGAGCACGGCTGGTTTCGAGACCCTGAGAAGCCAGTGTACTCTTGAGAATGCGGAGCAACGACGTCGAAGCAAGAAGTAATGCAAAGCCCATCTGGACTGGTGCCATGGACAAGAAGCCGACACGCTCGCAAAGTGATTGAATATAGTCGATCAAGCGGCAGGCGGTGACGAGTATTCGTGGACAACACCCACTCGAGATTAATGTCTGGTTCTTGTACAGGTGGAAAGTCTGGATTGCCATCCTACACAGAGCTGTATCAAACCTTTCGTCATCTGAGTCCGGTGATTAGCGAAGGGATTGAAGAAGACGAAATTTGACACACCAGTCACGGCTTGAAGCTCCAAGTCGTCCACTTGACCTTCATAGTCACGCAAAATGAGGTCCAGTGCCCGCTCCTGGTCCAGGGACAGAGTACGCAGCCCATTTTCAGTGACTGCCTCGCTGCACTTGGCAATAAGCACTTGACAACGAAGCTTCAACGCCATCCAAGGCGCAATCTTTTCAAACAGGCCTTGTCGTTGTGCCGGACCCTTTGCCGGATCCTGTCCAAGATCAACTAGCGCTCGCGGTAATTGACCCTTGGTCACACAGACCCTTCTGAGGATCAGCACATTTCACTGCAAAAAATATGATTTTTCCAGGCTACTTGCCGCTGATAAACGATTACAGAATGCGCCCATAACTCCGAGCGGCGGAGAAGGTCTACTTCGGAGGGAGCTGGCATCTTGACGCGTGAGAACTCATGGCTGGACATGGGAATATGGAGACCATTCTGCATTGCAATGTGTAGCAAAATCCCACCCATCGGGAATGTCACGTCGGGATGGTCCCCCTTCGGAAATGGCCACGTGAGAAGAAGCAAGATGCCCTGGATGGTGTTCGATGGCGGTGACACCGACAGGGTTGAAAGCAATGCCATCTCCATGATACTGCGAGCCAGCGCCATCAAGAGAGTCGGATTTCGGGCATATGCCCGACATGCAACGCCGATAATGGCCCAGAAGAGGAACGGTGACTGTGCATAGTACGTGTTGGGCCGCATTTGCGGGTCGAGAATGGGAAGAAATGGGGCATAATAGCGGAAGAAGCTGCATCCTGGAATCAATGGTTGACTACGCCACCTGCATCACTGGCACGTACATTTGAAATAGATCATCAATTTCCTGCGCGCTGATCTGAATGCCGTTCAGGGTGCGCGACTTGGTATCACCATCGCATACCGGTCCCGGGATGCTGTGCTCCGGACCCATCGGTGCCAGGAGCTGTGGTGGGTACGAGGGAGGCGGTTGTGTTTCGGAGAGAGTATCACTGGCCGGCGTACGCGCCCCCATCTCCGCCGCCGCTGTCAGAAGCGCAATCGGCGAGAGGTGAGGGTCAGCCGGCTGTGATGCTCTGAGCTTGCGTCGCAAATCTTCTGATTCCCGTTCCAGGTCGGAAATGCGCCTACCGAATGTGTCAGTCGCCGTTCGAGCCGGAGTTTTTCATGTTCCATTTCCATACTTGCGTTTGTGCTCGCGCTTGAACGGGTCGGACACGACACATCTTGCGTTCACTTTACGACACCGGGTGCATGGCTGGTCGGGGTTCAGGTATACATCGCATTTGGCCTGGTTGGATCAGTGGGATGTCAATAGAAGAGTAATCCAGATCGAGAGGGACCTTTTGCTGGCGGCACTCGGTGCACGCCTTCTTTCCTTTCTTCGGCCTGCGAAGAACCATGTCAGTGACATGTAGAGAAGAAACTACGGGGCTCTTACGTCTCCATGGATCCATGTACTCCTGTTGAATGATCGGGAATGCCTTTGCGCGACCGGGTTGATAGACGGAGAGAGAGAGTGACGGGAGTTGAAGGCCCGGTGCCGGTTCCGGGCCGGAGTGTGCCGGGGGGTGATGGCGGGACCGGGATTCTCCAACTTGGCTGCGAGTATAAACCTTGGCCCATGTCCGCTGTTCATCTTCCTGGACTTCCTCTTTTACTTGGATGGTGGACGTGAAGATTACTCTAGTTACCAACATTACCGAAATTCCAATACAGTGCAAGCAGTGCACCGTTTCGAGTACTTCCAGTGATCAGCGACTCCCACATCGTCATAAACGATAATCACAGCAAAAGCTCGTCCTACCATCCCGCGTGTTACACTGTGCGAGAGAGGGGTGAATCCCTTGAGGAGCACAACAGAGATGTAAATGACCGAGTCCCCGGGATTCCAGAACAGGTCACCGCACCTGTTCACCTTCGCACTTTGCGCCCTGAGATAGACACCCATCTCCTCTGGTTCGTTCGGGTTCAGGCTACTCGATCCGCGTGTCCACCGGTGTAAGGGTGCACCAGACGCAGTCTTACAGAAAACCAACTCCCTGGGTCCAGGTCTATCAAGACCTGCGGCGAGCTGCAGCTTCGGTAGATTTTCTCTTTTTTCTCTATTCCAGTAGTTCAATCTCTGCAGGGCGTCTCGCATTGAGCGAACCCAACGAGCGTTAAGTTCCGAGGATGGACAAGGGGGAGGGGTAGAGTATGGGACACCTTGGGAATAGTACATGGGAATTGTATGAGCCTATGCATTTGTTGGCATTATCGTGTGTCCAGGCCGTCAGGTCCAATGCAATCCGACCCCTCCAGATTGGCCATACCTAGTTTGTAGTGCCTCGGCTGTCTGAGTTGCAAACCCCTAACAAACATTCGAATGAGTATACCGATCGCCCGTGTAGGTAATTGATTCGGATGACAGCCATTTCAACAACATTGTATGATTCCCATGTTGACCTAAGCAGCTAGAGATGTCCATGTCCGTATAATGAGAAAGTGGCTCGAATCATCACAAGTGGCAGCGCCACCATGACGCCCGAGGCGATCCATGTCTTCAACGTGACATCACCCTCTACGATGACTATATATTCTACGATAGACAAGACCCGTATGGCAAAAGAACTGACTACCGACCATGAACTACGATCTTCCCTCGGTTACCGAGCTCAAGCAGGCCGTCGAGAGCGGGCAACGTATCACACGCGAGGACGTCTCGGTGATCTCCCACGCCGAAAGTGCCCTGACTGGACGCGGGCCGCTCCGGGGCGGGCCAGCTGGTTAGTCCGTTCAAGTGAAGTCTGATTCCCGGCAGGCTAATGTCAGAACAGCCTTGGCCCAAAGCCTGGCGATGCGGCAGATGAACTTCGATAACAAAGTCGACGAGGTGTCACGGAAACCACAGAGCCACATCACGCAGAATGATGCCCGGGCGATCCAGTCCATAGAGGTACATCGACAGTGGTCTGGATTGGCAATTGAACACCGCTGACTGCGGATAGGGTCGTGCATTCAACAGGCCCCCCGGCATCGGGTCTGTTACCGCACAAGTATGGACTATCGCCAATCGGAACGAAATCCTGGGTCTCTCCCCAGTGGCGGCAGATCCCCCCCGTGTATGTGACCAAAGACGATGCTCGCAAGGCTCAGCGAGCCGAGGCCATGCTCTATGGGGGTTATATCTCGGGCCAGGGCATGGCGGCCTCCATGCAGGTAAGTTGGAGATTCGCGGGTGTCGGGGCCAATGGCATTGACTGGACGCGTAGAGCGCAGCCGACAAGATCGACCACGTATATGGGAACCTGTAGTGGAGACACTCCATGGTACATAGAAATCGACCAAACTACCCAAAATTTCGTTGAGAATCCGTAATGTGGGGACAGGAGACCAGACCATCAGCCGAAGCCCGCTGAGGTGCGCTAAGGTCAGCTAAGGTTGGCGCGGGCCCAAACCGTGCATGTTGCGGGTTTCCGACATGTCGCGACCATCGCTAGCCCTGACCCGCCGTGCTGGAATCGTGCAGGACTCTCAGAATTCTCAGGATCACGTCAGTTTCTCCGGTGGATTCCCTAGTCGACGATCGACGCAGTTCTGTCCATCCACAGCGGGCGCACCTGGTCTTGCTGCGGGTGCGGGCACTGTGTCCGTCTGTACTCATCACGATGCAGAGGCGAACAGTGATCACTAGTGACAGTCCGCTCCCTTCAATGTCTGAAGCGAGTGTGGTGCAGCGGCTGCACGACCACGACGCGATGATCACCCAGAATCCCCTAGTCGTCCACTACGAGCGATGTCAGCCGCCCGCGGATGCACCAGCGGACGAAAGCCACGCGATTTGGTACGAGTTGACCGACCGTATCAACTATCTCCCGGGGCTCCGAGGCCACGTTCGTTATCGGGCCTGTTTCCACGATACCCCGCAAGGGCTCCAGACGCACATCTATGCGCCAATGGGGGTGGATATCCGCAATGAATGGAGCGTGCGGCGGGGCAGCGAAGGGTTGTATTTGCAGGAACGGGTCGAACTGCGCTGTCTGCTCGGGATGACGGGCTTCATACGGCGCACGCTGACTCGGGCGCATCGGGAGTTGGTGGCTCGTCTAGGTCAATTAGACCAACCTTGGGAGAGACGAGTCGACGAATAGAGGGGGCCAAGGGACTGGAGCTGGAGGGGCTAATGGGCTAGAAGCTGCAGCTTTGGCGGGGCTGGTTATTTGTCATGCGTCATATCCACCTCTGGAATTTGGAATTGTCGAGTTGTGATGTAATGTATAGTTTCGTGAGATGATCAGAGAATGGAGGACGAGACGAGGGGGGAGGGGAAGATCCATTGATTGCTCGGTGGTTTAGTATTTATATAACGGCATCTCTCCCACAAGGTCCTTACCACCGGCTCTCTCTCTCTCCAAGTACCTTGCAAGAATCAGCCTCCACTATGCCTCTCACTGGTCACTGCCTTTGCGGCGCCGTCACATACACTGCGGCCGTCGATAAGCCTCTCATCACGGCTTATGACCACTGTGATGACTGCCAGCGCCAGACCGGTTCCACTTACTGTTCGTCTTCTCTCGTGAGAGTCAAATCGGAGCCCCGCTAACCTTCCCTAGCTCTGGTCACCGTCGTCCCCAAGGATTCTTTGACTAATAAAGGTCCCACCAAGTCTTTCGCCAAGGCTGGCAGCTCCGGCCTGCCCGTCCACCGCATTTTCTGCTCCGAGTGTGGTTCTCCCATTGCCCACGACCCTGAGGCTGCCCCTCCCATCATCGCCCTCAAGGCCGGTACTCTCGACAGCGAAATCAAGAAGACTCTGAAGCCGGTATGTCCCTAGATTGAGCCACGGGTACCGTCAATGCATCCTAATGATTGTTTTAGGACACCGAGATCTGGACTGTCGGCAAGCTTCCCTTCTGTCAGGAAAACCTCGAGCACCCCTTCGAGCACATGCCCCAGTAGATAACACACGCTAAAGTGGGAACCCTCGAGGAAGAAAGAAAAGAGTAATTTGTGAATTAACGATTGATTATGAGGCATGAGACCGACATTCTATAGTCGAATATGAACTTCATTTTTAATTAAATTGATCAGGATGTGTAAAAACGTGTGAGGCCCGGATCCGTGTGGTTATGGATGCCGCTCGTGTTACAAGTAATTCATCACGGTGATTTTTTCCCCAGCTGTGAGGATATCGACCCCGAGAATGGTCTTTTCTTTTCTTTTGATTCCCATCTCCAACCTCCCAGTTTTGGCCGTTGCTTCATTGCCATGTCGACCGGGACCTTGTTCGTGCACGACTCGCGCACCGGCCTCAAGTATGACATTCCGATTCGCCGCAATGCGGTACGTGCCCTTGATCTACAGCGCATTCGAGCCCCGAATGTCGGGTCCAATCGAGCCGATCAGGTTTCTCTGGGGATACGTGTGCATGATCCGGGCTTGCAGAATACGGCGGTGGTGGAAAGTGCCATTAGCTTTTCGTGAGCGTCTTGTTGCCCGTTTGATGGACTCTGTGCTGATACACCAGTGACCATGAGCGTGGGGCTTTGATATTCCGAGGCTATACTTTGGAGCAGCTCTGGGATTCCGACTTTGAGGATATGCTCCATCTGTTGGTATGGGGAACTTATCTACGGTACATCAACGGACAGAGCTAAGCAGAGCGCTTGCCGTGCATATGCAAGAGGTTCCCAATGAAGTATTTGATGCGATCCGAGGTCTACCGTAGGTCCAAGAGAGCTTGACTGATGAGACAGTTGATTGCTGACGCCGTAGGGGATAAAGGGCAACTTCACCTCCGCTTTCCCTGATTCTGGCGGGTCTCGCGGCTTGTCTGGCTTGTCAGCACGATTCCACTCCCGCCTCTTCCAATCCGACCCTTTACCAGGACAATCTCGAGGAAGCCGACCGGGTAATTCTACGCACTGTGGCAGAATATGCTGTGATATTTGCTGTGGTCCGATGCCACCGACTCAGCATTGGTTGGCAGCCTCCAGCTCTCGGGAGAAGCTACTACGAGAACCTCTTTATCATGTCCGGCCTTGTGGATGCGATCACTGGTCTCCCCGATCCAATGCGACTGTCATGTTTTCGCCGATTTTCCATGTTGAACGCCGATCACGGCATGGCCCTAGCGGTCTTTTCGGCGCTGGTGACAGCCTCCTCCTTGACTGACCCGATCTCCTGTCTGATAACATCAGTGACCGCCGCCCACGGATCTCTTCATTTTGGGGCCACCGAGTTTGCCCAGCGCGCGCTCCAAGAAATTGGAAGCCCAAGCAATATTCCTGCGTTTCTAGATGAAGTCAAGGCTGGTAAACGAAAGCTTTTTGGATATGGCCATCGGTCATACAAAGGCATCGACCCCCGTGTCCGTCCAATTCGGGTAATTCTGCAGGATCTCCCCAAGCCCAGTTCATTACTCAAACTTGCCGAAGATATCGAAGAAGCTGCCTCGTCAGACAAGTACTTTACTTCGCGCCGCTTGTATCCCAATGCGGACTTTTATGGGAACTTCGTCTTCACCGGCGTGTTAGTCTTTTCATCGATTTCTTTCCCGGCCAGCCCTGATGAAAGTCAATAGGGGAATTGAGACAGAGATGATTCCAGCAGCGATGATCTCTCATCGTATTATGGGCATCATGGCCCATTGGCGTGAATACATGGGTAAGGGCTTCGAAGTCACATCTCGGGGAGTTTCATTGATCGAATGTAGCCACCCGCGGAAAACTGTTTCGACCATCCCATATCTATACCGGACCTATCTCGGACACTAGAGAGATTGTTGCTAGGTTTTGAAGGGTGGACGGCCTTCGATGGGATGCCAAAACATTGCAGACTGTCCAAAGTGTGGCCCGGGGGGGGGGGGAGTATGCTGACCAAGAGGTACTAGTAGGAAATTTTGTGCTTTGATATGAATGAAATTTTCTGTTTCTCTACTTCCTCTCACTCATGGTTGAACCCTTAGACCAGCACATACTCTCTTCCTCGTGGGATGAAGCATATCAAGATGAATGACAACTCGCATGCACACCAGACCAATGAGCTAACAGAGACAAGTCCCCTACTGGCCTCGACTGCTCCATACTCCGTCTTCTCCAAGACCCAGAAGCGACTCATTGTCTTGACTGCTGCTCTCATGTCTTCCTTCTCTCCGCTGTCAGCAAACATATACTACCCGGCTCTTAATTCTATCGCCAAGGACCTGCAGGTGAGCCCGTCGCAAATCAATCTATCCATTACCACATATATGGTATGTTGCCCTATGAAGCTCTGTCTCATGATTCGAACAGCCTTGTTCATGCCAAAAAGATAGGTCAAGCCATTGCACCCACGCTCACTGGTCGTCTCGCCGATCAATCCGGACGGCGATCAGCGTACATCTATTGTTTTGTTATCTACATTGCCGGCAATGTGGCCCTTGCAATTCAGCATTCTTTCCCAGCCTTGCTGATACTTCGTGCCGTCCAAAGCTGTGGCAGTAGTGGCACTGTCGCGTTGGCTTCCGCCGTCGTGGCTGATGTCATCCCTCCTCCGCCGAGCGAGGCGCATACATGGGAATGGCCTCACTTGGAAATATCCTCGCGCCGTCCTTAGGTCCGGTTGCTGGCGGGCTCTTGAGTGAGTACTGGGGCTGGAAGTCCATATTCTGGTTCCTGGCTCTGCTGGCGAGCGTGTTTTTCATTCCCCTGTTGCTTTTCTTTCCCGAAACTTGCCGCGCCATTGTGGGCAATGGTTCAATTCAACCTCGGCGCTATACTTACTCACTTCGCACCTGCTTTCAAAGGCCGGTGCATGACTCGGAGGCGAATCTTGTGGTTTCTTCTAATCCAGCTTCAGCCCAATCTCCCAGAATATTGAATAGCCCGGTGTCGCTGAGCCTCGTGTTTCAGCGACCCGTTGGCTTGATAATGTTAGCCAACGGCATAGCTTTTGGCAGCTATTACGCAGTCACTGCAGGCATATCTGCACAATTCAAAACACTCTACGGACTTGGTGACTTTGAAATCGGACTCTGTTTCATACCGGCTGGACTGGGCTCGCTGCTCAGCGCAACCGCTAATGGGTTGTTGGTTGATTGGAATTATAGAAGAATTCGCTTACAAGCAAATCAATCGCTAGATCAAACCCAGAAACAGGACGTGCTCACTTTTCCAATTGAGAAAGCGAGACTCCAGATCGGGCTGCCTATGGTTGTAAGTGACACAAGTCTCTGAAGAATGTCTCTCCATTATCATTTGATCAATGGCTGGGTGCTCAAATCACAATAGATGCTTGCGGCCGTTTCCATTCCACTTTATGGCTTTTTAATGGCCTATGGTGCGCCTCTTTGGGCCGCCCTTGTGATGGTCTTTGTGATATGCGTCTGTATTACCGCTGCGTACAATGTCATGAACGTCTTGATCGTAGACTTGTACTACACTACCCCCGCCACAGCTATGGCCGCCAATAACCTTGTACGCTGTTTCCTTGGAGCCGGCGCTGCTGCGACGGTCAATCCTTGCATTGAAATTATTGGCATACAATGGACATATTGTGCCGTGACTGGTCTTCTTTTGACTACTTGTCCTTTGCTATTGCTTGTGTATTTCAAGGGATGGGGTTGGCGCCGAGCACAAGCGGGGATAGGGATATCATCATAGCCACTTCGGTACTATTCCATGTGACTTATTTACCGAGTCTATGCACCACCAGATATATCCAGGGGCAGTCGCGGCCTTGTATATCCCCGAGGCCGCAAATAAAATGGTTTTATAAATAATCTACGAGCTCTGGCGTTTCCCTGAATGTATCTACAGAATTCATTGCATCATGCTCTGTGCTAAATTTCTTGTAGGTCTTGGTGGAATTGTGTCTGCCATTGGTTCGTATATCCTACCTCTCCAAGGACAGGAACTTCGTGTCAGATACTCTCGAAGTGAATGGATTACACCTGGGATGACATTGGTCATTGAAGGTATTTCTCAATTTCTCTAGTCACTTTGAGCGAAAGATCACCAACACACACATAACTAGGTACCAAAAGTGTTCCTCAGATAAGCAGCTACGGTCTACATTGCCAAAGACGTTATCTACTTTTGATGCTTGATCCAGACGTGCAGATCCCCGGAACGGGCATTCAGTGTATGGTGTTGCATTGGTATCAGCCAGATCTCGTCTTTGATTGCAAGAAAGTCGATCCACCTTACCTTCTTGAACCTGATCCAGATCGTACACCGGTCACTTTCGCTCCATACATTGCACCCCAAGCTCCTCCTCTATCCCACCATCGCTATATATTTCTTCTTTTCGAGCAGCCCCCGACTTATCATTTCCCCAAATGCTTCGAACACATCCCACCAAAATCAATGGAGGCTAGAGGTGGGTTTGATATCAAGGTCTTCATGCAAGCCGCTTCATTAGGCCCGCCTGTCGCAATCAATTACTTCTTCGGCCGGTTGGATGCCTCCAAAGGGGATGACTCGACGCCTGTTCCGAGTGTGACCACCACATCTTTTCGATCTTTGACTTGTGACACTGGTCCCACTGGTTCTTTAGCCAAGATTCAACGATGACACAGATGCGAACGTCGGGAGTGCCGAGGCACGGATCGGAGTCAACCAGGGGATAAAGGTACTATCTTTCATAGGCCTGGCCTATCACAAATTGCTGCGAAGAAAGAGGATATTTTTATCATCGTGAGCCGAGGAGTTGTCCAGCTCCCGGCTTTTGGGGAACCCCGGGGGGTTGGGTCTCGGGTGCGGTTTCAATTTTGCTCTGGTTGTATTAAGCATTTATTGACAAGATTTGGCAGTCATAATAGCCCATATTTCGGCCTCAGCACTTGGCCAGTGAGATCATAAATGATAAAGTCCCCGTAGCCAAAACAAACGCAATCTTTGAATGTATAATGCTCCAAGGTTAGCCGGTGTCTGCTCTATACCAGCTTCAATGGAAAACCAATACCGTACCGTTGCATACCGCCTTTGAATTGACAATGGACCCTCTGGGAAAGGTACATATGTATGGACCCCTTATCAGTCAGGAAAAGAAGATACCACTTGTCAAAGTTTAAAGGGATTAGAAGCTTGCATGGAATCCAGGCATGGTCGGGTAGGACGAAGACAATGCTGATGTAGGAGCCTTCGGATGTAACTTTCGCTCTCTGCACGCCTGACTGGTGGCTTGAAGCTTTATTACAATGATCGCTAGTGTCGGCAACAATCCACAAGTGTGTTGGTTGCTATTCACGGCGAAGCCGAAGAGTAAAATTAGATAAACAGTCGATACCTGTTAGCCTACGGAAAGACACACGCAAATATTCTTTTCTGCATCGACTCGATTGAAAGGTTATTGAGTCCATTCTGAATATTTATATTGTATTTCTGCAGAATCTTCCTGAGAAGCACTATGAGCATGTCCAAGTTATTCAAGTCAACTGCTGGGAAATTGCCCAAGAGTGTCAAAGTGCGCTCGACATGTAATTCTTGCCAGCAGGCGAAAATTCGTTGCAGCCATGACAAACCGTCCTGCCGTCGCTGCCAAAAGCACAAAATTGCCTGCATCTATAGCGTTTCTCGACGACTGGGGCGGCCGGCGAAAGGAAAAGATCCCCGAGTTAGGCTGGATGACCAGCGTAGTAGCTCAAGCCCAGATATGGTCCTCCAACAGGAGCACACGAAAGAGATGAGAAATTCCACGAAGAACAAGGGTCGCAGGCAATCTGCAACTTCCGGAACACAACCTCGTGGAGTAAGAGCCCCGGTCAAGACCGCGGATGACAAATTCCAGTCGTCGATCGACATGAAGAAAAACGAGGAGGAATTGTCCGGTCAGTTCATTGCCCTCAATATGAAGATCAATATGGAATGCTTAATTGTTAATAGCCTTGGAGGTTGATTTTGCATCTGAGACATGGCTTCAGGAACTGATGTCTACGCGTATGAATTGGAGTGTGGGCAATTTCACACTTGAACGCCCTCAAGAAATGGACTCGTTAGACACGCTTCACGGCTTTTCAGAATGCATCGGACAAGTAGGCTCATCCATATGTCAGGCAACTGATCTTCTTCTGATGTCCCCTCTGATGGGTCAAGATCCGATCATGGTGCATGGCGGTTTCGACGGAGACTCCAACACCTTTCACCATTCATTACCAGATGGACAATTGGGATTACCTCTTGGACCAGAACCCAGTAATATCTCCTGGGCATATGACGCGAATACTGCGCTCGACGGGTGCGTATTGTCGGACTCTTGGACTATCAACAAGGTGCCCTCTACGAGTTTCCTAGTTGAGCCCACAATTGATTATCATCCGTTCGAATCTCCAAAGCCCAGTCGTGACTGTGAAGAACTATCGCCAGCATCCCAAGAATATCTGGATGAAGCGCAATACCTCAGCTGCAGTTGCTACGATCAAACCATAGGCGAGCTCTTCCGATCGAGCACCAAGGCCGACTGGCGGGGTTTATCAAGTATCGATAGTATCCTCGCCTGTCAGAAAGAGCTATTGATACACACCGAGACCATTCTTCAATGTAAATTGTGCTCACAGTCCGAAGCTCAGATCAATTTGCTCATGGTGATTATCGTCACCATCGACAGCCTCCTTACATCACTCGATGCTGCTGCCCCCTTATACAGCTCGGGTGCGGAAGAAGAGATACCGGCCATGGGGAGTGAGGACGGATGTAGAGCCCTCATTGATGTCAGCGAGGGCTTCAAATCTCACAAGGAAGTTTGTCCATTACTAGTGGGGGAGTTTCGAGTTCCCACGGATGATAAAGAATTTTTCATTCGACAATTGCTGCACGCGAGACTCTCGATGCTTATGACAATGGTACGACGCATTCGTACCTGCATGCAACAGCACTTAGCCTCGGCACTCTCGCGAGGCAGATTTTTGATGATCATGGAAACGGACAGGCGTCTGCAGCTCATCATGATGAAGGTCAAGATAGCAACGGTCTGATGACCAATATGAAAATGCGATGACGCTTTCGATTATCATCACGGTTTCTTGTAGCGGGCACCCGAGGGCTACTGCTAGACCACGGAATAAATAAAGGTAGGATGTGGATGTGCAGAATCTGCAGTTTGTAAGAAAGACGCCCGGTGGTTAGGGCAGACAATCGTGAAAGACTATAGTGAAGATACTTTTCACCTTAGGCGACTTTTCCACCATAGCTAATTGAGTATGCGAATGAGTCAGCCGAGCACATCGATGTTCACGAGAGGCCTTTTGTGGTCTGCGCATGCACAAGGGACCTCGGTATGCCGCTGTCCAAGGGATCATGGCGTGACGGCGTCTGCTATTCATGGATTGGAGGCATCTTTTGTAAAATAATGATAGCGCGAACATCGACGCATGTTGCAGCTTATCCAGGCCGATGTATCATAAAACCAAGTTAGATCCCCGCTGCTGACGAATTGCGATTCAAATTGTTGTAGACCAGTTTGTCCGCCCAATCCTGTGACTTTAGGATCGGACATGTTGTAGCACAGGGAAAGTGACAGTGCCAACCTGCAAAATACGCAGGCGGCCAGGCGCCAGTGATTTGACTCACTCAAGCGAAGATCCAAAATTTCCCCTGCCACCTGTTATCATTCAAATGCAATTATGAACATTGCCGCGCCCTGTCATTGTTCGATCGAGACGATGCAGATATTGGCGGAACTGCAGAGAGTTCACGCAGTAGTGCATGTCGAGACCGCACTGGACCTGATCAATCGAGTATGTGGTCAAGGAACAAGCGTTGTTCAATGCAAAATCTGCGCAAAGACGCCCCAAACGTCAATCGGGACTCTCCCGGCACTTTCGGAGCGATGCCTTCCTCTCTTTGAAGCTCTTTGCTCGGCATACGACATCTCCACCCAGCCCGACTTCTTCGAATCTGCTATGCTGGCCGTTGATCAGACTGCCCCATCGTTCATTTGTATTCGAAGTAAAGTTATGCTGGGACAAATTGAGCTCGACGAAGGCGAGACCCGACTACTAGTACGAACCTTGCTTGGGCGAAGTTTGATGAAACTGGTGCAGTTGATGGAGGATTCAAGGGGGATTTTATCAGCGACGTTGGAAAATTCGCATACCCGTCGAAATGGCATCGCAAGTATTCGAGCTTGTGAATCATCGATGGAGTCTGTCATCAGTCGGCTGGCGGTGCTGATGCAGATCATTGAAGGCGAGTGCGACACAAGGCCGTTTCCATAGCTGGGTTCTGTCAAGGGAAAGGGTTGTCTGGCTTTCTTTTGTCCGCGCTGTAGATCATCGTACGTGTTCCTATCTGGCTCTGACCTTGGCTCTTCTTAAACCCCTTCTGTCCTGAGGGTTCTTGCTTGCGGGCTAGTTCCGGGTTCCTGCTCCGAAACACAGGTCCATAATCAAATGCCAGCTCATCGCATATACTTCACAATGAATCTTGTGAGAACATAAGAAAGAGTCGAAGATATGATAAATGTACATCCTCATCCTTGGATATCATTGTAACCAACGCGCAAGAAAAGGCGGTTCTCATGACGGCGTCTGCTTAATCAGCATATTCACTGTTCCTTTCTTCAATCATATTGCGCTCATGTGGTTATGTTTAACGGACTCGAGAGTATGAATAAATTTTCGGCAAATCTAGTTCGGCCAGGGACTCTTGAATACTCCGATCCATTGCCCCCAGCCCACAAGTTTCCCGACCATGGCATTTTGGATATCCTTTTTGGAGGCCTTCGTGGGGTGTTCAAACTGAAGACGCTCGCTAAGAGCAATGATCGTATACACATAACGATGAGTATCGTGGCCTAGTGGAGGACCAGCACGAATGTAAGACGCACCAAGCGAGTTGGAAACAGCGCCAGCCCGCCTCAGTCATGTTGGACTTTGAGTCGGCCTCCGAAGGCTTGACCTCGGCTGGAGAGGCTTTTGAGGCGGACAAAGGAATCTTCCATTGCAGCCCAAGGTGAATGATGTGGAATGGAATTGGGGGTTCGATGTCTTCACAGATCAACACGTACTCTTGCACGGGCTGGTCACATTGCGGAGCCGTCCAGCGTAACTCGGGCAGACAATCAAGCCCGTCATCGGCCAGGGTGGCGTGGTGAAGAAGTAAATTCGAGTCCTGAAGGGCACCTTCAGGACTCGCGAGTGTCATAGAAGGCTTGGAGATGCTCTTAAAAGCCGGTGTGTGGATGATTTGACCGGAATCATGGCCTCAGATGGGATGAAACCTCCGTCCAAGAATAAATTGGAGGTAATGGAGGACCACCGCATTATTTGGATTAATTTGAGCGAGCCTACTGTGCAGCGGAGGTAGGGAGCATGAATAGAAAGAAAGATCGCGACGTGAAGAAATATCTCCAGACTCTGACAGATGCCGGGACCGGGCCCGTTTCCGGAGGTGGCATCTGAAATTGGCGAACCCGGGCAAATCGGTTTTGCGCCTTCTCGCTTTTCTCGCCGTTCGAAGAGTGTATCTTTGCAATCATGTCTTTGAATGCTAAATGTAAATGCGTAGTGTGGAAGAATCATAGTACAACTTCCTGTTGCTGAACGGGCGCATCATCTTCACTTAATGTCTAGAAACATTTAGTTGTATGCAGCGCACCAGTTATGTGTGCAACAAGCTTTTCATGGTTGGTAAATCTCCATATTCTAAATTTTACTGTAGTATAGGAAATGTTCAAGTATCCATAGCGTTCATGTAAGCATCAAGGCGTATGGCGCCAAAATTCCTTTGGAATTTGAAGGGTATTCAGAGATGCAAATTATCTCTCATCAATTCTGATCAATTGTACGGCTCCGTCCACTCCTCGCAAGATTGTGAGCAACCCCGAGATTATCAGTAAGAATGGCTTTAAAGCCGGAATTTGGGAGGTTGCCGGAGTTCTCGATGGTTTTCAGAAAAGCTGGAGACGATGAGAGGGAAAGAGCGTGGATTCTAGAGCCCAACTCAGCAGATAACCTTATGCAGCTTACACCTGCTTCTTCGTCTGTTTCGTGGAATCCGTCTAAGCGTATCTCTACCACATTTTCCAGAGCTCTGCTTGGATCACTTCTCAGTTTATCATTTTGTCAATGATTCCACCATCTTCGAACGATACTCGGGTCGAGGTCGCTCCTTTTGAAGCGGACCGGAAATATACAGGGGACTTTACGGGAATGGATCATAAAATGCAAGAAATATTGAAGAATCATATGTACATATTCAACCTATCACCGAATTTTCGTATTTCACAAAGCTGAAGCGGATATTCAATAGATATGAATGATCAAAGGTTGCTAGTATCTCTGCAATCCACTTTCACATCGAGTCATTGCGCATGGTCAGCCAAAGCCGCTGAATCAACAAATCCTAATGCCCCTAAAATCCACCCAATCATAAACGTACATCATCATGCCAACTCCAATGCTTTATTGAGGGGTACGACGGCGCATGCCAACATCGAGACCAAGGGGCTTGCGCAGGAAACCCTCACGGGTCTCCATGGGACCCTTCTGCTCAATCTGGAACTCGAAGAGGCGGAAGACAGTAGCGCCCATAACGAGAAGTTCCATCTCAGCGACGTTCCGGCCAACGCAGCTGCGAGGGCCGTAGCTGAAAGGAATGAAGGCGGCCTTTTGGCGCGGGTAAGACGGTCCGGGCTCCAGCGCTCGGGCACGAACTCTTCGGCGTCAGGACCCCAGACCTCCTTCGAGCGGTGGATCGTGTAGGTGGGCACGGAGAGGATGTCACCGGGGTGGAAAGTGTGGCCACAAATCTCTACGGGAGGGGCGCCGGCAGGGATTTCACGGGGAAGACCCATGGCGGAGGTACTGTGGATACGCATGGTTTCCCAGATCACCCACTGCAAGTAGTCGATGTCCTTGACCATGGCGTGAGTGGGGACCTCGATGTCCTTGGGAATAGCCTCATCGAGGGCCTTGTGCAGCTTTTCGATAACACCCGGGGTGCGTTGGCACCAGTAGAGAATCGCACAGGCGGTGTTGGAGGTGGTGTCGGAGCCAGCGATGAGCTGAGTGAGGGCCTCAGCTGTCAATTCCTCACGGCCGAGTGGGTTGCCCGTGTGGTCCTTACCCTCCATCAGACGGGCGAGCAGGTCGACACGGGTGTTGTTAGCCATGACCTCGGGCTTGGTACGTTCACTGACACGAGCGATAGCGATACCAGCCAAGTCAGAAACGGCCTGGACACCCTCGGTGAAGAAACGGTCGGGAATGTACTTGGCGAAGGGGATCAAAGATGGCATGCAGCCCAGGGTGGCAGAGACCTCACCACGGCGGTTAAGCACCTCGACGGCAGCAACATACTTGGGAGGATCGTTGGGGCTCTTGCGGACCTCAGCAATATCCTGACCCTTTTCGAGCATACCGAAGGGAGCACCGAAAGCGAGGTCACCAATGATATCGAAGGCCAGGTAGTTGAACCAATTCAGAGCATCCAAGCTGGCATAGCCGGTCTTGGGATTACCTTGCAGCTTGGCGAGCTTGGTCCACTGCTTGACAAACTCTTCGACATTGTGATGGATATACTGTTCGAACTGGCCGATGGACTTAGCACTGAAGGTGTGGGAGACCGTCTTGCGCTTGCGGGTGTGCTCGGCACGGTCGCGAGTGTTGAAAAGACCACGGCGGATGGAGACAAAGGCATCGTAGAAGTCCCTAGAGAGCAATCGATTAGCATTGGAGTTGACACGAACTATAGGAATTAAGAGCATAACATACGTCTTCAAGAAACCGTTGCCGTGTCCGTAGATGAGCGGGATGGCGGCATCGTCGGCGATGGAGACCTGTTTGGGAGCAATGCGAACGAGCTTGCCATACTTCTTGATGAGCAGAATCGACCGCCAAGAAGCGTTTACCCTGGCGAGTCTGAAGGAACAGCCAGAAATTGGTGAACGCAGCAAAACTGGGACTGGGGATATCGTGCAGACGCCAACGCTGGAAGTAAGGACCAAAGAAATAAGCGAGGGCCAAGCCCACGATGATGTATGGTGCGTTTTCGAGAGAGAGCAACATGGCGAAAGTGACTGGCGTCTAAGTCCAGTGAACCGGAGATGGTAAAGCGAAAAAAAAAGACAAGTTCAGCAATAAAGGCGGAACGTGGTAATGCCCAGTCGATCACCGACAAGGTGGGGATGGAATGGCCGAAAGAGTCGACACCAGTTCAGAAACGGATAGTCGAGGCACAAAGTCGTAGTCGAGGTCAACGTTGCATCACTGGTATGAGGTAGATGACGGATATTTATATGTAGATAGTCATGGCCGACTAGACATGGCTCTCCCATGCCAGAACGATCCCCCGAGGTCTAACCGGTCAAGCGGGAATGAGATCGGTATCTGGGGATGCGCTGCTAGTGGATCCGCGGGGAGCGTAGTGCCGTAGTTGACGACCGAACTCGGTTATTCCTCAAGCGGCGGGTCCACCTTTGGCGCCAATGATCTTCGGGCCCTCGCGGAATTGCTGCTTTTGTCAGACTTTGACTTTGCCCCGGAGACTGACGATGTGGGGGAAACACTTTAGCACGGGGTCAGGTGGTGTTCCTGGTTGTTACTTTGGATAGGGTTGAACATGACTCGGGGCGTGTGGTAGATGCATCGTATGCTATGCTATGTTATGCTAAATGATTATGCCATACGTTATGGAGCTCATATATCCTACATCGTATATTAAACATCACACATCGTGCATTATACATCCTACAACGAGAGCTTCAGCTCTCACCACTCTGCCACGGGAAACAGCCCATTGCGCTTCTTCTCCGCCTCCCACCGCTCGATCCACGCCTTCATGTTCTCACGGCTCTTCGCACTACCCACATTCACCGTAGGAATTACCCGCCCAATCCGTAACGCACAACAGAACATTGTGAGTTCCCGGAATGAGCTGTGTTCGCTGTACGGTACCCCGAAGCACGCGCTCTCCCGTGTGCTTCCGCGTTGCGGGGTCAGATCCTGTGCCGTAAACGGCGTGCGCCAATGTTCGCCACGCAGTACTGTGGGCACCGGAGGGTTTTGCAACTTGCGGCCAGCAGGAGGCCGGTACGACCATCCCGTGGGACGAAAGCCGACTACCCGGGAGAAGTGCGGTTTGAGCGGGTCGAGGTAATCGGCCAAAGTGTCGGCTCGAATCTCAAACAAGGTCTGCATATGCACCTGCGCTTCCTTGGGGTCACTCGTCAATAGCGATGAGAGTTCCGGGTCCTCTAGACACTTGCAGATCCGCTGCTTCTGCGGTGTGGCGAAAATCTTCGACCCCAGAGCACGTGCAATGCCCAGGCAAATTCGCTCTTTGCCGATGCTGTAGGTGCCAATGACCACCAGCAGGCGACCGTTGTTTTTTGACGGCTGCTCCTTGTTTCGGTTATCATTGCCAGTCACTGATGACAGAAATTTATTCATGAGACCACTAGTACCATTGCTCCCGGAGTCGAGCATCACGCCAGCCTCCTGATTAAGGCGGACACAGAGCTCCGAGCAAGCCGCAATCACGTCCTCTTGGTTGGGAAATGCATACTTCGGGTTGAGATAGGTGGTATCGAGGTAGCACTGGTCAATGCGCTGTTGTCGCGGCTGGCCAGTCGCCGGGTTGATAGGGTCAGGTCGGAGCAGTGGATGCTCAACTTGGGCGGGGAGGCACGGAAATCGCCGCAGTGAAGGATCCGTTGTCGTCGAGCGTTCGGTCCATCTCCAAAGCTCTTCTCAAAGAGAAATAGAGAGCTGCCGGGGCAGTGGTTGGCATGTATCATCGTGACCTGCACTCCTCCGGTATTTGGCACCTCGAAGGTGGTCTCAAACTCCAAATCAATAACCCATTTGGGGTCGACTCGGAGCTGCTGTCGAACCAGATTGCCTGTTGGTCGGCTACAGTAAATAGGTCCATGGCACCAGGACTTGCTCAGTCCGATGTAATGATCGCTGTGGAAATGGCTGAGAAAGTAGGCGTTGCATCCCTCCACGGCCCCGAAACGAAAAGCATCAACGCATATCGAAAACCCGGGCATGATCTTGTAAAACGGACAGGTTCTTTGATAAGCCTGATTACCCCGAGAAGACGCCTCGTTGGAAGCCGCTGCAGCCCAGGCAGTATCTTCTGCATTTCCGGCCATCAATTTCGAAAAAGCCGATCGTGTACCAGCGGTACTTTGTGTATATGGGTCGCGCTGCGCAGGTCGGGCAATAGCAGCACGTTCAATTCGCGTCATGCTTTTATTTGAATCCGGGGGAACCGGAATTGGCTTCGGCGAAGGGATCAACGTGGGTGTCGGCGTAGGTGTATTCGTAGAACTCGGTTTACCGTCTAAACAATCATTTACATGGACTGAGACATCCTATTTTTAATTAGTTTGAGCGCATGGTTGGTGGTACCAAAGGAACTCACTGTCTCGCTGAGTCCTGCTAGCGCTTCCTGGCATATTGGACATGTCACACCAGGATCGGTCTTTATATCTAGTCCGTTCATATCCTCGACATCGTTCAAGTCGTCGAGTTTTAGCCCCTCTTGGTCTTCCCACGGCCCCTCTCGAAATTCGTCTCCTACTGGTTCGTCCTCTTCAATATCGTCAAAATTTGCGTATTCATCATTATCGGTAAGGCTCATGACTTCTCTTACCACTGGCGGTTGTTCGGCAGGAGGGTCCATGGCCGGGTCGTCATCAAGTGCGAACAGTCGATCATTCGTTGTAGTCGCAGGGGCAGGGGACATTTCTTCCACTTCGCGGTATGCTTCCATGTCGTCTTCGCTATCTGACTCATCGATGAACGGCCCGCTGGTTGCAGCATTGACTTGGGCCGAGGATTTAGCTGACTTCGGTACATCCTCAGTCTTGACTGGTGCTAACGGAGATTCAATTTTTCTGCGCTTCGACGAGGAACCATTCTCGTTATATCGATGGTCGTCTTCCTTCAGAAATCCATCATCGTCGCCCCAAATATCTTCGGGTGTTCGTGATCGAGGTCGGCCATTTGTGTTAGCTTCTGACGTGGCTTGCTCAAGCTTGGCTAGTCCTTTCTTGTCTTCCAAGAACAATGCATTTGCCGTATCGTCCTTACTCGGGGTGACTGCGCCGCTGCTCGAAGAGCGAGAAGATGTGACGAATTGGGTGATTCGAGGCTGGGATGAGATGGCACCGGTTGGACCATCTGATTTCTGGAAGAAGCTCAGAATGCTCTTATTGCGCTTCGCTGAGGACGGTTTAACAACAGAAGGGCCTTTGGACGGCGTCGACGCCTTCCGTGCGTTCGAGCCCGCCATGGCCCGCGGGGTGAGATCGGCAGGCGAGATGGCAAATAACCAGATTAAAGAATATTCGAAGAGAAGAAGATGGGCTATCGAGATTGCACTTGCTCTAGTGAGGTCTCGTTGACTATGTACAGGTCGTCGTACGTTGTGCACACAAGGGAGAAACCTGAGTGGCGTGTCGACGCGGGCAGCGCGACACGAAGTCACGTGCCACGTTGCATCCGTGACTGAGACTCACATAGTGTCTACAATCTACAATTCAGCCGATGGAAAGGGCCAGAGCTAAATCCAGAATCGATTAAAAGGGTATTGAAAAGGTATCATGGGCAGTTCATATCAATGGGCCACAGCGAGTGACACTTCAAACGTTTTCGCAGAGCCAGAATCTTCAGAGAAGAGGCTCCTTCAGAATGCGAATTATCTCAAGCGAGCTTCAGTGCTGAGATCGTAGTGTAAGTGTTCTGCCGCAAGCTCCTCCTCGCCTTTTCCGTGTTGGTGACCATCGTACAACTCGATGGCCGCACAAGCTGCCCATATTCTCTTGCTCTGGGCATCACATGGTGACCCAACATCAAGCGGCATTAATTGATAGATGTTCGAGGTATAGCTGTAAAGTCGTCGCAATTTAGCGGGCCTTGCCGGCTTGGTTGGCAGCCTCTGTAAGACACATGGAATGTTAGCGCACGCTCACAAGAAATACAGGACGACTCAGCAGCAGCCAAGGGCAGAGTGCCAAGAGCAAGCACCTCTGACCGGCCATCATGTCTCCCAGAAGCCCCATATGCGGGACAAGACAAAGCGCATCACTTACCCCGCCGTGTAGCATCCTCGAGCAACCCCACGTCAACCTCCGAGCGTGGCAGCATCACGTAGCGGACCACACTACCACGGATGAACATGTTCTTCACCGACGACAGGTGGGGGTACTGTGCCAAGTCCAAGACCTCGACGTCGTCGAGCTTGATGTTGAGGTACTGGTCGACTGACTTCAAAATACCACGGATGCGAATGTCATTTTTGAGCTCAATGGTGACGGTCTGATTGGTGAGGGTCTTGAAAAAGCTACAAGACAGGCATTGTCAGTATGTAGAGTGGTAACAGGCTCGCGCAATGGGCTGTCCAGGTACCTGAAGAAAAGCATGACGGCGAAGCGAGAGCCGAGCGGGATGAATGGCGATCGGGGGTTAGAGATTGCGCTAGGGCGAGGTAGTGTCTGCTTTATCAGCCACAGTCTCGGATTGGTCAAATCGTGGGCATAAAGTGACGGAAATCGAGGAAGATGCGCTTTGCGATGATGTGGAGAGCAGCAATGGAGTAACGAGGGTCATGTGATCTGCCCCGAGTCTTGGTGATGCACCTTCGACGTTCGTAGTTACCCAGTCACCTACAGGTATCAGGATTCAGACTCTGCTTTAATTAACCTCCCAATCGATCCAAATCACAGTAATTCTACAGGTAGCGTCTTTGTTTGTCAACTTCAAGACTTTTGTGTCGTAATTTGTGGAAGAACATGAAGGCTACCATCCATGCAATATATATTTCTGCATATCGCAGCCTCGTCATCGACATCTCACTTCCAGGAATCTAAGGCTTGAGTATGAAGCTTGCAATTGGCATCATTCATCTCGCATTACATTAAAGGGGTTGGCCACCTGGGCACTAAATAACTACTAAGGTAGGTACCTAAATCAAAAACAAATCATTGCACTTCAGATCATACCCAATTCATTGGGCTGGATAGTCTTGGTGCGCTTTGGCTTCATCGCCCATCCGGACAAGCAGGTCCAGCCTGCTCCGTTCTTCCGCCCCTCATTGAACAATGCTCCGAGACCTTCAAGCAAATTGGCTCTCTCGCGGCCCATTTCCAAACGGAACTGGACAAGCCACTGCTCCCACATCCATCCACCAAGCAGACCAGTCATACTGGCGATATCACCCGTGCTGCCAATTGGACCTTGCACAGCCTCGTACTCTTCAATTTGACTTGGCACGCGAGGAGCAGGCGTCTCTCGTAGTAGCTGCGGCTCGCTGGGCTCCATGCCCACGGGCAGGAACATCCAGGCACGCTTGATGCCGACATATCCGCTCTTTCGCAGACGAGAGAGAAAGCCTTTTGAGGCACTGGGGTCGTAGCCGCGCGTACGCAGGTTGAAAGCAAATTCAACCGATGATGCTGAGGCATATGAACCGGCACGAGAAATTTCGGCATCGAGGACCATATACTCGAGGAAGCCGCCAGGTCGAAGGCAGCGGAGACATTCCTTTAGGACCAGGTCATATTCATCCCGATCATGTCCAGCAGGTGCTTCTGTCTTTAACAGAGCATGCAAGGAGCGTGTGCTGATCACATCAAACTTGCAGTCGCCGAAAGGCAACTCCCACAGATTTGCAACGGAAAATACGCGGTGGTTGGGGGGTCCCTTGATACCGCTGTTCATGATTCGATCCTTGGTGACGACCGAGTAGACAACAGCATTTGGGAAGTCAAGGGCAGCTTGCCAGGCCCACTCGCACGAGACATGACCACCCAGGTCCAAGATCCTGACGGTACGGCGTCTGGGAACTCCTGAATGAGGAGGTTTCTTAGTACGTGCAAGTTGCATCCCGGCAGGACTGGTGAACAACCTCCCACCGTTCAAATACCGTAGAGCATCCATGGCCCACATGGGTTGACAAAGTTGGGCGAGGACGAGTTGCTCCTTCTCAAGTTTGGAAAATTGTGCTTTCTCGGCGAGGACAGAGCTGATGATTGATTTGCGTGGCGATTGAGAGAAGGGACCCTTGTATGCAGGCCGCTCTGGACTAATGAGCTCATATTTGCCTATCAGGCAGTTGATGTGCGTATCGACCAAGCCCAGTCGGAATGATTGAATCGCATCGAAGCGCACATTCCGGTGTAGGAAGCCATCTCCCTTCTCCAATCGTTGCCGAAGGGATTGGAAGCCTCGCCAGTAAATTGAATCCTTGCTGGCAAGGACCGGTGGCTTCGGGCTGATAGTTTCCGGAACGCCTTCAACAAATCGGACAGCCTTCTTGGCGTCGATATTCTGTTGTTCAACAGAATCATCGAGGACAATATTTGTGAAGTCCTCTTTGGGATCAAGCTCGTTGACGGGGTTTGTCTCACTGAGGGCAGAAAGGTATGACGCTTGAGCAGCGAGCCAGACACTGGTTCGATCAAGGCTGGCAGCAGCACGTTCCTGGAGCTCGTGGTCGTACGTCTCATCATACTCATACACACTCTCAGTCTTTGTGATCTCTTGGACTGCCTCGAAGCTGACACTCATGGGACTGTCCTGATGAGCGACTGGGCGAGTTGGGGTGTCACATGGAAGTCGAATGGCAGTTGGAGGGCCCTCAGCATCTCGAACAGCAGTGATGGGGTCTCCCTGAGGACGTTCCGGCCACTCAATTACCTGCTCGACAACCTCTCCTTCCTCTCGCCGCCATGGTAGATTGTAGAAGCCCTCGGCCACTGCTGATGATGGAGGCTGGTTGTGGTTCGGGATCGACCATGTGTGGCGCGCACGAGGGGCGAGCGAAGCGAAAAAGCCCCCCAGGTGATGGAATACTCAGCTCACTGAAGCTGTAGCCGGACAGATCTGACGCTGGTGTGACACCATCAGCGCTGCGAGGTCGACTCGAAGATGCTTGGAGCTGCCACATCTCATCATTCCCCTCGGATGTTTCAGACCAGGCCTCTGGAGTACCGTTGAGAGGGATGTGATGCAGCATCGCCAGTGCGCCATCCGGCAGGTGGATGCCCTGATCCGACGGGGTCGGTTCCCGGGAAACCTCTTCTGGGTCTTGAAGAGTGTTGGGAATTTGAGGGAATCGACCAAGAACATGGCGCCAATCATCCTGTGGGCTCTCAATCGCAATGGGCACCTCCTGAAGATCATGACTGCCGTCTTCATTCCTGAGGTCTCCATCTTGGCTTCCTTCCAAATCAGGCCGCACATGAATATTCGGCAAGTCCCAATTGGTATCCGGTAGAGAGTGTGTGTCGGGAGTGAAGGCGCTCAGGTTTGACTCCTGATCGGATGATATGCTTCCATCAAGCGAGGGTGGAGCATGAGATGCAGGCACTGAGCGGGCAAGCATCGAGAGCGCCAACGGGGAGACAGGAATCTTGGGCGGAGGAGTCGGAGGAATGGGCGAACTCTTGTGAGTTCCATTGATGGATGGCCACGTCGTCGGCGAGGGGATTTCCAGAGTCAGCAAGCGCTTGCGACTACCGCGACTGCTCGTCGAGGTCACCGAATTCCTTGTGATCGGTGTCACCAAGCTCCCGGGTCTGGTGCCCGGCGCGGAGAAGCAGGTATCGCTGATTTCCGTTTCGTCATCCGCCGAGTTGTCGTCGTCGGTGGCATCGTAGAGGTCGTCGAATCCTTGCATCTGTTGCTGCCACTCCGTGTCGGAACAGGACGAGGTTGTACATGCAGAGAGCGGCGACATGAGCCGGGCAAGTCGAGCATTCGTAGGCGCGGATAGCCCACTGGTCTTCAGCGTCAACTTGGGGCTGGTCACAAAGGACTTTCGCCGGGGACTCGAGGCCTTGCTTGCGAAGTGTGATTCGCTGGTATCTTCCATTATGGTATTAAGCACCGTCCCCCGGGCCTGCCGGAGGGGAGGGCATCGTGAATTCGAGAGGCGAAGTGTATCAGCCATTGTCGCTCGCTCCTCTATCCTCAAAGCTTGTTGTTCTACTGTATGGGTATCACTCCGAAACTTGCATCAACCCCGGTCAACGGTGTTGTATTTAGGGATCGGTTTTTGTTTTTTAAAAAAAATCGAAGATAAAACAAAGTATGAAAGCAAAATAAAAAGAAGCCACAGCTACCAGAGCATGCGACCAGAAAGGATCAAAACCAGAATGACGAAATGAAGGACGCGAGACGTGATCCAGGGCTACGGTCGTGGCAAAGGACTATATAATCTCGATCGGATGTGGTCTACCCGCGGGGGAATCGGGGGTTGAGGAGTCCATCCCTGTTCATGGTCATCCGGTGCAGAAGCTACTGCAGGATTGGGCACCACTAGTTCCTCCTCCTCATGAGATCGCATGTTCATTGGCGAAGAACGTGTGGGCGCGTCGCCCAGTGACAGATTCCTGCCTATGTCAAGTTAAGGCTGGTCAATATGGTGTGAAATCCAGTTGCCCACCACGAATGAGCGGACAGCATTCTGTGACGAACCGCGTGCGCACAGGGGAAGAAGCCAGTGATTGGCAGTGGCTAGGCGCCGAGGCTTTTATTTTTAACCCCGGTTCCGGTCCGTGCGAGGGCAAATATGCCTACTTTGAGCCTACGCGCCCGTAGAAACGGGCTAATTAATGGGCAATGATGCAGATGCGAGAGGAAAATGAGGGGTAATTTGGGTGCGACGTGAGCACAATAGCCCTGAGCCTTGATCGATCTTAGCCATTCTAGTTGATCACTACGGTTGCAGTGGGATTTTGGACCTCGCGGCAGATTTTATCGCGCCTGAGTGAGAATGTCTACAACACGTTAGGTGGATAAAGCCTACACGCCCCATCCAGAACATCTTGATGCCTGCATATAGACGAACATGACGAGGCTATACCAACACCTGATCGTCCCACGCAATCCTTAGTTCCATGTGTAACATAATCAACCACAAAAGCAGCTCAAGTTGGGATCGATCTTGGTAATCAAGGAGATAGAGACTTTTCAGTGATTCTATGCATAATGATTTTGAATGTCGGAGGGAAACTCCATCGCGATGATCTAAGCTGCTTTTGCGAAGCCTTGACTGATTGATGCTGACTGTGGGACCGCCATGGCTAGTCTCAAACCAAGGAAGATTCCGGATCAAGTGAACCTGATAGCTGAACTGGGACCAGTCGTTGAATAATCTAGGGTCTACGTTCACGGAATGACTCCTGAGTACATAATAAACTCCGAAGACATGAAGATGCAAACACAAGGTCCTGGGCAGGGAAATGGAGAGACGATGTGCAAAATACGAAGTCAGTTGAAGGAGTCAGGGTCGGCTAGCTTTAGTTTGGATAGAGGAGGCCACACGTCGTGCTGCTATCCACAGATTGCGTTGATTTCACTTCAGTTGACCGTTGAGGACATCACTTCGGTCATCCCCCATGGACTGCTATCTCAGGCACGTGTACGAGACGCGGCCCGAAGAATGCGGCGGCCCCGGCGGCATCTGCATGGAAAAGGTCAATGCAGAACGGTCGGCCAGAGAGCGCCCCCGTCATAGCTGTGCAATATTTACCCCGTTCCGCAGCAAGTTGAGCGAATTGTAATGCGAGCTCCGGCTTTTGACACTCTAGGAGCCTGGCAAGTGGCCTTGCCCTTATTGGGAACATGATCAGAACAAGTCATTGAAACAAGGAACCCGACCGGGACGACCAGGACAATCGGACGCAATGGGTGTCGCAGATGTAGATCCGGCCACGGCAAGTAGTCCTGGCCTCGACACAGATTGTTAGAGAGCGTAATGATGGAAGTCAAGTTTAGTATCACAATTAATGACTATCTGCTATTGACCTCTCTAGTGGCGTGAATAGGCTTTCCCGAACGAAATATATGATTCAAATTACGGCATCAAGCCCACGAGGTCATGCTAAGCAGGGACGTTGGGACAGTTCAGATTTAGTTCGTGAATGGGGAGTCCGGAGGACAGTGCGCCGGACGTGCACAGACGGGAACCCCCACCTACCGGGATATCAAAGAAGCGGTTATACTGGCGGCTTTGGACAACGTTTGGAACGTCTCTAATGACCACAAGGTCACGATGGTGCCGTCATCATCGCACGAGGCAAGTACTGGCGTGCCATTTTTATACACCAGTGTTCATAGACACGACCTTGCTGTTGATGTATCTGAACTTGGTCACCGGTTGACGAGACCAGCGAATAGCAGTCTCTTGAGTGCTGATTAGTTCATGGATACGTAAAGCCGGCACACGGCAATAAATATGGAGGCTTAGAGGGGCGCAGGAGGGACCATGAATGATTGGCGGGAGGAGCCAAGATGGCCAGGATCCCGGAGAGCTTCGACACCAATTCCAGGCGTTTCCCCCCAATAACCTTAGCTTGGTAAGGTTTTATCGCGCCCAACCCCTGTCGGATCTTTGAGGTCACCAGACTTGATGAATTTTCCGACTTGGACGGAGAAGATGGGGAAGATGGAGAGAGTTGGTGACCCCCGCGGAATGCCCGTTTGGGGACATTCAAGCATTTCCACTCGGGGCGCATTGACTTGCTAAGGGAAAATGCCATTAGGACTCCATCCAAGAAGACCATCCATGGGCTATGGATGGAGCTGGATACGTTGGCGTCATCCATTTAGATGGACAGCTGCAGAACTAGCGCCAGGAGGGTCCAGATTTGCAGCGAAGATCGATGGACAGGCCAGCACGTGAGAGGCGGAGCCCTGATCGACCGGTTGCATCATCGACCTTTTTTTTGGGGGGTTTTCTGCTCTTTCGGATCCAACGCTTCACAATCCATGAACTAATTCAATAAAGAGCCTAAATGAATCCTATTCGGAGGTGTCCGAGATCACAAGAAAGTAGACCTCAAGTTGCACGTCTGTGCCAAGGGGATCGCAATTGCATCTTACGGTGTACCCGGGATATCCACCTTGGGTTGCCACTTTGCCTGATGTAAACACGATAGGAGACAGCTTCATTCGGATTTAATCCTCTCCCCCCTCACCCCCCCTCATTTCCTATTCCCCCTTCCCCTACTAGACTTCATCACCCCCGCCGCAAAGCCACCATCATGGCGCCTCCCGCAATTATCGCTCCTTCTATCCTCAGTGCCGACTTCTCCAATCTCGGCCATGACTGCTCCCGCAAGATGGAGGAGGGCGCCGACTGGCTCCACGTCGACATCATGGACGGCCACTTTGTCCCCAACATGACCATTGGATGTCCCGTGGTGTCACAGATTCGCGGCTGCGTCGACCGCCCTCTCGAGCCTGGTGCCCGCGGCACCTTTGATTGCCACATGATGATCATGGAGGTATGTCCTGAATACCCTCCGAGCTGTCGGCACATGCCGGATCCCCCGCTAACAAAAGCTCATTAGCCTCACAAATGGGTCAAGGAATTCAAGAATGCGGGCTGCGATCTGTACTGCTTCCACTACGAGGCGGCCGTCTCGTCCGTTGCCGCGACCGACCCCACCGACAAGACTACCACCGCGCGCACCAGTCCGCGCCAATTGATCAAGTATATCCACGAGCAAGGCATGCAGGCCGGTATCGCCATCAAGCCGGATACCCCGGTAGACGTGCTGTGGGACATTCTCGAGAGTCCCGAACTCGCCGAGCGACCAGATGTGAGCTCCCGACCCGCAATTCTTCATGGAACGCCTACTAATTCCAGAGATAGATGGTCCTCGTTATGACGGTGCATCCCGGATTTGGTGGACAGAAATTCATGGCCTCGGAGCTCCCCAAGGTGGCTGCGCTGCGCGAACGCTACCCAGACCTGAACATTGAAGTGGACGGTGGACTGGGCCTGGGCACGATCGACCAGGCGGCCGACGCAGGTGCCAACGTGATCGTGGCCGGCTCAGCAATCTTCGGCGCCACAGATCCGGCCGAGGTCATCGCCAAACTACGCGAGGCGGTCCAGTCGCGCCGAAACAAAGCCTAGGGTCGCGAATCGCCAAAAACGGGGTTAGGGTGTTTTGCTGATTTGGTCCTCTTCTATCGGACATTGTTTTGCGGGATAGGGTGTATAGGTGTATTTCGGTAATGAGCTACGAATGGCATTCCACGGTGACGCTGTTTTCACAAGTATGGGACTGAATTGGGGAAGCGAATTGGCTCTGGTATCGTACTGCTTACTGAGAAGAATCGACGGCACGTAACTATGCGCAATGTACAAATTCATCATGTCGTAACGGCGACCTCTCACTCCTGAACCGCGGGCTTGACATCCTCTGGTTCCTCTTTGGCATGATCTTTGGTCTCGGCTCCTTCCTTAGGCTCGTCCTTTGCATCTTGCTTCACAGCTTCCTTGGTGGCCTCGACATTTTCTTGAACATTCTTGATCTCGGGAGCAACAGCAGTAACATCTTCTTCGAGCGGAGTGGCCACCTCTTCAATGGTACCGTCCTCCGCTTTCTGCGCGGCCTCCTTGCGGAGCGCGTCAAGGTTGCCAGACGGGTCTTCAGCCGTAATGGACTTCCGAATATCGCTCACAACCTTCTCCTGCTCCTCCTGATCGATCGTCGAGATGATGGAGCCCCGATGATGCTCGACCAGTCCGAGCATCTCCGCGTTGTCGGCGTGGAAATTAGCCGACGAGACGGCTGCAACCTCGGGTATGAGAGGTGGACGCTTCGCAGCCTTCGGCGAGTCTGATGCCGTCTCAGGCAGTTCAATAGCAACCGAGCCACGGTGCGCCCTGCTGTGAGTAGGCGTTTCGGTTTTCGACTCTGGGTTGCACTCCGACATCGACCCCTCGGCAAGCTTTTTGTCGTCTGTCTTGGTTTGAGCCTTGCTGGCAGCTTCCTGGCTAGCCTGGCGCAGTGCTAGAACAGTCTTATGGTCTTTCTTCTCTTCTTGCTTGGCGGCAGATGGGCTCTGGATTGTGATGGTTGAGGGTTTAGGGGCAGTGGGTTCGGGCTCTTTAGGGGTTGGTGTAGGCTGGGAGGGAGGAGCGATTGGGTTGCTTGTAGCGGGCATGCCGTCGACATCCTGGAAGCTGTTGACAACCATGCGCAGCTCGCCAAATTCGTTCCATTCTTCGATTTCTTCGAGATCCTGCAGGGGAAGTGGGGGTTAACTGTAGCCCAAAAGAAACAGTGAGGGGTACTTCATACCCCGACAATGTTACCGTATTTCACCAGCCCGGGCAGCTTTTTGCCCTTGGATCGTCTGCCCCATAGTTTTCGGGCAGCTTCATCGGTGGCGACGTCAATGGCACGGAAAGGGAGTTTGTTGGCCTTCAGGATGGTCTCCACACGAGCAGTAGCGGTGACGATGTGGGATGACCCTGCGGTCAGGGAGGTGTAAAGGTATAGTGTAGAGTCAGACATGCTGATGGGGAGAAATTTGGAGACCGAAAGACTCTGGGGTCAAAGAGAGGGGGGGGTGGGTTGAAAATGGAGAACACTAGAACAATTTCATCGAGAGAAGTACATCTCGTGCTGCCCTGAACGCAATGACGTGGTGATCACGTGGTACCTTTCATACTCCATGAGAAACACTAAAGTACTACGATGATTGCAGCTTGTTTGCCATCTGCTTGACCCATTGTTCAATTTCTCCACAGCTCCAGAGTCCCCCCGCCTGCTTGGTAGCAAAGGCCCCGAATGTGGCGACTTGACGTCAGACCGACCCTCCACCCGGGGACAGTACAGTACTGTCAGTGTCCTGCTGGAACATTCTTAGGGCATCAAAGAGACCTTGGTATACACAGGGTTCGACGCTATGGTCCAGCTCCCAAGGATCGGAAGCTAATGCGCATATTGATTAAAAAATGTAAATGGTCATAGTCTATGGAGCTGTTCTCGATCTGGATGCCGTAACGGGCGCGAGGTGCGGGTCTCTTAGGGGTGAACGTTCATCGCGAACCTTGGAACCTCAAAGAGGCACACACCACGTCGGACAATTACCGATATTCTCCCCCTTTTTCAATAATCAATAAATATTAGATAGCGGGACGATAGTCGCGCCCGACAGAAATCCGAGCTGTAGCCTAAATAGGTGAACTGAAAATTGCAAGTCGAAGTATTGAGTCAAGCGGCTCGAGTCGGCTTCGACTCTATCCAAGCTTCTATGGGAGAAAATTCAGAGAATTCAGAGATACGGTGATTAGCTAGTAACCAGTCAACCCGAAACCACAGCAGACAATAGGCGCATCTATATCTGATGCCCTGGCCGAGGCTCAGCCACCATTGTCATACTTGACGGATTCAGCCTGGAGCCGCATCGGACAGGCAAATCACGGTAAAGGCTCACGTGGTCAGGCTGACCACAGCCTGTCTCGTGATTGCCCTCCCGCTGGCTTCCAAACTGGACTGCGACTGTAAAATGAGATTGTGCGCCAGTCGTGGGGATTTTCCCGGCCGGTAGCCCGAGCCGTGTCTCTGAAATCCGCTAGTTGGAGGGGCTGCGACTCCATTCAGATGGCATTGGCAGCACGGCCTTGTGACGCGCCACCTGCACCATGATGAGAAGGTCATCGCCAGGTCTTAAAGCGCAGACAGCGCGCTCAGAGTGAGAGAATGAGATATACATCTCTGGCTATATTCGATCAGCCGTGCAATCTCGGGCCTCGAGTGCCTGACAGTGAGTGACGCTTAAATTTGGCGATATAGAAAACCGCATAGACCCGGATGAAAGGTGTATGGTAAGATCAGGCTGGAACCCAGCGAGTCGGAAGGAGATCCAGGAACATGGATGGGACAGTCATTGCGATGCATCCTGCATCCTGCGTCCACGACATTTGTCTCTTAAGTGCATGGACTCTGGTCCAAGTCAACGTCCTAAGATTAGCAAGCTACCCGAGATGTAAAGCCAAGGTGTTCCGGTGATCATCACACGGCGCAGAGGCGGTCATAGAGCACACGAGGCATCGCACCAACGAATATTCGATCTGCAGTGGGTAGAGAAATATCGTCATAGCAAGATCGAAACAATACAATGACGAGATTGCGCGGTAGTAGGTCACTAGTCAGAAGCCGCACCACTGGCCCTCAACTGGACACGGCACGGAATTGCAACCCCAGGGGCACACTGCGGCGGATGAGAACGGACAATAGACGATCCTGCAAGCGTTGACCGGACACATCAAAGTTGACAGATAACAGTCACGCTGATTCGACCGCGCAGCCCGTAACCGGATTGGGAGATCGACGAGATCACAGTCGTTGGGTCGAAAAGCGTCGATCTATCCACTGTCTCTCTCTCTGCCTATAGAGGTCGTTCTCATCAGATTCGCTGAAACGTCGGAAAAGGGTTAGCAGAGCGTCGAGCGCGCGAACGAATTAAAAATCGAGAACGGTTGAAACAAAAATGGGGTTGGCTGATCGTAAAGATAGAAACCATCGTTTCGCTAGCGTCACGATCGTCCCACCCCGAGTTCTTCCTTCTTCCCCCTGAAGGATGAGGGAAACGTGCCGCTCTATATTCCGCTGGCAGGTTTCACGGAAGGAGACTCGACCCATGGATGGCTCCCGCGGTTCCCGTGAGGGTTCCATGAGTTTGTTCGAGGGCTCGGAGTCCTGAGAAAGGACTGGAGTACAGGCACATGGGCGTCAGCTGCAGGGCCCGAGTACTTCCCAGCGCGACGTGGCAGCGTGAGGATGGAGTTGGGCGTTAAAGGAGGGTTGCGGGGCACCTTGTGCTCCAGTGTCTCCCGTTCATCTTTCGGGCTCCCGCTGTAGGCGCTCGGTTGAACCCCCTGATTTGCGTATTGGAACTCGGGAGGGTTTCGGGGCGATCCGGTTCGCTGCCTCACTTTGTTCGCTGGATTTGCTCTTCGTCACCACTGCAGGGTGGACAGCCAACCATCCGTCGACCTAGCGTATCAGCCGGTTGAGTATAGCGAGTGCTGTTTTATGGGAAATGATAAACGGTCTGGACCTTTGGGCTTGGTCTTGGGTTCAGGCGTGGGTTTGGGCTTTGGGGTTAGGGGCCCACAGCCACAAGTGGAAATGTATAGCACGTCCGTCCTAAGAGCTCGAATCGTACCCCGTATATGGTGGAGTTCGCTTCCTTGATTCCCCCAGGACTTTTGTCTCTTTGTCTTCTGTCCTTCACTGCCCAAATCTTCCCAATCTCCCCATTCGCGATTCTAGTTTCGATCTCTATAAACTCTCCACCCGCCGAGGATCGAGCTACCACGATTGTGCTATCGAGCTATCTGCTATCGCCTGCCTATCGAACACGCAGATCCCATTCTCCATCTTCTGATAAGATCCAACCTACGTATGTCGCGCGCGCAACCTGAGTGGTTCTATAGCTAACTCTGGCGGAGATTCATAAATTCCCCCCCCCGTCTTCGTATATACTGATACACAGCTCTCCTCGCCCTGGAGGTGATTCCCTGTCTGCCATGACCTCCAATCAAGCCGATGATGAACTGTTCACGAGGGCTATCTCCGGGTATCGCGACGCATTTTTGGTCAGGCACTCCCACCTCCCGGAATTCGAACGAAATCGACTTTGGAGGCAACGGATCAGCGCCTTCATCGACCATCCCGAGAAACCTGGCAAACGCTCTCGACAGGATGCTACCCCGCGGACGCTTCCTTCTGGTTCTGGTCTACCGCAGGCGAAACGGCGAGCCACCGTACGTGTGACCTTGGTCTCTTGCTCCCGCCCTCCTTCCCGATCTTGATCTTGATCTGGATCTTGACCTTTCATCTTCATCTTCATCCTCACCTTCACCCCTCGCCAAACCCTGGATTGACAATTGGCAGACCCCGGACTTGCCCATGAGCGTTGAGCTCCGGCGCACCCTTTCGCAGTCCTCCCCGCAGATGCCACGAAAGGTATCTCCCGGATCCTATCGACACACGGCCATGGTCCGCTCCCAGAGCCAGCACATCCCGGTCTCTTACTGGCATCCGTCAGCTGGGGCTGGAATGAACGGCAAGCGACAATCTTTCGGACAGACTCGGACTCCGCAACCGCTTGACCATGTCGATGAGTATTCGCCTTCTGACTATGCGAAACACCTGGATGAACCCGATAACCAGGCCTATTCTTCGGCGCTTACACTTGGGCTTGCGACACATGGATCAAATGGACCGACATCGTATCCCCATCTTGGACATCCATCTCCTCCGTTGACCGACTCGTCCCCGGCCACAGCTGTGGGGATGACCCGCAGCGCTACAGCGGACACCATCATCGATGGCTTCGACACCTTCCAGTTCGACTCAAATGAACGTGCGGATCTGGAAGCCCATTTCTCCATCCCCCCAGAGTGGGTGCCCACATCCACTTCTGGTCTTTCGTATCATGAACCCTTCCTTCCTGCCATGTACCCTGACTTAGATTCCGCCGCGTTCCCATTCTATGCGCCATCCTTTTCCACCTCTGCACCCCCGACCACCTCCTTCCGGCGGCCCCTCCCGTCGGGTCTCCCTATGATAGAGTCCGTGGAGATGAAACCATCGATATCCAATGAGAGCCACAATTCGATCGAGGCGACCCCATCTCGCGCAGTACGACGTGCGCAAGAGCAGATTATACAGGCAACTCGTCCCATCGCACCCAAGCAGGAGTCGCAGGAAAGCATCGTTGTGAAGAGCGATCGATCCGATCCGCATAGAATGGTCCGCATCTCGTCTACAGACGGCACGACGAGAGAGGTGGCAGAAATTCCCAAAGCCCCAATCCAACGACCAGCACGAGCGAAGACCTACTGTCATCTCTGCAACGACCAACCCGAGGGATTCCATGGTGAACACGAATTGCGACGACACATCGATCGTGTGCATGCCACAGTACGCAAAGTGTGGGTGTGCGTGGACATCTCACCCGATAAGACATTCCTGGCAAATTGCAAAGCCTGTCGCAACGGCAAGAAGTACGGCGCCAACTACAACGCCGCAGCGCACCTGCGACGCACGCATTTCAACCCCTGTCAGCGTGGCCGAGGCGGGCGCGGGAAAGACAGTGAAAAACGCGGCGGTAAGGGTGGAGGCAACCATCCGCCGATGGAAGTGCTCAAGCACTGGATGATGGAGACGCAAGAGATAGCCGATGAGAAGGTGGTGAGCAGCTTCAGTCCGGCGACGCCCGGCGATAGACAAAAGACCATGTCTGGCGAGAACAAAGCGCAGAAAGACCCGGGCATGGATCCAGCCCTCATGCATGGGTATGATTCCTTCCCCGTGGCATCGTTTGATTTGGATGCCACGCGGGACACGCCGTACTATCTCGACGGGCAGTCGCTCCCGGAATTGGAGTATGTCATGTGAGCGATCGTAGACTTATTCTTCTTCACTCCTCACTCTTCATCTTCATCCTTCTCTCATCTTTTCTTTTCTTTTCCTTTTTTTTTTCTCAACTATATTTTTGCCGTGGATACTTTTCTCTTGGATCCTTTATGAGCAGATAGGGCTGTATATGAGGGCTGGGCACTTGGGATCATATTCGGCGTTGATAGGTTACACGTACTGACAGATATGAGAAAGCGCTAATGATGAATCTAATCGAGGGACATAGTCACAGATCTCAATTTACTTCGTGCCATACCTGTATCCATATATATCAACAAGAGATAGAATAGGAAATAGGGGATACGAAATACGCGATACGTGATACGGGAGACTGAAAACTGAATACTGGCAATACCGCAAATACCAACATAGGCAGCAACAAAACGGGCGGTGAAGACCCGTGGCCGATCAGCCGGTTCGCCCGACGAAAGCTCGTAAATGGAAAGGATGGAGATTCACGATGGACCCGCGGGTGATACGGTGGCTGGCCCTCGGCCCAATGACTCTGGGCTCAGTGGAGTCCTCTGGCGTCGAATCGTGGCTGACTGCAGTTGGGTACAGGTTACGTAGGGCTGGCCGTACAAAGTGTTGTGGCTGGTGTACGATACAATCGGATTACAGCGAACCCCGGATGAGCTGAAGATTTCTCCACGATTCTGATCGTATCGTTGATTTCCAAACATTAAGATCAGTCAACCGAAGTAGAGAAACCTGTACGGTACCGAGTGACGAGAACTCCTTTGGGGACGTGTCAGCGTAAGGGTACAGTGTACAGCTCCTATTTCAGCCCTGTTGCCAAGTCCAGCTCCAGCACCTTAACTGCTGCGTCAACAAGGTTCGGTGGCCTTCGGTAAACTTCGTCTCCTCTTCCCTTCGCCCTCTGTCTTTCTTTTTGACACTTTTCAACTCCCTTCGCCTCGCTCCCCTTGTCGCTTACTATTAGCGGCTTATTCTCCCGAGCACCCTAGGTATGGGCTTGAAACCCGTCGCCCCTTTTTCCTCGTCCCGGCCCGACTGCTTGCCCGCTCCGTCGATGGCTTCAGCCTTGGCCGTTGGTGACTAGGTTGCTGACTTGTTCTCACCAGTTCCTCAACAATCTTTGAAAGTATCAAAATGGCTAGCCAGGGCTACTATCAACAGGGACCTCCTCCCCCGGCCCTCCCCCTCAGGCGTAAGTCTGCACGATCCGCACGGTTTCATTCTCGGTCTCGCGCGCGATCACCAGGAAATTCCTCGGACCATCGAACCCATCGAACAACTGGGAGCATTTCGAAATCATGGGGAACTTCTGGATTTGGCCGACCGCATGCCGCGAATCGCGATGCGCATCTTGCTGACTTCTGATTTGGACACAGCTACGGCGGTTACCCTCCCCAGGGCGGTTACGAGCAGGGCTATCCTCCCCAGCAGGGCTACTACCCTCCTCAGCAAGGCGGCTACCCTCCCCCGGGCCAAGTGAGTTGAAGTCATCTGGGTTTCCAAAAAAATTCGGCCGCTAATACCAATGATCAGATGCAATACCAGCAGCCTCCCCCGCCTGGAAACAAGGGCAACGGCGGTGGTCAGGGATGTCTCGGCGCTTGGTGAGTTAGAAACCAATTCGTAAAACTGTAACGTCTGCTAATGCAATCTGATCCAGCTTGGCCACCCTTTGCTGCTGCTTCGTCTGCGAGGAAGGCTGCGAGTGCTGCGCCGATTGCATTGAGTGCTGCGAGATGTGCTAAACTTCCTGACCCACGACCTCAATGATACCTTCTTTTCTTCATGGCGTTCAAGTTTTCCAGGTCCGCCCGAGCAGTGATCGGGACAGATGCTACTGCACTCCTTGGATTGCGACTATCTCCTTGTGTCCAACCTCTCTTGCTGTCTCCAGATACGTTACTAAGCTTGAAATTCAGTTTAGCTGATGTTGAATTCTCTCCGCTACGTGCTAATAATGCTTTTTTGTCCATGAGATCTCGTATCAATTTATATTGCTCTGTTCACCGGGAAATTCCTAGCAGAAATTGCGATTTTTCAAGGTCATCGTCCGTCGCTGAATCTTTACACCGTCTCAAGCTCTCCCGTATCCCTTACATTTACCCACAGAATCAAGGCTTTCGGCCATTAGAGTCCTCTGTGAGATCAGAGTTTCTCACAATAGTGACTTCACCACTGGAGTGGCGTCGTTGAATTGGCACGCAGCCCATGGCATCTTTGATCTCTCGAATCATTGGATCATTCTTCGGCTCCCTCCGTATGCTGTAAAGGCCGCCGATGATCTTTTTTCCAGGAAAATACCTCCGGCGTTTCAATATCACGTTGCATCGCTCCAATGGAACAAAAGAAGTTATCAAGCGAGTGCCAGGATTTCTGCAGTGCGACAGTATTAGTCAGGAGCTGTTTGAGCCTGGAAACTCATTCCCTAGCATCTCAAGGCGCCCGTAGTATGAACGACTCACTTTTGACCCGTCCAGTTTCTGACGAATTCACGACTCTGTTCAACGGTGTAATGACTAGAGCCGAGTGCCTTCTCCCCGAGACTAACGCATTCAGTCATCAAAGCAAGAGCTTCGAAGTGTCTACATTGAAACCTCAATGCCAATGCCATCTGGTGCATATCTCGGAGGATAGTGGGATGCCCAGGGCCAAGAAACTTTTTTGCTCTCTTCAATGCTTCTGCATACAGCAGCTCTGCATCTTGGAACTTCCATCTTTGCATGTATATGCCTGCCAATGTAGTCATTGCAGAAGTTGTACAGAGAGTGTCTGGCCCAAACATTTTCTTCTGGATAGCCAGAGACTGTTGTGTTAGCTCTTCAGCATTCGATAGTCGCCCTTGGGTGAAGTACACCTGAGGGAGGGTAAACATGGCAGACAATGTATCTCCATTTTCTGGACCAAACGTCCTCAAAAAATACCTGAGTGCCTGCGAACCAAGCTCCTGGGCCCTTTGCAGATTGTGTACCGAATCTTTCAAGGCTCGCTGGCGATGTTCAAGGCTTCCTCTCATTCGATAGACAATGGCCAGATCCTGCACTGTTCGATTCGTCTCAAGACATTGGAGACCACTTGTCGATATTCGATGTTCTAGGATCTCTTCGAATATCTTCGTCGCTTTTTCAAACTCCTCAATACTTTGATAGGAAGACGCAAGATAGCCACGAGTCAGGAGAGAATTCTCGTGGTTGTAACCAAACATGCTCTCGGATTTCTCTAGCGCTATAGTGAGAATGCGGATAGCTTCCTTGTATCTCCCATCACCATTCTGACAGAAGCCAATAGTTGACAGCAAATGAATTGCGTCTGCAGTTGCCGGCTCGTTTGAGGTAAGGTGAATTGTTTGAAGTGCATGCGGCATGGCTGCACGCCATTCGCTTCGGCTTGTGGGATTATATGCTGGATAATGCCTGCTAATAGGACCCAGAGTATAGATATGCCAGGAGTGAAGAGAGTTCACCGACTTGAGCCAATTCGCGGTTGCAAGCTGGATAAGGCGATGCATATCAAGACGGGTACCGGAGTGATGTGAGTGAACAAAAGAATAGGAACACAACAGGCCAAGTGCTTTCTCTCTCGCGACAGACTTTGCCGGCGGAAGTAGCGAGACCGGTATGTCTTTTGTATTGATGCATGCCATGAAGGCCATATAACAAAGGCCAGGCTGTTCTGCCGCCGAATTTGATCAAAGGACGTGAGCCATGTTGTGGCAACCGGATTCTTGATGCTTTTATATCTTCCTTCATCCTCGAACTCTTGACTGAGAAGGTCGATGGTGTCTTGCTCTTGTCCATCGAGGAGTTTGACGTAACTTGAAATGTCCATCAAATTTTCGTTCATGAAGGAAGCAGCCTGGACAATAGCCAAAGGAAGGAATGTCAGGCGGGCCAAAAGCTTTCTGGTGTTTTCTTGGTCATCACGAGAGATTTGTTGACCAGCAAATTCTTCAAGACCTTGGTGGCTTTACGCTCATCCATCTCTGCTATCTCGACGACCTCGGTGGATGCCAGATACTGTGCAACTCTGTTACTTCGCGTGGTGAATACAATAGCCCCTTGGCCGTCGGTTGCCTTTGGGAGATATTCCCGGAGACCCTCACCTCCCGTCTCAGAGGATAAGTGCGTCCACATACTCAAGTCATCCGCATTATCGTAAACGAGAAGCCACCGTCCACTCTGCGGTCGGCTGAGATGTTGTTGCACCGCTTTCTTTACATCTGTTCCATCTGCGTTGGAGGGTTCAATGCCCAACTGAGATGCAATGCTTTGATACGCCTGCTGGACACTTTCCATATCCACAACAGGGATCCAGAAGATGGAACAGTCCGGATAGGTTGCCCTAACTTGGAAAGCCAACTCCAAAGAAATCTGGGTCTTGCCTACCCCGCCAAGACCAACAATGGCAATTCTTTGCATTTGGCGGCCGAGGAACAATTTCCTTTTTATACCACCGAGGAGCTCTCGGTCAACGAATCGATGGTTTCGCTCGAAAGGAACTATCCAGCATGGCACCCTACCCGGGACGGATGGGGTTTCTGAACATTGAATGGTTTGGATGACTTGACTTCGGAGTTCTTGAGCTTCGTACGCCTGATGAAATTGAGCTTTCCGTCAGCTTTACCTCTGCCAACACAGGACTTGACGCTTACACGCATCACAATGTCGAAATCAAGATCCGTCTTCCCTGCAAATATGACGCGGCTCGTTAGTGACTGCAGAAGCAGAGGCCCATGCTTACGTACCTTTCTTGCTCAGGAGATTCAAAACACAATCTCGAACACGGCCTTTCTGAGACGCATGGTGTAAATAGTCATATGTCGCCGATTCAATGACACTGCGCTTTTGATAGTCCGTCATATGAACGTCTTGAAGTCCCTGCTCAACATTGAAGTGACAGACATGTTTCTCTCTGAGCTCCTTGCTCCATCGAGCCATGAAACGTTGCTCGGTACTTTCTGGTTTCGTGGCCATTCTGACCAATGTTTTGGAGAGAAATTTAAGCATGTTATCATCTATGGGTGCCTTTGCAGGGGCCCCAGTACCAATGGAGAGAAAGCATTTCACCAGTGGTCTCAAGACCCGGCTAGTGGTGCACCATATATCAGCCGCTTCCTCTTCCACCTCTTCCATCGGATTGTTCGCTCCGAAAGCACCATCCACAAACTTTAAATCACCGATGGACACTGCCTCGAAGAAACCTGTAGCTGCAGAGGTTGCCAGAGCTGCTTCGCAGATTGTTGCGGGAATGGTGCCCTCATTTGTCACATCATAACTTCGTAACCTCGCAATTTGTAGCGTATCCTTTGATGTGGTACACACAAAAGCTCGGCAGCGGCGAGCCTGTCCATTGTTCATCAGCTCATTCGGCGCTGCCCCGGCGCGCTCAATAACGTGCCCAATTGCATGTTTGAGCTTTGTGCTGTCGTATTGTGCACGAATGTTTCCCGCCCAGTCAACTGGAAGATTATTCAACTTCTGGCCAAAGATCAAATGCATTAGTTCACTGTAGGCTGAAATGCATTCCTCGATTCCCATCTCGAGTCTTCCCAGCATTATTGCGATGAGTCTATTCAACATTTCGAAAAATACGTTAGTTCTCGCACGTTGCTATCTGGACGCATCTACATACCCGCCAGTGCTAGTACCTCCGATCAGATCGAAAACATCGCATGGCTTGAGAGGTTCCTCATGGACACGTTCGTAGTTAAGCTGCGCCATGATGTCCCGAGAATGTACAGCGTGGATAGCCCTCTTACTCCGCCGCCGTCCAGTGACAATAAACAAAGTCCATCCGTGTTGAGCGGACTCGCTCCGCCTATGTCCTTCAAGGTCATTGCGGATGGCATTACTCTTGGAGAAAAAAAATGATTACGGGGGCTCAGGTCATATGGCCATTTTTAATCCATGGGGTCCAGACATCAACGACCTAATCAGACGCTGTCCCCGTCCAATGCATGGGAGGTCGGCGCTTACGTGCAGCCGATTCCAGCCCACCGCCAATCGCATCGCCAGGCTTGCAACCAGCGCTACAGCCAGGGCGATGCGCCTTCGACTCCAGATTGTATGTCTCAGAGGGGTGAAAATAAGATAATGGCATTCTTGGGTTGGACGATCCAAGGAGGAAGTGTCACCTGACCATAAGCTCGATACTTTCGAGGTCCGGAAGTCTGTTTTTGCCTGAAACGCTCCCTTGAACTTGGAGCGCCTTTGGCCTCAACCTGAGATCGAGGTCAGATCTCGATCAAGGTGGGTCAGACGGTGCGAAAAATAACGTCTTACGTTCGGATTCTTCATTGAGGCATCCGACGTTGAGTTTATTCACCAGTGTGAATCAAGTCCTGAGGGATTATCCGAAAATGATCGAGCTCTAAGACCACCTCTTGGAGATAAAATGCTAGACCAGTTCCGATGAGAACCGACCATCCCATTACACAATTCTTACTGTACTCTCTCGGTTGCAATTAGATGCACGGGATGGTTGTATCCGTTGCTATTTCCATTTCCGAGATCTTCTAAATCCAATTACTTCGAATATACAAGGACTCTAATCACTCACCTGACCCAAAATAGTCTAGAGCTCAACGAGCTGGACTTTTGCCGCCAGACAAGCAACCGGGCTCTTGAACAGCGAAGCTCTGTCGGTGTGGGGATGAGGAGAAGGCATTCATCCGCCCTGTTCCATCATTCATTTCCCCTCTCATTGGGCGTATTTACCCGGAGTTGCCCCGGACTGTGACGAAAGCCCAAGCCATTCGGAACAGTCCACCATTGCTGGGGGTTCCTTGCAGTCCCCAACGGCTTGATCATTTTCCGCGATTCGGCGAGGCTGGAAACCCCCTGACCGAGCCTTCCCGCAGGGATCTCATCACTACATATGCGCTAATTCTGCCGGTGTTGTTCCATGCTTGGTCCATATTGAGGGGTCTTCTTCCAGCCCAAATCCCCCTCCTCGAGGATATTTAGCCTCTCCTCAAGGAGATTTACCGAAATGGGACATGCAATATCGGCAAGTTTCGGCCTAGTAACACAATGTGGCTTCAAAAATGGAAACGATCGACTACGAAACATTCCAACCCCTAGGTTCTTGCTTGTGTACGCGGAGGGGTTATGGGATAGTGGCAGCAAGAGCATGGCTTGGAAATAATTAGTTGTTTGTCCTACTGATTTCCGGTCACCTGCATAAATAGTCGCGGTGGCCTCCTACAAGGAGATAGTATCTGGTCGATTCTGGAGAGAATCTGCAGGCCGCATCGACTGGTATACAGCAATAGACAGCACCATGTTGACGGAGTATCTGCTTCTACCGCTTCTAGCGACGTATAGCGCGGCAGTCCAGATCTCTGTAGCAAAGTCCGGGGGCAATGCCACCTCCAACTTGCAGTATGGTGTGATGGAGGAGGTATGTCAAGGATGATTTGAAGGCAGGCCAGCACTGACAGTACGCATAGGAGATCAACCACTGTGGTGAAGGTGGCCTCTACGCGGAATTGATCCGCAACAGAGCTTTCCAAGGAAGTACCACTTATCCATCTTCTCTGGACGCGTGGACTGCTGTGGGTGATTCAACGCTCTCAATCCACAATTTGACTAGCCCACTTTCCTCTGCTCTTCCAACTTCGGTCAGAGTTTCTGGCAAAGGGACCGTAGGTCTCTCTAACGATGGATTCTGGGGAATTGATGTGCGGCCACAGAAATACTCTGGATCCTTCTATGTGAAGGGTTCTTACAAGGGCTCGTTCACAGCCTCTCTTCGCTCGGCCACTAGTGGAAAGACCCTGGAAAGCACCCAGGTTAAATCAAAGAGTACTGCAGGGAATGGGTCAAACATGATTTCACTTTGATGCCGAAGACAACTGCTGCCAATACAAACAATAGTTTCTCGCTTACGTTTGATGCTTCCGTGGGTCTCCGTCCTGGAGTAAAATACCAAGTGGGACTTGACGCTAACAGCTGCTAGAAAGCATCCGGCGGCTCCCTTGACTTCAACTTCATCAGTCTGTTCCCACCGACTTGGAACAATCGCCCCAATGGCATGCGACGTGACTTGATGCAGGCTTTAAGTGATTTGGGTCCAGTGAGTTTGCTGAATGGATGCCCGTGTAGGGACATGGTATACTGACTAGGTAGAAATTCCTTCGCTTTCCAGGTGGTAATAACCTTGAAGGAGATACAATTGATGGCCGCTGGAAGTGGAACGAGACCATCGGACCCCTGATAGACCGACCCGGTCGTGCAACGACTTGGGGCTATGAAGAGACCAGTGGCATGGGATTGGTCGAGTACATGGAATGGTGCGACGACCTTGGCATGGAGCCCAGTAAATATTGATATCCAACCCTCTATCTAGCTCAACACTAATCTTGGATCTCTAATAGTCCTTGCGGTGTGGGCCGGGCTTGCTCTCAATGGGGATGCCGTCCCGGAAGCCGATATTGATATCTATGTCCAAGATGCCCTAAATGAGTTGGAGTTCTTGACCGGATCTGTTCATACAAAGTATGGTGCTCTGCGTGCCAAGTACGGCCACCCAGATCCTTGGACCATTCGGGTATGTCGAGATTGGCAACGAGGATAATCTCAACAACGGACTGAGCACATACGAATCATACCGTTTTCCTGCATTCCAAAAAGCTATCTCTGCCAAGTATCCACATATCCAGGTTCTGGCGTCAACTATCGACATGACTTTACCAGCGTCGGCTGGTGGTGATTATCACATGTATGACATTCCCGATAACTTCGTCACCAAGTTCGATATGTTCGACAACTATACTGACGAGCATCCGATTCTTCTCGGTAAGTCCCGACAATTTAACTTGGAATTGAAGTCATGCTGACGGGCGGGGATCAAATAGGTGAGATTGCTGCGACGGAGTACAACAACGGTGTTGGAATTGACTGGAGCGACACGCACTTCTCGCTGTGTCCTTGGTGGATTGGCTCAGTCGCCGAAGCTGTTTTTCTTCTGGGCGCTGAGCGTAACGCCGACAAGGTTATCGGAACAACCTACGTAAGACACTCTACCCATGCTATGTGCAGTCTAGCTGATGAGTAATAGGCGCCATACTTCATGAATTTGGACAGCTATGAATGGTCGCCAACTATGATCTCTTTCAATGCCAACCAAGATGACACGGCCAAATCAACCAGCTGGCATGTGTACAATGTAAGCAGGTCCATATTCAGCCCTCTTCTTTTACTCATGCCTTCTATAGCTCTTCAACAAGAACCACATGACCAACACTTTACCTGCCACCTGGGACGGCACATATGGTCCGCTGTACTATGCTGTCGGTCTAGACAGTGCGACCGACTCTCGCATCTTCAAGGCAGCAGTGTATAACAGCACCACCGAAGTCCCAGTATCGCTTACCTTCGACGGCGTTGGAAGGGGCACAACGGCAGACTTGACAATCTTGACCGCACCCACCGCGTACTCAATGAACGAGGTTGGAGGAGCCAACATGGTGAAAAGCCAGACCACCACAATCAAGGCCGGCAAGAAGGGCGTGTTTAGCTTCAGTCTCCCTAACCTTAGTGTTGCCGTACTCACGACCAATGCTTGAAGCGGTGGACTTTGATTTTCCAAATGTTGTAAATAGGAAAGTCGACGAATGAAAGATATAAGCTCATAACCAAGAGAGACAACATTTTTTTATCAGGCCTTCTAAAATCTTCCATCCTGTTGCTTTGGACAAAGTCGAGATAGCCATTCATATGACCTCGGTAAGTCTTGGAGACCAGCACAATCTACATCCACTGTCCCGAGGCCATCTTTCTTTTCTCCCTTGAAATTGTGTGGATTGTTTTGCAACTTAACCCACGATATTGGGTGCCAGTGACTTACCAGATTGGTTCGAGCTTTCTCACTATAAAAGCTGTACCTAACCTTTTGGATCATCCATGGCAAGGGAGTTACTTACGTCCCCCCAGCTCTTTCCAGGCCTTTTCCGCGAGTGAAAAGAGCTGCAGCGCTTGCAATAAGCCCGAACAAGGCAGATGCACCGAAGGACAACTGAATGCCACGGTGATATACCAGACGCACGGCCATCTGTACGTCAGGGAGCAAATCACGGACAGCCGAAACGGAATGACGAATCTCATAAATCACCTGACGAGAAGGAGAATGGCAAGTGATCAGCAATTGTTCGCGGGTAAACCTTTGAAAGATCAAGGCGGGGATGTACTTTCCATTTGTCTGGTAGGCCACTCAAGGCCCCGGCGAGGCCAGAGCGCAATGTATTTTGAACAATCGCAGAGGTGACGGCGACACCCCAAACATTCCGAGGGATCGAATGAGGTATACGATTGATGCAGAGATGGCGTGATCTAGGCGAAAAAGGTAGAATAAGCTTGGCTCCTCAAAGCCCACTAATGATCTTATATCTTTAACTTACCGGCATGGTTGAAGGCGGCAAGAAAAGTGAAAAGTGAAAAGTGAAAAGAATGCCTGGATAGACTATTCCTTGTCCCAGATTGACAGGAATAATATAGACGAAATACTTTCAGCCAGAGTCATTGAATTTCTCAAGTTAGCCACTTCGTTTGTTCTGAAGGCTGACATAGTCTACCCATCGTCATCAAACCACCTCCAATACCAGTCAACGCACGCATGATGTTGAGGAGAATGACATCCTTCGCACCAGCGCATCCCAAGCAACCAGCCATGAACGATATAGTCGCGGTGAAGAATCACACGCGTCGGCCAAAAATGTCCAAGAATCGGCCGTACAGCGGCTGAAATGCTATGCTCGTGATTAGATAAGAGGTAGTCAATTAGGAAGCGGTGTTAGCGGCGTTGAACTCGGAACTAATAACGGCATACGTTGATGCTGTAATTGTGCTGTCGAAGCCACCGAGAAAGAAATTCATCATGATTGCTGTAGAATACTCGATTAGCTTCTAACTTGGCCCGATGACCTTTGCTCATTTATACATACCAAGCTCAATCCATAAAAGGCTGGTGGTGGTTCCCATATTGCGGATGCATCCGACTGCAAGAGGGGCTGTTGCTCGTTTGGCAAAGTGATTATCGCCTCTTCTGCATGCTCTATGCTATTCTGCACCAAAGTTGCAGACATCGTGTCTTCGGCGCAGTGTTGACTGGCCATGGCAGGGTAAATTAAATCGCGCTCAAATGTTCAGTCCAAGAACGCAAATTACAAGCTTTTGCATGTTCAAGTGTCAAGTTCGACCACCAAAACGAGCAAGGGCGAGAAAGAATAAGAGTCAGCGATGAAAAATCATCAATCTTCCGGATGTGTTGGGGAAAAACCAAGCATTGACAGCAGAGCGGGCACTCAATTGGGAAGTGGGAAACGTCTATCCGATCACGACATATGCCATGCATCTCGCATTATCCATACCCGTTTACATGACGTTTGACCTACTGCATACAGGGCTTCCAGTCTGACTTTGAACTTGGCTCACCGTCCTAATGCCCAATTCTGATTCCAACATCACGCGCAGTTCATGGAGTAGACTGGTGACGAAGAGAATATGTCCTTGTTTGAGGACTCCGCTCACGGGTCTGAAAACTATCGCGACCATGAAGTTCATACCCCTCCAAATCCTCACCACCTCCCTAGTTCGTTCAATATGTCAGTCAAGTGGTGGTCAAGCGAAAATTAGCTGGTAGGTAGCTCGAGTAGACAAATACGAAGAAGATTAGCGTATTTCCTATGAGGACTGAGGTAATTGAACACATGGCATCAATTTTTTTTTGGGTGCTATGAGTTTGGAGGGTTCAGCAGGTTATTCACTGAATATATCCCGCGAGTTATTACATGAGAAGCGACGTTCAATGGCCTTGGTGTCTTGCTGGGGAGTCGACGTCCTCGAGATCCCCATTACCTGAGCAGCTCGGGGTGCGATTGCAATCGTTCCAATAGTGCGTCTCATTTGCGTTTTCGTTTTCAAAAATCTTTGTTCTAAGCTGCGTGTGTCATATTAGAATGCTATGGGCCATTTCAATGACAGAATCCGGTAGATTTTCCAGCACTAAATCATGGATCTAGTGTGCTGACAAGCCCACTGCGACTAAAAGCGCATGACTCGGGATGTCGGACCACGTATCGCCCCTTGCTGACTTGGTGTCAGACATACCGTCAGACACACTATCGGGAAGCGCCATGTTCTGTTCCGTGAAACAAAAATTTCCAGGCGCTTACTTCGACCTACTGAGTAGGTCGAACTCTTTCACCGCAGGCGATTCCATGCAAATGAGAGCAGGCGTGAAGTTATGGGTGCAAGAGGCGCGTTTCATGCACAAAGATCAATCTTAAATCTATGGGCAATCATGAGTCACATTCTCCCATTGATCTTCCAAGGATCAGCTCCTCTTGTCCCCGTAGCGATAAATAGGCTTCGTCTTCATTCGGGTGGCTGAAACGGGCGGCGTTGAATGGCTCATTGCGGTGGAGGCTGCCAAGTGGGCGGTCGTGGGGGCCAAATATGACATTCGCCCTTCTGCTGGCCGTCACAATTGCCCGCCTTCGTGGAGAATCTTTCTAGCTCACGGTACATGCATCACTACACTCACCACAGATGAGAATAATGACGACTTCAGATTCAGCGGGAGCGATCAGTAAACGGCTGCCAGACAAGGGGAGCTCGGACAACACATCTCCGCGGCCATCATTGGCATGTGGAGTCCAAGTATCTGGCACGATCCGGTCGGCGATCCTCGGGCCAGGATTCATCCACCGTTGATCAGGACCGGGGAAAGTGGGAGAACGGGAGGGACGAGGGTGGCCCGTTGGCTCGCAGCTTCTTCTCAATTGGGATTGTTCGCATTGAATTGGGATACTGCCCCACTTCACCGCATCCTTGCCTCAGCCTCCATGATATCTAGATCCATAGCTTCATCTCTAGAATAATCATCTATCATATCTCTCATCATTCATCTTCTATCTTCACAGGTTATGAGCCCTCTGCTCTGTTGAGGCTGTTTAACCACAGTCCAACACCCTTCACCAGTGCTTTTCACCTCGCCGTCGCCGACCTCGCCGCCGCGAGTGTCGTGCGAAGGCCTTTTCTTATTCAACGACCTCGACCAGAGGCATTTTCCATTAAAGACCTTCATTCAGGCACCTTCTACGGTCTCTCTTGCATCTCTCTGTCGCTATAATAGCTACGGACGACTACGGCAAGATCACCGACCGTGTGAGGAAGCTCAAAGGCTCCCAAAACTATTCCAACTGGCTATTTAAACTCAAGCGAGCTCTCAAGTCTCGCGGTGTACGCCACTGGGAGATCCTTATCGGTGAGGATCGTCCCCAATTCACTTCTTATCGCACTGTCCCCAGCGAGCGCACGCTTCGTGAGCATATCGCAAAGGAACACAATAACAGGGCGTTGCGTGAGTATCGACGACGACCACGCTCTCTTTCAGGCTCTCATAAGGATAATAAGCCGCCGGCCACCATCTTCCCTGACACACTGTCTGTTCAGGAGCTTGAGGACTTTATTCATAAGTATTACGATAAGCCAAACAAGGAATTTCAAGAGTGGGAAGCTCTTATATTCACAGTCCTTAATATCTTCGTCTCTTGCCTCGATTACGACCTAATACAGTATGTCAAACAGACTGAAGATGCTTCTGAAGCCTTCAGAATTATTAAAAAGCTGTACGGCCGCCCCACACAACAGACTATTGCCACTAAGTGGGCAAAGCTTAAGTCTACCGTCTACAAACTAGGCCTTCAAAGCGCACAGTTTATGGCAAACTGGCAGCGTACCTACGTGGAAGTAGACCAAGCACTAGGCGACGAGTATCTTCCTGTCGCCATTCAATTCTCTATGTTCGTCCGTGCTATAGGCTTTCACCCTAATGCCACGGTTTGGCTTCAGGGCACCCAGAAATTCGACCTAAAGGACGACAGACTCATAGAGAACGTCTTCGCTGACTTCGGCACTGCTAAGGACCAGCGCTATAATAGCACTAAGCAACATCCTACCCTTTCTTCTAACACTACAAAGAAAGGTGCTCAGCAGCAGTCCTCATAGTAACAGACTTCTCGGCAGTCCTCCTAGCAATCTGGTTACCAACAGAAAGACTATTCGGGCCGACAGCAAGGTCATCAAGCTTCGCAGACTTCCAACAATCAGGGGGGTAGCCAAAGTAAGTGGTTTTATACGTTCCACAATAGAAAGTCGGCACATACCTCCGAGCAATACTTCCTCAATCCCGCAAATACCGGCAAGTCCTTCAATAAGGGCACCACCACGGCAAAGGCGACTGCGGAGCTTCCAACCAGCCCGGAGGATATATTTATTAACACTGCTAATGTCCAGATCGATTCTATCGATATCTCCACAATCTCCACGGCGAATGCTAGTCTCAATCCACTTCGTTAGATGCTAGATTCGGGCGCTTCACACCATATGACGCCAAACCGTCACGCTTTCATCGAATATTCCCTATGCAGAGTCCCCGTGAAGGCTGCAAATAGGAAACGCTTCTACACTTAGGGCCTAGGCACCGTCAATCTGACCACGCTCGGTAAGGACGGCCAGATCATTAGTTCTATCATCTTGAAGAACGTCTGGCATGCCGAGGACCTCGAGAATTCCCTCATATCGTGTCGCACTATGTTCCGCGACGATGGCATTGCCTGCACGCTCTCTGACTATGTAACCCTTACAAAGGTTAGCTCCGGTGAGGTCGTGGGCTATAGAGACGCCGACAATAATCTTTACTGGTTACGAACTGATTCGAAGCACTAATTGGAGACCTTTTATGCTTCCGCAACCTTCACGACGTCCGCCACGGCTTCAGTGGTGCGAGCTATGCCTATAGAGGTTAAACCTATCTCTATAGACCTCGCATATCGACGTTTCTGTTATGCAGGCGAGCAGCGCGTTCGCCGCATGCCTACCTTCGCGGAAGGCATCAAATTAATCAAAGGCTCCGCCCTAAAGACTCTATGTCCTCTATGCCTCGCTGGCAAAGATTATCAACTTCCGTACGGCGATAACAAATCCATCCGCGTCCGTCCAGGCGACTCTCTGCATATTAACGTCTGGGGACCTATTTCTATTGCCACCAAGGAAGGCGAGACCTATTTTATGTCTATCACCGATAAGGCGTCCCGTTTCTGCTGGATCTTCCTTATAAAGGCCCGTACGGACGTCGTCAAATGCTACCAGGTCGTCGAAAGCTACCTTCTTACCTAGTTTGGCTACCAAGTCAAGTCAGTATATAGAGATTAGGCCAAGGAATTTATCGGTCCATTGCAAGCCTATCTTAAGTCTAAGAGGACTACCTAGGATGCCTCACCGCCGTATACCCATCAATTAAATAGCATCTCCGAGATCAAAAACCGCTAGCTCGTCGAACCACTTATTGCGGTGCTCACCGAGCACCAGCTGCCGCGATATCTATGGGGAGAACTCATTCAGGGCGTTAATTACACCCTTAACCGTCTATAGCATTCCAAGATAGAAATAACTCCGTACGAGGCACTGCATAGACGTCAACCCAACGTTTCCAACCTTCGTGCCTTAGGCTATTAAGCCTAGTATCTCATTCCCTCGCAGCGCCGTGAAACCAAGCTTTATCCATATATGGCCGAAGCCCGCCTGCTTGCTTACCAGACCGATAGTATTTACCGTCTGTATGACATCAAAACCAAGAAGATCGTCATCTCTCGCGATGTCATCTTCTAGGAATTGCCACCCACTGATCTGCCGAAGCCGTCGTATGATCTGGATGCAATACATAAGCCCTCGCCTAATCAGGCTATGAATATGGACGAGATGGAGCGCCAGCGACGTCGCTTCGCCCCTGCTAAGTTTCTTCCATTTGCCGACGATTATCATACTGACCAAACCTTCGATATCGACCAAATTGAAGGCTTCGCGGAACACTAGGACGATCAATTCATTAACCATGCTAACACTTTTCGCCGAAATAAGGCTAGATATTCCCCTCCCGCAAGCCCTCGCGACCGTCCTTCCAGTGCTCCCGAGCTTAATCCTTACCTCCCACCAATCAGCGATAGTCTTTTCAGACACCTTCAACACAGACATAAAGGAGTGGAGGCACAAATTAAAGGGGGGGGGTGTACGGGATTTGCAGGCACCACCATATATTCCCGTACGGGTGGGCTTAGATGTGAATGATAAGGCCTTAGATACTGTATCCTTTGGTCCTACATCGACCCTTCATAATCAGGATAAAGTGTCTTTGCACCCTTCGGACCCTATTCCATAGGCCATTTCACCAGTCGTTCCACCCCATCCAGATGTTTTTATTCGACGGTCGGAACGCCTTATAGCGAAGCATACCCTTGAAACTCATAAGCTTCAGGTAGAAGAATCTTCTATCCTTATGGCGCATGCCGTCCTTCCTGCGGTCGATAAGTCATTGCCCTCTCGCCCCGGCGACCCTTACACCCCGGACACCTGGACTGAGGCCATGGCTTACCCCGATAAGGCTAAATAGCTTCAGGCTGCACACAAGGAATTGAAAAATCATACAGATAATGGAACATGGCGTATCATCGACCGCGAACGTAACAGAAAGCCCCTCACCTTACGCTAGGTCTTCCGCATCAAGGATAACGGCATATATAAGGCTAGGTTAGTGGTTCGTGGCTTCCAACAAGTTCCAGGCCGGGATTTCCTCGATGTCTACGCCGTCACTGCCCGTCCTATGAGCTTTAAGGTCTTTATGGCTTTGTATGCAGCTTATTCATAGGATTACTATCATATTAATATTGTGGCTGCATTTCTTAATGCAGACCTGAAGGAGTCTATTCAAATTAAACTTCCTAAGATTATAAAGGACGACCACCCAGGCAAAGTTAGTCTTCTTATGCGTAGCCTTTACGGCCTGCGCTAGGCTCCTCTTAAGTGATATAACACCCTCAAAGGCGTTCTTCTATCTCTTGGCTTCACGCGCACCTATACTGACCATTCTGTTTTCACCCATACGGGCAAACGCATATATATCCTCGTCCATGTGGACGATATACTTCTTCTGTCCCTAAAGGGGACTGGTTCCATTAAGCTACTGAAGGTTATCCTTTCGAGGCACTTCCAGCTCACGGACAATAGTATTATGAAACGTTTCCTGGCAATAGATATCGTGCACCTCGCCAGCGACGTCTATCTCTCGTAGGAAGCCTACATCGACAAGATTCTGTCTCGCTTCACCTTTTCTTCTGTCAAACCTATTCAGACGCCTTTTAACGATAAAGAGGTTCTTTCCCCTTACGATTCCGGTGCTCAGGCTACCCCACAGATGGTACAGCTTTACCAGGAGCAAGTCGGCTCGCTCGTGTGGGTGGTGGTGTCCACTAGGCCTAACGTCTCTTAGGCAGTCTGTAAGCTTGCGAAATATTCACACAATCCGTCTTCTCTGCACTTCCAGGCTATCAAACGAGTCTACCGTTATCTGAAAGGCACCAAAAGTCTATGCCTTCATTTTTCCCACCATCCTACGGTTGGTCTAGCCTTATTCGCCTACGTGGATGCCTCATGGGCAAGCCCGCACGACGATAATCGGCTCTCGACCACCGGCTACGTCTTCATACTAGCCGGCGCCGCAATTATCTGGCAATCAAAGAGGCAAACCCTTGTCACCCTCTCTTCCACGGAGGCTGAATACGTTGCGGCATGCCTCTGCTGCTAAGATCTATCCTGGATTCAACTCATGCTTACAGAACTCGGCCAGCAAGCCCTCGTGCCAAGGCCGACAGTCATTTATGAGGATAATCAGGGCACCATTGCCCTAGCATCTTCGGACAAATTCACCACCCGCTCAAAGCATATTAATGTCAAATATCATTATGTGCGGGAGAAGGCTGCATCCAATAATTGCCTCTTTCAGTACGTCCCCACCGCAGAGCAGGCTGCTAATAGCCTCACCAAACCACTTCCAATAACCCTTTTTCAGCGGTTTGTGAAGCAATTGGGTCTGGCATCTATTCCACAGCAAACCTGACACTTTTACATGCTTACACACGCTTCAACATTAATATTCCAACCACATTTTGATTCGACCAATGGGAGAGGCGCATTTCTATTGAAAATAGCCTCAGGAAGCTTCTTGTCTCTCATGGAGCCCGCTCGGCGCGGGGGGGTGTTCGCATTGAATTGGGATACTGCCCCACTTCACCGCATCCTTGCCTCAGCCTCCATGATATCTAGATCCATAGCTTCATCTCTAGAATAATCATCTATCATATCTCTCATCATTCATCTTCTATCTTCACAGGGATTATGCGAGCCGCGTGTTGGTCTCTGCAACACTAAGCCGGCTCGTGTAGGCCTGTTAGGGCCCTACTAGGGTCGAGCTAGGGTCGGTTAGCATTGAGCCAGGGGCCTCGGGGGGTCGCGCCCAAGGAAGATGCGAGGAACAATGGGGCGCTTCTGGGGTCTAGCTTGCCCTATCTGGTAAAAACTGCGATCTCCCGAGCCATTTATTCACAATGCTGATCTTTCTCAGCAATCAGAACCGCTTTACAATGCTCGCTGCTCCGAAGAACAAGTCTACACTAACTGTCAGGTGCAGATCAGGGCAATTGCCCGCCCACAGACTCATGGATCCCTTGCCATGGCCCACTCAGAGACGAAAGCTTGTTGAGGCTCATCTCTTTCAGCCCCACCGAGCCACCTGTTCTGGACATTGAAGTGTCTGATGGGATTCGTTGATGCTTTGCTTGATGCCACACTGGGCCCCGTTCCTACGGCCCTCAATGGAAATTATTGCGCACTTGATCCATTCTTTATCTCCGGAGTTCCCCCATTTCCATCCTTTCCGGCTTCCTCGTTTTTTTACTATGGACGCCTACCCATCTTTCACAGAACTTCCCATCATGCCCATAGCGGGCACTGCTCCCACGCATGATGCCTATTCTACGCAGCCTACCAGCCATGCGTTCATGACGCGGGTGTCTCAGTCACCGTTCCAATCTCCCTTGGATCCGCCCAAGCTTCCCGAGGCCTCTCTGACACCGCATGCATGGTGGAGCCGTGGGCAGCTGGGTTTGAACAGGGGGTATCTGCCTGCGGATTACACCGTCTATTCAGAGCCCATCTCGCCGTGGGGCAGTGCCATTTCTACGATATCAGACCCTCCGAGCCCCCATAGCAGTCACAGCAGCAGTGTTTCCGGTATGACCTGCATTTCCTCTCCTCTATTCCAGCATGAGGAGAGTCCTAGCACCACTGTCACCGAGCAGAGCGAACACCCGACTCCTGATGGTCGAGTTGAAATCGACCCGTCCATCATGATTCCCACCTTGGCACTATTCGACCCTCAGCCCGAACACTCATCCCCTTATGAGCGCGACTTGGATAGCTGGAATGCCAGCCCGTCAGACCAGAACGGGACTCTCGGACTGCAATGGTTCTCTCCTGTCCCCACTCCCATGGCCTACCCGAAGATCGCACGTCGATTCAAGAACCTTTCCAAATCCCCCTCCACGTCAAAAATACGCAAGACTAATGAGCGACCGCCGACATCCACACAAAGTCGCAGTCGTCGAGGGAGAAGTGGGAAAAGTGGAAACAGCAGTTGTAACGAAACACCACGGACGTTTGTCTGCAGCTTCGCGCCTTACGGATGCGAGAGTACATTTGTTTCAAAAAATGAATGGAAGAGGCATGTCACCTCGAAACATTTACAACTTGGCTTTTACCGCTGCGACGTGGGCAAATGCAGCGTGAGCACCCACCAGATTGGCCTAGATAACTTCGTGGCACCCTCTCCATCTCCGAAATCTGCGGGCTGCATCCCATTCCCAGGTCAACCCAACGACTTTAATCGCAAGGACCTGTTTACTCAGCACCTGCGCCGAATGCACGCTCCCTGGCTCAAATCCGGTCGACGACGAGCTAGTACAGAAGCCGAGCACGCAGCCTTTGAGGAAAGCTTAGATCATATTCGCCTACGCTGTTGGTACAGTCTACGCCTACCACCGCATCAAAGCCACTGCGGCTTCTGCCGAGAGTCATTTGTCGGCGAAGGAAGCTGGGACGCGCGGATGGAGCACGTCGGGCGACACTTTGAGCGCGATGATCATCTAGGCGAGGAGCTCGAAGACCTATCGTTACGTGACTGGGGACTTCGCGAGGGAATCTTGACTCTTACGGCGGGCAAATGCCGACTGGCGTTCACGACTACTTCTAGTACGACATAATAGAGATGTTATTTGGTTGGTATTTTCTATTACAATTTGAGTCTACGTGATTGAGAGCGTTCTCACACGGTGTTAAGGAAATCTCCATCATGAATGCGCCTTTGATTTCACCGAGTTAAAGAGTTTACGATAATGGAAAGACATCTTCTCCACATCCAGAAATCAACCTGGGAGACATTACATTTGAGCACTTGATGTGTCGACGTAGAGTAGTACTAAGGAGCATAGTGGTCGACTAAAGGAGAATGAGCGTCAGAAGTGAATTAGTTCCAACATGCTTTCGCAGTGACGGCGCCGGTCGAATGCATGCACAACGAGCGGGAAAAGTCCCGCAGATCCCGTCGACGTCAGAAGTGCAGTAGCCGCGACCCAAACCAAATCCCACGCCCTGTCAATTACAAAGGGTCACGATAGGGCTGATTCCCGAGGCACTGAATCACTCGCACTACAGCTACCGGGCTTAATCAAGTCTTATCATGTTATGCTGACCACTCATCACTCATACCCCGAACCTGGCGTTAGAACATTGACGGGAAACCGACATTTGTATCCGTCCCAATGGCATTGAGTCTATGATGCCTGAGATGGTCCTGCGAATATTCCTCCTCTTTGGCAGTCTAGGCGGGGGCCGGCGTGTTTCACGCAATGGAACGTGGGTCCGCCGACGGAGCCGTTGACATGACTCGCATCCCTGCGGCCAGCAAGAAGACCGGAATATGCCGGGTTAAGGAAGCCAACAAAGTAGGACTGAAGACATCTGGGCCGATTTTGTAGGTACAGTGTGATTGTGATTGTGAAAAATCAAATAAGCATATCATATCTCGATCGAAGGATGCGCTTGTAGAGTAGCCACCGTAGGCTTGGGATTGCTGGGCATAGCTACCGTGCTTGGATCCATCAACGCTCCAAAAGCACGCATTCCATGATGGACCGATTTGTTGCAGTCAGTCTGTGGAGTCTGCACTCCGCATTTGTACATCGACTTGTGCTACTAGCCACTGATGCAAGGGACGGCCATGAAGCGGGCCGCGAAATGTAACAAGACACCATTTGAACCAAGATATCTGGGTGAAATGCCGAGAGTAATACGATTGAGATTTAAAAAAAAAAAAATGGAGCCCAGCGGAGATTGCAAGAACATTGGAATGGTCTATAAATCAGCAGAACGGACACTTCTTGAAGTGAGAGAATAGCTTCGCCACCGGTTCCAATATCAGTGGACGCGACTCATGTGCTTGGAAATCAGACTCAGTTGTCTCCAAGCTCATAGCCCGCGATGGGCAGATTGCTTCCCAGGCTGACTTACTGAAGCGGTTGAGAACACATTGTCAATTATCAGAACTTGTAGCTTCACACGCCTCAATCCCCATTAATGCATTGTGCGCCAAAGAAATGGTCCTGATGATATGGACGTCAATCCCGAATGTCGAATCTGAGTTCCAGGTCAAGAGTTTCACCCCAAGTTTACTACCCTGCTCAGCCATTCTCAAGCCGGGTTTGGGTCAACTTGGGACGTGCATATCGAATGGCCAGCGGAATAAAAGAAGCCAATAAAATGTGGAGAAGTGCTGAGCATAGGAGACACATTACCATGGGCTATGTATTGCCAAAGATTCTCAGGAATCTTACCTCCTATGTTATTTCTATCTCCCACTTTGACGTCCTTTAGTCGATTGCTGATCTCAGTGCTGATACATCCACACCCTGCTGGCCTTGTGGGCTTTTTGAGTTCCAGTACCTGGATATCTATCCTGGACTGGCCGATCTTGCGTTGGATATATACCTTTCGGAATGGAGTCCCCTTTTATCTCCCCAACAATACAGTTATAGCACCTGGAATTGATTGTGAATCAATTCGAAAATATCTGCAAATATGAATCGACTGACAATATGACTGCAAGTGCTCAATTTTGATCATTTTATCGCAGCGTAGATGTGGTCGAACATTAAAGGGCCCAGCTCCACGCGGAACCGGGAGGCCGACTTCCCACTCCCCGCGACTCCGACTCCGACATCGATCTCCAGAGCTCCAGGGCTCGACACCTCAACCACGGCAATTGTCAATCACCAACCGCTTTTGTTTGCTGTGGAGATCACCTGCTATCTAGGCATGTTACATATACTATAGCGTGCCTTCTCTCCACCGACCACGTTGTCTAAACCACAGACACTCCCGCCTCCATCATGTGCGTTCGCCTTGCGATGCATTCTTGAATGCGCGACTGACCTTTCCGCCTCACTAGGGCTGTATTCTCTCTCATCATTATCAACAAGGCCGGTGGTCTGATCTACCAGCGCGAGTTCCAGGCCGGCTTGCGCAAGCTCTCGACCAACGACTACCTCGTCCTCGCTGGTACCTTTCACGGGTAAGAAACCCCCGCCTGCAACTCTTGTGTCTATGCTGCAATCACTAATCACGCCGATGATGCAGTGTCCACGCTATCACACGCTCCATCACTCCCAAAATACCTCTCGCTCCGACCACGAACTCCCCCGCAGCCTCCTCCCCGGCACCAGCACGCCTGCGACATCAAGCTACAGCTATCCCAACCCTGGTGCATCCGTATCAGGACTAGAATATCTCGAGACGGACAAGTTCCGGTTGACTTGCTTCCAGACGCTGACCGGCACCAAGTTCCTGCTGTTTACGGATCCCATGACCGGCAACGTGGAAACCATCATCAACAAAATTTACGACCTGTATGCGGACTACGTGATGAAAAACCCCTTTTACCAACTAGAAATGCCAGTGCGATGTGAAGCGTTTGATCGACATCTGGCGGCCTGGCTGAGAGGGAGAGCATAGCCCCTAAACCGGGACTGGGATCATGACCTTACGACTACTGTAGACAATTTGTTTGTTCGCTTTTATGTGAGATCTGGACAAAAGCCACTTCCCGGCTTGTGCATAATACCAATCGCATCCATAACTCAACATTTCCGTCCCAGTAGACCATTCCTACAAGAGGCTCTCGAGTACTGTATACAGGAACATATAAAAAAACCAAAGTAAACGCCGGGTATGCATCACAGATCATTTCCGCAAGAAATTGAATCTACGCAGTGTCCATCTTGTCGTCATCCTTCTTATCCTGACCACTCGACTCGCCCTGGCCCTCTTCAGGGATATTGCCCAGCTCCGTCTTGCCCTCCTGGGCGTCCTGGTCACGCTTCTCCTTCTCCTGTCGGTTCTTCTCCTCTTCCAGGGATAACCGCAAGGCAAAGGCGAGCTCAGGATCATTCTCAGCAGCTTCCTCGAAGTTGAATCCACCCGCATCGCCACCATCGCCGCCTCCTGAGGCAGCGGCACCAGCCCCTTCACCCGCGAGGATAGGAGTCTGCTGGAGCTCCTCACTGAGCAGGTGAGGACCGGGCGGGATGATAGCCAAGTAGGAGCTATCGCCGCTCGACACATTATCCACAAAGGCCTCCAGCTTCTTAGTCTGATCGGACTCGAGGTCACCGAATGCCACCACGTCGATGGAGACGTTGTTCTTCTTCATCTTCTTGGCCAGCTTGACCAGAGTTTTCTCGTCTTCTTCGATCGGGGAGCAGGAGAACACGATAATTCGTTGCCGCTGAGACTTTTCGGAACGGTGCTTGAGCGCCAACTAGACAGTTCATTGTTAGCTTAGCAATCTCACCACGGGTTCGAACTTCTACTTACACCTGCGACCTGGATGCTCGAGCTCAGATGAGAGGTGCCATGAATCTTCGTGCGATGCAAACCGGCGAGAATGCTGCCGAAATCGGATGTAAAAGTGGAAAGCACCTCAGGGCCCTTGCCGCCCATGCTCATAAGGCCAACAGCAGACTGTGGGTGTACGCGCATCTTGACGCTGTGGATGATACTGACGGCATCGACTTGAGCTTGCCAGCGAGTTGATCTGCATGGATTAGAAGATGCGAAGACAGCAAAGAGTATGAAGAGACAAGCAACTCACGTGTAGTCACCATTGCGACTGCTTTCGCTGTTGTCGACACTGGACAAGGGAATTAGCGACAATGCAAGCTCGGAGAAGGAACCTTGACGAACATGATCATCGTAGCTTCGAGCGACATGATGGCGGTTGTGTGAGCGGAGGTTATGAGGAGATACTGAGGTAAAGTCGATGTGTAAGGACGGCGGTGATGACGATGAGGTGAAGCTTGGATTCTGCCGATTCTTCCCGCCCGCGTGGTTGTTTGTTGTGGCTTCGCGCCTCCGCCTCTTCTGGTTCTTAGATCTCCCGATTACTCGACCAAACGTCCTTATTCGACCGTACAATGGCTACCTTGAAACGAAAGTCCCCTGAATTTGCGGACCCGACCGATGTCACGCCTACCGGCCCTCCGGCCAAGCGTATGCGTCTGACCCAAAGTCAGAAGCAGGCATTGATCGACAATTTACAGCTTGAAAGTAAGTAGAAAATGGCCCTTTATGGGACATTAATGGACATAGCAGTACTAACTGTTCGGCAGTCACCGAAAGAGCTCGCAAGCTCCGCTCACAATATGCCCTGCAAGCGAATGACCTTCGATCGCGCATTGAACGACGCGTCAACCGTATTCCCGTCTCTTTACGCAAGGTGACGATGGGCGAGCTCTTCGACAAGCACTCTGGGCTTCTCAAAACATCACCCATGCGAAAGGCTTCACCTATCAAGGCTTTCCGAGCTCCTCCCAGCATCTCTATCGATCAGGCTCTCTCTCCCGCACGCGACAATCGATCTCGACGCACGAGGCAAGATTTCCCATTGACCGGCTAAGTTTTCTATTAACATATTTACAGCCATGACGATCACTACTCAGACAAAGAAAATGCCCCGGCGACAGGGGAACCCGAGGGTTTGAAGAACCCCAAGCGTCGCGGCAAAGCCCCTGCTGCGGGCAGTGCCTCGCGCGTTGCTTCCCAAGAAGTGCGAGCAAACGACAACCGCATTTTATCCCCCAAGTCTCTTAATTCACGGACTTATCCCCAATCCCCCTTCCGTGCCTCTCCCGAGAAGGGACAGCCTTCATACTTGTCACGCCCCACCTCTCCACTGAAACCATCAAGTCCCCTGCGCGCAGGCGGTCCTAGTTCTCGCCCACGTGGTACTACCATCTCCACGGTGCGGGACAATTATCCGTCCTCTCAAACCAAGAAGACAACTTCTCGAGCTGCGACCGGGCCTCGGCCCGTCAGGTCACCCCTTCCACGCCCCGCCACTCGACAGGGAATCGAGCGCAAGAACAGCATGTCTTCCACGGCTTCCTCGGGAACCACTGTTCAGAGACCGACTCGCACAGGCACCAATGCGAGAAAGGCAACCACCGGAACTGCTTCTTCCACGGCCAAGAAAGCTGGCACTGCTCGGCCACAAGCTGCCTCTATGGCGGTGAAGAAGACTGCATCCGCTGCTACCGTGCGCAAGACCACCGCGCCTGCATCCACCACTGAGACCACGACCCGCACAAGAGCCCTACGAAAGCGAATCTAGACGTCTTTATTGCTTTGAATGCCGCATACAAGCTTGGTGTTATATTAAGGTGTTTGTTTTCGGGCGGGGAATGTCGCTACCATGGACAAGAAATTGGAAGGCGTTCTATATTATTTTGGGCAAGGGTCATAGTAGGTGTTTGCTGTGTCTGTTAAATTGCTATCTTTCTTTCCTTTGGACTATCTACGCAAGGTTATATCCTTGATTACTTTCAGAGAGTCGCTTGAGTGCATAGATTGCCTTTTCCCCAAACGCACGCCTTGCTTTTAATGGAATATGCTCCAAATTGCCCGCATCTTCGCTAGGAAGCTCCTTTGACAGACAATTGCATGCCTGGTGGTATTTCATCAACCCGAACTCACCACAGGAAGCTTCCGAGCAAAAATAACTTCATTCTTTCTGTGAGCTACTTTGATCTCATTAATGTTTCCTTTGTAGATGCGAACCAGCATGGCTAAGACTCGGACTTGGTCTTGGTATACTATACTCGCTGTCCAAGGATCCAGGCCACTCACTCGGCAGTTCCTCTACTATAAACCTCAGCACGGCAGCAGTGAACTCTTCAGGCTTTTCAAACTGCACAAAATGGCCCGCTTCGATGGTAACCTCTGTCAAATTCGAGCAAGCTTCTTTCATGGGTTCGATAAGCCGCGAGCTCTTTGTATCGCACACCAGATCCCATGTAGCATGGATGAATAATGCAGGCTGCTTCAACGTTCTGTCGCGACTTCCATTGTAATCAGCATTCCGCTTATGGTGCAAGTAATAGGCAGAGCCGCTCCAAAGACCAGTCTTCTGCATGTCCTTGACGAAAGACTCGTACACGTCCTCAGCAAGCATTGACGGGCCAATCGTTTCCACGCTCGGTGGTTTCGGGAGGCCGTTGAACCACCCATTCTTGCGCACCGTAGCCATCATGACAGGGGTATGGCGATCTGGCAGCGCAGCTGGCCTTGTCGTGATCGCTTTGCAGAAGCCAGCAATGTCACTATCGAACCATTCGATGGCTTTTTCAAAGTCCTCCTCGTAATGTTTCATATAATCCCACTGTCCGAACTCGTATTGATCCACCGGGTAGGTTTCACGATTTACCGACGGCAGAAAGCCATCCCAGCCAAGCTCGATGGTCGAGTATGGCACACAGACATTCACGACAGCCTTCACGGTTTGCGGATGCTGGATGGCGACCGAGGAAACCACAGCAGAGCCCCAGTCATGTCCCACCCAGACAGCAGCCATGCGGCCCGTGTCGGCGAGCAGAGCCATCATCCCCTCCACGATCGCTTCTTGGCAGTAATCATCCACGATCCGGCGGGCAGTCGATTGTCCGTAGCCGGGCATGTCCGGGGCGATAGCTCGGAAGCCTACTGCGGCAAAGGCATCGAGCTGGGGTTTCCAGGTGATGCCGGTGGCTGGCCATCCATGGATGAAGAGGACCAGAGGCCCATCAACTGGACCGGCTGCCAAATAATGAATCTTCTTATCGCCTGCGTATGTGACTTCATGGTGTGTAAGGGTAGCCATGATGGGTAAATGTAAGCAAAGTCTTTGATACCCAACAACAAGACTGGAAAAGATCGGGGCTTTATAATCTCCCCGATGAGAGAGGAGGGGTAGTGCGTCTGACTCATTCTGGCGAGAAAGCTGAGGCAATGCATACAGGGGTCAATATGGGGGCGAGAAGGCTGTCAAATAGGCCTCAAAAGCTGACCGAATGTAGCATGGATCAATCTCGTTGTAGATACTCACAGAATCAAATGAAAGACTGCGGTGTTGAAACCAAATACGCTCCCGGTCTTCTTCGATAAAAGGCAGGCTCGGATTAAAGACGTTTGTAGATTGCCGAAGGAAGAAGAAAAAATAGAAATCCCGCGGCATGTTCAGCCTCAAGTCCGATATAAACAAATCTGAATTTTACAACGAGCAGAGTTAGCCTATAAAACACCTCCATAATCATCAAGAATCACTGTCGAACTAGCAAAGTCAAGCTGAAGTTCTACCGCTCCTGCAATTCGAGGCTCAGCTACTCGCGCCACATGTTGCGGTTGTTGTCACTTGTGAGCTCATCTACTCGTAGCTGTTGGCGAGATCACTCGGCCTAGCTCTAAGTGTGAAGGCCTCTATTTAGACTGAGCATCAAAGCAGGCCCATTTTACAGAGAACGTACAGGGGCTCTGGACAAGGAGCTGATTACAGAGGCAACATTGAAGAACCTCGTGGTAGAGGCAGTCTTGGCCCTGGTACTGCACATATCAACGATACTGTTTTCTTGGTGTTTGTACACGCCAAGAGAGTGTCCCACAAAACCTTGATATTGCTCAGTACCTAGATGACTAGCGACATGCTGCAAAATTTCAGATATAGACAAGACACTAGACGGATCCCATCAATGGCAGGGAAGTACGTGGAGCACCCGAAAAACAAGAGATTCAAAGTGTCCGGCACTGGAAAGTAAAAGCTACATTGGGACTCAGCACAGGTATCATGGCAATCATGCTGGTGGACGAGCAACAGATGAATAGAAAATATGAAAATGAAAACAAAATCCGTGAGCCTAGGGCGCAAGACCATCGAATAAAAGAAGGTAAAGGGAAGAAAGAACCAAGAACCAACGAGGACTAAGGTAAACTCGGAGCCTCGTCCGAGCAAAGAAGAGACACTTCACATGCTTAGGAAATAAGAACAGTCCATTGAAATGGGATATGGGTATGACTGATCCGCAGGATCAGATGCAAAGATAATAAAAGACAACACAAAACTAGGCCTCGATGGAGGACAAAAGCAAGCAATCGCAGGACAAATCAGCTCGCTGATCACGTCTTAGAATTAAGATGTGGGAGAGGATGAAAAGAAGACAACTCCGTCAACCAAGCCTGTCAGTCGAGATGAAAGAGATGAAAAGGGTAGAAAGGGAAGAGAGGGAAGAAAGAAACGCTAAAGACAAGCCCCCAGAGAAAAAGAAAATAAAAGGACACCACGGGCAATAATATGGCCGGGCAAAGATATGGCGCCAGGTCAGTTGATGCAAATCAAGGTTCATCGAAGAATGGTGTATCGGGATTGTAACTGTGCATGAAGGGAAACAAGGAAACCGTAGTCTACCCAGTGACGCCCATGGCACCGGCATTTGGACGAGGTCGGTAAGGAAGATTTTGGTTTTGGCCTTGGTTATCGGACGCATTTGGTTGACTGCCATTGCTGGTACTGCGCTCACGACGGTAAGACGGTTGAGGCGGCCCAAAGTCGCTGGCGGAGTGAGCGTGGGCACTATTTCCAGCAACATGACGAACCGAGCTTTGCATCTGCCAGGCAGCATCCTGAGAAGGGTCCGTCTCGATCCTTGCCGAGGTCGGGGTGTTTTGGTTGTTGCGATTGGATGGAGTAATGGTGAAAGTCTCCCCACCATTCTCGGGTCTGAAGCTTCCCCGAGCAATATCGCCGTACCGTTTCAAGATTTCTTTCGTTGTCACTTCGGTATTTTCCTTGAAAAGAGTCGGATCGCTCAGGACGGATTGCAGATCCTCCGGTATCTAGAGAGAAAGTAAATTAGCCTCGAACAATGCAGAAGGGAAATGATCCTGCTAACGCACCTCGCACATTGTGTCGTTGTACGTAATGAGTGCGTTCACTGCCTCAATAGCCAGGAAGCTTTCATCCACTGTACTGTTTTTGGTATTAGGATAGAGAATGTTCGGTGTCATGACAGTCGCGAGATTGTGAATGTCCATCTTGCTTCCAGATTCCTCATCCACATGCGAGAAGGATGATGTCCAATTAAGGAAGGTGAAGAGAACCTCCATCGTATCGCGATGGGCTTTGGGTAGGAGGCAGCAGGTGAGGTGAAGGACGCGCTTCTGTTTCTCGGGATCGGACAGCTTTTGCGCCGCAACGAAGAGGCGGTGCAGTTTGAAGGTCATGAGTGGGTCGGGCATCTCACGAAGGAACTTCTTCAGGAGAGCCGCGATCTGTACAGGGCCCTCCTTGGACATGTCCACTTGATCATATCGGGTATCAATCAATTCGGAGATTTCCTTGAGTCGGCGGATGTTTCCATTCTTTCGGAAGACACCCTCAACGGACATATCCATTTGACGCATGGCAGAGACTGCGTCGTCCACAATGGCCGGAATGCGCAAAGCTCCAGGACCAACACCGTGGCTAGACTCGGTACCTTCCTTCTCGACTAAGTAGTCCAGAGAAACACCGAAGACACCCTTCTTCTTGCTCGCTTTCTTATTTTCTTTGAAAGCACGGCCGAAAATGTTCCAGATGGTCGGTTTGCGAGACTCAATAAGGGACAACAGTTCTTCCATGGTGAATTGGCCTTCCAACAACGGTTCCATGGACAGGACAGCGACATGGCGAACAATGAAGTATTCCAAAGCTGTCAGCTCAGAGAAGTATCGCTTAGTACGGCTCGTGGGCTCCATAATCATATCCAATCCTGCTCCGGATAGACCACGTTGATGTCCAGTTCTGTACCTAAGCATAGGTTCACGGGAGTCCACCAGCTTGGTGCCGGCATGCCGATAGGCATTTGGTCGTTGTTCCTTAGCCTGTTCAGCTGCGACAATGCGAGGTATGTCGTCTAGAGTAAGAGCATCTTGAGCTCCAAACGTCAAGTCTTTCACCATTTCCCCGTTGGCATCTTTCTCTTCAACGATCTGAAAGCCTGGACCACGAGGGTCGCTACGGTCGTGTCCTGAGGACCCAGGGCGAGTCGCACTTCGACCCTCAGGGCCGTCGATGATTCGAGACGCGCGCGCCCTCTTATACGTCGTGGACAAAGTCCGCTCATTTCGGATGGAACGCAGACGACGCATTTCACCAACAGTTTGTTCAAGCGATGATTCTTGAATGCTTTCGCGATTGCCGCCGCTATGAGATTGGGAGCGCGTATTAGAGCGTCTGAATTCACCAGGCTGGACCCGGAAGCTATCCTTGTTTTCGTAGTCTTTGAGATTAGGATCATCTACCAAGGGAGTCAGTGACGCTACGAAACTTGTTGAGTGAAATGCCGAGGGAGACAGACCTGAAGTATGTGGGAGCGTTCCTCCAGCACGAAGAACCGCCAAGAGTCGGGCGAGAGCAACTCTCAGAAGGAATACGAATTGCTGCAACTTCGAGACCTCAATGAAATCACCTTGGACCCTCGAGTCCAGGTTTTGGTGATGAGCGCATGACGAGCAGTAAACACGTTTCTCATCTGCACACCACAATGCATCCGACAGGGTAACGGTCAAGTCCTTGTCACATGAAGAACAAGACAGATGGGGTGGCTTCAAATGCCATCGCTGATCTCCAGACCGAACGCATTCGTCGTCGATGGGCTCTTTGCAAGAAATGCAGCAATCCGAGTGCTGATCGGCCAGACCCTCAACTCCAGCGGTCAGATCAATGGATTCGTTTTCATCTTCCGGCGGAGCCAGTCCTTCGATATCCGACAAATGCGCCAGGAAATCATGTAGACCATCAGATGCTGATTTTTCGCGTTCGAGCTTGAGGGCGCCCTGAAGACCGATACGAATGAGAAGCTTGAGATAATGAGCAAGACCGGTAACCAAGGAAAGCAGCTCTTGGGTGACGCCGAGCTTCTGAACTCCAGTTTCTTGAGTCTTCGACAACAAAGCAAAGAATGCGACAATTTTTTTGCAGAGAAGTTTAGCTTCGCGTCCGTATGATAAATCTGGAATTACAAGTCAGCTGTGCTCAAAGTACAAGGACCTCTCGTCGAACTCACCCTTGACCCCTTGTGACTTAATGAAAACAGCCAATTGATCGACCGCAGAGAAAAGAACCTCCACATGGGCAATAAATCTCTTGGCTACGAGGACACCATCAATGTAAGCTCCGTTGCTGACATGGAGGAGCATGTCGGAGATGCATGCCGCTGAGGATTCTTCGAATGTGGAGAGAGTGCTCCAGATATTATAGACCTTCTCCTCCATTGTGTCTTCTTCCTGACGGATATGCTCACGCTCCTCGGGAGTAGCGTCAACATCCACAGGCGGTGGTTCCCAAGTTTGACCAGCGGGAGAGAGTCGGACATTCCAGAATTTGTGAATCATGTAACACTCGGGGTGCCAATGCTGATTCTGACCATTGCGGAAGATTTCGACGAACTGTTTGAGAATGGCAGTATGGCAGCCGTGGCACCGCTGGGCAAACTGCGTGGAATAGTGGAAGTGGCAGTAGACCTTGCCTTCATGCTCGTAATATGAATCTTGGGCGCCGAAAACTGTGGGACATACAGAGCAAGTAAAATGCTCAATATGATATTTGCGATCCAAAGCTGTAATGTAGGAGCCCCGGAGCGCACCGCCACAGTCATGGCAAAGGAGACCCAAGCGGCGGAAATAGTCTTTTTCACAAAGTGGGAATTGGCAGCTGCCATCCTCGGAGTCGACTGGGAAGAACTTGGACGCGACAATCTCGCCACAATCCTATGCGGTGTTAGACCTCCACAAGTTCTGTTTAATTCACACGCCAGGAAAATCTACGTACCTCGCATTTGAAGCATTCCAGGTGAAATGTGCCTCCAAGCGCTCTCACAAACTGACCGGTCAACGGTTCATTACACTTCTGGCAGAGTCGTGATGAGCTTGGTGATTTGTTGGGTCGACCATTGGGGCGCGATCGATCGCGGACGTTGGAGCGATCCCTGTAGCCAGGTTGCTCTGGTTCCAATCCCCGACCTGTGCGGTCATCCTGGCCGAGTGGGCTGTTTCCTGCAGTGCGCGTGGTGGGCGAGTCGAACGGGATCAAGCTGTCTTCGGGGGAGGTAGGTGTGTTTTTCTGGTAACCGGCTCCGTATCCCGAGGTGTTCACCGTTGGGGTCGGCTTGCCTGCAACCAGGCTGGCCGGGAGTTCACCGGGGGGCATGTTGGTCCCCCGTTAGAAATCAGGAGCGAATGACGAGAGCGACAACGCGGCGAACGCAGCATGCAAGGTAATTTAGGGCGAGACAAAGGGATCAATTTTGCTTCCGGGGAACGCAAGGAGCAGATCGCAGGGTGGTTTCAAAGACAGATCGGGCGCGTACTGTGCAAAACTAAAGTCGGTCTATTAGAATGGGGTCCGCAGCACTGGTGGGTTAGCTGAAATCGCCATTCAGCTTTCACTCACCTTCACGCCATGTAGTCACAACGCGCAGGAAAAAGGCGACAACAGCAGCAGAGGACCACAAATTTTGACGCGAAAGGTCTCAATAGAAGTGTGAGGCTCGAGAGCGAACAGATTGAGAAGGAATGTCCAGTGCGCAGACGGGACGCGGGGAGGGGGCCAAAGGGTTCGAGCTAAGGTGAGCGGGCGCCCGCGAGGACAACAAGCTGAAGAGAGCTGGACAGCAAACAACCCCCGGGTTTAAAAACAGCACATCAAAGGAAAAAGAGGGGGATGGTGAGAGGAATGGAGAATGGAGAAGGATCGGGCATTTGCACCCAGTTGCCCCCCTAATCGGAGTGCCTGGGTCACGTGGGTTCACCGCTCAACGCGACTGTCTGTTCTTTCCTTTGTATTCCTGTGTTCTGACTCTATTGAGCTGATCCAATGCTCCTGATGTATCTCTGGCGATCTTGAGTTCATAATTGACCTCCAAGAGTGGTCAGTGACCATCAATTTCCTTCTGTGTTCATATTGTGATTGTGAATGTGTACCTGAATGTGCCTGTTGTGCTGTCCCCGCTGAACCACCCGGCGCTGTCCATGGATCCCCACTGCGCTTTTTATAGCACACGCAGATGCCACATTCTCTGTGTGGGCCGTATTTGGAATCCGCACACTTACTCGAGAACATATGAGATCTCGCACTGTAGAGAGCCCAGCAAGGGTTTTTGGGTTACCAGACGTCATGAGAAGGTTGACGAAATGTCAACCCTTCATGGTGATGGCATAGCCCATTGGCACCATCCGTGAACGACACCGAACGGAAAGTTCAGTGCAAAGTGTAAGGTGTCCTGTGGCCACGGGTTTATCTTGACAACCCAGCGAATAAACAAAGTCATGTCAACCTGGACTTTGCGATTTCTCCTTCTTTTGCCTCATCACATTCGCCGCATGCTCTTAACCTTCCTCGATATCTTGACTTTCTTCCTCTCTCAATCTGGACTGGTAATCATAACGCTTCACTCCGCAACCGCAATACTGCGGACATGGCAGATCAGTGTACCATGCGCCTGATGCGGGTGAGTCCATAGTCTCCGATTTAACAGCCTAAACTTATCTGGGACAGGAGTTGAGCGCGCTCGAGAGAAGTGATCAACTGGGTGAGCCAAATTCCGATAACCCACATCATGAGGTGTCCTTGAGCGCGCCGCTAATCGTGACAGCGATGACCGTGCACTATAAAGAAGAGAATGTCCGTGAGATCAGCGCCTTGCTTCTCGGCCCCCCAGGCACACCATACGCCCTTGGTTTCTACGAGGTAAGTGTTCACGAGCCCAAAGACAGAGCCCTTGCGGGGCGCACTTAGTATTTACATTTTGTCTAGTTCACATTTTCGGTTCCCAGCGGTGAGTTGACGACCCTGGGATGAGCGATTCCTGACCATGGATAGACTACCCTGCAAGTCCACCCACAGTTCTTATCAGGACCACAAACCAGGGCAAAACTCGTTTTGGCCCAAACCTTTATGCCATGGGCAAAGTCTGTCTGTAAGTCTCCGAACGCTGTGGCGACAATATCCGATACTAACTTTCCAAAATTAGCTCGATATTAGGGTATGCATGACAGCTTGTTACCCGAAGTTTCTCTAATTATTTTCGTTAGAACATGGCATGCATCCCATGGCGAAGAGTGGTCTGCGGCCCAGGGGCTAGAATCGGTGTTGTTATCCATCCAAAGCCTGCTGTCCGCCACGCCCTATTTCAACGAACCGGGCTATGAGGATCACAATAAGGAGTCTGACAGACAATATATCGAGCTGTACAATTCCAAAGTAATTCCCCATTTTCGACCCGTCCAACGTTCTCCGCATATTAATGGATTACAGATCAGGCATGAGAATCTCAGACTCGCAGTCATCCAGCCACTGGAGGAAGCGCTTGGCTTAATAGCGCCAAAGTCAATGTCTTATTGTCACAGGCTCAAACACTCGCAAATGGCCAAGTCCAAGACCCTCGAGACACCAGAGGGCTCCGAGAGTGAAAGACAGCCCGGTCACCATGCAAAAATCACGGAGACAGGCCCGTTTGATGATTTTCGCAAGCAGCGATTTCTGTGGTACCTAGAACAGTATGAAGAGGCTGTTCAGTACGGCGTTGAAAAGGAGGCTAGCAGACATGGAACGAGATTCCCTTGCGTGTCCTTCGAATCTGGAGGCAACGCGATGAACGGTGAATGGAACTACCCAGATCTTCAAAAGCGAATGAATGTGCTCGAAACCAAGATCCTGGAAGAGACTTATGCATGGCCAGCGGAGGGCAAGAGGCTTGCTGAAGAGGATGCGGGCATCGCCGTGAGCTTGCGCGCACAGCATGAGCAGATTGTGTCAGGACTTGCGCGGCGCGCGGACTCCATCGTGGATCTGACTTTGGAGCATGATAACCCATTTCTGTGGAAACTTGTCTACTTCGGCCGTCCTATGACTCAATACGACGGCGGTATCCTCAAAATCAAGATCTACATCAGTCCTCGTCACCCCGATGAGCAGCCACGAGTGTTTGTCGAAACACCTCTCTTCCACGTGCGCGTTTCCACCCGGAACGTGTTGATCTATCTCCCCGCACGAGCCGAGGAGATGAACCGTCATATCGATGGCATAATCAGTTCAATAGAAGAAGATTCTCCGCCCTACAACCCGTTGATGACTGTCAATCAAGAAGCAACGAAGCTGTTCTGGGGCTCGAAGGACGAGCAGAAGCGGTATCACCGCAAGCTGCGTCGCTCTGTTGAAGAGAGTGTTGCGTAAGTATTCCCCGCTGCCCAAACAAATTCCATTGACCATTGTTTCCACAGATACCTGTGACATCGTCCGACCAATTTGCATTTTCACCGTATGGCCTGGTTCTGGCAGGAGTTGGTCAGGTCGTGGTTTCTCTTCGTTTCATAGAGAGCTGCATAGTAGGAATCAGAGATATTTGATGTGACAGATATCAATATCACAAGATCATCGGAATGGGAGTTGCCATATGAAAAGAACATCCCTAGCAAGGAAAATATAGAACCGCAAAGGGGAGGAACCGGCGTTCGATATACAACGCGGCCCCACAGTCTTATCGTCAGCTGATCTGGCCCTCCCCGAGCTCCCCTTTTCATTTTCCAATCTCGTCCCCATTCTCCACCCCATTCGACAAGATGTCTGCCAAAAAGCGTACACTAGAACTTGGAAATGTCCTGGTAGTGGGAGGATGCGGGTTCCTGGGATGGCATATTGTCGACCACCTTCTAAACTTCCCCTCCGAGTCCGATGCCAGCGTCGCACTGCCAAAGCCCCAGGACGATGCGCGATTCGATTTCCCAACTTTGGGCTCTCGCTACCCAGACTACAAGGCCAAGGTGTCCGTCGTGGATCTGCGCACGACCAACAACCGCTTGCCGGGTGCGACCTACTACGACGGTGACATTACTTCCGTGGAGTCCATGATGGAGGTCTTCAGCGCCGTCAAGCCTGACCTGGTCATCCACACTGCGACTCCGTCTGTTCTCGAGGGTAACAAGCCGCTACTGTACAAGGTCAATGTCGAGGGAACCCGCACCCTTCTCCAGGTTGCTGGTGGTGAACATGGCGACTGGGGAGGCAAGTGCAAGGCATTCGTCTACACCAGCTCCAGCTCAGTCGTGCACGACACCCAGAGCGATCTGATCAATGTCGACGAGCGTTGGCCTTTGATCCGCGGCAAGTTGCAGCAGGAGTACTATTCCGAGACCAAGGTAAGTCCATGGGCTCTTATTCCCAACTCGATCCTTCGCTTCGCCCGCTAACTCTTGTTCCCAAAGGCCGACGCTGAAGAAATCGTCCTCAAGTACAACCGCCAGTCACCCACAAACATGGTCACCTGCGCCGTGCGCCCCGCCGGAATCCACGGCGAAAAGGACACGACCGTAACCCACAAGATCCTCGAGCATGGCGCCAACGCGTCAAACACAGTCTTGAAGTTGCAACTTGGCACGAACGACAACCTGTTCGACTTCACATATGTCGGCAACGTGGCGTACGCGCACATGCTCGCCGGAGCGCGTCTACTCGCCACGTATGACCGCTACCAAAGCAACCAGGGCGGGCCCCTGGATCACGAACGCGTGGACGGTGAAGCCTTCAACATCACTAATGACTCGCCCCTGTACTTCTGGGATGTGACGCGGGCCATGTGGGCGCTCATCGACCGGGTGGTTGAGCCGCAAGATGTGTGGTCCCTTCCAGAGGGCCTGATGCTGTCCATTGGTGGATTGGCAGAGTCCGTTCTGAGCCTGTTTGGAAAGACTCCTCGTCTGACGCGCCGCACTGTGCGATACTCCTGCATGACTCGTTACTACTCTATCGATAAGGCCCGTTTGCGTCTTGCTTACCTGCCGGTGGTTCCGGTGGATGAGGGAAATTGCACGCGCCGTTGGTTATGTTGTTGAGAAGCAGCGCCAGGATGCGGGTAAGAAGGGGTTGTAAAGGATCTTTTAAAGAAAAATATTGTCTATACTGTAATAATAACGGAGCCGCTGCTCTGAACAATGTTATCGATACACCCACGGGCCAGGATCTGACCGAAACCTTCATTCAATGCGCATCACGCCACGTACCGTAGGTGCTTTACCTGAAGACAAATTGGCATTGTCTTCTTTGCATCCGGATGCGGTAGACCTGTGGAAAGCCTGTGGAGTCGGCTTGGGCGACTCACTGTGTATCGATGGCGAGCGGAGCACATGTCTATTGCGATCTTGTACAGTCTACGGAGATCAAGTGAAAGAAACCACAGGAAGTAAAGCTTCGTAAAAATCCAAGCCAGACCAGTGGCACTCATGATATGTCATCAGACTCTATGTGTAGCAATTAAACGTCATATCCCAACAATCGATCGGACGATTCCGGACTCCTTAACGAGAGTCTTTCTTGTGTGGCACCTCCAACGTCCCAATGTTGTCTGGTTCAATGCCCTCGTGTCTCACAATCTCAACATCAAACGCAGCTTTGCTGTTGAAAATAGTCTCCATTTCCTCGAGACTCTTACCCCTCGTCTCTTTCACGAAGAACCATACCAGTGCAGCCATGATGAGGTCCAAACAAGCATAGAACAAGAAGATGTAGCTACCCCAGGACTTCTGCATGTACGGAGTCACCAGGGAGAAGAGGAAGTTGAAGAGCCACTGTGAGCAAACGGAAAGGGAGGATCCGATCTCACGAATACGCGAGGGGAAGATCTCTGTGGTGTATGGCCATGGCAGTGGGCCCCACCCGAATTGGTAGACGGAGTTGGTCAAGAAGATCAAAGCGACGGTGGCAATGCCAGCCGGCGTCGGCGACGATTGCGGCTTGGGAGTCGTGTTGTTCACGATAGTGACGATGACGAAGAGGACGGACATGATCAAGGCCGTAATCCACAGGGTAGGTTTGCGTCCCCAGGATTCTGAGAAGAAGAAAATGTAGGTGAAGACAGTGATGAACTTCTCCGCACCGAAGAGACCAGTGATGAGCAAAGACCGGCTGCTGTCATTGCCCACGATCAGTTTGAAGAATTGTGGACCAAAGTAGGCGAGTGCGGTCATTCCGGTGCACTGTTGGCCGCAAAACATGAAGAATCCGAGAAGCAGACGATATCGGTTGGCGGGCTCGAGCAGCTCGCGCTTCTTTAACCCTTCGCTGGCGCGAATCTCTTCTTCCAGGCCGACACGCATCTCATGGAACTCGGCCTTGACAGCGGCGCCTGATGGTAGAAGTCACGTTGGCAAGGTGTATACATCCCAGAGGGGGGGTTGGGTTGAGGAACTAACCATCATCTGCTCTCATCCAAGTCAAGCTCTTCCAGGCTTCATCAAAGCGGCCCTTCTTTGCCAGCCAACGAACACTTTCAGGCTGGGTGAATAACCCCATGGCAAGCACCGAAGCCGGCACCAACTGCAGCCCGACGGGAATCTGCCACTGAGAGGAAGAAGTCGAAGGAATTGTACGCTCCACAGCATAGTCAATCCAGTAACTGATCATCACTCCCAGGGCAAAGAGGAGTTGCACCCCCGAACCAAGCCTCCCCCGAATCTCTTTGGGCGCCATCTCAGCATTGTAAGTCGGGACTACGGCTGTACCTGCTCCAAGACCGAGACCAGCCACGAATCGACCAATATAGAAGCACACGAGAGAATGCGATGGGACAACCTGCAGGACAACGCCACAACAGAAGATTGTCATCGCGACCTGAACGGTCTTCTTGCGCCCGAAGCGTTCGGAAACCGGGAAGATGCACAAGGCCGCGATGAAAGCCCCGACATTCTGCAGACTGACCATGACGGCATTGACGGTGGTCCGATCGGTATATCCAAAATCATTCCTGTACGAGTCGAACTCGAGTATACCCCCTGATGACGGGCCTCGTTAGCAAGGGGCGTTCGAGGCACGTCTGGACCACGGACACTCACCGACAATGCCGGTATCATAACCAAATAGAAACCCCGCGGTACAGATGAAGAAGCCAAAGAAATACGCTCGAAAGGCACCGAGCCTTGTTCCATTGAGTTTTCCCATTGCTCTGCTAAGACGACGTGGAACGCGATATGCAGCACTATCCAAACGCGAAAAAGGAAAAAAAAAGGGGAGACTACAACTAAAGAATGTGAAAAGTATCAGGTGCATGTGAGAGACACAAAGAAGCTCGTAACTAGTACATAAAGAACGCCCGAAAAAACTAAAATGGGCCAGCACAGACACGGGCGTGCGCATCTTTACAGCACGTAACCATCGCCCGCTGATTTCGCCATAGCACGCCATGGAACTAGACACCGTCAACCTGCGCCGAGAGCAACCAGCTGACGTACCGCTAAGGCCCATGGACATTCACTCTCTCTTTCTCGTGGCGTATTCCCTTGGCCGTTGGTCCGATGTCACTGGCCCTGGCCCTGGCGCAGGCAAGTCAATGAGATGATGCCCTCGGTGATCGGTGGATCTTCTCCGCAATCTGCCACGCCCCACATGTCTCCTTTCAGTTGATGATCTCAGCATCTCGCGGCTCGGCTGGTCGGATCGAGCGTCCCGTCTTCGTGGCGGTTTTTACTTTTTCCAGGGGTCAATCGGGCCCCTTCTCTTGCTCTGACCTGGGCAGCGGCATCCAGCTAGGGAGAAGTCATTCAATGGTGATAGAGTCCAGGAGGTGGTGAGCCCGAGGCGGCAGATCACGGGTGGAGCGTTTGACATGACTTCACTTATCGTAGGTGTGACTGCGTCCGGCCAGCATTATTAAATATATCCCGGTGCCAGCCAGGATGTTTTGATGCTTCTATTCGCGGAAGAAGATGACTGCGCTTCATACCAGGCCCTGAGTTCTGGCAGACTTTTTCGGAGCTTGTGTATTTCGTATAATCACCATCTCGGTCGGTCATTTCTCACTTTCAAGTTTCCCGTTTGAGGGGAGCCTTGACTTTGTCAATCGTAGCCGCCCTTGAGTGAGGAAATAATCCCTTCCAGCCTGATATTCGTCACGATACACAGTAGGTAAACATTTGTGTGGTCAACTTGGTACTTCCAGCCTAGCCAAGGTTCACGAGAATATCCAATCCACTATCCGAAATGTGCTTCTAGTGAAAAATAGAGTCTTCAGCTGCTTGTCGACGACAAATGCCACAGCTCGGAACAGGCTCCGACCCCAAATATCACCAACCAAAAGAAGGAGGCCAAGTCCCTTGCGCGAGAGGTCCTTCGAGGATCTTTCCCATGTGCGCTATCCGTTAGATCAGGTTTTCCCTGCTGCAAAATTCGTGGCGCCGTGATCGCCACGGCGCAAGCAAGGGGGGTTAGGCCCTGAGTACAGTACATAGCTAACGACTGTAAGGAGAATATCACCGATCTCTCGGGGAATAGTACCGGAAAGGTATGGCCATGCGCCAGACCACGAGAGCCAGTAGATATCGCGTCAAAGATCTTCTGGTGGAGTAGCACGCCGGAAAAGAGGCACGAAGCCGACGCCGAAGGCCTTGCCGATAGTTTGAATATCCGGGTCCCGCATGTCCTCTTCCTCCCATGCATGCATTGTCCCTATTTTGCCCATACCGCACATGCTCTGCAGCCCGATTCACTGACGGCCAGGCATAGGACAGCGGTTCGGTGTATTCTCTTCCTCGTGCAAAAATCAAGCAATCTTCATACTTTCGTTATTAGGATGATACAATATAGCTTTGATGGTCTCTGTCTGTGAGTGATCAAGGCCCTGAGACTGAAGGTCCACAGCTTGCATTGATGATTTTGTTTCCATTTTTGAACCTGAGGCTGGGTCCATCACCAGCAGAGAATCTCGGCGGGTCGCTCGAAGAAGGAGCGATAGAGACGGTGACAATTAGTGACGAGTTCGTTGAAGATCATAATGGCTAGACAGTATGGAATCATAAAACAGCAATGTCAGAGAAGAATTGACGTTTTAGAATGGCGATCTTTGTTATATGGATGATCCCTCGGCACTCGGCAAGGATAAGGCTTTGACGCCGAGCGGGTGGAGCTGATCTGGTCCCCACACCAAATCGGTACCTGTCTGTAGTATGAAAAGTTGGAGAGCCTTCCGGCGGTGGAGATACACATAGAAAAGCCATGTTGACGTTCAAATCAAATCGATGTGCTTCTCACATACTTGATCCATCCACGCTCGCGGACTACAGGCAATATTCGAACTTCATTCACATTCTTACAGTCAAGACTATTGGAAGCAGGAGAACTTTCCAGAGAACCCTACATAGTCTCTAGTAGAGTGAAAGTCCTCCACCGCATTGACAAGCCTGGCCAGTGAGCGAACTCTATACACTTTGTAGATCATGGGTCAAATCTTGAAACAGGGTTCCAACATTATAGTAAGAGTATCTTCCAATCAATTATGTACAAGTATCGTACTAAATAGTTACAAATACTGAATGGTCACACAGTCAATCCTCTTCTAGTCGCAAGACTCTACAAAGTCTGAAGTCGGATCATACAAGGGCTCAAACATGTTGCAGGGGATCAGTCGCATGGAAGATTCGGCGCAAGGGCGGGTTTGAGATTGTGGGAGGTCGCATGGCAAATTTTGAGGCTGAAGTTTTGGGCGAGGGCATTGGTGTCTGGATAGAGATGAGTATTGCATGGGTTCTGTTGATCGTTGCAAGGGCCAGTCACAAGGGCCAGTGAGGGATGTGGGCGCTGCGGGTATAAAATCACAAGGATACTGGATGCTGCAGTGGGTCCAAGAAGGGGTAAATGGCTGCCATCGGTTGTCGTGATTGGCAGAGCTTGGTGAATATGGGGACTGGTGGGCAATTAAGCGGAGGGACCCTTGTCAGTTTTCTCGTTGGCGACGATCTCGCTCTCAGAAAGATCATCAGCGATGGCCTCGGTGACAGGACCAGTGTAGACGGTACGGCCGCGGATGAGCCAGTAGATCCCGGCGAAAACCAAAAGGGCGGCGAGATAGACGCAAGCGTAATTCATCTGCGATCAAAATTAGCACACGAGACAAAAAGCTCCACAGTTAGCAAACATACGTTGTCCGCGGCAACAGGCATGGCCGTGGGCAGCACGAAGATCACACTGACGAACAGTGTCCACAAGCAAGCCCAGACGTTGACAATCCAACTCAATGCGCCCATGTGCCAAGGACCAGGTTCAAATTTGCCAAACATCAGTTTGCACATGATGGGAATGCAGTAGCTCCAGTCCAGGGCGATAGCGCAAACAGTGAAGACACCGGAGATGGCAATGTAGGACCCGAGGCCAATCAAGTTGATGGCAATGCAGAAGAAGACAGAGATCCAGACGGCGTACAGAGGGGTCCCGGTCCAGGGAGCCACTTTGACCCAGATCGTGGAAAAAGGCAGAAGGCGGTCGCGAGAGAAGGCAAAGACCGTGCGGGCCAAGGATTGCATGGCCGTGAAGGTCACGAATTTGATGATGATCAGAGCAGCAATGGTGAAGAACATGGCACCACCCTTGCCAAGGCTGTTATAGAAGATCTGGGCCACGGGCTGCTCCATTGGGGAACTCAGGATCTCCTCCGGATTACCCATGCAGAAACACAGAACGATGTTGAACAGGAACCCGGCCACGTAGGTGAAGGCCATCGCCAGGGAAATCGCCCATGGCGCCTTGCGTTCGGGCTCGCTCATCTCCTCCGTGATGTGCGCGGTTGCGTCGTAATCAGTCATGGTCCAGCTCACGGAAAGGAAACCGAACAACCAACTAAACCCGATCGGTGTCCAGCCACTCGAGCTATCAACTTGAGTAAAAACGTAGCTCGCATCATGCTTATCTTTGGTCAAAACCAACAGGGCAATGGCACAGGCCACGAGAACACACACGTGGAAAATGACATAAAATTTGGTCATCTTCTCCATCCAGTAGGTCGACAGAGAGTTGACCACTCCCGTCACGACCGTCAAAGCAGCCATGACACCAACGGTGGTGTCAGTGGTGATGGTGTAATTGAAGTTGCGGCTCATCGAGACCGCGGCGAGCAGCATTTGCGCAGCGCCGTACTCGGACGAGGCCACACCGGCAACCTGGCCTAGGAGGTTCAGCCATCCAGTGAACCTAGAGAAAGTGTTAGAAAGGCATGAGGTGTGCCTCTATGATATTGTTTTGCTTACCAACTGATCGAGGGCACCCAAGCCTGAGGGGCCAGACGAGAGATGGTAAAGTAAAGGCCACCGGATGTCGGATACGCCGAGACTAGTTCGGCGACGGAGCACTGATCGATTGCATTAGCGCGCCGGATCATGAAATCATTTGGGGGCTATCCCACTCACAGCAATACACATACAGCCAGCACCAGAGATGAACCAACACCACACGACCGCACTACTGCCACCCGCTTCCAACGGGTAGGACATAGTCGTCATGATGGTGGAGAACAGACCACTGATGCTGACTGCGAAAGAAAAGGTGGCCAGATATCCAAACTCACGCTTAAACACTGGATTGTAGCCAAACTTGGCTGCCAACTCGGTATCGGCGTGGGTGAGATTAGCCACTGCAATCTTCTTTCGCTCGCCGTTGGGCCCAATAATCTCCACCTGACGTCCCTCGTGACGCTGGCGAAGTCCAGTCTCACCAACACTAGCTTTTTCAATGATATCCGCCATGATGAACAGTCGCTCTGCGGTCAGCAATGGAAGAGAGGAGAGACAGGTTGTACAAAAAGAGGAAGATCCAGGACAAGCCAAACTCGCCAAGAAAAAAAGGCAAAAGGAAAAAATAAAAAGAACATTCGCGGGCCGAGAACACTTCTTAAATGAAACCGGTTGGACACGGCCTGGCCATGTGTGGCTGTCTCGTTTTTCGACCCGCTGCTGATGTCCACCACCAAGATTCAAGAGATATCGGTGGAGCCTACTCCATATTATTGGAGCGGAGAGGCACACTAAGAGGGACTAAAGGGGGACCCGGTCGTATTCACCACTGTTCACCCACGTTCATAAGTGGATTCCGTCCTGAAAGCTTGACATCCGGACCTGCCTTCATTGGTGGCTCGATCACCGGCACAACCTTCCTAATGCGTTCTACGGCCCTTCGTGCGTGATGGCCTCATGTCGTTAGTCTTTAATCTCGCCGACAAGGGGGGGTTCTTTTGCAAGAGCCCGAGATCCATGCGATGCCGGGGAGGATGATGAATGTTCCTCATCTCCAGCCATGCCCGACTACCCCCAGCCGTGCTGCTGAAGAGCACCTTGGGATGGCGAAGACGCACGGTCCCTTGGCGGGGCTGAGAAATGGAGGAACTCTAAAGGCACCAATGAACTGGCCTAGATAAGATTGGATTCTTCGATATGGAATCTAACTGCATGGTTTTCCACTCCTTCTATGATTCAATTAAAGGTATGCTAGAATGGCTGGAACAGACCAGAAGCCCAGCATCGGAGTGATCAGGCGAGATGCTTCATCAATACTCGAAGCACCTGATCTTGCTTAACCAAGTTACGGCTGAAGAACTTGCCTTCCCGCTGAGTGTATTCTGCCAACTGCCTCGCGCTCCCAAACTTTCTAGGGCCCGAGCCCGTGGCCCAGCATTCCATCACATCAACTAGATTGACAAAGACATGGCTCAGGGCCTTGAAAAATACACCTTAGTTAATAAATGCCGTCTTTGAGAAGAGCAGTGAACCTTACCAGTCGACACTTTTTGATAGACTCCGCTGGCTTGATGCCGAGTTTGACACACATCTGCTTCCAACGCTCAAGGCGCGCATCGTGGTTGCGTGAAAGGCGTTCTTTCTCGGCTTGCATGAAGACCGCCCAGTTCTTCCTCCAGGCCTTGGATCCAATCTTCCATTTCCGGACTTTGGCAAGCTCGTGGAAATCGTCCATGAATGATGCATCCGAATCTCCATGCTGGCTGCTGTCCGTGTCGTCTCCCAGACTGAGATCTCCCATCAACTGGTCAAGCTTGGCTCCGGTCATCTCTAAGATTTCGTGTTCCTGAGTCAGTGGGGATAGATGCGGAATAGATACAGGCGGGAAGCTTACTGGCAAGACGTTGCAGTCTTCGGTGTGGATGGGTAGGTGTAGAGGAGTAGTGGGCGAAGCATACACAGCGATGGGGAGGGATAGAGCAAGGACAGGTAGAGAAAAGGACAGAAGAAGAAGAAGAAGAAGAGAAAAGAAAGAAAGAAGTGAGTGGAAGATAGGTTTCAAAGTGAAGCAAACGGTGAATGCAAATGTGGGAATAGTGCGTGCGGGGAACGGCAGATGATAGGAACCGCGCCTCCTTGGTCTATGTACCTACACACCGTACAGGAGCCTCATGATTCAAAGCAACAAAGCGCAATGAATACCGTAGAGCCTAGAACACGAAAAGTGGAATCGATCCTGCCCACACTTGATTGTTGAGAGCGTCAACTCAAAGAAGCAGTCGGATATTCAAAAGTCTTACACAGAAAGGGAGTCATCATCGGATCACTAGTGGTAGCTTGAGGCTCACTGTGGAATTCTTGTATCGAAACCTTGTGCCAGCCAGCGAAGTCCATTGACCTTGTGATGTTATCCCTCCTGTCATGGTCTTCGGTGGACCTGTCGATTCATAGCACCAGCCAGTGCCCAGACAAGACCGGAAGAACGAAGCAGCTTGAGTGCAGTAACTGTCTATCAAGCTGACTAAAGGGCACAGAATTCATCCCTGGGGGATTCTGTTTCCCCTCCACAGGTTCCTGAGCGGCGAAGATGCAATACCATCGGACACCTTGGCAGTCCTTGTCAGCTTTAAGTCTACCTTCAAGTGCAGCTCCAGTATCAGCAATTGATGCAAAATACCTATTTATCAAGAGTGGACCAAGTCCACAGGCGCAATGCTTGGGTAATTGTCATTAGATTGAGACTATAAACCAAGGTTCAGGATGCCTGCACGAATATGGTCAAAAAGTGCTATACTATGCTCAGACATCTCTGTCAGCAACTGAGGTTGCCAGTGGTGGTCAATTTTGAGAAAGGAGTGAAATGAACATAATCATCAATATGATTGCCGAGACCCAGTGGGAATCTGACACTTATCTGACGTTGAAATCCTCCAGGACACTCAATACTGGATTCCATGGACAAATTGGTTTCTGTGGAAGGGAGGGCAAGGTACTGCTTGCCCAATACGGAAACTGCACCAACGCTCTCCGCGACAACTGCCATGATCTGCCTTGCGGAGCTTGTCTTAAGAAGTCTTTTCAGTCATCCGAGCCCAATGTTCCTCACGTTCATCTTTCGATTAATCGCAGGCGCTGCGTTTGCAGCACTTTCTGTTGTCGTCGTCTTTCCCGAGACTGCACGTCCCGGTTCACTTCGCTGGCTTTCTCCCTGGAACGCGAGATTTGACTATGTTGTGGTCGGCGGAGGCACTGCAGGTATCACGGTCGGCGCACGGCTTGCTCAGAATGGGTTCAAAGTCGCCATCGTTGAAGCAGGCGGCTATTATGAAAACACTCATCCCATTTCGAAAGTGCCCGGCTCGGCTGTTCTAGGTGTTGGGGCTGATGTGAAAACTGCATCAGCCATAGATTGGAGATTTGTGGCAGACAAAGTGCCGGGTGCTGCTTATCGTGACATTCATTATCCTCGGGGAAATGCATGGGCGGATCGTAGGTTCGGAAACGGCGAAGTCGTTCGTGAGATGCTGACGGCATATCCTTAGGTCGGCAGTGAACTTCATGATTTACCAACGGTAGGTGCAACATACCGCCGAAGAAACAATGCTCAACGCTGACTACCTTGACCAGACCCTCCAAGGGCGCGATGGAGAGGTGGGCAGATCTCCTTCAGGATTCCAGCTACTCATGGGCGAGTACCCTTCCCTTTTTCAAAAAGACAACTACCTTCACGTCTCCCAGAAGTCACCTTCACGCCAACAGAGGTGCTTTCAACAATTCTGCCTTTGACATCGTGGGTGAACCCCTTCAAGTATCTTACCCACGCTATGCGATGCCCTTTTCATCTACTGCTGGCAATGGCTTCACTGCGATCGGAATAAGTGAGACAGAGGACTTCAACAGCGGATTTCTCATGGGCCACCAATACTGTTCAATGACCATTCGTCCTTGGGATCAATCACGGAGCAGTTCAGAATCGGCATTTCTTCGTCCGGCACACGCGTTGGCGAATTTGACTATCTACGATCGGTCTTTGGTAAAGAAGATTCTTTTCAATGAGCACAAGCGAGCAACTGGTATCAGAGTGAAGCAGAGATGGGGCTTCTGGAACTACGACATCACCATCAGAGCGATGAGGGAAGTGATCGTCTCTGCTGGGGCTATTCAATCTCCGCAGCTTCTGATGGTCTCAGGACTTGGACCAGCTGAGACCTTGCGAGATCACTCGATCCGGCCCATTGTCAATTTACCTGGAGTTGGACAGAATATGTGGGATCACGTTTTCTTTGGACCATCATATCAGGTCAATGTGGACACATTCACCGAACTGACACAAAATCCTCTATATGTTGCAAAGCAAATTGCAAACTATTTGGTCTTTCGAAATGGCCTGTTCACAAATCCGTCGACCGACTACATTGCTTTCGAGAACCTCCCAGCCGTGTCGCGGACAGAATTCTCACCCGATAATGAGAAGGATCTCTCCTGGTTCCCCGACGATTGGCCGGAAGTCGAGGCAAGCCGACATATCGAATAAGTGGTTGAAGAGCGCTAACTCAAACTAGTATCTTGTCGCATCGGCATATGTTGGGAACTTTTCCGATCCATTCAGACAACAACCCTCTCAAGGACAATATGGCAGCATCGTTGCCAGTCTTGTGGCATCCACATCACGCGGGAATATCACTATCAGCTCTTCCAATACAGAGGACCCGCCGATCATCAATCCGAACTGGCTCGCCACAGAGACAGATCAGAAAGTGGCTGTGGCAGCCTACAAGCGAATACGCGCCGCATTCTACTCCGATGCAATGAAGTCGATTTTGGTAGGGCCCGAATTTTTCCCTGGATTGAAGTATCATACGGATGCCGACATCTTAAATGTGATCAGAAACACCGTGATGACTATCTATCATGCCGCTTGCACTTGTAAAATGGGCCCAAGGAACGACATGATGGCTGTGGTTGATCACAAGGCGCGGGTATATGGTGTTCATGGCCTGCGGGTAGTTGACGCCAGCGCATTCCCCATACTACCTCCAGGTCACCCTCAATCAACAGTCTGTAAGTATTGCCGCTTATCTCGGAGTCTACCAAGTTGCTGATTGTTGATTTGACAGATATGTTAGCTGAAAAGATCGCTGCGGATGTCATACATGAGGCCGAAGGTTCGCCTCAGTGACAGAGCCGTTTCTAAATCCAGGAAACTGAACATTCAACGAGGGATTCAACACTGGATGGATCGCAGGCCTTGTTCTAAAAATATATTACCAAGTCTCTTCTAAATACATCTGATTCAAGGTATCGAACATGGTGTAATCACTCGGCAAACAATCCGGCAAAAACGCAAATCCAAGATTGTGCGCAAAGAGTTCATTTGATGTAAGGTCATCCTGTTGAGGATCCTGCTGAGTGCCATCAAAAGGCTGATGGTGAAAGTGGTCCATATTGGGGGTATGCAGGTGGGCAAACAGATTCTCTATGTGGAGCGAAAGAGGATTCTCAAATATTGCGTTCTGGATATCGAACGCCCCATCGAAAGCATTCAAAGGAAGGATCCCTGTCTCCCATGAACCATTTGGACCCACTGACCAGGATTCGTTGGCAGAATCACTGGCTGATACCAGTGGAGGGAGATGTTCGACTCCATAGCGCTGGAAATATAACTTTTCAAGGTTTCGACCAATTCGTTTGGCGATATTCCAGGATGTAGAGAGTTCTCGAAGAACTTGGAAACACAGACCTGCAGCCGCGTGCGGGGGTAGCATGCGAGGCGCATCGTCCCCGGAATTTTGCTTCAGCTGGGAGTAATCAAGAGAACAGCATTTCTCGACGATGATCAATCCAGCAGATAAAATGCAGTGGGTAGCAGTGATGGGGCTTAGTTTGAAGCTTCCGAATGTCTGTCTATACTTTTGAGCGATGATAACCATTGACCTAACCGAGGCGCTGCAGCTGGATACTGCTTTTTGGAGTCTGAGAGATGCACATGACTTCCCGTCTCTTTGGGGGTCGATTGGGGAGGTGGTGTTGCTCGCATCGTCTGATTCATCCTGCTCCTTCAAATATGGTTCGCATAGTAGTAGGTGTGCGTGTGGTACACCATAGACATGGTGTAAACGTGAGGGAATCGTGAGGGTCCAGTTGGTCGGTCGATTTTGAGTTCAGAGGGTAAGTCGTAAGCCCATGTTTTGAGCTCGAGGATACATGAGTCGAAGAATGCAGAGCGCTGGTGGGCGTGGATGAGCGGTTTTGGTGACCATCTAGGCTATGTTAGCCGAGTTCAGGACGAGAAAACAGGGTAAGCGTACAGGGAGAGGAGGATCTTTTCCAGGATACGGCAGAGGGAGATCATTGACCGATGCAAATCTGTCACTTCCTTGCAGGATGCAGCTCGTAGCCCTCCATTTGCAGCAGGGAGGCGAACTTCGGATGTGCATTGAAGATATGGCATATTGACGGCGCCTTGAGAATCCTATGAAAGAGCTGATGAGATCTCAAATCTTGTGCATATTAGAATTTGAACGTACCAGCAAAGTGCACACTCTGCCTGTGTAACTTGCTGAAAGTTTGTCATGGCAGTAAAGCGCCCAGTATATCTGTCTCCGTAACTCAATTTCAATCGGTGGCAGAGCGACCTTTTCCGCCAGCACAGCAGGATCCATGTTGAGCCCCATATCTAGGGCAAGGCGATTTGCCATTCCTTGATGAAGCCACCCAGCGGCATCAGAGCCCATTGCCTATCATCGTGTGTCAGCTGAAGTCGGTTGTCTGGCAACATGATGGATTCTTACAATGTATACCATGCCCATGATAGCCAGGGATTGGATAGTCGTGATCTTTGGCCACCTCAGATCATGTTGAATGAGCTTTTCGGCTTTGGCAATGAAGAATTTGCCAGCTGTGTTTGAATCATCTGGGTCTGTTCGCACTTCAAGGCGATCGCAATAGCGAGAACCCAGAGCCAGAATGCAATTCAGCAAGAGCGGGCTGCAATACCGGCCACCATGGGCCAAACTTTCGCGAAATAGTGTTTCGTTGACTACTTGAAGCCACGGTTGCTCCCATTCGAAATATAAGTCGATGAGATAAGCTTCGAGTTCATCTGATATTGAGCTATCCCCCGGCATGTTGATATAATCATTCGTTTGGGTCTTGCAGACTTTGGACGTGCTGCAAGATGGGTCTCCCGATGCACCACCATTGCAGGAGCCTTCTGTTTGATACGCATCTTCAGTTGGAGAGGCTGCAAGGTCTTAGCAATTGACACCAATACAAGGAGCTCGTAAAGTCTCACCGTTTGCTGAAGATCGGAATAGCAGACGCCCACTGGTAGGACCAAAATACCGGACCTCACCATCCTGATCAAAGTTCAGAGATTCATCAAGGGTAAGGGCGCCATCGAAAGTCACACATAGATCATCGACACTCGATGACCCTGCCGCGCAACTTGGATTGGTTGGTTGATTTGAGGATTCATGCTCTGCTATCAATTGGGCCACAGAAGCATCGGCATCAATACCGTGCGACCTGAGGACTTTTTCCAGTAGCTCGATGCGGTTACGCAGCATCACAACATATGACTTAGGGGCTGGTTGTCTTCCATCCTCAGCAGTAGAATACTGACAACGAATGCCTCGATCGAGACATCGTGAACAAGATGGTCTCGTTCCATCGCACTGCCAGACAATCCCAGTTCAGCACCATCTTGACAAGCAAATATCTTCAATGCTTCGTAGAGCTGCAACTCAACATACCTTTGCCCTTCGTCGACGGCATTCTTCGCAAGCCCGTGACGTATACTTTCTCCCGGCCCGCTTTCGTCGGGCAGCAGGATCATCCACTGGGGCTGTTGACGACATATAGCCACAGTTCGGATGATCTCAGATACCAGGCAGAATATCTATCATGGATTTGGATCCGAATGGTGCAAGGTTGGATGCATCTCAAGGCAGAATGGGTGATGAATTAATCAGCAGCTGACGGGTTCGACACCTTTTTTATAAGGCAAAATTCGTAACCCCAGAATCTTCGTACGGCGCTGAAGCCACCATTTTCTCTTCAATCCTTCCATGCTATTGAACAAGTCGACCAATTCAAGCTCCTTCAAGCCACAGAGCCGCATACTGCGACGTGGTTCTCGAAAGGATCTAGTCTCAAAACTCTGCAACATATCTTTGTCCCACACCTTGGGTAATGAATAGCTCTTTCAATGAAAACCTTGGAGATAATCGTCCTGTCTCATGATCCTGGTTGGTTTCCAATGCTAGAAACGTAATACAGCTAGGCCCCTTGTAGACACAGGCTCTCACTGGGGCAGGTTCCAGCCTTTATCTCATGGGTTCCGTCTTCAAGTAGCCTAGGAACCATTACCAAGTTTTAGAGTAACCAAGTTACACGAACTGGATATACTTGATCACTTCAAAAAGATAGAAATTAGGGAGCACGAAATCGATATCTTATCTTCAAACTTTCTCAAGTCTTAAGTGCACCCATGGTTAGAGGCTTTGATTCTACATGGGCACAAGGATATGGGTGACAAGGTGGGGCCTTGGATGATGTGTACAGGTGAATACCTTCTAAAGTGACATCTTAATTCCAGATACTATATCTTTAGTCGGCTCATTTCAAGCTGCCTTCAAATATTCCCTTTTTACCCACTTGCTCTTGCAAGGCGAGGATATTCTAAACAAGAAGCGCCTTAGATATCCGAGACCTCCTCAAGCAGGATATTGGGGGTTTTCCGCAGACACGCCTGCTGTGCTTCATGACACCGTACCAGGAACTTGTCCGAATTGACGAATAGTGATTCATTCAATGAACTTGAGGTCTTGCATTCCCAGTTTATACGGGCTCTAAGTCAATTCACGTGAGGTCTCAAGTGCAATCCAGCCAAAGTTGGAAGCACTCAATACTGTTGCGCCCGGACCATGATTCATGTAGCTGGAAACCCGGCACGCGGCACTCGATGGAAGCAAGGAAGCGACGAAGCGATGCAGTAAATATTCCTCAAGACCTACGAGGTCGAATTTATTTCCCGAACTAAATGCCTTCCTGGCTTCCAAAGTCAAACGGAACATACTACTATGCCGAGGCGACGACCAACCTAAGAAGCCTGTCTCAAGCATACCCCAATTTCCTGGGAAGTTGGGCATTCAAGATTATTCACCATTTCATTGAACGTACGTAACGGATCGTCACGGCTAGCTTCCTAGGCTGTCCACGGTAAGAGGCCGGATCACGCATCCCACAGCCCTCGGTGGAGCCCACCAGATCCCCTTCAGATCAGAGGCGGACGCCGACTATTTGGCCATCAGCACGATTGGATTCCCTCGGCGAGGAGACGAGCATAAAGTTTACTCGGGGAGTATCTTTGCAAGTCTGGGGCCGTTGGCATGAGGTACAGCCAGTGAAACCGTACAAGGTGGATTATCCGGCCATTTTTCGCACCGCCCCTGTTGCGCTAATACCTGCGAGGTTCAGAGATGAGCTCATGCTGACCGGATTTGAAGTCTCATGAGCCAGAATGAGTGGTTCAGATGGTCCTGAAGCATCAGGTGACTATACCCCGCAAACCGGGGAATCTGAAGAAACGGTGGAGCCGGTGATCGCCACGGACCACTCTTTCTCTTTTCTCTTCCCTACCTTGTTCCCACATTCCATCCAGATGGGGCAGGGGAGGAGGGAGATCTTCCATTCCCTCGTGAGATTGGGAGATTGACACGAATCGGCAATTCCCCCCTAAGGACGAGGCCGTGAATGAGGACCAGTAAGGGACGACGCAGGATGAAATGCGTCTCTGATCGTGTCACAGGCCAGTGCAACCGATCCCGATGCAGAACAAATGCAGTGCCGTCCTACTAGGAAGTCTCTGTCTCCACTCCCAACTTTGATCACATAATCTTGAAATAGGTGAAAGATGAGTAGGACAATGTTTGAGGCCTTCACCCGGCCCACGGGTCGTTTGGGAAGGTCTCATGTGTCCACGCCAGGAGCAGATGGTGGCGTCCAGTGAGATGACGCTTGCGAATTCTGGACTAGCGGGTCGGAATGACATGCTAAGAAGCTACACGGCATGAAGGGATCGGGTCCGAGATTTTCTTTTCCCATAGCCGGACAGGAGGGGGGATGGGTTTACATCAGCTCGGATGAAACATAGATAAGAGGGCACACAAAGGAGGCGCAGGGCAGGGATCCGATACGATGGATGAGCAAGCACAAAAGTACGTAGGAACTGCAAAGCTACAAAGAGCAGGATCCAGACTCGACGCCATGTCAGTGAACTCTGTATAGCTGCACCACGTCATGAGAGCCTGACAAGAATGTGCTAGGCACACACTTTCGAATGCGAGCTCACGGTAGGGACCTAGTAAGCTAGTAAGGTAGTGTTTGAGTGACTGAATTCCATACCGGCATAACCAGCAGCAGTATGTCCAAGAGGTAGAGAATAAGAAAAGAAAAAAAAGACACGCACAGTACCCAGTTGGGCGCTTTCATCCAATCATTGACCGCCCTGTCTCCCCCTCTCTCCGTTTGGTGTTCGGACTTCGCCCTCTTTTTTTTTAATATCCTCTACTCATTATCAAATATCGTCTGTCTGTTGTTTCTCTGGGTCAGCCTCTGCTGGGCTTGACGTCGATGACCTTTGCGCGTCCCTGTCGCGCCATTCCCCGCATAGTCACGGCTTCCGTGATCCTCCGTGTTTCAAGTTCGACCTGCCCACCTCCTCGCGACTATCGATCGCGCCTCGCGGTCGACCGATCGATTTCCCCTGTGCTACTTACTTGCGACATGGCCTGTTGATTCTACGGATGAATCGATAGCCTCAGCCACGAGAGCACCCGCTCTGCCCACCAGCAGACGGTTCTGCTTGCACTCGACAAGCTGTTTGTTTCGTTCTACGTGATTTTGGTGCTTTAAATACGATCGAATACACTACTACCGGCTGTCGCTTCGCCTGCTGGACGGACAGTGTCAGCATGGCGGACAATGGCTCTCCCAAACCTCAATTCCTCGCGCCTCCCGCCGTTACGGCCTTACGGCAGGAGGCTCGGAACATCCACCCGAAAATGACTCGAACTATGAGCGACGATATGCGAGAGGAACGGGAAGACCTGAAAGAAGCGGCGGAACAGACCTTGAACACTATCGTGGACCTCGATCTCGAGGGCCGCATCAAATGGGTCAGCCCGTCGTGGAAGCAGGTGGTCGGCTCGGCTCCGGAGACTGTAGAGGGCCGTATGATCTCGGAGATCCTCCTTGGAAATAAGAGTGTGTTCCGTGACGCAATCGAGGCAATGAAAGAGGATGATTCGCGTAGTCGGTTCATTCGTTTCGCGGTGCAGATGGGGTCAGACTCGGTTCTGAAGTACGCGCCCGAACCGCGCCCGACTATTACAGCGGATAGCACCGAGAGCGAGACCATCGATGAAAGCGTGGACCCTTCGCAGGACGAAGGCGAACGGAGGAATGATGTCCTTCACATGGAGGGACAGGGTATCATGGTTTATGACCGGACGGACGACCAAGCAGGACATGTAAGTTCTCGGAGGTGATGCCCCTGTCTATCAGTGATTAACACATATCAAATACAGTCCATGTGGATGCTCCGACCTTTAACCGAACCGAGAGAAGTTACCATTGATCTACCGGCCCTTTTGGTGGAATCCTTGGGCGTTGGAGCAGAGGTCCTTGCGAATTACTTGACAACACTGGCAGAGGCCGCCGCGACCGAACCCGATCCCTCCAAACACCCTGCCCCAACTCCAGTGTTGTGTCGTATCTGCGAACGCCAGATCACACCGTGGTGGTTCGAAAAACACACCGATTCATGCCTTCAGGAGCATCGGGCTGAGATGGACGTACAAATTGCGCAGGAAAACCTCACTGAGCACCGGCATGCTATTGTGAAAGTGTTGGATGCATTGGAAGCCCGTCAAGGGAGACCGTTGATCGGTAGTGATGGCAACATCATGCCCCTTCTTCAACCAGAGTATAAAGGGTTGCCCATTGGGCCCTCCCCGGCTAGCTCACACCCATCATCCGCGCCCGTATCGGGCGTCAACTCTGCCCCGGGCACACCCCCTCGCTCACGGGATCACTCGGCCTCTGGCATAGTTCCTGGCCGACCGCGAGCATTCACCGTACGACGACCGCTGGCTCGGATCGTGGAGCTGGTTCTCGATCTCTGCGATACTGCGGCGGAAATCAGCATGCCGGCTTTGAGGGAGTCTTCACGGCCAGAGAATGGTGAGGATTTCCGAACACTGTCCCCGCAGTCAGAATCACGCATTTCACAAGTCCTGCAGTGGCAGTCACCCAGTTCCAACACTCTCGAACAGGAACAAGGCCTTGCTGCTCTCTCTGCGGACACAGAAATGGTAGCAAAGGCAAAGGTTGACGCCGTGGTCCGCCATCGGAAAATTGTCGAATACGCTGAACGTATTCGCATCGAATACACAGTCCTCGTGGAAGAATGCATCTCAGCTGCGCTGAGCAAAGCCGAGCGCATAGCTGCAGGCCAACTCAGTGATTCCTCATGCTCTTCGGAAGATGAGGCAGCCTTGCAGGACACCCATATGGGCAGCAATCTTGGTATCACTGCCGACTTTGAGGGTACAGAGGCAGAGTCTTCACAGCCGTCCCCTTCTCAGGAATCTTTACCCATGCAAGCGCAGCCAGCAGCTCCTACACCAAGGAAACCAACCTCTGCTCTCACGATGTCTATGCGAAACTCCCCAGATCATGTGCTGATGGCTCAAGGGGAGAACAGGCCGGCATCAGCTGCAATTTCAACTGGATCGAACAGTCCTATGGAGTGCCCAACCCCCCAAGTCTCACAGGAGCATAGCCGGCATTCTGGGAACCTCACAGCAATCCCGGCATCGTCTGTCTCTTGCGGAAATTGACGCAGGCGATAGCAGTGATAGTAGCTTGCCATCTGCGTTCACGGGTATGCGAACAGACTCACCTTCCTCGGAAAGGAGCTTTGACCGGAAACGAAGAAGCCTAGTGCTTCCCAACCTATCGAGCTCCCCCCGTCGGCAGCCTTCACCTGCCCGCGGCTCAGGCCCTCATTCTCCGCTGAGGATGCCCAAGCCTCGTTATTCAAATGAAGGCCTTCCATCGCCCGTTGTTTCACCGTCTATCTACGCCGGCGAGACGGCTCACAGTTGTCGTCATCATCGCAGACAATCGTCAGCCAACTCTTCGGACATTACAAAGCCGCCCCCGTCGCCGCGGCTACCCTCGGTCAGTCAACAACCGCGGCCTGCACCGCCATCCATCAAGGACTTTGAGATCATCAAGCCCATCAGCAAAGGTGCTTTCGGCAGTGTGTATCTGTCCAAGAAGAAATCGACTGGAGAATACTTCGCTATCAAAGTCCTGAAAAAAGCGGATATGATTGCCAAGAACCAAGTCACGAATGTCAAAGCCGAACGCGCCATCATGATGTGGCAGGGCGAGAGTGATTTTGTGGCTAAACTATATTGGACATTCTCGAGTAAAGAGTATCTCTATCTGGTTATGGAGTATCTGAATGGAGGTGACTGTGCCTCACTCGTCAAAATTCTTGGTGGTCTCCCCGAAGACTGGGCCAAGAAATACGTCGCCGAGGTTGTTCTTGGAGTTGAACACCTCCACAATAGAGGAATTGTTCACCGTGATCTGAAGCCAGACAATCTGTTGATCGACCATACCGGCCATCTGAAATTGACCGACTTCGGCCTGTCTCGCATGGGTCTCGTTGGACGTCAGAAGCGTGTTTTGAAGAGTCCTAATGAATCGGCCCCTGATCTCCTTAAGCAGGGACCTTTCCCTCGGGCCATGTCGATTGCGTCTTCGCGTTCCGCCTCCTTTGATTTCCAAGCGGGATCTTCCCCTGGATCTACTCCACTCATCACGCCAGAAGTAGCGGCCAATATCTCTCAGCCGTCATACTTCAGCCTTAACCAGAGCGCCTTGAGTCGACAGAGCTCCCGTCGGACATCTGGCTACCGCAGTGATAGTGCGGGCAGTGACAGCTTAAATGGCATGTTCAGGACATTCTCACTGCACGATTCCATTGGTCCCATCAGCGACTCCGCGGCCCCGTCCCTAAGCATGCTATCCAGTAGTCTGGCTGAGGACGATGCGCAAAGTGATGCCGGAGAGTCACCTCATCTCTATCCATTGCAACCTACTTTCAGTAACCCAATGGCGCAAAACACTCCTCCGCAGCAGGGTATGCTTCCCCCAGTGATGGCACTCTTTGATCCAGAGGATCACGACCGACGCTTTGTTGGAACCCCTGATTATCTGGCACCGGAGACTATCAATGGTGTTGGCCAAGATGAGATTAGCGATTGGTGGTCCTTGGGTTGCATCATGTTTGAGTTCATTTTTGGGTATCCTCCTTTCAATGCTGGGACGCCTGATGAAGTCTTTGAGAACATTTTGCAGCGGAAAATCAACTGGCCTGATGATCCCGCGGAGTACACTACCCCAGAAGCTTTGGATCTCATGAACAAGCTCATGACTCTGAACCCGCGCGAGCGCATTGGAGCTAACGTGGACGAGAAGTTCCCCAACGGTGGTGCTGAAATTCGTCATCACCCATGGTTTTCCGATATCAACTGGGACACTCTTTTGGAGGACAAGGCTGAGTTTGTGCCGAACCTTGAGAATCCAGAGGACACCGAGTACTTTGACGCTCGCGGCGCTAGTCTCCAGGCATTTGCCGAGGAAGTTGGAAGATGAGAATCCGTCACAGGAGCCCGTCACGCAAGGCAATTATCCAGATCGCCCTCACGATGCTCTGTTCAAAGTGCGCTCGCAGGTCAATTCGATGAAGCGTCCCCTGATGCCACTACACATCCCACCCCATGTTCGGGATGCGCGGGACTCGCGCAGTCGAAGATTGAGCGAGCCAGCCCTGGCCGATGACTTTGGCAGCTTCAATTTCAAGAACTTGCCGATGCTCGAAAAGGCGAACAAGGACGTGATCAATAAAATGCGCCAGGAAGCCATGCAGGCGCAGCATCGTCAACCCTCGGCTTCCTCTTCCACCATTCAGACACCCTTGACGAATTCTCAGCCTTCCTGGAGGGAAGTCCGCTCCCAATGTCTCTGCAGCGTACGCTGTCGCAGAACAAGGGGAACAACCGACCGTCCTCGCCGTCTAGTTTGAGCCAAGCAAATTCGTCTCCAAGCCGACCATCGCAGCCTTCATCGCCGCTCTTGGTGCAGTTTAGTACTGGAAATAACCATGAGCGTCGCAAGACATCTGGATCCTCCTCAAGTGCGTCACACCAGTCTAGTGGCACATTCCAGCCTTCTTCTGTTGACCAGGGTCGCATGCCCAACCTCCGACTTGGATCGGTCGCTTCATCTCCCGTCAAAGCCAACCGTATGGCTGCTCATTCCCCTGAGAAGCATCCATCCAGTCACAGGCATGGAAGCGTACCTGCAAGCCGAGCTCGATCGCAGACCATTGGCTCTCAAGATGGTACCGACTTGAGCTCACTTGGTAAAGAGTCATTTGTGCCTGCTCACCACAAACGTCGAAGTCAACTCTTGGATATCTCACCCTCTTCTTCGGACAATGAGGACCCTCGCACTAAAGCTTTGCTCAAAGTCCAGCGTCGGCGACAAAGCTCTCGCCGGCTGTCACAATTTAATTTTCAGGATGGGCCGTTTTTCCGCCCGCTGGATGTGCTTATCTGTGAGGATCACCCTGTCTCGCGACTGGTGATGGAGCGCTTGTTTGAGAAGCTGCGCTGTCGAACTATCACGGTCACCAATGGTGCTGAAGCTATGCGATATGCTCTCAGTGAAGTACAATTCGACATCATCATGACTGAGTACAAATTACCCCAGGTCAACGGTGCCGATTTCTCACGTATGGTGCGCGAGACCCGCAGTGCCAATCGACACACCCCGATCATCGCGGTCACCGGCTACCTAAAGGACCTTCCTGAGAACCACAACTTCGACGCGCTCATTGAGAAACCTCCGACTCTCTCCAAGCTTACTGAGGCGCTCTGTAAATGGTGTTTGTGGAAACCGCCGCCTAAGGATTACAACCCGTCGCAGCCTCTGTCTGTTCCTATTCCTTCTGGTCGACAGAATACGCAGCCTCAAGACGACAGCCCCAGCTCGGCATCGTCTGGTTTCGTTCCCAAGCCCCCCTAGTTCTTATCGAGGTTCAAGCCGCGACGACTCTGTGAGCAGTAGCGTATTTGGGGACATGGAAAATATCAAATCGGATGAAGTTCCGGTGATCATCAGCCGCCACCACGATGATTGGGACCATGGCCCTGGAGGCCTGGGGATTTCCGAGGATCAAAATCCCGGCACTCCGGACACCAAGGCAGTGCCCATTCCCAATCTCCTCCATGCTAGGACCGCACCCGCGGCAATGGATCCAAGCGGTGCACTCACGCCTCGCAAGCAAAGATCCAGTGAATCCATTCGCGCCAAGCGGGAGTCTTTGGAAAAGAAGAGGTACGAATGTGCCGAATCAGGAGACGACGAGGATGAAGAGCTTGGCAATTCTCAACACCGCAAGAGCCCGCCGTCCCGTAGCCGTCGACCCGGCTCCAAGCTTGGAATTGAGATGATGCGGACTAACAGCCGTGGCAGTGTGGTCAGTGGCAGCGAAGAGCTTCTTAAGAAGGAGCGAGAAGCGCTACGAAACCAACGAGACGCCGATGACTCTGATGCCCCATTGGGATCGCCCGCAAGCACCGGTCTTGGAGATCGCTTTGAGGGGCTCAGTATTGCCGAGGAATTTGAAATTGAGGAGCCGCTCAGCCCTCGTGAGTCTCTTCCGCAGCCCTCATCGTCGCCTTCACAGAGACGTCGACCTTCGCTCACGCACCATGATACCTCGATCTATTCGGGACCTAGCTCCCCAGTATCGTTATCGAAGCCAAGCTTTGGCAAGCTGAAGCATGGCCAAATCACTCCACCCGGGGGACTGACCCCAAGCGGCGCACCCAATCCCATTACGCCTGAGCTCAAGGCCTCCGACGATGCAGCGGATTCCGGCTCCGGTGTTGACACCGACTGCAGCCCAACGCCTGACTCGGAGGCGACACCACGACCATCGCACCCACCATCCAACCTCGACCCCGAGGAAACACCCCGTCCATCAGAGCGGTACCGATCCGATTTCTCTGTCAAGCGATGAACGGGTCATCAAACCTTATGACACTCTTCTCTTTGCTTCTTCCCACATAGTTTGCATCATTGACATGTTCACATTTGCCTTCGTGTAAACATCTTTTCGTTTGTCTTCTATCTCCACTGCAGTGTCGAGCGGACATGTCATCATACGCGTTCCTTCATGTCTCTTATGTCTTACTTTTTCTACCGTGGCTGCTGGGAGCAGGGAGTCTCGGTATATCTGTCTCTTTTTTTTTTTCCCCCTTCTTCTTTAAACATCTCCTCTTTATCATAGTCGGAGTTTCATTGAAGAAATGAATAGTGCTTCGCTCTTGCGACCGATCCTGCCGTTCCAGATGTCCAATGCAACCCGTAAATCCAAGTCAATATGACGCGCGGCTTGATCTCTGTACACATAACGTTTGGCCTAGACCCCCTTCATGTAAGTACTTAAAAATATCAGCTTCGAAACGTCAACATTTAACGGGACCACAATCCTGTCAGCCCCTCACCCACAACAGATAGATCAAAACATCGGGCCCCCTGGACCCTCCCAAGTCCAATGAAATCGAGACCTCGGGTAAAACGCTCTTGGCAGTGTCAACGGCCTCCCGCTCCACCGACGATCCTACTTTCCAGAGTCAGAGGACAAGGTCCTCTATCATGATCCTACAAATCAGAGGCACCTATGGACGAACACAGGAAGGCACTTGCAGGGTCCATGCATACTATACGCTCGCGACGGGACCCGGTTCTCTACAGTATCACAAATAGCACACGCACCCGCACCCGCGATCGGCGGTGATCGATTGGGGACGAGTGGATGAGGGATGAGGGGCTACAGTACAGTATGCATATTTTCTAATCCTGGTCCATTCATCGCATAATCTTGTCCTTGATTATGGGGTGCACAAATGGGTATGGGAGCTGGCAGTTCGGCTGAAGGATCTTTCGGTGAAGTTGGCCTTCAATGTGGATGGTGTGGATGATGCTGACCCACTTAGGCTGACTTCCATGGAGACATCGGTGGGTGATATCATCACTCGATGCAGGGGTGTCTCGTCGTGGGTTGAGATTGTCCACACGAGATCGTACTTTGGTTCGATCTATTCGAGAAGAGATCTTAAGTGAAAATTCTGACGAGAGCCCTTATTACATAGGTGGGAGAAGGGTACCTTTTTTTTTGCGAAGCTTCGGGTGATATGAATTTGGTGCCGGTGGCTGTCGCCCCCAACGCCACCGGGTGGAGCAGAGGATCAGAGCGTGAACCTCTCAGGGTTAAGATCACTCGGAGATGGGGTTTCGCGATGCGTGCACAATTCAATGGACATTACGTGGTACTCTTGGCATGTTCAACGAACTTATGGCACAAAGAAGTCAGTTTGAAGGACTATCCCGAAGTATAGACTCGTGTAGCATCATCTGGGACAACTGTCCACATACATGAGAACTTTGATTTCCAGTCTCTTATCTCTTTCTGTAGATCGGACCTCAACCCTGGCGCTCGAACCTGGAGCCGAAAGTCCAGGCTCTGCTTCGTCCGCGACCCACTGTGGCCCACTGGTTTCACTTCTCTTATTCGGATCGTGATTTCTTTCATTCTCTCCTAAATCTTTGAGCTCGGCTCAGCACTGCTTCATTCTACTTTCGCTTGTTTGAGCCTATCAACTTACGGGTGTCCACTGCACCTAGGCTCTGTCACTACCTTGGATATACTCTTCATACCGTCTCTACAGGTTGATCCGTAGAGCCAACGGTTCACCACATTCGTTTTGGCCTGGTGCCACGATGTCAACCCCCGTGGAAGAGCGTAAAGACTTCCATCTCCAGGAACAAAATCAGAAGTATGCGGAAGATACCTCGCCCTCCGAACGATACCTATGTCACCGATCGCAACCCCAGAGACCATCTAAAGGTCGACACCTCCTATGTCGTCGATGATGATGAGGATGATGAGCAGAGGGCAATGCGCACTCCCTCCGCCCGCCGAGAGCAGGCCACTCGCCTCGAGGATGACCTCATGCTTCTTCAAGCCGAGCGCGTGGCGTCTCGGTCTACTCAGGGTGAAGCTGGTGACAGCGAGCACCACTCGATTGGTCGAGTGCGATCTCGGCGCGAGCCCGTCGATGACTTCGACGAGGCCACGAACCCTCTCCATGAGAAGGCTGCTATTTACAAGCCTCCGGAGAGCCCTAATACTAAACTTTCGGCTTTCGTGAAGAAGCTGCACCAGTCTAGTTTCATCGTCCGTTATGTTACCTACATTGTACCCGTGGTACTCATCATCCTGGTCCCCCTGCTGGTCGGGGGTCTCAGATATCCCAATGCCAGCGTTGGAGGTGTCAAGTTGATGTGGTTCGCGATCTGGTTGGAAATCGTATGGTTGACGCTCTGGGCTGGCCGAGTAAGTTTCCAATGCGACTGACATCTCTCCGAACCCGATCACTAACAGCAAGTGCTTTAGATTGTCGGCAAATATATACCACCGTTGATTGGAGTAGTGGCTAGTATTTTCACCAACAATGCCAAAAAATGGCGCGACATGGGCAAGCAACTCGAGCTGCACGCGGCGCTATTCTTCTGGTGGCTCGGCGTGGAGGTATCATTCTTGCCTACGATGAAGAATCATCACGTGGACGGAGACAAGGCTACTCGCAGCTGGGAAAATACGCTGAACAAGATTATCATTGTCATCTTCGTCTGGACCATCCTCAACTTGGTCGAAAAAGTCATTATCCAGCTGATCGCGATCAGTTTCCACCTGCGCACCTATGCCGATCGCATCGAGATCAACAAATTCCAGATTGGAAGTTTGGTCAAGCTGTACATCTGGTCGCGCAGTCGCATCGAGGAGGAAGATGAGGCTTTCGAGGAAAAGACGGCCGACGACACCCCTACCGGAACCAAGACCCCTCTACGCTATGCCGGTAAGGCTGCGGGCAAGGCACACAAGGTGGCCAAGGGTGCTTTGAGCAAGGTCGGCAATAAGGTTGGCGATGTTGCCGGTGCCGTTGCCGCTGACTTTACCGGCAAGGCCGCCAAAAGTAGCAGTGATCCTTACCAGGTCATTCTCACCTTGCTGCGCACTACCTCTGGTTGCCAGGTCCTGGCTCGTCGTCTTTACCGTACATTCGTCCGCGATGGCTTTGACACCGTTTTCTCTGGTGATCTCAAGGAGGCATTTGAGAATAACGATGAAGCCGAAGCTGCCTTTGCAATGTTCGATCGTGATATGAACGGTGATATTTCAATGGAGGAACTCGAAGCCGCGTGTGTGGAGATTGGCCGTGAGCGCAAGGCTATCACTGCGTCTCTGAAGGACCTGGACTCGGTCGTCACCAAGCTGGATGATGTTTTCATGTTCTTCATCATCGTCATTGTGATTATTGTCTTCTTGTCTCTGATTTCCACGTCGGCTGCTGGCGTTCTGACTTCCGCCGGATCTACTATCCTTGCATTGTCTTGGTTGTTCTCCGCCACGGCTCAGGAATTCTTGCAGTCTATCATCTTCGTCTTCGTCAAGCACCCCTTCGACGTTGGTGACCGAGTTACGATCTATGGTAACGCCGGTGATGCAGGTCTTGGCGATGACTACTTCGTCAAGGAAATCACCTTGCTCTACACCGAATTCAAGAAAATGCAAGGCCACGTCGTCCAGGCTCCGAACAGCTACCTGAACACTCTCTTCATTCTCAACCAACGCCGATCTGGTGCTTTGGCCGAGGCAGTTCCCATCATTATCAAGTACGGCACGTCCATCGAACAAATCGACAGTCTTCGCCAACGTTTGCTGGAGTTTTGCCGTAGCGAAAAACGTGATTTCCAAAGTAACATCCTCACTGAGTTGCGCGAGGTTACCGAAAACTTCTCCCTGACCCTCAACGTCGTCTTCTTTTACAAATCCAACTGGCAAAATGAGGGTCTTCGTCTCCAACGCCGCAACAAATTTATTTGTATGATGATGACTGCCCTTCAAGAGATCGGCATCGAGGGTCCTCGCATGAACTGGCCCGGTGCCAAACATGGCATGCCCCTCCACGTCTCTTATGGCAACAGACCTGTAACACCCCCGAAAGCTGAAGAAGCCGCCGACGACGAAGTCGCCATCGAAGACTCCAAAATTCCCGAAAACAGCGGCTCAAGCACTGGCGTTTCCGGTCGTCAACACTCCATCCTCCGCAAAGGTATGAACACCGCCGCGGCTCGGGCCAGAGGCCAATCAACATCCCACAAACACGTCGATTTCTCCCTCGGTATGTCTGGCATCTCGAGCGGCGACATCATGGGCGACGTGTTCGAAGACCGTTCTGTTCAAATCGAAGATATCGTCCGCAACACGAACCGCGAAGCTGCCGAGCGCAGAATCCAAGAAGTGGCCGAAGAGGAAGAAGAACGGCGCAGTCGGACTTCATCACGGACATCGAAGAGCCGTCGTCCCTCGCACCACAGCGCCTTCATGTCCTCTGGACGTCCATCAACAGATGCACGGTCCGTGCGCAGTGGAGCTTCCTCTGTGTCCCGTAATCGCTTCTTCAGACACATGAGCAGTATCTCGCATAATCATGAAGATATGATGGAGCAGGGTGTTGTGCCTGCGCCGCCTCCGCCTGTCACGGTGGAGCATGAGCATGAGCATGACCATGACCATGACCATGACCATGACCATGACCATGACCATGACAAGCGTGTGTAATGTGCTTTGGAAGGTCCACTCATAAACATAATATTTTGAGCTATTTCGACTGTTCACTTACAGATACATCATCATTTGCCTCTCTATCTTGGCCTGCATATTTCCATCTGATATCTTGCATATGAGTTAATACTTTTCGTTAAACTATGAATATACCACATCCTCTCAAGATCACCCACTTGGGCTCCGTAGCGATAGTCACAGTCCCCCGGCTCTCTGCTCTTGATAAACCCCCCCGTGGACGTTGAGAGTTTCGTTTCTTGATCTGTGAATAAATATCACTGTAGTCAGGACCAGAAGAATCAAGTTCCTTGCGAAAAAAAAAAAGGAATAGAAGCCCGGACTTGAACGCGCGGTTGAATACCGACAGGATGAACCGGGTAGGGAATCTCCGACCGCCTGCTACTGCGAATTTGCGGCTATTCCCTACCAGGGTTTTCCCTACACGCTCTACTTTCCCTCGCCATTATTCTCAGTGGACTATGTATCATGTTTAACTGTTCACAGTGTGAAAAAAGCTATCTGAGGAAGACGCATTTGATTCGCCATGAGGCAACTCGTAAGTCTTGAAGACCTGAGCGCACGGGAGTGAGAAGCTAATAACTACTAGATAAACAGCAGCTCTCGTCGAGTTGTCCTTTCTGTGGGAAATCTTTCTTGAAGACGTGAGTATTCGCGTTCAGCTCTCGGAACCTCTGTGACCTGTCTCCAATAACTTTCCAGGGAGGTGACCCGAAGACATGTCAAAGCGTGTGCGAAGAAACACGACCAGCCTATTCCAGAAGCAGGGAAGGCAGGGCGAAAACGCCAGTCGTGCGACTCTTGCTTCGAAGCCAAAGCAGCTTGCGATAAAAATCTACCATGCTCACGTTGTACATCTCTCGGACGGCCATGCACTTTCGCGGCTCAACCCTCGCCATCGCCGGGGTCGACATGCTCGGCAGCTGCCTCCTCGCCTTCACCTTCTACAACTCCGCAACCCTCAGCCAGACAGGGTGGAGCCTTTTCTTTCCTTCGACATTTCGCCAGCCCTTATGTTCAGAAAGATCGGCTTGCAATTGGAGAGACTGGAAAAAATTCGACTCCAAGGAATCTCGCAACCTTGTACTCTCACATTGAAGATGCCCTCATCCCGAGCAACCCGCTGTCCGCCTTCCTTGGATTTGGCGATTACCCATCAAATCCCCTGGGTGGAGAGGAGGGCTTCCTCTCCGATTACCTTTCCGACGCTCTTTTCCCATCAAATCTCTCTAATCAATTGACCGAAATCACCTCGGAGTTAGTGGAAACGTCAAAGTCTATGGGAATACGCAGTGAAAACCCAGAACTCGACATCATGCACCTTACAACCGTCTTTGGAGTGTCCAATATGTCATCCTTTATCTCAGTCTTTTTTCATGCCTTCCATTGGCACTTGCCTATTGTTCATTCCCCCAGCTTCGATCCAGGTGCGATTTCTAACCCCCCTGCTCCTTGCAATATTTCTTGCTGGTGCAGCATACAGTACAGTCATGGACGATACGACCACTTCTTCGTCTTGGATTATTGACGTCGCAGAGGAGTTTATTTTTCGGCAAGTCTTACATCTGTTGACTGTTTCATCACCTATGGATCCTGCAAATTTGCTCTCCACTGTTCAAACACTACAGAGTGCTTTGATCATCGAGATGCTTCAATTTGCACGCGACGATTTGGGTACTAGACGTCGTATTCGTATCATCCGTCATCCGTGTCTGGTGTCGACTGTTAGGTCTCTGGGAATCTTCCATCTCAAGCGCAGTGCGATACCTCTTAGTTGCGATGATGTTACTTGGAAGAACTTGGTCGCCGAAGAGATGTGTTTAAGGTATCCCTTTCTCTCACAGGGCCGTCTATTTGCCTTTCACTGTAGACCTTTTGCTAACTGCGTTCTAGAATAGCTTCCTGGGCTTTCCTTGCCGACGGTTTTCTCACTGTTTGCCTCAAAAACCATCCCGCGATTCCCATCTTTGAGATGGACTGCAATTTTCCCTGGAGCGCTGATTTGTGGGAGGCTGAAAGTGCATCTGCTTTCAGCAAGATTGCCGCAACACACTCGACGGAGCTTCCACTTCCATCATTGCGGGGGGTAGCCACTCAATTACTCGAGATCCCCAAAACGGCCCCGATTTCTTGGAGTCTCTCGATATCTGCTGAACATCTCTTGATTTTGATCTACGGTACGCGGCCCCTTTCAGCAAAGAAATCAACCTTTGTACTGATTTGAATAGCCATCAACTCTCTCGCCTTCCAGACCAGGGCAGGCCTTCTTCCATACTTGTCAGTCGACAGAATCAGCCTTGCAGCCGAAAACTGGAAGCGTATTTGGGACTCCGTCATTGGCTCCTTTGATGATGACCAATATCTCCATTTGGGCTACCCAAAACACGCTGAAGAGCTCTGGTGGCTACTCAAGGCAACATTGGATGTTACCGAGCAGCGTGGAGTCAACTTCCGATATCTGGACAGCGCCGCGACGGATGATATGGGGAGCTTGAACGAGTTCATTCAGTGGTGTCATTGCAATTTCTCATAAAGAATGTATTATGTGTATTAAATATAATTCTATAGTGTCAATAGTGTCAAATGAAGAAAAGACCGGGCCATTATTCAGCCTTTCCGACGATCTTCATAGCTCCGTGACTGTCCAAATAGGCCGCTCCATTGCTTTCCATAAAGCTGTCCCCCTTGGGCTTGTGATAGGTGCCTCCGAGGCGATCCCACAACGTGAGGTATTGTCCGTAATTGTAGTTGAAGTAAAGGTGGTGCATGGTGTGACATGAGGCATCGTTGATCACCTTTGACCAACTTATGTATTCGGCATCGTCTGCATGACATTAGAAACAATTACCCACGCGCCGTATCACGAAAAACTTACGAATCAACACTGTCCACATCGTGACAAACATGAATAATCCCAAGTATGCCACCTTCTGCAAAGGAAAAATGAAGGGGAAGAAGTGATAAGGCAGACTCTGCGCCCATCCATCCAACGGGTGGAAAGCATAGCTAGCGAACGGTGTCGGAACCACCCACTTGTGGTGAGGCTTGTGCAACCACCGGTAAAGACGAGGATGGTGCTCCCAACGATGAATCCAATAGATTCCAGTATCAGTGAACAGAATGAAAATCGGATACTGAAGCCAATTCCACAGCGGAAATGGAGCACTGCTCGCAGAGTCATAAAGTTTTGAATATCCCCGAACTTCGGCGAGGAAAAACGGAACAGTGAGAGCAGACATGACCGGGATTGATGTCAAGCCTTGGTGGAGCTCCATGCGGATCTGATTTTTGAGGAATCGCGGATGCCGTTCTAGCTTTTTGTCGTATAATGTATGGTACATGATATAGCTACCGCTCAGGTAGAGTATTGTTGCAAATGCCCTGATCATAATTAGATTGACGGATTGGAAAATCACCGAGAGAAACTCACCATGAAAGCATGAATAAACTCAATGCCTGTCTCACCACATGATCGCGTTTCCATTGACTCGCTCCCGCCCATTTAGAAGGCTCTAAATGGTAATAGAGATTGACATGCTGATTCAAGAGAGGATCGGCAACACCTTGCAGGCCCGGAGCTGCAGGAAGAGCCCAAGCATAGAACCGATCCAGCAAGAATGTATCGAGAACATCCACGATAACGTCCATAATTGCGATCTCGTTAGAGTTAGGCAATGTAATGATCGAAAGGAGATTCATTCTTTCCTTTAAATGGTGGATGTTGGGGATTCCCTACATGCTCTTGATTCGCAGATCATCGGGCACAGTACCCACATCGCGAATTTACCCTACGACGGAGGCCCGGCATTCACCCACATCGCGGATCAGGCCACTGGAAGCCGGGTCAAGTTCAATCGGATGATAGTCGGCTCACTCCAACTCTATTCAGAAAAGGGAGCCATGTGGCTAGTATAGTAATTGCCTTATCTATATAGTGGAATGCAGACAAGTAGAAGATGCGTGGTCGGTGCCAATACCATCAAAGGTAGCTTTGAAACTTCATGTCGGAGAAAAAGGAAAACGGCAGGAATAGATATAAAAATTGTAAATTGTGATTGCATAATATATGACATTTCGAGCCTCATATTGCTCTATTTGGGGCCATACTATAAAATGGAGCAGTTTCGCTGTTGCGAACCACGCAGCTGCAAGCCTCTCAACGATTCCGAATCCTTTTAATTTGGATGATTGCCTTGTGTATGGAACGTCCCCGAGGCGCTGTTGACCATGCTGACTACGTGTAGCGAACGTACTGGTGACATTAGCTCCATATGCTACGTTCACAATTTTTGCCATAGTTAAGTCGGTCCATGGAGGAGACACGCTTCTACCTACCCGAGTGTTCACGTCACTGTCGTTGATCTCCTTGATGACAGAGCCACTTCTCAACTTCATTCAAGCCCTTCCGCAGCTGTACCAATCACTGTCATGTTTTGATCGTATTGAAGAGTACTGTGTCCAAGCGCCGTTCGGCGCACCCACTGGGAGATCTTTGACTGAGGCGAATATCGAATTATCCTCAACCCATGCGTTACCCCTGGACTCGGTGCTCGAGTTCCAAGGTGCCAGCTTTTCCTGGTCACAGGGATCCAACCCTGTTCTTCAGGATCTGAACCTCTCCATCAAAAAGGGCAACATCACCGCCATCATAGGTTCGGTTGGAAGTGGAAAATCGACCCTGTTGGAAAGTGCTATAGGAGAAACCATTTGCAAAAACGGCTCTATGACTTCTTTTCAGTCAATGGTAGCCTACTGTCCGCAGACACCATGGATCATCAACGACACCATCCGTCAAAATATCACCGGTGCCACGACTTTTGATCCCAAGTGGTACAATTTTGTCGTTTGGGCATGCGCATTGGAGAATGATTTTCAGAATATCCCGGGTGGGGATATGTCCAAGGCTGGAAGCTCTGGTATAACGCTTAGCGGTGGACAAAAGCAGAGAATAGTGCGTGACTACATTGCTGCATATTGAGGGATATGTATGAACGGCGTTTTGCTAATAGAATCGCAGTCTCTCGCTCGGGCCGTCTATTCACGAGCAGCAACATTAGTTCTGGATGATGTGTTCAGTGGCCTCGACAACAAGTCTGTTGCTGCAATCTCTAATCGTCTCTTTGCAGCAGATGGTCATTTCAAGGCATCTGGAAGAACAGTCGTCCTTGTAACTCATAATCACCGCTTACTACCATTTGCGGACAAGATTGTCCTGCTGGAGGGTGGGAAAATCATTCTTACAGGGACCTACGATCAAGTTCGCTCAACTTGGCCAGAAGATTCACATGATCAAGTCCACGAGAGCGGCTCTGATGATGGAAACACCATCATTGAGAAGACGGGAGCGGCTACCACCATTTTGAGTAACATCGGTGCGACCGAGGCAGATAACACAGACGCAGATAACTCCCGCAGGAAAGGTAACTGGTCTGTTTACACCTACTACTTTGAAAGTAGCGGGCGAGTCCTCATTGCAATCCTCGCTGCGTCAATAGCTATTGTTTCATTTGTCGACAAATTCTCAAGTAAGCTCGGTAAATATCCCTAGAGCTTTTCATCATTCACTAATGTCTTGGTAGCGGTATGGCTGCAACAGTGGTCCGATTACAATGAGAAACATCCGAACCAAGAGCTCGGGCTTTACATTGGCGTCTACACTGTCCTTTTCTCAATCGGTGTCTTTTGTCTGATATCTGCCTGCTGGTAAAATTCTTAACCTTCAAAATGCTGGAAATAGTTCTGACATTGGTACAGGGTACTTTTTGTGAAAGTGATCAACAACTCGGGCCTTAGAATGCATTCATACTTGCTCAAAACTACCTTGAGGTACCATCAATCATCTTCAATTTTATCGTGAGACCGCAGAAATTTGGCTGACTCTTTTCGAAAGTGCACCTTTCAACTTCTTTCAGAAAGTAGATGCTGGCCTGACGACGAACCGGTAAGTACCGGCGATGAACGGTTGGGAGGCGCGATGTGCTGAGACTACAAAGATTCAGTCAGGATTTAGAACTGATTGACATGAACCTACCGCTCGATGCTGTGAACACGTCCATGTGTAAGATGACGCTATTCTACTCTCAAGTGAAGCTAATGAGTTATGACAGCATTCACAAATTGTGTAGTACAACTGATACTTCTTTGCATTATGGGTAAATATCTCACTGTGACGGTTCCTGTTCTTGCAGTCGTTCTGTTCTTCGTCCAAAATTACTACCTGCGGACATCTCGCCAGGTACGACTACTAGACATCGAAGCCAAGTCTCCACTCTTCACCCACTTCGTGGAAACCATGCAGGGAATCTCGGTAATTCGAGCCATGCGCTGGCAGAACCCATTCCAGGAACGCCTAGAGGAGCTTCTCAATCAGTCGCAGAAGCCATTCTATATGCTTTATTGCATCCAGCAATGGCTGCAGCTCGTTCTTGACTGCATTGTTATGGCGCTGGCCATCATCCTCGTTACGCTAGTCGTCTCACTAAAGGACCAGTTTAGTGCCGGCGCGATCGGTGTTGCATTGAATTTGATTTTGAGCTTTAATCAGGATTTGATGATTCTGATCAAGATGTGGACTTCTCTCGAGACCTCCATCGGAGCGGTCTCGCGTGTACAGGACTTCGTTGCGAGTACGCCGCTCGAGGACCAGGGCCAGGAGTCGCTTGGTCCACCTCCGGCGCAGTGGCCTTCTCGTGGGAAGATCGAATTCAAAGACGTCAAAGCCACGTACAAGTCAGTATACTCTCTGTTTCTGGCCGACTTGTAGCTAACTTCAAGCCAGCCCGACATCTGCGCCCGTTTTGACCGATCTGTCTTTGACTATTCGTCCGGGTGAGAAGGTCGCTATCTGCGGCCTGTCCGGTAGTGGCAAGACATCATTCATTCTCGGATTACTGCAAATGATTGAAGTACAGGAAGGGGCCATCAAAATCGATGATGTCGACCTATCAACCCTCTCCTGCGGCGCTGTCTGGTCTCGTGTCAATGTAGTTCCCCAAGATCCATTCTTCATGCCAGGAACCCTCAGATTCAACTTGGACCGGGACTCTGAAATTAATCCAGTCTCGGATGCGTGTCTCATTCAAGCCCTGGAGACCGTGGGCCTCTGGAAGAAGATCTGCGGCACTTCCCAGGGTCGTGGAGAACTTGACCAGGAACTATCATTGTCAGACTGGTCCATGGGTGAGCGACAGCTACTTGCTCTGGCACGAGCGGTAGTGACGAAGAGCTCAATTCTCATTCTAGATGAGGCAACTAGCAGGTAAGTCAGTCCCATGGACGGGTTGATATAGATACTGATGTCCTTGGCGTGGGTTTCAGTGTGGACTGGGATACGGAAGCAATCATGCAGAACATCTTTGAGCGGGAATTTTCTTCGCAGACGGTTATATCTGTCATCCATAGTCTTCGATATATTGAACGGTTCGATCGCGTGGCTTTATTGAAGCGTGGTCAGTTGGTAGAGCTCGATACTCCCCAGGCTTTGCTTGCCCGTCCGTCTGAGTTCCGGTCGTTTTACCACGCGAAGCAAAAGGAATAGTAAGTATACCCCGATATGGGATATGACAACCATGGAAGGTCAAGGACAGTGGAATTTACTATGGGAGGATCATATCAGATTAATTGAGGGGTTTGAGGGTTTTGAGGGTTTTTTTTTTCAAGCTACGATAGCCACGAGATTGATCAACGGATATCTGGTGCACGTATTGTTGCATTTGACAACATTTGAATCGGGCCTCGCAGGATTTTTTCTTAGTCCAAGAGCACCGAATTTTTTTTTTAAAAAAAAAACGATGAGACATAAAGCGAAGCAAATCACGAACGTCCGTGATATGCCGACCGCCAGTTCCCAGTCGTGACTCGCGGATCAGGGGCCTTCACTAGCGGCCCACCGCGTCCCACCTGGCACTCGCGACTTCAACGTTTCTCATTGATCTCTAGTTGATACTCCTTCACCTTTCTACCCTCAGGATTCAAATCGATTCTCTGCACAATGCCCGGCCGAGGCGAGGTACGTTTGTTACCATCCCCTATGTTTACGCTCAGGACTTGAGGCTGGCGGCCCAGTGCCCCTCTCTCAAGCCCGCAAGTCCGAGTGTCGAGCTTCCATTTGAGGGTCAGTTCCACAGGATATTGACACGTCAATTCATCAGGTCATTCACATCCACGTTGGCCAAGCTGGCGTGCAGCTCGGTAACGCCGCATGGGAGCTGTAAGTTCACTAACCCGCTTGTTATGCATGATCGCACATCGATTGACCCTCGCGCGTGCGAATGCAGGTACCTTCTGGAGCACGGTCTCAGGCCTGATGGGCGAGTCGACTCCAACGAAACCGACGATGCTGGCCCCAATGGTATCTACGAGACCTTCTTCACCCAGACGAGCGGCGGTAAATATGTTCCTCGTGCCATCTTCGTCGATCTCGACCCAAGCGTACGTCATTCTCCTAGCACAACCCTGAGAAAGATCTGGATGGCATATTGATGATCCCTGGGTGACATAGCCAATCGATGAGATCCGAACGGGCAACTATCGCCAGCTCTTCCACCCCGAACAGCTGATCAGCGGCAAGGAAGATGCTGCCAACAACTGTATGATTATGCCGATCACTGTGTGAATATGTATGCACGGGCGCTAATACAATGCAGATGCTCGGGGCCACTACACAATTGGAAAGGAGATGGTGGACGAGGTTCTTGAGCGTGTGCGACGTTTGGCGGGTATGTGGTATTTTGATCTGTATCCGTTCATCGGCTAACATCCAGACCTCCCCCAGACAACTGTTCGTCTCTACAGGGGTTTCTTAACTTCCACTCCTTTGGTGGTGGCACAGGCTCTGGCTTTGGCTCTCTCCTCCAGGAAAATCTAGCGCAGGAGTACGGCAAGAAAGCCAAATTGGATTTCGCGGTTTACCCATCTCCTCGCGTATCTACCGCCGTTGTGGAACCATACAACGCCGTGTTGTCCACCCACAGCACCATCGAGCATTCCGACTGCACCTTCCTAGTTGACAACGAGGCTATCTATGATATCTGTCGTCGTCACATGGATATTCCCCGTCCTGGCTTTGAACACCTGAACGGCCTGGTCGCCCAGGTAGTAAGCTCCATTACCTCGAGTATGCGCTTCGACGGCGTTCTCAACATCGATCTGGCTGAGTTCCAGACCAATTTGGTGCCGTTCCCGCGTATCCATTACCCGTTGATCTCGTATGCACCTGTGATCTCTAGCAACCGTGTTTCGCACGAGAGCTTCAAGGTTCAGGATCTGACCTTCCAATGTATGTGATCACACCACCTTTTTCTTTATCACATCAAAGCTGACAGTTTTCCAGGCGCTGAACCTGCCAACCAAATGGTTGTATGTGATCCGCATAAGGGCAAGTACATGGCTGTGACCCTGATGTACCGTGGCGACGTCGTGCCTAGCGACTGCAACAAAGCCGTGGCCGCACTGAAGGCGAAACCTTCCTTCCACCTGGTTGACTGGTGTCCCACTGGATTCAAGCTAGGTATCAATTACTCACCGCCTAAGCGCGTCGCCGACAGTGCGATGGCCCCGGTCGATCGTTCGGTCAGCATGCTCTCCAACACGACGGCCATTGCCGAGGCATGGAGCCGGCTGGATCACAAGTTCGACCTCATGTATTCCAAGCGCGCATTCGTCCACTGGTATGTGGGCGAGGGTATGGAAGAAGGCGAATTCAGCGAGGCTCGGGAAGATCTCGCAGCTTTAGAGAAGGACTACGAAGAAGTCGCCGGCGACGTGATTTCCGAAGAGGAGCCTGAGTACTAGACAAGGGGTTTGACTTCATTGCTCGCACGGGCTTGCTCCTCTGTGCTGTTTGAATATACGCGCACCACGACACCCCTTGAGTTCTGCCTTTCCAGCGTTAATAAAAATTTCGGGCATAACTGATGACTTCAACCGTTGATGGTTCTTTTCTCTTGATGGATTGCTTAAAAAAAAAAGTACATTATTCGCTTGTAGCCAAGTAAAAACGCCGTTCAATGCCCGAGTCTATGCGACCAACAATGCAAGTATCTATATGTTCCTCAACCCAATGCGTGCAGCTCCGTCTCTTGCAGCAGCTTCAGGACCCTCTCGTAGGTCCACATGGTCACCGCGCTCGCCGGCGCCGCTTTCAACAAGCTGACCGTCAGCCCGCGGTATAAACCTCGCACACCCTGAGTGCGCAGAATCATAGTGATGGACTTGATGATACCATCGTATTCCGGAATGTTGCGATGCACATAGCGCGTACGAGTCGGGCCTTGGACCTGCAAGCGTTTCCGCACCAGGTCTCAGTGGGAAGACGCCAGTCTTAGCCAGCACACTGGCAACCACGCCCGCAGCAGCATCGTTCGTGCCGAAAGGTAATGAGTCGAAGCGCGCCATCACCGGTCTGAGTCCCTCGTACGCGGTAAAGAATAATCCCATGTACGGAATGATCTGCGCCACGGCTGCAGAGCAGCCGCGGAAGAAGCCCGCTGGACCTTCGTGCTGCGCAATCTCTATTATCGATCCGAATAGTGAGCGATAAATACGTTCGGAGCCCTGCGCTGCGAATCGGGTACGTAAGAGGTCGAGAGGGTATGTGGTGGTGGTGGCGAGACCGCCCGCGACGGCGCCGGAGACGAACGATTCACCAGAGGGAGGGAGGCGATAAGGTAATTCGGCCAGCGCCTGGGTGGTGGCACGGTACGTAGTGAATTGAAGAGCCCCATAGCAAACATACATCATCTCGGCGGGAACATTGCCCTTCCAAAGGCCCTGTGGAGCTCCATTAGTTTTACCTCCCGACTTCCACGTCATTCCGGCGCAGAGATCCATCAACATACCGTAATGCCCTCCGCCTTTGCGATTGCCCTCAACGTAGACAGTGTGCCCTTGTAGATAGGACCGACGACCGTCCGATGTGAGATCGGGTCGGACAGGGAGTGGATCTGCAGTTGCAGACGAATCTTGACGACGTCAAGCGGCGCGATGCAGAAGCGCGAAATCAGACCTGCAGCTCCACCGGCCAGCACAACTTGCCGCTTTGTACCTTCATCCTTGAGATGTTCACCACCGGCAGACATTTTCGAATCGTTGTTAGGAAGCCATCTGGTAAATCGAGGGGAAGCCCAGTGTTTGTTGATTTTTCCTGGGGCGAAGTAATGACGTTTTCGGAAAAGGCCGCTTGCGGGTAAATTTGAGCCTGGAACGCGGTGGCCGAGAGTGGCTGGATACCTGGGTGCCTTTTTAATCCGGCATTAAGAACGAGCTATCCAGGCATGCAGGCATGCAGGCACCACGGCATCAAGGCATCAGGCGGGCTCCGAGCCTCGGCCCACAGTTTACCGCATGGTAACGAGAGCTTGACCTTACATTTACCCGCTAATCCGGGGTCGTCCCATGTTGCCGTCTTTTCTCTTCCTCTGATATCACCGTGTCTCTTTTTTTGTCTTCTCGAAGCTTCCGGGAATATTTTTGGCAATGCGCCCTATCCCTTCAATCGCGCTTCGGCGACTGTTCCAGGTCTTGGCTGGCCCTGCTAGGAGGACTTACATCTCGTCAAAGAAGTCGCAGTCTAATTCGAAGATCCCTCTAAATCGCCTGCCGACTGAGCGTAGCAAACTCTTTCGGGAACTACGGTTGGTTTCCGAAGAGACGCAAAGTCACAATGGTGAGGAGGTTACTGTTAGATCCTTTTGGCATCCAAGGTCTCCATGCGATGGGAAACATTTCACTACTGTGACCACCACTCATCCCGCATCATGTTATCTTCATTCAGGTGCAATTACTCTCCACCGAGGTGAAGGAGAGGCGGACAAGGCTCTTCCACTCCCATATCACTATCTTCGCGACATGTGCCGATGTCCGCTATGCGTAGATCCGCATTCGAAGCAACGTTTGTTCCGCACCCAGGACATACATCCCACTATTCACCCACGTCAAGTTAAGTGGAATGGCAATGAATTGGAGATCCAGTGGAATAAAGACATCCAAGGGTATGGCCCGGAGCACACGTCTCGATGGCCATACTATCAACTCTTGAACCCTGTTCATGATACCCACGACACTACCCATCCTAGTATGAGACCTTTCCGTTGGAACGCTGCAATCATGAGAAAGTATCAACACTGGATCTCATTTAGCGACTATATGCACAGCGAGACGAAATTCACATTTGCGATGCATAATCTGGCCCGTATGGGTCTAATTTTTGTCAAGGATATTCCTTCGTCTCGCGAGATGGTGGAAATGATCGCCAATCGTATGGGACCGCTGCGGAATACTTTCTACGGCTCGACATGGGATGTACGTACAGTCCCAGAGGCGAAAAACGTGGCTTACACCAACCAACACCTTGGGTTTCACATGGATCTCTTGTACATGAACGAACCACCCGGCTACCAGCTCCTGCACTGTTTAGAGAATTCATGCGAAGGTGGTGAATCGCTTTTCGCGGATACTTTCAACGTTGCATACAGGCTGTTGCGCACGCGTCCAGCCGACTACTGGGAGCTGACACGAAGGCGTTTTGGCTATGAATATGTACACGATAACGCAGTCTACTACAACACTTGGCCAGTCTTCGAACTAAATCCGCTATCAGGGGAGTTACAGAACGTCAACTACTCGCCGCCCTTCCAGTCTGCAATTCCAACCTGGAATTCACGTTTCGGGTATTACAATCGCACGACGTACGACAGGTTCTGGAAAGCTATGCACCATTTCACGAAGAACATGGAATCCGAGCATTCTGTGTTTCAGTTAAAGCTCAATCCTGGCGAGTGCGTCATCTTTGCCAATCGTCGTGTTGTTCACGCGCGCAATAAGTTCAATACGACGAGTGGCTCCCGTTGGCTTGCTGGTGCCTACGTCGATCAAGATGCGATGCTGTCTCACTTTGCCCTTCTCAAGAAGAATAACTTGAAATCCTGGATCAAAGGGGACCCAAGTATTATCAATCAGCTCATGCCCAGGGACTATCAACAAGACTTCGAAAAGAAGTAGTGATTGACAGCCAACTCTGAATTGGCTGATAAATTATGACCTGTGGATTTGAAATACATTGCACATATTGCCCAGATAGTACATAGAGTACAGAATGAAGAAATATAATCCGCTAGATCCAAGGTCCAAAAAGGCTACCCCAAGTTTATAGCCTCAGGATGATGCTGGCCACATTCTCTGCAACTTCCACTTGCAAAGTAGTCCTCTACATACCTGGAGATATACAAAGCATTAAATGACGTCGAACTGAGATGTCTTTTCATATCAAGGAAAAACGTTTATCATCACGGTAGGCTTCAGACATCCAGCCCCAGTGTCATGGGTATCATGCAAGGATCAGAGCCCTCCTAGGCGACGGGCTTGCTAACCGAATACTGGGCCATGAAATCGGGATCTGCGTTAATTTCCTCGCGGACCTAAATTCAGGAATGAGCACTTATATCATGCGATTGGACAAGTTGGAGACACTTACAATATCCAACCCACCAACCAGCTCACCGTCAACCCACAACTGGGGGAATGTAGGCCAGTCGGCAAACTCCTTGAGACCCTGTCGAACATCCTCATCGGCCAAGATGTTGAAGAAACCGTACTTGATGCTGCGCTCACGCAGAATTCCAACCAACTGCCTACTGAACCCGCACTGGGGTGAGCTTGGTGTACCCTTCATGAACAACATGACAGGAGCGGCCTTAACCAACTCGGTGAGACGAGCAACGAGAGCCTCCTTCGACTGTTCGGGGGTAAGAGCCGGGGCAGCGGGGACAGCGGTGGCATTGGCAGCGGGTCCAGCGGGGGAGTCAGAGGTAACAGGCGACTGAGTAGCCATCAGGGGGCCATCCTCACGGGACACAGCGGAAAGGGGCGGGGGAATGGCGGATCGGTTGACGCCGTCTGCGGAGGCGGCGCCGACGTGGCGGTCGAGAGCATTGCGAACCTTGATGGGGTCTGAACCGCTGATCGACTCTAGAACCTGGCCGCTGCGCAAGCAGACGACGAAGGGCACCGCAGAGACATCGTATTCCTCTGAGATGTCAGGTAGCTCTTCAGCGTTGATGCTGACAAACGAGACGGTCGGTGGGGTGGTGGCGGGGTACTGCGAGGCGAGGGCGGACAGGACGGCGCTCATTTGTGTGCAGGGCGCAGCCCATGGAGTGTAGAAATAGAGAACGACCAGCGCGGAGGGCGAGAGCGTGGCCAAGTGCGACGAGAAGTCAGCCTCGGAGGTGATCTCGGTGAGCGCCGACATGGTGACCGGGGTGTCTCGTAGTTTGGAGGGGAGTCTGTAGAGGAGAGGAGATGGAAGTCGAAAAAGGTATAAACTGATGCTAGACAGGGCTTAACAAGATTGGGTTAAAAGGAATGAAGGATGCGGCAATGATGTCGAGGAAGAAAGCTCTCGTGCCCAATCGAGGGGAATGAAGACGGTGTGACGAGGGCGAATTTTCCGGGCGATCGCTGTTATCAGATGCGTATTAATGTGCCGGTTCCGTTACGCGGCCGGTATCGCCGCGCCGGTTTGATTACCTTATCGTTATCTTCTCGTGATCGGACTTTTCCATTTTCGCGATTTTTTGACCCGTAGCTTCGACCCTGGCTCAACATCATGGGCCAGAACAAACGCAAGCGCCAGGCTGAGGATCCTGAGCCCGTTGCCGACGTGGCGAAAAATGGCTTTGGCTTTGGCGTGGGTGAGACTTTGTCACGCATGAACGCTGCCTCGCCCGCCGAATCCAGAGATCGCAATGGAACTCATAGCCCGGACAATGCACATTATCGCAACCCTAAGAAGAAGCGCGTGGATGGCGCCAAGACGAAGTACCCTGATTTGACATACGTGGAGGGCAAGATGCAGTCTTCCATCCGGATTGCGGACCTACAAAGCTTAATGCTGTACTGCCTTGCCGATGGTGTTGCACCGCAATGGATTTCTGTCAAACACTCTGGGCACATGCGCAAGGTGGTTGTGTTGATGGTACCTGGCCTAGAAATGGGGATGTTCGATGGCACTATTCCGTTAGAGCCCATTGAGGCTAGCCAAGAAGGAAAAAATGAAAAGCCAGAAGGAGCAGACGAATCGGCCGAAGACAGAATAGCCACCGACTTCAAGAGATGGAAAGACGGCCTCGCTCCTCCAGATCGATCGCATCTTTTCAATCCCCGTCGCCTCTCCTCTGACTCCCTCCCCGAACCATTGCAACCACTCGCTCAGCTATTCCCACATGTTTGGCCTGTGAAAGCCCCAGGCGACAACAAATACAACAAGGTGCATTCGCCTTTACAAGCAATGCTGCTGTCGGCGCTGCCTAAATCAAAAGACGATCCGAAGCACAAAGGCCCCCGCGCGGCCAAGGCCGAGAGAGGCTTCGTGGCTCAGCGAACACCGATCACCGCTTTCATTCACTCATGCATGGACTTGAGCGATAGTGAATATCCTTTGCATCCCGCATTCTTCCCGACGGAACAAGAAAAAGCATCTCACACCGAGACTCGTCAGCGTAATGGTCAGACAGCAGAGAACGGTTGGGTTGATACAGATGTTCCAAGCCTGGAGGCCGGTGATGTGCCAGATGCTGAGGTTGAAAAGGGTAGCATGACTGCCGGTAAAGAAGTACTTGCCGTTGATTGTGAAATGGTGAAAACAGAAGGCGATCATTTTGAGCTCGCTCGCATCAGTATTGTCAACTGGAGTGGCGATGTTGTTCTGGATGAATTGGTGAAACCATCTCGGCCTGTGATCGATTATCTCACAGCATATTCAGGAATGACCGAAGAGGGACTGAAGGATGTTACGACCACGATCGAGGATATCCAAAAGCGATTGCTGGACCTCATCACCCCTCGGACTGTCTTGATTGGGCACTCTCTCAACTCCGACCTCACTGCACTACGCCTCACTCATCCGTTCATTGTGGACACTACAATCATCTATCCCCACCCACGTGGGCCACCTTTGAAGTGTGGTCTCAAGTGGCTTGCTCAGAAGTACCTCAGCCGAGAGATCCAGAAGGGCACCCAAGGTCACAGCCCAGTCGAGGACGCTCGCGCTGTGCTCGACCTTGTGAAGCTGAAATGTGAGAAGGGCGAACGCTGGGGTACCAGTGATGCTTCGAATGAGAGCATCTTCCGCCGAATCGGCCGATCTATGAAACCCGGCAAGACACCCGCTGAAGGCCGGACGGGTGCAGTAGTAGACTGGGGCAATCCCGAGCGCGGCTTTGGATCGCAGGCGACCGTCGCCATCGGGTGCCGAGATGACGAGGCCGTTGTACATGGCATTTCAGCCGCTGTCAATGGGGACGAGACAAATCACGCCATTCCCGGCGGCGGCGTTGATTTCGTGTGGGGACGTCTCCGCAACCTCGAGCAACTCCGCGGCTGGTGTACTCGACTGCCGGATGCGAACAACTCCAATGAATCTACCACTGTGGCTCCTCAAGAAGCACCCTTTGATGGGCCAATCACAGCACCTGAGGCCCTCAAGGACGCCGTCGCGCGTACCGTGTCCGACATCTCTCGCATCTACGAATCGCTTCCTCCATGCACCATGTTCATTGTGTACACCGGCACGGGTGATCCTCGGGAAGTGACTCGTCTCCAAGCGATGCACAAGATATTCCGCGAAGAGTACAACTCGCGCAAGCCATGGGACGAGCTGACTGTGAAGTGGACGGATATGGAGGAGCAGGCGCTGAAGAAGGCTTGCGAGCGTGCCCGTGAGGGATGTGGATTCATGTGTGTTAAATAGTTACAAGATACCACGACCTTGATCATTGTTGATGTAAACGAGAACAATCATCTTTTCGTGCCCGTCAAGGGCTGATGTATGAAATACGAAACCGGGTTCAGCCTCTTCCCACATGAATGATCCATGTACTTCCGTGTCTGTGAGCCGCGGTCACGGACTGCCTTCATACCTGATCTGCGTACGTACAACTCGGTCTCTAGCCTACGAACGCACGCCTCTATACACCTTTCAATCAGGATAGTCCGACTGAAGCCTCGCGTTCCACTAAAGGTACTCCGTTTGTTTGCTTTCGCTTAAGCTTCGAGTTGTATACCAGATATCATTCCTGCGCCGTAGAGACTCAGTAGTGTTGGGGCGATAAGTTTTCAATCTCTTATTGATGTTGCCAGCGAACTCTCCAGGCCTGTGCTTGTTATTCCCTCAGGTAGGACTCTTTCCCTTCAGAATTTGACAGACCTGGAATCGCATAATCTTGGTCCAACGATCTGACCCGTTCCCGCTCTCCCATATGTCGCAATTCATGCAAATTAGATCGTGCCACCGGCCTCGCCGCAAATTATCGTGTCGGGACAGTGCCCGAGGGCAGCCACGAAGGTTGGTGGCCAGGGCAATGATAAGGGGCGCTGGTAGATGTGGCTTAGGCTACGGGTGGACTCCCGCAAAGACGCCTGGATGAGCCTTGTTTCCTTTCCAAGGGACAATAAATGCGTACAGTCACAGGTGTCATTCTTTATTTAGCTGAATACTGCCCACTTATGTTTTCGAACCTTCTCCAAGACCTGGTCAAATCTCAACTAGGATTGTCGATCCGCGTCTGCATTAGCGTGGTCGGCGCAAATTGCCCCGTAATGGCCATCAAAGTTGAATTGATCGGAGAATGAGCTTGGATTCGACCCGACTGATGCGACTCGTGCGATAGGAATACAAATGGTATGTAGAGACATACTTGCGGGGCAAGCGTGGACTACATGTGCCTCCGTTGGATCTGAGAACTGAAGTCAAGGTGTTAGCGGAGTAACCCAAGATGGTAGGTTTATCCGTGTTACATGAGCCCCGACTTGGCTAGGGATTTCAATTCGATGCTCGATTCAATCAGAAGCATTTCAAACACTCAAATTCCTCACTTCGTGCCCTCTTACATGCGCTGCCGTGAGAACCATGCATAACCGCTACGGCGGGTCTATCAGATATAATGGAGACCGGGTACGAGGAGAAGGACATCGCCAATGCCTCAGCTCGCCGTACCTCCGATGGCGATATCGGCACTGTCATCGACAACACCGATGAGCTGAAAGGACATCTGGGCAATCGTCAGATTCAACTTATCGCCATCGGTGGATCTTAGGAGACGATCGCATTGGGACCTTGAAACAGCGACCAAACATTGGCTTTCCCATTGAATGTTATCACTACCCTGTACTTCTTCTTCTTGAAGGTCGTCTCCATAGTCGGGCTTTGTATAATGGTTTGGCGTGACTTTGGAAGATCGAATGCACTTCATCAAAATAAGCATTGCATGATATGGACCTTTTGCAGCCCCATGTGAACCTTTCACCTGTGCCTGAATGTAGAGAGAGAACTGTGGAGTATATCGGCTCCCATTAGTCAAACTAAACCAACCACAATATCGCATTGCCACGGAGACTTGGATCTTTTGCCCCACGCAAAATGTCACAGGGCGCATTTTTTTTAAGGGTCCCGCAAAACCCAATGAGTTTTTTTTTTTTCTATCTGTTTTCTGCCCTCAGTAGTTCTAGCATTTCGAGCCAAGCTTCCTCGCAAGATGGAGGACTTGGAGGTTTCTGATCAGGATGAACTCGCCATCTCTAATCACCACGAGGATCATCTTCCACCGGTCGATCGCGGCAAAGGCGCGTACCTGTTTCTCACCGCCTGCTTCATGCTCGAGGCTTTGATCTGGGGTATGAGAAGACTCATCCTCCGCATGCGTATGTGGAAGTATACTCAATTGACGATTGTTTCAGGATTCACTTTCTCGTATGGAGTCTTTCAGGATTACTACAGCTCCCATGAGCCATTCAAGAGCTCAGGAGACATCGCCGTCATCGGTACCTGTGCAATGGTCAGTCATTAGACCTAAGTAATTGTCAGCGCACAATTAATGATTGAATAGGGAATTTCATACATGCTACTTCCTGTAGCATTCATTCTCCTGCAGGCGTTACCCCGCATGAAGCTATGGGCCGCGCCAATTGGCTTCCTCATAATGTGTCTAGCCATCGCCATGAGCTCATTCGCTACCAACACCGGACAGCTTATTGTATCGCAGGGTGTCGCGTATGGCATCGGAGCCAGTCTAGCTTACGCCCCGACCATTATTTTCATGGATGACTGGTTCGTGCAAAGAAAGGGATTGGCATTTGGAATTATGTGGGTGAGTCTTTACCATTTTTCCTACAAATCTCCATACTCCGTATTCATATCTGTAGGCTGGGACTGGCCTGTCCGGCGTCATTCTCCCAATCGTCATGCAATGGCTTCTCAACACCTATGGCCACGAAACGGCTCTGCGTGTCTGGGCAATTGTCCTAGTCATCATGGGTGGACCACTTCTTTTCTACGTTCGGCCCCGTCTTCCGATCTCTCGATCGTCCCGTACTCGTCCATTCGATTTCCGATTCCTCTGGGATGCGACCTTCTTGATCTACGAAACGGGCAATATACTTGAAGCAATGGGTTACTTCCTTCCAACCATTTATTTACCCACATACGCCCGAAGCCTGGGCGCAAACAATATCCAAGCAACACTAACAGTCATGCTATTCAACCTTGCATCCGTGTTTGGCTGCGTGATCATGGGCTCGATGGTCGATCGATACCACGCAACGACCTGTATTCTCATGTCCACGGTCGGGAGTACCATCGCCGTATTTTTGATCTGGGGATTATCCGTCAGCCTGGCACCCTTGTATATTTTCTGCATTTTCTACGGTCTCTTTGCTGGCTCCTTTACATCTACCTGGCCGGCTGTTGTGAATGAGATTAGGAAGAAGAGTCCCTATGTGGAGCCTAGCATTGTCTTCGGTGTCTTGTCGACTGGTCGAGGAATTGGCAATATTGTGAGTGGTCCGCTCAGTGGAGCTTTGCTAGATCAGAATGCTTGGAAGGGCATGGCTGCGAAAGCTTATGGTTCTGGATATGGCCCCTTGATTGTTTTCACGGGTGTTTCTGCGTTTTTGGGTGGTCTTGGGGTTGTTGCGAGATCTTCTAAGCGCCTGAGTTGAAGGTATTCGGAGAGGCTTTTTTTCTTTGATGTGCACTTCATGTGCTGAATGGTTTTTCAATGTTCAAAAGTTTGCATTAGTGGGTCAACGGATGTGGGCCAGGCATAGTATATACCAATTGCCATGGTCCGCATAGGCTTCATCCACCTCAGAGAAGCAGCACTGGAGTCGTGACACACCACAATTCATCGGGTAGATTCAGTTGGATTGAGACTTCTATTTATACACTTTTGTCGCTGCCAGACATCACATTCAGCTCCACAGGGAGCAAGTAGGTCCACATCCAATCTCTATTATACATCACATGCAGCCAGAAGCAAAAGACAGCTTCTTGTCAGGAAATTCCACCATATTCACACTCATCGCGAGTTATCCATTTCCATCGCCTCCTCGCGCTCCAAAGCCAGCTTGGTCATGACGTCCCGCGCCGCGACCTTTGCTCTGCGCTGCTCCTCCAACACGACCTCCCCATTGCCATCCACTTCGGAGTTGCGAATTCCGTTGGAGGTCATGCTTGAGGTATGGCCGTTCCTCTGTGAGTCACCATTGCTCCGATTGTCTGTGGAATCTTGGGAAATCTGATTTGTGTCCGCTGTTCCCGTTTGATCTTTGAGCCCCGAGGGTCCCACAGAGTGCGGGCGAAGACTGCGCCGAGGGCGGGCACGACCTTTAGGAGCAGTGACTGGGCCCATTTCGTCATTTGGTTCTCCGACCAGCTGTTGGGTCGGCGGTGCAGTAGGAGGTGCTTTGAGATTAGAGTGGCTCACAGACTTCCTTGGTCGACCTCTTCCCTCGTGGAACTAGGTGCGGGGTTTGGTGCATCTGCCACAGGTTGAGTAATTCGTTGTCGCTTGGCGGGACTCTGATCTGGGTTGACAAAGTGCCCCTGGGGGGTATTTGATGCAGCGCTTAGACTCTGGCGGCGGCCTTCTATACACAGCGGGGGTGATGTAGATAAATGACCGTATCTGTGGCTGTCCTCCATTTCTTCAGATTCTTTGAGCGGGACTCGGGCCGAGTGGATAGGCAGGTCAGCAAGTGAGAAGTCATCCACCATTTCCTCCTCATCGAATGAATCTGCAATCTGGTCGTTTCGCCCATTCGAGAAAGCGTCGGGCCAGGCGCGTTTCCGTCCAGCCTGCAGCAGTCCAGGACTCTGCACCTCTGGCAATTGAACGTTCATTTGATGGCCATAATGATCAGAGGGTCTGCGGTCCTCCATGAAGCGGTTCTTCAGCTTCAACGCCTCGATCTCTAATTTTAATTTCTCAATTTCGTCCGATTTGGACTTCAGCTCTTTCAATACGGTGGCGATCATATCAAATCCGGGACCACTGTTTGGTCCATGGTCTCCCAGGTGTCGATGTGGGCCATTCAACTCAATGCGGAGGGATGTAAAGGAGTGCTTCAAGTCGTTCATGGTATCTTGGAGGTTGTTGACCGAGCTCGAGATTTGATCGATACTCCGTCCTTGATGTTGCATTTGTTGTTGCACCGAGGGATCCGAAGATTGGACATCCCGAGGGCCCGAAGGCACCAAGGCTCCGTCTTGTATGGCATTGCGTTCTCGGCGGGGGGGTTCTTTCGGGGGGCAGAGACGCTCGAGTGCGCCGTCTTTGAAAATGGGTTCGGCGGTCCGCATGGTAACAATCTCCCTAAATGACACTTTGGACATCTTCCATAGGATGTTTGTTCTGTCGCAGATTAGCGCGTGTAAACCATATACATCTGACTATATCGCGCTTACCCGTTATCTAGGATGCAGAGGACACCTAGCTTCTGTTGACACAACTTACAGGTAATTTCCTGTATTATGCGCCCCCGTAGCAGATTCATATCCGATGTCTGGGGAATCTGCTTCCGCTCCGAACAGACGGAGATACGGTGGAGATTCACACTCTGCCATGCTGCCGCAATGGAGTATGAATTAGATAACTTGGCCCATTCATTCTCCAGCACGGCCAGCGAGCTCGAGCATCGGATACATTGGGTCAAGATTGCAGGTCTTGTGAGACTGGTTAAATCCATCTTGAGCAATGCGACAGAAAGAGCACCGAAGAATCCCAGGAGGAATCCACATGGTAAAATGCTGAGTCAGCGTTCAACTCATCAGAAGCCACTAGTCCCGATTAGGACTATCGATAAGGGCATCTGGAACTACGTCATTGCAGGGTCCAAACCAATGTGGTACATTGCATTTGGCTATGTTTCGGATGTGGCTGAATGTGCTCCGACTACTGCAAAATGAGACACTTAGATGTCTCGAACGCAAAATTGGTCCGGATAGTCACGTGATGTCCTCTTCCCCGCATGTCTCGTTCGAGGCCTGGCGTCAAGACCGAGCACAAATCCATGAATCGCTCGCTTCGCTACTTATCGCGGCCCCTGACGGCTGCAAGGTCATTTACCCCGCTCTCGTCGGTATATCTCACACGAAACTTCCCAAGAGCGTATCTCAACACAGGCGCAATGGCGCAGAACTCCGCTACTAATGGCAAACCCAATACCTGGCAAGGTGCTGGAGCTGCTGAGTTTGACTTACGCAGTATGACATTCCTCTGGATTAAGTTCTTCCTTTTCCTAATGTTCACAATTCTAGGCGATACGATGACCAAACCAACCCCGTCTATGCTCGACGCGATCTGCCAGACCACCTTGTTAGACGACGTTTTCAACGAAGACCCTACCACCAACACATTACAAAACTATGTGGCGGAGCGGACTCAGCACGAAGCTGCGCTTCTAGTCCTTTCAGGCACAATGGGTAACCAGGTTGCTATTCGCTCGCATCTAACCCAACCCCCATATGCCGTCTTATGCGACCATCGATCTCACATCATCTGCTACGAGGCTGGGGGTGTGAGCGCCTGGACCGGAGCAACGGTCCAGACCGTGGTACCAAGAAATGGCATTCATTTGACTCTTGAGGATATCCAAAAACACACTGTTCTCGATGACAACATCCATCACTGTCCTACCAAATTGATCAGTCTGGAGAACACCTAGACGGTATGATCATGCCTTTGGCGGAGGCTCGGCGTATTGTCGAATGGGCTCACGAGAACGATATCAAGGTGCATTTGGATGGCGCAAGACTATGGCAGGCTGTTGTGTCAGGCGCCGGCAGTCTGTCCGAGTACGCGAGCATCTTCGACAGTGTTAGCTTGTGTTTCTCTAAAGGTCTTGGCGCCCCGATCGGTAGCATCATCGTTGGATCTCAGGCTTTTATCAAGAAGGCTCGCTGGTTCCGCAAGTCTATTGGAGGCGGTGCCCGTCAAACCGGTGTCTTTGCTGCCGCAGCCCGTGTCGCCCTCGACGAAACCTTCGGAACAGACGACCACGGCCAGACTGGCAAGCTATCCGCCACCCATACCATGGCTAAGCGGGTGGAGGAACTCTGGACCAGACATGGGGGCAAACTGCAATATCCCGTGCACACCAACATGGTCTGGCTAGATCTTGAGGCGTCCGGAGTGGGACCCAATGACCTGTCAGTGATTGGCAAGGAGAAAGGTCTAACATTACTCGGTAATCGAATTGTCATTCACTACCGTAAGTATCTGCCCAGAAGCAGTCTACCGTAACGACTTCAAAAAGCTTACGTATCGCAGAGGTCTCCGATGAAGCGATCGCGCGCCTCGAACAGGTGTTTGACATTGCTATGAAGGGTCAGTATCAACGTAGTGATGATACAAGCAGAGCATATGGTAGCAAACAGACCTGAGGTGTAAGCATCAATACCCGTTGTTTAGCTTTTGCACATAGAGGTACATAGAGACAAAGAGTAAATAAGATTTGAGGTTGCATCCATGGAAAGTCACAAGACGGGTTCCAGCTAACCGGGACCCAGAACTGACAGACTGGGACCTCGGATTTTATGACTAATCATAGGTCCCATTCCCCATAAAATCCTAGGTCCTAAGTCAGCTCCAACACCTGAATAGGACCCAGAAATTCCTAAGTCCCAGTTAGCGTCTATATATAATTTATATAGACTTATCCTAGAATATATATACTATTACCTAACGGTTTAACTAAGGTAAACCCCTATATCTCTAAATCAACATGACATAAGCTTCAGGTAAATCGGATAGTTGAAAGTTATTAGATAATTCATTCACCTTTGAATGAACTTGCAATAGTGGTATCATATGGAATTAGCAAGGCAGCGATTAAGTAAAGTTTTGTACTACTGTTTTGAGATCTCCTATCTTTTGCCTATGCAAAATCCAAAGTAGACTTGGCAGCTCCATCTTAAATTACATATTTGATGTAGAAACTGTTGTATATTCACTCCACACTCCAATCTTCTTGAGAATTCTGAAGCTCAGCATAACAAGAGCTCAATTTTTCCATTCCTAGGTTGATTTTGGCTAACCCTGTGGCATAGAACACCAGTTTTGTCCCTGATCTACGAAATTACGTATCGTAGAGTTTGGCTTGTGTTTTGGCAGAAGATACATGCTGAAGGTGAGTTCTCTTGGGCCAGTATCTCGTGTGGCACATTAAAAAAGACAATATTAACTGTCGAATGGCAATACTAGAGACGCAGCACTCATGTAGCCTTTTGATTAGGTCTCTCATTTTATTGTTAATTCTCTAGGAAAGAGACATCATATCCACCAGACATAGACCAGAACCGTTCTCACAGAACATAACGAAAGTGGGGATTCTACTTGTATTTAGTTGGCATACGCTATTTGGATAGTCTAGCCTTCACTCACCGTGAGATCAGTTAGATCATTATCAAAAGCTTGTTCATAACTCTCACTCACGCCACTGGCGTCTCGGCGCTTGTTTTCCGCTTGGACATTTAACCGATACCACATGGAAACAGCTGCTGCAAGACAAGCTGTGACCAGGGTTATAATAAAGCCCGGGCGATATCTGGGGGCGGTGCTTTCGGCAAATATGAGTGGTCCGATGAAGTTTCCTGGAATGCCGTCAGCTTTAGGGCACAAGCCAGAAGCAAGAACGCAAACGAACCGACACAGTATGCAATATATATCCCCGAAGACACGACAACTCGCTTGGTGTAGCCAGCTGTGTTGGCCAACTGCAACCCCATGAGTACGGCATAGCTACCGCCAAACGAAGACAGAAGATAAACCCCAATAAGCAAACCTGGTCGGTTAGTCCACGGCAGGAGTAAGAGCACAAGGCATGCAGCCACAACACCCAGCTGTACCACCACAATAATTATGGTGCGTGACTGGGGAATCTTGTATGCGGCAAATGGTCCAATCAATTCGATCAGACCACCCCAGAACCCCGCCGGCATTCCTAGGAGCAAGGAATTGAGTGGATTGAAACCAAAGCTGTTGATAATGATCGGAGCAAATGAGGAGACTGGCCCGTTGGCGATGGTGATTAGGAACGCCATCACACATACGAGAAGAAACCGGATATCCGTGATGGTTTCTCGAAGCTGGTCAAAACGAAATGTAGTGTCCCGGACGCCTGCATTGTTTTGCCGCACCCGGGCTAATGCGATGTATCGCTCACGGTCGCTGAATCCATTCGCGTTGAACGGATCGGACGGAAGTAAAAATGCCACAACCAAACTCCACAAAAGGGTTACGCCGCCAGCAAAGATGTACATGTATTGCCAAGGCTGCAAAGCACCATCCGTGATATGTCCGATGCCGTAATTGACCAGTGGGGAGAACATGGAAATGAATCCAGTGCAGCTGTACCATATCCCCATCCGATAAGCCTGCTCTGTTTTGGTATACCAAGCACCGACCAAGAGCATGAAGATTGGCGGCACTCCTGCTTCGATTAGTCCGAGAAAGAAGCGCTGTGCATACAGACCACGGTAGTTGAAGACGGCCGCTGTGCATGTCATGCAAACTCCCCAGATAGCGCAGATCCCGCCGGCCACCAAGCGGATATTGTATTTCTGAGCTATGAAAGTAGCCGGATATGCGCCGCAGATAAATCCGAGATAAAAAATGGAAGCAGACATCGAGTAACGGTTACCGATGTTAATGGCTAGATCTTCCTTGAGGCCAAAGATCGCCTGCAGACAAGTAAGTGTCAGTAAACGTTCCTGAATAACATAGAGAAGAATAATCATGAAAGTCTTACAGCTTGACCAAGAACGGCTTTATCATAATACTGAAGCGCATAGGTGCAGCATAGGATACTGAGCAGCTTGCGGTCAATCTTATGCCTAAGCTTGGCCTCTTCGGCAGGTTCCCAATCCCTTGGACCCGAGTACCCATCGAAAAATGTCTGAATATCCTTTGATATCAAATTTGGATCAATTGAAATGTCTGGGAGTTGAGTAGCATGGTCGACGTTCTCTGCACATGGAGGAGTATCTTTCTCTTGAGCTGACGAACGACCCATATTGTAGGAGCAAGAAACTGACGTTTAAGACTTGGATGCATGATGATTCTGGGGAATATATTTATAGTAAGCAGGGTCTACTAAATCCCCGCATACGTAGGTAGGGACCGATTTAGGCACTAGGTGAACCGGGCGTATGCATATCGGATTACTACGGCTAACGATTACCAGAATGAGACAAAGCAAAAGATAGCTTTCATGAGACTTCAAATAACAAAACGTCTAGAGCGTTTGAAATTATCCACCATGCAAGTCAGCAGGATGAAGGCTTGTATGGAGAATCCGATGTCACCTAGCTCACCCCGTCTAGGCCAAACGCGCGCCAATCGTCTTCGTCTCAATGAGTCTTACAAAACGCTCTTTGTAGCGGCCTCGGCCCCGGCTCCGACTTATCAAGCTCGGCAACCACTTTACCCCAGGTATCCCGCGTACCCACTGCCTTGAGGGCGGCTGGATGCTCTCCAAACCCCGGAAATCTCGATCTGAAAAGGAAAACCCGCGTATCTTTTCAGTCTCGATGAGATACTTGACTTGCTCCCAAGTAGCCGGCACCATGTGCGGCTCATATTGCTCGTACGGACCCCAATGTAGCCGACAATGCTGACATTCTTAATAACACCCGATTCATGGCAATCTTCTCGACCGCACCACCGGCGAACCCGACAACCACCAGCCTGCAGCCCCACGCGGCACATTTCAACGACTGGTCTATCAGACTCTGATCTCGGTTAGCAGACAGCTTCACGCATCCATTCTAATGTTATCTTACCACCGGGTCGAGAACGACATCCACCCCTTTGCGTCCGTTACCCTCGCGATGCTGCTCGCACAGGCCAATGATCTGCTTCGTCCAATCCTTCTCCCGGTACTTTATCACGTAGTCTGCTCTATAACCCTGACAGATTTTGCATTTACGAGGGCTTCCAGCCGTTGCAATCACCGTTGCCCCAAGGGCTTTCGCAATTTGTATTGCAGATAAGCCCGCAGCGCCAGCACCTGCGTGGGTTAAAGCCCACTCCCCGGATTGTATCTTGCCTCTCGTAACCAGGCCTGCGTAGGCAGTGGGTACTGAGACGTGTAGTCCTGCTGCGTCTTTGAAACTCCAACCGGAGGGAATGTGGATGATACATCCGGATGGAACAAGGATGTGTGAAGCATAGGCACCACGACAGGAGCCAAACACTCGATCCCCCACATTGAAAGTCTTCGAGCTTGCTGAAGTTGTAACGTCTGATGTTTTTACATCACTTTTAGAGATATCAACAATTATCCCCGCGAATTCCATGCCAGCTATCCACGGAAATGGCCGCTGTTCCTGGTACTTGCCACAGACTTGAAGCATATCAAAGAAATTAACTCCCCACGCGAAGATCTTCACCAGATATCTCTCCTCGTCGGGACAAATTTTTTGAAGATCTGTGATAGTCAGTTCTAGCGGGTCGAAAACAAATAAACGTATTTCGATTGTTTTCATTGTACTGACTAAATGGCAGTGAACAAAATATAAAGTGAATCATCGATGTGCAGATCCTGATTAAAAACTGTAACCTTTGGTATATCCGCTGTTCTTGAAACATAAAATAAATCTTAGGTGTCCCTTCATATGTACGAACCCTTTGATGTTGACTGTTGTTTGACACATCAGAGCCATAGCACCTCGGGTGTCCGGCTAACATTACCAAGCGACTATCTTGACGAAACTACATACGCGAACTGACCCGATTGGCAAGCTTCCCACTTCAACGTTGAATTACCAATTGGATGAAAGAATTCTGGCAACCGCTCCATATGCAGGACTACATCAGTGCTCATTGCAATTTTCATCCTTCAAGCAACATGGAAAGCCAGTCACAGTCAAAATAGAAGGTCCTGAAAGAGAGGAGAAAGAGGATTTGATTCCACAGAAAGCAGCTAGCTATCTCTCTCTTTGCCTCGAGCCTGAATATTATGCGGCCCACAGGAGGCGAAAACCTGTGGCGAACAGCCCGCGGCACCTGATGAAGTTATGTCTGTACCAGTGGTTCAGCAGAAGTGACTTGCCAGATAGCAGGTGGGAGGGTCCATGAGTGTACCAATCGGATAATCATACGATCTCTTAGCACGCATCAAGTAGCCAGCTTCATCTAGGCTACACTCTGCGTACCCAGCATTATAAACCCTAAGGATATTGCGTAAAGGTCCTCTCCGATGCCAGTGAGATTTCCTGGACTAAAAATTATCGCGGGGAATTATTCGCGACTGGAAGGAGCGGAAAGTGTTGGGAATCTATTTAGATTGGAGCGGAGGAGGCTATCGTGTTCGGTGACCCAATTTGAAGCTGTCGTAATAGTGGAGAATATGCTGGCTGGCATTGCCAGTAAGTTTTAGGGCTCTAGGCCATAATTTGCAGTGGGAAATAGGAAGAGAAGCAAGGCTGAGAGGAAGAGGGGCGTGAGAGACAGTTTACTTTCACTTCAAGTGTGACTTGAACCAGGTTATAACGTGTTTCGGTGAAGTTAACTACATTTTCTTGAGAACCATGGTCATCATTGATTGGTATTATGATGACAATACTATCAAAACCCGAACACGAATTTTTAATCCTGCAATCAGAGAACAGTGCCTTCCTGGGTCGATGCTGCCCCATTCCGTGCCCCGGTAATCTATTGCCTAAAACGGTAATTGTTAACCGAGTCATGATTGACCCGAACAATCCCAATCCCCATAAAGCCCCTTGTTCATGGTAAACAACCAAATATACCATTCCGGCTAACGATGAAAGTGTCCCGAAGACACTGGCCGTTAGTTCTTGAACCACCTTGCGACCGACCATCCGTGATTAGGAATCTTAACTCAAGTACGCCTTCTAGAATGACCAGATGGGTAACGATTATATCGCTCTTAGTGTTAGACAGTGGCACTCAATGAGTTAGTTCCTCTAGACCTTTAAGCTTAAAACTAAATGTTCGTAGTAGCAGCAGTAGTAGTATGGATCTCGGAGTCACGGTGGCTCCCGTGGCAGAATCCTACCCGGCAGTAGACATACGAACTGTACGCCATTACTCGTCAATTGCATACACTATCAAGATATACTAGAACATATCCGCGGTATTTTTATGATGCGTTGTTTCCGAGGTATACATACAGGCAAGGAATTTCCCATTATGTTCCCCGAAACAGTCAACTATCTGCATGTCTGTATAAGAGGGTACAAGAAGTTGATTTATGGTCTGTGACCACGTTGTATTCTTCAACTTACCAACAAGTGTGTTGCAGCTTTTCACCCTCTAAATCATGTCTGACGGTTCAATTCGACAAGGCATTGACCAAGCTGCACTGGATAAATACCTGCAGCAAAATCTCCCCCATATCGACCTACCCTTGAGGCTTCGCCAGGTAAGAGCCAATACACCGTTTGATCTTATCAACATCATTTGCTTACCTTGACGGTGGTTTTAGTTTGGTGATGGACAGTCGAATCCAACCTATCTGCTCATCTCGCCGTCTGGTCAGCGGCATGTTCTCAGGAAACAACCGCCTGGCAGCCTGCTGTCCGGGTCTGCTCACAGGATTGACCGGGAGTACATGGTCCTGAAGGCTCTTGGAAGCACTGAAGTTCCTGTCCCAAGAGTCCTTCGAATGTGTCATGACGCGAGTGTACTCGGAACCCCTTTTTATGTGATGGAGTTCTTAGATGGGCGAATCATCACCGACCCCCTCCTAGCCGAAATTAAAGAAGAGCACCGGTACGCCATGTAAGTCGAACAATAGTTGTCAATGGTAGCATGGAACTAACTCTAAGAATACAGGTGGCGGAATGCTGCGCGAGTGCTCTCAAAAATCCATTCCACTGACATAGAAGCTGTCGGATTGGGAACGTTTGGTAGTCGATCTTCATTTTATAAACGCCAATCAAAAACCTTTACAAAAATCTCCACTGCACAGCAAAAAGTGAAGGACCCCAGCACAGGGACACCGATCGAGTCCGTGCCACACTTCAAAGATTTGGTTGCGTTCTATGAAGACGTCAACCATGCTCCAGTTCAACGAACAAGTCTGGTTCACGGAGATTATCGCATTGGTAACTTGATGTGGCATAAGACAGAGCCTCGGGTGATTGGCGTTTTGGATTGGGAGCTAAGCACTATTGGTCATCCACTGTCTGACGTTGCCAGCCTGATAGACCCTTACTCGCGGTATTACTTCGGGCAGAAAGCCACACAACATGACAACCCCCGCAATGACAAATTCGGCACCGATGGGCATCCCTAACCTCTCTCTCATTATGCAGTGGTACGCCGAAGTAGCGGGGTGGAATCCAGAACAGGAATTATGGTGGGGATCCTCATTCCATGCCTTCCGGGACGCTATCATTATGCAGGGCATTAAGGCAAGAATTGCAGCTGGACAAGCCAGTGGTGGCTCCACGGCTCACGAGCATGCTGCGAGGATGAAGCCAGATGCTGAACGGGCGTGGAGAATTGTACAATATTTGCTTCAGACACCTGTATCAAAGCTATGATGTCTAGTATGTTAAATGAGAAATTTATTTTTCACAGCGATAGGATCAAGGGTCTAGAGGCTTGACAACCTAGACAATCCAGTGGAACAAATATACTTAGGGATTTTATTTGATGTTCTGATCAATGTCGTTCTTTTTGCTAATAAGATTTATTCCAGTGTCCACTAGCTACAGCCTTATCAGTACGGTCTGGTCATATAGTAAGTAGAATGCATTCCTTCTGCAACCTTGTCGGAGCAGAACCCCCTCCCCAACAAGAGAAAGAAATTAAAAGGCCGCGCGGAGAAATGAATGAGATTCTCATTCTATCATTGTCCTTTACTTAGCCATTGGGAAAAAGTAAATCGCTTCCTCGAATGAAATACCCTTAACAGAATTAGCGCCATCCAGTCGCCCCGCCCCTTCATCGTCAATGCCCTGCTAGGGTGATGCTTGCGTCAACCAAGGTTTGTTCACTCGAAGGGACTGGGGCGACCAAAAGACACGAATATAGTTAAAACCGTGAGAGGAATGTCGGAGCCGAATTAATTGGTTGTATAAAGGAACACAATGCCTCGGAATCCGCTTACTCGGTTACGTAGCTACAGTACTCTGAGAGGAATCCCGTTCTATGTTTGAAAGATTACATTACGGAAGCTCGGATGTTAACAAAATCCGAAGTACTACCCGAGGCTCATTTGACCGCAGTGCAATCCAGCGATTCAAAAACAAAAGATAGCCAGCTCCGACAGCTGCCCTGTTTGAAAAGTCTTCATGAAAATTTTGTACATTCTGAAGTAACAAAATGTCCCAACGCCTCGGTCAGATATCCGATCACCTTTCTGTGAATAAGGCCCAGACCAGGCCGCTTGCCCTACTTCACGACCAAGTTGTATTGATTACTGGAGGAGCACAAGGTTCAATCACAACAGGCTAATTAGACTTTCATCACAAAGTGCTAACATGTTTCAATTAGGACTGGGATCAGCAACTGCAGAGCTCTTTGCCCAGCATGGCGCAATCATTGCAATCAGCGACTTGGATGAGGGCAAATCTCGAGAATTAGTTGAGAGTCTCCGGAAGAATGACACAGAGGCAGAATCGTTCTCCGGGAATTTGATGGATCCATCTTACCCCGAAAGGCTTGTGCAAGCTGTCATTGCGAGATTTGGGAGAATCAACTGCCTCGTCAATAACGCCGGTAGGTTATAAGCTATGTTAAATCTGCAATGATCTTGGGCTAACAAATAATTAGGGTTTTTAAATGACAGGCAAGTGTTGCAAAAGCCTCAGCCTCATATACTTCAAAAAACTAACCGCTCGTGCTCACACAGAGCAATTCACAAGATGACAGATAGCCAGTGGGATTCGATCATCCAAATCCACAACTCAGTGCCATTTCGTATTGTACGGGCATTATCGAGTCATTTCATGAGCCCCGAGACGGCAAACAACCGCAAGGTAGTGATTAACATCTCATCATCTTCTGGGGTTCATGGCCAACTCGGTCAGGTAAGCGTCCACAAATTGGGCTCAAGGGCTATCAAAGGCATGGAAAATTGCTCATACCTGGTAATACGCAGTTAAATTACTGCACTGCAAAATCCGGAGTTGTTGGGATGACGAAGGGTATCGCTAGGGAATGGGCACGGTAGGTAGCAAACCATATTTTGCAGACACAAGATTCTAAACCCACGCAGGTACAATGTCCGATGCAATGCTGTTGCCTACGGCTGGATGGACACTCGCATGACCCGCCCTCCTGAGCCTGGACAGGTATTGAAATTGGATGAAACCGAGATTAAAATCGGAGTGGCAAAGAACGCTACGAAATTCAGGGACACTTCGGACATTCCTCTTGGACGCCCGGGAACTCCAGAGGAGGCTGCCGGATGTCTCCTCTTCCTAGCAAGCAATCTTTCAAGCTACGTGACTGGCCAAGTCCTGGAATGCAATGGAGGTCGCTTCATGTGATAACTAGGCATTGTCTACAGAGAGCCTTTTGGGCGAGATGTGGCCTATATGTACATTTCCGTCTACGTAATGAGACCAGGGACCCCGCCGGTCATGTTGAACCAGGAAATCCATGGATTGATCTAGTATGTGATTTTTACGTTCATACAACGTGTAGGTTGAAAGGAAAACTAATGCTACCAAAAGAACGATGTCAAAATGTCTGCCGCTACAGAAGCTGGATAGATGAGGGTTAGGAAGAAGCTTGTTTCATTCATTTGCAATCTGGTTTAAAATGTAGGATGAAATTCTTCTGGGGCTCCTAGAACCCATTTAAACTGTTCGATGCGCCATTTACAGTTTTATGATGCGCCGGTAAATTGACATAAAGCCATCGGAAGTGGATTTGGAAAGAAAAATTCTGTCTTTAATTTGCGGTCACAATCGTATTAGTGATCCGAGGAATGAATCACCTAGTTTTCCTTTTATTTGATGAAGAACAAAGCATGATAGATGTATTACCTATGGAAGAGAGCATATATTTGCCTATCTCGCGAAAAAGAACATCTGGACTTTGACCTACCAGGCAACGATGCCTTCAGAAACCTGGCTCAACAGCATCAAATAGTGTAGTGGGGAGTTCGGTGTCAGTGCAAGATGGCAAGTACGCTTAGAACTGAGAGGGTTTGCAGAGACCCGCCTCTGTTCCTGTTCAGCGCTCGTGTATTGTCCTGTTTTCTGGGACACCCAAGTCACATCTACGCTGTTGTTACAGTTGTAGGCCCTTCGGCTTGAGATAGTATCACTATACCCACATCTGTATCTCCTTCTCCTTTTCTCCCTGGAGACCGCCCCAGCGTTCTATTCCCACCGTCTATTCGGGAAGCATTGTATATCTCGCAACGCATAGTGTATTTCATTTCCTGTTTCGACCCGTCTGCTGGGTAGACTGCCTCTGAGAGCCTCTCTAATGGGTAGTGGCCATGACAGGTTACATATTGAATACCAGATTGTATCTCGGGAGTTCGGCTTTGGCCGATTGAATTTGAGTATGCCACGGTAAAGGAACTTGAATTGCCTCGGGTACGGTAAAAAGCCATGGCAGACCAGCATTGCCCGCCAACTTTACCCAAATAGAGGGCTGGCTCGGAACTCGATATGATTGATTTGTACACCCACCACGCATTTAATTCTTCTTTGGCCCAAATGAAAATGAATATTTCATAGCAATAACTTGTTTACTTGCTCAATATTGTTATTATTTTCCTATTTACTGACAGCCCCCGAGCCACTATGCCGGTCTTCGAATCCCAATATCCCCCCCATACAAAGTAAGGATTTTAATTATTCATAGCCATGACAGTCACTGAGTTGATAGCAGTCCACCAAGACCAAACTATCTGGGATTGGATCTTTGAGTCTCCCAAATTCAATTCACTGCAGAAATCACCCGAAAAGGTCGGGGGATATGTCAATACAAAGACGAAGCAGCGCCTTGGCTATGGCGAAGTCAAGGAGCTTGCGACCTATCTGTCGATGGCGCTCTACCAAGACCACAACATCCGAGCCGGTGATCGTGTGATCATCTTCAGTGAAAATAGTATTTGGTATCCCGTTGCTATGTTTGGTACCATTCGACTGGGAGGCATCGCCTCAGGAGCATCTCCATTTCATTCTATCAACGAAATGAGCCAGATGATCCAGGTGGCCCGACCGGCGGTCATCTTCGCATCTCTGACACATTTGCCAGTGGCCTTGAGCAGTGCTAAGGTCAATGGTATGCGTCAAGAGCAGGTTATTTTGTTGGAGGGCAGAGCGGATGGCACTGCCAGCCTGGCAAACCTGATATCCCGAGGGAAAGAATTTGCTCAAACAGACCAAGTCCCCAGCTACCAAGTGGCACATGGAAAAACAAATGGAGACGTTTGTGCATTTTTGGGTTTTAGCAGTGGCACGACTGGCCACCCAAAAGGAGTGAGTCGGCCTTCAACCAATTCTAAAGATGACCGTGTTGACATCGGCCCAGGTAATGCTATCTCACAAAAACGTGATTGCACAATGTTTGCAGCTTAGACAGGTGACGGTCCCAGGTCTCACCAGAACCATTGCTGCTTTGCCATTTTTCCACGGTATGTGATCCTCTACGGCTCCCTATCCGGGATCCGTCAACGGTTGAATTCAACATGATTAATTCAACAGTCACTGGCCTCGTACACTCTCTCAATTTTCCCGCTGCACAGAACATGGAGGTGGCCATTTTGCCAGAGTTCACGATGAAAGGGATGCTAGAGGCCTTGGTCGAATACCAAATTGAAGAGTTGCTTCTCGTCCCGCCAATTGTCATTCGACTCGTGCAGGAGCCGATTGTAGATCAGTATGACTTGTCGCGTCTGAAGCGATTTTTCTGTGGTGCAGCACCTCTCAGTAAGAGCGTTATCGCGCAGCTCCGGGCCAAATTCCCCCACACAGGCTTCAAACAGGGATACGGAATGACCGAATCTTGCTCGGCCGTTACCCTGTGCCCACCGGAAATGTACTCCTACGACAATGCACACACTGTTGGGGTGCTTCTGGGGAGCACGGAGCTAAAGATTATCGGCGAAGATGGACGAGAGCTGGGGGTAAACGAACCGGGTGAGATTTTGTTACGTGGACCGCAAGTGGCCATGGGGTATTGGAAAAATCCCAAGGCCACGGCGGCAACTTTTGATGCTGAAGGTTTCCTCCATAGCGGTGATCAGGGAATGATAGACGCCAGTGGGCTTGTCACTATCACAGATCGACTGAAGGAGTTGATCAAGGTCAAGGGAGTGGGGGTTGCTCCGGCGGAGCTCGAGGACTTGTTACTCAGTCACGCCAGCGTGGAGGATTGTGGAGTTGTCGCCATGCCGGACGAAAGAGCCGGGGAAAGACCCCAGGCATTCGTTGTCACCAAGGGGTGTCTACCAAGCCCGCAATTGGGTCACGAATTGATGGAGCTCGTTCGCAAGAGCAAGGCGCGCGAGAAGTGGATTCACGAAATCGTGTTTGTGGATTCGATCCCGAAAAGTGCCTCGGGCAAGATTCTTCGGCGGCAACTGCGGATGCAGCCACAAGACGCAAAGCTCCCTCGAGGCTTGACGGTGAGATGGACACAGTCACAGGCCCGTCTGTGATTCCGTATACTCGCAATGTGGCGACAGGAAAGGTATCTGCGGACTTGACGTCAACGGCAAACTTGGTGCGGGCAGGCGAGGAAGATGCCCAGTACTGTCCGTCTCCACTAGGATACAATTTCTTTGAATGGCTCCTTTTCCAGGATGTTCATTGGGCGGAAGAGGAGACACTGGAATGGTCGCCATTCAAGTGGAATCGATATTGCATTTCAGGCGTTTGTCGTTCACCGTAATTTTACCCGCGGCATTCACTTAGCCAAATAGGCAATCGATAACCGCTCCCCACTACCCAAATTGGTCTTCCTCTCCCCGGAAGTTGACGGATAGAAGCACTCCCAGGAACTAAGCTGGGATTACCAAACCCCAAAAGATTGGTTTTTATGCGGGGTAGTAAAGTTGCGGGGTAGTGGGATCACGTGAGATTGATTCACGAGGACCCTCAAGGCGGATATTATCTGTAATACACAACCTGAGAACATACCACTTGTTGCTGTAATGGACTCCCCGCGACTCAATCCAGTAGAAAGAGCACGGTCGCCTGTTCCGTTCAAACCAGCTCGGAAGAGAAAACGCGCGACGCGGGCGTGTCTGGGCTGTAGAGCCCGCAAAGTCCGTTGCGATGTCGGGCAGAGTGAGCGTGCTTGCACCAACTGTCATCTAGACTCGTTGGAATGTGTTCTTCAACCCAGGAAACAGACCAGGTATGGCAACCTCCGCGCTCCCGCGAGAAAGGGATGGGCTAACTTGTTGGTTTCGCAGACCAATGTGGAACGACGGATTAAAGAGCTATCGTCGCCGACGTCTCTCAAATGCCACTTCCAGTACAAACAAAGAAGAGGCGCTATCAGATTCTAGGGCTCAAGGTAGTTCTTCGCCGCCTGCAGAGGGTGACGGCCGTGATACCAAAGGACAGGCGCAGCAGCCGGCGTCCCCGTCCCAGGAATCATGCGACTCTAGAGACCAGGGCGACAAGCGGTCCGTAGACCCAAGCAACCGCGCCAACAACGCAGGGTCTGGTGTCACTTTCAGTGTCCTAGATCATGACGTACAGGCCACACCGTCGGAAAATTGCTACACGCAGCGCGAATGTCAAGCTGTCGACCTAACCAACCCGCCAAAACAGAGAGGTCTGATGAATACACCTAGCGGACCCACCTACGAAATTCCGGCGTTTATCAAGCCACTCCCAGGTTGGCTGAGCAGTAAGGATTTGGATTATCTGCACCGCAAAGGTGCTCTCACAATTCCTTCAAATCCACTCCGCGGTCAGCTACTCCAGCGGTTTATTGAGTACATTTACCCATTCATGCCACTGCTGGACTTGAAGGAGTTGCTTCAGGCTATTGAGTTGGAAGGAAAAGAATCTGCCCCTCGCGTGAGTATCTTATTATTTCAGGCGATCATGTTTGCGGGGGCTGCTTTTGTGGATATGGCGCACTTCAAAGCGGCTGGATATACCGTTCGGCGGGCTGCACGAAGAGAATTTTTTGAGAGAGTGAAGGTAAGTAATGACGGATCATGGACTTTATACTAGACGCTCAGCTTACTGTATCTGACAGCTCCTCTACTGCTTAAATATTGAACAGTTTGATATCACCCTAATCCAGTCTTTACTATTGATGACACACTGGTACCATGACAACACCTCTCACAAATCTTTGTGGGGCTGGATGGGTATTGCTACGACAATGTCGCAAGCGAGCGCTCTGCACATAGGCGTGGAACATCATGGGCTCAGTCTCCGAGAGCAGCGGCTGAGGAAACGCCTCGGATGGTGCGTCTTCATGCGAGACCAAGTTCTAGCGCTGGGAATGCGTCGCCCACCTCGCATCCAGCTGGAAAACCACCAAATCCCAATCTTGTCGCTGGATGATTTCGAATGCAACTCAATCAAAACGACGGTTTTGCCCTCTGGCTGTACCGTGGCACGAGATCTGGTCCAACAGCGGCATTTGGCAGCGTTGTGTATCGAAGTATTCAAACTTTCCGTTTGCATGAGTAAGGTGTTATCAACCCAATATCGACCGGCCTCCAGGATGCTTTCCGGGGACGATGGCTCGACCTTGGTGCTTGTCCCGCGGCATGAAATGCTTGACGAGAAGCAGTTTGGTGCCTGTAATCAGCACCTGGAGGACTGGAGACGCAGCCTCCCAATGATGTGCATGTATGATTCAATCTCGGCTCTGTCCGCCTGTGAATCGCCTGTGATAGTTATTCATAAAGCTCTCTTGAAGATGATGTATCATACTACAGTGGCTGCCCTGTACCGCCCACAGATCATGCCTTTCTCCCCTTGGTCTCCCGCAACTTTCTCCATCGTCGAGGCGGCGAGAGCCTTACCGAAAACTTCGCAGACAAAAATCTGCTCCGCTGCCACTGAGATAAGCGACATTGGACATGACCTTCAGAAGCTCGGTCTTTTACATTATCTCCCAACCTCCAGCATGACCGCATTTCTGCCCGCACTCATTGTACACCTAATGCACATTGCCTACGCCCGTGAAGAACAGGTGGCTCAGAGCATGCAGCACTTCTCAAGCGGAATGGCCATCCTAACAATTCTCAGTGACAGCTATGCAAGCGCAGAGTTAGCCGTTCACTTCTTGGAAAACACCATCAATCTGTCTAATATGCGGATTAGCCGGGTTGTCCGACTGCTGCATCGTTCGCCCCCATCCGAGCCTGCGAGTTGGCCACAGAGCGTCTCTTTCCCTAAGGTTGATCACTCGCCCCCTGATGAAAACGGACGACCTCGATCTCGATCTGTCGTTTCCGTACCCGACAAAGAAGAACAGTCTTCTATTGCTACATCCATACTCAAAAGCAATCCCTGGCCGGAATGGAGTCTTTGGCTAGACGGGGAACCGTTGGAGTCGAATCTTCTTGACCCCAGCTTGGCTGACTCTTTGGGGTCGCGCCTGGGTATACATGGGAATTTGCAGGCAGAAAATTTAGACTTCCCCCTAGTATCGGACGAAATAAACTTTTTCTCCACAGATATACGTGAGTTTTCCCCTGATTACGAAAGAGCTGTGCTAGAGTGGGAGACTTACCTGAGAAACTCGGAATTTTCAGCCAAGAGCACGCATCTGGGGCCGGAAATGGGCTTTTCACCGGACGGCGATGCATTCTTCCATCCTGTCGAGCCTGATTTGGAAGGAATGAGCTCTGCACTTTTCAGTCACAGTGATCTCTTTCAGCAGTCGGCCCACTGAATGGTCTCAAGTCTGTTGTGCCGCTGATTTCTTCTATGAAATTACCATTATTTTCTTTATTCACGGGCCTAGGCCGATAGAATTGCACATGATATCCATGATTCTATGATATCGATGTCATTAGCGAGTTGATTTTGGTATAACGCTTTTTATACTTTTAGTTTTGTGATCTAGGGTGTTGTATCATATGAGTTAAATAGGATACGTAAAATTGCTTGACAAGAGGAATGTAACAAATGCCGTGTGCGCTTCTTTTCTCTTCAAGCCGATTGATTTTTGGTATACACAATCAGCCGAACTGAGGAAAGCGGCCATTGAACATATCCCCTCGATAGGCCATCAAGCAATGACTTTGCGAGGCATTGATTGACTAGACCCCTCGGATCCCTCTCACATCCGGAGCCGCGGCAAAAATGGGGAGTGAGGGGGTGCCGCGGCCCTAGTGATTTACAAGACGCCATACTTGATTCATCCAATTTTCCTATATATGTAGATCCTTTCGCCCTTCTCATGCTATGCCAGCCATTTTCGATCCGACGAAAACCGAAGGTAGAAGTGGAAAAGATGGCTAGTTCTCATCACGAGGAAGAAGGTCACAGTCAGGTTGCGAATATAATTCCCTGGGATCCGAACGCAAGCTACTTTCCATCTCGCAAAGAGCTTCCACCGATCCCAGGAGCACCTCCCGGAGCCGCTTGGTTCTGGGGATCCGATGATAATGTATGTGATTCCAAAGTGCGCAGGCCTTTACAATCTTAATAACAAGACATTAGATCGGAAGATTGAATCTCCTTACCCCAAGGCGGATAAAGGCGGCAGCAGAACAAATTGAAACGGGAGACTTGGTGCCTCTAGAGTCAGTAAAAACCCGCCCCTTTCGCCTCTGTAATAACGATGCAACTCATATGGTGCGGGCGATTCTCATTATTCTTCTTAGTCTTCCGCTCAGTTTTCCAGATACCCCTTCCTTTGACCGAGAACCGTTTCAACACTCCATCAAAGAGGTAGCAGAAGGGACTGTGTTTGATGATATGTATACCCTCAATACTCAGAGCGGCACACAATGGGACGGATTCCGCCATGTCAGTATACGATTTAGTCGATTTAAATCTGCAAAGGAAGCTATTTAACTTGGATGCAGTTTGCACATTTGCCTACAAAGGTTTTTTACAACGGGGTTTGTCTTTCTACATGAATGGAACGAGAACAAAGCTAAACCGACGTCTACAGACCAGAAAAGAAGACATAGTCGGTCCAAAAGCCAACCACAAGTGCAGCATCCACCATTGGGCAGCACATGGAATTGCTGGCCGAGGCATCCTTCTCGACTATAGGCGCTATGCCAAGATGAAAAATCTGTCGTTTGATCCTTTTGAGCGCTATTCCATCAGTTTAGATGAATTGCGCAAATGTGCCGCCATACAGGGCATTGATATTCGGCCGGAGACAGAAGGAGGCCATATCAAAGTTGGCGACATTCTCTTGATCCGGTCTGGCTTCGTTGAGCGATACCATTATGCCACGGCCATAGAGAGGAAAGAGGCAGCAACACGGCCACCACAAAAGATGGAATGGGCGGGCGTCAAGCAAGAGAAAGCGATGGTTGACTGGCTTCACGACTGCTACTTTGCTGCGGTTGTGGGTGACGCACCGACATTTGAAGCATGGCCATCGCAGGACATTTATCACTTACATGAACATTTATTGGCATTGTGGGGAGTTCCTATCGGAGAGATGTGGGACCTCGAGCGTCTTTCATCAATGTGTGAAAAACATCAGCGGTGGACCTTTTTCCTCACCAGTGCACCAGCCAACGTCTATGGTAGATTCCTCTCTGCTCTCTGCTCTTTGCTTCATACGATGTGGCTGACTTTGAATTCATAGGAGGCGTAGGGTCACATGCCAATGCAACGGCTATATTTTGAGTGAGTGTGGGGAGGTGAAGGTAGCCCTTTTGTCCTAAAGGGGGTGGAAATGGCCTCATCATCACCCCTCGTACATAGTAAAAGGTCGATTTCATTTGTGCAAATAAAGTCCTTTGACCTGCACTGTGCATGGAAATATCCTAGATGCTCCTCAATGTATGTAGAAGACATGCTGATTCCGTAGCATTGGACTGAAGTCTCTTTAATTAGCGTACTACTGTCATTACATTGTGACTATAGATGTACAAGGTAGGGCTGGCATTTTTAACAATCAAAACAAGTAAAAGAGGCAATTCCTCATATTCACAGGATAAGCTCTACCGGGTAGGTCCACCCAGGACGGATCATGCCCTTGCTCAGTGAGCATGATCACAGTTTCTCTTTTCCCTGTTTGCCTGGGACGCCAGAGTATAGGGTGTTTCATGTGACCTCGATGACAGATAGATCGGTTGGCTCTCGGTGGCCTATTAGGAAGTTGCGGCCCCGCAACTGGTTAGTGTTTGTATGTCCGTAACATGAAGCTGAATTCGACTAGTAAGTAGGCAAGAAGACTCTGTCCTAGCGTCCAACTAGCCACTAATAGGCTGGCCGCTAATACTAAAAACACGCGGATGTAAGATATGAATACACCGTAATCTATTTAGTGAGGGCCACTATGGATAAGGTGCCGTACTAGGATTGCAGTATTGATTCCCGACAGTCGCAACCCCATCCACAGTTTTCAGCAAATTAGGGCTATCCACCACACCACCATTATCAGCCCGCTCAGCAAATCTTCACAATTTTCAGATTAATTAGTTCAATAGGATGTGTGAATTTGATAGACCGATTGGAGCTATAATCAGCGAGTTCTACCAAAAAATGTTTCAAAGACGTTTCATGGTCCGGGACATCGCTTTTCCCTACCCGCTCGGCCAACCATAGGCCTCAACAGAACGTCAAGAAACGTCACGAAATAGAGTTAAGACGAGGACCGTGCTCGGCTGGAAGTCTCCCTGCACATGTTCATGGAACGGTGAGCACACGGCCAGGCTAGAGGATCCATTAGGACAATACTTGCGTCAGCTCGACGATGCTCGCTGCATGAGACAGGATACATGGACATGCAAAAGCAAAACAGCGCCGGGACAGCGATATGGTATGACGTTTCCCGTGCTTCAGTTCTTCGCATTTGTTGGGTCGACGGCCCAGACTGGAACAACCCGCTGCTCTGGATGGCCTTCTGGAGAAGCATCCATGCATTTGGTCTCTGGGGTTTGCCATGGTGGTTCTTGTGGTGTGAGGCTTGGGCCGATCAGGAACAAAGCCGGGAAGCTTAAAAGTGGCTCCGGCCCGCGGTGTTCCATTTCCAAATGCAGCAATGCTTCGCCGTGGGAGCTGAGTAATCGTGATCCACCACCGAGCGGATCACGCTGTACTTTCGCCTTACAGTCGCCTTGTAGTACTAACCAAAACAATCTTAATGGTATATTGTTTTCAAGCTGATATTCAATGACTGGCAATATTGTCATCATAATGGTGAGACTAAACCACTTACAATAAGTTTAAATAATCAATTGGCTATAAAATATTACATTATGCGGCTGGGCAATCGTAAATCACAAGGTCTCGTTGAAGTATAAAACTCTAGCTGAATTATCCCACTTGTCCCAATTCCGTGAGACTAGGATGCCCTACTATATCTTTCAACCCATCCTCATCAAAGCTTGGCCACATATTCCCAAGCGGACCCATGGAGACTTCCATTCTCAAGTCCATACATCTGAGCGAGCTCCTGTGCCCGCCTCTGGTATTTCTCATGTTTAGCCCGAACCAATGCTGCAGACTTGAGTTCATCCCGACCAATTTGATGGCGATGAGCAGCGTCAGGCCCGTCCGCCACGCGCACATAGCGCGCATACGTCCACATCTCCGGTAGCGGTGTGTGCTGAGTGAGCCCTTGGCCCCCATAAAGTTGCATACATTCATCGATCACCTGAGCAGCAGCGGCGGGGACCTGGATTTTGCACTGTGCGATGGCGTACCTGCCTGCTTTGTTGCCCAGAATGTCCATAGTGTGTGCAGCATTGAAAACCAAAAGACGCATCGAGTCAATCTCGAGGCGCATGGCCGCTAGCCGCTCAATGTTGCTATCAAACTGCCCGATCAGCTTGCCGCGCGGCTTCTTCCGCTCATCAGTACAGCGAATCAAGCCGAGTTCATAAGCCCGTTCACACTGGCCAACAAGACGCATGCAGTGATGGATGCGGCCGGGCCCGAGGCGGCCCTGCGCTATCTCAAACGCTCTCCCTTCGCCCAGAATAAGGTTCTCGCAGGGCACACGAACATTCTCATAGACAAACTCGCCATGACCCTCAGGCGGATGTTCGTAGCCCATGATAGTCAGATTCCGCTTCATTGTCAAGCCGGGGGAGTCGGTAGGGACAAAAAGCATAGAGTGACGCTTCCAGGGGTCAGGGTTCTCGGGATCGGACAGACCCATGAGGATAATAACGCGGATATCAGGGTTGTAGATGGCGTTTCCAAACAACTTGCGGCCATTAATAACATATTCGTTGCCTTCGCGGTGAATGCGACACGCGAGTGTGCGAGGGTCTGACGAAGCTCGGTCTGGTTCCGTCATGGAGTATGCGGTCAGAAAATCACCAGCGAGCACTGGTTTGAGCCATTTTTCTTTCTGCGCATCATTGCAGTATTTGGCCATTAATTCAATATTGCCGGTATCTGGGGCATGACAGTTCAGGGTTTGCGCGGCCCAGTAGGTTCTCCCCAATAGCTCAGCACAGCATGCATACTCTAGATTCGTGAGACCAGGCGATTCTTTGAAATGGGAAGGCAGAAAAAGATTGAAGAGCCCGGCTTGTTTGGCTCGCTCCCGTAGGTCATGCATCAGTGGCGGAGTGTTCCAGGTATCCTTTTCCAGCTGGGCCTTCATGACGGGCTCTGCGGGAATGCATTCATTTTCAACCCAATCATTGACTTTATAGATTGTTTCAATGGCCTTTGGGGATAAATTCTGCTTGACCCAGATTGGAAAAAGCTTGAACGGCCCATCGGATGGGAGAGTTGAGTAACTGAAGGAAGACATGACTTAAAATATATTGATACACACAGGGTGGTGTGCTTGACATGAACTCAATCAGGGCGAGGATGAAGATGGGAGGAAATTGAGTCACTCATAAAAGCGCCCATATCGGCCAAATTATTTAAGAAAGTTGATCCAGATGGGGGACACTCCTTACCGGTAATCTCGGTAGGTCAACCGAGGCATTGCATACCGAGGGTCTGTTATGTGACTCAAGAGTGGTGTGACTCCCTCGGACAGAAAACTGAAATCAAAGAGATACCCAGATTAAGGCTGACTGTGTTTGACATCCGGTATCATTTCATGGCCAGTGCATTCAGACTTAGTTTCGTTTTCTCGTTTCTTATCAAAGGCTTCTCTTACCTCTGTAATTCCTTTCACTTACCTCATAAAACTATTCGACATAAATCAGGACTTCATAACTTCAAGAGGTTCAAAAATATGCTGTGGCCGGAATTGCCTTGTTATGTACTGCGCTCTTTTTTATAATCTTTTCCTGCCATTAACAGTCATGTCCGCTCTAAGCCACTAGGAAGAAGGCGGGAATGCGGGGAACAGCGCTTTGATGCCTCGCGATGGTGTTGCTCTACCTCTCCATCACTGTTCAGCTCCACGTCTAGGAATAAAACAACCTAAAACGCCTAGGCCGATCATGTAGGAGTAATAAAACGGTGGGGAGGAGGGTTAATTTGGCTCTCATGTTTGTAGGTTTGTGTTTAATTTTATTCATTACTACACGAGACAGTATCTATGACACAGGAACGTTGTGGTCACTTGCTTTGCCAGAAGGCGCCAGCAGCCATAGACACCCTGAAGGAACTTCCAAAAAGGCTAGAGTATAGTAATCCAATAACATAATATACCGCTTTATCAATGCAACTCATAAGCCAAGTCCTTGTTGGAAAGGGTGAAGTACATATGTTGCTTGTAACATACAAACTCAAGGCTTTCTTGAACCAGACCAGAAGCCGTGAGGCAAAATTTCGAGTCACCTCGCTGCGCTCTCAGAATTAGTGCGCACTACATGCTCAAGATGATGGCTTTCGATGTCCGCTGATTGGCAGTCTTGGGATTTCGAGCCGAATTGATCTGGCATGGTCGCCGGCTCTCCAAATGCCCCATTCATGACGTCTAGGCTCGTCTGTTTTGTCTCCGGACACAAAAAGAAAACTAAGACCGTTTGAACACACGTTATGGCCAGTAGAACAGTGAAAAAGCGCCAGGTAATTGCCTCGAGCGCAATAGGACCAGCGATAAGAATGATAATGAGCGCTGTATAATAAGCGACCATGCCGAGGGCCATTCCTTGTGAGCGGATGCGAGTGGGGAAAATCTCCGATAAATAGACATATTGCACTGCGTCAATGAAGAATGACCAGAAAAAAATGCTAAGAAAAACGAAGAAAACGGCAGCTTTCTTCCCTGAGGAGTTGTCGGAGTTCAAGTAAAGTGCCTGCAACGTACACTCGCAGAGTAGCGTGCAGGCCGTTCCAACCAGGCCAATGAGCATGAGTCGCACTCGGCCGTAGCGGTCCACTGTCAACGCTGCCCAGATATTACCTGGGATAGAACAAGAAACCCAAATAGCCGCCAGGATCAGCGGCCATGACCCCGAGAATCCCAGTGAGTTGTAGATGAGAACTCCATAGCTGGAGTTGACATAGACACCGGTAAGCTGGTTGCCAAACATTACTATTGCACCCACTAGGGCACGTCTGCGGTTGGAAGACGTGCGAAAGATTTCGAGGTGGGAGCGCTCTGAGCGAATTGCACGGTCTAGCTGTAGTTGATTCAGCATCTGATCAAAGTGAGAATTCAGCCTCGCCATGCTATCGCTATGCTTTGTGCGATACAATCGCTCCAAGATGACGCGAGCCTCATCCGGTCGGTTCTTCTCCAGCAGCCACCTCGGTGATGCGGGTAGAAAAGGGATACCGGCGAGCAAAACGAGAGCAGGTACTGCATGGAATGCAAGCGGGAACCTCCATGGAAAGGTGGAGGCCATATCGGTGGGCGTGTAGAAGTATCTGGAATCTTTTTAGCACCCGAGCGTTGATAATCAGGATGGAAATGTAAGCTGAAGGGGAGATGCTTTTGCGTACGTTCCGACGCCTATCCAACCGGCGAGGGAATAGCCCACGCCAAACATGATTCCATGCATGCTGACCATTAAGCCCCGGGATTCTGGCGTAGACACCTCTGCCTGATACCTTGACGATATTAATGCTTATCTTCTTTCCGGAGCATGCCCTCTATGGCAAAAGAACTGGTTCCTTCTCAGAGGTCTTACATCGGAATTCCCTATTAGTTTTTGTAAACCGGTCAGTCACTCTCGCTTTTGATAGAAACCCGTCGAATCTGTTATCACTACGGTGACACGTACCATAACTAGAACCCCAACTCCAACTCCAGCAATGAACCGAGCGACCAGGAACATGCTAAGGGCAACCGAACTGATATGTAGATTTAGTAAATGCGCCAAGTCAACACCCAATATGCAACAAGGCTATTCCCACCCAGCACACAAAGCCGCACCAATCACTAATGTCACTGCTCCGAACTGCAAGGCAGTCTTACGACCCAGAGCATCGCAAATCCACCCAGCCATAATGGCTCCCACAACTGAGCCCGCTGCATTTACCCCAGTCATGGCACTCAGAATGTGTGACGTGTGCGCGTATCCTGGCTCGCCAGGCTGGGCGAGATGGAAGGATTCGAAAAATGTAGGTTGCCCAATGGCGACTGATATCACCGACATTCCATAGCTGCAAGAGATGGAGCCCACTGCGACAAATAGAACAATTGCCAGATTGAATGCATTGGGGATTAATGAGCCCATCTTCGCTAGACTTGAAGTCATGCGACAAAAATGATAGAAGATAAGCGAGATCGAATGACAGGGTATTCTCTTAATTATCACGCCGGGCCTAAGATGGTTTTAACTAAAAATATCCCTATGTGGGGGAAAAGAATAAACGAGGAAGATTTCTCACTTACCCCGGGTTTTCCTTTTTGGGAAATGTCCAGCCGGAGTCCCTCGGGCACGGCAATCAACTTTGTCCTAACCACGCATCTGCCCACTTCCATTATGCAGAACCTCGGAACAGGGTCCTATTTGGCTTGGCCATAGGAACATAAAGATGCAGGCGAGGCTTCAAAAGTTCCAAATAACATTTCACAGTGGTCTTATCTAACCAACCGACCGCCCCTACGTATGGTCTTTTGGCCGCAGCAAGAAAAATCTCAGTCGCTCTAACATAGCAAGCATTTGTTTTGCAATCGGAAAACTAAATTCAGAACAAAAAAAGATGTCCTCAAAGGCCCCATTCGGAGATCCCCAGTGGCATACACAGACAGACTCGCCTAACTACCGCGAGTCTCACAGAGCTCTGCAAAAGGAAATTCGCGCATACGTGGACAAGGAAATCCGCCCGTTTTGCACGGAGTGGGAACAACAGGGATGCATTCCTGACAAAGTACGGAAATTAAAAATGCAAGCGGTCTATTTTTTGGTGATTTTGACTCTTCCTAGGTTGTTGCAAGGCACGCCAAACTCGGATACTTTGCCGCCTCGGCATATCCCATCCCAGTTGACTATGTGCAGGGAATTCGACTCCCAGGCGGAGTTGCGCCGGAAGGTAAGAAACTCGGAAATCCAAAAGCGATGTTATGGTATTTTTGACTAAACGCTTTTCTTTAGAGTGGGACGTGTTCCATGACTATATTGTGAGTACTGATGAGCCAGCCAGGCTAAGATCCCTTTTCTCGTACTAACAGTAAGCTCGATTGAAGGTCATCGATGAGATGGCCCGATGCGGCCACCTGGGCGTCGTTTGGGGTATCAATGGCGGATCTACCGTTGGGTCTCCTCCCTTGAACCATTATGGCTCTGTTGAACAGAAGAAGCGCTATCTCGGCCCGCTCCTGCGGGGACAGCAGAGGCACTGCTTGGCCGTGACCGAGCCTGGGTGTATGTTCCAAGTTACCTCTACCGAAGCTCCCATCTCTGACATGTCTTCTTCATAGCCGGATCCGATGTTGCTGGCATCGAGACGGTTGCTGAGAAGTCGGTAGATGGCCGCCACTGGGTGATTAATGGCTCAAAGAAATGGATCACTCAAGGCCAGAAAGCCGACTACTGTCTGACAGCTGCACGCACGGGAATGTCAGGTGCAAAAGGATTATCGATGTTTATGATCCCGATGAATGCCAAAGGGGTTACCAAGCGGAAGATGACGAACTCAGGCGTCAGCTCCAGTGGTGAGTCTACCCAGTATGCCAGGGGCTTGAAAACTCCTTGTTAACCCAGTGAAATAGGATCCACATACATTGAGTTTGACGATGTTGTCGTCCCGAGTGAGGATTTGGTTGGAGGAGAGGGTGAAGGGTTCGCAATCATCATGTCTAGTATGTTCTCGACCACGCCCAGTGCCCATCAATTCCTGTGCGGAACTGACAAAAGAAACCAGCCTTCAACCATGAGCGAATTTGGATGGGTATTAACGCATTGCGGTTGGCTCGCGTGTCCCTGGAAGACGCGTACGATCATGCGCTGCGTCGTGAGACATGGGGTAAGAAGTTGATCGAAAACCAGCTACTCCGAGTCAAGTTCACCGAAATGGCGCTCCTTATTGAGACTTGCCATTCGCTTATGGAGAACGTGGTACAGCGCTCTCGTCTAGTGTCCGCGTCAGATGTGGAGCTCGGAACGTGGGCCGGTATCCTGAAGGTACAGGCAGCTCGCACTTTGGAGAAGGTAAACCGAGAGGCACAGCAAGTATTTGGGGGTCTTGGATATTCTCGGGGCGGCGCCGGCGGTAGAGTTGAACAGATTAGTCGCGATGTTCGGGTCATCGTTGTGTCTGGTGGCAGCGAGGAGATCCTGCTCGACATGATCATCAAGCTTCAGCGAAAGCTCGCTGCAGCACGCCTTTGATACAATTCTTGACATCTCTTGTAACTGTCTAGTTAAACAAGACCAAATTATCCATCATATATCCTTGAGATCGTTTCTTGCCACTCGAAGTAGAACGGAATACTCAGGTGAAAGAGTGATGTTGGCGACTAGAGAGATGGAGAAGGATGATGAATTCACTACATTGAAGGGAAAACTTTTCAAGGCCTAATTACATAGGGGGTCAAAAGTCTGTGTACACACCAATTTCGCCTCTATCTTCCCATGTTATTTTCTTTAATTTCTCCACCATTTTAAAAGATATTCAATTCAAACTGGATGCATATGATAACTATCTAGTATTTCGTATACTAGCCCTTTGCCTTTCGTACCGCGGCAATGCGGCGAGGCATAGATCTGATAAAATTATCAATTTTAGCCTGATCAATGCTATCCCATGCGATGACTAGGGCTTTGCGGAATTCATTCCAATCCATCTTAGAACGCCCACGCTGGGCAAGCTGTGGATAAAGCTCGAATAGCTTTAATTTTAGCAAGTTCCAGACATTCTCAATAGGATTTAAATCAGGCGAATACGGCGGCCATTCTATTACCTATATCTAATACTCTTCGAACCATTCTTTTGCAATTTCTGCTACGTGGATACGCGCATTATCTTGCTAGAATATTGTGCTAGGCTCGTATATAGGTAGGAGCGCTTCCTCGAGGGTATCAAGATATGAATTCGTGGTATAGCCGTTTATTTTCGAAAAAGTATCGCGTTCCACAATTATTAACTTTAAGCGACCACCAAGGCCAGATAGATCCCTAAACTATTTACCGGATATCTTTACTATAATTCACAAGATTCACAAGATCCTTCCTGTATCGTTCATTCTTAAATAATAATACGTATTGGGATAGAATTTGACTTACGTTAGACGGAACATTTATCGGAAAAGATCACATTATCAAAATATAGCACACTACCCTATTTTTAGCAAAAGGCGCGTCGAATTTTTGTATCATACTTCTTAAGAAAGATACGCTTCTTGCTAACCTATTTGCGGATATTGCAGCGCTTTAGGACGCGTTTTAATGTTGATTTTGATACTTTAAAGTCGGTATCAATCAAAAGGGCTTTATAGCTTATTATAGGGCTGCGGCGTACTAGACGGAACACATATTGACGCTCAGAGGGGGTAAGCTTCAGTGGGCGGCCTAATCGGGGGTTTATTTTGACGTGTGCATGCTTTTGGAAGTGGTTTTTGGTGTTGTAGATAGTTTGACGCGACATATGTAGATCTTTTACAATTTGGGTGGGTTTTCCGCCCAGTTCAAGGGCATAAACAATAGCAGCACGAGTGGTTTCCGAAAGCTCAGCTCCACGCGGCCGATTACCACTAATTTCGATGCCGAAAGACCTCATAGTGGTGGAGATATGGGGTGGTGAAGTTTAATTGGAAAAGGGGGGTGGGTATAAATTCAGATATGTAAACAGACTTTTGACCCCCTATGTATCTACTCAGAGCAAACTTCGGACTGACCTCCCAGACACGATGCCTCCAGGCGTCCAGCACAACAAGGAAACTAGATCGGACGCACAATTTTATGGGGGCCACGGAAGATCGATAGCGATCTAAACTGGTAACTCCGAATTATACAAGAAGATGTAAGATTCACTATGTGGCTCTACATAGTGGAAAGAATGGTGGGGCCCGATTGCTCCTTTGGTATAGTCTGAGCGTAGACTAGGTGCTCAGAGGGCCTTACTAATCTATCACGTGACTAGCCCCGAGCAGCTCAGTGAGTCTGAGCCCGGACTGAAATTTACCCAGTGAGCTTGACTCTGAGCGCCCGCATTAAAGCGGCGACATCTGGAATAGGAAAGCCCCACCCGGCGCAGGAAATATGGTACGTATAGTTACCTATGAGCCAAGAAAAAAAAAAGGAAGGGCGAGACGCTACTTAAAAGAGAGTATTTTGTAGAAATCGTGCTTAACGCATCACCCTTTGCCTTAAGAAATAAACGGGACGTTGTATCGAAAGGCCGCAACAACCAGTTGGACCCTTGTTTCGTCTATGGGCGTGTCTCGGCAAAATTGGAAATCTGTCTGCTCCACAAGAACTTTTGAGATGGTGTGCAGATGGTTCTGCCTTGATGCGCTCACTACACGGTGGGGTAAGTACAAAATCAATGTGCCGTTCTCGTCACGTTTGCCGATCCATTGCATAGTAGCAAAAGCCTTAGCCATGGCGCGCACATGTTGTCTCATGGAAATCGCAACCTCGCCCGTTTCATGGGGATGGTAAAGAAATTGTCTTTGCAAACAAATTTGCTGGTATGGCCCCGTTTGGCTTCGCTGTTTCCTGTATTGACCGAAGTATGGTAGAACGAGGCACTCACTGCTCGTTGGATTGGCTGGATGGAGATCAGCTCGGAACCTCGCAAAGTGATACGATTGCCTATAGATACAGAAGCTTATTAGTGCTAGAGGTGATTTTGCGGTCAAATCCCGTAAATATTGTTACCAGTGGGCATGGCCCCAGAATAGAATGTAAGTACCCCGGCACTAGTAGTCTCCACAGCCTGATTGGGAGATCATAGGGTATCTAGAAGGAGTGTTCCCAGGCGCATATAGTATGAAATATAATACTTATTGTTGGCCAAGTAGCAGGCTCCGTTAAGGCGTAATTGACTGCAGTAAGTTTACTAGGACAAATAGTCATTTTGATGATGCTAATGCTTTTTTTGATGGGACAATGGGGGTATTTTGATGAGGGAAGATGGCACGTGAGTCGGGCTAGCGTGATACATTTTATTGGGGTCGCTTCTTGGGCTGCTCAGTGAGCGAATCAGTGCGCTCAGCTGAGTATCAGGTGATGCTCACTGAGCAGATCAGGCCGCTCAAGGGCGTGCTCAGTTCTGCTCAGTGAGCAAAAAGCGGCAAGGTCTGAGCACTTATACGGAAGGGGGACGCCAAGAAGTGGCAGAGGAAATCCGGTACGTAGGTAATCAGGTTAAAAAAGGGCATTTCAAAGGCAGGAATTTTTATTTCACGCTAAGAATTATTATGTAAGCTAGAATCCTGGGTCCCAGTCAGCTCCCGCACCTGAATGGGACCCAGGATTAGTCATAAAATCCAGGGTTAAACAAAAAGAATGATGTATAGATCAAAAAGTAATTTTCAAAATCATCCTTTTCATTCCCAGTCTGTCAGTTCTGGGTCCCAGTCAGCTGGGTGCCTGTCACAAGAATCCACCAATCACGAGACTATGGTCTGCTGAGTCAGATCAGGAACGCGCTTGCTGCCTGAGGCGACACGAGATGTGCGGCTCGTTCCTTCGGTCGTCGTCTTGTTTCTCGGACGACGACCTTGCAGTCTCTGTCCTGGATTCCCCCTTTTAATCCACCGCGTCAATATCATCGGTCGTGGGATGGACTCAAAGGGTTTCTGTCAAGCTGTGTAAGTCGATCTCAGTTGAGTTCTCGAGTCTCTGGAGTTCTGAACAATGGACGTCGACTTTAATCTAGAAAGATCAGCTGCTGACTGTCTGCTTCAATCTCTCTAGAAATATCCCGGGGTCCTTTCAGACCTGTACAATCATCGATATTGCAGATCGGACGACTCCAATGAACCATATCGCTCCATACTTCAGCCTAGCCTAGCCCACTGGCACAGCCGCCTGCCTACACGTTGAATGCCCTTCCACCTGCCAAAACACATCTTGTTACGCGTCTTCTTTGCTGAACTGGCTGCGAATACCTTTCACAAGTCTTTGTCGAGCCCTAGCTGCTCAAGGTGGAAGCGGAGGCAGTTCTAACTGCCCCTCCGTGAGGCGTCACGTCTGCACCCCATCACTCTTGGGAGACTCCAAGGTCTCTACGTTGCGTTGGTAACTTTGGTAAAAATCCAGAGACTCTCTACAGTCTCCCTTCTTATCTTCCGTTTCTCTGTGTTGTGCCTTTGTCGTGTTCACCCGGGTGAACAACCCCGGTGACCATTCCGTCCGAACCCACACCCTTCAAGGTATATATACCCTGTGCCCTCGGGCTTCAACTTGATTGACTTACAGGCCTCTAGGCCCATCCGTGTACTCTTTTCCCTTTTATGCAAAAGTTTTTGAATCATCCAGCACATATACCCTTCGCCATCTGCCAGTAGTTTGCTTCCTTTTCATTCATCTTAGCGCCTGCATTTGCATTGCAACTGCTTTCATCTTTCTTCACTCATGGAAGCGACACAGGAATCGACTCAGCCATGTGCTGACCCCCGCCGGATGGGACTGAACAACTCCGGACTTCAAGACCAAGATCTGGCTGACATCATCTGTATCCTGCACCCGAACTCACACGCAGCGCACAATGCAGTGGCGGCGACAGCAGGCTTGGGCGACCAGCACATTCTCCAGAAAGATGTCTTGGAACTTGAGACATCGGAGACTGCAGCACTGGACGTGGCACTCAGACTATCCTCAGATGTTCACGACCTTGGCGCCGGCTTTTGCTTTGGGCGCAACAAGGCACGCTGTGATGTCCTCCTTGCCGTTGATGATGAAGCCAAACGAGTTTCCAACACCCACTTCCGCATTTATCTGACTGGCGACGGCATCATCATGCTCCAAGATACCTCGACCAACGGAACCATTGTAGACAACTGCCGGCTTCGAAAGAGCCAGAAGGAAAACAGTCGCATGCTTACCAACGGCTCAGTCATACAGGTTGTTACTGGCAACCATGGATCAGATGAGGTTCGCTTCGTGGTCCGAATTCCATCGCGTGAAGGCTTCGCCATGCAGTACACACAGAACTGCCTTCGGTATTTTGAGCGAGTCCAGCAGGTCGTCAGTGCTGCTGGTCATCACAAGACTCGGCCTGGGCCGCCACCTGTTCTCTCGTGGTCCGTTGCCAACAGTCACGGCATGCACTGGACGGGCGCTCCGACATACAATGTCACTGGCCAAATTGGAAAGGGTGCATTTGCTACCGTGTATAAGCTTGCCACCAAGCAACACGGAGCAATCTTTGCGGCAAAAGAGCTCGACAAGCGACGTTTCATGAAGAACGGCATACTGGACCAAAAGGTCGATAACGAGATGAGGATAATGAAGGACCTCACACATGTGTGTATCATTCACTTCAGTGCCCAAAATTGACTGTGATACTAATCTTTTCGTTAGCCAAATATCGTTCAATATATTGATCACCACGAGCATGACCGATGGATTTACATCATCATGGAGTATGTGCCTGGGGGCGAGTTGTCGACCTACCTGTCAAGCCATGGCAAAATTCCCGAAGAGATGGTGAGAACAATTGCTCGCCAACTTCTTCGCGCCTTGCACTATTGTCACAAACGACGCATAACGCATCGTGATATCAAGCCTGATAACATTCTTATTGCATCTCTGGATCCGTTACGAGTCAAGTTGTCCGACTTTGGGCTGTCCAAGGTCACGCAGGAAGAGACATTCCTGAAAACCTTCTGTGGCACACTGCTGTATTGTGCGCCAGAGGTATATCCTGACTATGAACAATATCGTCGCGGCGAATTGAGAAAGAGACGCCGTGTTGGAGATCCGTAAGTCTTCTCGTATGTTGCTTTGGACAATTTACTAATGGTTTTCATGGTGGCAGGCCACCAAAGACATCTCCATACAGCCAGTCCGTCGATATGTGGTCACTCGGTGCGGTACTGTATCATGTTCTCTCAGGCGTGCCACCGTACTCGGGGCGTGCTGAAGATCGAGGTGTACACATGCTCCGCACTATCATGGAGTCACAGGCGGACTTCGACGTTCTGCGCCGTGCTGGTGTATCTGAATCCGGGATCAATTTCGTTGCCCAGTTATTGAACAGAGATCCATTTTGTCGTCCAACCGAGAAGGAATGCTTCCAGCATCCATGGATCTCTGAGGTGCCTGATGTGGATGAGTATCCGGACGATGAAGACATCCTCGGTGAGACCCGTGAAGGTCTGTCGGTTATTGGCGAGGCAGAGGAGGAACTCGATGCGTCGCAGCTGTCCATCCGAGACGATCCAGCGTACACGTACGGCGAGGAAGAACAAGGAAGTAGCAACGAGGGACTCTCCAAAAAGCCACGCATTGAATATGTTGCGACGGATATTCGCTACCCCTCGCTTCCCAAAATTGATAGTCTTCAAGACGGTCAAATTGTTGCCGAACACCAAGCCCGACGACTCTTCGGTGAAGTGAGCTCGTCGGCCTTACGCAGCTCCCACGCATTAGGCAACCCTGGTTCTTGGAACGCCGACGAGTTCGACATTGAGGGCTTTGTTTCTTCTGGTGAGTCTATCAGTGATGATCGCAGCGTCTTTTCGATCATTTCTCTCCCAGAACACCCGTTCGGCGGCACCGCGCCCAGTTTAATGGGCGCTGAGAACCTCGTCGGACGACTGAACATGAATTCCTCGTATCCTTTCCTCCATCCTCAGGCTGGTCCGGTTAACGTGACATCGACTCGGCAGACAAGCCCCGGTCAATCCAAGGACCCCACGATGGCAGGTAGCTTGTGTCGCGAAAACGCACCCTCCAGCGACAGCGTCGACACCACTCCAAAGCACCATCACGCCAGCACCGTCGACGTATCGAAAAACACATGTCTTCCACCGCCAGTGAACAATCCAGCGCCAACGCCGAGAGCGTTCCCTACAATCCCGCTTCGCCTCGAGACGTCCCCGACGAGGGTTTCGACCCTGAACTTGCAACCACTCTCGATGCTCAAACCGGTCAGGCAATCATAGACCAACTCGGAACAGCCGAAATTGAAGCATCCGAGCCGATTGTTCACCAGCCTGATCAAATTGCCATTTCGCGCAGCCTGTCCACGGAAGAGTTCACCAAACCACCTAAGCTCTTGGGGAGACTAAAGAGTACTCCAGGCTCGATCCTTGATGTGAATATCCGACTCGAACGTCGAATGACCTCATGGGGTCGTGGTTCAGGCGCCACATTCCAGCACCCCAATCCAATGGACGTCCGGATCCCCGCTTATGCCGTCGAAGTCACATTCTGGGTGAAGGGAATGGAGCTCCAGATCGCGCGAGGTAAGGACTGGACTGAGATTGCCGGCGTGGCAGCCATCCTGTCCACCAAAGCTCGCAAGGGAATCTGGGTCAACGGCATTGCGCTCCACAAAGCCGGCTCCGAGGACATGCAATACGGTAATCTGTACAATGGAGATATCATCACGATCTATCGGCACAAAGATGCCTATCTCGATCTACAGTGTGAGTTCTACCACGGCGAAAGCGCGCAGCCCCGCCCGGCTCATGAAGCCGGCTTTGTGGTTCGCAAGGCGCTGCTTGGCAAGTCGGACGGCGCGAACCGCATGCCCGTTCAAACGAACCGAAAGAAGGAAGCCGAATAAGATGAGATGATTGGTATGAAATTGCATCATTAGGTGTGAGACCGAGGTAGTACAGGCCATGTGGCTCCACAATGTCATTGTCGTTATCCGCATGCGGACGAGTGTAGGTGAAGATGTAGTTGTCGGTGACGATGTAGATGTAGATGTAGATGTATGAGTAGACAGGTCGATCTCCCGAGCTCGGTACCTGCAGTAGGGCTGATTTAGCGGAAATGAGGTACGTTTCATGGAGATAGTCGATTCCTTCTAGTCCTTTGAGTGGAAGAAATTACCGTGAATCAACGACCCCTTATATCGAGATCACACCAGTGCGACAGTGTCCCATCGCCAGTGGTGTCACTTCGACTGCATCCGGCGTGTCTTCTCGGCGCGATCTCTTCGCTCATTTACCTAATCCCTGGTCTGTGCGAATCACGAATGGAACCATCGTCTCAAATTGAGCTCAATCCGCCTGCAACGGTTCGTTCATCTCTCCATGTCTTAATTTCCGTCTTCTCCCTTCCACCCCTTTCCTCGTCATCCTGATCACAGCGGGAACTCACTCAACCTCAGCCATCTGCGCTCACCTCTCGGAATAATATCTCCTCCTTTTCCGATCGTGCAATGTCCTTATCGCGATCACCCTCTCCCCACCCGGGCGGAGGGTGGTCCAGCCCGGGCCTCACCCCCGGCAGTGGTAATTCGACTCCGCGCGGCTATTCGCCCTCGGGAGCTTCACTGGCTCCCAGCGGCATTTCGTGGGCTGCCGCTAAAGCGAAAAGCGACGAGGTGCGCGGGTACCCTTCATTCTCGACGCGCAACTCGGGGTTTTTCTCCCGACAGAAACACCGTATCTCGGCGCGCTTGCCCAGCTTCCGCGGGGAATCGCACAGCTATGTCGCCAAAGACCAATACGGACGCGCTCACCACCGTCACGGAGGTGGTCGTGGGCCCTTTGGGATTCTGTTTCGGCGAGGCCGGTCTCGTTTGGTCCTCGGACTGTTCTTACTATGGATTGGATATCTGTGCTTTTGGTCCAGTGAGTGGTAATGCACCGTGCGACGTGGTCACATTCTAATTCAATCATTTAGCAATCGTCCAATTCTACCGACGGTCGCCTCTCGGTGGAGGCCGCAAATTCGTGATCATCCTCGGCTCGAACGTCGAGGGCGGCGTGATGGAGTGGAAAGGCGCACGCGAATGGGCGATTGAGCGCAACAGCATCTGGAACAAGAAACAGTATGCGAAGCGATGGGGCTACGAGCTTGAGGTCGTCAACATGCTGGCTAAGAAGCGGTATTCGCACGAATGGCGCGAGAGCTGGGAGAAAGGCGACGTGATCCGCGAAGCCATGCGCAAATATCCGGACGCCGAGTGGTTCTGGTGGCTTGATTTAAACACCTGGATTATGGAACACGACACTTCTCTGCAGAGCCATATCTTTAATCACCTGGATGACCGCGTCTACCGGGATATCAATGAGTACAACCCCATGAACATCACCCACCCGCTGCCGGAGTTCTATCTGGATGACCTTGGTCGCGCTCTGGAGGGGGATGGAGACCCAGACTCGCTCAACATGCTCCTGACGCAGGACTGTACCGGTTTCAATCTGGGATCTTTCTTTTTACGACGGTCCCTCTGGACCGACCGACTTCTTGATTCATGGTGGGACCCGGTCATGTACGAGCAGATGCACATGAACTGGGAGCACAAAGAGCAAGATGCCTTTGAATATGTCTACCAAAGCCAACCCTGGATACGAAGCAGCGTTGGCTTCCTCCCGCAACGCACCATCAATTCCTTCCCACCCGGCGCGTGCGGCGACGAGAACAACCCGCAATTCCACTATCAAGAGGAAGATCGCGATATGGTAGTGAACATGGCTGGATGCATGTTTGGTCGTGACTGCTGGACCGAGATACACGATTTCCGAGAACTAAGCAACAAGTTGCATCGCAGCATCTGGGGACAACTCATGGAGAGCTGGCGTGGGACATACGACGCGGCTGACAGCACGGATGACGACGACGGGCAATAGTCTTGCCTAGCCTGAACGTGTCATCTTTTCATTCTCGCTATTTTGCTTTTATGGTTTCATGTTTCGCGCTTTCCACGCACCCTAGACGGCTGCGCATTGTATGAATGAAATTGCTAGGCGTGTACATGGGAGTTCGGCTGGGTTATGCATGGGTTGGTTGGAGCTACATATTATTTTCTGATATAATTCAAATATTCTCTTGACTACACTCCGCAATTAACAATACCACTTGATCTATGCTGGTCAACCAAATATAGAAATCACATGACCTGATGAAAAGTGCACTTCTGTTCTCTCTGAGTAACCATATTCTCACCGCCTAAATCTCACCCAATCACCACCCAGCTAATCCAACCACTCTCACATCGGATTCGACATCAACCGCAACAAGACCATCTCTTTCTTCACGCCCTCCACCCTAATCAGCTCCGGGCCTTCCATCCACCTCCCACCTACCACCCGACCAACCACAATCACAATGCCGACCCCGGAGTCCGCAGCCTTCCTGGCCAAGAAGCCTACCGTGCCCCCGACCTACGAGGGCGTCGACTTCGAAGACAACGTCGCCGTCCACAATGCCCGCGACGCAGTCATCCGCGAGCAATGGGTGCGCAGCATGATGTCCCGACTTGTCGGCGAGGAGCTGGGCAAGTGCTATGCGCGCGAGGGTGTGAACCACCTGGAGAAGTGCGGTGTCTTGCGGGGTGAGTGATTTTCTCTCCGTGGTACAGACGATCAATTGAGCCTGAATACTGCTATCTCCGCGGGGATCTACATTCTTCTTGAATCTATTTGGGTAGTCTGGTGGATTTTATTTGGATATGCAGGCTAATAGACTCCTCTAGAAAAATACTTCGAGCTCCTCGGCGAGCGCAAGGTTAAGGGATACCTGGGCCAGGAGAAGAACTACTTCGAGAAGTCCGCATAAAGGATTTCAAAGCCGGGTTGAATGCTGTATTTGGGATAGGAAATTGGGTTTTTGGTCGTGAGCTGTTCGGTCGATCTACTCCGGTTTGATGATCACTCGGGACGACTCGGACATTGCGCATTTTCGCCGATCGACCGATATATCTTTCCAGGCTCGAATGGTCCTTGCGAGTCTGGGGCGGCCGGCTGTGACACGACCTGCCCAAAAGGATTGAGGGAGTTACTTGCTCTCTCTTGTACTGTACATATAAGATATCATTGTCTGGTCAATTTCATTATGTTTGAAGACGTTCCGTTTTTCTGGGAGTGCCTGGGAGCGCGTTTGGAGAGTATACCAGGGAGCCGGTAGTTAACATATGCTGTTGAGCTGATTTGGGCTGAAATGGGAAATATGCCCTTGGAGGTGGACCAGTTACATTCTCTCTTCATGAGACTTGGGAGTATATTGCTGCATGCCAATACAAAATGGTTTAAATATATTAATAGTACGCGCTGGAAGCAGTCTCGCTCCGATCTGGGAAGCCACCCGGTGGACCTCGAGGCTCCGGTAGCGCTTCCTCGTCACTATCGTCGGGGTCGCTTCCGAAGTGCAATTGCTGGTGTTCATCCGGCGGGGCCCGCATGCGTGCCAATTGGTCCTCTTCCAGGGATGGGGGCTTGTATGGGACCGGAGTTTGGTGAATATCTCGACCAGAAGGAATGTTAGATAGCAACGAGGCTGGTGATGGGATAATCTGGGTATTCATCTGGCGCATGTCAGTACTCGAAACGAGTGTTCAGGAAACATGAGACTTACCGTGTCATTCATGCGCACCCATTTTGTCTCCAGCATGTCAATGACACGGCCTTCTTCCTCCCGGCCAGCATCATCTCTGGGTGCCAGAGGGCCCTTATCGCTGCGTCCACCACCAGCGTCCTTGTTGATCTTCTTCTCTTCGCGGCGTTCATTCCACTCGCGTTTCAATCGTGAGAAGCCGCCCTTCTTCTCACCAATTTCATCTACACCCCCACGAAGGGCAAGTGTAGTCCGCGCACCGCGTAGCCAAGCAATACCCTCGCCCACCTTCCCAGCCAATTCAGCATCAACACCGAAGAACCGACAACCCCGAGCACGAGCCACTCTCTCTAGCACACCAGCATACCGAATGACATCCTCATCCACCCGTGTCCTTCCCGAGGACCCAACAGCCCCAAGGCCAGCAGTGGCCTGATTAGCATATTCCGCAGCCCTCGTACACAATCTCGCAAACACAAGTGCCCTGACCTTGGGAATCTCCGGCGCGCGTACCATCCACTCCTTATCATTCGGATTCCGCGACTGGATACACGCAACAACATATGCATCATCCTTCAAAACAGCCAGCAGCGTAGCTTCGGCCAATGCCAACTTCGCCAGCGCAAACTGCGTCGAAGCATCGATATCCGGCACTGCAGATGTCGTAGCCGCCGCGAAAGCAGGCGACGATGCAAGCAAGTCATGCACCGAGCTAGCTTGTAGTAGATATTTCATCGCAGTCTGCACAGCGACAGTGCGCTGCTCAGCTGTCGGCGTCGTCAACGCATATAGCGATTCCACGACGCCCGTACGCGCCAGGCGACTTAGTACATAGCCGAGCGTTGTGAGAGTAAATGCGACCTCAAAATCAATACCTCGACCTGCGATGCGGCCACCTCGAGCGCGCAGTGATTTCTTTCCGGAGCTAGAAGAGCCTATGTTCAATGCATTTCCGGCGGATAAAGTGGGCTTCCAGGCGAATTCGATCTCCGCGCGGAGTGTTATCTCGATGGTTTCCCCGGATGGGAGCTTCTCTGCAAAGACACTGCCACCCGAGGCTGGGCCGTCATTTGCAAGGGGTCTACTGCTGAGGACGTGCGATATCGTGAAAATTAAGGGTATGTAGTCGTTCAATGCGGAGAGAACGGTGGGTAGGTGGGCGTCCTGGCGCGCGCCGCCGGGTAGGCGCTTGTGAGCCTTGAGGGCGAGGCGGAGGGCATGACGCGTACTTGAGGCAACCTGAGGAAGAGAGGGATGTGTAGAAGAGGTGATGAAGGACTGAAATGACAGTGGAGAGGTTGTTGGGAGAACGAACGCGTAGACCATTTTGAAGCGCGGGGAGTTGGAGAAGCAAGGCGGGCCTGATGTCACCGATGGCCAAGCCCGCCATAGGGAGAAGCGAGTTGTGAATTACTTGGCGAGGTCGAAATATCTCTACTTAGACCTTGACCCGTTTCAGTCTTTTCTTTATGTCCATCTGTTCTCTCTGATTCATACATCAGAAGTGTGATGTTCTGTTGTAGCAACTTCGACTCCGATCGTGAGCTTCGTTTCCACAAATGTAGAACTTAAGGCATAATGTAAGCTGGTGAGAGCTACCCGGTACTAATTGTTTGATTATATGAGAGCTACCCGAGAATTAAATATTCCTGAATTGATGCCCAGCTGGGCAGCGACCATTTGAACTGCAAATTTTCTAGAAGTTGGCTCCATTGTATTTCTATCGATCTAAACTACTCTCATTGTCATTGAAATCTTGAGATGCAAAATTAATCTAAGCAGCCGGTTCTCATACTTTCCGTCAAAATGTCGTGTTGCCGCTAGCTCTAGTCATGGCGATACCACCTCTTTCCTTGCCATTGCAAGAAAATAGTTGGAAAGAAGCTAGCGCCCATAATCAAGGCCGCCACGACTCCAGAGCTAGCAGCGATGCCGACGCTGTCGAACATTGAGGTGAACCTAATACTCATCAGTAGACGTTCATGAAACAATAATAGGCCAACATACCAGAAAGGCCCGAGGAATCCCCAAGTCGATCGAACAAAGTTAATGAAAACACCCACGCTACCCGCATCCTGCGGATACGTATCCACGGCATAGGTAGTGAGGACGGTAGTAACGACCTGGTTTCCGAACGCCGCAATACCGGTTCCAATGACAGGCTTCACATTCCATACGCCCTGGGTAGCATCTTGCGTACAGACTAGGAACATAGCAAGACCACCAATAGCCAGCAAGTATCCAATGTAGCTCAACCACAACCGATATTCAGGCGCAGGTTTGTGGCCGATGCGCTTGGCACGGGCATTCATCCACATGTCGGACATGAAGCCGCCTAGTTGTTCACCAAGCAGGGAGCCCACGATCAGGCCCAAGAATTGGAGCCCGAGTTGTTGCGCATTGAGCTCGAATTTGCTCTGGAGTAGTTGGGGGACTTCGACGGAGCCGAGGACTGATGCGAAGAGGAAGACCATCGAATATGCAATGGCTGCGAGGAGGACAGGAATATTGGTGAAGAGAGTCAAAGGGTGAGTGAATTCGGTCCACCTGAACGGAGTCGGGTCGATTCGGCGGATAGACAAGTACTGGTGCTTCACACCGGATGGGCGACTCTCGACATCGCCGCCGATATAGCGGGTCTCGGGGCCGAAGAAGACATACAGGATGAACTGGACGGCGTTGGTCTGTAGGATGTCAGATTTAAAGTCTCAGGGTGTACAGAGACAGCACTTACAATTGCTAAGACCCAGTAGATCCAGCGATATCCGACTCGCTGGACGACAAAGCCAAAGATAAACGGCCCAGTGGGAATTCCTAGTGTCACCAGTAGAGTCCATACACCCATGTAGCGTGCACGCTGGTGTCGGAAGTATGACTCGGTGACGACTCCACTGCCGATAGCCATAGCAGGGGAGATGAAAAACGCCACCAAAGCACGACAGGCGGCCATGGATGCATAGTCCGGACTCTTCCCACATCCCACATTACAGACACAGCTCAAAATCAGCGAGAGGAGAAAGATTGGTCGGCGTCCATATCTGTGGGAAAGGGGCTTCCAGAGCAGCGGGGCTCCACCAAGGATGGCAATTTGGAGAGATGTCAAATATGAAACGCGCTGGATGGAGACCCCGAGATCTACAGCGATGTCTTCGTAGGCGCAAATGATAGCAGCGGCTGTAAATGTGCCCATACAGGCGTGGAAAGCGACCAAACTCAGGTTCGCCGTTTTCTGTCATCCTGTCAGCGATGTGCATAGATTGAGCATTGCACATTTTATCTTACCTTCCACAGCGGCCAATTATATGGGTCCGCAGGGTCCATGCTAGGAATGGGATCAATATTGAGGGTACCATGTCGCTCGATCAGATAGGCCTTGTGTGCTTCCGAGAGAAATCTGGTAGGATCGAGGCTGTCATTGAGACCCTTTTCCTCCACATAGTCGGCACTCGATTTAGGAGGTGTTGCCCCGGGGGTTCCTTGTTCCGAGCCCATGACTGGAGATATTGAAGCAAGTATCAGACCAGGATGATACGACTGAGGGGCCAGCAGCGGTGGAGGTCATACAAATGGGGTCGGGAACCCCTCGCTGGGGGTTCGGGAATTTCATTTCCGGGGTATGGGGCTGTTGACTCAACAATGGGCCCGACTGGGGATAGAACCGTGGAGTCTGGGGCTAGGAGTCCTTTTGATGGCCATTTCTGGAGCCAAGCACTGATATCGCCATGTATTCAACATGGGGGGAGGAGGGCATTACGGTAGTTTGATCCCGTTTCATTGCCGGAGAACGGGGGCCGATGGAGACTCGGGCTGTCAGAGGAGCGGGAACTCCTGCTCATCTTGCGCTTCTGACTGGATGGTCGGTGGGCAGTGGCCCGGTGATTTGGCACCGACGGAGATGCCTCGCCTTCCTTGGAGTCAATTGCCGACGGACGATCCCGTCTTGGTGACTGGAGATATCGGGCAGGGCTTGTGCGAGCGGGTAGCCAAGTTGGCCCAGTCGAATAACGCTGTCAATGACTTTTGATTGGCTTGTGTCTGGCTCTCGCGGATTTTGTGGATGGTCTGGATGAATGGCTTAGAGAGGTGTGTTGAGGGTCTCCCCGGACTGTCCACGGTGGGGGAAATCCGGGGCTCCACGATGTGCCCAGACCCGCCTTGGAGAGGAACAATCAGCCCGAACAACGGTGGGATGACTGACCTCTATCTTTTCATGGCCCTGGAAGCACACAGAATCAATGGTATAGCAATAGAATAGTGAACATGAGAGCCCATCTTCAACGAGATCTATTATGAGATCATTGAGAACACTACATTCGAAGTCTAGATCCCCTCAGGCTAGCGTCAACCCCAAACCACAGCCCGCGTAAAATGTCTCAATGTATCTGCTTTATCGCGAGCTTAGTTTGAACCTTGAACGAGAACTGTTCGAGTGGGGCAATCACGGCCTAGTCTTCCAGAGACCCGAGGACGCGAACACAGCCAGCCGATGCTGTCCCAAACAGGAAGCCGGCTAGTCGATTCAACGCTCCGTAGGACTCAAACAAGATCGTGCCATGGCTCAAGCACAATTTACTGTTCACTTGTTGGATATACCTTGTTCTGTGCGACTCGAAAGGCCTTTTCAATTTTTGGGTACCAACCAAAGTTGACATTGTCAATCATGTTCCAGTGAAAACAGTAGAGAGTCTGTGTATTAATGGGCTGAGTTGGCTTCATGAAGGAGGGTCCATATTGATCAACCCATAATATAATTAAATAGCGTCCAGGGTATTGAACGCGATATATTGTGGCGGTATTCTTGAAGGGTATTGGGAATAAGGCGACCAGACTCGGTTCATGATTTGCAAAGGCTTGATTGTTCGTACTATCTCTGCATCGTATTATGTGGACAGGACAGGGCCCCATTACATTTTTGAAAAATTTTGAATGTGTCCCTGGAGGTCTCTTGATATGTCTTTACTACAAGGCGTCTTCCTATCACATCTAGAGACATGTTTGAACGCGCTTTGAATACTCTCCTCTCTATTCAGTGGCAGACAAGACTCTTGCTAATAATTGAGACAACGAATTTAGCAATGTGGGGAAACATATCCAGATGATCAATTTGTTTAAATTGTGTCAGAGATTACCATACATGACACTTTGACGATGTAAAGATCATGTTAGCGCCGGTCTCCTGGTATGCCTGAATCGTCCAAAAACTTTCAATTGCGATCACGAATTCGCTTTGAAGAAGTACTGTCGCCTGGTCTGCTGGGAGCTGATCTTAATCCGGTTTGGTCATGGAGGGCTCCCTTCGCTGACGGCATTTCAGCCGTTGGCCCCCTTGTATTGACTCACGTTGGGCGATGTGACTGTTGAGAACTCTGCTGTATATTGCACACTTCGACGGCGCTCCCTTGAGAGTAGCATTAAAAGGTATCGCGACATTTGCCATGATTCTGGGCCGAGAAGAACAATCCATGTCTCGTTTCCCTAGTGGGTGTTGGTGGTGTGGATGATTTGAGTCGAGAGACCAAGAACACTTTCAACCCTCCATATTATCATGGTCTGACATGTTGCTAGGCGCACTGCTGACACCAGACGTGTCACTGACTGGGCTGCGTGGCGCGCGAGATCGGACTTGCGCACTCCATTCGCGAATGCTGGGCGCGCCGCCCTCGATAATCAAAGGGTGTTCTTCCGCATGTTTTCCAAGCACTGTACCCGCGTATCGAGACTCCTCACCAGTCTTGCTGTGTTTTTTCTTCAAAGCAGTGAGATAATCCTCCTTTTCCACGGCATCAGGGTCGATCATATCGCCCTCGCTGGGTACAAAGCCTGCAATGCGCCGGATCTCACGATGTGCAGGGCCAGTGATCCACCCAATGAATGACTCCAGACCGCGCAAATCCTCTTCACCCGCCCAATCTTCTTCCCATTCTCGTAGCTGCGGTCGTAGGGCTCCTGCATCTTGAAGCGCTTGATAAATGTCCTCCAGGACTGGTGACGGATCATCGGGGTGGGCATTGGCAGCATGCGCAGCAGCAGAAGAGGCGAGAATCATGAGATATCTTCCAGTCAGGTCGGAGAGAGTTTCTAGCACAGAAGGGCGCGTCGAGTGGAAACCCTGGGCGCGGAGGATTTGGATGATGGGAGGTCGGAGGAGAGCATTATGGAGATTGTTCGCCGACATGACAGTCGAGACAGTCAATCGTGCGATGAAGAAAGTGTTGGCTAGGGGAATCAGAAGCAGAGGATGGAAAGAGACCGCTCAGGAAAGATGTGAAGTGTACAAGAAGATGAAGGCAATGGAGAGAAATGACTGCAGCTTGCGCGCGGATCAAAAGCGGAGCGGAGAATTCGGGCCGCCGCGTCTTGCGTCCTTCGACCTCCTTCCACCTTCACAACTCTCCCTAGGCGCCTGTTTGCTCATTCGGCAAGATGTCTGAGGCTCCGCGCCCAACGCTGAAGCTCAAGTTCAGCAAAAAGCCGTCGCAACCCGCGGCCGAGCCTGAACCTACGCCAGCACCTGCAGAACCCTCTCAACCGAAGCTCACCCTAAAGATCGGTCGCAAACCACAACCACCTCCCGAAGCGCCCGAAGAGAAGCCTAAAAAGAAGAAGCTGTCCAAGAAGCGCCCTGCTGAGAATGTCACCCAACCCGAACCTGCGACGGTTCAGCAAGGTCCCAAGAGGCTTAAGCTGAACCCATCTAAGAAGCCTGGCCTCCAATCGATTCGAATCAAGAACAAGGGTGTTGTGCCTAACCGGCCTGTTGGTGTGGGCTACGACTCGGAGGCATCAGACAATGAGGTCGATCCGGCCATCGAAGAACAGTTCATCTTACGGATGTTACCAGGCGAGGACTGTGAATATCTTCGTCAAACGATCAACGAGCGCAGGTTTGATAAGTCGGAGTTTTCATTCAAGCCCCTCACGCGAGAGGGACGCCGCGCCATCTTGAAGATTCGAGACAAACAGTACGCCGCAGCTTTGGTTGATCTTCCTTGCATTATCGAGGGCATGAAGAGCTGGGATCGTCGGGGATGGTATAAATCAGCGGATATTTGTCAAATGCTTCTGGTTCTGGGTCCTGTTGCAAATGATCAAGAGGCTTTGGAATATCCTCTTCCCCCAGAGGTCGACCAAACGGATAACAAGACATTGCAATATCCCCACGGTCTCGCACCGCCGTTGCGCTGGGTTCGCAAGCGTCGTTTCCGGGACCGTGTCAGCTCGCGCACCATCGAACAGGTCGAAAAGGCAGTGGAGGACCTGGTTGCACAAGACGAGAATTCTGTCTTCCCGCCTCGGTTCGAGTTGGTGGACAGCGCGTCTCTGAACCGCGCCGAGGGCTTCGTGCAGAGCGGAGAATACGATGAGGAGTATGATGATTACCAGGATGCAGAAGGCGAGATGGACGACGACATGTACGATGATCTTGAAGATGACCTTGCTGCTGAGATGGAGGCTGCTCTTGCTGCTGGAGATGATGAACCAGCTGCGCCTGCAGAGCAAGTAGGCACACCATCTGCAAAACCGTCAACGCCAGCCGAAGCCCCTACGCCTGCTGGTGAATCCTCTGATAGCGACGATTCAGAGGACGGAGATGATCTTGACGAAGAACAACTCGAGGAGCAGCGACAGATGCAGCAGCACCGCGAAGAAGTCGTTGAACTCGAGGCCCTCATCCGTACCGAGACAGCAACTTGGGAGAGAATGCAGAACGTTATTTTGCGTAACAAGATGGGACGGCGCATCCAGCAACTGAAGCAGGATCTGGAGCTTAAGAAGGTCTCAATCGGAATGTCAGGCGATGCGGATATGTGATTTTGCATTTGATCATAGCTTCTACTTGGACTATCATGGTACCTTGCAGCCAGAGAAAGCTGGCATCTAATGAATTAACGATTCCCATTCCAAACCGGTTCCTTGAACCACCATTCAAGACCTTGATCAAGCTAGTGACTTCCAACCACTGGATCCCCCGTCGCTTGCTTAACAGCCTCCTCCACATCCACATTCTCATTCTGCTGCAACTTGCGCTGCCTAACAGCCTCCCTCTCAGCAACTTCACGATCGACCGGCACAGAAACGTTTCCTACCCTCTCGTCCAGCATTCGGTCATGCTCAGCCCTCTTCTCGTCCATCCCTGCCGCAAGATCAGGCTGATCTCCAAACCCAGGATGTCCAGGCCCACCAGGACCATCAGGACCACCAACAGGACCTGCATGAGCCCCAGCTTGCGCACGACGCTGTCCCATCCCCTTGCGCTGCACTGAATCGGCAATATATCCCTCCGATGGCTGTTGCTCAACGCCATACTCCAGGTCCACGGCATGGTTTTGCATCGCGCGTTGTTCCTTTCGATGCTGCTCCTCAAGAAGCGCTCGGGCCTCATCATTCGCTGGCCTTGAACTCGCCCCGCGCGTGATCGAAGGCGTCGCATCTCCATATTGACGCGACTGTGTTTCCGACGTGCGCTGTTCTTGGGGTGTATGCTCGACGGGGTTCGAAGCTTGCGCATAGGCAGCTTGTTTGGGTGGTTGTGAAAACTCGGCAGCCTTTGCGGTCTGCGAGCGAGTCTGACGGGGCTCCATTCTAAGATTGGGATGCTTAGTCTAGAAGTTGTAAATTGAATACAAAATTGGCATGAAGACAATGGTTGAAGATGTCAGGAGCTTGGAGTTGCAGTGGAGTTTATCTGCGTGCTTCAGTGCATGACGTCAGGGCCTACAATGTACGTCAGGGTCTGGGAGCCGGTTTCGGGGGTTCTTGTCTACAGGAACAAAGCTAACACAATCAATTCGAATATTCCACGAAATTAATTGGTTTCTGAAGCGGAGTGGCCAAGTCATGTTTGGGCTTAAATTGTGGATCACTGTAGACGTTCACTGTTCACATTCGGATGCGAACAACGAAGTCCACCCCATCTCTTGTTTTGGCGACTTGATCCTCGATGTATACTTACAAATCCCCAGATAATTCTTTGGTAGATTCATTATTTCACTCAGTTTCCTCGAGGTCACGTCTCTCGCTGGATTATTGGTGTACGGTCCTGCTGGGATGGCAAATGGCAAGGGCCTGCCTGGGATAGATTGTCGGCCAGGACAGCACGATACTGGAGATATCTTGAGAAGCGCTCTGCAAATCCTCACGACGTGAAATCTTCAACGCAACATCCTTAGAGTCTGATCTGGTCCTAGAATATCATACGGCGACGCTGCAAGTCCTGTACTGTCTATTCAAATTTCAAACACCCATCCTGCGATTCACGAGCATGGCTTATACACAAACATTTAAATTGATTGATCCGACATGGATGCTGCACTCAAGTATATAGGGCCGGTCTGCTGTCTCATTGTGCATATGGTCAAAGGAGAGACCAGGGCTCGCGCTTCGTCCACAATCGAAGACAACCCCATTCATTCAACCTGTCATCGTCCCACAGAGCATGGTACCAGTCCCAACCCACTTCATCATCTTGAATGATTACGCTCTCCAAATTATCTTCAGGCGAGTGTGGCAATAAGCTGACCATTCTCCAGGCGATATTTGGCTTCTGGGTAGGTGACAGATCTGAATATGACCACATTTCCTCGAATCCACTAACCGCATACCGATCTGCAGGATAGATGAGAGGTAACTTGTCTTCTGGCTCAATATTCACGCGACTGTTATCCCCAATGAAGGTATTTTCCATGTAATCGGCGTTGCTTAACACCATATCCCGACGGATCAGAGGAGTCGCGTGTAGAAGGCGATAAACAAAGTTTGGCCCAATTGCGACAAGTGAGCCTGTGCTCGCATCAAGGTTCTCGAGCGAAGTGAGGGATTTCAGAAGCCCCCAGTATGGGGGCTGTGCATCCAGAGGAAGCTCTTCAAACCAGGCGTCGTCACCGAGACCATGATCCTTCATCAGCTTGGATGAACTGTCGCGAACTTCCGGGTACAAAGGATCGACCTTCGTCTTGAGATAGGTCCAGACACAGCCCATTTCATCACATTCCCATGGAGGAATTGTACCAAAGAACAAACGATACGCTTCTTCCTCGGGAGAGAAAGGTCCGTCTGTCTCATTGTCTCTCCAGTTGTTCCTGAATGGAGACCCACAGACAGGTTCATCGAGAGGATACTCTGCTCGCCCAATGATATTGGCATGGGTTTGCAGTCGACAAAGTGCTCTGAGAAAGCGATACTGTTCAGACGAGGACAACTTGATTGGAAACTTCGAGTTTGTCCATTCGTCAAGCTCCATCCATTGGGGCTGTGGTATGGTCTTTACGAAATCTTGTAAAAAGAATTGTAGAACCTCGTGAAGACGGAAAAGATTCATGATTTCTTCCATGTCACAGGGGTTGTCGATCCGGCTGGATGAGTTCGGGTCAAGCTTTTTAATTTCGTCGCTGCGGCGCCAAGTGTCCAGCAAGGTAATGGCTTCTTCTTTGTGAGTCTCCAGATATAGACCGCACGACCGGACGGCCGCAATGGCTTCTCCCAGGAGCGGTCCAAACTGGGTCTGGAGGATACAACAGAGAACTTCCCGTTTCGCCAGATTATAGGCTGGAAAGAATGATTGGAACAAGACCAGAAAAGATTTAAGAGTGGCCCAATCGGGAATCTCTTTCAAGATGAGAATTTTGATTTCCACTGGAAGACTTTCTAGCGACGGCGGAGCCTGTTTCGGCGTAAAATGCGCTGACTCGACCTGTACTCTCTCAAACTTTGTCTGCTCAAGAGCAGCCGAAGAAGATGGCGTGGAAGGCGCCGAGCCAGATTCTGTCGACGTGGGAGATTCTGTGAAGCTTGTCCATTCAGATTTTGCAGAGCTTGGCTTGGCCAGCTCCTTCGGGCCAACATCTCCTGTTTCAGCATGTTGCCTGCCCGCGCAGTCACGGGGATAGTTTCAGCCTGCAAAGAGTCAGTAAACGAAGACTCCGATCGGTGATGATGTCTCACCATCTTCAGGAGGCTTATAATTATTAGCTAAGATTTTGATAGGAGGAAAGACTGTGAAGTCACGAAAGACCACAAGAGTAATGGAAAAGAAAAAAGTGATGTAAGGTGAGCCGTAGCCTGATGAGAAGCTTCCGACGCGTTGATCTGATGCCCTTGGCGGGCTCACTTCGAGACAGGGACCAGATAGCAGGGATGTGCCCCAAATGGAGGATACACGATGAGAGAAAATAGGAATGTGGAGAGATAAAGGTGAAAAGTGATAAAGGGCGTCAGATCTGTATATGTGGGGAGGGAAGTCATCGCTGAGGGTCCAGTCTTTAAAGTGGCTGACCCGCAGTGGCTGAGTCATCGGATCGGCACGAAGTATAGAATGAAAGCGTCAATACACTGCCGATCCTCAATACGCGCCACGCTACCTGACTGTACATGTAGATTGCTCGTCATAAGCCTAAATAATTCAATTGGAGGCGAGGTATGTTTCGTGATCTGGGACCTTTTGAGGCTCAAGATGGGATTCATGATCCCGATGGTACGTCCCCTCAAGTGCTTCGAGGCAGAGCGTATAGTGGACGTTTTTTCTCTGTTTCTCTAATTCTTTGGGGACAAAATTTAATTTCATACCACTTAGTCTCTAGCAGCCATTCAAACGAATTGAAGCGTGGCGCCTGCATTTTTAGCGCCTGGATGTTACTAGATCAGCGCCTAGATATTAGCGCCACGATTTTTCTTGTTTGTTTCATGTATACACACTCGGCGTGTATATAAATACATTAACGCTTGAATTCTGTAGTCGGTTTCACGGATGCAAGCTCGCCGCATGCACCTGGGTACACAGGAGCCACTCAAGCGAGCTGAAGCGTAGCGCCTACGTATCGGGTTTTCTCTGCCACTTCTTGGCGCTCATCTTCCAACTTAGTGCTCAGACCTTGCCACTTTTCGCTCACTGAGCAGAACTGTGCACGCCTCTGGGCGGCCTGACCCCTTCACTGATCTTGTCTGAGCGTAGGGGTGAGTAGCCGAAGAAGCGACTTGAATAAAATGCACTTCGCTAGCCCCGTTCACGTATAACCTCCCTTCATAGAACTGCCCCAATTATCCCATCAAAATAGCACGAGTCATTAATATACCCATTCGTCCTGGTAAGACTGCTTCAATTTATTGCGCCACAATAGAGCTTGTTGTTTGACCAGCCAATTAGTATTTAATTCATACGACATGCGCCTGGAAACACTCCTTCTGCTACCCCAAGGATGTATTGATCAGGCTATAGACAACTGTCAGTGCCAAGGCAAGTTCTTAAGTCTACTCAGATATTTGCATTCTACCCTGCGATAGTAGCCCAAGGGTTACAAAGCTTAAAGAATTTACAACAAGCCGCCGCTCGCATCATTAAGCTCATATTTCTATAGGCAACAGTCACCCCTGTAAGGCTCCAATATTGGGCTCCTAGGAGTTGAGCAGATCTAAGATAATTCTTAGACCCACATGCTGAATTGATAAGCTAACATCTAATGCGCGCATGGTAAACCAGATTCCCAGGCATAAGACGTTGTTTCAACTCTAAAATCAATCGCCTAGCCTGTCAGAAATGACAGGGGTCATCCCAGATAGGATACATATATAGGAGTGGGAAATAATGGTGAGAGGTGCGTAGAATGACTCTTGACTCTGAAACTGGCAGTTTGTAGGAATGGCTGATTACATAAGCATTGACCTCGGATCATCTATAAATCCGGTCTCCATGTTCGTTCCGACATTGTTTCACTCTGACCTAGTGACTTCTCCCTCTTCTTTTCCCCACGATCCTGTTCTTTTCGCTTTGAGTGTACAGTTTCTTCTTGGACAGTGATGAAGTTGCTTGAGTTGCAGAATTTACCACCGTTCCGAGAGGCACGAGGCGGGAAATGATGGTCACAACGCATACCCTCGGGTGCTTTCTGAGTCCATAATGTACTATACTTCACATTGTCTTATTTTCCACGAACTTGGATGCCCCTCTCTTAATTTCAATATTGCCCCTACAGTGCCTTTTCTACTTTTACTATTCGCCTGTCAGATCTTGTTGTGAGATGATCGTCCTAGCAGTACGGAGAACGAGAGTAGAGAGGTGGAAGTGAGAAATAAATCCACAAGTGTGCATTATACAGATCGTTGGTGGTCACAGATGAGTACTGTGATCCCTTTTACCCAATGCGACCTGCATTTCTCCAGTTCGTATCATGTCTGCCGGCCAAACCCTCGAAGGAGATCTCATGGAGGAAGTTCATGAAGGCAAGCCGGGGAGGGAGAGGCGTGCAGCGGCCCATTCAACTACATCAGCGCAGTCCAACAGAAAGCCATTAGTAAGTTTCCCACCTCGTGAATCTCACCTTTGATATTTTTTCTTTACCCGCTCGGCGCTGATGAGTCCCATGGCCACGGAGTGTGAAGAACTGGGGTTGAAATATCAGTTACCCGCCGAGCATGTGCGACCCTCTTCTCCAACAGTGACCGCACATCATGGTTGGGCTCAGCCGTGCTGACGATATCACTAAATCGGTCCAGACTCGTTATCCTCGGTGATCAGCAAAGTTAGCTGAAGGTACAGAAGGTAGCTACAAGCCAACAGAAACCTCGCCGTAGCCCTACAGTAAGCCAAATCCGTCAAGTCTTCATCAAGGCTAGCTGACGCACCTTCTGCCTCGTCCCAAACATCGTCCCAAACATCGTCTCAGACCTCTTTCTACTTGGACTACATCAGCATTTCGCGTGCTGTCTCGAGATCCCTTCAGCAGACGAGCAAATCGCAGTGTCCGCGTCACGGTTACCTTAAGGACAGTCGTCGCGTCAAATCTGTTTTGCGGACTCATGGAATAGGATTGATAGCTCTCCGATCATCAGGTCCCGGAACACAAAGCCAGTGGGTGCTAGCAGATCTCTGGCTTGAACCACTGCATGTTGCTAGCTGATATCCGCTTGGTCGTTGGTCGACTCGTGCAGTTCGCAGCTTACTGCATCACTTGAGGTGGAAGGTCAGCTAGGGTTGGTATCCAGCGACCGAGACAATCCCCTTCAAGTGGCCTCCATGTCCATATGGTCCATGTTATGTCTCGACCGAAGGAAGGGTTCTCAATCGACTTCCAAATGCCTAAGCGACATAGTCTAAAAAAAGCATAAAGTCAGCCAAGGCTCACTGTTTCTGGGTCCCCAAAATTATGCCACTCTCTCAAAATTGGGGTCCACAGCCACAAGTTGCTGGGCTAGGCGCCCCCCCTCAGAGCAGCTTTGAGTGTATGACAGTATGATCATCAGACCACATCATCCGAGCATGAGTGTCCTTAATCCTGTTCTTTGCTTTCTTTACTGGGTTTTTGCACGGTGAATAGGGGGACGGACCTGCAGCGACCTCCGACGATGCGGAAAAGGCACCCCAAGGCCTCAAATACAGGATGTCTCCAAAGGGTCTAGTGGGAAAATTCCAGCTCGCGGCTATCCTGGAATCGGTAGATGTGAATGAAGCCGCCAGCAGAGGATGAGCAAGGAAAATGTACCCTTGACAGTTTCAACAACCAAGAAGGTTTCACCGACTTGACTCATGAACGGCAGGAAGGCATCGTCATACGGTCGCTCAAAGAATTCCTTCGCAGCTGGGGACGGTTTTGCGGGTTGTGGAAGCTAGATGGAGAAAGAGTGTGCAAAGCCAGCAAGAGTGGATTATCCTATTTACGCTTATATACTTGAGGAAAGTAGGTTGGACTATCTTCTAGAGGAAAGTACGCTGGGCCAACCGAGAATGGAGGAAGGTCCGCATCTTCAACATCACTGAACCGAGTCTCTCAAGTAAAAGCCGTAGCTCATTGGCTTCTATTGGGGTCAAGGCAAAGGAAGAAAAAATCCTCAAGCTACTCCATGACCGTCCAGATGTCGGTCTTAGATGTTTTCTTGAAAAATTGGTCCGGCGGGTTTACATGTTAACCGTGGAGAAATTTCGCTCCACATCAAAATGAAAACGAAACCACCCATATAGCCTCAGCTTCAGCGATTCCACCAAATGCCACCTGAAGTCCCGGCCAGAGTTGAACTTCGCAGATTTGTTGTAAGAATCACTTAGTAAATGCACATATGTTGTCACCCTATTCGTCTACTGAGCTGCACGCAGGGGTCCCATGTCATGCTGGGTCCTACTCGTGACCTCACTTAGCATAGCACACAGGATAAGAAGCCTCGCAGGCCCATCGAGTGATGACCAGCGCCACTCCGAATACACATCGCACTCCTGGTGCTATTGCACATAACCATTATTAAAGCTATTTGCTTGTGTTTTTTACTAATCCTCGCAGGACACAGACGTGGTGAACTCATCTCTGTAGAGCATCTCGCTGCGACTTTGTTCTTGAACGTGAGCAAAGCTACGATGCGGCCATTGCCTAAGCGATTTCGAACTGAATGTCTGTTGTTCGAAGTTGACAATATTAGCAAATTCAGCTTTGAATCATCAAAAGCGCTGGAAATTGTTCCATACCGCCGTCGGTTGAAGAAGTCTAATTGATTGGACAACAAATCAATTCAGTCTGTGGAGATCAGTATGATCAAGCCCTTTCTCGACAAAATGTACCGGCCTGGCACCTAACAGAAGTTTGAAATTATAAATGATTGCTACTGGCAGTATGTTTAAAGTGCCCAATCGTAATCCTCATAGCCAGTCTTTTCCGATAGCGTTTGGTGCGTCTTTTTGGCGGCACCCTCTTATTGAGCAAAGAAAAAGGTTCGACCCATGACTAAGATGGGGAAACACCCAGAGCAATGCTAGGATAGAAATGAAACACGAGAGAAAAAGAAAAAGAATGAAGGAGGGGAGTGTGTCGTTGACCCGGAGAGGGAATTATAGCTTCAATCTATAGCTCAGAGTCTACGCAAAAGCAGCCGTAGATAGAACGGGCAAAGGAATCATCTTTCTGCGTCACTACGTAACAGATACAAACTATGCGTTCAATTTTGGGCCGGGTTTTGGGGGTGAGAACGGAGTACAAAACACCAAGAAATTGAAGTCGATCAAGCTATCAGAAAGTAGTTCACAAATAAGTAGTATTGTGGGTCGAGTGCTTTCTTAGGCATAGATCAAGCGTGGACCGAGTACTCAATAGATGCCTCTCATAAATTTCTGAGTAATCATTGAGCCATTAGGGAGCGGCCAATCACTAGCACTGAGAACTCAGCGAACACTCACTAAGCGCCCTCATAACAGCGGCAGCAGCTACAATCGGAAAGTCCCCCCTGGCATAGGAAATGTGGTGCGTACAGTGGCCTAGATACGGTAGCGCCGGGACTTTTTTTTCACAGTTTCAGCCATTTAAGCCTACTGCATATGTACACCCAGAAGCCACTTGAATGAGTTGAGCCTCAGCGCGTATCCAGATATAGCAACGCATGGGTATGTTTGTTAGTTTCATAAATGCAAGCCCATATTACATTCCACTCTAGGCGAAAGCAATTTTTATGAGAATAAGCTTAATGAGATCTCCATAATAAATCTACAATTATCTCATACTGATATTCTCGCCTCATCAAGATCGGTACCTATTGAGAAGATTGCTCTCAATCGTCATCCAGACACTTTCCATTCCTCGGGCCTCTTTACCCTTGAGACTTCACTCTCCACTTCGCTCTTTTTTCGAACCCAGCTCGGCCGGTTCAGTCTTGCCTCTCCCATATTTCTTGTCTTACTTTCTTCCTTCATACCATCCTTTTCTCGTTCCAACTTCATTTCCCTGGCTCCCATTTCAAGGCGCCTGTCTCTACAACACGCCCACCGAAACCCACCATCCACGAGTACTTACCAAGTTCCATGGGAACTGCATACATATCTCAACTAGTGAGTCTTGATCCCTGTCCGCGTTCGTTCCGTATCCTGGTCCGTTCCCCGTGCTCTCTTTTGTTCGCCCTTCTACCTCTTGTAGATTCTAATGTCCTAAGCTATCATCAAGTCTCCAAGCATGCTATCTGAAAGATTTCGCAAACAGCAGGACGGTCGTCCCACGCCTTCTCGGCGTCGGTCTGATCCCGAGGAAGAAGCACGAAAGGGAAGTCTTCAATACAGTGATCGTCGAGACCCTCAGCCCGGCAAATATGGGCCTGCTTTCCAACAGGGACCACGTCAAGAGGAGATATTCGACAGAAAGGCCTCTGGTGAGCGTGTCTCTGAGCACGATCTACACGGAAGAAACCACTCTGTTCATATCATTCCCAAGCATCAACTCCCCGATCCTTATGAGAAAGTACCCCCGATCTACACGGCACAAATGAAATCGGATCACAACCGCTACAAAGATCTCTCCGAGAGACCAAAGTGGGGGATATTCGAAGAACTGCCGACGCTGGAATGAGAGTGCCTGTTCGTGGTGATCAGGCTCCCACTAACGAGCAGGGGCGATTTATCAAGGACAGAGAGGCAGATGCCAGAGGTGGTCGAATTGCTGCAAACACGTGAGTGGACTGGCTCCCTGCATGCTCTTTCTATGATTCCACGTGAAGGGTAACTAACGCTTAAGTGATAGGGCTGCGCAAGCACGCTCGGGAATCAGTCACAAGTACCTCCAGGCCTACGAGAACAAAGCCGCCATCATCACCCACCACACCCAAGTCCATGCCAAGCTCACCCAAGCCGATTCTTACAGAAAATCAGAGCAGGACCTTGACAAGCGCCATCATGCATGGGCCCAGAAAATGGACTGACATGGCGTCCCGATGGATGAAGATCAGCAATATTACAGACCTCGTGGACCCGATGGCAATCTTGTTGAGCCGAAATTTGCGGAGTCTGAGAGTAGTCCTTGGCGCAAACTGCAGAATCAAGCCGAGAAGGATGCTCGTAGACAGGAGGCTGCTCGCAGACGCCGATAGATCATGACTCTTCGCCAAATTGCTCGATAAGTCAGAGCGTCAACCGCATGTCCACCGCCCGCGACAGCAGCAGGTGTCACCTGGTTCAACCTTTGTCACCTTGGCCATAGCGGCTCGGCGTTTTTTATTCCTACCTTTACCTACCACAAAGATGATATTTTACTTGAGTGCTACCATTCCAATTGCAATTTGATTTTCACAATTTCCTTGATACCATCTTTGACAAGATTCAAGAGATTACTTCACCTCAGTTTCAGTAGTCAAATTAGAGCTCTCTTTCTCTGAATGTCGAGTCGAAGGGATTGGGGCTTCCGATTGCCGTTATTGCTTGCTCACTAGACATATACTATTACCGCCGGTATCGCGAGAGGCATCGTCAATGTGCTAGTAACCCTCATCGCGCGAGGTGCTTACTACAGGATTGCACTTCATTCTTCTCCCAGCCCATCCCGTTTCAACGCTCAGTTTCAGCTATAATTCATTAAAACGCATTGCATGCTACAATCTACATATAAGCAAAGCTACTATGACATTGCAAGAATCATGGTCCATCAACGCCACTAGTAGTGGAGTCAACTCCACCATGTGGAGAGCGCGGTGAAGATAGCGGTGTGAGTCACAGCTTTTACTGCCGGTTCAAAACAGGCCATGGTTCTTGCACGGGCCGAGGCTCACATGCTGGATTACAATCCAAGGGTCCCCGAACCGGTACCCATGAACCTCGTAGATTAAAATCTTCAATATCCGAGCTCAAACAAGTTACACATATCACCATGTCCGCTCTTTTCACCGTGCCAATCGCCTCGACGGGAGGCTCTATCGTCTGCACCAACCCGACAGCTGGTCAGGACGAACAGCAAAACATCTACGTGCTCACATTCACCTCGCCCAAAGACAACCGATTAACCCCGACATTCATTGATGCGCTCATTCTTGCCTGAGACATTATCGAGCACCGGTACCCAAAGGGCGTGGTTGTCACTACGAGCGGAATCGCCAAGTTCTACAGCAATGGTCTGGATCTGGATCTTGCCATGAGCACGGAGGGATTCCTCGACCAGTGGCTCTGGAAGCTTTTCCGCCGGTTTCTCACGTAATTTTACACTTTGAGGCTTGTCTCGGCCATTCTGCGAGTCATAATAAGCTAATGTCGGCCTAGATACCCTATGCCAACAGTGTGTTTGCTGAATGGTCACGCTTTTGCAGGCGGCTTCATGCTCGCCATGTACCACGACTACCGTATCCAGAATCCTGACAAGGGCTTCCTCTGCATCAACGAGTTAGAGTTTGGAGTACCCCTCCAAACACCTATGATGTCCATCTTCCGCGAGAAGCTCCCTGCAACCACCTTCCGGAATGTGGTTCTGGAGGCGCATCGGTTTGGCGGCAAAGCCTCGCTACATGCGGGCATCGTTGATGGACTGGGTGGACTCGAGGAGGCTGTTGCACTTATTCGAGGTCGCAAGCTTTTGAACAAGGCTGAAACAGGAATTTACGGTACAATGAAGGAGGAGATGTATGCGCGCGTACTCAATGGTCTCGATGACCACGTGGGCAACCTTGAATGGCGTGAAAAGTTGGAGCAGAAGAAAGAGCAGCTGCAAAGCATATCCTTGCAAAATGTGAAGGATTTCGAGAAAGGACACAAGGCGAAGCTCTAGGCTGTGATCTACATAGACCCGTTCGTGTATAGATGCTTGAATAAATTTGTATATACAGATTCTATCCCATCATGGTCACTCTGCGCAATTTTAAGGGCCATGAAAGCGGCTAGTTGTCAGTATCGCGAAGGCTTCGTGGCATTTAATTAGCATTCCGGTGCTTCCGTTTTGGACTTTTTTTTAATAACTACATCCATGACATTCAAATTCCCACTGATGCTACCTTTGAAGCTTTCTTACGCCTTAACGCTGCTACCTAGTTGCACTCGACCAACTTCAAGGGCCATTTCACCAGTTTGGTTTTCAAATATTGAGATATTTGAGCTGTTGAGAACATGTGAAGTAAGCTGCATCTTGTTGTGCATAATAGCTGTCTCCAGCCCAAATAATGGCAAGGACAGATCAAGATATCAGTGGAAGCGTGAGGTGACCTACTAAGCAAGTAGCCTGACAGACTAAGGGCTACGTACCAGAGCCTCCAGGTATTCATCAGGAATTCGAACTTTTTTTCCACTCTCATCTTCCTTGGACCTTCAAGTTCCCAACGGTACAGCCAGAAATTATACGGAACCGCCGCACGTTCAACACCAAACCAAAATAACATGAGACAAAGAACATTGCAACCACCACCTGAAATGGACCTACATCTACATGAAGGCCACGCATCACGCGGCTGTGTAACTTGTAAGGTGATGGCAAGCCCCTCTAGTCACGAACACGGAATTTCCAGCCCCGGCCGATCTTCATTCTGAAAGAAGCAAATATTAAACCGACAAGGGAGTCGTTCCGCGCAATTATAAACTCGACTTTCGGAGCGCCAATATGACTGGCTTCGAACGTGAAGATCCTCGAGCATATTGAAATTTTTTCGCCGAGTTTCTGAGCTGAAGGCGCGAAGGGTATGAGTCGAGATCTAGACCCTTAACAATAGGCCCATGAATGCGATCTATCTATAGAGACGTGGAGGTATAAAAGGGCGCTGGCCCTAAGGGTTGAGGTTCTTCATCAAGCTCTCCAGCTCTACAGATCCAGATCTTCGCGAGGCTCATTTCCCTTGTAAGGAGACCTCTTCCTTCCTAGGTTGAATGCTTTGACTAACTATCAGACTATTTCGAGTCCATCAACTCCGTCAATATGCAGTTGAACTACATCTTCGCCCTCCTTGGGCTTATTGGTGCTACTATTGCTGCTCCCGTGCCTGGTTCGTTGAAGTCCAGAATGACTCCAATGTGTGATTACCACTGACAATGTGCTAGGCACTGAGACTGGTATCGGCTCTGGCCTTGGCGGCGGTGGCGGTGGAGGTGGTGGTGCAGGAGGGGGTGTTAGCGGCGGAGCCGGTTTCGGTGCTGGCCTCGGTGTGGGTATTGGCGGAGGATTTGGAGGAGGCGCTGGCGGTGGTGCAGGTGGTGGTGCAGGTGGTGGTGCAGGTGGTGGTGCAGGTGGTGGTGCAGGTGGTGGTGCAGGTGGTGGTGCTGGCCTCGGTGCTGGAGCTGGCGAGGGCGGTGGTATCGGCGGCGGTGCTGGAGAAGGCGCAGGAGGTGGTGCTGGAGGCGGCGGTGGCTTTGGAGGTGGTGAAGGAGGTCGTGACAGCGACTGGTGATGATCTCTGAATGCGTCTACAAGATTGAAAAGTCTGGTTCTTGACCAGACAGATACAGCCCGAGGATGAAAGATCTTTTGAAAACACCTCTAATTGGATTTTCTCGTGATAGGTACATGACGTCGTAAAGGTTATATAATTCTGCTCATAAGAGCATTCATGATCATGACTTCTTGGTCTTGCTAGGCCGGGCCAGCCGTGCGGGAGGATCCAAATGATCAACCAAAGGGCGATAGGGCGATGCCAACACATAATCTGGAGCAGGAGCTCGTCTCGGATCTCCAGCGTAGGGCCGACGCAGTTGCTCCGCATGCATGCGATCTAACGGTTCTCCAATTACCTGGTACTTAGCCCAGTTGATGGGCGGCGTTCGAACAATATTCTGTGCCGGTGGTATGCGGCCAAACTTCGAAGTAGGCGATTTGTCACCTTTTTGCTTGGTTCGGTCTTTGCTATCATGTTCTGTCTCCATGTCGTCATCTTCTGCCTCGTCTGTAAACTGAATCACAGCCCCGCGATCTTCAGTGCGCAATCGCCCGGCTGCCAACTCGCGCGCAAAACCCTCGGGATCCGCCACAGCGGCTTGTTTCATGCGTTCCAAAGTGATCAGATCGCGATGACCTTGCTGTTTTTGCATCTGCAAAATCGATATGGCGGAACGGAGTGCGATCGCATCTGGATTCTCGCTCTCGGAGATAGGGACGGGTGGCGGTTCGGGCTTGAAGACGGCTGGAGTTGCTGGCGGTCGCGGAGCTTGGTAACCAGAGAATTCTGGTATGCGACTTGTCGGCGACGGTGACGAAGGGGGTGGTACTATGGTTGCGTTGCTGGACGCGACAGGGTCGAGTTGGGCGAAGACCGGTGTCACTGGTGAATAAGGTGGGCGGGGTGGAGTGCCTGGCCGATCATCCTGGATCATGGGCTCAGGACCCTCTGGTACAGGACCAGGCACAGGCTGCATGGTGAATAGGGAGGGGACACGATCCCAAGCGCGGGTATTCAAGGCCTGGAGCAGTGTTCGAAGCCAAGTGCAGAATCAGAACTCAAAGGCGTTCCAGGCTGGCGGTAAGTGACGACACCGGCTGAGTGGAGTATACGAACTAGAATCACTTCACAGCAAATGGATCGATGCACCCATCAAGTCTTTCAGAGAGTCACGAGGCCCGGGGTCTGGCATGCCAAACAAGGGATTCCTAATTAAGGGTGGCGTGCACTTGGGATGTAGTGGCGAAGGTTGAGGCTCTGCCAGGAACCGCTTTCGCAATTTAGCCACGACACAAAAAATCATCAATGGAGTAATTTCTTATCGGCGATAAGCCATTTGAATCAATAAAAATCGAGATCTGAAAACGGCGCAATATTCTCTTTCCAGCAGAGAAGTGTAGGCGTCTGTGCCTGATCAGGTACTGATTCGCAGTCGTGGGTGGAACATCTGAATTCTCCCCCTAAATAAGCAAAGCGACAAGCGCCGTTCCAGAGAATCGAAAGAACTCTGGGACCTCTAAATTCGAATCAAAAGTGTTGACTGCGCTGTTGTCGCGTCTATTGACAACAACCCAATGCGGAGACCGTTGACCGCCCAGTTGATATCTCACCGCCTCCGAAAATTTTGAAGATCAGGCCATTGCTCATGGGTGTTGCATTGCTCATACATCCAGCAAAATGAAGCGTACGACAAATGAAAGACCGTCCATTGACGGCAATGGACTTCCAGAGTCCAAAAAGCGCGCTCTTTCCAGCGAGGAAGCTGTTGCGCGCTTCCGCGACGGCTTGTTTGACCCCGCGGAGCAGAAGCAGTACACCGAGTCTTATGCTAAGTCGAGCCCGTACGTATTTCAACAACACCAAATACTTCAATTCCCTTGGCCTAACTATTATTGCATTGAACAATAGTTACTACCACGGCGTTATTCACCCTCTGATTGAAGACTCGCTCCTGCGCTCCGTCCGCGAGGAGATCCAAGAGCACCTCCACTTCACCGAGAAGGAAACCGATATCTATAAGATCTTCCAGTCCGGTGATCTAGCCAACTTGGATGGTCTTGATGACTCTTCGCTGTCCAAGCTTCCGTCGCTGCTGAAGCTGCGCGATGCCATGTACTCGGCGCGCTTCCGCGAGTATTTGTCCTCTGTGACCGGCTCCGGCAAGCTCAGCGGAAAGAAGACCGACATGGCTATCAATGTTTACACTGAGGGATGTCACCTTTTGTGCCATGACGACGTCATTGGAAGTCGCCGAGTTAGCTATATTCTCTACCTTACCGATCCCGATACTCCGTGGCAGGCCGAATGGGGTGGTGCTCTGCGTCTCTACCCAACCAAGACCGAGAAAGACGCCAAGGGCGAAGACGTCAAAATTCCCAGCCCTGATTTCAGCCTTTCTATTCCTCCCGCTTTCAACCAGTTGAGCTTCTTCACTGTTCAGCCAGGTGAGAGTTTCCACGATGTCGAGGAAGTTTACCACCACCGTGAGGGCGAAGATAAGTCCAAGAAGCGCGTGCGCATGGCCATCAGTGGATGGTTCCACATCCCACAGGAGGGCGAGGATGGATATGACGAAGGTTTGGAAGAGAAGTTGGCTGAGCGCAGCAGTCTCGCACAGTTGCAGGGCCGTGGTGATATGTATGATTTACCCCAGCCACAGCCTGTATCTTGGGAAGAGCCCGAAGTGCAGGGCAAAGGCAAGGGCAAAATTGATGAACAGGCCGAGGGCAATGAATTCACCGAGTCCGACCTCGAGTTCCTGGTGCAGTACCTTGCACCGTCTTACTTGACCCCTGATATTGCGGAAGAGATGTCAGATACATTTGCGAGCGAGTCTTCGCTCAGTCTCGAGCGTTTTCTCAGCGATAAATTTTCTTCTCGGGTCAGCGCATACATTGAGGAGCAGGAGAGGCAGAAGTTGCCCGCTTCTGCTAAGGAGATCCAGGAGCAGACTGAGTGGACTGTCGCTCAGCCCCCGCACAAGCATCGTTATTTATACCAGCAGGTCTCATCTCAGGATACCAGCAACCCCATTAAGGAGTTGTTGAATGTTCTTTTCCCTTCCCAGGCCTTCCGCAAATGGTTGGCGCTTATCACCGGCGTGGATCATCTCAAGAGTCACAATTTGCTTGCGCGTCGCTTCCGTCGCGGTGCCGACTACACGCTGGCCAGTGGATACGATGGCGAAGAGCCGCGATTGGAATTTACTCTTGGTCTCACCCCGACACCTGGATGGGAGAAGGAGGTCGAGGAGGAGGAGGAGGCGGAAGATGAAGATGACGATGAGAACGGCGAGTCCGCAAATCCCAAAGAGGCCAAGGAGCCCAGGAAGGAGACCAACGGCGAGGCTGCCGAGCACCCTTCTGTGGGCGGCTACGAGATCTACATGGCCGGCGACGAGGACGAAGATGAGGAGGAAGATGAGGAGAACGCAGATCAAGTCCTTGGACCCAAGAAGAAGAAGGCCGACCCTGCCATCTACCGCGCCTCCGGAGACGAAGACGATGGAATTCTCTTTAGCACACAGGCAGGCTGGAACAGGCTGAGTATTGTGCTTCGTGACAGCGGTACCCTCAAATTCGTCAAGTACGTCAGTGCCAACGCCAAGGGTGACCGGTGGGATATCACAGGCGACATTGGTGTTGAGTTCGAGGAAGATGACGACGACGATGACGAAGACATGGATGATGAAGACGCGGACGAAGAATAAACAATCCTGGGCGGTATATTTTGATTTAGCATTGGCAACAGGACTTCAAAAATTGTAGATACACCATCACAACTGTTGGCACCATGTTCTTGCACAGTTATATTAGTAGCTAGTGGAGTGAGATATCTCCTTCATCTGATCCAGGTTCTCCTGGAGAGCGTGCGTCTTCTTCTGGAAGCGCGCATGGCAATCAGGGCCAAGCATCAACCGCAGATAGTCTTCTTTGCCTGCGCCCATGCCTGTTCCTGTCACAACTTCGAAGATCCTTTGAGCGGCTTTCATGGGGTCGCCCTCCCTGTGAGCCATTCCTAGACTTGAATGCTTGCAGCGCATCATCCACGGGCGTTCCAATATAACCCTTCCTCAATCCAGCAGCTGGCTCCATGAAAGTTGAAAGGAACTTTGCTCTAAACAGCCCGGGCTCAACGACTAGTACCCTGATACCGAATGGCTGTAACTCCCTCGCAAGACTCTCCGACATACCTATATATCATCAGCACAATACCTTCCAACGAACATGAAGGGGAGTTGAAGAAAAATAAAAATTCAACTTGCCTTCAAGTGCAAACTTCGACGCAGCATACATAGCACAGGAGGGCACGCCATCCATCCCCGCAATACTACTGACATTAACAATAACCCCAGACCTCTGCTCCCGCATGTAAGGCAAGACACCCTTCAATACCCTAACGGGACCATAAACATTCGTACTAAATTGCATCTCAATTTCCTCCTCACTCATATCCTCAATACTCCCCAGAAGCGAGTATCCCGCGTTATTAACAACGACATCAATTACACCTCCGGCCTCGCGTATCGCGGATTCAACTTCTTTTGCCGTCTCGACACGTGTCACGTCGATTTCAATCCATGTACCGCCTAGTCGTTCAATTTGAGAATTTTCTTGCGCGGCTTTTATAGTATTGCGAGCTGTTGCGAGGACTCTGTGCCCGGAGCGTAGGGCGACTTCGGCAATTGCTGTTCCTAGGCCGGATGAAGCGCCAGTTACAAGCCACGTCTTTGTCATTTTTTCTCAAAGTTTGCTCTGGGCTTGGTCTTTTCAAAAAGTGTGGAGGACTAGTGCTGATGCTTTGAGGGTCGATGGTGCCCGGCTCGTGTTTTGTGATATATCGCGGGGGCGAAAGTACTGATGATTTCGTCGCAGGTATTTTCCTAGTTTGGTAAGACTCTCTATGCCTGGATCAAACGGTGTCCGATTCGGGAGGATGTCAGCTTTTGCGATCCGGAAAATGCAGGGATGTTGAACGAGCAATACTCCGAGCCTTTATACGAGCTGTTAGACATGCGCGAGTCGGACTTAACGGTGGTGGCCCGACGCTACAGGGATGGGATGGAGATAGAGCGGATTTACTGGGGTAAGGCTTCAGTTGATTCAATTACTCGAAGGGCGTTAATCTAAGTAGACAACAGTGCTTGAGCCGTTGGTGATGATTTCGTGTACGTCAAAGGTTGACCATGGTTTGTATTTTTAAGCCTTGTGGATGGATCCTTGAATGCTTCGGATAACGATACCACGAAAGCCGGGGTGAATTTCCAACAGCCATCTGCCTAGGCATCAGAGTTGATCCATTGTGCATTTGCATTGCAGCCAAGGTTTCCCAGCGGACTTCTCAGTGCCTGACTCAAAACAACACCCCAGCCTCAGCTGTACCTAGTAGCGAGTCGCGCCAGATCGGCACTGCAGAAACCACCTTTACCGTAGCCTCACAATCAACCTTGGCACAGAATCTGATCGAATCGAACGGCCAGGGTACACCGACGTTGACATGACGCATGCGTACAGAATCTCTCGAAGCAGCTCGAAACCTCAGATCTCCATTCAGGCACCAGCTGCAGAGCCACAGGAGGATAATTGCAAACTCATCTTCAACCCCTCACATCCCGCCTCATCTCCAGGCCAGCGTCTACCGAACGGGCAAGAGCCAAACCCAAAGCTCACGGGCGGAAGTCGACATCAAGGCTGGCGGCAATCGAAACCGGTGCTACTCGGACCCACCACTGAAACAGAGTGGACAATTAAACCATGAGGTTGGGCTAGTAAAGTAGGGACAATCAATTATTTCCATGGGTAGATAGAATGGGATGCGCATGGGTGAGACAGGACCAGTGAGAAAGCAGCGTGGAAGAGACGGGCGCAGGCTCCGGCATCTCAAACATGTCTCTTATCCAGGTTCCTGGGGATTCCGAGAGACGGGAACGAGAACACGCGAGGGCAAGAGCAGTACCGTCCACGTAGTTCAAGGGATGAAAAACAACGCCATGAGAAAGGGAGAGCGACATGGGAATGATCGACTAGTTAGCACATCCCCCAGCTTCGGGGAGAAAGGGCCCCGGGGGGATGATCGACGGCTACACAAGGGGAAGTGTATCTCCGGCAAACTGCACAATTTTATTGGGGAAGAAGGGGGTGGGAAACTGAATCATGAGGAATGGATGTGAACAAAGACAGGCTAGTCATCACGGTGGTAACGTCGCGTGTTTAGGGAAAGAGACTATTGCAGCAAGGATGTGACCACGATATGGGTGCGTGGGCGGCGGAATGGGATACAGCTGGATCATGGTCGTGGTCATGGCTGAACGCATGGTCGCCAGGGCATAGCCAACTCTATCTTGTAAATGCCATCCCTGAGAGTCTAGAGTGGTATTGCACATTCCTAACGATTAAGCTATAACCCATGAGCACGGCCGATAACCCGGTATGGAAGGCTGCTACGGTGTCAAAGAGGACGTATGTACGCGTGTCGATCGATTCAAGACAGAAACATTCTGCAAGGCCACGCCATGTGGCAAGGGACTAAACAGAGTACAGTACTATTATTTGAGTCGGTACGGCGTACGGTGTACGGGGGACAGTGTTCAATGTACCGAGCACGCACAGTAGACGTGTCCGGTGAAAAGCCACGCTGCATGTGGCGGTGCCGGGCCGATCCCAGGCCCAAATTTAGCAAAGCGGACCCAAAATATCCTGTTGCCTGACAGTCCACATGGAAGATCCCTCGGGCAACGAAAGCTCGGATCGAACACATCAGAACCAGCATGGTGTGAAATACCCGAGCAAGACGGCAGTAAATCGATGTGTGGCCGGGGAGAGAATGGAAATTAGAAGGAGGGGGTGGCTGCCGCCTTCTGACGACTCCAAAAGAGCTCGGGCATCAAACCCTGGATACATCGAATAAATTCCCGAGACCTGTCGCACAGGCCCCGGAGCACGAATAAGGGATGGGTCGTTTGGGGACAATAGCCTGGGCACCGAGTCTACTGAAACTCAGGTGCGAAGAGGTAGGTTGAAACCAAACAGTAGGCGCGCGGGTCTTGAACGAGACCAGCTGCGCGTAGCCCGACTCGGGAGAGTGCAGGGCGACCAGTCTAGAATCAAGCTTCAAGTTAAGCTGACGCACGCGCCTGGGGAGGGGGGGGTGTTCCACGGCTTGGCGATTTAGTTTTGAAGCTGTAAGTGTCCGGGGTGGTACGAGGTAGTTTGGGGCTGGACCCGGTAGAACCGGAAGACTGCTCTCGAAAATGAGAACATACCATCCACACACTATGATACACTAGAGTACACACAAATATTGCGCTACGAAGCTCGATAGTGCAGTCTGCCATGTGCGTGTGGCACAGTGCGGACGCACAAAAGATTCGAAGGATCGGTACCTATTCTACCGAGCAAAATGCCCGGGTGGCCGAAGTATCTGATACATAATATCCCTGCAGAGTGCTTGCCATGTGTCCAACGTCGATGGGGTTTAGCGTGCGCCCGGCATGCAGCCGCCTTTCCCCCCGGTCGCATCGCAGTTTGTCTACTTTTGGACCCTTCACTCCAAGTATCACTTCTGCAAGGAGCCTGCTCCCCCCTGAGGCCGATCATTCGCCACGTGAACAAAAGGTAGCTCTTTTCACATTGCCAATTCCACTTCCTTGTCCCATGTCCATGCCCGTGTCTGTTTTTCAGGTCAAGTTCCTTGGTAGGTAGGGGATGGTTGCCGCCACCACCGGTACCTAGGTCTCCATCGAGGAAAAGGGTAGGCGATTGCGAGGTATCTAGGTATGGCGGGTCGCACCAAACTCAACCACATTCGGCCGGCATGACGTGAAGACTTTTCTTGAGGGGTGTTCAGGGTGGTGATGTAATCGATGAACGAGATTAAAAAACGTGGCTCCTTGCATCGAAGGGGGGGAGAGAGGTAAAGGAAGTCAATGGCGAACATTCAGTGGTCCTGGGATGAGGTAGGGGACCTAGAGGTAGCTTAGGCCATCGGCTATAAGCTGGATCACTGGAGGCGGGAGACTGGCAGCTAGAGGCTAAATGCTTCAGGCTACAGGCGATAGGCCATCGGCCATCGAGGTATAGACTAGAATAAACGGGCGGCCGCTCGGGGAACGGGGACGGCCCTGTTGGCAAGCGAAATGTAACTCTGAGAGAATTCCACCCTTGCCTCTCTGTTCTCCAGGGTCAGCCTCGTGGCACACAGGTGGAGATGTGTCGCAGTAGTGCACAATCCGAGGCTTGGCGCATGGTAACAATACACGCATTCCATGAACTGTTTGTCATTTTTATCCTGTCTGATTTGGATTTACGATGAGGTTATTTGATTTTTCAAGTTTCTCGTCATTTTTCTGCCTTCTGCCTTCTGCCATCTGCCTTTTGCTTTCTGCTTGTGCGGTGATTCTGAGAATATAGTTCGAGCGGTACCCTCGATCGATCCAGGGATCTACAAGGTGACATAGCGCCCGAAAAGAGGAGATCACCGTCCTCTTTTCTTCAACCGTTTTCCTCGGCCGTGTTGCCCCAAAAGGTGCCCTCCTTGTGCCACGTTCTGATGCTCCCTTGCGCTTCGTTATTACCGTACGCTTACCCGGTAGTTCTTCCTTCTTCCCCGGTCTGAAAAGTCAATAACTCGAAAAAAAAAAAAGAAAAAGAAAAACAAAGAAAAAAGAGAAGCAGAAAAAAAAGAACAGAAAAAAAAAACAGAAAAAGAAAAGACTGGGACTCGACCCTAAATCTCATCGGGTACAATACTCTCTAGACTCACCTAGCGCGAGATCGTCTTTTTTCCCCCTCCTTCAACTGTGTATTCCCCTTCCCATCTTGTTTCGTTTTTTCCCTATCCTGCCCCAACTGTATTGAGCTTCTTCTCACTTTCGTGAGATCCGCCCGGTCGTTACCTTTTGCCTTCCCACCCCCATCTCCCCCATCTCCCCCATCTCCAATTGATCCCGGCGGAATATGCGATAAGTGTGGAGCTACCCTCGATCGCTTTCTGACACCTACGCTTCCTCCCATCCCCCCCAAAGACTTAGTCGCCATCACTCTTTTGACTATGGACTCGGTCGCTCATCGACCATGGGAGACGGCCTCGGGCCCTCAGACGCCCGCCGCTTCAAACCAGACCCTGCCATCCATATCGACGCTCACTGCGAATATGAACGGGATGCATTCGTCAGAGAAGTCGCCTGGGAACTCGTCGCTGAACACGGTTGAACGAGACTCGGGGAATTGGTCCATGCCCCAAAGCACAAGTAGGACTCCTCCCGGAGCGCATGAGTTGCGGCGGGCTGACCCTGCAGGATCTTCCACCTACTCGACCACGACCAATGGCACCGGTAACAACTATCCCTCTCTCACCTTTTTGACCTCGACCTCGCAACCCTCACCAAACCGAAGCCACCCTGCGCCCGCTCCAGACCGTTCGCCTTATGGGCACGACCAATCCACCCCTCCCTCGGCTGGTACCCAGCAGCCTTCTCCCAGCTATAACACTTCTCAGCCAAATGGCGCGCTTCCCTCGATCAACCAGAATTATGACGTCTCATCCCAACGTGGCAGCGTTGCCGAGGTTTCGGAATCGCGTCGCAGCTCCATCGATAGTCGCATGAACCAGGGAATCAGCTCGCTTGCCATTAACCCGGCGTCGCCCTACCACAGCACCAATGCGTCGCAGTCCTCGATCGTGTCCGGCTTGCAGCGAGAGCGCGGTATAACCAACGAGATGAACTCCTACCGGGGCCGCGCTACTCTGGCGGTGGTCAACCTCTATCACCTTTGGGACCTCGACCGGGCGAACCTCGAAACTTCCAAGCAGGACGCAGCGCACCTCCGATCTCTTCAAATCCGCGCTCAGAGATTTACAATGCCGAGGCACCAACGGCGGGCATGGCGTACGCTTTCCCCGATCCCGACGTGGGGCGGTCCAGCTCGATCTCGTCCAACGAGAATACCAATCCCCCATTCTCCCGAAAAGGCAGTACCGCGGAGTCGTTGAGTAGCATGTACTCGGAGTCGCGCATGCCGCGCGGACAACATGGTAAGTTTTGTATTTTCGGCGCCTCGTCTGACATCGTGCTCACCTGATGTTTCAGAACTGCCACAAAACGTACATCATCATTCTTTGCAGCACAAGCAAGTTCGGGAATTAATTGGTGAAGCTGATGGCGGCAATACGCCGTATAGCCGAACCCCGGAATTACGCGTCACACATAAGCTCGCCGAGCGTAAGCGACGTAGTGAGATGAAGGACTGCTTCGAGGCCCTGCGCGTGCGCCTTCCCCAAGCCCAGAACAACAAGTCCAGCAAGTGGGAAACGCTCACTCGGGCCATCGAATATATCAGCTCACTTGAGAAATCACTCGGTCAAACACGGCGAGAGAACTCTCTCATGCGCACACAGCTTGAGGAGATGCAAGCGCAATTAAATCAGCAACAGGCCAACGGGCCCTCAAGAACCCCTTCGATCTTTGAGCACCACATGTCGGCCACCCCGACCAACGGCCAGCAAGGGCCTATGTTCGGTGGATTTGGAAACGGGTCCAATATGGCCCAGGAACAGCCTCGCACTCTACCACCGCTCATGAACGGCTCTGTGGCCCCGATGCAGGGGATTCAGTACACCGATGAGCGACGGTAGAGACTTTTGCCCATGGCCACGACCATGGATGAGAAATGACTAGTCATGCCGGGATTTGTGCCCGCGAAATGTCCGCGACTTCTTTTCACATTGTCATTCTATATATCCCCTGTTTTAGATATGGATGTCGTTGCCACGCCGAGCCGCTGCCCTTGTATGCGGAGTGGCTTTATTCAGCCTTGCTCTTGATTTCTTTGTGTCATCGATCATACCCGCAATCGCCTTGCTGTCTGTTTAATTCTGTCCTCTTCCATGTTTTTTTTTTTCTTTTTTTTTTGGCTCGGGGTTCGCCCCCCGACACTCCTACTGCATGTTCACATTTGGGATCACTGGGAAGCATGGTCATCGATTATCGGCATGGTGGAACGAAGGGTGTTTTGTGTATCGAATATCCAAAAGCGAGAGCTGCACTATGCCAAATGTATGGAAATGAATATCCGACGAGGCCGAGGCCCGTCTATTGCTTGACACTTTGTTTTAAAACGACACCCAAACCATCGATGGATAGACCGACAAATAAATGAGCAAAGGAGAGAATATAACGTGGAAATTGACGAGTCACTGCAGCACTCATTAAAATTCGATCTATTTTGAGAGTCGAGATTGGTGATGTGGTTGGCTCCGGTACGCGCCCACCCACCCCGGCGCGTAACGCCAGCCTCAAACCGCACTTGCATCGTAGCATTGGCCCCTGCTGGTCTCCCCAGCTTAGAACCAATAGAGGACTTGAAAATGAGAGCTCTCGGGTTGCAGTGTCTGGGATCTCTGCAGACAATGAGCTTGAAGGGGTATGATTGGATCTAGCAATGCTGGTGACATCCGGGATTAGATCGGCCAAGCTTCGTGCAGCGTAGGAGCGACATTAGTGCACCGGAAGCTTTTGTTTATGAAGATCGAAGCTGCAAAGTCGGAGCTTTCTCTCTGCAACTTTCTTTTCACGTTCAGGTTTCAGTCTGGGTTTATGCTCTGCATGTGAATGACAGCGTTTCTTTGAATGCATTGTTTCAGGCGTCACATTGTTTCATATCTCCTTTGTTCACTCTCCAGGTTTCTAGCGCAATTTAACGCTTGTCTATCCCATCTCATGGTATGTCGACCTCAACATCGCGAGAAGAATTTCCGCTAAGTACCGGCAGTTCTACACTGAGACGTCGCGATGGCCTCGAGACAAAATCCTCAACCACGGCTACAAGTCCCGGTCCCGAAATTCCCACTGTCTTCACCTATCAGTGAGGAAATCTCGAGTCCGTCATGTTCATCGGCAGAGGAGCGCGAGTTGGAGCGAACCAGACCGTTCGATGTTTTGGTCAAGGCGACGCGCCAGAGACTCGATACGACGTCGGGAAGTGGAAGAGATGGACTCAGATCGCCAAATCTCTCGCACCGGGATCATGAAATAGCGGAGACTCCGAAGAATCCGAGACTGAGTCTTCGGGGCTTCACAAAGAAGAAGAATGCGTCCAAGCCAGTCGGACTTAACCTGGTTACGAACTTTACACTCGGGCCTTCGCCAAAGCACACAAGAACATCAGAGGAGAACACGCTTGCACCATTTGTGGACTTGAATGATCTGAAGCAGCTGTCAAAAGCACGAGAGAAAAAGCGGGAGGCGAAGAAGTCAAAGACTGATGAGAGAAATAACTTGATGGCTGCGTCGGTTGCTTCAAGGGGCTTCCAACCGGCCGCGGAGACGATAGAACCAAGTGGGAACCCGTTTCTGGACCCGAACCTCGATAACTCCTCTGCTGATAGACACTATCATGGCCTTTCCCCTTCAGATCGCCATGTCATGATCGGCCTGGCAGTGCCGCGCCATGAATCCTCGGAAATGAACAAGGAGCTCGATAGCGCAGGGGATCAACATACTCCTCTCACACCATCCATCATCGTCACCCCAGCCCGCGAAGATGCACCATGGTCTACATCCAGTCCTGAAACGCTGCGGCCCCGAGCCACATCCAGCGTTTACTCCCAATCAACACCCCGTCTATGGTCAAACGAGGCTGATATCCCACCGGTACCTGCGATTCCAGCCGAACACTCAACTTCTAGGATGTCTAAATTTGGGTCTATCCTCCTAAGTGCACATGCCATTGCCGCGGGTCGAGAACAGAAGCATCGTTCTGTGTCCGCCGATACTATTATCGAAGATGACAGTCCTGCACAGGAACACTCCCACTCTCGAGGGACAGAAGACCATGATCAAGCACCATTAACAGAACATACCCTAACCGTGAACACGGAAACAAGACCTCAGTCCCAAGGATGGTGGACATATCTTCTCTCACCACTCCTCGGCAAAAAATCACCATTGAGCCCGAACTTCCCCCGCCGAAGCCCTTCATCTTCAAACCCCACAAAAACCAAAAAATCCAAGGAATGGTGGGAGAAAGAAGTCTCATGCTTCTCGCCAGAAACACCAGAGACGACAATGACAGAGTGGTGGAACGATGATAAAGATAAAGATCTGAATATTCCAGATGGCATTGAACAGTCTCGCTCGCTAGAGGTCGAGGATGATACGAGTACTCCAGAATCCAAACGACAAACCACGCATTCGTTCATGCTCGGCAGTCATTGTATTCAGGGTGAAGCAGCTGAGTACTATCAAGCCTGTGCACATGAATTGTTCAGCAAAACGCCCTACTTCGAATGCTACAACCATATTTGCTCAGTTACACCCCCTCATGTAATTGCTTGTCGACAGGCTACCGAGGACACCGAGGCAGGTGAAACGCGAGATAGGGGGCTGATTCTTGCTGAAGCTGGTGTTGGAATTCCAGAATCTCAGGCAATGACTGATCAGACGGCTACTTCTCGTGGTCTACTTATCGATGTGGACTCGCCTAGCCCTGATGTCTTGGAGGCAGGTTATAGTGAGCATGGGCCTCCCTCGGCAGCATCTTCTGACTCTGGGAGCTGGTGTTCTTCATTATCGGATGACCATGAGAAGAGCCTGCCTGAGCCGCCGAAGGAAGTATCTGGGGAGGTTGTTCCTGAGCCTCAACATGCGCCTGCGCCAGTGCCTAATACTGTCCCCGAGCCTACTCCTGCACCGACACCAGTTCTTCAAGAACCAACAGATCCTCCGCCTCCTCTGCCGCTAGAGATACCTTGGGAACCAACGCCTGCCCCAGCCCCGGCTCCCGGGTCAGAGCTTATGCATCCTCCAGCCCCTCCGCAGATTATAAACAACTATCACTATCCACCAGCGCCAGCAGCAGGTCAACCTCAGACCATTACTGTGGAGCGAGCGATACCTCACTATGTTCCGGTCTTTCCTCCTCATAACGGCATGCAAGAGCAGCCACCGCCACCGCCACCGCAATGTGTGCCTGTTTCCATGCCCGAGGAACCTAGACCTAAAGAACCTGGGGGATCATCTGCTCCACCAAACCATCTGAGCTCATCAGAATGGACTTCGCAACAAGCAGGCGCTCAACAACTACCCCAAGGGATAGCCCGTGGTCCAACCCATGAGCCCGACAGCCAGGCCCGCGGGATGCCAACTCAAGAACTTACGCCTATTTCCCCGGCCTTTCAACGTGCTGCAGGAGGTCCTCACTCGATCCCTCTGTCCGAGGTAAATGCTCCTGCGCCAGCTTACTCGCAATACCCTCGTGAGGCCCCTCTTCCACCTCGATATGACTTACACCCTGCTCCAGGAGCATGGGTCATGAATCCTACTGGTCGAGCAGGTCCGGGGAGAAGCCCAGCGACGCAGGCTTGAGCGTGAAGATGCTGCCGGCAAGAAACTTGGAGGACTATGGCGTGGACGAGGATGCTTTAGCAACAAAGGCTGCTTTGGACGTCCGGGGCGTGAAGGTCGTCTTCGCCGGAGATGGTATTTTGCCATATGCACAATCTTCCTGATTATTGTGGTTCTCGCTATTGTCCTTGCGATCACTTTGACGCACAAGGGAGATAGTACACCTGTTCAATCCACCTGGCTCAATCTGACGGGCTATCCACCCATGCCAACTGGCATTGCGACAATTGCCGGTACAGAAACACAAACTGCAAAGTCTACCTGCGTCAGCCCTTCTACACTCTGGAGCTGTGATCTTCCGCCGGCCCAAGAGTCTGGAAACACACCTTATGCGGCAGACAACCCCAGTTTCCGCGTCGAAATCCGTTTTCGCAATGGCACCTACTCCAATAGTACGGATACTGTCACCTCAACCACGACACGCAAGCTCCGAAGAGACAGCGGCCTGTATACATCCGAGCCGGCTGCCCCAAGCCTCGCAGACCAGGCCTTCATCGGCAACACCACAGATGGTAACTCAATCCCCTACGCCGGCGAAGCCACACCATTCTACATGACACTTCTCTCCCCCATTCACCTTACCAGGTCAAGCCTCTTCCGACGTTCAAGCACCACTACCTCAGCCAATCTATCCACAATCATCCCAGCACCTGACGAAGATTCCGATGGCGCCGCAGCCGCTGCTGTCCTCTACCCTCTCCCAGAATCCCAACCCATCCGCCTTTATAATCGCGGCCAATCAGACGAGCACTATGGCTTCTACACCTACTACGACAAATCGATCTTTCTTGCCTCCCAGGCCTCTTTGAATGGACGTCTCACCGACAGCGAAACGATTGACCAGAGCGGTGGTGTCAGCAGATCCGCCGCAAAAGCCAGATGCACCTGGTCTCAAACACGCTTCCTCGTTCAAATCTGGACGCAGCCGGGTAAGATGGGCTATGACCTCCTCTCCCCATCGAACGGGACAAGTACCTCATCTTCTGCCACGCCGACATCCACTTCTTCCACAGCGACATCTTCATCTTCAGCGACCAATTATACCAGACCGGGCTCATTCCCGTATCCTGTGACTATTACGATAGACCGACACGGTGGTGATACCGATAAGAAACTGGTCTATTGCTACGCGATCGAAGAGAACGGGCATTACAATGTCTCGGACTCTAAGTTGCAGGCTGAATATCGGGGCGTTGGCGGAACTTGGATTAATCCAGCGAATGGGAATGATGTTAGTGGTGACTCTACGTATGGGGGTATCGATGGGGGAACTGGGGGTTGTCAGTGTCAGTGGGTGAATTGGATATCTACCTCTTAGATTCTGTCTTGTATCTTGGTCCTTTGGGTTGGGTGGTGATTTTTGTTTTTTATGGTGTTTCGGGCATTGAATCCAACTCGGATGTATTCACTATTTACCTTGCATGCAAAAGCGATAGATCTCAAAGTGTCGCGTGTCAAAAGGTAGACGAGTCGTACTCGATCCAAAGTTGTCCCGTTCTCCGCTTTACACAGTTTGACAGGCCTCATCCACCTCAACGCGTCTTTTCCCAGGTTCAAGTGGCACTTCTTGATGCGTTGTACAACCTGAACAGTATTTCCATCATCGCCCCCTTCTACCCAATCCACGTGAAATGGCATCCGTATGGTCCACCTAGATCGCTGTGTCAGCCAGAGCAAAGCACCACCATTGACCGCCTCAGTTCGCCCCGGGCCGATATAGCGAGGCCCGGGCGGGTTGATGATGAGTACCTAGTCTCCGACCTCATACGATGACGCTCGTCAATTACAGGGTGGAGCTCTGAGCAAGTCAGTGCGACTGAGAATTTCTTCAATCTCGGTCTTGATTCTCTTCAGGTTATCACGGCGGCCTCGTGCAATCAAGAATGGTCTTGATCCTTCTTCTTTCACGCCAAATCTTATTTATCTTCATCCGTCGCTATCTTGTCTGGTGCAGGCAACTTTACAACTCATGAGGGATGACAATACCTCTGAAATTACGTTGAGGGAGGTACATCTACGAGAGAGGGATGATCTTTAGAAAAGCCTTCAATCCCAGATTGACGATCACCAGCGTGAAACAGTCATACTGACTGGCTCAACGGGTAGTCTAGGCACATACATACTGGATGTCCTTCTGAAGAGCCCATCCGTTGGACACATTCATTGTCTGAACCGCAAGGAGGATGCTCCAAGATTCCAGCGCCAGAAATTCGTTTCCAACCTGAACATTTTGGACGAACAGCGGATTCTGCCTGCGTTGTCGATAACGAGTGAATCATTGCCCAGAACTTGATTCTGACTTGCACAAGTTTCCAATCTGACGAGCCACATGCTCGGTGAAGGTGATGATTTCTTGACTGAAACCTTAAGCCCCAAATTGTGGCAAATGCAACCCGGCACCTCCCATCGACTATTAATAGTGCGTGGCGACCGAAGAAGCCGGTCGATATGCTTTGGTCCTGGAGGAACGAGTTTCCCCTCCAGCCCTGCAGGAACCTTTTGCAGGAACAAGTTTAAAAAAGTAAAACTTTGAGTTTGATTTCCTGAGGTATATCGATGCAACATCAGGTCTTGGTGATGAGCTGTTTTACACGATAAGTTGTGCTTTTGGATGGTAATTCATAAATTGTTGAATGCTTCGAGCTCTTTCATCTTGCCATGAATCCACATTTGAACTAGCTTAATTTAGTGTGGTATGGCCCTATGTGTGACCTTGCGGGAATGCCTTGGTGGGGGCATCACCGGAAACGGTAGAGGCGAACGTACGACGGGAACTACTTGCCTCACTACCAGAACATTGCATATCTGACGCGTCAATCTCAGGTTGGATCGCTGATGGTTAGATTTTTAGACTGAATAGAAAATGAGGTATCCAGGAAAGGAAGAACGAGAAAAACTTTGTGAATATCCGTTTTTCTTGGTAGCATTTAAACTTTCCTCATTTCTTTAGCGACCAGCGGCAAATCGTACATGTCACCATGCGGGGATACAAGAGAGTCGACTGGCAAAGTATTGCTCTACCGCTTCCATCGGGGATTTTTGCAGATTTTAAATTCCAAATACACTAGCAGCCTCAAATGCCTAGATTTGTTCAAGAATTTAGAAATCATGCCATCAAAAATTTGATAGTACTGGCCATAGAGTCAAGGAACAGACCCCATCCATTCTCCAATCGACTTCGCAAACACGCATCCCTTACACCAGGAATATTTTTCAATTTCCGACTTTTCTCATCAGTTTGCCGTGTTTCGAACTCGTTGTTATCCCCTGGAATCGCAATCCCCTCAAAAAACCCCAAAAGCTTAACAGCCGGGTTCTTCTTCATCGAGGCATGCAGATCACTTGACATTGACCCATTCTCAATAGTACAACGAACTCGATGAGTCAATTCCGATATAGATGCTTTCATAATGTCTCTATCTGAGAACTCGTTTAGAATATCAATGATAGCCGGGAGTAGTTAATCCCATGTTGTCGGTCCGGTATGGCGCCAATTTCGAGCGAGCTTACCACTAGACTTGGGAACCATTCACTGTCATTCCAATGACACGGCGTCTTGACAGAACCGGCGATTTGGCCCACGCGTGTGCGAACGAAGCTCGAATAGAGCGTTGTTTTGAGGCGTGGTCTAGAAGCTGTTCAGCGAGGTATTTGCTGTCTGCGCAGCCATTTGGTGCTGGCTGTGATGTCGTCACTGTGGTTTCGGGAATGGGGCAGGTTTTGGTGAGATGATTCATTACTGAGTTGATGGACGATATGAAGAACAGATGAGGAGATTTCAAGCAAGCAGCTGTGAAGTTAATGAGCTTTGTCATGCCTGCTAGGTCGGGTTGAAATGATGGTAGGGAAAGGTTGAAGTTCACGTTCCAGGAGTTGTGAATGATCACTGTTGCACTGCTTTGTAGACGTTGCAAGATTTCAGGGGCTAATCCAAGATCTTCTCGTGAGAGATCAGTGTGCCAGAATGTGATTTTTGAAGAGTCTAGGGATGTTTGCATTTTGTGCGCCAAAGATTGAGATCATCGATCAGAAAGCTAGTATAAGTAAAAACTCCATCCAATTTTTTTTTTTAGATATTAAAATTAGATTAGGTCATATTTATCCCAGTACAAACACCGCGATCTAAAGACCACCCGAACGCCAATCACCTTGGTCGTCCTGTATTTCAATCTCAGTTACCCAGAACATTCAACAAGTACAATGAACAGCAGTCATTGATCCTTGAAAATGTGATAGACGTAAGAGAGAGATGACAGGATCAAGGGAGAACAGAAAGCCCATGTAATCAAAAGAGACAATTATTGATTCACACCAACCTCTTATGCGAGGAAGATGAGAGCACCGTAGGCAACGCTGCCAAGAGCAGCAGCAACCATGGAGACGGAGACCTTGGCACCAGGGCTGGAGGGAACGAAGCCAGAGGAGCTGGGTCTGGAGGCGCTGCCGGAGCTGGAGCCGGAGCTGGAGCCGGAAGAGCCCGCGCCCGAAGAGCCAGAGCTGGAGGAGCCAGAGCTGCTAACACCGCTGGCGGGGGTGGAGCTGGGGACAGAGACAGGGATGGTGCTGGCGGCGGCGGCGCCACCGTGGACGCTAGAGGTAACGACGGAGGTACCGTTGGTGCTGCTGATGGTACCGTTGGTGCCAGAAGTGCCGGTCATGATGGGGTGGATGCCAGTGGAGACGGCAGTGCCAGCGGTGGCAGCAGTGCCAACAGCCCTAGCGATATACTTGCCGTGATTGGCGGCGGGCTCATTTTGCTTGAAGCTACTGGCCTGAACACCGGCAGCGAGGGCAATGATAGCAACGGAAGTGAACTTCATTTTGATGGATGGAGCTGAAGCGAATGTCTCAACGAATGACGGCTGCTTGAATGTTAGTGACTTTATTTTACTTGGGAGGCATTTCGGGAGCTCAAGAGGTTACATACCTCGGGGAAATGGATGCGATAGAATGATCTAAGGAAGAAATCTACAGACCGGACTGTGGCGATGAGGAACCCGTACTTATAGTTCATTAAGGCGTTTAGGGACGTCCAAATGCGGCCCATATTGATCGACCTACGGGAAGTGGATGATGGCATGTAACAGCAGAGAGCTAAAAATTTTCTCCTGTGTGTTCCTCTCGATGATTCCTGGTGCCTCGAGGGCCTAGCCTGGAGCGTTGGTAGACGTGTGGGACAGGATCTGCTTGTCTTGAATTTCCGCATCCGGGGGTGTGGGCACTTCGATGTCACACTAGCGCGCTGCCCAAGATCGTACAACCCTGGTACAGACCCATCGGGACCGATATCGTCATGATAATCGCCAAGCTGTGAGGGCTGTGGAGCCTTTGCAGAGCTCGAAAGCTGTCGACGAGGGCAGATGACGGTCACGTGCCCAGTATTACCTAAAGGGGAAGGTGATGCATTGCATGCGGAAATTCGGGCATCTTCATCGCGAGACAAATGCACCACTCTGGAATTCTTCGACGATCCTTCAATAAGTGAGCGCAAAATAGCCTTCTTTCTTTCGAGAAGCTCCGGGTCACGATGATCGCTTTCGGAGATACCTTTGCTAGATCGCTGGCCCTTCCCCCCCCAATAGACACGAAAGAATGCGGAATGTGTCACCCCGGAACAATGGGCGGGGAAGACCCTTCTTGATCGAAATACTTTCATACGCTCTCAATCCAGGGAGAATATAGCCATGATAAAGATCCAAGGGATGCTGTCGAGCGGTTGCACCACTAGGCTGTGGCGTCGTCGCGTGAGCATCGACTGGCGCGGGTTATAAAGAGAGACAGGTTTCCTCGAGTCTCCAAAATGATCTGGGCATATAACATAACAGAAAAAGTACTAGAGGGCATTCTAGCTTCCCAGCCTGATCAAGAAGGGCCGAACATGTACCTCTGCAACATCCAACTACACCCCTCAAGATGGTTCAAGCAATACCGACACTTCTGGTATCTCGACAACTGCATCAGTCCAACATGCAGATCAGTAGCCGAACTGAATCCGGAAAAGGATATCTACACGCGTCGGTGGCTTTTAAGTTCTACACAGAAATGAAGCGCCACGCAATCTGACAGCTGCAACGTTAAACACCTAACCCGTTGGAATGCTAGGGCTGGAATGTTGAAGCGTTGACCCAGAAGAGACGTTCAGCCAAGGAAAATTGATAGCGTGGTGCTGCAGATCAGATTCAGGGCATTTCAAGGTGTGCTCTGTTTCCAGGTTGAATCGAAAGCGTGAACTGCTCGCGGAGTGGACTATTTTTGTGCTCATGAAACTTTTGATGCCACAGTAAGATATGCTTCTCTACAGGCCGGTGCAAAATCAGCTTCACCGCCGAAGACCCGTTCACTACCCGTTCACTTTCACCTAAATCCCAACTTCAAGCCGTTCAAGAACAGGCTGGTCTTTGAAGAGAATCCCGTGATTGATATCTCAAGGGAGCAAGAGCAATCAAAATGAAGAAAATGTCACGCAAAACTAATCACACTTGTTCTCGCAGCTTACTTCGGGACATACTGTACCTGTTTGGCTTCAAGGTACCAACACAGCTACTTAGCAAGTTAGTGAGCTGAATTCTTCGAGAAAAAGCAACAGGGCAGGAATCACAAATTGGCTGGTAACGAATTTGCCAAGACAGGATCCGGAATTCGAACAGGTGGAGGATATGATTGGGCAGATGAAGATCGCAAGGCTTCACTACGCCAGATTTTGAAGAGCTTCAAGCAGCATAATCTGTTCAATCGTTATATTATTATGATCAAGGGTATCTATCAGCAATCATGACCATTCAATCGATCCGATATTAAATTAATAGCAAGTAAAACGCTCAGCCTTATTGCTGCTGCGGGTGGTTGTCTTTCACCGACGAAAACAAATCGCTGGTCCAATGTTTCCACTCTTCGAATTTATCGTATAGAGGACCCCACCATGTCGACACCTTTTCGTCTTCCCTGTCGGTATCCGAAGTAGACGATTCGGCTGGGGCTTCAGATGCTGGGAAGGTGGGCTCAGGCGGTGCCGCTATTATTGTTGATGGCAGCTCTGGTGGATCAGCTGGCCGTTCGAGAGTCGGCGTGTTCTCGTCGGAGTGAAGGCCAATCGGCTTCAAGGGCAGACGCAAGGTCCCATTGTTAGGGTGGGGTTCGATACCCATAGAGTCGCAAAGGATGTTGTAAACCTCAATATTTTCTGGATCGCGTCAGCTCGTGCTTTTACAGAAGTAAATGTGCAGACTTACGAAAGACTTCGAGGCGACTGTTGGGTGTGTGGGGAAAGGCTGGACCACGGGCGATGAAGATCGCTCGCATCAACGGGTGTTCATGGTCATATCCATGAATACCTCGCGGGTAATAGATCTCACCAGTCTTCAGGGCTTCCTTCACGTCGAACTCTGGGCGCTCGACAATGGCCCAGCCAGTCTTTGGGATGACCCACAGAGGCGCAATTCGGTCGCTGTTCGTAAAGTGATAGCGCTCAGGCATGGTCTCTTTGGTGTATATTTCGATCGCGTGTTCGTAATCGGATGCTACCCTTGCCAACTGCTCTTGCAAGACTGGAAGATCTTCCGGTCGCTTTGGACGCAGACCACGGGATGGCCATCCATCAATATGTTGGACGAGGTTCATGTCGATCAGGTCATCAAGCTGAACAAGTCGATCGTTGGATGTTGTGGCCATGCCATGATCTGAGACAACCACAACGTTGACAAGATTTGTGAGGTTGCGGAGCTCTAAGCCCGCAAGGATACCTGCCACCATCTCATCTGCATGGGAAATGGTGCCTCGAATTTCGGTGCTGTTGGGCCCGAACTTGTGGCCATCCCGGTCCACATCGGGCACATATGCGGCAATAAATTGAGGTCGCTCTGGTACCAGGTGCGATTCATCTTCTGCGCCGGGAAGATCAAGGAATTCCAGGACGCGATTCACTTTTCGCGACAAAGATTCTGATCCATTATATTTGTCCACATAGGCAGGTTCTTTGCCTCCAATATGAGCCTCGGAACCCGGCCACATGTGGATCCCACTTCTAACACCTTGATTTCCAGCGGTTACCCATAGGGGCTCAGCATTCCACCACTTGGGCATCATGCTGATAGAGGTATGGGTGTTGATAAACTCCTCTCCCATTTCCGGGTCCCAGAAGGTGTTTCCAACGACACCGTGACTCTCTGGGTATAGTCCTGTCACCAGTGTGAAATGGTTCGGGAAAGTCACACTCGGGAAACTAGGGTACATGTATTGCGGAGAAACACCGTTGGCGACGAGCGAGTCGAGAGCTGGTGTAAGACCTCGATCCAGGAAATCAGCACGGAATCCGTCGAGTGAGATCAAGATAGTTGTAGGGCCGAAAAGTGCAGTGCCATTCGAGAGCAGCGTTTGGGCATTGGCGTGCTCTGCTCTATAACCTGTCGATGCCTTGTATGCTCCTAGTAGAATAATGAAGAAGAGGACGGCGACAATGGTGGATATGAACAAGTACTTTATCCATGACGGTTTGGCTGGCTGGAGAGGGCAGGCAAAGATAAGTCGCATGCAAACAAATCGACGAGAGATTCAGAGAACCTACCGGTTCGTACAGATAATCCTCCATTCCATCGATCTCTGAGGACGAACTACTGATGAGGGAATCATCATCATTGAGTCCCTCTTCCATCTCGTACATCAGCTCCCCTTCCTCACTGACTCTTTCTCGGCGACGTGCTTCTTTGCGCGCCCGTCGCCGTTCCTTCTTCCCGATCCGCACGTGTCCTCCACTCGGACTGAACATCCTGCGCAGCCCATGGGCGGGACCGCGCCTCGTCAGCAGCTTTTCCAATTCATCCTCGTCGTCTAAGACTGCCCGGTCGTGGCTGGCAAGCTCCAGGGTACTGCGGGGATGGCGGAGAAACTCGTCATCTTCCGAGTCGGAGTCCTGCTCGGATGGCGATCGCAGTGAGGCCGCATCATTATCGTAATTCGCCGGCGATAAGAGAGAAGGGCTCGTAGGGATTCGCATGGCGGGCGCGTCAGCCGCGGCGAGACATTGAAGCTTGCAGCTTGGAGGAGTTGGACAGACGGAAGGGTGATCCGCACGAAGACCCGCCAAGACTCCGTCAGCAGTTTATGCGCAGTGCCATCGACTTGCGTCGACTTGTTTCTAGTATTTGGCGCTCAAACCGTTTATTTTGTTATTTTTATTGTTTCCTTCGGCTCTGTGGGTTTGTAAGACCAGTGTGTCATTTCGTAAACGCCAATTGGCATGCATCTGTGATCACTTCTGCCATGATTCTTTTCCTTCTCCGAACAACATATATTGCCCCAGCTAGATTTGGCCGCAGACACCCCGATTGCATTATAAAGGCCGACTTCGATTGAACCACACAGAAAATAGACTATCGATTTCATCTATGTGAACTTCCAAAAATTTCCTACGTCCGAACGTGTAAACATCGGTGTGTGATTATTTGGACAGTACTCAAGACCTGACTATACAAGACATGGCTTTGTTGCCAAAATCAAGTTCATAGATGTAAAAAAGAACAAGTGAGCATCAACCACCCAAGTGGTCGAGCAGCAACTCGGCTATTGCATCTTCCTTGGTCTAGTGGTCATGATTTCCGCTTGTCATTAACACCGATAAGCGCGGGAGACCGGGGTTCGATTCCCCGAGGGAGAGTTTCTTTTTGGATATTGGGCCATTGGGCCATTAGGTTCCAAGGTTCTTCGGGTGGTACCCGATGAACATCTATGGTCAACACCAACACTGTTAGTGCTTATTTTGCTTTTCGTTTCTTTTTTTTCTGGCGTAGACTCACGACTAGCAAGGATCGTTCAAGACTCACCGCTGGATCAATGACACACGCCCAGGCAGCAGCTGCGGCCAAGCACCGAGGGCTCAGGAGGGGCTAAGCTATGCACAGCAGGCAGCCTACCACGTCGGGGTCGGGAACCCGCTCTGGTAATAGGGCATCAACAGATGCGGCTCATCTGGTGAATTATAAATTCTTGTTCCCCAAGTCGCTGCCCATGGTCGCATTCAAGCACCCGTCGCTCGTCTAGATTTCTAGACTTGACTTTACCTTCACTACTTCGATCGCAGCCTAGGGAACTGTTCACAAGGTGACTTTAACCTTGAGATCATCCTCACTATCCGTCTCTTCACCATAATTTCAGTGATTAATTTGCGGTCTCTTTGTCATCCCCATTCGTGCCAATGGCGCTGAACCAGTCACTTCCTCGTCGACGAAGATGTCTTTTTCAACCCCCGACACCGCGATGCTAGAGGCGTTGGTGCCAGGCTATACCCTCATCTCACGCTTTTTCCTATCCTACTTTCACATCGACCTTACTGCTTACCTGCAGTACGTTGTTGCTTTAGCTGTGTTTGCCGTGTCCCTACAGTACATCTCCAAGTACGCATCGGAATTTTTCCGAGAGTATTTAGTCTGTTACGCTGAAATCCGACCGGATGATGAGCTATATAATCATTTGATGTGGTGGATGTCACGACAGCCTTTTATGCAGCGTACCAACCACTTTGTCGCAAGCATCAGAACGAATGCCTATTATGGTGAAACCGATGATGAATTGAGTAGTTCAGACGAGGATTCCGAGGATGACAATTTTGATACCGATGACTTCACAGATGACGAGAATGAAAGTCAGCATCGAGCGAATGTCATATCTCGAAGAAAGTGCAAGAAGCTGCGATTTACCCCTTCGGAAGGCCGTCATTTTTTCTGGTACAAACGCCGATTGATGATCCTGGAACGACAACACCGGAGCCGCAACGGAACCTGGTCAATCTTTAATGAGCGGCTTTACTTATCGTGTCTCGGGCGAAACTCATTCCTGATAAAAGAGCTCATTGATGAGGCGAGCAAGGCTTTTCAGAATCGTGATGGCAACAAGACCGTCATCTATCGTGCCCAGCGACACTCGCGAGCTGATCCTTTCACCTGGGTTCGCTGCATGGCAAGATCACCCCGCCCATTGTCTACGGTAATCCTTGAAGAAAACGGGAAATTGAATCTCGTGAAAGATATGAAGAGATATCTACGTAGTCGCACTCGGCGATGGCATTCCAATCGAGGAATTGCCTACAAGCGTGGATATCTACTCCATGGTCCTCCGGGCACCGGCAAGACAAGCCTTTGCTTTGCTGCTGCCGGTGAACTTGGTCTGCCACTTTATTTGCTCACTCTCAATTCGAATGCTCTCGATGAAGATAATTTGTATTCATTGTTCGCCGAGTTACCTCGCAAATGCATCGTTTTGATTGAGGATGTGGATACGGCTGGAGTCACTCATAGCCGCGGCAAAACTGCCACTTACAAACCAAAAGGCGACCATGATGCTGCCATTGAAAATGAGGAAAGCTCCGCAGAGGATAGATCTCCAGGTGACCAGCCTCCACTGGACAATTCAGTAAAAGACGGCATCACTCTTTCGAGTCTGTTGAATGTCATTGATGGTGTTGCCTCCAGCGAAGGCCGCATTCTTGTGATGACCACGAACCACGTGGAGAGGCTTGATGAGGCTCTTGTTCGCATCGGCCGTGTGGATATGCAACTTTTCCTCGGGTATTCCAGCAAAGAAAACATCAAGAATCTCTTCACATCTATCTACATGCCAATGGAAGGCGACTTCCCAATGAATGACAAGACCAAGCTCAAGATGAACTGGAGTAATGGTCACAACGTGGGGGACAGGAAAAATACGGAGTGGAGAAAGAAAAAGCTTCAGGAATATCGGGATCATGTCGATTCCTTGCGTTCTCGCATCCATCCTCTGGCAGTCGAGTTTGCCTCCATCGTTCCTGGCGGTATGTTCACTGCCGCTGAGATCCAGGGTTATCTACTCAACCATGTAGATAACCCTGAGAAGGCGATCAAGGGTGCTGAGGCATGGGTCAGGGAACTTCGGGATACCAAACGCACGCTTGAGGAAAAGGCTATCGAGAACGTATACCACTAGCCAAAGCAGCGGCTGATAAGAGCCTCCCTACAGCCTTATGCCAGGTAATTACAGTATGCCAACCTCATGATGGTCATCTCGAGCTAAATCTGTTTGGTTTGTTCTTCAAATATGTTTGTTGCAAATACTTGGAGCTGCAAAAAGATGAACGAGACAATACTTGCTGACGTTGTTAACGATCTTTGCCAAGAGCCAACGCAGGGTACTCAACGAAGAACAGTTCGCTACATTGAATTTGTTGAGCTCCTTCAAATTCATTATGCCATCGAGTGAATCTTCATTTGATGGTACGCTTGCACTACCACGGCAAGGTAGTGCCATTGAATCGAATGAAATTTCCTAGAAGTAGTGGTTTTTGTAGCTTTTCCGATCTTCGGAGCAAGAAGAAGAAGAAAAAGAAGAAATTCTAGACAGTAGCCCTAATCATAAGACAGGTCGTCTTTATCTTACCTGGTGGATCAATCCCGCTACTCTTTCAGTGATAGTCATTGGAGCCTCAACCAGTCCGCCGCACCGTGCGCCACGGTTGCCCATGTCAGTTTAGACAAATCTATACAATGTAAAGTATCAGGTGCGTTGTCACAATTTTATTGAATCAGAAGCACGACGAATCATTGGAAGCGAATAGGGGCGGCAGCACTTCCCCAGGGTCAATTGAAAAGGCAATCAGGGCTTTATGCTCTTCGTGAAGTTTCTTCACGAGATAGTTGCATGCCACCTTCGAGATTCCGTATCCAGCAGTCAGTGATGACGAGTTCTCCAGACCGGTAATGCTTGCCAGTTCAGATGACAGGTAGACAAATCTCGGTTCCTTGGAGGATTCTAACAATGGAGCGGCTGCCCGGCACAGTCTCAAAGGCCCCAATTCATTGATTTCAAAGTGCGATGTCAAATCCGAATCATTCATGTGCAACACCGGTCCCCAATGGTTGCAAATTCCGGCATTGGCGATGACGATGTCGACGTGATGCACAAGATTTTGCTTTTGAATTTGTTCAATCGCTTCAGTGACAGTTGATGGAGCATCCAGACTGAGACGGACCATGATCAACCGTTTGTTCTGCCCTTTGGGAAGTGAAGATAATTGAGATGCATTCTGAGCTGAGGCATCTCGTACTGTTGCAACAACAGTGGTACCTGACATGGCAAGATACTCCGCAGCGAGACCCTTTCCAATGCTTACGAAGCTGAGGAATCAGTGTCAATCTGGGAATCGGACCAAATTACTTGCCTCGGTTGGCCCCCGTGATCAGGATCACTCTTGGTTTCATGGTTTGGCTCATGTTACACGCGAGTCGGCTTGAAGGAAGAATATAGCGCTCAAATTGGAGAAACTAGGGCGTCTGTACACATCACAATATATAGTATAGACAATATAGGCACTCGGGAATAAAGCTGTCCAAAATCCGAAAGTCTCGTTACCGCTATTCACATCACCTCGCCGATGATTCAGCGGCGTGAACCCCCCCAGACTTCCACATCATCCGGTCTTGGTGGACAGTTATGAAGGAGATATTTCTCGGCAGTGGACCCCAGCAAGGTGCATGAATAGGGCCAACCCTGATTTCCATTCTATTTGTCATAGAGTGACGCTGCCAGGTCATCTTGTAGTATTCTGGTATAGAGCTGTGGACTCGAGGCTGCACTGAGGATCCCCGTCACCGCTTACTCATCGGGGTCTCATTCACAAAACACAACCAAGGCAAGAAATCAGCTTCATATCTCATGACGCTCGTGGCTAAAGATGTGACTCGATCCATTTGACACTATTTGCGTGCTATTCTTAATTTGACTGCGGGATTACTAAGTAGTCGACTGTTCCAATTGTTTTTTTCCCATCGCATAAAGTCTCTAATATATGCTCTCTCATGGGCACGATTTTAGGGTGGAGCTGTGGCTAGAGAGCTTCTTCAACATCCCGACATATATCATGTTCGAGCTCTTACTCGTGATTCCGCAAAGCCAGCCGCCAAAGCTCTTGCTAAGCTTGGAGCAGCACTCTGATGCGCCGACCTGAATGGTGGCCATGAATCTCTGGCATCTGCCTTTTCAGGCGCTAATGTCATATATGCCCTGACCGACTTCTGGCAGACACAGTCAACTGATGTCGAGATCGCGCAGGGCAAAGCAATCGCCGATGCCGCAGCACAGACCAGCACGCTCAAGCATCCCATTTGGAGCGCTCTCCCCGACCCGGTCAAGTTATCGGGCGGCCAGCTCCGAAATGTGCATCATTGGAGGGGCAAGAGCCTAGTGACCGACTATGTCCAATCCAATAAACGGGCGCTTTGGGCCAAGACCACCACCATCCTCTTTCCGAATTATTTTGAGAACTGTTTGACTACGCCAGACAGGTATCTTCCAGTGAAGGTAAGTGCACAGTCATATTTTCAAGACAAACCCTTGAGAGTCTGGCTCCCGACCAGCCATATCTCCTCTGCACTGTATTAGTCGGTCTGGTAACTCACAAAACTTGTGCAGGAAGCATCCGGGAATTACACCTTCACATTCCCGCACAGTACAGACACTGTGATGCCCAATGTTGCTATTGCTGACACTGGCAAACTTGTGCGAGCCATTCTCAAGGCAGGCTCGCGCTATTTTGAGAAGACCATCGCGTTCTACTGTGAAAGCCTGTCCGAGGCGGACAAGCTGACCGCGATAGGAAAGCGTAAGTGAGCGAACGTTTTCTCAAACCGTCACTATCTAACCCTCTATCCCAAGGCTATAACATCCCAACGCAATACCGGAAGGTTAGCACTAGCCAGTTCCAGCAGATCCTCCAATCTGGTTACGGCTTGTCTGAGGATATTGCGCTCGATTTTGTTGAGCAACTGATGATATTTGAGAAGTGTGGCAATATTTACGCAAGCGACGAATTTGTGCAAGCCACCGAGGTATGTCGATGTCAATGGGATGGGGGGAGCTGTGAACAAGTTCGGGACATCATGCCGATGGTCTGTAATCAGATCCCTGGATTGAAGCTCCAGACCTGGACCGAATTTCTCGACAAACATGATTTGCCACTGATCAGGTCAAATTGAAATGAGCTCCCACCTGTCGGCGTTCATCATTGAATCTTCAGTCTTCCCGTACCGTTGAGTCTTAATTTAATGGACTAGGTTCAATAGATTGACCATCCCACCAGGTTCCAGGACGCCAAATTCTGCCACGTAACGAGGTTGCTCAAAGGGGGACTCTACACATGGTGCGTCATATGTGAGAATAGGACGAGAGAAGGAAAGCTATATCGAAGGGACCGCGGAAGGCCTCAGCAAGATGAAATACATAGTGTTGGGGTGGTGTATTCACTTAAGTCATGAAAATCGTGCTTAGCTTGGTACTCCATCTCTTTTGAAGAGAAGGTATTCTCAATTTGGAAGCTTCTGGTTTTTCAAGCAACTGGGCTGGCCACTAGTGCTGGATCAGGCGTATTTCTTGTCTCCCGATGAATAGGCCAGAGCTGCACCTGTCTCTAGGTTAACACTTATTGAGAACCTAAGTGAAGAATCACTAACGGGCCACACGATAAGAAGCCCGAGGCAAATAAGATGAACATACCGGCATGACAGCCTCCTGACTTTGCACGGGTTTTAGCCTTTCAATTAGGTCATTTCGGACGTATCTGAAGTGCCTTACCTTCCGCATTCCTACTTGAAAGTTTCTGCGGGTGCAACCCAAGCCGAGCCACCTTCCCTTTCATTTCCAGGCACAAGATCATTCATGATAGATTTTCGTGACAATCGGCAAAGCTTGCCGAATAAGAGGTCTGTGTGTCCCTGTTCCCTGTTTCGGGATATGATTGGCATGCTTTATCAAGGTCTAGATTGAGGGTTGGAAAGCACTCGGGGGAATTTCACATTCCACACTCGAGACATTAGGATGGAATCTCCCGAAATGACTCCCCCTGCGTGGCCAAAGACATACATGCAAAACCTGAATGACCATCTGTTCCAACATATTAAAAGTCCTTCGCGTTTGCGTGGGACATCAATATTTAATTCGACTTCGCCCTGAGGTCGACGGATTCTTGCCGAAGTTTGCATATCGCTATGCCATCCGTCAAGAGATTCCTTGGTTTGAAAGAGCCAATTAATCCACTAGAGAAACAAACCAGACCTCAAGATGAAGCAGATCCGACAGTATTAGGCTGGCTGAATGATGTCGTCCCTTCAGGCCCACGGCTGATCCAACATTCTGTCCGACTGTTTCCTTTCCTGAAATGGATCAAGCATTATAATGTGCAGTGGCTAATTGGAGATCTGATTGCAGGTAACTGAAAAGCCTGAAAGGTTTTCCATGAAGCTCAACACTGACAATATTAGGCGCTACTGTGGGTGCTGTCGTAATTCCACAAGGTATGGGATATGCTAAGCTGGCTGGGCTTCCCGTACAATACGGACTTTACACATCCTTCATGGGCGGAATTCTCTATTGGCCATTCGCAACATCAAAGGACATTACAATTGGCGTGAGTACTGACGGTATTCTTCTTTCTTCTCTGTACTGACCCTTGGAGCAGCCTGTTGCTGTTATGTCCACGGTGCTCGGATCGATCATCCCAGAGGTGCAGCAGATCTACCCCAGCATTCCCGGCCCCCAGATCGCCATGTCAATGACGATCATCTGTGGGAGTATTGTCACCTTTATGGGCTTGGCACGACTCGGATTCATCGTTGACTTTATTCCTCTTCCATCTATTGCCTCCTTTATGACAGGATCAGCGATTACCATCTGCTCCGGGCAAGTCAAGACTCTACTGGGAGAGACAGCCAATTTCAGCAATCGTGGTCCAGCATATCAAGTAATCATCGACAGCTTGAAGAACCTTCCATCTGCGAAGAAGTACGATGCTGCTATGGGAGTGACTGCATTGGTCACGCTGTACTTGATCCGCAGTATATGCACTTTCTGTGTGCAGAAGTTTCCCCATCGCGCAAAGCTATTCTTCTTCCTTTCCGCTCTTCGCACGGTATTTATCATCTTCCTATTTACAATGATCAGCGCTATAGTCAACATACATCGACGTGATGATCCCGCCTTTGCCATCGTTGGCCCTATCTCTCGAGGTTTCCAGCACGCTGGTGTGCCGGTTATTGACAGGAATGTCATCAAAGCCTACATATACAATCTCCCGGCATGCGTCATAGTTCTGCTCCTCGAACACATCGCAATCTCGAAGTCTTTTGGTCGCATCAACAACTACACCATCGACCCATCGCAGGAATTTATCGCTATTGGCATCACAAATCTTCTTGGGCCATTTATTGGTGCTTATTCCGCAACAGGCTCCTTCTCTCGCTCGGCAATTCAATCAAAATCGGGTTCCCGAACCCCTCTGACTGGCTTGACCACCGCGATAGTGGTCTTGATAGCTATATATGCACTGACGACTGTGATTTTCTACATACCTCACGCAGCGCTAGCGGCTGTGATCATCCACGCGGTGGGCGATTTGATCGTTGCGCCAAATACTGTCTACCAGTTCTGGCGAATATCGCCACTGGATGCTCTCATCTTCGTCGTTGGCCTCGTGGTCGCGATCACAAACACGATCCCAAATAGCATCTACGTCACTGTTTGCATTTCGATCGCTGTTCTGATCTTTCGCCATGCAAAGGCTTCAGGAACCTTCCTTGGTCAGACTCATGTTGGTGAAGGGCAGAACCAACGGCCACTGTTTGTGCCAATGGATCAATGCGATGTGCCTTCCGATATGAAGGCAGAGATTCCACGTCCTGGAGTTTTCATCTACCGGTTCACAGAAGGATTCAATTATGACAATGCTAATCACTATACGGACGCACTGGTACAGTTCATTTTCAAACATACACGCCGGACCAACGACCAAGCCTATGCCACGAAGGGCGATCGCCCATGGAACGACCCTGAGCCTGGAAGAAGGGCAAATAGTGGTGAAGAAGATTTACCCATACTACGCGCCATCATATTAGACTTCTCAGCAGTCAATAATGTCGATGTCACCAGCATTCAAAACCTCATTGACGTTCGCAACCAGCTGAACCTTCGCGCCGCCCCTCTTGAAGTACAATGGCACTTCGCTCATGTCGAAAATAGATGGACCAGGCGCGCTCTCACTGCAGCGGGCTTTGGATATCCGACCACTTGCCCCTCTGTGTCCATGGCAAGGGGCAAGAATGTGGAGTTCTCCGAGATCCAAGACTGTGAAAGTCCCCAAGATGTGGAATTTGGCAAAGTCGGCGTGTCATGCAAGGGAGCCGAGCAGTGGATTGAGTCCGAGAAGGGCTCCTGTAATGATACATTGCGCTCTCCGGAGTGTTCCAGTCGACCATTTTTTCATGTTGATCTGACGAGTGCGTTGGAAAGTGTGGATGCATACATAGCTGCGAGTCCAGCGCCATAGTTTGAAAAAGGTTGGAACTTGGGCATTTTTTCCATTTGTATGTTCAGCATTGGGGACTTCAGATTCTCCCAAGAAAAAAAGGTATCACAGACCTGAAAGTGGCATCCTAACGCCAAAAGATCGTTGAAGGTATTCTCGTAAATAGCATGCAAATCATCACCTCGTAAGCAACCACGTCTCAAAGGGCACACCCTCGCCTTCCTCTTCCCATCACGATCCGTTGAGAAAAGAACAGGCTCGAAATCAGACACAGAGGCATACTGCCTAATCAACTGACGCCAGTAACAAGACTCCGCGGCAGGAGTGAGGTAACGATCCCTGAAAGTCCGCACTGCATTTTCAGCAATGCGTTCCGCGACCTCCGGATTATCAATGAGATAGTCGATCTTGCGCGACAAATCCTTGAACTCCATATCAACCTCTATATAGTTTGCTTCCGGTCCCGACGAAACCAGTGCAGCATGGTGAGCCTCTTTCCAGACAAGCGGATGCGAGATAACGACCGAGCGACAATTGAGAAGGTACTTCCCTCTGCCGGAGAAGCTGCGTCCTTCAGTATGAGCAAGAAACATATACCGACAATGATCCTCAATTGGAAGAAGATTAAAGCGAATATCATTCTCATCATCCCAATCAATCACCCGCACACTAGCCCAACTCTTCGTAACAGCCGCCTTGAGCAATTTACTCCTTACAGCCGGGTTTGGAGCAAGACTCCCTCTCCAAACGAGCTGCTTCTTCTTATCTCCAAATGCCATTCCAGGCACAAGAGACCCATCAGCCGCAACTTCGCCCTTATCGATAGCCGCAATCCGCCGACGGACCTCGTGATACGGGCCGATTTGCACTTCAGGCCAGGCCCAGTATCCAAAATCCGGCATTAGCCAGACGGAGTCATCCCCGTCGCGCTTTGAATAAGCCCAGATTGGGCCAGGCGCTGTAGGGTTGGGAGCGAAGTCTTCTGTTGTGAAAACGAATTCGATGCTGGGAAGGTGTTGTCTGTCGGGGAAGGCTAAGAGGGCGCGTTGGAGGGAGCTGAGGGTTGCGCGGGCTCGGGAGGCTGTTACAGGCATTGCGGCAAACTCGACAATGTAGAGCTGTCAATCCATGTGTTTTAGTTACTTCGAACAGGACCGGGTACTTTGATGTGGATTTACCTCGCCGCGATCGATAATTGCGCGAACCATGCCATTTTCAACCTCCCGCGAGTCCAGATCTTTGTATGAAAGACGATCCTCGCGCCTTAGATCCGCGGACTTCATAATTTCCACGAACAGCTTTGGAAATGCACTTTGACATTGCGCGTCGGAAAGGCCATGATTCTGACCGTCCCGCTCGACTTTAAACTCCCAGATATCACTTCGATTTTGCGGGTAGAAGTCAAACAATCTGACGTAGATTGAGCCGGCCGAGGGGCCTTGAGAATGTAGCGAGATGCCGAGTCACGCGATTGATGGGCGAAGAACAGGAATGTAAGGACAAAAAGGGAGATGATGGCGCCTGTGGCCAGGAAGCGGAATGAGGGTTTCGGGGTCAGCATTCTGGCTTCAATGAGGCTGTTGAAATACAGTTCACTTCTCCCCAATTTATTTAAGTCGAGGCTCAGGTGCCCGAGTCCATTTGCATGCGTGGTTCCTTCGTTGGCGTGAAATAACTGAGGTCGATGTTATCCTTGTTGATTGTTTCCATGGCAACGGGGTCAACCTCACGTCACGTCGATATCAAGCTAGGTTATCAGGGCAAAACATCTTGGAAGTGAAACGCGCTATGGAAGTGGGTGGCTATCTGCCCATGTGGTATGTCATTTTAGTATGTGTATATTTTGCAAAGTATTAAGACGAGAGAAAGCCCGTCGACCCTAGGTCCCAAAAATATCAAATTTTATGTACATGAGAGGGAGAGCGCTAGGGCAAGTTGATCTATTCAAGGGGTATCTCAACATCGAAACAGTAAAGGGGGAGAAAAAGTACAAAAGGAAATGACTCCGGACCCCGTAGATCGTCAAATACATGAAGGCGCCATTACCAAGACCTCTCGTCGCCACTAGCCGCAGCGCTGGCACTAGCGCTGCTGAAGTAGCTCTCGTCGATTTTGAGAATCCATTCCACTTTCTGGGCCTCGGTACGCGTCGCGAAGAGATATGTGTTCTGGGTTCCGTAGACGGCAAAAATATTTGGTCTACCCCTAGCGGAGATCGAGCGATCGTTTCCGGCGCCGGAGCCGTCAAGTAGGCGAGCAAAGTCTGGAGCGTGGTCTACGCGAGCATTGCGCAGGTTGATGGCGTTGATCTCGTCTCCTTCAGGATTGTAGATGTGCAGATACGGTCGGCGAAGCTCCACGAATCGGCGGACCCAGATGCTGTTGGTGTCGTCCGGGGTGAGGACGTACCCTGTCTTCAGGACAGACGGATTCTTGGGCAGGGTTTGGATGGTAGCCACGAAGCGAGGCTTCAGCAACGTCTTGTCTGAAGCGCCGGTGCCGTTGGCCTTGTTTTTGGCTGCGCCATCCGTTGGGGGATCGGTGTTGCTTCGGACCAGGATCACCTCGATTGGGTCCTTTTTGGTAGACCAAAGGTCAACATACTTCTGGAGAAGTTTGGATTTGCGCTCGTTGAGATCTTGATTGCGCATTAACTTCATGGGTGATGCCATCAGGCTGCCTGCGCTGAGGGCTCCACGAGCGGCATGCAACTCGGCCACGCGATATCGGCGTTTGCGGGCTGCAATATAATCTCGAACCAGCGACACTTTACGAGGAGCCCAAGCCGTTAGCAATTCTTCGCCTTTGACATAATCGTTCTGAGTGTTCATCCGCCAGAGATCAGCGGCGCGTTTTGCCGAGATCGGACGAATGACCAAAGAGTACATTCGCGTTGTCGAGTGCACGACTCTGGTTGAGCTCCAGAGCTGCTTAAACATGGACTGCTGGCGGACATAGGTGCGGCCCAGAATCTGGAGGGTCTGATCAACTTCAAACACGACAGGAGTCTGAAGACGAGAAGACTTGAGATCCCATCGAACCGTTACTTGGACTCGGTATTTGTCTGCGGTGACCCTGTCGAGAAGAAGAGAGCCGTGCAGACTGGAATCCCATTGTCCCACTATTGTAACGTTCGAGGTTCCATCCGCGTTATCTTTGACCATTGGCTCTTGCGAAAATTTGAGGGGAACATCCGGAGTTTGGAGATCTTGGTCTGGAATCTTGCCCCACGGGTCAAGGAGTCGAACGGAACCAACGCGAGCATTGGTAATTTCATCCCATGGAAGGCTTTCAGTCGAACTGTACGTAAGATTGATCGAAACCCGACGCTGCAGACCTTGATGCAGCTGATAAGTGCCCGCATCAAGGGGACTGCTCTGAACAACCTCAACTGGAGTATATTCACCCGACTCGGCAAGCTCCAATATCTGAACACGAGCAAAAACGTCGTGTCGTTCCTCAGAATAGAACTCGGACTCTGCAATTCTGGGCGCAGTGCGTTTCTGGGACGTGATCTCCGCCGAGTCGCGCATGTCATCCCAGCTCAGAAGCTTGTCCAGGTGTACGGATGTCACTCGAGCATAGACGCAGACCTTCAACGCAGCCGTTCGCGGACTGGAAAGTGGAAGGCTCATGCTGTGCACGCTTTCAAATCGAACCGGGCTTTCTTCGAAGCCGTTGATCATCTGCGTTGTGGTTGCACCTCCTTCCTCGGATATACCGGGGACGAAAAGCTGCGCGTGGACATCGGATCCTTCCCACTCGGCGAACCCGACCATGTCCCGCATGACGACATTGAACTTCAGAGTTGAAGAGGGTGCCTGTGCAGAAGACGGCTCGAGAGACAAGCGGATGATTCCAACCACACTCTGTGTGTAAGGGGAGGTAATTTCGACGGCAAAGTCCTGCACCCGTGTCTCAAAAACGGCGGTCAATGGAATGTCTGCATCTCCAATCAGAGAATACTGCGGAGAGCAAGGCTCCGAGAAGGGATTCTCCAATTTGAAATGTTGAATATAGTCAGGACGATCTATATACTGGTGTAGCTGGCGCATGGATTGAACACGACGCTGGAGTTTCTCGATCGACCATAGATGAATCACAGATTGCTTGTAATCGATGACCCTAATCGCGACGCAAGGCTTCTTAGCCTCTTCAAGCACGACGTCCTCATCCCCCGAAATCCCATTCAGCACAAGGTCGTAGGATGAAGCCATATTATGACCGTGGTCCACAATGGCAAATTGGAACGCGACATTCTTATCCATGATTTGGCTCATGACCTGTGCCTCCTTCAGAAGGGATGCATGCTGCAGAATCTTCTCAGCCATGCGGACGTAGTTCCGCTGAGACCAATGCGTGTATACAGATTTTGCAACCTCCAGCTCGCGCTCGCTCAGCTTCGCGAAGCCATTCTCGTAGATCTGGGGGATCGGCTGGCCCATATCACGCATTTGGGTCTCAAAGTCCTCCTTTTGTTGCCTCAACTGCTCCTCAAATTCCTCCTTGGCAGAGCGGAGCGCATTTTCCATGCGCTGTTTCTCGGTTTGGATTTCGGCCGAGTCAGGGTTGGAAGCAGCTTCTGCATTTTTTAGTTTGTCCTGGAAAGCTTCCTTTTGACGATCCAGCTGTCGCTGCATATCCTGCCGTACTGATTTGAGAGAAACTTCATTGGTCCCATCGTACTCATCATTCTGTCGCGGTGTTCCGGGCATCGTAATCGCTGTGTCAAGAGAGAAATTGTCGATGGTTCCATTGGACATGTATTTGTCCCGCACTGGGAACGAGTTGAGTGAATCCGAATCCTCTTCATTCTCTGGAAGACCACGGCGTACTGCTCGAGCCTTTTGCACATCTTCAAACAGAGTGTCAAGCTCATCATCGGGCATGTTAGAGATATGATCTGGACCTAGCATGGCACTAGCAGCTTCCCTTCGAGCAAGGAACCAATCTGATTCGCGGCCCCGTGCCGGCATTGGAGAATCTGCACTGCTTGAATCGCCATCGATATCTGATCCAGTCTTACTGAGATTACGGTCATGAGACTTGTTCGGTGCAGGGGAACCAAGTTGGCTGGTCGTCACAGAGTGTCGTAACAGACTCTGCTCCACTCGTTCGGCGCGAGCTTCTTGGGGGTGGTTGAATCGGAAGATATGAAAATCTCCCAGGATGATACGAAAACCGCTCTTCAGTCGTGTGGGCTTCTCAATTCGCATGCCGTTGACCATTACTGCAGCGCCTTCAGTAGGAACAAGCGTGACAATGTTATCCACGCTCTCGAATGTGCAGTGTTTTTCAAGGATTTTGGAACCGTTAAGTCGGATCTCAACATTGTTGCCTTGATCCATATGTCCCACGGTAGTAGTGCCGGGTTTGATGTTGTAGACTAAACACTCTGCCAGCAGGGGGTCATCACTAAGGTTGACCAAGTGAGGCATCTTCTTCGGAGTGCTCAATCCGATGAATCCCTTTTCGATGTTGATGCCAAGTTCTTCCAGGGCTGCTTCACGCTCTTTATGAATGAGCTCCGTATTTTGCAGCTTCTCCTCCCATGTTTGATTGAGATCTTTGTAAAGCTTCTCACTTTGGTTGAGTTGCTCCACAATCTCGGCTTTGCTGACTTTGGTAATGGTTCCGTCCGCCTGTGCGATCGAGACCATCTGCTGCTCCAGTGGTGTATCGGGTGGGTAATATTCCTCTGCAGGCATACCGCCGGCCGCACCTGCAGCACCTCCTGCCACGCCACCTCCAAGCTTCGAGCGTAACTGTGCCAGCTCTTCCTTGAGCTCGCGGATCATGCGAGCATTCGGGTCTTCGTTGACAACGGCGTGGTTCTTGATACGTTTGGCGGAGTCGGCATAACGAAGAGTACTCAAAGTTTCGTCGAAGTTGATATCTGCAGGAGAAATGGCAGCAATCATAGAAGTCATGGAGTTACCTCCTAGTGAGTCTTTCAGCAACCATGTAAGTACGGAATCACGGTATGGAACCATGTTTGCAGCCTTCTTCTTTCCAGCGGCGCTCTTGCCCGCCGAGACATCGGCCAGCGCAGCGATGACACGACCAAGGGTTGAAAGCGAGCGGTTAATCTCGGCGCCTTCCTTTAAACGGGCACCGGTAGCACCGGTAGAATTGGCTCTTTCTGAACCTGCCAGATCGACCAAACTGATCTTCGAAACCTTCTCGGTATCCATGGAAGTCTCTGCATCGTGGCGCTTTTGAGTGAGGGTCAAAGTGAAAACGGCGTGGGAACGACTGGATGTTTCGTTCATGTTGGTTGCAGCCACCGTTCTTGCCTTGTTTCCCTCGTCCATTAGATGATCAATCTCATCGAAGGAACGAACCACTAGCTTTGCCAGATCCTCGACATAGGGACCGGTTGACGGGTGCTCACGGACTTTCAGATTACCCTTATTTGACGGATTGAGCAGGTCGCGAACGCGTTCATTGTAAATTTCGAGGTAGGACACTTCGACTGTGCAATTGAGGTTCTTGTCTTGTTGGATGGCGGTGATACGCTCGAACATGGACTGACAAATCCGCGGGATGACACCGTACTCTTTTCCGTATCCCATCATAGAGTATGACTTGCCTGAACCAGTCTGACCGTACGCAAAGATACAATTGTTATATCCACCAAAGGCATTGTCCAAGAGAGGGGAACCCAGATCATCGAAGAGATTGTCCTGGCCTGCATAGTTCTCGGCGCTCTTATCAAAAGACCAGTAAGAGCGATCGAAGGCAAAGGTTTTCGGTCCGGTTTCACCCTTTGTGCCTTTCCGCGACATTGACGCTTCTGCACCGGGCGGTGCACTCAGAATCGTTTGGGAACCTTTCATCTGCACGATACATTTTGCGCCGCGGTCGATCTCTGAAGACTCACAGGATAACCAGTTAGTAGCCATTTCGTACTCGTCTATTTGTCCAACTCACCTCTACTGTTGAACGGTCGGCATCGCACCACGACCTTGATGTTTCCTCCGCCGCCTGGAGCCATCTTGTTCTCTACTCCATACACCAGGGACGGTCACGATTCGGCTTCTCGAGGTTTTGAATTGCAGGGGTAACACAAGCGGTGACAGGGATGCACCGATGCGCGGACTCCGCGAGGAGCGCGGCTTGGGGCGAAGTCGCAAAAACACGGGCACCGGGTGGCAGTGGTTTTGTTACGAGATCGTCTGGCACAGGATCCAAGGGAGCCGGGGAACGAGGTGTGTCAACAAAGACGTCATGTACCGAAATCTTTGAGTGCGCCGGGAGTGTGGGGTGGGTCGACAGGGGGGGACGGGTTCCAACAGCGCGGTGATTAGGGCGTCGGGGAACGAAGTCGACTTGGATGGAGAGAGGGAGGCTCAAGACATCAAGGACCAAATGCAGTTGTTGAAGCTGTTCATGTGGAAAAGCCACCTGCTTGGGGCGCGGGACCCCTTGCTGAATAAGCGGATTTCTTAGTCCCCAAGTGCCTGGAGTGTCGTGATGTGGAGATATGAAGATTGTACACAAGTATTGATGTGTTGTGATAATCCCTTTATCAATCTCGCAGACTGGACAATGGAACAGTCCGAGCATCCCCTGTCTATGAATATTGGAAGCATCGGTCTAGCCCGCTGGCATGTGCCAGGTCTAGATCTACCCGGATATACATCCCAATTCTGTTCACATCGCATCTATTTATTTTTCCTAATGGAGGTTGATAATTGAAGAACAAGGATCGTTGAAAATGCAATGTTTTTAGGCCTCGCTACGCTGACCAGGGTTCACTTGGGCGTTCTTTACCGCTGCTGATATATATTCATCACCACCAGCTCCGGAGTCGCATCGCTGTCAATTTTTGAAGTGTTCGCATTGACCATGTCGATCTTGAGGAATAGAAGATAACATCAACTTCAGGCCGATGATCGTCAGTTGCATTTCAACGGTCCTCTCCACCTCGCAGGGCTACACCTGAAATTATCGGTCAACTCGTAACAAGTCCCGAAGCGGTCAAGCTTCTACACGTGGGGTCCGGGGATCGGACCCATCCAACGCGTCAACCTGAATGGCCCATCTCCCACGTAGAGTTGATGGTCCAGGGCGTGCACGTGGAGATTCGATTCATGACTTCAGTACGCCTGTTGTTATGATCTTCATGCTATCATATCAGTAGCTGCCAGTATCTGCTTCTTGTGCGCTACAGCTTACAGCGTACGGCCCTACAGCGTACAGTCCAAGATCAAGAGCGGAGTCATCTCGGGCAGAAACGGCGGCTTCCGCTATTTGGAGCCCAGCCACATCGGTGACCAGATGAGTGACCGCCAGATGGGGGGACATCAGACATCGGACTCAAAAATCCCGCCCGAGAACTCATTATCACGGGACTTGCGTCATACCTGCCGGGACAGGGATAGCACCCGTCTGACAGGGAGCGAAATTGGGCTGACGGATTGCCGCCTCATTCATCATGATTTATTATGATCACAATCTATCACGCTCAAGCTACGGTAATCACAATGGACATCGGCTTAGGACGGGATCTGGGAAGTCGGCAGCATGGATCCCAGCGTGGGATGGGACCTGAGATGGAGAACAATTGCCCGAAGCGGAGAAAGGGCCGAGGTGGGGGACTAGGATGTGTGAAAAGGGAAGTATGAACTGCACAAAGGCAGTGGAAGAGGCTATCTTAGGTGCCTAGCGAGAGCCGAGCACATAGAAGTACCCAGGTCGATTCGGATGATAAAGCGCTTCCCACTCCAGACAAAGGCTCGAGTCACTGTGAAGGCTCACCGCTTGCACATGACTACCGGGATGCCCGGATTCTGTCAATACGTGACGGTACTGTAACGGTGAATCTGCATAAGAAGTGGATCGCTATAGTACTGGAAAGCCCAAAGATACGGTGGCCCCTCGGGCCCACCCAGCTCTGATACGCCATGATACGACGGGCGGCAACGCGTCGGCCAGTCATTCAGCTGGAAGCGGTACAAAATGCCCCATCTCCCCCTTTCGCCTTTTCTCTCTCTGCCCGTTCTCGTTGGTTGCCCGCCACTCCAGCTCTTCTGCCCTCCAACCATCGCACAGAACTGGCTCCCTTACTTCTTTAAAACCGCCTATTCGCCCACTGCTCTGGCCCTGGCCCCAATCATCTTCGTGATCTATCTAGCTATATACAAAGGTATGGACTGATATACATCTGTCTTCGGTCTCTGCTGTTATCTCTGCTTCACTTTGGTGATTTGATTTGCGATTTCATCTACACTTATCCTACTACCCTTTTGTCCTACTATTTGACTATCTTATTACCCTATGACCCTCTTCCGTCCATCTACCAGTTGCCATCTCCCCTCTGCCTACATTCCTTTCCCGAGTAAACAACGCGTTTGATCTCGGGTCTGCCCGGACCACTGGTCCACTGGAGTTGCCGCACAGAACTCCTCTCGGCCTTCCCCTCTTCCCCTCTCCAGTCATCTTGCTTTGATCCCTTGTTCGGTCCTAGGATTGGAAGCTAGGCTATTATCCACGGGCTTTGATCCTATCCCATTCCTTCTACGGTAATCGCAATTCATACTTTCCCCCTCCCCCCCCTTCCCTTCCCTTCCCTCCAATCCTACGTTGCGCGCGCTTCTAGTGCCCGCCCGTGGCAAAACAACGCGCCCTAGCCACTCATTCATCGTTCACTTGCCCACTGTCCCTAGGCCATGCAAAGCGGCTGCGCTGTGTTTGATCCTCGGCCTACCTGGATGGTCATTGGCTCTGGTATTGGTTTCATGCGCGCGCGACCCTGTGTTGTTGTCTCCGTTTCTGCTTCTGTTTGGCGTTCCAGCCCTGCACGCGTCCTTGACATCATTACCGAATAGTCGCATCTCTAACCCATGACATATAGACGTTCACGAACCCTGATTCGCTTTCGCCTCATATCGAAATTCTGTCCTGCTTCTGCAGACACGGGCGATTGACAAGGTATGTTACTACAGCTGCGCTTCCCCCCTCCCCCAATCTGCCAACGCATACATTGCGCATCTCCCCGCCTTGCCCGGCCTAACCCGCTTGGGTATCAAAGGGGCCCTCCCTTCATGCGATCAGCCCCTCTATGGCAAGCGCATGGTGACGGTCACTTAGAAGAATATACTGATGCCTCACAGTCCTAATTCGTGGACTCTGACAAGGCGCACTCTGACATCCGAGGCGCACAGTCCCGCTAGTCCGGCAATCAGAGCAGTAACCTCCGTTGCCTGTGCCTGAAATCGTGCCCCAAGTAGATTCATCCGGGGGTGGCATCATCATCATCAACGCCCTGGCTTGTTGCCAACGCATCGCATCTCTAGTCGTGCGGCAACCCCGGTCCTGCTGCATCACAGCCCAACCACGTTACACCCGAGTGGCATAGACCGATTTGCACTAAAGAGCCAAACCCTCCGGGGCGTTCGAGATTCCTTTTACAGGTCGGATCTTTAACGTGAATCCATCCTAGCCCTGCAGTGATTTAAGGTATGCGCCGAGTCCCATTCACGCCCCATAGCAGTCACCCCTCACCCCCACCCCAAACCCAGTGACCGCCTCGTCCTGCGCTTTTCTGACGATATGATCACAGTCTATCGAATCATCGCCCCACCAAGGTGTTGCCTATCTGCACCTGCGATTGAATCCTCTGCCAAACATATCTCGGCAGTCCACCTCGATCCTCTCTCTCACTTACGACTCGCTCTAATCCACTGCGTTGAAGCTTCTCCATTGCTGATTGGCTTGGGTTTGATCAATACACCTTACCGCGTCGCTGTGTGACGGAATAATCCCGTCGTCAGCATCCATCATGGAGTTTCCTCCGCAGTATCAACAGCCTCATGGCCAACATCCTCACGCTCCTTCACATTCACATATGCCTGGTCCTTACCAAGGTGGTCCCCCAAACCCTGGTGCTCCCGTCGGGTCCATGGCCTCACCCAACAATGCCCAGCCCTCCATGCAACAGACACATCCCGGTCACCAAACCTCCCCGATCGTCGCATCGCAACAGCACTACCAGCAATCACAGAATGCGCCTGGAGCCGTTCACCAACAGATGAATTTCCCCCCAGGGTTACGGTGCTCCCGTCGCCATGCCCCAGGGGTACGGAATTTCTCCAACCCAGGCAGCCGCGATGGCCACCGCTGCCGCATCGGGACAGTTCTACCCGCTCCATCAGGATTCCATGGCTGGCCAGATGGCCCAGGGACCGCGAGGTTCGCCGCGCATGGCCGGTGTGCAGATGAAGCAAGATCGCAACGCTCGATCCCCGCCTCAAATGTCCGGGCAGATGCCTCCCATGGGCTCACAGGTCCAGATGCCTGGCCAACGCCGCATGAGCCACGTTGGAAGTCCCGGTGTGCAGAGTGCTCAGCCAGTGATGAGCCATGTCGGCCGACCCGCCATCGCAGCTCCTATGGCCGCCGCGCCAGTCCAGCCTAATCACTCTTCCCCCGAAATGGTGGCCAGCACCAACCAGGAGGAATCTCCTCTCTACGTCAACGCCAAACAATTCCACCGAATCCTGAAGCGTCGGGTTGCCCGACAGAAACTCGAGGAGCAACTGCGTCTGACTTCCAAGGGCCGCAAGCCATACCTGCATGAGTCGCGACACAACCACGCCATGCGACGACCCCGTGGCCCAGGTGGCCGCTTCCTGACCGCAGATGAAGTCGCCGCGATGGAAAAGAAGGCTGCTGACGGCGAGGATATCGGCGACATTGGCAAACTCGAGAACGGCTCTGGCCAAAAGCGCAAGTCAAGCGAGGTCAACGACAGCCACCTCAACTCGAAAAAGACCAAGACTAGTGCGAGTGCCGATGGGAGCGAGCAAGAATCCGCTGAGCCCTCTGATGAGGATGGTTGAACTCGTCGGTCCTTACACCATTAGAGCATGACTCCAAGTTGGTGGTGTCCTTTCATATGTTCCTTTTCTCTTTTGTTTGTCACGGCTTTATGGATGGATGCTGTTTTGGTGGTTTTCTTTTCTTTTTTTTTTCACTAGCGAGCGATATGTACGGATCCCCCCTTTACCTTCTTATTTTGTCTACTTGACTCTTGAACCACTACCTTTACCCCAGGTGCCTGTTTATAGCTTCTGCTGGGACGATATGCTTTTTCTCTCTGATTCGTTTTGCGTTTCGAAGTATTTCTCCTATGGTCCGGTTCCGGATGAGTTGGAAATGGTTCACTACTCCTCATGTCCTACTTTACCCCACGGTTTGGTATGTTCAATTTACGGGTTCAGCCAAGAGACCACGTCCAGATCCGCCAAGCCCGTCCAGTCCGCGAGGCCTGCATCATTTTGTGTATATCGATATCGACAGTACAGCGCCGAGACACTCGGCTTTGCGTCTGTTTCTACTACGCCCCTCGTCTTCTCCGCTTTCGTTTTGGTTATTCCCCTCTCAACGGTCATGATTCATAGTGTTCTATGTGGTGTTTTTGTGGTGCGTTTATGGGTTCCGGGGTTAGGAATTAGAGACGGTCTCCATCACTGGAAAAACTGATCACGGATCATGGATCACTTATCACATTGGTTGTGCTGGGACAGGCGGGTTTTTTTTCGAGCTTTATGGATATGAATACAATTTGTCACTGCCTATACCACGAATGAGATGTTATATCGCGATTTTTGTGACCGACTAAGGGTGCTGTTCTTTATACTTAAATTTAGTCTAGTGCGTTGCGCATGGTCTTCGAGATGTCTAGGTCGCCTCGACTTCTGTAGGGTGCAGATCCGACTCCCATGAACCTACACCAAGAAGCAGCCCCGCGAGATAGCGCAATGAGAGTATCGTAAATCTTGAAATGCGACAAGCTATATGCATGAGTCCAGCCGCAGACCCATTACTATCTACAAAATCAGGTTCAAACTCCATCCATGCGAAAAGCAAACCAAAACAGAACAATGACGAGATTACCATCTCCTCTTCCTAGACAGCTTCCCAATCCATAGCCTCAACCATGAACGTCCAATCCTCCTCGGCCCCTTCCTCATTGACCCCTTCCCCAGGCCTCCTACAAAGTTCGACATGCTCTCTTGCTCTAACATAAGCCTCCTCCAATCCCGCAAAAATTCCTGAAAGAATATCCTCAAAATCAAATTCCTTCAACGGCACCACCTCCTTCCTCTCCCAAGGATCATTCTCCCTCTCTTCCACCGTCATATCCGCGGTCTTCCACCTATTCCTCAACTCCTTCGCCTTCCTTAACAACGCGTAGACCCTCCCGGATCCCAGAATCGGCGTTAACGGCGACGTCTCTTGCTCAAGGGCATGCAGCACGTTTGCATGGTATCGGTGTACAGATCCGGATGTGAAACCGCGCGCGCGAGAGGAAACGGTGATGTTGAAGACGCCCAGCAAATGAACAATTGCGCGCTCGAGAAGGGCGTAGTATTCGTGGAAATCGATCTTGAACATGATTTCGGATTGGGATTCTGAGGTCATGTTGGTGTCTGTGTCAAGGGTTGCGAGACGGTAGCCTTCTGCTAGAAAGGGAAGTTTCCAGCGGAGGCGGGCGACGATTTTCATGAAGCGATTGAGTTCTTCCGAGGGAGGGAGGAGAGTGTTTGTAGTTGTGGTTGGGGTTGGTTTTCGTTTATCGCCGCCATTGTGGCGGGTTGGGGAGGGATTGGAGCGGATACGGTTTTCGGAGCGTGGGCGGCGAAGTGAGTGGTTCTGGAGTGGCTGTAGGACTCGCTCGCGCTGGGCGCCCAGCGCGAGCTGAGAAGGTCAGACATTGGAGAGTTGAGAGGGGAAGGTGCAGGTGGTGTGGTATGGTTATCGCACGGGCCACCTGCTCTGTGGGGATTCTGGATCTATGTGAGTTGCTTAGTTGCTTAGTTGTGAAATGGGGCTGATTTTACATCAGCTAACAAAATTGAAGCCTATCTAAAATGGAACGAATTTGAAATATGAAACTGTCACCATCAGAGCTACTCATCGTGTATATATCAAGCATGGGAGCGCTGTCGACACCGCAATGTCCAATTTTTTGGACCCGTTGTCTCGGGGCTACTGAAGCGTTTAATAAGACCAATCTGAAACAGACTGGATCAGAATTAGGTACTATTGGTAAGAACAAGTATAGAGATCACCGTACACTTCTTATTGATTGCAAAGAGCGCATGTGTCGGGGAGCTAAGTACTCGCCATGTGGAACTCACATCTCCTTTGACAAGTCATTTAAAGCGGAAGTCCTTGAATTAGATCTCTGGATAGGGCTAGATATGTGCAGTCTATTGTCAGCATGGCTATCGGCTACTTCTGTTACGGGATTGAACAAAGCATCCTACGCATGAGGTTTGCCTTTGCTGCACCTCAGACGCACCAGCTCAATGGCAAGGACGCTGAGTCAAAGCTCCTCATCAGGCTTCATTCAAGATTTGGAGTTTCTTGGAGCTTCTGTCATTTCCAGCTCAGAAATTATACTTTTGGTCCATCGCATACGCCTAGTTAGCGCACCGTGAAAGGAAATACCGGGCATCTCATGCGGGTAACCAGACGCTCCAAACCCATCAGCCACAAAGGAACTGAGATCAGTTGTCAGACCGGGCTAGGCCCTTAGTTGCCGGTGATTTGGGTTATTGCCCAAGACAGTTTCATACCGTGTAGTCGGCCGGCATTTGCGACTCAAACCCCACCATTGGCACTCTGCCTCCCCTTTTGTCTCCCCTCTGGACGTCTATTAACAATGTCTTTCCTCGATTATTGATATTTGTCTTGAGCAAAACTGAACGTCTCCTCCAAAGACCGAGTAAGCTATTTCCCCCATCTCAACCGTGTTCCTTCCGAGAAGGTCCCGTGACCGAGAAGGGAGCCGGCACCGGCTAACCAGATCAGGCTAGCGCACCTCCAGCTCTCTCCAGCATCGCCTCGTCTCACGTTCGTCTTCATTCGCGCCGGGCTGAGCTGCTCCTGGTCATCGATTCCAATCACCATCTTGAGGGTTTCTTGTAGGTGGCTGACCCTTTTTTCTTCTGGATCTTTATTATTTCTGCCTTTCCTGCTTCCTTTGCTCCCCATTCTCGCTATCAGCTCACCCCTATCTGGACATTCCATGCGGTCTGCCCGGCTTCGTCTTCTTTTTCATCCTTCGAGCCCGTGACGGTGTGCCTTTGCGCTGTCCCGAATTTATAGCGGCTCTTTTTGAATCTCTTGCGTGACGCTGGCCTTGGCCGGTTTGTTCATACCTCTCTTTCTCCGCACCACTCACCGCGTACCCGCGGTAATGAGGGTGCGCCAAAGCTCCGGGGCCACAGGCTCGATCGCCGCTTCTTTCTGTTCTTTTTTTCACCCCCAATCACCTTGTCTCTTCTGTCTTCCGTGACTTGCCTCTACCTCATCTATCGCTTTCTCGCTCCGCAAAGCTTCTTGATCCTATATTGACGATGCCGAACTCTTAGCTTCCTGCGCGACCTGCGATAACGTGCTTGAGAGCACCGGACAGCTCCACACTTTACTCAAACTCACAAGCTTCCTCTCTGAGGCCCTCGCTGTAGACCTCTTGGCAGCATTGCTGTGATTTGAAAAACATCGGAAGTGCCGGATCACTATGGATTCATACGCGGGGGACGAATATTCCGGCCCCAAGCGGGATGGAGAATCATTCTCAGGGAGGGCTCCCGGTGAAAACTACCGGCGTCGCTCACCAGGTATGCTATCCATTAGATCCAAAGGAAACGTCACACAAGAGAATCTCATTGCTGACTGGACATCAGCTTCCCAGGACCGTCGCCGCGGCCGCGGCCGTTCCCGCTCCCCCATGATCGATCGCTACGAACCCTCAGACCGTCGCCCGCGTGAAGACTTCTACAACAGTTCTCGCGACCATGCTGCTCGGGAGCGCGAGGACCGTCGACGTGCCCCATCCCCGACAGTTGCCAATATTGACCGCTATGTCCCCGGTCAAGATAGCGGAAAGCGCCCAATGCCGATGAATCAGCTTCCGAACCCTCTCAGCCTTGATTTCCAGGTCGGCTTCACTTGGTTTGGCGAATGGTGGAGAAGTGAACAGCAAATAAATGAGGAGAAGGAGCGTGTCAAGCAAGGCCGTGGCCGGTCAGATCGAATCAAGGGAGAGCGTGAAGCGCGTGAAGACAAAGAGCGACAACGAGCACAAATCCAGGCTGCCTACGACACGTACAAGGTGGACCTTCAGATTAAACTGTCTCGCCAATTTGTGCAGCAACATCGGAATGAGGAGTGGTTCAAAGAGCGCTACGTTGCGGAAGTGCGTGATCCTCTACGCACTCGTATTATGAATTTCCGCCGAGGCGCATATGAACAATGGGAACGTGACCTGGGCGGAGGACTGTTCGATGATTTCACCCTTGAGGGAATCTACAAGAGCGAGAGTGATGGAGCTGGCGGTGTGGTCGAGAAAGAAGAAGGCGAGACTACCGCAGTCGCCGAGACACTCAGTGTTCTGGACTTACTTCCTGTCCGTGGTGGAGAGCTCCGTGATGATGCGTTATCGCAGCCTGCTCTGTTGATCAAGACCTTAGCACCCAATGTGAGCCGAGAGAAGATTGAGGAGTTCTGCAAGGAGCATCTCGGAGAGAGCGATGGTGGCTTCAAATGGCTCAGTCTGAGCGACCCCAATCCCACCAAAAAGTTCCACCGTATGGGTTGGATCATGCTGCACCCTTCAACCGAGACAGATAATCCTGTCGACCGTGGAGATGGCCGCGAAGAAGAAGGCCAGGATACAGACAACCACCACAATGGCACGAATGTCAATACAGCCGAGCGAGCCCTTGAAGCTGTCAATGACAAGACCATCCACGATGCTGTGCACGGCGACTTCGTCTGCCATGTGGGTGTTCATGTGCCTCCTTCGCAACCACGCAAAAAGGCCCTCTGGGATTTGTTCTCTTCTCCAGAGCGAATTGAACGTGATCTCGAGCTAGCTAAACGCCTCATTCAGAAATTGGACAGCGAGATGGGTGAACATGCGGATGGCGTCTCTAAAATTGAGGAACGGATTGAGGATCTGCGCGGAAAGGGTTGGCTGCAACCTCCTGTGACTGGCCCAGTCAGCGCCAAGAAGCAGAAGAATGACTACGATGAAGCGGACCTCGATGAAGGCGAGATGGAAGAGGGCGAAGAGAAAGAAGTACAGGAAGAAGACGAAGTGGATGACGAGGAGCTTCTTGCGATTAAGAAGAAGCTCGACCTGATGGTGGAGTACCTCCGCCGAGTCTACAATTTCTGCTTCTTCTGCGTCTTTGAATGTGACTCGGTTCACGAGCTGGGCCGTAAGTGCCCGGGTGGTCATCTTCGCCGGCCCCGTTCTGGTCTTTCCAACCAGGCTAAGGAGGTCGCCAGGGCTAGTGCCCTGGGCGAGTCGTTCCCATGCAAGCAAAAGGAGCCTAGCGAGGACGGAGAGGAACGGGGATCACCTGTCCAAGAGAAGCGCCCACAACGGCTCTCGAAGTCCGAACAACAGCTGCAGCGTGCTTTCAACTGGGTGAAGACATTTGAGGACAAATTGCTTCAAATCTTAGAGCCCGAGAACGTTGACTTGTGCAAATTGGGCGGTAAGCCGGTGGAGCAGGCTTTGGAAGACGAGCTGGCCAAGTACGTAAAGCAGGAGGATGATTCACGGTATCGCTGCAAGGTGCCTGAGTGCGCCAAACTCTTCAAGGCCGAGACCTTCTGGCGCAAGCATATCGAGAAACGTCATGCGGAGTGGCTGGCAAGTATTCAGCGTGATGTGAGTTGTCTTCTGCCTTTCCCTAAACCATCAGACACTAATGCCCTTCAACAGCTTGAGCTTGTGAATACCTACGTTCTAGACCCTGCGCGCATTGCCCCATCGCGATCTGATGCCAACAGCAACGGACACTTCCCCATTGCTGGTGGTCAAGGCCAAGGTGGTACCCCGCGTGGATTCAGCCTCTCAAACATGCCATCATACCCCGGTGGCATGCCCGGGTTCCCTGGTCCTGGAATGCCTGGCCTTCCAGGCGCCCCGGGCCCTTGGGGCAACAACGGCATGGGCGACGGTCGTCTGCACCAGCCCGGAGCCATGCGCCGCGGTGGACACCGTCACAACAACCGATCCGGTCCGTATGACCGTCAGCGCTTCAACAGCAGCGGCCGACTGAGCCCTGTTCGCGGGGGCAACATGTACGGCGGCGGTCGCCTCCTCCTTCTGGCGTGGTCATCCCGCCCGGACACCCTGCTGCAAACATGGCTGTGCCAAAGCCCTTCCCCGACGCGATGGATGCCGGCGGTGGTGCGCAGGCCATGCCCCCCACGTGAAGCTGTGCAGGGTCGCAGCCTCAAAAGTTACGAAGACCTCGACGCAGTCACTGGTTCCGGCAGCGGCGAGCTGAATTACTGATTGACATCGCATTTATCTTTATCACCAGCCCATAAAACTTTTCCAGCACTGTTCTCAATTGGCGTGGGTGGCGCAACGGCAAGGATGGATTGGGTTTGTTGCGCCCTGTTTCTCATTTTCATATTGGTTTCATGTTCTCTTCATTCGTGGATCTGTGAAGGGTTAAACATGCCCTTGTCTGCCAGATGGTACTTATTGGCCCTGAGTTGCTTTTCCTTCCAGATCTTATCTGCGCTTAGCATGTACAATATCTTCATCGACCATCCTCGGGAAATGAATGACATTTTTTATCCACGATTGACGTGTCTCCGGGTAAAGGTGCATATGATGCTCCCAAGACATCTCGAGATCTATGGCCTGTATGGGTATCGTGTGTACAACTATGGATGTGTTCAAGCATTCCCATTCCCGGACCTGGTATATATCGCATGGCCTCTCAAAGACCTATCCCAAAAGATTCAAAAAAAATTAAAAAATTAAAATAAACATTCGACTCCAAAACCATGCAACCAGCGCAAACGATGCAATCTAATCAGAACTCCACAACTCGTACAGAATCATGGCATCTCAATCACGACCTCTTCCCTCGAATCCAACCACCTTGCGCCCATCCCCTTCACCCTCCTTTCACTCGCCAGAAATAGCAGCAAGTAAACATGCATCGCAACCTCCCCCCACGCATAAACCTTCAGCCTCACTACTACCTCATCCCGACACTCTAATCCAGGTCCTGATCCTAATCCTAATTCTTGATCTTCAACTCCTTCCAGAAAGCACCAAACCCCCCCATCCGGCCCTCCCCTCTTGTCCAATAAACACGTTCAAAAAACCCCAAAACCTCGCAAATAATTCCCCATTCCAGTAAGGCTCCCCTTTGGCCCCGACAGTGCCTGCAGGCGGGTCCGGCCGGATAGTGATCTGCACGGCCCAGTACCCGCGCTCCAGGGTTTCGAGTGGCCGGACTTGGCGTCGGGGTTTGTAGCTACGCGCTGGATTCAATCGGTCGACGAGCATGTCCAAAGTGGGTGTGATGTGGGTGGTGAAAGGGGAAGTGGAGATGGGGGGTGGAGGGGGTCGGATTTCTACAGGCAGTTGAGAGAACAGAGTGTATTCAGAGCGGGAGTCTGTAGAGATTGGGGGCGGGATAGCAGCTGGACTTGGGCTCGATGATAGGCGAGGAAGGGCAGGCGCAGGGGTCGGGGTGACAGAAGTACCCTGTCCTTCAGGGCGACGACGTTTGGACGGAGGTTGGAGAAAAGGGTCTAGTGGCTCCGGATCTCTATTCTGCAGTGGCTGAGTGGGCTGCGAATCGGGAATGACGCTGATAATACTATCGAGGGAATGGTCGAGACTCAAGTCCATCTCGGTCGGGGCCTTGGCTGAGATCTGCGTCTCGAGTGCGGACTGGTTGGCAGATAGGCAGGGGACGGCTGCAGATGCAACTTGGAGGTCGGCTTGACTTTCAGGTTCATCTGTGAGCTGCATCATGGCACGAATGGCGGCCACCTGGGCTCGGTATCGTGCATCATCGCTGATGCTGCTGGGGGCGGAGACATGGACGAGGATGTCCATTTGCCCCACGAGAGGAATAGCTTGATCGAACTGAGATTAGGCCGAGGAGTATTTGTCACACGGTGATGAAGTTCGACTAGTGGATTTCCTGGCTCGGCGCATCAGGCCATTGAAGTATGGAGTATGGAATATGGAGTCGGATGTTAGGAAGTTAGGAAGTTCCGGGGGCAAGGAGGAGTGTGTACGTCAGTCGGGAGCATACACACACTGATCCGTGAAGAACAGAGTAAAGCAAAGTGTGGTTCCAGTGTAGCTGAGATGGGAAACGTAGTACACCGTGGATCCTGGTGATTGCATCGTGGAGATTTAGGGAGCAATGTCCGAAGCAATCGATTTACCTTCGATCATCTTTAATTCTAGTTGTGCAATTGCTTATTCTTTGTTTATTATTCATTAGTTCCTTTAGTTCCTGCGAACTAGATCCTTGATCAAAGGATTAACCCCCCAGTTGTGTCCGTGCCAAGAAGGATTCCCGTCCGCGATCCACGATCCATCACATCTTCCCTTTTTCAACGGTTACGCCTCCCCGGATTAATCTGACTTTTGAAGGTGTAAAAAGCCTTTACATGCTCCTTCATGGCTGGTGGTGTTTATCCGATGGAACAGATGCAATATCTGCCCGGTACGTCTCTCAATTTCGATCTTCGCAGCGCAAGTGCGCCTTGCAGAATGCTCCGGCATCCCCTATATCCCGAAACTCTACACTTCACGTTGTCTATCCTCGTTTCTCATGGCTGACATGTCTGCGCCGGCGCGTCCCGCTACACGGGAGGCCCGGTGCGATCCATGATAGAACAATCTCCCACTCCAAAAGGGGGAGGTTTTGGTACGGAATTCTTCAAGATCTTTGGGGCTCAACCCAAGAAGACCACGACTCGTGGTACGCTGATTCGACATACGACATGCGATGCCCCCATTGACTCTTTCCCTCTCCAGATGGCCAAACCCCAAAGCGTCGAGGCCCCAAGCCTGACAGCAAGCCCGCCCTGACTCGTCGGCAAGAATTGAACCGTCAGGCCCAGAGGTAAATCACCGCTGTTGCCTTCAAAATCGCCAATTAACCCCTCATCTGCAGGACTCATCGTGAGCGAAAGGAACAGTACATGCGATCCCTCGAGACGGAGGTGTCGCGGTTACGGGAAGCCTACACCCATGAAATCTCCGATGCGAACGTCACAATTCAGAAACAAAAAGACATGCTACAGTCGGCTCATGTTGAGAACGAAATTCTGAAAGAGATCCTGGTCGCCCATGGAATCCAATACGGAGATGAGCTCGAGAAACGTCGGTCGGAGCGCCCCGTTGGGTATCAAACCAGCCCAATCGCTGCCAGTAGCACCGGATCGCAGACAGCCGGCTTCGCCCAATCCGCAAGTCAGCAGAATACGACTCCCGGCACATCCATCTCAACGGGCATGAGCCCCAAGATGAATGCCGTCGACCATCCCGAAGTGACGCCACCCGTGGCATTCGCGCCACAGGTCTACCACGCCAGCGCGGCTGACCCCATCGGATCCCTCGATCGCTCCGCATACCAAGCAGGTGGCTCACCGGTATCTGCCATGCGCGGCGTTTTTGAAACCGACCCTCAGCTCCAGGTCGACTTTATCCTCACGTACGTCATCTCCTCCTCTCGGAGCCGCACAACAGCTAATCATCCATGCAGATTGGAAGCACCATGCCGTGAACACACAGACTATCTCTGCCGTCGCTCAGTGACTGAAGCCGACGACGAGGACATGCCTTTTTCAGGCCATGCATTGATGGCAACATGTCCGCCACCTAGCTACATTAAACACACAACCCCCGAACAAACTTACCCTCACAAGACCTACGACCTACCACTCGCCAACCTAAGCACGCTCTTGAATCTCAGTCGGCAGCTCGTGACAGACGGTCAAATTACACCAATCATGGCCCTGCAATGCCTCAAGAACCACGAACTTTACACAACCCTCAGCCGCGACGATGTCAAGATCATCATCGAAACCCTGAACACCAAAGTTCGTTGCTACGGCTTCGGTGCCGTTGTCGAAGACTTCGAGCTCATGGATTGTCTGAGCAGCGTCGTCGGGACAAAGGTTGACGCAGGTGTTTCGCGCGTCCGTGACGACTCGATGTACGCGTGAGCCGCGTGAATGATTATGACTTTAAATGAAAATGGTCTGAGGAGTGACCTGGTGTCGCTCCGGTTTGGCACCGAGCTATCAGGTTCCTTGCATATGTTTATTCTTTTCCTTTTCTTTGCCTTGGATATTTTTTTTTTTTCACCATGGCCCCTTCTACTTTTCCTCCTTTCTATTCCTGAGCTTTTCCCCTTTCTTTTTTCAATTATCTCTTAATCGGAGATGTATATACCGGAAATGACCCTGACTGAGCGTGGGTCTGGAGTTGATTTCCTTTGTCATTTGCTTTCTTTTTCTTTTCTTTTTTTTTTCCAGTTTCCACGTCTCTTGAACTTCCATCGGGAAGAGCTATTTTTCCACTGGCATATTTTATTACTGTGATATACATGGCATATTGTCTCCATTGATCAATTGATTAAGCTTTTGTCTCTGAGCTGTTTTCCCGTAGCTAGTGTTGTTTATCAAAACACCCTGTCGAAGAGCCATGATCGGGTATTTCCGAGCGATTGATCACACTCTACTACCGATATCAAGACATTTGGCGGTACGCAGATGATTAAGTGAAGAGGAACGAAAGTTTCTCCATAAAAGCGTTTAGCTATTATCGGAGCGAGTTTACAAGGACTAGAGAACAACCATCAGATGCTGAAAAGTCTCCCATAATTTTACCGTCACCTAGACTATATAGTAAAATGGGGGCTTGAGGCGTGTCGGATGAAAAATGCTTCGCTCATAGGCCGACTACGTTTGGAAACGGTAAAGTCATAAGGAGATCGTTACTCTTATCAAACTTTTGCGCATATGCACAGCCGGAAAAAAAAGAACACAAGAATCTAACAGACGAAAAAGCATATGATCCATGGATATCTACTCATCAGACTCCTCCTCCTTCTCCTCCTGCTCCTCAATCTCGGCCTCATCATCCTCCTCAAAGGCAGTGGCGGGCACACGGTACAGACGCAGGACAGACTTGTTGGGGTCCTTGATGAGAACGTACTTCTTAACGGCATCAGCGGGCTCCTCAGAATCGAGGGTACGGATGCGGTCCACAACGGTGCGGACAATACCCCAGCCATTGCCGAGGTTCAAGTTCATCTGGGAAGCGAACTCCTTGGGCTTGTAACCCGCAACGCCGAGAACGACGTGACCGGCAGCGGAGCGGGGGTTGGCACGGGACACGAAGCCGAGCTTCATGCCGTCGGCCTGGGCAAGGATGGCCTGGGTGGTCCAGCGGGCGAGCTTGCTGGAGTTGTTCTTCATCTCGGTGGCGAGGACGGCACCACGCTGGGAGACGAGCTTGGTGCGCCAGTCGAGAGCACCGCCGGAACCAGGAGCCTTGGTGTCGAACTCGTTCAGAGCCTTAATGACCAACTGCTGGTCGGGGCCACCAGTGGGGTGCTTCATGACGGCGTCCACCTCGGTACGGACGATCAGCTTGAGGGGCTCTTCGTCGCGCTCGAGGGAGAGGTCGAAGCGGCGGTACTTGTAGCCCTTGGAGGCGAGGGGCTCGGTCTCCTCGGCCTCGTTGTAGAAGGGGTTGGGCTGCGCGAAGGCGACCTTAGCCTGATCGGACTCGATCATGGTCTGCAGAGCGAAGTTGTGGTTGATGAAGGTGGCCTCCATGGCCAGAGCGCTGGGGGTGTTGATCTGGTCAAGCTTGCCAGTAGCCTCGGAAACTTCGAGAGGGGCGTCGTAGGCGTTCTCGTTGACGGTGACGAGGTCAATGGAGGCACCGGCGCGCTTGTCGAGGAAGATCTTGTCACCCTGGTGGACAATGACAATGTCCCAAGAGTAGACACTACGGGTAGCGCACATAAGCATGGAGAGGATATCGGCAGTAGCGAAGACGGTGGCCTCGTTCTTCTCGGCCAACTCGTGAATAACGGGATCCTGGGAGGTAGTGACGTTGTAGGCGGCGCGCTCAAGGCCCTGGAGACGGCGCTCGTTACCCTTGACGGGCGCGCGGTCGTAGGAGCGATCGTAGTAGTGCAGGAAACCGTAAGTTTCGAGGTCCTCCCCCTCGGGAGCGTCAAGGTTCAGCTTGGACAGGCGGCTGAAGTCAACCTCCTCCAGCATCTGCCACTCAGGGCGGATGTTAATAGAAGGCTCACGGGTGCGCTGGGGCTTGTCCCAGTCCTTCCATCCGAAACGGCGGCCACCACCGCGGGCACCACCACCACGGCCACCACGGTTATCAAAGTAGCGATCATTGCCACGGCCAGCACCGGCACGCTGGAAGCCACCGCGGGCACCACCACGCTGGTTGGGGCCACCACGCTGGCCACCACGACCACGGAAAACGGTGCCACCGCCACGACCAAAGGTACGCTTGGCAGAGGTACGGGTGTTGTCGACAACGGAGAAAGAGGACTCGTCTTCAGCAGCAGCGACAGTGAACAGGCTGGAGGTACCGGCACCATAAACCTGCTGGTCTGTAGATGGAAAAAAAGTGTCAATGCAGGTTCCAATAATGACCGCGCCTCCAACCTCTGGGCACAAAGAAAAACAAGCAAATGTCATAGATTTGTAGACTTACCACGGAAGTTGCGGTTGTACTGCTGGCGACCCTGACGATCACCGGTCTTGGACTCGGCAGTCCAGTCGGCCATGCGGCCCAACTTGTCGCCCTTGGAGAAGGGAGCGTAGGGGACGCCGTTGAGCATGTTGTCAGCTCCGGTGGCAGGACCCCAAGAGTCCTCGGCCGGGAGGGCGGCCACCAGATCGGCGATAGAAGTCGGAGCCATTTTGAAGTTGTGAATGGGCACCGAGAGAGTGTTGGCGTGGGGTGTGGATTATCGGCGGGAGTTTTTTGTGTCGCGAGGCTGTGGCTGGTGTTCACCGCCAAAGCCACAATTCAATGTCACGTGATATTGCCATGGCGCAGTCAATTCTATACCTCATCACTTTGAAAATCTCATCTCCCTCCGATAATTGACTGGATTTTCACTATCAATCTATGTATCGAACGGCCTGAAATTAATATATGATATGGGGATTGTACAGAGCCGGGTGTCCGGAACTGTCTCGCGAGGTGCAAGAGCTCAATTTCAGTCTCCACAGGTTTTGCTAGCCTGATAACTACCCTTTCATTCGTTTCACGTAGAGCAGTCATCCTCCATTGAAGCACTTATCAAGCCCATCAAACTATGCAACAGTACGCATGTCTAGGGAAATTACCAAGACAATGTGATCGTCGGTCAGAAAGTCAGCCTGAAAGATTCACTAATTCCTGGTCCGAAATCTACCATTACCGCGAATCGGAATTGAGAAAAGGAATAAGTGGAAAATCAAACTTGACAGGCTTATCATCGCAACAAAATCCGGATAGATGTCGTTCCGAAACCATGATGTCGCAGGCACGTATAGTAGATTGTTGGATGCATAAGCGCCCGAGTTTCACTTTGGAGAATTTCACATATTTACATTACCACACAGTAATCTGGAGTGATTCAATAAACCCAAAACCAGAAGCTCTTATTCCTGGTGGATCATCTTCTTGGCAAGCTAAAAGGCCATTTGACTGGGCAATGATCTACTGGTAAAGACCTTCCCAGGAGCTTGACAAGATCAGAAAGATCGCCGGGACTATTGGCCTTCGACAATTATGCAGAATCCTGAGCTCATAGACTTTGCATATTTTGGAAAGTCAAGCTTGGCCCATTGATGATTGACCACGAAGTGGTTTGCTTAGAAGCTGCGGGCAGCCTTGGCCACCCACGCCTAAAGTGATCTTTAGAGCGGACTCTCTAGCATTCAGCTCTCCTGGTTCTACGTTGTCGATTGTATTCTATTTGGTTCAATTATCTCAAAATGTTTTTCAAAGCAGGAGCCGGTGGTCCTAGCTAGAGTTTTGCAGACCATCCTGTTCCTCGCAAGCATGTCCTCTTAGGTGACGCCGTTTCTACAGCCCAAACTCGGAAAGATCGAGCATCCCAAATGGCTGATAAAGAATAGAAATTTGATCTCTATGAAGTGTTGGGTCAACCCGAGTGTCTGAGGGAGCCCTGGCAGAATATCTAAATAAGGGCAGAAGAACCCAGTAGTTCAACTATCGCTGCAACTCAATCCTCTCTCAACCGGAACAAAGTCACAAATCATCTACTTCAAATTTCTTTCGGACGCGCCAAGGTGACTTCGGCTACGACCACTTTGAAGGGCAAAAAGGTCAAAGATGAATCTGAGACCTCGGACTGCGTTGGATCGCTGCTTTGCTGCGGTTCCCTCACCACCCCTCTCGATCACATCTTGGATCCCATCCTTGAAGACCTTGGCGTTAACGCTGCCAATATTGTTGGCTTGGTTGGTCTCCTGTATCAGTTTCCTTGGCTGATCATCTCGCAAATTATTCACCAAGTTGACGTTCTAGGGCGACCCCTATGAAGGAAGCTCTTGCTCCTCAGCTCCTCAGTGCTGTACCGAGGCCAATCTTCTGGTATGTCTATCTATTACAACAAAAGATATCGAGCACCGTAACTAACTTCTTAGGGTGGTACCATTGCTTTTGGCTGTTCTGCCCTGAAGAAATAAAACGAGGTGCTGTCGAACTGGATATATGGCACAAGTATTTAGATGTCTTGATGGTATATGCATGCATATTCTTCAGAGAGCCGATCGCCTTATGTACTATTGTCCCAAATTCTTTTCACAATACCAAAGACCGTTGAAATCTATGGTAGTTATCTATACAGTAATTTCAATGGTGACGCCTAAATGTCTCGTATGACTAGGCCTACGAAGAAACAAATTTCAAAGCTGTGGCATTGTACGGACGAAACCACAAGCCAAGCATTTCCATCTCATCTGTCATTCAACAGAGCACAGGCACAGGCAATGACTATCTTGGTGGACATCAGTGCGTTCAGGCGCCCCATGCTGACGACGATATTCAGGCAGCAGAGTTCCCCAACACTGAGCTCCTTTTGGCACCGCCCCACTTCCCCCGAGATCCCAGATCAAAGGTTTCTTATAGTCGCTGAAATCCCCATAACCCAACATTTGCTACACTGCATATCTTATAAAGCAACCATGGGAAAATCGAAAGTTCAAGTTCTCCCAGCCGAGTCTGGAGCCACCAGGCTCGGTGACGGCAACACCTTAACCCGCTGCAACCTGCGCAATTGCGCCATCAACACAACATGGGCCAAGTGGTGTAACTTTGAAGACTGCATGCTGGCACAGGTCGACTCCGCACATCGATCAACAGGGCGAAATTCACACTTCCATAATGCCCACTCGCTCAGTCGTAGCGATTTCGTCGACAGTATCATCCGCGACCGGAGCTCCGTGCACCGCAGTGCAGTCACGGCCTCGACGGTCAGCGACGCGACTGTGTTGAAGCGCAGTACAGTGACTGGGTCAATTGTTCACAACGGCCAAGTGTGGAGGTCCACATTGACAGATTGTGATGTTGAAGACTGCGCTATCTCGCGGTCGGATTTCCAGGGGATGATTCTCAAGTATGGTGTTTGGAAGAAGGGGCAGCTTGTCGGTAAGACTGGAGATAAAGAGCCCATCATGATGAGGAAAGACACTCCGGAAGCAGAAGTAAGTGTCGTATTTGACTTGATTTGAATTTTGATATGGCACTGACAACTCTCAGCAACTTGCGACCTTTTCTGCTCCGTCTATCCCTGCAGTCCCCGAGATGGATTCCAAGCCTCGGGTCCATCCCGATGAACAAGTGCCTCGCTATATCGACTCGGATATCAGCATAGATAGCGAGGACTCAGATATTTCTAGAGATTTACCGCCGCCGTATGAGGTGTGATGGGAACTTTTGTGTGCCCGATTGATGAGGGAGCGAGGAAATGGGAGGAAATCGAGCCCATAGCACGAGCCTCATTTCGATATTTTAATATCATCCATGTCCTCCTCCTTGGCCTAAATACGCGTGTGATTGAACCAAAAATGGTTCGCTCTAGGTGTAATGATATTCATGCTAAGTGTTCAGTATGTGCTAAGCGAATGGAGACACGTAAATATTATCGAACAAAAATTATCTCCTCACTATGCGGTACTATTAGAGCCAGCGACAACATATTGCTTCTCCGTCTTGAGTGAGGCGAGAGTAGAATCACTAAGTTTCAAAGTATCCTTCACGATCTGGCGAGGGGTAGAGGCGATCCATTGTCCAAGGGCCATGTCTGGGTGGGAATATCAGTTGCGTGAACATGGAAAGTAAAACTGAGGACAACCTACCAGTGAACTGGCTGGCCTGAAGTACTTCGACAAATATCAGATCCTCCTCACCAGTATTCTCAATGTAGTGGCTGTTAGACTTGGGGAAATATCCTATATCGCCAGCACGGTAATCAAAGGTAGTCGCCGCATTTGGAGCGGTGAACAAAGTTGCACGGCCTTGTCCCTGAATGAAGAAAGTCCACTCATCACTAGTCGGATGCCAGTGAATCTCACGCATACCACCAGGGTGCACGGTGACGATGGCTGCAGAGAAGTTGCTGGCAACCGGGAATGTCAATGGGTCGACAATCTTGACGGACCCACCAGCGACTTCGTGCGCATCTTGCTCAGAGAAATGATACGAGTAGCTCTCGGTGCGGGGATGAATCCAGACGCTGTAGTCACATTCTGTTTCTCGATGTCCTTGGGGGCGGCTGTGCCGGCAAAGATGTAAAGCTCATCATCGGGAATATCGTCGAATGCTGCTACAGTAGTCCCCAGGTCCTTGGCTAGGACTTCTTTGGGGGTGTGGAGGAAGACCTCTGTAGCGAGGAACGTGTTATCTTCGCTGAAATCACCCTGGTCAAAGACCAAAAGGAATTCAACGCCGTCATCCAGAGCTTGAATGGAATGGGGAATACCACTGGTGCGTGTTAGCACTTCTGAAGGCACGCTTGGTTCAAAATGACCTGACTCACGGTGGGAAGAACCAAACGTCTCCAGCTGAAAGGTCATCAATAAAGGTTTCGCCGTTCTCATTCACAGCCTGACGAGATTCGTGAGTACAACATAGACAATTGGCGCAAGTAAATGATGAATATACCTGGATTCTGCATGATCCGTTCAAGACGAGCGACCATTCAGCCGCAACATGCCAATGAAGTTCACGGTACGCAGCAGGCTCAAGCCGCATGTCGACACCAGCCATCTGGGTGGCATCTGGCATCACAACCGTGTTTTCTTGGCGAGCCCAGCCAGCATTGTCGATTCCAAGTCTTGAACAGATTAGATCGTTTCAAAGCAAGGAAACGGATGGGCAGTTTACCTGTTGTGACTCAGACCTATAAGACTGTCATCAGCAAGTGAGCTCTCTTAATAATTTTCTGGAGATTGACCTACCGAGAGGCCACTGTGCATTGATGGTTTGACCATTATCAGTGCCAGGAGGGGCGAGCTTGTCACTATTAATCCGGTCATAGTAATAGTTTCCTACATTGAAGAAATAAGTAGAGTTCTCCCAGCAAATGCTTCCAGGAACATACGAGGACCTGGATCGTCACTACCGGTGGAGCCTCGGATTGGTTGAGGATTCTCGACATTCTCAAAATCGAGGTAAGCACCAAGATCAGGATTTTCTTTCTGTCCTGGCAACAAGCTGTATTTGATGTCAGGCTTCGATCCGGTGGCAACATTTTCCGTTGGCGAGTATCCAACCAAAGCCTCACTTCCTCTCAGTGAAGGATTGCTGCTCCTGCCAGTAGGCACAGCCTCAACAAGAGGAAGAAGAGCGGAGAGCAAGCACAGCTGTTCTAATGATATCTCGAACTTCATTTTGGAAAAGTTGAGTGAGAAGAAAAGGGATAGCGGACTGTTCTGAGCTCAGGATGTATCTAGAGGTTGCGGCCGCGCCTTTTTGTAGTTTTACTTGCCCAGACACTTCAACCAAAAAAAGAAATCCGATTCCTGACATAAAATGTTCCCCTCACCCGCCATGATCCGAAGAGATTGCATTGGCTGGGATGTATTTTTATTCCCCTCACCGAAGGAGCGTGTGGACATAGACCTACATACCCCTGCAACTTGAGAGGTTGTCCCACTCGCCAGATCTACAGCAAGGAAGGCCCGAGCCTGAGGGGACAGAGGGATGCTCACGGAGAACGTGATGGATTGGGCATAGGAAGATTCTACCATGCACTTCTTCCCCACTCAAGGTCAGCAGAAAACTCGGAAGTAAACATAGCCCCTCGACTGCCGGATACAGCCAATTGATGTTGAGAGAGGTGAGCATGAAATGATGCAAAGAACATGATGCACTCACATACCAGGACATAAGACGAGGTTCTCTGCAGTCTCCAGATCCTCCAGATCGATAGGCATCAATACCCCTTGAAATCAAGGAATCTCCAAACCCTCCATGATTATTCTCAACGGTTTAAGACAAGCCGACCCTACATAGAAGCAAGGAATCGGGTAGACGGTTAAGGCGAAACTTGATTTCAGTAGTACATCTCATTCAACCAATGATATGAACGGTATGATAGGTGTGGGGTCACCTCATTATTTTAGGTGAGCTAAGCTCCACCAGGCACCGTAGAAGGTCCACATGAACGACCGTAACCGAGAAAGGAATTACATGCGACACCGAAATATCATATTGTTTTTTTTAACTAAAGCCAATGAGACCTCAATGACAGATCATCGAGATCATAAACAGAAGTCAAAGATCCAAGATCCCATGCATGGCTATAAATAGTGTACATATGTGACGAGAACTGCAGCGTCAAAGTCAAGCTTTCACAGCCAAGCTCAACTGGATCCTCCCACAGAAACAAAACATTGACTACAGCAACGTCTCAGGTATGCGATTGGGACGGTGTAAATCCAAGATGGGACCCATGAAAAGGACAATTCGACTCCACACCCGTCATCTGCTTCTCCCCGCGCGAGGGGAGGCTCGGACATAAGCCAGCCTTGCAAAGGGAAATTGCGGAGACTATCACCAGCTATCGGAGATAAACTCACAAGGCTTGGTCCGATGTATAATGTATACAAATTTGATTTGGTATTGGAGAACGAACTGGCCCAGGTCTTCGAGTAAGTGGTTGCGGGTGGGGGGCCTCTGCTAGAGCTCGCTTCCAAGCACATGAAGCTAACATGGATATCGAATAAGCAGGCGATATTGAATGGCAAATTGCAAGGAGAGGGGTTGGTTACACCTATTTCACACACATGATATTTATAGAAGAAGCGCTACCGACACTCCCGCGACCCCGCGCATTAGATCGGCATTGGGCGTGAACGTTGAAATGCAGCGTTACTGAATAGCTTAGCATGTATGAAGCTTTGTTGTAAAAGCCTGTGCCTCCGAAGTGAATGAGGGGTACGGAATGAATTTGATCACAATTACATAGGATCCTGAAACTTGGGATCATCGTGGATCCATTTTTAGGAACCTTGGAAGCGGCAAGCTTGAAATTGGTCCCACTATGAATCGCTTAGCGAATGTTCTAAACAGACTACGACGGAATAGGGTCGTTGTTTTTCTCTTCTGGGTTTATAGAGAGGCGATCATATTGTCTGGACATGCAATTCTCACCAAGATGATGACATCTCGTGGTGATCGCCAAATTGTCAACTTGAAAGAATTCGGCAATCAGCGACAGCTGCCGCTGACAACCAGAGCGATTTCTCGACCACTTGATTTTATTTTTGGGAGAATATTTAGGTCTGAGTGGGCCGGGTGATGGTCGCAGAGTCATTGCATGCGCCCAAGGTATCCAGGTTTTTGAGTGCCTCGCAGGCTTTGTAAGAACAGCGTCGGCGAACCATTGCTCATCACATCTACACAAACGAAGGTCTCCATGGCCCTTTCGAATATCATTGTCTGCGGCGAAAGGCAGACACAGTCAGCCGAGACGCATCCTCTATAAAAAGAAACAGTACGTCTCAATGATAGCTGGCTTGTCAACGTATTACGTTGTTTTAGTTAAGGTACAGTCGGGTCAATTTCCTCATCGCGCCACTGTTGCATCGCCTTCATAAGATTTCTAAGATTGTGCTGTCTAATATTGACAAATCAGCGCGACAAGTTGCGGGCGGTGCAGCCGTGGACAATCGTAATATGTTCCATACTCAAGAAGTCGGACGGGTTCCTCCGTCGAGAATTAGCTTGGGAAGGGCAGTTGAACCGCTCGTACAATGCGCGCATGATATCAACATCTAACCTGATGAGACAGCAAAAGTAAGTAGATTCTCTCGAAGCAGTGAAATTGAAGACTCCAAAGCCCATGCACATCCGGGTATGGAGGCAAGACATGAAACATAGACTATGAATGCTTTTAGTGCTCTTAGTGTCATGGCTCGATGGAGGAACTATCTATCCATAGCCGCAAAGAATATCGCAATTACCCGTTACAGAAAATGACAGTAAATTAGCACCGAAAGTCCAAATGCCTCATTAGTCATGAGGCCCTTCAAAGTAATACCTCAGGGGCTGATCGTGCCGCAAATAGTCCCCACGAATGCCTGCGGGCCACGCACCCCTTCGCCCTTCGACTCGGCTGTAAGGTTTTTACAATCCCCCTTACCGATGGATTATTCAGGTTATCTCTCAATGCCATAAGAGCCTATTTAGTCCATGAACTTTTTTGAAATCCCACGGTCGCAATTAAAGTCCACAAAGATAATAATGGCCGAGCTAGATCGCAGAGTGCGGGGTCGCCAAGACCTTAGCGCAGCCATAGATAGAATCATGAAATCATCTCCTTGACCGTACTCCCGGGGATGTGACGACGCCCTGAGTCAGAAAAGGATCATGATAGGCTATTAGGGCATAGTCTAGCCCAAGAAAGTGGACCGGGGTTAGACCCGATTCCTTTTGGGGACGGGGGCTGGCTGGCCTAGTGGCCGAGACACTCCCAGTGCGAGGTCATTTCAGACACCTCGGGTTGGTACTTTCTAGCTAAGCGAGCTGAGTTTAATTTGGGCTGTTTGATTTTCAGTATATTAGGCATCGAAGAGATAGGGCGCTTTGTACTTCCTTGTTGAAGACTCGCTTGCCTACCTAGATTCTATAGATAGGAGAGTAGGCCTGCGTTGGGCAATGTCCCGGGGCCCTGGGCACGCGAGCACACTTTCAACACATGATTGAAGGACATCATGTTACTTGGTCATAATCAGCACAGTGTGCATTGAAAAAAAGACGCTATGAGGAGCTACGAATGTGATGAAGGTTAAGCAGAACGACAGAATTTCCTTGTGATGGGACTGTTCTGAAAAAGAAGGAATTTATTGCGGTAATAGTAACATAATGGGAGCGAGGGTAATAGTAGCCCTGGAGCTCCAAAACAAAACTGTCTTGCCAGTCTATGGCAACAGAAGAAAAATCTTAGATAAAAGAAAGGGCCCTGCCTAAGCAATCATCCTCCGATGTAGTCCATAACCAGTACGGGTTGATATAGTGTGTGAGCGTCGAGAGTGTAAGAGGGGGTTGGTCAATATGAGGCCAATAGTGGTATGCTTTATAAATCAAGAGTGATAGCATATGTCGAGGTAGAATCACTTCATGTCGCTTATCTGACGTGTTTCAGATAACGCATGGTGAGGTAGACGGCTGCCAGGCTCGTGTAAGCACCACCAGCAGCGGTCACCCAAACGGGCTTGTGGATGCTGAATGAAGTTCGAAGGGGCAGGCCTTCCTTCTTTGGCTTCTCACCTGGAATGATATTAGCCTTCGATCTACTGATGATTTCCTTGATGTGGGGAGGATGGAAAGTGATGGATGGTGGACATACCCTGCTGGAAGAGTCGTTGACGAAGGTTGTTCAGACCTTGCCTCGAGCGAACGGGGAGCTGCTGGAGTTGAGCGAGAATAGGGCCGACAGGTGCTGACATCTTGTGTGATTATTTGTTGTTGTGGATGTGTTTCTGATGGAAAATGATGGGGTTGTGGTGATCTTGATCGACTGAGGGTGGAGTGGAGAGTTGTGTGAAGAAGAAACCAGAGGATGTGCCCCTAAATGCTTTATAGGAGAAGGTCATCTGACAGCTCATTGCGGGGTTGACAGTGGCAAAAGAGTCATAGGTGACATCCGGGGCATCCCTGCGCCATGGCAATCGTAGAGTTTCAGCGGTGTCTGGACTGAACGAAGATCGGGAGACTGTACGAGGGGACCGCAGGGTCTACCAGATGCTGGAAGTACTACGCCCAGCCATCAACATCCTATAGTCAGTCTTATTATCTTCATACAGGAATCATAGCCTGGAGGCGTACGTGAAGAAATGGGCTGATGGTCGCAATAATGATCAGGAAGGCCCAGCATAGCCTTCGATGGCCCTGGTAACCCTCACCTCCGCATACCTGGCGTCAACCTCTGAACAACGATTGGCTGGACACGCCGCCGTGCCACTAGATACCTGAATTATGTGTGAATCATGACACTGACACAAAACACGTTACGGAATGGAGTGGTTGTGATAATAGGTCGCTTCCCCTGAAATCATGCCATCGAGGACAAGCATAATTTTGGAGTTAAACCTCGACAGGATACCGCTCTAAAATATACTCTATTGAATAGCTAGGAAGCCCATGACTTTACATGCGACCTGAAAGCGTTCTCGAGAAGATAAGGGGTTAGAGCAGAGGAGTGGGGTACGGGAGGGTCCCACTTCGCATTTTGGAAATCTGGGGACGGCTGCGTTTTTTGTGGGGTTCGGATCCACCCGGCAAGCTACTAGCCTTACGGTTGCCGCAGAACTCGATATGAACTGACAGGACGGCGCTTTCGATGTTAGATTATGAATCAACCGAAAGGGCTTCAATATGAAAGTAACTGCAGAGGGTTCATTTCCAGCGGTAGACTGCACGGTCGGCTAGCCTCTTGGGAAACGCTTTCATAACCCCTTATAAACGTCCTCAACAAAAATGTAGAGAGTGTCCAAAGACGCAGACAATTCCTCTCAGTATCTTCAGGAAGGTCTCTAGTGGCACCTAAAGGGGCTTTTCTTTGCGCACGATATCCTGAAATATTCCCTTCTAGCATCTCTTGAGATGTCTTACACAACATGCTTCCGAGCATCTCCATGAAGCTCTATTGAGACCTACTCCAACTCTCCTTCACAGGTGCCAAGCTGAAAATATCAATATAAACTTCAGAGTGAGGCTTTCGCATGTCCAGTTTGCCCACAAGGCCTACACCCAGTGCCAGGGAAGGGTCAGCGATCACCAGATGTGCGTTCTCACCAGTGGAGTACGGCAGAATTATGACTACTGATTCTCACGCTTTACCGCTGGTACCTAACTCCGTAACAGGACCATAGAGAGACTGATTCATTCATTTAATTCATTCATCGTCAAGCAACCAATGCCGGGCATCATCTACACATCCGCATGCTAGACCACGGGGCCAAGCATTGTCACCGCATCTTCGTGTGTGCCCCGACTACCTTAGCACAACCTCATATAGCCGGTGACAGCACTCAGCACTGCATTCCCTTGGTCAGTTCAGGCTCTTGGATTAAGCCTCCGTCAACCACGGGGGTGCTAAGATACAGCGAAGGGCACAGTGTCGGAATTGAATCCGGTAGCGGAATGTGGGCAAACTTGCCAACACATTGACAACCCACGAATGATTCTCATTGGGGCCATATTGTTCGAGATCAATGGGACCATGAGTCAACGAGGTCCGATACGAGGCGGGATTTCTCATATCCAGGTCGACACCATGGCGGCTCCTCGGGCCTGAGAACACATCCTCCGGGTTGACGAGCCTGGGAAAACCTCGCTGATATTCCTTCATCCACAGCAGCCACAACTCGCGTGTCATGGCATCTCTCCTCCATGCCAGGACTTGCGACTCCCATTTCCCAACGTTTGCTCGCAGACCTTCGAAGAAAGCAACGGTACTCCGGCCCTGTTCGCGGAACGTAGCTCTAGTTAACCAGAAGAACTCCATGAGAAGATTAATATTCCAGGGATCTACAAGCTGAATAGGCTCGTCTCCAACAAGTCCGAAAAGACCAGAGACCCTTGCTTCTTCCTCGGTGGCATGGATGACTACAATCCTCAAGACAAAAATCGGGTCAACCCAGGGAATTGCGGGAGCATTGGCCAAGACATGGTGGTAAAAGTGCCGCAAACATCTTGGCCAGGGGTTCCACATGGAAGCGTACACGGCACGATCAGCGGCGAGGTACCCGTATAGTGCTATACGGGACTGAAGTGCAAACCAGGCTGACCTCCTCTCCCAGTAAGGACTGTGATAGAGAATAACGGTGTCACGCGCCGCATTGAACCATAGAAGCTCCCGGTCTGGCTTGATCAGTGGGTGACTGTTGGAGGACCAGATCAAAGAGACCGGCATCGGACCGGCGTTCGAAGCGTGGGGAGGAGGAAATTGAAGGGTGAGGTCCTTCGCTCGCTGCTTATCAGAATAGCGGTTGCAGTACTTCAAAGCAACATCGTGAGCCTCCCAGCATACCCGACTAATCAATGGGGCCTTGTTGTTGACTATTGATGTCCATGCAAAGGTGCAGTCACCAGGACGCACCGCGAACTCTGGGATGTTGAGTTCAACTACCCGGCTCGGAAGTGTCATGGCCCAGATCATCCGGCGGATCTCATTCGGTAATCTGAGAAACTGGGGAAATTGAAAAATATCCTTTCCTTGTGGCTGAAATGTTGTCAGCTATGCAAATAGCTTATGAATATAGTGGATTCACCGGTAGGAAAGACCCATCAACCGGTACAGGACACCGATGGGCCCGAATCGGCACCGGACGTGCTGCTCGAGAGCGCGGAAGAAGGTAAAATAGAATTCGCAGCGGCTAACTCAAGAGAAAGTCAGTGAGGTTGCTGAGTGGTTGTTATTTGGCTTCGCATGGGTGCTCACCTCTGCAACGCAACGGAAGTTGGCCATAGCTACGAACACGGACAAAAAAAAGGACAGCGGCTGGATGCCTATCTCAGCACGCTATTTTGAGAATAGGTCAGTGTGGTGCTTACCGACGACGTGCAAGACAAGTTCCACAAAGCTACCCAGATGGCCACAAAAATTTGCAACATCTATATGTTCCAGGTCAGTAAAGAAATTTCCACAAAAGAGCTATTTACTCGCGGTTGCAAAGGTTCCGAGCCCAAGGAAGACCGAGAACAAAGTCCAAGGAACTCCCAATAACTGCATTTTCCATGTTAGCTACGCAAAATCGAGACCACGCATGATCAAGTCCAGTATGAGATTCAAACTCACGGTTGGAGCAAAGCAGAACTCGACGAAGGCGCACCCCGTGAGTATGACAAGGCGCAACAGCTGAAGAACTCGTAAACCATTAAAGACAATCAGCGGCCAGCCCTAGAGAAAACTTACGTTCGCAAGCTCTGCGACATTAACGGCCATGGCCTCGGTCAGAACAGGTATGTCACTGAGCAACAAAGTCAGCTTTGCACACCCTCAATGAGAACGCTCAACATTCCATGGGAGGGTTGATTTACTGACACTGTCAGTAGAAACTGGATGTCACCGCCGATTTTCCGCAGAACACGACACCATGACCGTCGGCGCAGGCCTGGCCACGAGAACCGACTGTAAAACATGACCAGAAAGCGGTTCCGACGTCAAGAGTGACGCTCAACCGCGAGGGAACGCAGTGACCGTGTATCAGAGGCGAGTGTCTGAGGCAAATGAGGCAAAGCCGACCCAGTGACAGAGGCACAATCAGAGGAACAGGCAACGCTGTGTATCCTGATCGATAAAAGCCGGTGCGACTCCTACGGAAGAAGATCTCACCGGAAGCCTTCAAAGAGGTCCCAGAAGAGTGACCTCAGGCGGAAAGGAAGAAGAGACAGAGGATATGAATCAAACAGAAAGACGTGCGAGGGAGCGAGGAGGAAAGGGTAAAGTGACGTTGAAGAATTTGATCCAGGTTTGATATTGGCATCTCGGTGCGTACCACTACTGTTTATTGTCGACGTGAAGTAGCCCGGTCAATCACTGATATCTGTCAAAAATTCACCTCTTCATTTTCGCTTTCATTTCGCTTCTATTGGGCTTCTAGTGTTTGGAATTATCAATGATCTATCCATGTATCGATCGGCACGAAAATGGAAACATCACATTGATCTACTGTGCCGATATCTCCGAGTAACTCCGATAACATGGGATGAACCATCTGCTAAGGTCCAGCAATCATCTCGAAGCGGACCTGGATTTATGCACTATTCGGGTCAAAATGCAGCACATATCAGACTCTGAAGACGTGGCTTGGCATGAAGGTCCACAGGTTGCTAGTAAACTCCGTTCCGAGGTCCTGGAAAAAAAATGTGTGCTTTTCAAGCAATGTTCACCATTACAACTAAGGGTCAGGCGGAAACAACCGTTCATAAGGGCGTTATGCTCAACCGCCTCATTTGAAATAGCGTAGCGCATTTCAAGCCAGAGGTCATGTTCAGCACAGTTTCAAAGGTTCAGAGTATCTTTTATGGTTTAAGAGAACGAATGATACTGTCTGTCGTGAGCTTGACACCATGATAGACGTGACCATCTGAAGCCACCGCCAGATATTCGAAGTGTGAGATGGTATGCTTCATCTGGCCTCTTTTCAACACTGTTAGGCGCGCAAACACTATTTGCAAAGACAACCACCAGGTAGAGTCTTGATCTCGTCACGAAATCATATCCTGTCTGGGCAATCAGAGAGCTTGGAAGTTCACGAAAGAACATCAACCTTACCAATAGAGAATCTGTTAGTGTCTTGGATTGGATGGAGTTGTTGACCACATCACAGTAGGCCCCACTGGATGTATGGCTTGGGTGTATTAACCAATGTATTGCGAACAATGTTTGTGATTTGGCTGGGACCCGACTTTCAATATTTACATCTGCACCTGAAAACACCTCTATTGAATATCTAGCAAGCTAGGGTTGATACCCCGCGGAGTTCTACATATGTTGCGCGCATCCTCGGGCATGGTATTGAAAAGAACTTGGCGAACCTCTTTGCCCACCTGTTCGATCGAATCCATAGCCCAGAGCACATCCAAGTGCTCATACTCATCTATGATCTTCGAATGCACAACCCTGACATCCGGTTCACGACCACTATCGAACCGGTGCAAGAGCTTCCGCCCATCAACCAGCGCGTCGGAGCCACCGATCCAGAGAGCGAATGGGGGTGTCTGGGGACCAAACCAAGCCTTATCCTCACTGGAGCCTAAGCATGCATCACTTGGATCATCGCCCTGTTCAATGCTCGGGTCATTATGAGACCGATGATCCTCGTTGGCTTCGCGTGTGGTGTCGTCGATCGTGGAAAGTATACACTTGTGTTTGGCAAAGCTCTCGCTGCCAAGCCACCAACGCATAGTCTCAGCACTGACATAGACAGGAGCGAATTGGAACATGCGATGTCGAAGGTCACGTTCCCAACGCGCGTCGGACCAGCCGAAAAGGAACGAGAACACCCATACGCGAGAGTGCCGTATACCTTCGGGTGCATCACGCGTTGGACAGTGCACATGAAGGGAATAAAGGAATGGATACCGAAGACGAGGCGAAACATCCCAGGGGACAAAGACTGCATGAAGCGGAAATACGGCCTGCTCACTAGTGGACCGGCATACGCTGCTGGGGCGAGGGCGCAAAAGACAGAGATGTGTTCTCCTAGCTCGGGTCGATGTTCCTTTGCGAGGGCAACAAATGTTTGCGTTGTCCCTTGCGAGTGACAAACGAGGCCCAATTTGTCAAATCCTGTTTCGAATAGGACGCGGGACGTCAGAGCAGCCAGGTCGAGAGTTCCAAGATGTCGGATATCCCAGGACCACATACGTGGATCAGAAGGTGATAGACTGGTGTGCTCAGGGTTCATTCCACAACGGTTGTTGCCAAGCCAGACATCATATCCAGATTTGCAGAGAAAGAAAGCAAGGCTATCGTCATCGTTGGTACAATAGGCGCCAGCACTTTGCAGCAATCCATGTATCAGAAGAACGGGATATCGACGATCTGACCGAGATGAGGTGCTTCTTGTCTTCTGATCAAAGGCAACAGGTCCGCGCTCACGCCTTTCCTCTGCCGACAAGGCCGTATATTCCAACGGGTTGTAAACATGCCACAGGGTGATGATGAACCCGTCTTCGGTCTGCACACGAAATTCCTCGACATCAAGCCCTACCCGTCGGGCGTAGTAGGCGACATCACAAACAATTCGATCCCTTCCTCCCTCCAGTGGGGGACACTCGTCCAGTCCTTGTTCTTCATCCACGTACTTCTTTTGCTCTCTCATATGCCATTTGATATCCGAATTAGCTCTCGCCAATCTGCGCGTCTGTTCCTCCGCAAAGAATATACGCTTCGAAGCCAGATCCTTGCCTTTGAACCGCGAAACAGTGTCCGAGATTCCGGTGCCGACTGTGCACAATAATGCCCCGACACAAATGACAGATAGGAAGGCGAGCGATAGAAAGAACGAAACGATTTGTATCGCATAGTATCGAATACTTCGAGCGAATGTCGGTGGACCATAGGAAGGTAACGGTGGAAATAGAGGGTGTTCGCTGGACTCAACGGGGAGAACGAGTTCGCATGAAGGGCAGTGCTTTTCAGCTGCGGACACTCCGTCACTTGCAGCAGCCTTGCCTTTGATCCCGCAGGTGCATATCCCCTTGTGCCCATGTTGCAGGGTAGAGGACATATCGGAGTTTGTCGAGCGCATATGCGTTTGCGAGTCGGTTGTTCCTGTGGGCGCAAGTGCGGAGAGGGGTTGTAAAGGTATGGTGACCGGCATGGTCATGAGACTAGGTAAGTGGCATTGAGCCACTGAAGTGCATCTTGAAGCCCGAGCGGAGGGCTTGGAGGGGCGTATGAGTGCAGAGGAATGTACCACGCGATAGAGAACAAGGCACCCCCCGCGGAGGCCGAGACTCCCGTTTGGGTCAGGGACAATCACCTGCTGAGTCAGGCTCTACATCGGGTAATGCTCTACGCCTGAGGCATGAAATGAACGAAAATAGAAACAGGTCATTACATATTTGCAGTGGCTGGTAATTGGATCCAAGCTTGGGAAGTAAAACAAAGATCACCATGAGCCATGATATCAGAACTCGAAAATTCTCTATTAGGGATCAATATGGGCGAAATGCCTGAGCATAAAGAGGGCCATTCCAGGTTGTCTACACACGTGTGCAGGTGCCAATTATTTGCTGATACCCGCTTCAAAATCGCGCAGGAATGCCCATAATGTTTGGCTTCTCCAATTCTTCTCTTTCCATTTGTTCGCTGGCAGAGGGAAGAGATCGACAATTCCATGTAATATGGGATCGTGCGCGTATATGAACCAGACATTATCTTGCTTATCCGCGTCCTGTGCTTTTTTGATCGTTCTTATCGCTTCAGGTATATCGAGACCGACCGAGGGGTCAAAGAACGGCTCATCTGGAGACCTACGTTGCTCTCTCTGCAAATCTTCAAAAAGAGCGCCAGGGCAGGGTAAAGCAGCCTGGGGTGAAGCTAGAACTACCTCCTTAGGAATGCGAAGATGCTTCGATGGTCTGATCTCCCCGCTGTGGTGACACAGGTCGCCGCCCATGAAAATGAAAGTGTCCGGACTGCTGGTAGTTCGTGCAAGGCCAGCTAGATGCCCCACTGCATGGCCAGGAGTATCGAGAATATAAAACGAACCGTCACCAAAGAAGTCAAATCCACGAAAGCGGCCGATCTGAATGGGATTCTTCTCAAAGTCTATCTCTTGCAACGACCTCCCACTGTATAGCTATAGTCAGTATCCATAGCATGCTCAGTAGATGCCTTCTTACTGACGTGACATCGAGCTGTCGAATGGGGGAGTTCTGGTTTGCTGGGAACGCGGGTAAGAATGCATCTTTGAAACCTGGCCCAACCACTAGCTCTGTGGTAGAAGGGTATCTGGAGGGCTCTCCGATGTGATCCCAGTGCCAGTGACTACTGAACATTAGTCTCAAGTTATGATGCAATGTCATTGAAGAGAGAGCCCACACCTCCAGATGATGCTGGATATTTCCTCTGGGCGTACCCCGTTCCGGGACAGGATATCAATGACCTCTTCTTCCACTCTGATATTCCATCCGAGGCTGTCAATATGTCCAATAGAGGCAGGAGGAAACGACTTCCATGATTTCGGGACTCCCAGGTCAAATAACGCCTTTTTACCTGAAGGATGCTCAATTAAGAACGACCATGATGGCATGGTCGGCATGTATTTGAACCCTCGATAAGGTGGCTCCATCAAGAATCTCAACTCCAAATTGTCAATTCTCGCGGTCGAATCGATGATTCGAACTTGTACTGACTGATCCCCGGCGGGCACAGCGAAGTCTTCGTCGGAAAGCATTAGTGTAGGGTTTGAGTATATAGTGTGTATATAGTAAGGCGGATTTCGAGCTGTATCTAGGTAGAGGCTATAGATGAGACATGAATTGAGGATGGCTGCTACTGTCTTTCGTCGTCCCCGCACCTCGGCCCGGTGTCTAGCCCAAAAAGGGAGATGATGGCTTGTCATCTGCAAGGCGGGTCCCAAGCACCCATCATTAAAGCTAACCGTAGATAAGGGTATCAGTTAAGCCCAACTATTAGCAGGCTCTCAGTATTTGCAGCGAATAATCATGCTAAATCTTTGATTTATACCGCCATGTAAATCAACCCGATCTTTTGACGAGCTGGAATCTAGATCAAGCTGGATGGAAACCTAATGTGACAAAAACGAATGGTTTCTGGTGCATGTACAAATTTTTGATGGCCGAAGCATTCCCAATTTTCAACCTGAGTAGCCCAGAGAGTTTCGTCTGTCTGGGTCAGCTATGGGCTACTTAATGGGCGACCGGGTCCCCAAGCCTTAACCATGAGGCTAGACCTCAAGCGGAGTAGCGGGATCCGACCGGACCCTTATGCAATCTCACCTCAGCTCTGCCTCGACTTCTTTCCACGATGATATATTAACTGGCGAGCTGCTGAACCATAAATCAGAAATAAAGCAAAGATTTGTAATTCTCAGACAATGCCATCGCCTTCACAGTACATCTTCGGCCTTCAAGCCGCCCCCTTGCTAGCCAGTGGCGTCTTCACTTTGATATGGCCGGCGACTGCAGCAAGTCTGCCAGATTCAGCCTTGGCAGGTCTTAGCAATGGCACAATTCAGGCAATCAGGTATGTCCCTTGACAATCTTCACTTGGATGGTATGCGAGGAACTCACACTTTGACAAGTATGACATCCGTATCATTGGGGACTTTCTACGCCATCGCAGCTTATCAAAACAACATCCCTATGATGATAGCTGCAGTTCCTGGACGCCTCATGGCGACCTTTGTCTTCTATAACAGTGGTGGTGGATGGGCAAAGGTAGCGCCTTTTGAGGCTGTTATGGGGCTTTTTACTGCTGTTGGGCTATACTGGGATTGGACTTTGAAACGCTCTAAGACTAAGAAAGAGTGAGCCTGGCACATCAAAGCCTCTCGTGTCATCTTCAAAGTGGTATATTGGAGACTGCATATCGCTTGTGTTCGTCGGGAGGAGAAACCTATCAATATTCGTTTTTCACGTCGGCGCTCGATAAGGGCAGTAATCTAATTGCCAATTTCCCAAAAGGCTTCCAGCGAAGATGTCATCCGCGTTACTCTTCTGAGTGATGATGAGAATAAGATGATCCAAACCGCCTGCTGGGAAACGCAGGGTATTACCAGGTAGTACCTGTGATCTAAAGGATAACTTCCTTGGCTAGAATCGTTTGCAAATTAAAGAGATGCAACATTGGTACTTGCCAACGGACACTTCTCCGGGCAAGTTAGCTTCTTGGCTGTCTGTTTCTTTGAACGAAAGGACGCAAAACGCTTTTATAGCCAGGTAATCACGTCAATTGCTGTGAAGGCTGTGGAAAGATGAGAAATAATTAATCCAAGATGAGTCCGTAAAGAGCTGCAATCTATCATATTAGGCATTGAACTCCGCTTTTTTCTCTTTCTTTCCTTCTTCCTTTCTCTGCTTTTAATTGCGCTTTCTACATTTTTTCTCTTGAAAATCAATGTATACGTATAAAGAATGAGAATAGTAATCCATTAATCTTGGTATGCACGCATATCTGTCCTAAGTCTCCAATCATCAAGCTATGTAAGAAATCAAATATGTGTTCAGCATTCCCTTTTAAAACCAAATTCAAAACCGAAACTCCATATGCATGCACAGTCCACCCTCAAACTTCCATCTTAGTGGCAATGCTCTCATGATGAGTAGCATGCTCTCCGCTCCTCTTCTCATTGGCGTCGCTTTCCAACTGAGCCAGCGTGCCATTCTTAACATCACCCGCAATATCCCTCACATCCGTATAATGCACACTCGGCACAAAGCCAACAGACTTCCAAGCGACAGAAACCTTGGCGTAGAGTTCATCCACCTGCTCAAGCGACAATCCCTTGGTCTCGTAAATACAAGTATACACGAAGACGGCGCAAATGAAGCAGAATCCGCCCCAGATAAAGAAGACCTTAGACTGGAGGTTTGCGTTTCCGGGTCCACTGTTCACCATGTAGGGAGTAGCGTAGGCGATAGCCCAATTAAGCAACCAGTTGGTAGCAGTAGTGATAGAAAGACACTTGGCGCGAGCCTTGAGGGGGAAGAGTTCACCAGTAACTACCCAGGCGACCGGGCCCCAGGAGCAAGCGAAGAAGAAGATATAGACGCAGACGAAGGCGATGAGGACTTTGTTAGCGACTGTTGAGCTTGCGGCTGTGCCGACAATAGCAACGATGAGCTGCGAGACGCACATGCCGACTGCACCGAAGAGGAGGAGGGGACGACGACCCCATTTCTCAACCATGTAGAGGCCTGGGAAGGTAGACACCACGTTGATGATGTTAGTGATCAGAGTAATCACGAAGGAGTTCTGGATGCCGGAGTTTTGGAAGAATGTGGTGCCATAGTAGACTTGGTTCATTAGTATATTGGTTTAAGGGATTTGGAGGGAGCGGAATCGGGACATACAGATGAAGTTGACACCGGCGAGCTGCTGGAGAGCCTGGATCGCACAGCCGGTAGCAAGACGCTTTCCAATAGATCCCCTGAAGATCTCGATGTAGGATGCATTACCGAGACGCATTTCGAATTCGTGGTTGGCTTGGATCTCAGACAGTTCGGCGACAATAGCGGGGTCATTAACGTCCATACGGCGAAGACGAGCGAGAGACTTGAGAGCTTCCTCGTGCCTATCCCGCTTGATCAGGAAGCGAGGAGTCTCCGGGAGCATAATCATACCCGTAACCAGGATGATTGCCCAAGCGAACTGAATCGCGACAGGGATACGGTAGCAGCCAGTATCCATGCGGTCCTTGGTAGCATTGTTGACAATGGCAGCTAAGAGAAGACCGAATGTGATGGCCAGCTGGTAAGCACCGACAATAGTACCACGGATCCATTTAGGTGCAGTCTCAGACTGGTAAAGGGGGATAGTGGCTGAGAGAAGACCAACACCAAGACCAGCGAAGAAGCGGCCGGCAACGAAGAGAGGAATTGATGTGGACGCCACTTGCAGAATGACACCGAAGACAAAGACGAAGCTTTCCATGATCATACCGAGACGACGGCCGAATCTGTCTGCGATGGGGGCGGCACCGAGGGCACCGAAGAAGGTTCCGGCGGAGAGCAGGGAGACGATCATGGAAGATTGGGAGGATGTGACATCGGGGAAGTGATCTGTGGGGTTGATGTAGCCTGTGGAGAAAAGGCTTCGCCAGTACTTCATGGCGAGAATACCGCTGATGGTACCGGTGTCGTATCTGCAGATGTTAACATGGATCGCTGAGGACGAAGAATGGTAGAGTATGGAACATACCCAAAGAGGACACCACCAAAGGCAACGAACAAGCCGATCACAATTGCCGGCACGGCCGAGCCAGTGGCATCGGCCGGTTTCTTAATAGCAAAGCCCATGGTCAAGTAGCTGAGTATAGAAAGATAGGTGAAAGAGAAGAGAAGAATAAAGTGAACAGGAATGGCCAGTCACGACCAAAAGTATTGTCGACTGCACAGCAGACCCAAAGAAGCGAATATAGAGACGATCAGAACACAGGAAACAAACCACAGACAGCGGGAATCAGACACCTTTTGTAGTCGCCGCAACAGACCAAGATAAACACCCCGCAGTCCGAAACCAGCAAAGACCCCCAACCCTCAAACCCCATGTGCACGAGCCGAACAACATGGGGAGGCGGAGAAAAAGACAGTGGAGCCAATGCGGCCTCGCCGAGTGGACCCAGCTGCGGGCAACAGACGAGAGCTAGAATTGATGCTTGACCCGAACCGTGGACGCCACGATTATTTCCAGAAGGGGGCTTGTGGATCAGAGACCTGGATCGGCGAGGGCCAGGACCATTGCAGACTGCTTTCGGGTTCTAGATTGGAAGACTATCCCGTTCAGACAGATAGCGTCAGGTTGATAAGATCATGTGGTCGTCGTGTGGCTGTGCTGCAAACAGCTAAAATCAGAAATGTGTTGATGGTTCGAAGTGGCCGCATCAGGGAAGACACAAATTGGGCACATTCCTCGACACCACAAAACAACAGTTATTATTAGACGGTGGCAACCGTGATCTCAATTTTATTTCAATTTGTAAAAGTTAGAGGTACGAGGTGATCTAGATTCAGCATGACTCCATAGAAACGCCTGGGGCCAGAAATCTCTCGTATTTGGAACCAGGGTGCATACCTCAACCCTCGTCTCCAGGTTTCACCAACCCCAGACTCATCAATGCTTACCCCCGCATCTAAAGTCTGTAAACCAATCGACTGCGCCAGAGTTGGTCGATCACCAGAGAGATTCTGGAAAAGGTTTTGAGGTGACGTTGAGACACGGGATGAACAGCTCACCGGCGGTCTCAAGGGGGAATCCCCCGAGACCAGATGGGGATTTTTAACATGTGGCGCCGGGCGTTGGAGGCTTCGGGTCCAAAACCTTGTCTAGATTTATGCTTGGATCGGGATGATCAGCAAGGAGTCGGTTTCTTACCCCGGTACTGTGTTGGTGTCGACAATCTCCTTCATCGTGTTTCGCTTGTTTCGCTCGAAGTTACACCGACTATAGCTAGGCGACGAATAAATATATATATATTTACAAACACCCCTATTCACGATCATCGTGTAGTTGCGAGTATCTCGGGACCCGGTGCTAGGAACAGGAAGAGCAAGGAACAGCACCGGGCCGTGTCCAGACTTGGCTGAAGCCTAAATGTGTTTTGAGGGATTTTCCCGTGGCCTCGATTGGACGGGTGACCCGATACCTCTCCGAGATTTGCCCGGCTCGGTGAAGCACCGGACCCTATAGACTCGCCGAGAAGAACAATGCAGGTTTTTCGAATTTTCACGGGCCCCCAGGTGGCTGTCCTTTTTTGAGACCAAAGGCTATCCCCACAGAATCGAACAGAATATGATTTTGCGGGGAATCTTGGTCACGGGCTTCCCAGGTCACATGAAGGGTCAGAAAAAACAAGGGAATGATGGTCTATATTTCCATGGATTTCTATACACTATACTTGTTTTGGCTACCAGCGCCAGATCAAAAGGAAGTACACAGACAGAACGACCCCCGCGACAACGCGAATCGACCGGACCAAATCCCGGCCGATGAATAGGGCATGTTGTCGGACGCCGGCCGGACGGGCGGGCCGGTACAAGTTCTTGTCTTTCAGGCCCGGCGACCCGTGATCATCGCGATCTGAGACCCCGATAAGTATCGTGGTGAGACTTGGCGCTGGGGTAGCGGGGCGCATTAAGGCCACCGCGGCTGGCGAGGCCGCCTAAAGAAGGGAGGGTTGAGCTGGACGTACCGGAGGCCTGGTACTGATGCCGGGGGGAGTGGGAGCGGCGTTCGGTGAGGGGGAGATAGGAGCCACTTGAAGGGGTCTCGGGGCGAAGACGACGTGGTAGGTTGAGCTCATGAGGAGGACGAGCATGCTGAGGCCGAGTATCACGGCGTAGTGAATAAAGATGCCTAGCTGATCGGGCAGCAGGCAAAGGTGATTTTGAACGGTAGGTTGAGATCCTTTTTGTATGGACTCGCCTGTCTGTGGATCGATGGGGTTCCAAAGACTGGTGAGGACGAAGCCTGGATGGCGGACTCCCATGGCCCATGAGATACTTTTGACGGTGATCTCCTTAGGAGAGCCGTTGAACTCGCGGTGCGAGATTTCACAGTAATCATGGTCATCACCAGAGTATATTTGTACAACATTCGGGCCTGCCTTGTTGATCAACTCCGTTGAGATGGTCGGAGTCAACACATTCTGATACTGATAACCGCCAGTGATACTCAGCGAGTTCGGCTCGTCTTCTTCGAGGTCTGGCGCAGCAGGTGGTGACCGTTCTCGAAGCGGTCCGCACGGAGTCGCAGGCTTGCGGAACAGAGGCACATGCGTCAGAAGAATAGTAGGAAACCCGACGCTCTCGGGCTTGGGATTCTCTTTGATAACATCCTCCAATGCATCCACAACGCGATGCTCGAACTTGGTTTTCTCCGACTGATTTCGCAGCGCCAACAATTCCTCGTTCTCGGCTTTCGCTTTGTACAAGGACGCCTGATTCAGGAAATCATCCGCGTCTTTCCAAAGTGGCCAGGGCTCATCCAATTTGTTGCTGGAACTAGAGCTACCCGTCTCAGGATCCGGCTGGTCTCGCGCGCTCAATGAGGGTGTATCCACCGATACAAATGTGTGGTTCCCAATAATATCCACGCGATTACCTTCGCCAAAGTAAGCTTGAAATCGCTGGCGAACAGGCTCCTGGATCCCATTCCCGAATCCGAGGTCGTGGTTTCCCGGTAGGCTAGCAATCAATTTGCGACCCCGATTGTCAAACGGCTCATAGTCCTGATTCAACCAGGGATCCAAGAAGATTTTGATGAATCGCCCATATTCCTTCTTCCAGAAATTATCATCGATCTTCTTGTAGCGCTGCTCTGGGCTGGTGGTCGTCGTCGTAGCCCATTCCCTTCCTCCATCGAAAAGGTCGCCGAGAAACAACACTGAATCAGGCACCAAATTCTTTTGAATATGTGAAAAAGACCGTCGCATGTATTGATCAGTATATTGCACGGTCAACGTTGAGAGTGGCCAAGGGCGACCAGGGTAGGTGTGAGGATCGACAAGCTGGGGATCAGCGACGAAAGCGATACGATGCGGCGTTGCACCTTGAGGCTAAAGAAAGAGAATGATTAGCATTGAATCACCAGACAGACAGAATCAAAACATACCCATGTCTCCCAAGTCTCCCAAGCACAAGCATCTATACTTTCTTGGAAGACGGTCCTTTCGCCCCACCACAGCGTAAAGACCCAGAGTAGAACAACGGCACTAGGGATCGAAAACAGGCTCTTCAATAACACCTTCGCCTGATTCCTGGCCTCGTCCCTAGTCCTTGGTCTACTCGACAGTATCGTATCGACACCCTCCTCAATCCATTGTTTGGCTGCGGGTATCACCCGATTACAAGCCTGGTTGACCAGACCTCCGGATGAAGGATTTGAATTGAAGGAAGGAAGAGAGGAAGCGCCCGTGTTGCGGGGATAGGCGTAGCTCATTGTTGGCCCGTGAGGCAAGCCTCGATAATGGTGCCCCTTCGACACGGGTGGTAAAAATCAGCGGAAGGAGTGACGCTGCATGCTCTAAAAAGAAAGAAAGGAAGGGGCAAGGTACTGGAGAGGAAGAAAAGGGTCCTAAAGCATGTTGTGTCGCAAAGCAGAACAAGGGGGGTCCAACTGTCATGCGGCGTCGATCCCCGGACAGGGTCACGTGGGGCGCGTAGAAGGGTAAAAATAAACTCGGTTGAAAGATCTCGAGTTTGTGGAGGGGTGAGACGGGGACATGAGTTTTATTACTCACGGCTCGAACAGGCGAGTCTGGCTTAGATTATTGATTAGAGGAAGAGCTACGTTCTGAGCATTCAAGGTAAACAGTCTGGATCTTGGCCAGACTGTTGCTGAATTAAGGATAGTTGAGAATAACATGCATGATGAGGTGGATGTCAAGAGACAATTTCGGCACCCAATCCGAATCGAATGCCATGCTGCCAATAATGGCAAGGAGACGCGCCTATCTGACGGGCGCCTTTCTATGAGAATAAACCTTGAAGGCGGGAATCATGAAGAACCAAGAAGACGCCGTGTGGGGTGCACGGTACACGTAAGAAATGGCGAATTAGGGACAAAGAATAAGATATTAATCAAGTCGACTTTTTAGGACAGCACTGGCCGCCTCGGGCACAGTTGTCATCGCATTCCAAGAGACAGGCCTGGGAATCACTCTGCAGACTGGCCGCACGGCTGGGCGGGTTGGGGTCGGCAGAAGAGGAGGATGCCTGAGTCTGATTCTGGTTCTCCTCCGCCTCAGGATCGGGGGAAAACTCAGGCTGGATGGTCGAGGAGTGGATACCGTAGGCGTGGAGACAACGGCGGACCTGGCGCGCAAGGTTCATGTAGCGCTCCGAGCCCTCGCCCTTGATCTCGGTGTCGACTTGGATGTGGATCGAGGCGACGATCTTGGTGTCGCTCAGCTGCCACACGTGGAGGTGGTGGGAGCCGAGAATACCGGGGAGACCCTCAATGTCCTCCTTGATGTGGTCAATGCTCATGCCGGGAGGCACGGCTTGCAGCAGGATGCGAGACGCGGCCTTGCAAAGGGGAATGGCAGAAGCCAGGATAATGAGCGTGATAACGAGCGAAATGCCAGGATCGACGTAGAATCGCCATTTGTAGTCAGTCAACCAGATGATGAGCGCTGACACGATGACACCGATGTTGCCCAGAGCGTCTCCCATGACGTGGAGGAAGACACCGCGCATGTTGAGATCGTGACCGTGACCATGACCACCCTTGCCCTTCGGCTTTGGTTGGGCATGATTGTGGCTCTTATGAATGTCTTCTTCGTGATCGTGGGCCTTGAGAGGAGCGTCGTGCTCATCAGTGTAGTTCGATGCGCGGTCACGGTGGCGAAGGAGGCCAGACTGTTCGGTGGGGCCTTCATCATCACGACTGTCAGAGTCCGAGGACGGGTCATCAAAGGTTCCACGGCCAGCAGCAATGATATCCTGTCGCATAGTCGCAGGGTGGGCGTAGATATCCTCCACATTGGTGAGTGGGCGTCCGGTCGAGGTACTGAATCTCCGAGGGCCCCGAGTGGATTCGGCGAGTAGGCGCTTGCGTGAGACAGGGGACGCCGGGTCGGTAGCGGGATGAGGAAGGCTGTTCTTAGGCGGATGGGCAGTTCCCACCCGGTTCTCGGGCATGACAGATGCAACACTTCTATGTTCAGCGACGGCCTCGTCACTCACGTGGTCGCTGTATCCCTGTTCCATATCGTCATGCTCATCGTGTGAGTGGCCGTGATCGTGACCGTGGCCATGGCCGCCGTGGGAGTGGTCATGGAACAGGGCCAGGCCCACTATATTGGAGAGAGAAGACCGAGACAGCCAACAATGCAGACCAGCTTCGGGTTTTGGACCTCCTGGGGTTCGACCAAGCGCTGAATTGCCTCCAAGAAAATCGACATGCAAAGCGCGACTAGGAAAACGCCGTTGACAAGGGCACCGAGGGTTTCTGCGCGTTGCCACTATGAGCGAGCATTTGATGTTAGCGCGTGCTACTGCGGGATCTGAATCCGGTCCACTTACACCGTACGTGTACATCTTCGAATTTGTCTCCTGATTGGCCACCTTGACTGCCCAAAGTCCGACGCATAGTGAGATAACATCGTTGAGCTGTGTTTGTGAGTTAGCTCATGTCGCGATAAGCGTTGACATCGGAGGTTCGCGCAAGGCACGTACCATGTGAAAAGAATCGGCCACGAGAGCGAGGGAGTGGACGGCATATCCTGTAGGATACTGAGGTCAGCAAAACTGGATACAGCTGCAGAGGGTGTCAATCAGTCCATACCAGTGATCAGCTCCAAGAGAAAGAAGGCTGTGTCGATGACAAGCAGGATGATGATCCTGTTGGTCTTGGAGAGACCCATGTTGAGCTTGCGGCGCGCTCCCAGGCGCAGGTCACAACAGAGTAGGAAGATGCAGTGAATGTCGACACCAAGTACCAGACAAGGCGAGTTGTTTATGAAGGGAGTGTTTGGGGGAAAATTTGCGTCGCACCCGATAGCGTCGAGGAGAACTGACGCCAGTGGAGCCTGTGGCCGTTATGCCGGGCGGACGACTCTCCGATCGGGCCCGGGGTGGCGTTACTTTGCCCTCTGTATCTGCTCGTATAGATGAGGCTCAGAATCGTTCCCAGCTTAATAGTTATTGAAATACTAGAATAATTCGCAGCTCCAGTATTTTTCCACCTTTGTTCCTCTATTTTTCCTAGACGTGTGCAGATGCATTTGCATGCGGTCCTTGCATGGGCAAAGCCATACCCCACCCGTGCACGGAAATGGGCCGTGATCGGCCAGCCCTACTGGTCAACAAAAGAGCCTAGGCTACTGTACATGCTTGCTGTAGTCTAGAAGGCGAAGCCTTGTGGAGTTTTTACAACCATTTCATCATCCCATGGCAATCCCCTCATGTCCAATTATCCACGACAACCTACTTAAGAACGAAGTGTACCTATAGCCATCTTACCAAAATGACTAGTGCAATCAACAGAGAAAAACCAATAGAGCAAAATTTCTTTCTTGAATGCCGGCAAATTGGTGCAATAACCTGCACGTCAGGCAAATCGCACTTGCAATATCATCTTAACTTAACATAGACACCGGAAAGCCAGGATTCTAGAAACGCATTTGCTCCTAAGCGAGAGACTAAAGTTTTAGTGTTTTCCTAGCATGGGTAAGAACCAAGATTTCTAGCCAATCGTATTACCAACGGTAGCCGTAAATCACGCTTAAACTCCCCCCAAGGTACTCTATAATGGACACTTTAGTCAGTCGCTTTCAATTTGGCCCCCAAAAACTGCGCCACGGCCGACCCACGCTCGGCTATGACCACAGGCTGCGTCAGTTACAACTTCTTGGCGTAGGTTTTTGATTTTGTTCACGGCATTTTCTATCATTCATACGGACCTCAGTACCGCTGGGTGATCTCTTTAAGGAGATCGAATTGACTCCACATGGTCGACGTGGGTCTGCGGATTGTTTACGAATGTTGTAATTGGATAGGGACCAGCCATGCCGAAAAGACGACTTCACCCGGAGCTGCAATTGCTGGAGATGTGAGGTTTTCAGGATAGGGATACTATGGAATCAAAAAAACATACCGAGTGACCTCAGTTCAAATAGTGAACGTTGTGTTGAAAAGTCGCTAGACTAGACGAGTTGACATTCAAGCCCAGGTGCTATTTCGCCCCGATCGCGGGCATACACTTGTCCTATCTAGTCATGACTGAGAAATGAGCCTGATCAATGCCAAGGAACAAATTAACAGAAGCCGACCATGGAGAGATCAAACTTCGCTGGTATAATTTCTTCGTCCCTTTGTGAGGATGCAAATTGCAGCTTGTCAAGAAAGACTGTGAGCTCACTCCTGAAGAAGCGCACGCTACTAAAGAGGAGGCATTTTGGGCATACTTCAAAATGAGACAAGGATGCCTGTTATCATCATTCAACAGAGCCCTATAAGGCATTCTTTCCAGAGGTCACTCGTGGCTGTGAGATAAGGTTCTCACCGACCAATGCAGGGTCTGCGCTCGTGGGAAAGAGATTATGACACTGAGACTGCGGCTCAAGGGCCTAAGAACCTTGGCTTGAACCTATTGGATGGATCAGCGAGTCATAAGGCTGTGTGTCGGGCGCTGAGAGGATTTCAGCCCTTTCGCCCAAAGGAGGTGCAGATACCTTCCAAAAAAGGAAACTCATCGTTTGTGAACATTGGGGCCATTCTGACATTGCCCGATTTTGATCTATCCCTCAAACAAGCTCGTCCTATAGCATTTGGTCACGACTTCATTACGAGGCATAGTCGTTCGATCGCGTGACTTGGGCAGAATCCACAGTTTGATCTACCGGGTGCTTCTTGAGAGACGATCACCAAGGCTGCACTGCCAGGCATGAAAGCTATGTCATGTTAAGTGCTGGACAATCTCATAGGGTTTTCAAGTACGAGTACCGCCTAAGTGCCTCCCTTCTCCATCTGCTCATCAGCAACTCCATACTTGGTTATCTCGACCTTTTCCGCTTCTACCTTGCCATCAAAATGGGCACTGCATCGGCATCTGAGACGAGTAAACCCAGACTTATTTTGCGCGTTCTCGCCTTCTTGTTGTCGGTCATCGGTATTGCAGTCAACACCAGCGCAGACCACTACTTAGCATAGATATACGATATTATCGTACGTTGACCTTTACACAACCATGTTGCAACTTTTTCACGCTCGTACTAACGACACGCCAATAGGTGATCGTTCCAGCGTTGTGTTCAGTAATTAATGCCAGCCTCGTACTTTTCAAGCGCCCGTTCACCGTGGTCTTCACATTGCGTTGGACCTGACATTTGCTCTGATGTTATTCGGCGACTCTGGCACTATTAGCCACCCAGGATATATATATAATAGATTTCATGTGAGAAATAGTGCGATCGCTGCTCTTGCGATCATGGTCGTAGCTGGATAAGTCAAATCCGAAGTTTCATATGTGTGGTACTTATATTCCGATCAAACAGACTCACTCACTTCTCCCACTTCGTTTTGGCCTGTTGCGATGTGCACCCAAGACGCCACGCCGGTAGATCGGCGCACCACAAGGCAAAACGCAAAGAGCGAGATTGTCTAGTTGTATTGGGTTTATTCTGGTGGAATTGCTGAGGCATTTACTCCAAAATCCTGGGATCTTGCCGATCGCAGAGAAGAGACGAGGTTCATGCTGCTACGAATTTTCTACCAGTTGACTAGAACAGGGCGTTGTACTTACAGAATGCTACGATACATATTTGTCGAAGAATTTGTCCATTTTGAATATAAAAGCACACAATTTGTTCACTGTGACAGGGTCTAAGTCTGATCATGAAGCACTGTCTGCATTGTGATTGAACTTGCGCTCGCCAGTGACGGTCGGACCTAGTAATCATCGGCCAGCAACCGCGGCGGCAGCCGTAATTACACCAGTACCGCGACACTTCTTAGTGAATACAGGTTCTCTGGATTCAAGTCTACGTCAAATGGCGAGTCGTCATAATTTGAATGCGTCGTGATTGATGGAAACCTTCAAGCATCAAAGGGAGCGGATAGTTTCTCTGTACTTGATTTTTAATGACAAAAAGAATGTCATCATAAGCAAGTGTGGCCGAGTGGTTAAGGCGCTGTGTTTAGGTTATCTCCGATAACGTCCGCAGTGGGAAACTTCGCGCGTTCGAATCGCGTCGCTTGCATTCATATTATTTTTCCTTTTTTTGGTGTTTGTTATGAAGAAGTGAAAGCTTCTCATGTAATTTCAAACGGTCATTATCATTCAGAGGACATTCTTTCAATTCTGTTTCAAGCCGAAGAGATTGAATGGTGACGTGAAAGAAACAGTTCTGTCCGGACTGTATCGCACCCAGGCGCTAGTCAACAAAAGAAGGGTGGGAATAGCCGGAAGTGAGTGAATTTTTACAATAATTTCGAATTTAGTTTGACATCACTCTTTGGACTTGATTCCCGGGAAATAAATTCTACGTGGGCGAGTTCTGATTGAATGTTATGTTAACCCGCTTCCTACTATCGACGATTCATTCATTTTACAATACTTCAGTACTAACTTACAGGTGGTGTAATTTACACGAAATCAGCAGACACGAGGTACGAGTCCTCTCCCCTCCATAACGCTCGCGTCTTGCACCAGAAGCGAAGCTTATCTGCAACAACCTTCATCCATCGATTGATGGAACTGCCATAGGCTCCATGCGCATCCCAATGTTGTTGTCCGTTTTTGTGGGCCAATCTATGGCATCCAGCTCAACACCTCTGCTCAGCTGGCAGTTAGACGGGAACAGTCGCTCGGCATGGGACATCCTGTGGACTTGTTTGTCAACAATTTTTGCCTGCACATGGACTCTTCTTCACATGGATGTTCCTCCCCGTAATGCGTCCGTTGCAAGATGTACAATTAGTAAAATGCGTCTGTGGGTTCTAACCATCTTAGCCCCTGAGGTTACCTTCCTGCGAGCAATCGGTCAGCTCGCCGATGCGAGAACTTTGCAGAAAGTGTGCAACAAGACACAGAAAATACGAGATGCGGAATCATCAGAGCCAAAATTATGGCTATCACAACGCACTAGGCCGCTTGAACAAGTCGAAAACTTGGATCACGTGGATCTACATCCAGTCCACACCGAATGGACGCTCCGTCAATGCTTCTGTGTCATCGCTGGTGGACTTGTGTTGCAGACGCAGGATCAATGGATCTACACAATACAGCCCCGCGATATGAAACCTCTCATCCAGGCCGGCATGGTCCACTGTTCAGACTTTCGAGACCAGGATATCGAAGATCGAGCGAAAGCAGACTCGTTTGCGAAATTCTTTACCGTCCTTCAAAGCACCTGGTTTTTATGCAACGTCATCACAAGATGGGCCTACGATCTACCAGTATCCCCCATCGAATTGTCAACTGTTGCCTATGTGGCCTGTGCTATTTTAATATATGGGGTATGGTGGTATAAGCCCAAAGACATAGGCACCTCTATCGCAGTCTATCTACGATATAACCGTGATGATATGCCAATGGAGGTCCGCAATATAGTAGAGGGGAAATCCACCGGGTGGGTTCATATAAGAGCTCTCGTTAACGAGGATAACTGGCTGTCTGTCTTGTGGAAGACCGTTCGAACGCCTTTCTTCAGCAGAGATATTAAATGTCTCGAGACGATCGATGAGGCAGGTGGTAGCGATTTCATCAAACCGCCATTTGAAATCTTTATCTTTGATGTGATATGCAGTCTCACTGCTCTCCTTTACTGCGGGATTCATGTGGCTGCGTAAGACTGAAATTTTCCTTCTCTGCCATCTTCCCTATAAGCTAACGGTAACGTTTTCCCGGATAGATGGGACTTTCCTTTCGCAACTCGCGCCGAGCTGATATCTTGGCGTGTCTTTTCCCTCGCATCTGTTGCGATGGCTTTCGTCGTATGCCTAGTGAGTGGTCTCATAGACGCTACAACGCTCCCCAACTCAAAGGACCTGCTTCCTTCCTTTATGGTTGGCCTCACTCGCCCAGCCGCTCTTTGGCCTATGCTCGTTACTGTTATTGTTAGCTTTAACATCTACATTGTTGCACGCTTAGGGATCATAGGCCTTGTCTGTTCCTCGTTAAGAGCTCTTCCGACTGGGTCCTACACAACTGTAGGATGGATGACTAGCATACCACATTTCTAAAAAGGGACGAGTCAATTATGCTGATACAAAAATAATATCCAAACCACAAGATTTTGCTTAAGCAGGGACTGCGGGCACTTGACTGAGAGAACCTAAAGAAAGTAAGCCATCCCTGGACATCAGCATACCATGTGTCTATCTTTGAGCTATGCAGCGCTTCTTGTAGACTAGGTTGGCACGTAATCCGAGTTGTGTTCCCTTGTCTCATATTCAATAGGTTGAGATAAATATCGACGTGACATGGGCTCATTCTAAAAAGTAGCCAAGATCCATGGAAAGTCTATGTCAGCTTAAGGGGTCAGCCAGATTAGATTCGACACTGGCAACGAATGAGACGCACCGCAGATGACAAAACCTATATAGTAGGGTTCTGCCACCTCGGCTGAATTGACGTTCGGAGGCATTGCGAAAGGCATTCGAGATTAGACAGCCCATCAGTAGCTTGAAAATGTGATGAAGATCAGAAATATGAGGCCTTTGCACACGTGTGTACTAGCCGCGTTACTATTCGCAAGTATTTGCAAGACTAACCCCAGAAAAACCGTGCAAGATTATAAGAATGAAAACTCCAAGGGTCGTGCAGATACCCCTGTCAGACTACGAAAACCCCCATACCCCCCTAGACATGACATTTTCTCGTGTAATTTCCAGATTTCGCTCGTACCTCACCATTGATATCATTGACAAAGTACAATAAAAGTGTCAAAGAGGGAGATAAATCAGTCGGAAATCGCCAATTCTCTCCGTTCTTCACGGTCGGGTCGGTCGGGTCAAGAAAGCCCTTCATGTTCGAGCAGGAATTAGCTCACCTCGCCATTCTCATGTGGGTCGCGGTGCATTATGTCAGTAATTACCTATCTAGGCCTAATGGGACTCCACTTTTTTCTCTTGGCATACAGTCCTCTTACTGTCCGCCTCTTTTACCGCTTTCTATCTTTACTTCTTTATATTAATATCACTACCTACTAGATACCTATTAGATATCTACTAGATACCCACTAGATACCTCTTTAATTTCTCTATCTTTTTATTCTCTTTAAATAAACTTATTTTCCTACTCTATAAGAGATATTTCTAAATATTCTATTCTAATATAGAATTAATATATATATAGGAGACAGGAAAGTAAAGAAAATAGAGGGGAAATAGTTTTAAACCTAGCAGAATTTAATTATAGGTAATCTTTAGCTATAATACTAATACATTTATAAAACTTCGCAATACGCTAAACCTAGCTAGGTGATCATCGACGACATTACCGCTTTCGTAACTGCCTAATACGGTTAGTCAATGTCTGGCGACCCACAAGAGAATGTCAAGGTGACATATACACTCATGTTCGAGAGGGGAATTGCGGGATTACCCAGTGGGGTATAGTATTTGCTGAGGACTCTCCCACCACACGTGGTCGATTGCCAGGACCTAACACGATGAAATAGTATTGCGACAATGCTACCTCGCTTGCGTCTTAGGTCGATGGAGATAGCTACGCGAAGTGAAGAATTGAAGAATCATATCGTTTCGACGTAGCCGACAAGGGTAGGCATATATAGGAGGGGGAGACAGCCTTGGATTGAATCATTTCTTCTACTTCCAACAATTTATTTGTCTTTATCACTACCCAAGATGATCTTCTCAAGTACTACTGCGCTTTTCGCGCTGGCATCGACCGTTTATGCCCAGTCGCAGTACACTTCTACTGGTACAGCTGCCGTAGCTAAGGCAGCTGCCACCGCCCTGACTCTGTCTCCTACTTCAAGTGTCGCTGGCTTAACGTTTGACCGCTTTGTTCAGATTTGGCTGGAGAACGAGAACTACAGTGCTGCTATCAAGGATAGTGAGTACCTGACGCCGGGAACCATCGATTTGAGGATGTAATGCTAACCTGAACTAGCAAACCTCGCCTATCTCGCTTCTCTAGGCATCACACTCACCAATTATTTCGCCATCACCCATCCTTCCCAGGTAATATCTCCAAAGCTTGGCGAACCATCATCTATCGCTAACACTAAGTTCCAGCCTAACTATGTCGCTGCGGTCGGTGGTAATACATTCGGGATCGCCGACGACAGCACGCACTATATTTCTTCAAGCACCAAGACAATCGTTGATCTCTTGGAGGATGCGGGCGTCAGCTGGAGTGTATATCAAGAAGATATGCCTTATTCTGGGTTCGAGGCAAACTATGCCAACCAGAAGACTGGTGCAAATGACTACATGCGCAAGCACAAGTAGAGCTCCCAACAACACCATTTTTCTAGCGCAAGAGTCACTGACAAAATTGTTCCAAGCCCGTTGATGAGCTACAACTCGGTGACATCGAATACCGACCGTCTTGCCAAATCGAAGAACTTCACCATGTTCTATGAAGACCTGGACAACAACAAACTGCCGCAATGGATGTTCATCACTCCTAACATGAGTATGCGGTTTTCCCCTCCCATAGTGATCTCCTTGAACTCGAGACTGATCTTAACTTTGATCTACAGCCAACGATGGGCATGATAGTTCGCTTGCCACGGCCGGAAAATGGTCTCGCAACTTCTTGACTCCTTTGCTCTCAAACGAGAACTTCAACACTGATAGCACTTTGATCATCCTTACCTTCGACGAAGGTCTGACGATCGGTACGAACCAGGTTTACGCCGTCCTTTTGGGTGGCGCCGTGTCAAGCGCCAAGGTGGGTACTACGGACGATACCGCGTATAATCACTACAGTCTGTTGAAGACCGTGGAGACCAATTGGAATCTGGGTAACCTCGGAGAAAATGACGTGGAAGCCTCTGCATTTTTCTGAGCAGATCTCAATGATCGATATCGATCAAGGCGACACTGCTGCCAGGATAGGGTTCGGAGTCTAAGATCTAGTAGTTATAAAAGACTTGTTGATGCAACTTATACAGATTCAATGTCATATTGTTTCAGGATGAAAATTATAATGATTCCTCAGAGTAATCTGAAGACTTGACCTCAAATTCGGATATCTATTAAGAAGATGTTAAGCGCTGTCTCAGCATCATATCATGACAGAATTTCAACCTTCACTATTTATACAGGATCACGTGACCCTTCCGAAAACGTTGAAAGCATGCTGCATGCATCAATTGTCTTAGCGGAGATATGACAAGCTCACATATATAAGGGCCGGCCAAGTTAGATGGTCTTTTAAGATTTTTGAATCTGACCGGAAAATAATCTCCATAGATGTGGTTGCAGCGCTTGGCCACCAACCCCAAAGCCCCACTCCGCACAACTGCCCGATACGGAAGCTCACGCTCGAAATGCTTGGCATTCTGTCTTTGGCCACCCACTACTAGCAGATATCATAGATTATTATATAAAAATTACGACCGACTCTTGAAAACCCGCAAAATTGGTCTGAGCGCAAGCTGCACGACAATGAACCGGACAATGATTATGAAGCAGCTCGACTTTTGCGCACCGCATTGGGAAGCCAAGGGTAGAGTAGCCGCGAAGGCTTAGAAATTTAAGTCCCAGTGTGACTGATCTCCGAGTATAAAACAAGCAGCCGGCGTGAATACCTTGCTCATGGAAATTAAACTTAAGCCTGATGGATTTCAGATCTTCGATATACCTTTACCATGTCGTCGACCCCAGGTCTAACAGCTTCAACGCCCGAGTTGCCTACGACGGCAACACGCCCAAAGCTCATGGGCACATGCACAAATGGGCTTGATCTGGAGAAACTAGGTAGAGAGCGGCCATCTCACTTCTCGAGTCGATGGTCAGAACTTGCATTTTGCTTCTCTATTGTCATGTCCCAGATCCTAGCGGTGCGTCAACTCCAATCTCACAGCAGTATCGTGAGCCTAATATCTCTCTCATAGGAATTCTTCATCACAGGATCCAACCTTCTACTACCTACACTTGTTACCGAGCTAGGTATCCCGGAAGCCTCCACAATATGGCCGACCACTGCCCTTTCCCTCGTAGTGTGCGCCACACTCCTCATCTTCGGTCGCTTGACAGACATGTACGGAGGATACCTCGTTTACAATGTTGGAGCTATCTGGCTCACAATATCTTCAATCCTCGCTGGCGTCTCGACTACATGGCTCATGTTGATTATCTGTCGTGCACTGCAAGGCTTAGCCCTTGGAGCACTCCTCCCATCCGGAATGATGATCCTGGGAAGCACATATCGCCCAGGTCCTCGGAAGAACCTCGTCTTCAGTGTATATGGCGCATGTGCCGCTCTGGGGATTTTTTGCCGGCTTCTTTGTCTCCGGGATCTGTGGTCAGTTTCTCACCTGGAGGTGGTATTTCTACATTGGTGCAATCTTGTCTGCCATCATGGCCGCGTCGTCGATTTTCTCGGTCCCCAGAGACTACTACGAGAAGAAAGAGCTCGGCATTCGTATGGATTGGGCTGGACTGGTCCTCTCTATCACAGGCACTACGCTATTCGTTTTCGCGATTGCGGATAGCTCATACGCACCACAAGGATGGAAGACACCATATATCATCGTCTTCTTCGTGTTAGGTATGATTTTATTGGGGGTGATGGCTTATATTGAAGGGTGGGTCGTTCAAAACCCTCTGCTCCCTGGTGACATCTTTCACGTGAAGCATATGGCGGCCCTTGTCATTGCTTTGTTGTTCCTTTACGGCAGCCTGGGAATTTTTCTACTATATGGTGTTCTCTAGTGAGTTGAAAGAGGTATCAATTTCAAAGGAATTCGCTAACAATGACAGCATGTCCGATTTCATGGGCGGGTCACCTCTTCAGATCGTCGCCTGGACTGCCCCGATGGGTGTCGGTGGCTTGATTCTCTCTGCGGCTGGTGGATTCATTCTACACAAAGTATCCGGAACACTCTTGATGCTCATCTCATGTCTTGGTTACGTGGGCTCTGGTTTGCTCTTTGCCATCATTCCGATCGGCGGTAATTATTGGGCATACATCTTTCCGGCTATGATATGTGGTACCGTTGCGATCGATATCAGCTTCAACCTCGCCAACATTTTCATCACAACCAGCTTGCCCAAGGCGAGACAAGGACTTGCAGGTGCTCTGATCTACTGTACTTTGCATTTGGGGATCGCGGTTATGCTTGGCTTTGCGGATATTGTTCAGACGCAGATGAAGTATCTTGGCGTTCGGAAGAGTTACAAGGTTGTCTTCTGGTTCCAGACGGGTTTGGCTGTTGTAGGGCTGTTTATTGTTTTGCTTTTGGTGAGAATTCGCCATGCAAAGAGTGAACTGACAGCCGAGGAAATTCAGGCCCAAGGGACGCAGAGTAGCGTAAGGAGGGACAACGAAGAGGTTTGAAGATAGATAGAAAGCGGCTTCGAATGTGAAGAGTACAACTATTATGGGCTTATGAAGAGATGCAACTAATTGCCAACTTTCCTCCGCACATGCACAAAAGGACTTGAGAAAAGAACATTTGTTTCAAAAATTGGCAATACTCCCTCCAGATCAAGCTTTCATAGAAGCAAATGGTGGTGAGTCGAAAATAGCTTTGTGGAAAAGGAGCAAACTTTACGTATTATCTTAGCTTGAGGCTCAATACTGATCTACATTATATGTCATATTTCGAGGGACAGGTCCCCGTAGCCGCAATTGACATGGCTATCCCCTGTTTCAACCTCAACCACAAAGGGTGGTGATGTCCTCGGGAACATAAGGTGTCAGGATGTCAATGAGGCTTGAGAGAGACAGCCACTCCAAAGTCCCGTGAATAGTCTGAACGGGCTGTCCACTGTAGAGGACCCGCGCATAAAGTTCTTTGTTCTTGCCCTCAGTCTCCCTGTAAGTAGTTAGTCAAGTGTCTCAAGCAATATTCATTGGTACAGCAAGACTAACCAGATTTCAAAGGCAATGTTAGAAGCCATCGCAGGCCAACGGAGAGCGTTGATACCCAGAGCACCCAGAATAGGGCCAATGTCACCATCGTGAATGAAGATGTGAGTGTAGTCAAGGCTAGAGTCTCCGTTCAGGACAGACCGAAGACGAGTGACAATCTCACCAATGAACAGACCCTCGACGACCTGAATGTACTTTTGAGCGTACTCATTGGTGCGCCAGTAGTAGTTCCACTCCCAGTCGCCAGCACGGAACACCTCCTCGGCCATATCTATAGTGACGCACGCAGAAGAGTTGGAGGTACTGCAAGGCAGGTTGTAGCCATTGCAAAGGCGCGCTTGGAAGTTGTCGGAGAAGTGGTCGAAAGTATTCTGCCACGAGCTGGAAGTGGCACCGAGCATGGAACCTAGCTTGGAACGCAGATCGGCGGTGACAGTCAGGTGCTCCTTCCACTCAGTAGTAGATTCAAGCTCACTGAGCGTAGAGCTGACGGCGTTGCAAGAGTAGCCCTCGTTGACGGTGTCAACCGAGGCTACCATCTGGTGCAAAGGCAAAGCACCCTCATAATCGGGCCATACACCACGGAGAACCGCACCAGCAGAAGCCTGAGTGAGCGCAGAGTCGCTAGACCGGAACCAGACGCGGTTGTTGGGTTTTTTGGGGATAATACCGAGCTTATTACCATAGACGGCCCAGAGGTCCTTGCCATGCTGGAACCCATCCTGAACACCGCCGATGGTGATCTGCGGGTACTGGCAGGTTCCGTTGACACCCGGAGTAAACGGGTTGGTGGGATCCTGGTACGTCTGAGCGTACATCGGAATCGGTTGGGTGGAACCATCGCTGTTGGGCCCGGCGTAAAGATATGGGCGGACATTATCGCACTGGTAAGCTTGGTTCTATGGAAGAAGGTTAGGTCAGAACACAATCTCAGATCAGCTTCACTTGCCTCTCCACCGGGCAGAATGTTATATGGAGAGCGTCTCTGGTGACGCTGCAGATACTCCAGGTAAACCAGCTTTCCCTTCACGGAACCATTGGCGATGGGCTCGGGAAGCTCATACTCCTTAGTACGAGGGTGGGGCATTGAGCAATAATCATAGGTGCCGTAGGGAGTTCCTCCGGTCGGACCATTGGTAGGAGCCTTGTAGATACCACCATAAGTTCCGATTGAGCTGTTGGAGATGTATGCGGTATCATCGAGAGTAGGCGGATAGAACGTGTCCAAGGGGCTCAGGCCTAGGGCGGGACCGACAGCCCCGAGCACGACAGCAGCAGTGGCAGAGGTACCACGCATGATGAATTCCGGATATGAGGAATCAAAGAATAGCCTGAGACTGGCTAGTGAAGCGTAGATCGCATTACGCATGAGGTCTAATATAACGACCATGACGGGAGAACGAGAGGTCGGTTAATCGATCGGCTTGGCTGAGATCCCCACCTATGCGCAGCCAGTTGGCACTTCGGCTTCACTCCACGTGGGGAATGGGAACTGTCAGGGATGCGCAGTTGCAGAGGAATGGGTCCATCGTGAGGTACGTTCGGCACTAAGGTAGCCGAGAAGCAATGTGGCGCCAATGACCCGGAGATTTACCGAAGACTGAGAGACGTGCCGTGTCGAAGTGTAAACAATTGCACCATACCGCATCGCGCCCATGACACGTTTCATTCCCGATGTCCCACCGCTGCCTTTGGAGCTTCATTTATAATCTCTTTCAAACCAACTGAGGCCTCTTTTTTTTCTTGGAGCCTTCTCATTTCTGCTATTCCTTCCATTCTCGCGGCTATGCCGGCTGCACCCCTGGCCCTGGCCATGGCCAAGGTGGCCGCGTGGTCCTCGCCAGTCTATTCAACTTCGCTGGCCTCATTGGCACTGAATAAAGTACTTTCCGATGCGACCCCTATATTTGGATCCTATGAAAAAGAATCCGGAGGCAAAGCAGAGTGGATGAAAAAACTACCATGATGACACTCAGCTGATTCATATGAACATCCCTGGCACCCACGACAGCGCGACATGGAACTACAGCCAGGCTACTCCAGACTCCCTTCTAGGGATCACTGATCTCAATCAGGTCACTGTTCCAGTGCCTGAGACCTTCCGCTGTCAAGAGCTGTCCTGGATCGACATGCTTAACATGGGAATCCGGGCATTTGATTTACGCTACGCATTCGATCCCACCAACACCACTATCATCTTCTACCACTCGGAGGCTCTACTGTCTGAGACTGTTACCTTAGACGATGTACTCTTTGGCTTTTACAATTGGCTCGATGACCACCCCTCTGAGACTCTATTCCTGTCTCTCCAGTAAGAGGGATCAACGGCCAAATATGCGTCCAACGACGCTGCGCTGCAGCTCAAGCTTTATAACACGCTGACTTCCCCCGCTGCACGAAAGTATTTTGTTCAGAAGAAGAATGAGCTAGGAACTTTGGGTGAAGCGCGTGGAAAAATCACCCTGATGCGCCGTTTCGACCTCGACCAATTGGCCGACTCTTACACGACCTCGATGCCAGGACTTCACTTCACGCCAAGCCTATGGACTGACAATGACCCGACCATTGTTCTGACCTACAATGAGAAGAAGAATTTGACCGCCTACATCGAAGATTTCTACCAGCCTACAACACCCGCGGGATCTAACGCGACCGAAAACATCCAGTGGAAGTACAATGCCACAACAAGCCACATTATCAGGCGACTACTGAGTATTCCGACAGCCTGTTCTGGACCTGGGCTTCAAGTGAAAACACAGACAATGTACCCCCGGTGTGGCCGCGCATTATGGCTATTGGCAATGGCACCTTGACTCCCCAGGGCGGAGTGAATCAGCGCCTTGTATCATTTTTGAAACAGCAGAAGGGCAAGAGGATTGGTATTGTTATGTTTGATTATTTCGACGTGCCATCTGACCTCATTGATGAGTTCTTGAGTCTCTGAATAGCTTCGCTTTAGTATCTTGGAGGTGAACAAAACGTTGTCATCGGTCCTCGAGAAGTTGTCAGCGCCGAAGTACCGTGAAAAGTCTTCGATGTCCTAGCCTATACAGGCCTCACAAAGGCCAATGTAGCTACACCCGCTAGCTTCAACTCGTCTATGCATATTTTCTTCCATAATGTCTTCTCTGCGTCTGGTCACCTGCATAGTGGCCGAATCTTCGAGATGTCTGGAATCGGTGGTCACAAGCCCGGAGGTCCGCGGCAGCCTACCCGGCTGCGAGAACCAATCCGCTCACGGGTGCAAAAGGAATGCCATGGAAATCACGCCGCCATTTCATCTATCCATTGGTTTGTGCGGTAACAACTCGGTATGATTTGGTGGTTGTCGCCGTTGATGCTGAGAAGATATTAGAAGAAAAGAAGATCAATTCCGATCGGGTTGTGGGGAATTTTAAGCCTTGGAATGGAATGGGCTAGGCCCGAATCTGTGCCAAGTCTTAGAATGCTTAGAAAATTGGAAAGTGAGACATTCTCATTTTGAAGAGCATTTGTGGGAGCTGTTGAGTTTAGGAACACTATAGGGTATTGCCACAAGTGGACCCGAGGATGATCGGCGAGCTTGTAGCCAAGATCCAAGGAAACCGTCATCATTTGTTAAGCTAGCAGCAATACCTCGGCGGAAAAAAAAAATCAACTGGGCACACGACCAAGGGCAAGTCGCCCTAAGGTAAGGACCGAACCACCGAAGGGTCCAGTAAGGCTGATCGGGTTCCACCATGGAAGACACCGGGAAGCCGATGGAATGTGACATCATCGACCGCCACAGTCATTTTTCCCATCTCATGCCGAGGATTTTATATGATTGAAGCGATTCGCTGCCAAACGCCTAACCGCTGTGCCTTGCGATCCGAGAAACTCGTTTATATAACCTCGGCCTTCTCGTCTACGGTCTTCGCTGCTTGCAAGTTACCCGCGCCGATCTCCCATGAATTCGGTCGACCATGGCGCCAGCAGATAGTGAAGCTGTAGAGCCACCCGCGATACCACATGGAGGCATTCAGACAGAAGACTGGTCAGAGGCCCTCAGCTTGCCATACTCCCACGACAGCGACCGATTGGAATTTAGTGGCGATGGGCTGAACACCGGTGTTCGAGTACTAAGTGCGTATGCCATATCATACATGCCGTGCACCATGCTGATATCTGAGCCGCACAACAGGCGATGGTCGATTAGACATCAGAATCAACGAGCGTAAACCCAGCCTGGCTGGCATTTTACACCACTTAGGCGCAACTCCGATGCCGTCAGAGCTCTCACGAGTCAACTCAAGAGCGTCCAGAGCTTCCAGAACAAGCTCACGAAAAGGCGAGCGAAAAGCCCATGTGAAGCATTTCCCACTACAACTCAATATCGTGATTCAAGTCATCGGGTCGCGAGGTGATATACAGCCATTTGTCGCACTCGGAAAGGAACTCAAGAAGCACGGACACCGTGTTCGACTAGCCACCCACTTAGCTTTCCGAGAATTTGTGAACGAAGGGGGTCTCGAATTTTTCAATATCGGCGGAGACCCCGCAGAGCTAATGGCCTTCATGGTAAAGAACCCCGGGCTTCTCCCAAGCCTTGCCACACTCCGAAGCGGCGCAATTCAGAAGCGCCGAAGAGAGATGAAGGAAATCATCGAGGGTTGCTGGAAATCTTGTTATGAGACTGGCGATGGAACACACATGCACCAGATCAAGGATGATCCTTTCAGTGAAGAAGTCGATTATCGAAGGCGCCCCTTTGTTGCGGATGTCATTATCGCTAATCCGCCTAGTCTGGCTCACATCCATTGTGCGCAGCGATTGGGAATACCTTTGCATATTATGTTTACGTGAGTTGAATTTCCTCTCAGGGGCAAGACCCGGAGTATTAATGGATTCCAGGATGCCATGGTCGCCGACCCAGTCTTTTCCACATCCGTTGGCTATCCTTCATCCAAAGGATTGTCAACCAACAGTCGCGAACTTTGTCTCTTACGCTATCGTCGACATGATGGTATGGGAAGGTCTGGGCGATCTCGTGAACAAGTTCCGCAAGAACGTATTAGCCCTCGACCCGTTGGATAGCATTACCGCTCCAAGTTTAATACACCGGTTGCAAATCCCATGTTCCTATCTCTGGTCAGCCTTCACATTACTCCATCATGGGGGGGGATTTCTTGGCTAACTTCGTCTCCAGGTCACCCGCTGTTCTTCCCAAGCCAGTGGATTGGGGCGACAATATTGACATCTGTGGATTCAGCTTCCTCCCGGCAAATCCAGACTATACACCTCCGAATGAGATCAAAGAATTCTTGGAAGCAGGACCGACACCTATCTATGTCGGATTCGGCTCCATTGTTGTCGACGACCAAGTCAAATTGACCAAAATTGTGTTTGAAGCAGTCAAGAAGTCCGGTCAACGCGCAATCGTATCAAAAGGCTGGGGTAATTTGGGCGTGGACGAGGTCGACGTCCCAGAGAATATCTTACTTATCGGAAGCTGCCCCCATGATTGGCTTTTCCAACATGTCTCATGTGTGGTCCATCACGGTGGCGCCGGCACAACAGCAGCAGGCCTTGCGCTTGGATGTCCAACCATCATCATTCCGTTCTTTGGAGATCAAGAATTCTGGGGACATATTGTTGCGACAGCAGGTGCTGGTCCGGTCCCGATTCCGCATAAGCGACTCACCGTAGAAAATCTTAGCAATGCGATAGAGATGGCATTAAAAGATTCTACAAAGGAAAAGGCACAAGCGATCGCGAAGAAAATGAAAGATGAGTCTGGAGTAAAGGAAGGAGTTTGCAGCTTCCATCGCCAACTCAATCTCCGACCCTTGCGATGCGCGGTGTGCCCTTCGCGCCCTGCTGTCTGGCATCTCAAACATACCGAAGTCGGTCTGAGCGCGTTCGCAGCATCGACATTGGTTGAAATGGGCAAACTGGATCCTGAAAGTCTCGTGTTGTAAGTGATCACTGAATTTGTGAACTTTTCTAAAAACTTGAAAGCTGACTCTCGACAGAAACCGTCCTATGGAATATGACACATATCGCGACCCTGCTGGGCCGATCAGTGCCAGCGCCCAGGTGTTGTTCGGCGCCATTGCTAATTTTGTCATTGGAATCGCCGATGTCCCCGCGGAAATGGTCAACGACCTAGTTTCAGCTGGGAAGCACCTAAGTCATAATCACCAAACTCATCACGAAGACGCTCACCGCAAATGGCATATGCACAAGACGCATAACGAAGACGAACTTGCCAGCGAGAATGACTCACAGGAGCAGGCGGATCAGCAGAAGGGTAGAAAGTCAGATGAAAGTCCGAATCACTCTCACAGCGACTCATCCCATGACTCTTTCGCTCAACCTGCAAATGCAGGGACTCGCTCGAGCGAGCCTATGGGTGACGAAGAGACAGGAAGCGATGACAGTGTCTCGAACTCGAGTGACATTCCTCCAGATGCTGGTATCGATCGAGTACGCAGTCTGCAATTGGAAAAGACTCAAACGATGAGCAGTGAAATGGCTCCCTCCAAGCATCATGGTTTCCTCAATGAAGTGAGGTTGCACGGCGCGAAAATGGGGAAGAGGTTTGTCAATTTCGTGATTTGGATTCCGACAGATCTTTCCCTCAGTATGTCCAAGGGCTTTCACAATGCACCCAAGCTATACCATGACTACACGGTTAAGCCAACTCCAAAGGTTCATGGTATAAGAAGTGGCTTTAGGGCTGCTGGCCAGGTATGGTTTCCTCTCAAGTCTACACTAAAATATTTTCTGACACGATGCAGGAACTTCGGGATGGATTCTATTATGGTGTTACCGGCCTGGTTACTCAGCCTCGACATGGATACCAGGAAAAAGGTGCGAAGGGAATGATGAAAGGGTTAGGCAAAGGTCTTGGTGGAGTGTTCCTCAAGCCACCAGCGGGTACGTTACGCCAGTCTACTGCTATCGAAACTTAATTAACTCAGTACAGGTCTCTGGGGACTCGCTGGATATCCTTTGACTGGAGTTCGCCGCAACCTCTTAGACTCATTGGGCAGGACCCAAGAAGGCCAAATTGTGGCGTCACGCATTGCCCAAGGACACGAAGAGATGCGGAAGTCGTCCACCGAGGACAGAATGGAGGTGGCCAGAAAGTGGGCCTTAGTGGAAGAGAAGCTTCACGACACGAATCGGCGCTGTCGTCGCTCCCAGTCACACTCGTCAGCGCACCCCCACGCACTTACATACACTGCTTCATGTGGCATGGCCGCCTGATGCTACATCTCTATGTTTAATCTTTACTGTATATACCCTTTAGTAGTGCATATCATACATCCTATTGTTCCTTGACCGTGGCCCGGCCGCATGAGCGGACGATAATTGGACACGCAATCCGCATGTGGGTGGATAGACGGGAGGAGAAAAAGGCTTATCACTTGCCTAATTAGAACTTAAACTCAATACAAGCAGCATGTAACCGGATACCCCTGTTAACTTTCCCCGGTTACGCAACAAAATAATGTAAAGATACACCCCAAATCTCGGAGTTGACCCGATATCCCTCCCTGGGAAATCCTCGGCCACCCCAGAATTACCCCGGACTCCAACCCCCCCCCCCTCGCCTCCAGTGGGGGTGACAACCAGATATAAACCCACCTAGCTCAGGATTGGAGCATTCGACAACCAAAATGCGGGCTTCACAGTCTCCGACCTTCATCGGTCTCAAGGGCCAAAGTCTTATTTACGCGGTTACATTATGCTGCTCATTCGGCTTCCTTCTCTTCGGATATGATCTTGGCTTCATGGGCGGGTTAACGACGTCACCTACATTTCTAGGCACGTTCGGAAATCCAGAAGCCTCGCTTCTTGCATTTCTCGTCTCCGCATACGAAGTCGGCGCTATGGTCGGCGCATTGTTCCAGTTCTTGAACGGCGATCGATTCGGCCGGAAACCGAATAACATGGCTGGGGCAGTGATTGTTGCGATCGGGGCGACGTTGCAAGCTTCCAGCTTCTCTCTACCTCAATTCCTCATAGGTCGCATCGTTGCCGGGTTCGGACTGGGTATCATGACGACCGTGATTCCAATCTGGCTTTCTGAATGCAGTATGCCGAAATCAAGAGGAAGGATGATGGCTATGCAGTTGTCGAATCTCATCGTCGGGCTGATTCTGGCGAATTGGCTTGATTATGGCCTAGCAAAGTATGTGGGTTCGGTGCAGTGGAGGTTTCCATGTGCTTTTCAGGTTGTCTTTTGTATCATTGTTCTTTGTTTCATCCCCTGGCTTCCTGAGTCGCCGCGGTACTTGTGCGCAACGGGAGAGACGGACAAGGCAAAAATATCTCTGGCTGCGCTGCGTGCTGGGTACCCTGATGACGCGGATGTCATGGAGGAGTACAAGGAGATTGAATATGCAATCGCGGTCGAGGCGGAAGAAGCAGGCTCGTGGGCAGACGTTTTCAAAGATAATGGCATCAGCGGGTTCTCACGGGTAGCGATTGGATTTGCGGCCAACTTCTTCCAACAGATGTCGGGATGCAATGTGATGTCGTCGCTTGGTCCATATGTCTTTGAGGATTCGATTGGAATGACACGTAACAATGCAATGCTTGTCTCCGGAGGTCTACAGGTGTTCTATTTCCTGAGCAGTCTGATTCCATGGCTGATCATTGACCGAGTTGGACGACGCAAGTTGTTCATGATCGGGTCAACGGGAATGGGACTTTGCATGCTGTGTTCCGCGGTTTTCGTGGGTATTGGCACTACGAAGCTCGGATACGCCGCTGCGGTAATGCTCTATCTATTCCAGACATTCTTCACTTTGGGATGGCAGTCCAATATGTGGATCTATCCGAGCGAGCTGCTACCCTTGAAGCTGAGAGGACGGGGTGCTGCGCTGGCTGTCGTGTCGCAATGGTTGTTTACATTCCTGGTTGTCGAGATCACCCCGCCAATGATTACGAACATTGGATACCGGAGTTATATCGTCTTCGCCGTGATCAATTTTGCGACTGTGCCATTGGTATACTTTACTTTCCCGGAGACTAGACAGATGCCGCTCGAGGCAGTTGATCTGTTCTTTGCCGACCGGGACGGGAAAAGACCATCTCTTTGGCGCGTCGTTCAGGACTCTTTGAATCCCGACTTTGTTGCGGGTGTTAAACTCCAACTCGAAGAAAGAGCGAGAAACAGGGTCGACCTGAGTGACAAGCTTTCCGAAAAGGGCCAACACTTGGAGGTGGAAGAGGCTTAGTTCATGGTTGGTGGACATTGTGGCATTAGTGCATAGTCACATTTGCATCCAAGGAATATGACGATACATGGTTCAAATAAACACTTCAAATCCTCTTTGTATCTATAATCGGGTATTGATCAGCTTCGGCGCATGTTGTGTTAGGTTTCCAATTGATCAGCTGATCGGCTCAAGTCCGAGTATTGTCTACCTTTTAGCCGTATAGCCTTGTTCCCGAACACGATAACCGGGCTACATGGGGCTTGGTAAGTTTTGACCCCCGTGCGAAGGCTTATGCACGCTTGAATCTTGTTTCAACGATCTCGGGGCGATGTCCGATAGTTGTAAAGGGGCCGAATGGGGGTACGTGATGTCTTTACAGTAATGAATGATCAGTCGCCCAGGAAGAAGTTCTAAGGATGCTTGCTTCTATTACATGAGGCCGTCGACAAATTCTAGTTAAGGTGGATCATTAAGAATCTCTCAAGCAATTAAGAGCCACCTCCCCCAGCACCTGCCATATTCGCACACTTCCCTGACTCAGCAATGAGCATGATAATGAACCAAAGTGTCAAGCGCTTCTGCCACTCCCCAATGACCATGCACATGGCAGTAGCTATGATAATCTCATTCACTCGAAGTCGGGACTCCCGTAAGTTTGTTGACTCTGATTGTGACTTGAAGCTCACTTTGGGATCAGAGCCATCTAGCCCCCGGTGAACCTCGACCATCTCAAGCACCTTCGTAACTGACGAGTCGACAACCCACAACTTTCCAAACTTCTTTGACGAGAAATCCGAGGAAAAATGAGCCAAAAACAGTCTTTCTCTTCCTGGAAGCTCTACAACCAACTTCAAATGGTTCAGAGGCATCAGCCTCCTCGACCATTTCTCATTCACGTGAAGGTCTCTTGTACCCTCCCAGAAGAATCTAGTCCCTGCATAGCAAAAGTGATATCGTCGGGCATTTGTCAGGGGCGATGACCATTTAAGCTTGACGACTTTCTCCGCAGTGGCAGGCTGGAACTTCTCTTCTTCCTCTTTACCCTCTTCTTTCAATGCCTTCCGCCGGGCATTAACCATGCGATAATATCGCTTCCCAGTCTCACCCCACACCCGTCACGAGGAGACTTTGTACCCTTTCAATGCATGGTCATCATGAGAAGTGCTGTTGTCTGGTCTCGAGCGATGCTCCCAGCTCACCACGCCATGAGAGTCAATGATATACGGTAGTTGGGCACAAACTGTACGGAAAATTCTCGCCAGGAAGCCGAAGAATTGATAATGCAAAGAGGCTCTCTGTCCTTTTCGCTACCACGGCGAAGAGTGCGCGGTGTATTGTGAAATAGAGGGGCAGGTCGATGGACAAAGTAGCTGTTCGATTCATCGGATTTGTAGTGCCTTCTGGCATAGTCATTGGCTACTTCTTTGTGTTTTTTCCTGTTGTATCCGAACTCCTTCTCCAAGTCCATAAATAGGGTGATGCGGACGTGTTCTTCGCCTTCGTGGAAGACGTGGTATTCTGATAGGCGGTTTCTAGCGGCAAGAGCCTCTTCAAGCGTTGACATGTTCTTGAACGACGTATTTTGGGTCAAGGTAAACTGGCGGCCCGTTGACAGATGTTTCATAGATACAAGACAGGAGAAATCTGGGTGTAGAGCTTTAGAGGCCTGCTTTGCTCATATGCATCTTGCTAAGACTACAGATTCATATGAGGTAACCAGGAAAGGCTTTTTTGGCCCCGTGGGGCATGGATGCCTTGTTTTTCAATACTCCTGTATCTCGGGCGCAGGCATTTCGGCTGAACGAAGTATGTGGAACCCCAGCTCCGACATATAAGAACAGTCTATTGGCTCGTCAGGCATACTGTGAGGAGGGGCTTGGCTGCAAGGCTGTGAGGGTCTGAATTCTGATCAGGGGTTGGAGAATCGATGATCGGAATAAGAGAACATCAGAGGGCTGTGCATGATTACAGGGTAATTTGGATGCCATTTCGGGAATAGATTTAGAAGCGAATGATTGTTAAGAACGTCGAATTAGATATTCATCGGGTCTTTTTCAATCTATCGTCAATCCCCTAGGTCATCCAAGCTCCAGGCGCCTGTTCGAAAACATCTCGCTGTCACTTGGCGAGACGTTGTCGAACAATGTCGCCTTCAGGAATGCTTTGCCAGGAAACTTGGGGCTCGTGGTAAATATTGGACTGCACATGGGTGATTAGACGCATATTCATGTTCGAATGTTCAAGTCTACTTTGCACGTACCTTCCACAGGTAGAACAGAAATATCTCTGGGGAGAATGAAGTTAGCCTCGGTCGTCAAATTGGAGCAATGGATTCAGTACCTGCATAACATTCCCACTAAGAGTTTGCTTATCATCGTAAATCTTCAAAGCAGAGGTAGGGTCTTTCACTGTCAGATCATCTTCCGACATGAAGTAGTTCACGGAGAACGCTGGGAACAGTGAGCACGATACTACGGGTATTCATTGGAAGGGATCCCACCGCCACCAGCTCGCTTGCAACTGTCACTTTATCAACTTGTCAGTCCAGTCTCACTGCACATATCAGCCCCAAAAGTAATAAAATCCATACCAGTGGCACAAAACGGACTTAGGAGGTTGCTGAGGAAGCGTGACGGAGATGCTCTCGCAGTTGCAGTGGCCTGTAAAAGACATTTCGAAGCAGAATTCATCCCACTAGAGCCAATCAAACATTTCAAGCACGAGATTGCAGGGACACTTGAGGAGTCTCAATCTCAAATTTCTCTCATTAGGTGGAAGGTTACCTCGTCAATGTTCGCTACAAGCAGTAAGCCAACTTTCGCTTCCTTCGATAATGATGTCATTTCCATATACCACCGTCCCGTGGGAAACCGCCTCCCAATGTCAGAAAGAGGGTATGTTGGTATATGCTTCCTTACTCTACAACAATATGGATCGTGAAGGACTGAGATGGCTTGATCGAGAGACATGCTAAGGCCTTTCATCCTTCTTCCCTCACGCAGGTTTCCATGCCAATAAATCCCGATCTTGAATCATTGCGATTTTGGTATAGTCTTACAAGGATGTAGATTGTTCGCCTTCTCAGAAAAGTGACCACTTAGAGACGGAGGTGCAAGTTGTATTTGAAGAAGCAGTTGAGAGCCACGACATCATTCAGAAATGGGGTGTAGGAGGTCGGATACATCACGAGCGAACGTTGGGCGCCGAGTCAATTTCTACCTCTGGAACAGTATGAGTATTTCTTGTTCGCTACTTGGACCTCCATGCTATTGTTACAAGAATATCGAGCGTCGACCGAGAGTTTGAGCCGAGGACGAGGAATGACATCACTGAGCCTTTCTTCGCTGTTCCATGAGAACAGCCAAGGGGGTATCATCCTCATCGTAAAATTCCACATCTTCATCCACACCAAAATCACGAAGGCGTTCCCCATCAGCATTACGCCATGACTCTTCGCCATCATCAGAGTCATCACCATAGATAGGTCCAGGTTGGCCCTCCTCGTCACTACCATCTTGGTCGACCTTTTGTATTCGTTCGTGGAAACGTCTACGCCGTTGAACATTTGAAAACAGGCGACGACGGTTCATATCATCCGACTGGCGACGGTTGAATGCTTCAATCTCCTCACGAGCGGATGCGTAGGTTTGGAGTCCCGGCGAGGTGGATGTAGAAGGTGCCGGCGCTGGGAGTGGAATCCGATCGGGATCGGGCGGTGGCCAAGAAACTCCCCGGGCTAATGATTGTGGTTAGAAACAGGACAAGAACATAACACCAATATTCTCATGATACCTTCAAAATCATTGATGGGGAACTCCCATCCAGATTTGCGGTCCGGGGTTGCCGCAAAAGGCCAGAACCAGCTAAAAATCTGCGAAAGGTGTTATTCTAAATGTTCCACGGGATGGTAGATGATCACTGACATTGATAGTTCCCATTGCCTGGCTCATGTTTGAGAAAATCCCAATATCATATGGGAATTCCTGTTTCTTGATTCTGATCTTCTGGCCTCCCGGGGCGTCAAGATACCCACCCATAACGCGGGCTCGCCGTACAAGGGTCTCGTGTCTCTCAATTTCCCATGATTCGATCGTTGTGACATTGAACAAGACCGAATACATGGTTCGCACAAGAAGAATGAACAGAGCCACTACTGTGAGACTGTTGACAACGAACAGCAGGAACAGGTGACAAAGTTGCCTGAGACTGGGACCAAGATACTAATCTTAGGTTAGCTTTTGCCCATGATCAGCCAAGAGTCAACTTACACTAGGCATGTTTCGACTTCCCCAGACAACAGATCCCCGTTCCCAGAGTAAGGTTTCAAGGTAGCCCATGCCGACAACGGCAAAAAACAAGAAGCGGAAAAAGTGCGGGAAGGTAAAATGTGATACACAGTTTGATGTCCATGGGCAGTGGTGGTCCATCTTGGGAATGCATCTGTATACAGATCAGTTTATGTCAAATCTGAAACAATTTATAATACCAACCTTTGGCAGGTCTTGCAATGATGCGCCCGTGGTGGCTTGTATGCCTCACATCTACGGCACCATCGCTGACGCCGAGTAGCCTTGGCTTTTTCCTCTGGGCTGGTATTGACGAGCTTCTGGCTTTCGGGGAGCCGGCCAGGGTCTACATAACACGATCTGAGATAACAGACCCAGATGCACAGGGCAAAGATGTTGATCTTCCAGACTTCATCTTTCCGGAGAGGCACGGCTTCGAAATGAAGAAAGAAATACTGTGAAGTGTACGCTAGAAAGCTGATCAAAATGCTTACGGCTGGAACCGCCAGTCGCGATATTTGAAAGTCATCGCCGAACATCTCTGCGTCCAGATGTCCGCAATGTCGCCGAGAAGAGGATTCGAAAGCCTTGGCCGACGCGTTCTTAATTGGTGGCAGTTGGATGTGGTGACTAAGCGGATCTCGATCGGCCGCGATCCATCACATTCGAGCTTGTCATCGTCAACACTTCGCCAGTGATTGCAGATCAGATTGGATTGGTGTCGGAGATGATATATACCGACGTATGTGTCTGAGTAGGGTCCAGGAAATTCATGAGAAGCTGATTCACCATCTCCAATATGCCGATTGTGGCTCTTCCCCAGACCACAGTTCGCGCGATTGGATCTACATCTGTCATCTCCGACCCCTGCTCCGTGGTCAAGGAACTGATTGATAATGCTCTCGATGCGTCTGCAACATCCCTGCAGGTGGAACTTACACAGAATACCCTCGACGTGATCCAGGTCAAAGACAATGGCCATGGGATTCCTACCGAGGATCATTCGAGTGTCTGCAAACACACCTTCACCAGCAAGATTCAGACTGTGGATGACTTGAAGAATGTTGGAGGCTCATCGTTTGGCTTTCGTGGAGAGGCTTTGGCGAGCGTGGCGGAGATGTCGGGCGGCATCACTATCAGTACACGGTCCGCTTCTGAGGTGACCGGGACATGCCTGAAGTATGCGAGGGATGGATCGCTCTCAAGGTGTGTTCTGAATATTAGCTTAATATGGCTCAAGTAATGACTCGCACGCTCGGCAGTTATACGCGCACGTCTCATCCCGCTGGAACAACACTACGTGTAACTGATTTTCTGAAGTATATACCTGTTCGCAGGCAGACGGCGCTCAAAGACGCGACCAAAACTCTGACTAAAATCAAGAAGCTTCTTCAAGCGTACGCCTTTGCCCGCCCTGCTGTGAGATTCTCAATGAAAGTGCTCAAGGCCAAAAATGAGAACAATAGTTGGATGTACGCACCCAGTGCAGATGCAGGGATCGCCGATGCAGCAATCAAAGTTGTCGGAAGGGATGTGTCTTCATGTTGTGTGGTCAAGAATATCGCATCCGAGTCATTGAACCCAAGTGGCCATGAGTTGCTTGCCTTCCTCCCGAAGGCAGACGGTATGTGAACCCTTGATCGTATTTACGCTTGACTCATTGATGAGATAGAACTTGTCAAAGCCAACAATCAAGGACAGTTCATCAGCGTTGATGGGCGTCCCCTTTCCATAAGTCGGGGGTTTGGCCTGAATGTTGCGAAACTCTTCAAATCCTATGCCCGTGCCGCTGCATCACGAAATGAAGCAGCAAAGTCTATTGCGGATCCATTTCTGTGCCTTCAATTGAAGTGTCCACAAGGAACCTACGACATCAACATCGAACCTGGCAAGGATGACGTGTTGTTTGAAGATCGCGAATTGATATTTGGCATACTGGAGAGTTTCTTTCGCGAAACTTACGGACCATTGCCAGATGCTCAAAAGGCGAGCCCCAAAAAAGCACAGAAAGCATCTGTGGCTGCCCAAAGGAACACTGGGTTTGAGATCCTCATGTCCCGAACGCGCCCAGAGATCCCCTCCAATCAATCTCAAAGCCCAGAGATTCCCGCCAGTGTTGCTCCTGGAAGCTCCCTTTCTCAACAAAGCGGTCATCAATCATCGGGACCTTTATCTCCTGATAGCTATCACGACGGTGCATTTGGGAACGCAACTGGTGGTCACACAGCTACCGCGGAATGCCGAGGCTCGCGGTTCATCAATCCCTGGTCCATTTCGAGAATCAACGCTTCTTTCCAAACCCCACAGAGACAGCGCGCTCCCCAGTCAAGCGGACCTCCTACTGTTTTCGAAACGGCTCAACATAGCGACCTGCAACAAGATGCAGCCATGAGACCCGATTACCAGTCACCTCCCCAGAGCTCTGATATGAGCTCTTCGACGCCTGGGCCTGCATCGATCTCTTTGTTGGCACATCAGCGTCGATCCCAGCCATCCATGGGATCACTACCTGGAACCGCATCTACTGCCACCAGTGGCCGCAAGGCAGCAAGGCAGCGTGACAAAGAGCGATACGGGAATGGTGCGCTTGACACATTGTTTCAGCGCACTACGGGAGCATCATTGACTCAACAAGTACCAGAGCCAACAGCTGAGCTGGACTTTCAAGTTCCCACACTATCCCAACTTGCGCAAGAGAGGTTTCAATCGCCTCCCCAGCCTCCCCAGCCTTCGATCGGCGAAGTGGTCCCTGCTCTAGAAGACCGTGGAGTGGGAGATGAGTACTCCGAGGCTCCAGAATCTCAGCCTTCACCTCAAGAAGCGGGCGCATTGCCCACAGATCAGAATCAAGAACCAGAAGGCTCTATGGATAGTGGGCGAGGGTTTCCGGTTCTAGAAAAGTGGGCTGCAAGTCTTCATGAAGGTTTCAACCCCAATGCAAGCCTCGATCTGGAATGGGCGCTCGACTTCGAAAAGCGCAAGAAAGAAGCAAACCAGAGGAATCGCGCACGCCCCGCGGGCCGCGACTTCCAAGAAAGCTCTCAAATTACTACCTGCACGGGCCTATCGCCTCATAAAAATAGATACGTTGCAGCAAAAGCAGCATTGTCAGCCGACCAATCCGCGGCAGCAGAAACCACTTCGGTATCATCACTCCCTCAACATGACCCAAGAGCCTACCTGATGCGTTATGGAGACAAGCCCGATGCCGGAGGGTCAGCCAAGAACAGCGCGGCTGCACGGCGGCTTCATGCGAGTCGACTGCCACTTGAACGTACACCAGAAGAATACAATATCCACAATGTCTGCCTTCCGATGACTTCCGATCTGTCGCTCACGTCTCAGTTATTGAACTTGACGTGTCCAATCGACACTTATACTCACTTCGGAAAGGAAGCTGGAGCCTTCTCTGGTTCCAATACAGAATCCATTCTGTCCTTCTGGAACCAGCGTCTAATCACGCTTGTCAACGAAAAATATACGGCTGGCGACAAATTGCCATCTTCTGAATGGCCAATTGATCTCGCGTCGATCATCGAGCAACATCTGAAACAATTCCCAACGCATTGAAAGAGCATTTCGCATATGGCCCTTTATGCATCTTTACGAAAAGCTCATTTCTTTTATAATGCTGCTATAGAATTATCTTACTGTTTATTTATACCCCGTACGCATCACGCGCGACATGTCCCTATCAACATCTACCAGTTTGCGATGAATTTTCTTCTTCTTCATGAGATGTCTTTCGCAAATTGAGCCCTAACATGCATTTAATACACACCACCACCTGCAGCCTTTCCGAGGCTGCGAGCTCTTCCATGCCGCTGTGGACTGGGGACAAGCCTAAACCCGCCCTGAGCCAGTGGCTGAGATTATCTCCGCTTTTTGGTTGGCCTAATTTCTCCCATAACTGAGCAGACATAACTGAGATGGCTCCATGGAAGAGTAGACACGGGACAAGCTCCGTTTCCGAAAAATTAACAGCGTCCACGCGGTGCCGCGCAAGAGTCAACTTGTCGACATTCTCATATAACGTACTGAGGAATGGAAATCCAAGTTACGCGCCAGAGAGTGCATGGAATCAGATTTTTCTAGCTATCGTCGCGAGACTTTACAATTAACTTGGCAGACTCGCAGTCTTGTGGGGCCTTCAAAGGGGTTCCCAGTTTTTCTTGATTTGCTTCATGTACCACAACCGAATGTGAAACGCATTATTTGACTCAAAATTTACATTTCGCATCAAAATTGAGGAATGTTGTGTTAGAGGAGTCAGAATCGTATCAATGGACTATATCTTCAACAAGCAAGATTGCCCAACTTCAAAGGTGCGGCCGGAAACCTGATCCGTTACATAAGAGTGACATCAACAGCAAAGCATTCCTTTAAAACGCCATATCTTCCAGATCACGAATTGATGTTAATTTCAAGGCCGTCTTGTAGTCACGAACATGGCAGAGTCAGCCTCAATCGATGATCGTCTCATTGAGCGACTGACAGACCGGCTGCGCACGTCGTCGAGACTCGCTTCTGCAGACTTCAAAATGACGACTGGGGACATTGGAATCCTCAAATCCACACTTTTACCTTCATGTGGAATATATTCAGGGCTCTCGCTCGCAACCTTTGTTGCTGCCAAGGCCACAGACCGAGTCGAACTTAAGGACTGGCTATGGCCCTCCGGCCAGGTCGCCAATGCGTGGTGGAGCGCGGTAGGGCGACCGATGCACGAAACTGGGATTTCATTCTCCGACGCTTGGGCTGGGATCAGTTGGACTCAAAAAATACTTCTCGGGGCGTAACTATCTGGGGAACGCGACTGTTCGCACGAATTGCGAGCCGCTCTCTTGCTCGTGGAAAGGATGATTCGCGATACGACACAGTCAAGAAAGAGCGTGGATTCTGGAAATCAGCGTTGTTCAAGATTTTCTTGCCAGAGGTACTCGTCCTTAGTCTCATCTCACTACCTATCACTACGCCGTTTTCGATGAATCGCACCACACTCTCACTGAATTCAAATTCCATCAGTACGGTGCGTGCTCTAGGTGTCGGCTTGTTCAGTGCCGGCTTTGCGCTGGAGGTCTTGGCGGACACGCAGCTTGAATTGCATCGCAAAGAACGGGACGATTTGTGTCGACATGGTGTGTGGAGTATTGTGCGCCATCCCAAGTGAGTAGACTACCTCAACCTAATAAAGCTGGACATTCGGTGCTGATACCTTTTTAGCTATTTGGGTGACACCCTTGTGCATCTTTCATTTGCAATCCTCAACCTTGCTGACTCTTTCAATCCTATCGTGATTCTTGGACCTCTTGCTAATTACGCATTCCTTCGCTATGTTGGTGGCGACAAGCAGACCGAGGAGAGCCAGGAAGTGCGGTACCAGGTGAATGACCCCCACAAGTATCAGCAGTTCAAGCAATGGCGTCGAGAGAAGAACAGCTTCTGGCCTTCAATGCGCGATCTGCTCAATCCCTGGACATTGGCGGTCGCTGGCTGCGGTTTGATTGGTGTCGTTGTCGAGGAATCATTGAGAGCAACATGTACTGTCTAGTACAGAATAATTCGAGATGTTTTTGTAAAATAGTCATCGGATTTGCGCTGCAATTTCGTTCCACAAATCTCATCTAGTAATCATTGCCCATTCAATAAGCATCAATCAAGAGAAACCTTTTCTCCATCCTGTCCATATACGGCTTGGCCGACACTTGCCCTGCCATTCTATACCTACATTGCAGAGGCAAAGGAACCGTGGAGTGTATCCACCTCGGGCACCAACTATATTGATCCGCATTGACCGATTCCAGACACCTGCGACCCGGCAATTGGTAGGTATGCAGCCCTCGGTGATGCGACATCTCGTCCCTGAAATTACCCAATGCAGATCTTTACTGTTGGTGGTGCCAAATCGCGATTTTGGAGATGTATCCTTGTGGGGTCTCGAATGACACAAAAGTAAACCTCACTTGCAATTTCTATCTACTCAGTACGTCGACGTCTCACCTTGAGACTATTTGAAGATTCTCAACTAGGGCACCTGATCGACTTGCAGCTGCATCCAAACATTGGCGACGTGGAACATAGCGCGATGACCCAAATCACCGATCGCGCATAACTGGGTCAACGTGAAGAAAGAGCCGGGCCCATTTCCCGATGTTGAGGTGCCACCACAATTTTGAGGGGAAAGCCACCTGAGGGGGTGGATCTCACCCCTTCACCTCATGTCCCAGTGTTCAGACCGCTCCCTCGAAACGGGTTAATCCTCATCTGCAAAATCCCCACCCACAAGACGCCAAGGGCTGATTTAGATTATGCCTGACGGCCTGATTCGGGGTGCACTGATCCCTGGTAACAACAGGACAGCACACTAGGCTGATGCCGGCCATACTGGAGGAGAAGATGTCCATGCAAATCGCTCTGCTATAGCGGTTCAGTGAATCTGCGGACATTTGCAGAGTGCCAATCTCAAGCAACGAGATAGATTGACGGTCGCATTGCCTGTCATCTGCAAGGGCAAGGTGGACGATTCCGGGTGGGTAGCCCCATTAGGAGATGGCATCATCCCCTGAGTCGGAGGATTATCTCTTCAGTCCTCGCTATGAAGTGGCATCGACAGTTTCTTGAGTCAGATTGCGATCCTCGCCCGTAATTCTCCTAATCTTTGCAACCGGACCCACCGTTCTTGACTGCTTCGCGTGAGCGCTCCGTGCAGATCACCACCGGTCTCGACGCCGCGACCGTCTGCCACCCTCCAATGCAAGGCCATCAATTGTCGGCTCACCCTTCCATAAACTTCAGCCCCCGTGCGCGGGTCACCGACACCCGCTCACGACACTTTCTGGCCTGTCATAATTGAGATACTGCCCGTGGTACCGCACAATCTGTCAGACCCTGCAGAGTGATCCACTCAGCTTGCCGGTTCTAGTATTTAATCAGAATCATAATGACTCGCGACGTGCTGAAAACCGCTTTAATCTTATTTGCGGCGCTGGTTCAAAGCTAGTCTAAGCTCCATATCAGCTGCACCTGGGTATCACGCATGAGGAACAAAGTGAGCTGCACGGGTTGGCCGGCTCTTGATCACATCTACGAATTTAGACAAGCTCCCCTCCCGCTTTGACGCGTTTGAGACTTGCGATCATCCTCCCCACCAAGCCTGGTGCCAGCTACACACATAACAATGCCGGAAGGATCGCACGACCGAAGCCTCCTGCGCCGAGTGATTGAAGCCGCCCTCTTCCGCGAGGACAATCACTACCCACCTATGGCTGCCCACGCGGCTGCTGCAGCTGAGCGCAGTGGGATGCCAGACGTGGAAGCAGGCAAGCGCTTCACCCTTCCCGTGAATGATCCAGATCACCTCATTCCGCCAAACAACAAGCTCCTGATCTTTCGCGCGCTGACCGGTATCGACAGTGTGCCTGCTCTTACCTCGGGCGGCCATTTACTTCGTACCGCGCCCAACGTCGGCATCTATACGCGTGTTGTAAACAATGAGACCAAGTCTGCGCGCGCCTACCGTCTCTTCAACTGGCTGATCAACATATGTCTCGGCATCCAAATCATTGTAGCCGCCGCCGTCACTGCCGTTGGAGCAGCTAGCCGGCCCACACTCTGCCGTCACAGCGTTCGGTGCCATCAACACGATCATGGCCGGGATCCTGACCTATCTTCGCGGGTCCGGACTTCCAGATCGTCTCAAGGCCTACCAAAACAAGTGGAAGAACATTCGAGAGTACATCGAGCAACGTGAACGAGAATTCTGTTTAGTCGGCTGTGATCTTGACGTACAAGAAGAAGTCTTCATCGTGGAGAGTATGTACCAGAGTGTCAAATCGGAGATGGAAACAACCAAGAGCACAGGCGATGGGAGGTCTCAGCAGCCGGATGATCCACGTATCCGTCGCTCCCTGCTTCCGTCTTCCCACGAACTTAGTGGACAGCGAGCCGCTACGACCCCGTCGAAACGAGCAGAGGTGGTGTGCTCTCACCATTCTCGCGATGATGAGGCTGTCAGTCCAATCACTATTCCCGAGAAGACCGCGTAGAAGGTCTAACCGTGCGCGGAGCACGTCAACCACCGAGAATAATCGGCCGGCCGTGGCCCGGGTCCTATCACCCCAAGGAGATGGAATTAGGTTGAGTAGGTCCCACCTTGACCATTATACATGGACAATCTACAACTCAAGTTAAGGGTCAGTACTCGGGAATAGGCCACTCGTGCATCCAGGAGATGTTCCTGGGACCACAGCCTTTGCCTCATCGATGGCGACGGATCTTATAAAATTTCTTACAATCCCATAATGGTCATGATTCCAAAATGCTACAGTTTCTGGATACTATATATCAAACGCCTTTATCGCGAGATTCGTATTTTCTTCCAGCGCAGATGCGCCACGAGTTCTGAAAACTGGGTGGCTGCACCGGTTTTGATCCAAAATGGACCTTGAACAATGTCTCAATTTGACCATGAGCAGAAAAGTCACTCAACAGGCAACTCAGAAAGCCGTTTCAATTTTCAAGTGACGCTATGCAACAAATATCACGAGATTGAGCCCACCACGATCTCCAATTCAAATTTCGAAACTCTGACCCCCTAAGTCCAACCTTTCCGTGCTCGACCCACCCGAATTTGTACACGCGCTCACATCCGCAACGGACATCAATATCCCACACTGATCACCCACACCTTAACCCTCGACTGGTACATGCCGGGATGTGGGCCTTGTACCGAGGCTCTGAAATTTGAACATGCTGCATTCGAACCGTGTGAACTACAGCCCGGTCAATTCGACGGAGGGTTCCAATTATTGCGCCCATCTCAACGCCGCCAGAGTAGCGCTAGTCCGAAATGTGTTGGAATAGCTTCTACATAAGCCCAAGTATCAAACTTACTCGCTTCTCCATCTGGTGATCTACATTGATGCATGGTGCATAGCACTCTTTGTTCTACCACAGGGTATTTTTTCGCCCCCAACACAACTAGCGCCGATCTAATCTGAGTTTGGCCCCCGCCCCATTCTGGCTCATTTTTGCCATTTGAAAAGGAAAAAACCACCTGCATGACTTTTCTATGTCCTTATACGATTGGGAATGCACTATGGACTTCTCACTCTTTATGTCGAACATGTTGGGCAAGGCTGCCAAGGACGCCGACGACTTTGTCATGGTAGATCGATCTGGCAAGTGACGTTTCTCATGAACGAGTAACATGAATTCTTGACTGACGTTAATGACAGAAGCAAATGGCTCAACGAGTCGAGAGTCCCAAAGGACAACTCAAAAGATTAAAGACTGGCTGAATCCAACCGATTCGGACTCCCCAGCAAGCGAATTTAGAAAACACCTCCATTGCCATGCCCAGGGCACTGGAGAATGGATCCTTGAGACAGATCAGTATCGTGACTGGATTGAGTCGAAATCGGTCGGAAATCTTTGGATCAGAGGAATTCCTGGCTGTGGCAAGTCGGTGGTCGCAGCCAATCTCACTCGTCGGCTCCAACGCCTTGACGACAACGAACCTGTTTTGTTCTTCTTTTTCAGAGAGATCATTCACACGAACCGATCACCACGGTCGTTATTGCAAGACTTTTGCTGCAAGCTTCTCGCTTACTCTCCTGATCTTCGATCGGTCTTGAAGCAATTGAGACAGGATTTCCCGGAGGTGGGATCCGTTCCTTTCGGCAAGCTTTGGAAATGTCTGGCAACATCGCTGCAATCAATGAAAAAGGTGTATTGTGTTGTCGATGCTCTGGATGAAATGGAAAGTGGTCATGACGAATGGCTTGAGGAATTCCTCAATTTGGGCCGTCAATATCCTCAATCGATCAAAATAATCGTCACTAGTCGCCAGGTCCCATCTGTGGAGAAACACATGGGCGGATCCTCTCTGGTGGATCTACGTTTGGACCGTCGGAGAGTCGACCGTGATATTTCCACGTTTGTCACACAGCGACTGGAGCAAACACAGCTGGGCCTTTCCCCCACTGAAGTTGAGAAGATTACGAATGCCATTTGCGAAAGAGGGAAGGGCCTGTTCCTTTATAGCAAGCTCATGCTGGAGGAACTACTGCGGAGTCCCAGAGATATGTGCTCGCGAATTCATAATCTTCCTGAAGGCTTAGGCGACATGTATACCAATCTCTTACGCGAACATGCAACACGTTCGGGCACCTCCGCTGAATTCCAGAGGCTTGTTCTTGAATGGGTTACTCACTCAGCACGACCTCTACGGCTCCTTGAGCTTGCATCAATGATCGAATCATTGCCCGACCGAGGGGGCCTTGACCTAGAGTGCAATGTCAAGAATGCCATTCGAAATACTTGTGGACCTTTGCTCGAAGTGTGTGAGGACGGGGTCATTCAAATAATCCATCACTCACTCACGGAATTCATTCTCAATCGCGATGTTGAGCATACTAGAATGGCCAATGAAAACCGTGAAATTGCTGTCGTTGACTCCACTGCTGTTCATGGAATGATCGCTCAAACCTGCCTTCAGTACCTCTCTAATGGCTGTTTACGGAAATGGGCAATCGAGGGTCACAAACCAAACGAAAGAAAAGCACTCTTCTTGCAATTTTACTTTCTTCGATATGCGGTCACGGAATGGCCATTCCATGTAGCTAGAGCGGGTGATTCCAATGCAGAGCTTTTGCAGCAGCTTGAGCAGTTCTCTCAAGACGCCAATCAAACTGGCAATCAGAACTACGAAGCATGGAATAACTTATGGCGTTCCTGTCAAGGCGACGTTCCCAAACGGTGTTCCATCCTGCATGTCACTGCTTATGCGGGGCTGGTCTCATACGCCAAGTATCTCCTTTTCCGAGGACTCAACCCAGACACCAAAGACGAAGATGGCCGCACGCCGCTGGTATATGCAGTCATGAAAGGCCAACATGATATGGTTGAACTTCTTTTGCAGCACGGTGCTAGCCTTGATGTCAAGGTTGATAAGAGTTCTTCTGGCCAAGGGAAATCTCTTATCCATTATGCATGCAAATTAAACCGCATTTCTGTTCTACAAGCCCTTATTCAAGGGGGCGCGGATCCTATGGTGAAGGAAATTAGTGAGGGAGAGCTCAAAACATTCAATCTTTCAATGACCTCTAGCGATTCCCCCTTGTACCAATATCCCAAGAAGATGCTTACAGCGTTTGCCCTTTCCTGTCAGAATGGGGAGTCTGAGGCGGTCTGTGAGCTTGTGAAACTTGTCGACTCATCTTGTCTTTGTGAGGGTCAGCCACTTCATCTGGCCGCAAAGGGGGGGAAACATGAGATTGTTTCTGCTCTTCTTAAACACGAACATGTTCGAGGCACAATTAATGATCGAGACGACGACGGCAACACGCCAATTTATCTTGCTGCTCGCAAACGAAACGCTCGAACGGTTCAGGCTTTGCTTGATCACGGTGCCGACGTCAATGTCATGTCTCTGAACCGAAATTTCCCACCTGAACCTCCCATGCAAGACGAAAGTAAAGTCAAAGCTGCACCCTCCCCGAGCTACACACCTTTACATGCATGGGCCTTGGGTATTCCACGCGGCCAGCTTGACCCCGTGGGAAAGCAGGACATGATAGAGACTCTCGACCTGCTACTCAATGCAGGTTGTGATATCAATGCCCAGGATCACAGAGGACGTACTGTGCTCTTTGCATGGCCAAGACTTCATTGGCTCGAGATGAGAGCAGAAACATTCGTCGGCACTCTCCTCGAACGTGGTGCTGACGCTACTGTGGTTGATAACGATGGAGCTACGCCTCTTCACAGCACAGAATCTGTCGCCTATGAGGGAGTAATCAAGGCGCTCGTAAATTCTGGCTGTGATATTAACGCGCAACGGAAACAAGACGGCTTGACGGCTCTGATGTGTACAGCAATGCAGCAAAACCATGAGGATCCGGCCCTCTTCCACGAATTGAAGGCGGATTTCGACCGACAAGATTGGCTCGGAAATACAGCTCTCCATCACAACTTCATGAGAACTCCGGCTGGTAAGGACTGCTTCGCGGACACGTGGCTGGTACATTCAAATTTGAGGATACAAAACCATCTTGGCAGAACTCCTCTCCATGCATTCATGTATCGACTTGCTGGGAAAGTCAAGGGCATGACAAAAAAAGATTTCGAACCTCTGCTCGAGATTATCAATCACGGTTCCTCGCTTGAAAGTCGGGAAGGATTCGGACGGACAGCTCTTCTAGTCGCGCTGACGAATACCACTGGTGATTCCTTGAAGCTAGTGGAGGAGTTACTGCGACTCGGAGCGGATGCTCAAGCAAAAGACTATGAAGGCAAATCTGGTAAGTTTTCATTATTTCTGTCTTGTACCACTTGAATAGTTTACTGACAGTTGTCAGCTTTACATTATGCTTTCAAACCATGCCGCCAGGGTGTGAATGATCGCGTGGGCATCAAAGAAGTCGTTCGATGTCTCATTGAAGCTGGTTCAAGCATACAGGCCGTGGATCATGAGGGAAACACCATACTGCATGATCTAATCAGCAATCAGGCGATTTTTGAGCTTGGTCACTGGCCCAAATTCGAGAAGCAGGCCAATATGATCATCGAACTTGGTTGTCCATATCGACAGGTTAATTACAAAGGGAGAACCGTCTTGCACATTGCAGCAACAATAGACGGGGACCCTGGTTATGATAATCATGGAAAGGCCATGACTCGACTAGAGTTTTTCCTCCAGCCATCCATGCATTTCGATGTAAACGCAAGAGACAATGACGGAATTACTCCATTACATCTAGCATCAGCTGTTTCGGATGTGAATGCCCTGACTTTGATTGAACACGGCGCTGATGTTCAGGTTAAAGACCGCCAAGGTCGTATCCCTCTTCATTATGCTGCCGAGGCAGGTCAAAGCAATGTCGTTGGTCTATTGACGGAGATTCACCAGCAACAGTCAATTTCAATTGATCAACAGTGCGTCAAAAGAAGGTCTGCCTTGCATCGGGCCTCTCGGTCAGGCAACTCGGAGGCAGTCAAGCTTCTGCTCGATGCAGGCGCAAACCCCTCCTTGGTCGATGAGCGAGGGCGAACAGCCTTGCATGCAGCTGCGGAATTCGAAGAACAAACCCACGCTCAGAGATCGCAGACTCGATACAATGCCGAGCCTCCTTTGTTGATGAAACCAAAACCTCGTTTCCAAGACATCAGGAAAGATCCCTGGTTGGCGAAGGATGCATTATCTCGCATGGAGCTTGAAATCTCGGACGAAGAAGATGTCAAAGACATTCGACAGGTGGTTCGTTACCTCCTTGCTGCCGGAACAGATCCTCACCAAACTGATGAGTTTGGTCATCGGCCATCGGACGTGGCTGTGATGCTGAGATGCTTCCCGGTTGTTGATGAGTTGAAACACTCCATCACTGAGCCCGTATTGCAAGCTTTGAGTCCACTTCATGAGTTACTAATGACCATGAACGATGCTCAGATTCAGAAGTTGACAGAGTCCGTTCAAGTGCCAGATGATAAAGTTCAATTTCTGGAGCAGGCTTTTGCAACGGGCAACGATCGTCTTGTTGAGGAGCTTGTCCGATGCAAAAGTCTGAAGCTGGTTGAGGAAGAGGGAAGGCGACAAAATTCGAGTTTGTTCTGTCTCGCAAAATTGGGTCTGACATCGATGATGGAGCGACTATTACCTTATGTGGAAAATGTCGCAGATCTGCTTCCTTCTCTGATGGAGCATGCAGCTAAGCGGTCTCTATGCAACTTAGAGATGGTTAAGCTTCTGGTTAAGCAGTCAATGATACATCCAGACATCGTCTCAGAAGAGGGACTACAGCCTGTCTCCTCAGATGTGTCAAAAGATGTGCTTCAGGGAAACAAATCTAGATTTACGACATCTTTGATTGAATTCTCGGCTGGCAGACACTGGTGGCACCCTCGTGCCCTTGCAATCCTTCTGGAGGCTAGTGAATATTTGGAAGGGAGTTTACAAGATACAACTGGTGCTCTTCAGAGCGCCTTGTCGCCTTCAAGTGGCGCTGGGTTCATACCACGCCATAAATGGAACAACCAAACACTTGAAATACTGCTTAAAGATGGCGCCGATCCCAATGGTTCTCAGGAGAAGCGTGATTGTGCACCTCTGACCGCGGCCATTCGGGGTCAGTGTGATGTAGAAACCATCAAACTCCTTATCAATCACGGGGCGTCGCTGCAAAACAGACTAGAAAATCCTATTAACTGGGCAATCTACAGTCATAACCTTGCCGTCCTCGAGATACTCTTGGAAGCTGGCGCTGATCCGAACAATCCAGAAGAGGGCGACCGATTCCCTTTGCTACAAGCCGGTGAAAAATCGAGACACGGCCATGGCGATGCTGCCTTGTCTCTTCTCCTCAAATATGGCGCAGACCCTCTCCGGTTGACAAAGGATGGATCGACAGTGTTTCATCAAATTTGCTGCCGCAATTATCCGGTCCAGCCTTTCCTGGCATTGGGGATAGACCTGGAAATGGTGACTGAGCATGGATGCACTCCACTCATGGGTGCTATCGAAAATTGGTGGAACATAGAGGAAAGCTCATCGGCAATTGATTTGATCGAAGCTGGAGCAAACGTTCACGCGATTGATCACAGCGGAAACACCCCCCTGCATCATGCCATCATTCATGGCAATGTACGCATCACCAAAGTTCTCTTGGAGCGATCAGCATCAGTGTCGAAACGCAACAATGAAGGATGCACGCCCATGGGTGAAGCCTTGAGACTTTATACCTGTGAGAACTCGCGAACTCGATGGTATAGCATCATAAATCTCCTCTTGAGTGCGGGATCAAACCCACTAGAGGTTCTCACGGATGGCAGAACGGCGCTTCATTGCATTGCCACTGTCCTCATGGATTCAAGTAACATTGATCGAGAGGAGCAAATTGAGGAGAACGATGGCGAAGATCACTTCAACGAGGCAATGAAGCTATACCAAATTTTCCTTGACGCAGGATGTGACCGCGAGGCGCGTGACAACAAGGGAAATACTCCTATTTTCTATTACGTGAATGCGCCAAAGGCGTATCGGGGTCATGACTTTCCTGATTTTGCTCGTCCGCGTCACACGAATCCCGATGACTATGCGAAAATGTTTTCGGAGCATGATATCAACAAGTCCAACAACGATGGCGATACACTGTTGCACGTTATTGCTGGTCGAGAGGAAAGCCTCTGCGACGCAGACGAGGGCGAAGAGTTGTTTCAGGCTCTTGTGGACTTGGGACTGAGTCCTTGGAAGGAGAATAGTAGTGGCAAGACGGCTTTGGATGTTGCTGCGAGTCAAGAAAAGACGGAGATTTTGGCTTTGTTTGCTCGTGACGAATGAGTTATGCTTGGCACTGTTTCTCCCTTCATCACTCTTTCCTTCAATCTTGAACCTCCTTCGACTATCGATCAAGACGCGCAGAGAAGAGCCCTCATATTCAATACTGACTCTATGACTACCGAGTAATATGACTGATGGTCACGCTAGTCCAGTCAGTCAATTAGAACGAAAAATATATGAAAAAAAATGATACAGTTCTGCGCATAGAGGGGAAGGCTTAGGCTCGCGATCGATAATGCTCCGATGAATTTTCTTATTGTTTGTAGCCTACTTAGCCTACTTCTCCCATAGCATTAATTCATCACTCTTACACATATCTCCATATTCAGTCATCCCTCTCTGACACTTATCATCTAACATAATTGTCCAGGCCCAGTCCATGTGTACATGTTATAAAGATTGTTTGAAGAGAAGACAAATAGGTTTCAACCATAGCGCTACATTTGAGCATTGTGGGCACGGCCAGTCAATTGAAGCCTTACATAATGTGACCGGACTAAAATGACGGAGACTCGAGCAATGACCCAATCTCATTAGAGGAGCTCACTAGGAGCAAAAGAATCGAACAAAAATAAGTAAGCAAAGGGTCTCAATATAGAGATGACACTGAGAGACATATAACCGCCAGATTGAGTTCACCCGATCTCGATCCCAAACTTCCCCGAAGCCCGAAGCCCGAAGCCCGCCCTAATCTCGGCGCCCCGCACACCCGCCACGCACTCGAAGATTTGACACCACTCACCTCTCTGCCGTGGCCGTCATTCCCACCACCCAACATGGCCTTTGAAGTTGAGCCAGCGCATACATCTGATGCACCACAAATAGCACGCGTCTTCCATGCCGCCTTCTCGGACGCCTTCAGCAGACAAATGTTGCCACCGACGGAGGATGTGAAGGCATGGGTCATTGAGAACGTGGCCGGCGGCGCTGGCGCGCAGCCGCACGAGGCATTTTTGAAAATCCGTGATGATGAGGGTAAAGTTGCGGCATTTGCAAAATGGGTCCTGCCGCGGGATGCAGAGGAAGATCAACACAAACCCGATGCTGAGGGTTCATGGCCTGTCGGTGCCGATCAGGAGCTTTGTGCGATGTTTTTCGGAACAATGAGTGAGCATCATCGAGAGCTGATGGGAACCAGGCGGCATTATTGTATGTTTCTTTTTCCTCCTTCCCCTGTTGTGCAAGAGTTTTTTTCTTTTTTTTTTTTAACCTAAGCTGCACGTTCGTGTATGCGGTGACTTTGATTTACCCTGCATGGCTAATACATGACAGATCTCGAGATGCTTGGAGTTGATCCTGCGTATCAAGGACGCGGGCTGGCGTCTAAGCTTTTGAAATGGGGCCTTGCAAGGGCGGACGAGGAAGGCGTTGAGGTTTATCTTTCTAGTTCGCCACAGGGACGGAAGGTGTATGAGAAGTATGGGTTTGAAGCTAGGCATGCGTTCTCGCCATTCCCTGACTACGAGCAGTTGAATATGGTTCGGCCAATTCAGCGATAGACTCGTCGTTTCGACTATATGTGGTTTCGCGGCTAGAGAATTCCCTTAGAGTGATGAATCCATGCTATGGGAGAAGGAGGCTAAGTAAGGCTGCAAACCTCATCAAATATAAATATCTTGGTTTCCAAGCAAAATAAACAAACGCCTGCTGCGGGGTATGATTCAAAAAGCACCGATTCAGAAAAACCAACTCTACACAGTCCACTGATCCGTCCCTATACTCGGCAACAAAGAGTCTAAATCGCTCCACTGCTCAATCGAATAAGCCATCTGAAAGATCTCCTGCATTGGCATCACATAAGACGAATCAAATGCAGGAGCATCCGACACGAGGTTATCAAGCCACTCCGATCCGACCGCAGCGGGTTTCAAATTCTCAAGGGGCGCTCCGTCCATCCCATCGGGAGCTGCAATTGAGCTTTGCGATACGGAATAAGTTTCCAAGAGAAAGTCTATCTTGGGAGCTAGGCCGCGTATGATTCGAGCAGCACTTGCCGCGACTGCGAAGCATTTACCGAACATGTCGAATATGGCGATTGACATATCGACGGCTCGCCGGGCTTCAGAGACTAACTCGTTGTGTGGGTTTGCGAGGACGAAGCCGACAATGGTCATGGATGCGCTCCATTGCCATTGGAAGGATTCGTGCCAGCCAGTTAAGATTGTTGTGGATGACAGTGCTTGGTGTGTGATGCTGGTGAGTGTAATCGCATGAAGAGCGCATTTGGTGGCCAGCTCGCGAGTCAAGGCTGGTTGGCGCGCCGGAAGGAAGGATATGAAAGGACGATAAGCGTTGAGACCTAAAGTATGGTATAGCAGTTCCAGATTTAGGCGCTGGCGCTGGAGCCATTCGGGCGCGAATTGCTCAAACTCCATTTGAGAGCCGTCTGTTGAGAATGGTGCGCCATTCCCTTTTCGTTTCGTCTTCAGGGAATTGGGCACTTCTTCTAGCCATTGATCCACCTTGGACGCTTGAGATTGCAGATACTCAGCGTGAGATTCAAGTGTCTCTGGGCTGTGCCAAATTGACTGGCCATCCGGAAGGTTCAGCTCCTTGGAGTAGAAAGCCACATGGATCTCCTTGGCAATGGTGAAAAGCTTGACGTTATGAAGATGGAAACTGAGCCACGTCTTGTTTCCCCCAAGGGAGGCAAAGCGGGAGCCCGACTGCATGGCATTTTCGGGTTTGTCATCAGGAAGCCTGGGCTCGGTGGATGACCTATGAAGAGTGAATGGACGTCCAAGTTTCATGCCCACTTTGGCATCCAGCTGGTATAAGGCCCACCATAAGCGCCTGCGCAATTCACGCTCTGGTTCGGGCATTGACGATGGCGGGTCTAGATGAAGCCCGGCAGTATAGGCAGCCCGGGTTGCGCTACCGCAGGCATCGGCGGACATGTTTTGGAATGATCCATTGCACAGATAGATAGCGCTAAGTAGGAAGCACTGCACAGTCGATACAGTTGGGCTTTCCAAATAATAGCTTAGCATCATTTGGGCCCGTCTGAAATACGATCGGCCAGCAATGCTGGGGGTCGCCGTCGGCGATGGGCTTTTGTTGCTCTGGTGGCAAGCGAGATACACCATATTGCATGGACAGAGCGATGACGATGTCCACAAGCGCGCATGGCTTTCTTGAATCTCCAGAGTCATTCCATAAAGAGCGATAGTGATCCATGAATTCGGTCTCATTGATTACTGGGAACAGAGATGTGTGGTAGGACTTCCAAAAAAGCTCAAGAAAGTATTCCTCCTGTGTCGGGCTCAGGAACTCCCCGGTGGGTAATGGGTTGTCGGCTGAAAGAGCGGGGTGTGTCGAGTCTTCCGGAGTTTTTATAGTCTCAAAGCCCAGCAAAGTATTTGCAGTTCCATGAAGAACCATTTCTTTGGTTGAGCCCGACTGTTTCTGGTGAAGGCTCGAGTCTATGTAGTTGTTCATACGCCCGATGAAGTAAAAGAGCGATGACGGCCCGTACCACGACAAATTCGGAGAACGGGCGGTGCCAATTTCGATCCCTTCCCAAGGCTTCTGAGCCATAAGGTCATATTCACTCGACCTCTTCTCCGTCTGAGTCTCCTGTAGCGAAGCATTTGTGCGATTAGGCACGTATGGAGAACCACTCGGAGAAGTTTGCCCGGGTGGACTCCATGATGAGCTCACGGTAGAGCTAGCTTGATACTGGGATTTATACCAGTCTAGCTCTTTTTCTAAATCCCTGACACGTATTTTGAGTCTTTCAGATTCTCTAAATCCGTGATCTTGTTAATTCATGATACCACAAATTGCCGTCTTCGCGTATTCTCATACCTTAACGCTTGTGGCAAAGTCTTCGTTTCGTCCACGCCTGTCTGGATACACGGCTCATCTCTTTGAATACATGCTCTACACGGCCGCTGATTGTCGCACTTGGATCTTCTTGCGCGGCACCAGTCGCAAGCCCGAGTAACTTGTTTTCGAAGGGGTTTCACTTCCGGCACCTGTGCCGGCTGAGGCCGGCTTGTTTCGTGGCGAATGGGTATTCATGAGTGGTTTACGCCTATGCGCCACCGAAAATGATCTTCATCCAGACATTTTCAAGTCATGCCACTTCGAGTCACGTCTGGCTAGCCCTTGTGGCTAGAAGTGCAGATGGGGAGTGTCCGAGTGTGTCTCAAAGGGTAAGTCTGGCTTGTGGGGCTGCCGCTTATCATTTTAGTCAACAGATCTATGACCTATGATTGGCCCGATGTCAGCTGACTTTCTGCGTTTTGGATCGTTAAACAAACCCGTGCCTCGTTTAGGTCTATAAGATTCTTCTGCTTTGTAATATCTTTTCTGATTTTCAACTCACAGTTTTTCTCATTGCTTACTTTGCGAAATCCGTAGGATTTCTCAAAAGCGGGCTAATTTTAACAGTTCGCGCATGGTGTTGAACATCGGCAGAATGTCAAAGTCTTGAATGCATGTAGTAGGAAGTAAAATGCCCATTGATCGATGGGCGAGTTAAGCTGATAAAATTTTGAGGTGCATTTTTTCATGGATGTGTGATGAAACGGCGTGCGAAATGACTGATTGTCCAGTGCCAATGCCAAAGGTTTGCGGCCAAGTTGTCTATTCTTTCAAAAGCTAGACTGCGATCTATGTATACAAAATGTCACTCAAAAGATTTAATGCAGGATATTGTTGGTTCTTTGTATTAGTAGGTATCCTTCCAATAATCTTTTCAAGCCGTCGTTTCATGTTCACCCAGTCATCGGGTGGACGGCGTTCGGGTGCGCCTTCAAAAACTCCTTGCTGAAGGGATAATCATTGTAACCTTCCCACTGCTTTTGGATATAAAAGGTTGGGCGATTGTAGGGGGTAAGCGGAATATTGTGTTGGATCCTGAAGACCAGGTCTGGATTGGAGATGAAGTAGCGACCAAAGGCAACCATAACGTCCCAGTTCTTGTAATGCGTCTCTACTGCCTGAGCAGCGGATTCGGGCTGGTAGCCACCTGCCACCAGGACAGGCGAGTAATTGTCCCATACTTCAAGGATGAAGTCGAGTGTTTTGCCGATGTTGATCGCTTTTTCGCCTCGGACCAAAGCCCCAGGATCGCCGGTCGCCTCAACCAGAGACAGGTAGGCAAACTTGACGTTCATCTTTTTGAGCTCCGCGATGATATAAGAGTATAGTTCAACGGCGTCCGTCTTCTCGGAACCTTGGAATCCGGCCCAGGGAGAAAGGCGAATGGCTACCTTCTCTGCACCGATAGCCTTGACGACAGATTTGACGACTTCAAGTGTCAATCTGGATCTATTCTCGATGGACCCGCCCCACTTATCCGTGCGCCGGTTGACACTAGACGTGAGGAACTGGTCGAGCAGATATCCGTGAGCCGAGTGGATCTCAACTCCATCTGCACCAGCAGCGATGGCACGTTGAGCAGTCTCGGCAAAATTCTGGATGGTTTCTAATATCTCATCTTCGGTCAGAGCAGTGGGAATAACATCAACACCCTTCATGGGCACCGCACTGCTAGACCTGTATGGCAAGCCCCGCTCAGCGAGATGCGCTGGATTAGATGCTCTTCCCATACCCCAAATCTGCTGGAAAAAGAAAGAGCCATTGCGGTGAACAGCATCAATAATCTTGCTCCAGCCCTTGACCTGGTCATCAGTCACAAGGCCTGGGTTGTTGACTTGGCCTTCCTCGGCATGGGAAATGGCTGTTGCTTCAGAGATAACGAGTGTTCCAGGAACACAGCCACGATCGGCATAATATTTCTCCATTAATGGAAGAGGGATGTGGTCATCGTCATTGCGAAATCGAGTCAAGGGGGGAAAGACGATTCGGTTCTGTAATGTGACGTTGCCAACTTTCAATGGTTTGAAGAGCCGAGTCTCGGAGGGTACATATTCAGTAATTGCGCTGGGACTCATTGTGATTGAAGGTTCTCGAGATCCTTTTTGGAAGTACCGGAGTCTTGGAAATGAAGGAATGTGAAGCTATCCAGCCAGAACTTGGATAGAATGTCCGGTCTGTTGTCAGATTGACTACTGGAATATGTTGAAAAGAGAGATCCCATCTTTAAATAATTAGTCTCGGCCGAATACCTAAAATTAAGAATCTCTCCGAACAGTTATCAATCACGGTATGAACGGCAAGGGGAAATGCGGAGTTTCGGAGCTCAAAGAGCTAGCATTGGGTGTCTTACCAAAAAAGACCCACCTCTCCGAAACTCCGCGGTCCCGCAATTCCGGAACTCCGTCCACACGTTGACTGTTTGGAGAGTTCCCCATTTTTGCTGGCCTTGGAGTCTGGGGTGCTAGCGCTAACCCTTTGGTGCTTACGAACGCCTTAACTCCCTCGACTCCGGGATGTATCCTCGTATAGACGTCCACAGGCGCATGGTCGCAAGCGGACCTCCGGAGAACATGATGACACTCTGCTCTTCAGCTCGTCCAGAGCTTTGTATAAATAGATGAACATTCCGGTAGCATAGATTTTACATCACTCAGCATCTTCCAAAGCGTTCACAGTATCAGCCTCGAAAGCAAAGAGCAGTCTTCTTCTATATCTACTTCAACCTTTAAAGTGACATCTTCCACTTTCAAGTACTTCACCAATCAACTCCAACCAAATGCCTGCCCGCAAAGCCCTCATCTCTATCACTTCCGCGAGTGCCACTCTCTTTGATGGTAAAGAGACAACCGGTCTTTTCATTGTTGAAGCTCTTCACCCCTACAAGGCCCTTGTCGCCGCAGGTTTCGAAGTCGACCTCGCCTCAGAGACCGGCAACTACACTGCCGACTGGCTCTCCCAGCAGCCAGACTTCTTGAATGGCGAAGACCTGGAGATCTGGAACAACCTCAACAGCGAGTTCCGCAAGAAGCTCGACAACATGCCCAGGGCCTCAGAGCTCGACGGATCCAAATATGGCTTATTCTTTGCCTCCGCTGGCCATGCTTCTCTGATTGACTATCCCACTGCCAGTGCTTTGCAGAATATTGCTGAACAGGTCTGGGCCAATGGTGGCGTTGTTGCCTCCGTCTGCCACGGTCCTGCAATCTTCACCAATATGCTTGACCGAGCCACTGGGGAGCCAATCATTCGGGGAAAGAAGATCACTGGCTTCACCACCGAAGCGGAGAACACCATGGGAATCATGGCTGAGCTGAGGGGATTTGGATCCGAGATGGTGGAGGAGCTTGCTGAGCGTCTTGGTGCTAAGTGTAAGTTACTACCAAGCTCCACATTAATGCATCTTTACTAACATTCGCTTGTAGATGAGCGATCTGCTGGAATCTGGGATGACTTCCATGTTGTCGACGGTCGACTTGTCACAGGTCAGAACCCTGCTAGTTCCACTTCTACTGCCAAAGCTGCCATCGAAGTATTCGACAAGCTCTAGATACTGCAGGGCGGACATGGATCGTCTTCATACATACGGTGGAAGCGGATGTTTCGTCATTCAATGTCTTGTGCTGATTGTTTCCTTGGCCTTAAGTAATAATTTCGCGAATTAGCTTGAAATAGAACGTGCATGCTATTCCCTCTATATCACCATTTTCTGATTCCTTGAGTCATTGTGTCTAGACGCTCTGAGGCCATTGGTTATAGCTTAGCCCTGCTCTTCTTACCAGTGTAGCTAGTAGCAATCTCCAGCCAATCTTTCGGGAAAGTAGTTTTCTCCTTCCCAGGAAGCCCATACCATTCCGTCGCCAATTTTTCCTCACTTTCTTTCCACGTCCGCACCTCCCACTGGATCCACGTTCCCAAAAGCCGCGACATCGCCACAACGTTTTCCAATGGCACATTGTGATCGCAGCCCTCCATGACCTCATGCCGGACCTGCCCAGATTCCCACCCCCCATTCCCACCATACTCCGTCCCAGTCACCTTCGCCGCCTTCGTATGCGACCCATCTCTATACAGCCGACTCTTGGACCCACTAATGTAAAGCACCGAAGGCACGAGAATGGGTAAATTAAGCTTGATATTACCTTCACATAGAGATCAGCTCGTCTTGTAGCGAGAGCACGGGGTTCATCGGCATTGCCTCAACTCGGGTTACAGGAGGTCTCCGTTGCAATGGTCACGATATTAAGAGGTCTTGTCTTAGAAAGAAGAAGGCTTCGCTTGCCATTCAGGGAGGCAACTTGGTCGCTTAGAGCTCTATTCGAACGCCTATGGTCTTGCCTGATAGTGACAGCTGCGTCTTCTATTGATGGTTGTCAGAAGATCTTCGTCTCCATGTCTAGTTATTAAATAAGATCCAAGCTCTCAGTGCGGAGTAGATTTCATCCAAATCTTTGTTCACATCTCGCATCAGACATCATGGGCGGGGTCACGCCAATGCTCCTCGCCCGGGGGCCGCTAAAATTCTCATAGCTCCGCAAAAGGCTTGGTCTCCGCGAAGATTATCAAAGGATCAAGACGCAGCCTTTCCAAGAATCGGGCTGCAAGTACCGGGATTGTGTTCTTGACGTAGCCCCACGATGGCTTACCAATTCCCTGATGAGGCACCAACTCAGGAGGGTCCACTTGTAGATGAGAAGTGATTACAGGACCAGTTCATAGCTTCTTTATTGAAATTGAGAATTCCTGTTGTTTCGTATCATCGACGTTTCGATTCAAAAACAGAAACTATCGAAGACATAAAGTTCAGCAACTTATCGTGAGGCACAGTCAAGAATAGTCTCCGATTCACGAACTCTCATCCCAGCCACAACCTCTGACGTCAACCCACACACACATCGTTCAGTCTCACATTCATGCAAGCGAACTGAACCCAGAGTTCAAAAGGACAGAAAAAATGACCAAAGTGTTCATGTAAACTGCAATACAATTCGAGAATCAACCCAGCTAACGTCGCCACAGTACTGGTATCACAGGGTACATTGGAGGAGATGCCACAGCCACTCTCGTTGCCAAGCATCCTGAATTCACTTGTTCTGCACTAGTTCGCAGTACTGAAAAGGCCGAGCAAGTGAAAGCCCAGTACCCAAACATTGGGGTCGTAATCGGCGATCTCGATGATTCGGCCCTACTCGAGCGAGAAAGTGCCGCCGCAGACATCGTCCTAACGTAGGAACCCTGGCCCCAGCACGACCACCCGAGCTAAAGACTTTCGCAGACACAGCAGATGCCTCTGATCATGCAGGCGCTGCAAAGGCCATCGCCGCAGGCCTCGTCGCCGGCCACAGCAAGGAGAATCCAGGCTACTGGCTGCACACAGGAGGGACTGGAATCCTAACCTTTGAAGACTGCGACAAGAACGAATTTGGCAATTACAGTGACAAGGTGTATGATGACTGGAGCGGGGTTGAGGAATTGCTCAATCTTCCCGATCATGCTTTCCATCGTAATGTGGACCAGCTCGTACTGGAGGCCGGAACGAAGCATGCGGACGTGCTTAAAACCGCTCTGGTCTGCCCACCTACGATCTACGGTAATCCTTGGTTTCTCTGCCTAGAATTCACGAAACAATCGTTTTAACTGAGCCTTTAGGTCGTGGCCGAGGACCATGCTCTCAGCGCGGTCGCCAGGTCTATGAGCTCGCCAGCGTCACTCTCCGACTTCAAAAAGGACCCATCATTGGAGCAGGCAAATCCATCTGGAACAATGTCCACATCCACGATTTGAGCGACGTGTACCTGCTACTCGTGGACGCCGCGGTTGCAGGCCGGACTGACGACGGCCTTTGGGGACCCAAGACCTACTACTTCACCGAAGATGGCGAGCACGTCTGGGGTGAATTAGCCAAGTCTACAGCCGAAGCAGCCACGAAGCTGGGGTACATCCCCGAAGCCAAGGCCGAGTCCATCGACCTCGAGAGCGCCAAGAAATATGCCGGCTTCGAGTCCTTGAGCTGGGGCATGAACTCGCGCGGTCGCGCACTGAGAGCTCGTGAGATCCTGGGATGGAAGCCTTCCCGGCCCAGTCTGCTCGAAGAGCTGCCTACCATAGTTCGCAGCGAGTATGAGCGCATGCAGTAGATAGGCTCCCAGATTTAAAGCTTGCGACCATATGGGACGGCACGCTACGTTCAAAGACCGCGCCGAAAAGTTGCGGTGTGAGAGTCTTATATCCCAGACTCGTGAATCCCATCCGGACAGCTAGACCGGACACTGATTTGCAATGAGACTTATTCTGCCGATGCCACCAATCAAGAAGGCAACTTCTTTCCATGTAGGCATACACGTTCTGACCAGCGTCAGTGGCACATTGTACATTGCAGGGGACTTCAAGCCTCGTCGGCAGAATACAATCGGGCTGTCCAATGCCAAACCCGACCGGTGGCCTCCCGCAGGATTTACTGATCAGGGATTGAGCCGAGCCCCGGCTGACGGGCGGCGTCGGGATGGAATTGAGCCGATTCTTGGCATTCCTGGTACGGCTTTGGTGATTGTGAGCTGATATTGCGAGCGGTGATTCATACCCTGCTTTTGCGGTCACGGAGCGATTGTTGGCCCTGTTCGAAATCCGATTATAATTCTAGGTCTGTGTGGGCTGTGGTTGATCTTTCATATAACTTTCAGATAGACACATGTTTTTCCTTAATATTTTTTAAAGTCAGCTCAGACTATTTCCCGACAACCTAAACCTTTCTAGGTCGGGCTGTGGATTGCAATGGCATCTACTTATCCTGCACAGGTTTCTGAGAAGCCAGGGCCACTTCGTTCTGCTGATAGCAGACCGTCATCCACATTGACAGTTAATGAGAAAGATGAAAAGTTTGTTTTGGGACGCAGGGGGCATCCTCGTCGTTTTTACATTATGTGTACTTACACTCATGGCTGCTCTTGATGGGACTTCACTGTCCGTAGCTCTGCCAGTGAGTTAGTCGCCTATCGTATGGCATGCCATTATTGACCCATGAAGACTATAGCGGAAGATCTAAATGGAACGGCCATCGAAGCCTTCTGGAGCGGTACCTCATTCCTACTAAGCTCAACAGGTATGATACAATCAGCATAAGATAGGTCTTCGCTAATCCGGGGAAAAAAAAAAGTGTTCCAACCAAGCTTCGCATCTTTATCCAATATTTTTGGTCGCAGACCAATGGTCCTTTTCGCCTTGGTTTTCTTCTGCGTCGGCGCCATCATCTGCGCAGTCGCAAAGAACTTCACGCACATGCTAGTTGGTCGGTCCATCCAAGGTATTGGCGGCGGTGGAATCATCGCTTTGAGTGAAGTCATCATCACCGACCTCATTCCGCTTCGCTGGCGCGGTCAATATTTCGGTATTCTGAGCGCAATGTGGAGTGTTGGGTCCGTAACCGGTCCTATTCTTGGTGGTGGCTTTGCGGAGAGCGTGGATTGGGTATGTCTTACAAACTCAAATCAAAGCGCGGAACTAACCTTTTTCGTAGCGCTGGATTTTCTATATCAACTTCCCATTCATTGGACTCGGCGCTCTATTCGTGATCATCTTTTTGAACCTGAACACTATTCCTAGTTCATTGGCTGAGAAACTTCGGAAAATCGACTACATCGGCACATTTATCTTTGTCGGTAGCCTTTCATCCTTCTTGATCCCTTTGACGTGGGGTGGGGTTTCTTACCCATGGAGCTCCTGGCATACACTTGTCCCTTTGATCGTGGGTGCGGTGGGACTCATGGTTTTCGCATACTACGAGTACCGTTTTGCAGCCGATCCGATTATCCCATCCGTCATTTTCCAGAATCGCACCGCCATAGCCTCATTTGTCGGCAGTGTGTTACAGGGTCTGGTTCTCTGGTGCGCACTTTATTACCTTCCACTATACTATGAAGCTGTGAAAGAGTATAGTCCCATTCTGTCGGGAGTCGCCCTCTTCCCGGAGACCTTTACAGTTGCTCCTAGTGGAATGGTCGCAGGCATCCTGATTTCACTCACTGGTCACTATCGTTGGGCTATTTGGCTCGGTTGGACTCTTTCCACCATCGGTCTTGGCTTGATGTGTCTCATCAAGCCGGATACGAGCGTGGCAGGTTGGATTTTCCTCAACCTGGTCAGTGGCCTGGGACTGGGTCTTCTCTTCCCTTCTCTGGGTTATGCTGTGCAAGCATCAGCTAAGCCGAAGAACCTTGCTATTGCCGTTGCTATGTTCAGTTTCTTCCGGGCTTTGGGACAGGCGATCGGAGTTGCGGTAGGTGGTGTGGTCTTCCAGAACCAGATGTACAAGAATCTGCTGAAGTACCCGGCGCTCGCTCCGATGGCCAGCGCTTACAGTCAAGACGCTGCTGGCCTCGTCCAGGTCATCAAGGCAATGGCCGATGGTGCAGACAAAGTACACCTGAAGGCTGCCTACACCGACAGTCTGAGAATTGTTTGGGCAGTGTGCTGTGCAATCTCTGGGGCAGCTCTGCTGGTCAGCCTGTTGACGGAATCTTATGATCTGGACCAGACATTGGATACCAACCAAGGCCTTCGTGGGCCAGATGAAGAACCTTCCGAGAAAGACCTGGAGGCAAAGGCCGAGCATGATATTGAAGCGACCACGCCCATGGCCTGGTAGTGAGATCGGCGGAGCTGGACCTATGGGCCGTCATGAGTTACGAGTCTAGAATGTACAATATAGTTTATCTTCAGCCCTAATGACAATCCCCTCACATATACTCTGGTCTATACACCTTGATCTCCCGCTCATCCTCTTCCTCTTCATCCTCCACCATGTACCCAACACCCCGAATCAATGTCTTGATCCCTTCGCCTCTCTTCGTTTTCTCCCAGGCTTCCACCGTTTTCTCAAACGGGAAAACCTTAGTGATCAAAGATTTCAGCTCAATCTTCCGCGTAAAGGCCAGCTCTAGCGCCATCTTATAGTCTCCTGGTCCATACCGGAAACAGCCCTTGATATTTATCTCATTCTCCGAGACCGTCGAAATCGGGAAACTGACATTACGCTGCCCAAGCCCCGTTTGCACAAATGCGCCTCCGACTCTCAGCGCATGGATACCCATCTGAACGCACGTTTCCGCACCTGTGGCCTCAATAGCAACATCAAACCCTGAAACATCCGTCTCAGTAACATGCGCGTTGCGATGCATCCCTCTCAAACACTGAGCATTCTCCTCGGGCGAAAGACTATGCGTCGGAATCGCCGACGAAAAAGACAGTCGGCCATTCGGCACAAAAGAGTGCGCAAAGTCCAACTTGTCACGACTAATGTCCACCGAAGTAATCATACTAGCTCCATACTCCCTCGCAACGGCTGCACAGAGCAATCCGACCGTCCCGGCGCCAAAAACCACCACCTTGTCTCCGGGCTGAACCCCGGCCTGTCTCACTGAATGCACCGCAACAGCCAGTGGCTCAATTAGAACAGCTTCGTCGAGCCCAAAAGACCGCCCTACACTGGTGGGGATCTTGTAGCAGCAGTCAGCAGGCATCTTGAAATACTTGCACAGCGCACCATGGTTGGGTGGACTAGCGGCGAACTTCATCTGCGGGCACAGATTATACTTTCCCAACTTGCAGCGGCTGCAGAGTCGGCATGCACGGCCGGGCTCGATCGCGACAGGGTCGCCCGGTTGCAGGGTGGAAACAGCGGGCCCGACGGCGTGAACGATCCCCGAAGCTTCGTGGCCCATGACCAATGGGTTCGAAGGAGAAACAAATCTTTTAACGCCGCCGTGAGTCCAGAAATGGACCTGGTTGGGGCGAGTCGTTAGTGCATGTTGGAGGGTTTGGGGGTTCTGGTGGGCTAAAGCAGGAGAGACGTACGTCACTTCCACAGACGCCGACATAGGCAATGCGGATGATCACGTCGTATGGATCTTCGATTAATGGGAGAGGGCGGTCTTCAAAGCGGGCGTCTCCTGGGCCATAAAGTAGACATGATGGGTTTTGCATCTCCGGTGTGCTGGATTGGACAGTTCGGAGCCAGGTGTTTACTGATGTTGGGGTCATCAACACGGATTGTCCTGGTAGGTAACACTTTGAATTCACGATAAGTCTGATGTGGAGCCTTGGGCTGGAAAAACAAGTTCTAGGAATGGGCTTTTGAGTCTATTCTGGTGTTAACTTGGAGGAGGGGAACTCGAGTGATGGAAGTGATGGTCGGGAATAGGTGGGGACAAACCCCACCATCAGATGCTGACCCCAAACAGAGGAGACAAGGATGAGATACGTCAAGAAAGAAAAGTGAAGAAAGAACTTGATATCACTATGAACTGTCCACCGAAGATCCAGTCAAACTCCATCCGAAAATCAACACAGGGGGTCATGACATCGTTAAGGGGGCGGGTTAAACAAGCACGACGAGAGCGGCAGATCATATCACTCGCGACCTAGAACACGCAACCGCTCTTTAATCAGATCCACCTCTTTGTCCACATCCATTGCGGCCCTCTTCGCCACTTTTTCGCGGTCTCCGTCCTTCAACAAAACCGATCGGTACTCCCCATCACCATCGGGGGCGCCAACAGTCACCCAGACGAACTTGGATCCGTGGACCCCGGTCTGTGAACGCTCTTGGACGCCCTGCCAGAACATTTCAGGCGGCACGGACCCATCAGCAGTGGTGCTTTTGGCCAAAGGACGACCACCTAGCCGACCGTGCTTGATCCACCCTTTCAGAACATCTTGGATGAAGCTAATCTTTTGGACGAATGAATTGGCGTCGAGGATATCGCGAATTCGGTCCTCAACCGAATTGGCAGAGCCACCATTGGCAATGTTGAGGAACGTCGCTGCTTCATCCGAGGCCACTGCACGAGTATCAAATCCGGCGGGATGCATTTTACCCTTCGCGGAGAAGTAGCGGGCCGCCGAGGGCGAAAGATGGTAGAAGTCAACCCAAGGTGAGGAGCTGCGAGTACGACCGGGTGAGATGACGAGCTTGGTGTGATCGGGAAAGTTGAACTGGAAGGCACCATCGCCGAAACCCCAGATGCCGACGTTCCCAAGTCGCTGGTAGAATTTGATGAATTGACCGTTCGTATGGGCCGAGACTTCATCATTCAGACCTTCATCGCCATGTCGACCAAGGGACCCGATCATATATTTACCGAATTGGTCGACCAACTTGATGCGCTTGATCTTCTCGGCATCTGCTCTATCAATGTCCGAGCCGCCGCTGACACGCAACTTCATGACTCGGGCGCTCTTAGCGTCAAACAAAGATGGGGAGACGTAGGACCTGCGGATGCCACGACATCCCAGGAGATCATCGTCGTGATTTTCGTAAAATTCCACGGGATTGCCATTGCGAGGGATCAGCTGGTCTGCCTCGGAGTACGGGATGCCCTTTCCTTCCTCGCTGTCTACACTGCGCGCCTTACGACGAATGTGTCTTTCCCCATCGCGCACCAGAACGCTCGTTGCGGGTTGGCCGTTCTCTCCTCGGAAAACACATCCCACGCTTCCATCGTCGAGAACATAACCAATGCCGTAGCGGTTGGTGTAGTCCACCCATTTGATGACGTACGCATGTGGCTGTTTTCTTGAGCTACCGCGACGTCGAGCAGGAGCGTGGCTTATCAGGTTAGATAACATCAGACGAATATCGGTGTTGACATCGCTGAGAGATGTTCCAGGCAGGAGCTCGCAGAGATCTTCTTGATGGAAAAGGGGACTCAGGCCAAGGCTGGAACGAGCTCTCTGTGATCCTGTCTTGCTGTTTGAGCGGGCGAGGCCCTGCGAACTAGACTTGGAGCTTTGATTTGACGCAGAAGCCATTTCCATCGGAATGTCCCTTGGCCGCTCAGCTCTTTCTGCAGTAATCCTTGGGTCTTGCCGCGCTAGTGATCGCAAAGATGGCTGGCGGACTATTGTTCGAGGATCTTCCGGCCGAGAAGATGAGAGGGATTCAGGGATAGAAGGAGATGGCCCTTGTCCGGCGGCCTCTAGTCTTCGAGATTGCGATCGCGTTTTGCCATATGTGAGACCAGACGGGACGCTGGTAGGTTTCGTCAATTGCGGCGCCATAGTCTCTTTCAAACTGGGAGCGTTAGAAGCGGAAACCATTCTGCGAGTACGAATAGGGCGTTCGGCCAGGCCGCCCGAAGGTGCGTCAGTGGCAGCTAGCAAGTTTTCGGACTCCCTGGGGTCGCGGTAAGGTCGTGAGGAAGACTCGGGCATTCCAGGAGCTCTGCGAACAGAGTCCATTCCCGGGCGTGCTTGTTGCCGAAGAGTCGCGGCATGGTTCTGTCCCTCCATTTTCCGTTGCTGTGCAGCAGCAAGCGCTGCACTGGTTCTGGTCGTTGCCAATGGGTTGGGACGAGAAGACACACTGCGTTTGGATAAAATGCTACTATCAAGGACAGACTCTTCTGTCCGGATTGCCTTCCTTGAGCTGTCCATCAAGCACCAATCGCCGTCATAATCATGTGGCCATCGATACACAAAGTCATCTGGCAAAGGAATCGTCGGGCGCAGACCTCTGGAATCCTCGGTTTCACATTCGGAGTACGCTGATTTCGAACAGTTCCTACCCACAGATTTCCGAGCTGTCCCATCAGGCTTTCGTCCCACACCACACAAGGAATAGAAAGCCGCCTTGCATGAATGGTACCGTTGGCTTGGGTCATCCACTTGATACACATAGGCGCGTAACTTCTCATCAGAATCTAAGCCATAACCCCGGATCATCGCATCACCACGAGGGGAGGCATCTTTCAGCCAGATCGGTTTGTTGAAGCGGCAAGCGGGATCCAGTTGGCGAGGAATGCAGCCATCATACATGCTGAAGAATGGATGCTCAACAATGTCATCGGGATCAGGTCGTTCTTCATCCACAAGGTTCAGACAGGCGCTAACGAGGTCTTTCGCCTCGTCGGGTATATAATTGTTGTGCTCTGATTCCTTGGGCCAAACGTATGTCAGGCTTCGTACTTTCTTGTAAATTTCTTCTTGAGTTTTCGATTGGAACGGCGGATAACCAGTTAACATTGCAAAACTGATTGAAAAGTTAGCGCACTCAATTTAAGCCGAGCAATAGGTCTTACCAAATAACACCAAGTGACCAGATATCGACTTTTTGGGTGTGACCACCTTTGCTTTTATCAAGTACTTCTGGTGCGATATAATTGGGCGTTCCGCATAACGTGTTCCGTCGCTTTGCGTCCTTGTCGGACAAAATTATTGCAGCCAGTCCAAAGTCTCCAACCTTGAGGTTCATGTTGTGGTCCAAAAACAAGTTTCCCATCTTTAAGTCGCGGTGGGCCACGAACCGTTTGTGTAGATACTTGACAGCCGAGCAGAGCTGAATCATGAATCTGCGCACCTCCGGCAAGCTGAGACACCTTCGCTTTCGAACCATATCCATCACTGAGCCGTTCGGACACAGCTCGAGAACAACGTATGTGCTTTGGCCGAATGCGAATGCGCGGAAGAACTGAACAATAAAAGGGTGTCGCATCTTGGAATGAATTTGGAGCTCCGTTCGAAACTGCCATTGTGATTAGCGCTTCCTGTAGAAGACTTTTTTCGCAACTCAGCTCACCTTCTCCTCCATCTTTTTCTGTGGCATGTGCGATTTCACAACTTTCATTGCGAATACTCGATTATTGCGCGCTAATGTGCCTTCGTAGCATACAGCAAATCCTCCCTTTCCCAGGAAACCGCCAATTGCGTACCGCTCTGATCCATCCTCAGGCTCGGTGACTATTGACGGCGGCGGATCGGCATGGTTCTTCGATGTGGAGGGCTTTGGCGCAACACCAGCAGCATTTTTATCGTGTCTTTCACCCATCTTCTTGTCTACCACAGGCTTGGGCTTTATCATCTGATTTGTGCTGCGCGGGGACAGGGCCTCCATTATTAATCGAATCGACGTTTTCGCGGTCGGCGAGGAGATTAGGATGATCGCAATAGGTCTCGGATGTCACAATCTCGCAAAAGAATACCAGGCATAAAGTTCATGAGTAAATCAAAATGTTGATTGGTTGTGCAAACGGGGGTATCAAGGTACGGCAAGCGGGTGATCCCTGTAACGATCAGATGGTTAGTACTGCACTCCCCAGCAAACCGAGTCGGGGACGACAAGTACAAGCAGGGACAGAACACACCAAAATTCAAAGCGCTGAAGAAGCAAAAACTGTACAAAGCTCGCACAAAACGACAGGGCGCAACTCGACCGCGAGTTGTAGTGGGGAAGAAGCTAAAGTGAAGAGTCGGGCCATAATAGTTTTCCTGATTGGGAAATCGATAAACAGTGGTTGCCAAGTCACCTGACCGTTTGATGTCACGTGTCGTGGCACGCTGAATAGTTTCGGGTTGGCTTCCAATGGTGTTCAAGATGGGCCATTTGAGATCGTCGGTTGATTTTCATGGTCAGAAGTAGTATTTGCATGCTTGTGTAGAACTGATGGGTCGACTTCAATTAGGATGTAGCTTTTTTCCCAGGAATGATACATATTGCATCACCCGTCTTGATCGCTAAAACATATTTTATCTTGACGATCACTCACCCCATTCCATTGATGAACGAAGGACGATTGACAATTTTATCTGTCACGGAAAAATTGAGCTCCAGTATAACTCGGCTCAACCAAAGTAATCGGCATGATGTTACAGCCAGGATTAGGAGATCCGTCGGCCTCTATGTTACTTGGGCAGCCTGAGAGGCCTTTTCCATGATCAATTCCCAACTTGAAAAAGTTTAGCGCGCAGTGTGGCTTTCTATCCATATTTTGCATGAATATGACGACTCGGGCCTGAATTTGGTCGTGCCGGTAAACTCATTGTGACTATGCGCGTCGTAAGGAACACATGAAGCAAGGTGGTGGCCCTCACGGTCTTTGAATATTGCTCGGGCACGCTAAAGATCATACAGAACCTCTTCACACCAGACTTTATTGCGTAAGCAGCAGGATTCGGCTTGCAGGAGTGTAAACGGACTAACCGTGTTTGTCGTGGGCCGCATTTCTCGTCTCATATTTTACTTGACTGCTGCAATCTGGCTTATAACGAACCGCTTTTGCTTTGCGTTACTGGACCTGACACGGCTTGTTGTGACTTATGGGCATTCTTCTCCATTCTCGCTCTGCCTGTCTTCTTTTTTTCTCCTCAAACCTTCGTTCTGCAATCTGTAAAATGAGCACTCTACGATTTGTCTGTAAAACTATGGTGAAGTGTATTATGGCGATCTCTGCACACGTCCTCTGAGGCTCTTATATTTTCTTTGAGGAAGAAATTTCGTGTAGGCATAGAATGAGAGTATTATTATGGTGAGAACCAAGGTGGATGCATCCTGAGGCACGCAGACCCCGTGTAGCTGGCTTGATTTTACCAGATTATCTCTATTCTCTTGATCATACATGGGAAGACCCGCTTCTTCACCGCTTTTCACTCGAAGGATTATTTTTGGTGAGAGGAGAACAGCATAGAGCAAATCAAGACTTGCCGTAAGAACTGGCCTGATCAGAGATTGTGCTGAAATCCAGGGACTCTCTCAGGTGGCGAGGCGGAAACGTAGATTATAGTGATGGTATTGGATATACTTGGCACCAATCAGCTCGCATGGCTTAGTTGGTAAAGCGCGTGACTAGTAATCACGAGATCCTCGGTTCAAATCCGAGTGCGAGCATTTGTTTTTTTCTTGACTTTTCTTGCACTTTTTTTTAAAAAAGCGAAGAGGAGAAATCCCTGATTTCTGCATCGATGTCCTGGATTACCATCCTAGTAGCTTCCGATCAAAATCGAGTGTGAAGATACTCATTTCCTTGAGGCATGGATGAACGGTTGGGTAATGCATCAATGGTTTCTAAGCCCACCTGGCTGACTCACCACGTTAAGCCGCAGCGCGGGTGGGGACCGCCCCGAGGCGGTGCCTGGAAGAACATCACGGCGCGGGTTTTGACCTGAGTCAAGTTCGAGGCAACTTAGCTCGCTCGCCCATCATCTGCACAGCATGTCGCTTACACTCAAGCTGTCCTCGCTTGCGATCCGCACCCTCTCAAAACCTATCGCCGTACGTTCAACTACCTCGTCTCCATACAAGCCAGAGCTAAGCTGACAGCTTGCAGAACCAAATTAAAGCCCAGGCTCGCGAACATGAGCGCTTTCGCCATGTGTGCGTATCAATGGCACAAGCCCTTCACCGCTTCGACATGCGTCTTCGACTAGGTTCCATTCGCGACTCGAGTGCTTCACAAAGACAAGCTGCCGCCGAGGCTGAGGTCAAAAAACATGCCACGACAAGCCCGACTGTAAAAACACAAGTGGAAACCAAGGCCGAGGAAGAGGCTATTGAAAAAGCCAAGAAGGCAGCAGAGGAAGCAGCGAAGCCCCGTCATTATCGCATTCGACCCTTGTCCGAATCGAAAGCGATCGAGTCCGGCGCCAACTTCATCAGCGAGACTTTCTTGTTCATGGTAGCCGGGGGATTGATTCTGTTTGAGTCATGGAGGTCGCGGCGCAAGGAGACTACGCGCAGAGACGGGGTTGAGGAGCGACTGGCCGAGCTCGAGCAGTCAGAGAAGACTGCGATCCAGGCACTAGTGGCACTGGAGAAAGAGCTGCTGGCATTGAAGGCCAAGCATGGCGAGTTGCCAAAGCCTGGACATCGAATTTTGCCTCGCGAGGTATGGGAGGCTCAACCTGAATCCGAAGAGCCGGCCGTGAAGGAGACTTGGTGGACTAAAGCTACGTCCTACTTCTCCTTTGGACAAAGTGCCTCCACGACAGCATCAACAGCTCCTGCCACCCAAGATTCACATTCCACGGACACAGAACAAATTGGACAGCCAGCTGCTCCGGCAGGTCATACTCAACCATCTGGGATCAAGAGCTCATAAGACAATTGCTCAACAAGCCAATATTTAAATTCCATGCATTGCTAGCGATTGTTTTTGAACATTGATATGAGGCAAGTTGTCTCTATGCCACCTGGCTACCAGGTTACTCATGAAGAGTAGGGGCAGTACCTATTTCAAGGATCATTGACCCTAGTCAGTAGCTCTTGAGTCAACCGGTCTGCTGCTGCGATCGCCCCGTGATACCCTCTCCTACTCCAATCCTCGCAAATAGATTTTTTTTCTCATTGTCCTTGCATTGCATGTCTCCACTTTTATCACTCATCTAATTCTTATCAACATATCGTTCTGTTTTTCTAGTAGCTCAGCCGTAAGTACTGGTGCTGTTTTGATTTAGATATGATTCCCATAGTAATCAGATGCACACAAGGCGGAGAGCAATACATATTTATGCATCAGTCTGCAGGGCAGAGATATTCATCGATCTGGATTCTGTATAGTCTCACAGATAACAGCGAAAATGAAACATATAGTACACTGGGGCGTGCAACGGCATTCATCGGGTTAGACCTTACATTGGGGGCTCGCCACTTAGGTGACCACAGGCCTCAAGAACGGAGACTATGAACGCACACAGGGACAAAAACAATTTTGGCGCCTAATGAGTGACAAAGCAACGAGCCTTACGCAAGGCCCGGGCGCTTACGAGCCCCTTCGGGCGTCAATTTGCCATTCGGGATCCTCATGCCGAATGACGTCGGTGCTTCTATTTTGAACTGCGGCTCCAGCCACAGCTGGCTACGTTGCTTTTCAAGAGATACGCAATCTCTAAGGGTAAAAGGCCCAAGGAGAACCAATAATCGTTGGGTTATTGACGGATGGAGACCAAAATGCCGAAATAACCGCCCCTGAGGTAGCGGAGACCCTGGTGTGGCGCAGTCTCCCCAAAGTGTTTGGTGGGTTTGCGCGTTGTACGTAAGTCCGGCTTCCGCTTTCCCAAGTGTTCCCTAGTGAGATTGACATCTAGTCATTCCAATTACCTGTCCAGGCCTGCCTTCGTTTACACTTGGTCTACCTCATATCGCCTGGGCGCGAGACACACAGAGGTCGACAAAACATGGTGAGTCAACGCCCCAAGAACGATCCGAGCGGGGAGAGACTGACCACCCCTCGTGCGATTCTAGGGTCAATCACGACGCCCCGTAGGCGGGGAGAAGAAGAGTCGCTTCGGGCGCAACAAAGCAGTCGGCGACGTCGGTGACGGCCGTCAGACTGGCAAGGGTCAGATCAAGAAGGCCACATTCGAGACCTCCAAGAAGAAGGAGATCGGTGTGTCCGACCTCACCCTGCTCAGCAAGATCTCCAATGAGGCCATTAACGAGAACTTGAAACTTCGCTTCCAACATGGCGAAATTTATGTAAGGGAGCGCCGTCGCATGCGGACTGCGGGATTGCGGTGCGCGGACCAGGACACGGGCTAACGATGTCATACAGACCTATATCGGACATGTGTTGGTGTCTGTCAACCCATTCCAAGACTGTAAGTGGTATCAGCGACGTCGCAAGTCGTGGATCAGCTCACTAATTTGCGACTTACTAGTGGGCATTTACACTGATAAGGTACTCGACTCCTACCGCGGCAAGAACCGCCTCGAAGTCCCTCCCCATGTTTTCGGAGTCGCCGAGTCGTCATACTACAACATGAAATCCTACAAGGACAATCAATGCGTGATTATTTCGGGAGAGTCTGGTGCTGGAAAGACGGAGGCCGCTAAGCGGATCATGCAATACATCGCGAGCGTTTCCGGCGGCAGCGACTCGTCAATTCAACAGACCAAGGACATGGTGCTTGCTACAAACCCTCTACTGGAGTCCTTCGGTAATGCCAAGACTTTGCGCAACAACAATTCGTCACGATTCGGCAAGTACCTGGAGCTGGAGTTCAACGCCAATGGTGAGCCGGTGGGTGCCAACATCACGAACTATCTATTGGAGAAGACCCGTGTCGTGGGCCAAATTATGAACGAGCGAAACTTTCATATTTTCTACCAATTCACCAAGGGCGCGCCGCAGAAGTACCGCGATAATTTCGGTGTCCAACAGCCGCAATCCTACCTCTATACAAGCCGATCCAAGTGTTTCGATGTGCCTGGAGTCGATGATGTAGCCGAATTCCAGGATACACTTGATGCGATGAAGATGATTGGTATGACCGAGGCGGAGCAGGATAACGTTTTCCGCATGTTGGCGGCTATCTTGTGGATCGGTAACGTTCAGTTTAGCGAGGATGATTCGGGCAATGCGTCTATTGCAGATCAGTCCGTGGTGGACTTCGTCGCATACCTGATGGAGGTGGACTCTGCCCAAGTCAACAAGGCCTTTACATTTCGACTAATGGAGACCTCGCGCGGAGGTCGCCGGGGCTCCATCTACGAGGTTCCGCTCAACACTGTTCAGGCTTCGGCTGTTCGGGATGCTATGGCCAAGGCGATTTACTTCAATCTGTTCGACTGGATTGTCGGGCGCGTCAACCAGTCTCTGACTGCCAAGAGCTCTATTGCCAACTCAATCGGTATCCTGGATATTTACGGATTCGAAATTTTCGAGAAAAACTCATTCGAGCAGCTCTGCATCAACTATGTCAATGAGAAGCTGCAGCAGATCTTTATTCAGCTGACTCTGAAGGCAGAGCAGGATGAGTATGCTCGCGAGCAGATCAAGTGGACCCCAATTAAGTATTTCGATAACAAGGTGGTGTGCTCATTGATCGAGGACAAGCGACCTCCTGGTGTTTTCGCTGCGCTGAACGATGCTTGCGCAACTGCGCATGCTGATTCTGGAGCGGCCGACAGCACCTTCGTTGGAAGGTTGAACTTCCTTGCTCAGAACCCCAACTTCGAAGGTCGCCAGGGCCAGTTCATTATCAAGCATTATGCCGGTGACGTGAGCTATGCAGTCGAAGGAATGACGGACAAGAACAAGGATCAGTTGCTAAAGGACTTGCTGAACTTGGCCGGATCTAGCAGCAACGAGTTCGTTCACACACTCTTCCCCAACCAGGTTAACCAGGACGACAAACGACGCCCTCCCACTGCCGGTGACAAGATCAAGGCATCCGCCAACGACCTTGTTGCTACTTTGATGAAGGCACAGCCTTCATACATCCGAACCATCAAACCCAACGACAACAAGGCTCCTAAGGAATACAATGAGGGCAATGTCCTGCATCAGATCAAGTACCTGGGTCTGCAAGAGAACGTACGCATTAGGCGTGCCGGTTTTGCATACCGTCAGAGCTTCGATAAGTTCGTCGAGCGATTCTATTTGCTGTCACCAAAGACCTCCTATGCTGGTGACTACACCTGGACTGGCGATTCGGAGTCTGGCGCCAGGCAGATTCTGAAGGATACCAGTATACCCGCCGAGGAATACCAGATGGGTATTTCCAAGGTCTTTGTCAAAACTCCTGAGACCCTCTTCGCACTTGAGGCCATGCGCGACAAGTATTGGCATAACATGGCTATTCGTATTCAGCGTGCTTGGCGCAACTACCTACGGTACCGCATTGAGTGTGCTATCCGGATTCAGCGCTTCTGGCGCCGTATGACCGGAGGAATGGAATTCATCAAGCTACGCGACCAGGGACACAAAGTCCTTCAGAACCGCAAGGAACGTCGGAGGATGAGTCTTCTCGGATCCCGGCGCTTCCTAGGTGACTATCTCGGTGTGGCCAACGATGGCGGACCCGGTCAGATGATTCGCAATGGCGCGAACATTAACAGTAAGCCATTATGCGTCTTCATTGTGTTCTTCAACTAATCCTTTGCAACAGGCTCCGAGGAACTTCTCTTCTCTTGTCGTGGCGAGGTCTTGATATCCAAGTTCGGTCGTTCTAGTAAACTGGCACCTCGCATTCTTGTCCTGGTAGGTCTATTGCCCATCATTGTTGGACTTTGCTAACTTGCCCAGACCAACCGTCATGTCTATATTGTAGCCCAAAGCATTGTCAACAACCAGCTTGTCATTTCATCTGAACGCACCATCCCGATCGGCGCCATTAAGGCTGTCAGCACGTCTAACCTAAAAGATGACTGGTTCTCGCTGGTCGTCGGTGCTCAGGAGCCCGATCCTTTGCTCACCTGTGTCTTCAAGACTGAGTTCTTCACCCATTTGTCGAATGCCCTTCGCGGTTCATTGAACCTCAAGGTTGGCGAAAGGTGAGTACAGTCCCAATGTCTAGGACTTCAAGTATTAACAAGCTTTAGTATCGAGTACAACAAGAAGCCCGGCAAGCTGGCCCGTGTCAAGGCTGTGAAGGACCCCCAGGCTGGCAATGTCGACTCCTACAAGAGCAGTACAATCCACACTAGCGCCGGCGAACCTGCCAGCTCTGTGTCTAAGCCCACTCCTCGTTCCAGGCAAGTGGCTGCCCGACCTGTCACCTCAGGCAAGCTCCTTCGACCGGGTGGTCCTGGTGGTGGACCGTCGAAGCTGTCTGCTGCTGCCCGAAAACCTCCCCCTGCCGCTCAGCCCTTGCCGCAGTCCACGCCCAAGCCTGCCGCTCAACCGCGCATTGTCCCTCAACCTGTTGCGAATGTTGCTGCCGCACACACTCGCAACCAGTCTTCGGGCTCTGTGAGAGCCCCACCCCCTCCTCCCCCGACTGCACCTGCTGCCTCGAAGAAGCCCACTGCCAAGGTCCTGTATGATTTCAACAGCGACCGGGCGAATGAGCTGTCCATCCGAACCGGCGAGATCTTGCAGATCGTCTCCAAGGAAGGAAATGGTAAGTTAGCATAGAAAACCCCTCAGTATCAAAGAATCAAACTCTAACAGATCCAGGCTGGTGGCTATGCATGAACACCACAACCTCTGCTCAAGGCTGGACTCCCGAGGCTTATCTTGAGGAACAAGCGACCGCTCCTCCACCCAAACCCACCCCTCCGCCTCCCCCAGCTGCACCTCGCGCAACCCCCCAGCCCCGTCCCCAACGGCGCAGCCAGCGTCGCCGCCGCGAAATCCAAGCCTGCCCCTCCCGCACCTCCGGCCAAGCGACCCAATGTGGCCGGCCGCAAGCCTGCACCTCCTCCTGCACCCCGCGACAGCGCTGTGAGCATGAACTCGGGCGACTCATCCGGAGCCAGCGGACGCGGCACACCAAACAGTGTCTCGAACGCCAGTCTAGCAGGTGGTCTTGCGGAAGCTTTACGCGCGCGGCAGAGTGCCATGCAAGGGAAGCATGACGATGATGACGAGTGGTAGATACACCCGGGGGGTAAGGATAGATGCGCAAGTCGGTAGTTGTTCCGTTTCTGCGCTTAGCGTTACTAGTCCCTTTTTGCTTTTTATTTTTCTCTCTTCGTTTGTTTCCAAAAGAGACCCACGGCATGTGCATTCAGTATGGGTTTGATGATGATGATAGGTTCATTTGAGTCATTTTACTTGTTGGATCATGGTGCTGGCGGTTCTACCGTTTTCACTTTTTACATGGGTTTTAAAACAGTGTTAAAGAAATTTTGATATACACACCGTTCTCAAATTCATTGGTTTCATGGATTGTTATTCCGTCACATGCAAATGCATTATGTTTCAGCTACCGTTCTGCCATTTAAATCAGATCGATGGGACAGGCGTTGAGATGGTTAGGCATAGAAGTCATGGCACCGAGTCCAATCTAGGACAGGAACTTGCTGGCCAGGCTCATCAAGCCACTGGCACCACCCGTACCACCAATACCACCACCACCACTCTTCATGTACATCTTCAAAGCCATCTCGGCAGCATTGTTGATAGCAGACTGCTTGTCACCGGACTGAGAATATAACCCGCATTAGCAAAACACCCTCCACCTGAATCCATCCACAAACAGCTCGGGAAAAACTCACCATGTTAGCTCCATTGTTAGACTTCTCATCCCACAGCTTTCCAGCCTGAGCCATTGCCATCCCTATCAACTTATTCTTATCCATACCGCCATCACTGCTTCCGCCACCCGTAAACATCTTCAAGGCCTGCACAGCAGCACCCGCACCAACAGTGCTCGAGTCATGAGTCTGGCCCTCATCATTGCCACCATTGTACATAGCCTGGTGGGCCTGCACGGCATGCTGCTCGTCGAGCTCCCCCCGAGCTAGCGGATGAAGCGCGGCCCTGGATGAAAGAGAGCGCATTGGAGAAGAGGTCGCTGTTGCCGCTGTCGTGGTGCGAGGCGTGTTGGGCGGCGGCGGAGAAGTCGTCACCGCCGGAGTAGGGCTCTGAGCCTTGGTAGCGCGTGTCGCGGTACTCTTGCTGGCCTTGATCCTGGTGGCCGTGGTGGCCTTGGTTGCCGTAGCCTTGGCCCTCCTCACGGCCATAGCCCTGACCCTGCTCCTCGCGACCACCGTATCCCTGACCTTCGTTGCGGCCGTATCCCTGGCCTTCATTGCGGCCATAGCTTTGGCCCTGCTCTTCACGGCCATAGCCCTGGCCCTGGTTGCGGCCCGAGAAGTCGTTGGACTGGTCGTAGTAGTTGTCTCCGCCTCGGCCGCCGCCGCCGTACTCGGACCGGTCGTTGTTGGAATTGTATTCGTTGTAGGACATTGTGGATAGATCGATGGATACGGCTAGATGGATGGAAGAAAGAAAGAACAAGGAAAAGAAGTGAGATGAGGGGGGTTGGGGGTTTGTCTATTATGGAGGGGTAGTTTTAGCTACCTATGATTTGGCTCGATCGGGGCGGGGCTGAGCTGAGCTGGTCCCACTTCAGATCGGGTCGATTGCTTGTTTTTTTTTTTTTTTTTTTTTTGGCTACGGGGCTGTGTGTATAGAATTGTCTAGAGTGGCGTACAGATGGTGCGAGTCATGCTGAGCCACCTACATGAGGCATAGGTGCAGAACAGAGTGTCACCTCGTAGACTTGCGCGTAGATTGATCAACAAGGATGTGGAATTTACATCCGAGCTCATGTTTTGCCTCCCTCTAGCGCTGTTGGGAACTGGGCACTACGCCACCTCCATATTTAGCTCCAATAGTTTCGTATTTCAAATATTAGATACAATAGCCTTCTCTGAGGCGTATATTAGGCAATTAGTAATTAGTCAGGGGTATTTAGACTTCGATACAACATTACGGCCCGTGCGGGACCTCAGGCCAGGCATCAACGCCATCGAGCAGAACCATGCCCATTCCCGTATGAAGATGGGTTTCCATATGGCAGTGCAACAAGAAGGCTCCAGGATTCTCAACATGGTATCGGATCGCCAGCCAGGCGACACCGTTCGGCGCAGTAACGAAAGTATCGCGATAAACCGGAGTCTCCAAGAAGTCCGCCGTTGACTCTTGCAGAGCCTCGTCAACAGAGCTCCAGTTGAAGTTACCCATGCCGGATCCGATCAAGAAAGCCTTGTTGGAATGCTTGTGCATAGGGTGCGGCGGCTGGAGCTTCGTCGGCTCCGGAATGGCAAGCTGGAAGACGATATCCACCCAGGTATCATTCATCGTCTCAATCTTGAGAGATGAGTCCAAGCCCGGCGCCTTCCGGTTGTAAAGAGCGGGTTCTATGACAGCGAGGTCGGCCGGGAGGAAGGTTGTTCCATCCAAAGTCCACTCCCAAGATGAATTGATGCGTCCAAGAGTCAGGAGATGGAAATCATTCGCCTTGGCGGCTGGCAGGATGGGAGGATACGGGGGAAGGTGATGAGTGTCAAGCGTGATCACATCGGCCGTGGTGTTGACACCGCCGTAATCGATGTACGGGATCGATTCGCGCGGATTACTCTCGCAACCCTCGTATGTCACGTTGGCATAGCCAGAGATAACCTGATTACCATTGCCGGCAACGCGCATCGTATAGCTCGCATGTTCTTTATCTAGCTTGATCATGACGGAGTACCGCTCGCCATTGTAGATGGGAATTGAATGCGCGAGCTGGGGCTCGATGTAGCGACCGTCGACCTCGTAGACGTACATGGGATGTTCATCGATCGACACAGCAAGGGCCTTGAGACCGGCCGCGCTGATGAAGTTGAAACTTGCCCATTTGGCCTCAGGATCGACCGTGAAGCCGGTCATGGGGCCGACGCTAGGTTCACAGCCCGAGTTCAGACCACCAGGCAGGGCTTCGGGGTGGTGTTCCCAGTCGCCTTGAACTACACGCATGAATGGATCACATCTGCTTTCTGTTAGACCGATAGAACAAGCACGAACAGAAAAAGCTTACCCTCTGTCAGTCAGTGGGTCGGTGATGACTGCTCGGACTTGTGGCGGTTGCAGAGCAGTCAGTTCTTCCGAGGATTTGCAATAGATTGATCCTCTGCCATTAACAAGCACACTATCTGAGCAACTGGTATAGTCAGTATCGCTATCCGAGAGAGCACGCATGCAGTGCTTACAAGATGTCATAGCCGGAGTATTTCAAGGCATCCATGTATGCATCGGATGTCAAGTGGTCCCAGTCGGAGAGTATCACCAGCTCGGCGTTTTCCTGCGCTTTAGTCATGGCCTCAATGTCATCGGGATCATCAGATATCATGGAGAATGGCGTCTCTCGATCGGCAGATGGTCTATAACGGCGTTAGAAGGTCCACCGAAGAGGAGATATCCCGCATTGTGGATTGCCATTTATATGCTCGCACAAACTGGAGGGACCCTCCGTGACGATTCAAGTCAGGAATAGACTTACCGAATCCGAATAGGCCCGTACAAGCCATCCATGATTCTAGACATATCATGGGAATGATACCAGTATGTACCATAGGTATTAGCTACCCACTTGTATCGATAGGTGGCACCAGGCAAGATCGCCCACTGCGACAGTCCAGAGACACCATCAGACCAGGGCGTTCCCTTTTGCCTAGAAGCAGGCCATTAGCCAGGCACAAAACATCGGAGAAAGGACTAACGAACTCAATTCCATGGAAATGAATCGACGTATTAAACGGCATATGATTCGTAACATCAATCTTTTTAAATTAGCCACCATCCATAATGCCCCATTCAGGGCTCACGGAGAGACAAAAACAAACCGTTACTTCATCTCCCTCATCAAACACCAAAGCTGGACCCGGGAATTGATCATTAACAAAGATCATGTCCCTCTCCATGCCATTTGGAGCACCCCGTTGCCACGTAAGGTCCAACGAGAATTGGACCTGAGCGGCCTGAACGAGTGCAATGAGCTCCACGAGCGGAATTAGCCATTTGACGCGCACCATGTCGAAGAGTCGAAGAGTCGGTGGTTGGCAAGAATTGATGTGGCCCTGGTGGGAAATTTATGTAAGGTCCGGTTTCCAGGCGCATACCTGTGACGCAAGGGAAGCTGCGGGTTCGATTGTTTACATTCCAGGAGTCTCGAAAAGTCCCGAATCGGGAACAGCATGGTCCATACGTCAACCTCTGCTCCGTCATTGGAATGGAGCTTCCAAGGGTTCGGGTTTCAAGCCGACGAACCAAGGGCGGCTCCAATGGCTGGTTTCGGTAATAGGTGCAAATGCTCGACCTGTTTTCAGGCACTACCAAGTGGGAAACCTAGGCACTGGAATGAAACAAATCGAAAAAAAAGGTGGGAGGGTAGTAGACTTTATACAAAATGCCTCGAATAAAAAAAAAGATAGAAAAGAGGAAGACGGGAGTGTAAGACAGCCAACAACACCAAGCCCAGGGTATCAGATGCAAAATAGAAATAAGAAAGCTAAAGAATGAACGCATCGTGCTGCTCATCCGACAAATTGCGCAAGAATCTCAAGCGACGCTCCCTTTCACTCAAGACACACCTGTCATCTCCATCCAACTCATTCTCGCGCAACCACTCATTTGGTAGATCAGTTAACCCGAATGAGCTGCCCCATTGGCAGCGCTCATACTGCATGAACCCGCCAAAATGGGGATCGGTGTTCGCAACCCAGACGCACCCGCCATCGGGCGCATAATCAGCACCGCCGATCTCGCCGAAGAAATCGTGGACTTGGCGACTTTGGAAGAGCTGGGCGTCGACGATGGAGATACGGTCCGCGGGTTCGCAGCAAAGGAGAGTGCGGGGGCCACCGCCAACCGGGGAAAAGCGGAGGGAGCGATAGCCGGCAACATCGGAGTCAATGGTTTCCAGAGGTTTCCAGGTACGTGCGTCCCAGATGATGAGCGTTTTGTCTTGGTTGCTTGTGGCGATGTGGCGCATGTCGGGCGACCAAGCGCAAGCGAAACCGAAATCGCGGTGGCCGCGGAGTGGGTGCACAGGCCGGCCTGTGTCGGCTTCAATGACCCATGCTTCTGGGGAGTCACCGATCACAACGCGAAGGCGACTATCTGGGGATGTGGCGGTACAGTTGATCGGGCGGGAAAGTTCTTGGTCGGAGAGGAAAATGTTGGTTTCACAGTCAAGGACGCGGAGATGTCTGTCATTGGAGGCGAAGACGCAAATGGGAGAGGGGCCGGTGCGGCTAGGGATAATATCGACGTGGTTGGTAATGCCGTCGTTGAAGTCGGGCGTAACGAGGCCTTTGGCGCCAGAGCCTTCTGCGTTGGAGGAGCGTAATGCGTACTCGCCACAAAACCCGCCTGCCATGGTGAGGCCGTACGCTGACTTCATGCTGGATATCTTGACCGCGTTGAGAAATCCTGATTCTGGGCATGGCCGGGAAAGGTCAATGAGACAGCGCAATTCGTCAATTTGCGGAGTCCACGCCTGGACCTTGGATCGACTGGCGAAATGGACAGTATTGTAAGAGGGCACCGACATCAAATTGCGGAGCTGGAAATGCTCAATAGATGCTGTGTGCGCAGTGTGCATTGCTTTCTCGCGGAAGTAAGTTTCATCTGCAGGAAGCCGCTCCGCGCCCCCCATGCGCGTGTAATCGAGATTGTGATATGAGGTGTACCAAGTATCACGAAGGTGACGAGCGGTCGAACGCTTCACTTTGAGAATCTCTCTCCACGGAATTTGTTGGAGATCATAGAAATCGCGCTTAAGGTTAGACGGTCGTTCGATATCCAATGCGGGTTTCCAACCCATCATCTTGGCGAGTGGGCGTATCTGTGCAGGAGGTCTGCTTTCGGCGTGGAACCCATCGTATATGAGATTGGTTTGGATCATCCAGCGTTGAATAAACTCGTCGACGGTCAAATTTCGTTCGTAAGCTATGTCAGTTAGCACACTGCCTTAACTTCAGCCGGATGGAAATGCGACATACTAGCTGTGTGAACGATAGTCTCAGGATGCACTTCAGGCTGGTCTTCGCTTGGAGGAAATGGGCCCGGTCCCGGGTTCGCAGGCGTTTGCGGCAAGCTCGGGTTTGTCGCACTGTAGTTGACAGTGGCGTAAAACTCGTCAAGGTTGACCTCATTCATCCCAGGAGAACCAGCGCGAGTGTATGTTGTATGTCGCCAATGATAGAATTCTTCCTCGTCCGGGTAAAATTGAATCAGATTTTCCAGGTCGTCATCTGGATCGGTCAATGGCGATTTGTGGTCCCCTTCAAAGACATGTTCAAAATCGAGGGCATTATCTCTTGACATGTCGTCATCTTCACTATAACAATCGCTCACGGCGGTCGCGATATCATGCGAAGGAGCGGCGCGCTCAATCAGTTGCTGCACGGAGATGGCCATATTCAAGTCACTAGCTTCGCTAACAATATGCGGTCCAGGCGAGAAGATCACTGGCTCGGCAGGCACACTCTCTCGGACGAAAGAAGCCGCATAGTCCATCCACCTCGAATTTGGAAACTGGGGGCTATCATCCTGAAAAGTCCGCAACGCGCCGCCGGTCATGGCATGGACCACCTCGTTCGTCAGCAAGGAGCCGCTCTCCTCATTGACGGCGCCGGGATACTGCGCGACAGCGGCGAGAGCCGCAACTCCAACATTGTGTAAGCGTTGGTCTTCCTCGGAAGCCACAAAATTTCTAGTCGGAGCAAGCGTATTGGCACTCATAATGTCCAAGTTCATGGCAGAAGCGTCATCACCAAAAGCAGGTGACCCGCCTCTGAAGGTATCTGACGAAGAACTATTCATATCCCCGGGATAAGCCGTTGACCTCGAGAGTTCACATGACCCATGACGTACGCTGGGATAATCCGTCCGAAAGGTAAAATCGAAAGTGAGTAAGTCGTTGCCCCTGCTCATCGCCCTTCATAGGGAAGCTCAGTCCCGCCGGAGGAAAATGTCGACTAACGGGAGAAAGAGCGCACAGCCAAGAAGCTCGTCGATTGCGACGAAGATGCTAGGCACGAGGCGAGTTCAAATTCAAGGCACCAAGAAAGGCCATATATCATGTGTGATTGGTGGCAGGGGTTGTGAGGGCAGCGCGGGATCTTTGTCCGTGGTGAGGGATGCAAGATCCTCGTGTGAAGTTGAACGGTCGGCGTCGCAGCTGACTCGCAAGTCTCCGCGTGGGCCGGCGCTCCAAAGGTAATGTCGTAGCTGCAGGCAGAACAGCAATGCTTCGAAACGCGGTTGGCGTCGGTGAAATCAGAGCGCAGAGGCGTTGCGATGAGGGGGAGGGGGAGTTAAGTTCAACCTACGAACCGTCTGAGAGATGGGAGGACCTCCGTGTCTGCCTGTGGGCCCATAAAAACCCGAAGGGGGAAGGTGATGGGACTGAACACGGGTAGACCGTTTTTTGGGGCTAGCGCGGTGTCAGCACCCCGAGACGCTCGAGCGCAGCAACGTGTAGAGCAGATCGGTGATCTGATTCTAGGATCAAAGCGAGGCTGATAAGCGGGATGCGAGATGACGAAAGGGGAGCGAGAAGTGGGGGGGGAGTGGCCAAGCACAGCCGGCGCTTCACCCGTATGAGTGGCAGTGCGGTGCAGGGCAGAGCACAGTAGAGGTGAGCACTTTCAGGGTTCTTGAGAGAGTTGGAGTTGGAGGGACATTGAAAGTAGCTGTAGATGTGATGAGACGTCGAGGGATTGGGTTGGTGCCCAAGTTGCCCTTTCCAAGGTTCCCCGAGGTCCCGGAACTCCGGATTTAGTCAGCCTTCACACGCATCTAGACCAACTAGGAAATCCAGGGGAAAGGAAGTTAGGAGAAAGAAGTTAGGAGGGGATAGTTTAACATAGTGACAGAATACAAGAAATTGATGTGTATGATCCGAAGCCCCTGTAGGTCAGCTCTATTGGGAGTCTCTGCATATGCAGCGCATCTTCCCTGTCATTTCTGGGCTTTTCCCTTCTGGCGCCTTTCTCTTGCCGCTTTTGAGGTTAACAAGGAAATCATTTCAATGGTGCATAAGGACTTTTTTACCCCAGTCACCTCTTTCGAGACAAGCTGCTAATTACCTTGCAAAGACTCTTTCTACTCTATCTCAATGTATCATTAAGGTAGTTCTGAACTACGCCCGAGAAAATAAGCCGTGGCTACCTAACATGGAATATCCAATCCAATTCATCAAACCATTTCAATGATGGGAAACCAACAGCAAATTGTTCAAGTATGAGACTACCCAGGCGCAGTCAATACTAAGAACTTGGCAGATGAGGTTGAGTGTGCAGAGAAAGCTGCAATACGCAGAATGAGACATCCATACCATCTTCATCTAGCAGTACTAGTGATTGACCCCACTCCAACTCTGTCCTCATCCAAAAATACACTAGGGGTTTTCTTAGACTCGGTGGATGACTCATGAAGACAGCGAATGACTCACGATCAAAGCATGCCCTTTCCATGCATCTATAACAATTTCAAGCCTCGTTCTACCCCTCGTGAAATTAGCTAATCCATCTCTTATGTGCTATACTTCATCCCGTAATACCCAAATTCCCAAAATCAAGCCGAATCATCCAACATTTTCTCGAGAGGACAGACAACATGGCAACCTGCAAAAGCGTTCCAGTGATTATCCCAAAGGATGGCTCACTGACAAACGTTATGATCAAGGACATCATCAGCACCTTTTTCACCAAGGAATGGCCCAGCGTTGATCCGGACACGCTCAATGTCACATACAAAACCGGATATGCAAACACAAATTGCATAGTTGAACGACCATCTTCGAAGGATGAAACACATTCAGAACCTCTCAAGGTGTTCCTCAAGATCAACGGTGAACTTGATGGAGAAATTGCGGTTTTCAAGCACTTGGTTCCCAATAAGCATGAAGAGGCACGCCTATGCTATGATTACGGTCATTCAGGTCATGGTGCTAAGCTCTACGGTCTCTTCCAGACACAGGACGGTGCTTTCGGAAGGATTGACGAGTTCTTGGATGCACGCAACTTGGAGCCAGAAGATGTGGAAGACGCAGATATCCGAGCCGATATCGCACGAGGGTATGCCATTTTCCACGCCATGGCAACACAACGAGAGAAGAAACCTATTCAACTATATTATGATACAATTACCGAAGAGCTTACAAAGTATCATAAGATGGACAAGTTAAAAAAGCTAGCCCAGGAAGGAGGCGTTCCTCTGGACGAGCTTATTGATTATGACTTTGTGTCTAAGATAAAGCGAGTCACAGAGAGGTTGGAATCTATCGGAGCAAAAAAGGGATGGTGCATACACGATGTTCAGTTCATGAATGTGATGGTGAAGAATAACTTCCAACAAGGAGAAAGCAAAGTCGTTTTCATAGATTTCGAATTCGTCTTTCAGAATTACCGAGCGATCGACATTGGGGGGCACTTCATGCAAAAGATGTTCAAGTGGTTTGACAAGGAGAGCCAAATTGCCAACTGCCGACCTTACACCGAGGATGAGAAGAGACACTTTTGCGAGGAATATGCAAAGCAATGGAACGAGACGACTGGGGACTCAGATACAGGGGAACAGGTCTTTGTCGAATCCGAGCTAGGTTTTATGCTGGCTATTACGTTTGATATCCATAATATGCTCTGTTTCATGGATCAGGATAACGACAAAGACCCGCTGAGCCTCCTGGGGCTCAACAAACTGTTTGAAGAGTTTGTCAGTCAGTACAACAAGCTTGGCCTGGGAAGCTAAGTGAATCCTGGCTAGTGTAGCATTATCCCAAATACTTGAGTCTTTCCCTTCCATTTGAATCCGTAGGTAGTGACGCTGAAGTCCACCTCGCACCAGTACTCGAATTACTCGTAGAGCAACAAGCGACGGTGACTCAATAATCTCAGTCAGGCAGAAGTTTCTGCCTAGAGACTACAACCTCTGCATTCTAACAAGCTTCTGTTATCTTCAGCTCTTGTGACTCGCTTCATGAAAACCTCAAGCGCCTACTACTTAGTCCTTCATCCTACGGTTGTTCGTCCGGAGCGCCAATCATGATTTGTGCCGGCTATGAAACTAAGCGGCAGTGGGCGGCTGGAGGCGGGTAAGTTGAAAGGCCCGGGTATCTTGAGATAGTGGTGATGGCATCGTCCGCTTTGAGCCGCAGAATATATAATTGTAAGATTTTCCTCAATCGCGATTGAAAAGAGTATTGCAAGTAGTGTCGAAGCTTCGAATCACACCTTCTAAACACTATCTTACCATGGGATCAATCTCAGAAGCTCCAACCAAGGTGCGGGTGGGTTCGATGTTTTCAACCCTTCCTGAACAACCGCCCGACGGGCCTTTTGCAGTGAATGCTGCATACAAGCAAGATTGTAACCCGCAAAAGGTCAATCTGGGAATTGGAGTGTACCGGGATTCTGATGGCAATCCATGGCCCCTACGAGTAGTTCAAGAGGCCGAAAAGGCGCTTTTCCAGGCCAGCGATATCCACAGACATGAATACCTGGCAATTCAAGGGGACACAGACTTTCTCTCACTAGCGGCCGATCTAGTTTTCGGATTTGACGACTATGAAGAAAGCTCGATGCACGATGCCGAACGACTCCGAGAGCGGGTCGTATCTATTCAAACCGTGTTAGGGACGGGAGCGAACCGACTCGGTGCGGAACTTCTAGCCCGAAACATTCGACCGGGGTGCGTGTGGATTCCGAAGCCTACATGGGCCAACCACTACATGATCTGGGACCTCGCAGGTGTGCCAAAGAAGGAATATCCCTACTACGACTCCACATCCAAGGCTTTCGACTTCGATGGAACATTCCGCACACTGTCTACACATGCGAAGGCCAATGACGTGGTGATTTTGCATGCATGCGCCCATAATCCTACCGGTGCCGACCCTTCAAAAAGTCAATGGAAACTGCTAGCTCAACTATGTAAAGAAAAAGGTATCATCCCCTTCTTCGACCTGGCCTACCAAGGGTTCGCTTCCGGTGACGCGAAGAAAGACGCTTGGGCCGTGCGGCACTTTTTCCATGATCTGGACCAGGTCGAGTTTTGTGTCGCGCAGTCATTTTCGAAGAATTTCGGATTATACGGCCAGCGAGTGGGTGCTCTACACGTGGCACTCTCTTCAAAAGCGCCGAAGGACGTTTCCTCAAACCTGCTAGGGAATTTATGTCAGTTGGTCCGTGGGGAGTATTCTATGGCGCCAAGGCATGGCGCAGAAATAGTCAAGACTGTGCTTGGAAGCAAAGAACTGCGGAAAAAGTGGCTAGAAGACCTCACAACGATGAGTGAGAGAATCCTGCAAATGAGGCATGCACTTTTCGACGAATTGGTCAAATTGAGCACACCCGGAGACTGGAATCATATCATCAATCAGGTACGATCCACCGATCGCTCAGCAGACCTTATTTTCAGGGACCTGACTAATATCATGTCAGATCGGCATGTTTACCTACATCGGCTTGACTCCGAGTCAAGTCAGTGCCATTACAGAAAAGCATCATATCTACATGCTCAGGTCTGGCCGGATCTCTATCTCGGGGTGTAAGTCTCTCCAATAAAGTGGCAAATATCTTTCCCGATCATACGCTGATAATACGACTTAGTGAATGAGACCAATGTTCAGTACGTTGCCAAGGCAATTGATGAAGTCGTGCGCACAGTGGATTAAAGGGCCGGTCCCGCAGCTGTGGCCAAGAGCGTCATGTCCGCTTGGCCGTACCTAGTACATCAAGTGGGCATGATTACATATCACAGTAGCAGATAGAGAAAATAGAGATTTCAAAGTGGTCACATTTACTAGTGATCATCATTCTCAATTGAACAGAATAGGTAGATCTGATTTGAATTTGGTTTCACACCGTCTTCCACTCCTCGGTTCAACTTCTTTAGAACTAAGTACAATGGAGCTCTCCCCCATCGTGTGAATGGCAGTGCTTTATTGGTCAGCATCCGATTTCTTAGAACTCGATGGAAAAAGGTCATTGCTTACAGCAGGCGCATCAGACGTCGTCGAAGGCGACTCAGTGGCAGTCGATGCGCTCGATACCTGATCTGCATTGGCACCGGCATCGGGCTCATCGGAGTCGCTGTCCTGATGTTTTTGCTGGGTGCCCGGACATCCTGCGCCTGGAACAGCAATGTCATACGCATAAGCCTCCAGTGCAAAGTATTGAAGTGTCTCCGAGTCATGTGTTGACAAACTGGCATTCGACGTCGCTAGGTCGATGACCTCTTCGTATCCGTCCGCAAAATGTTCGATCCAGGCTTGTCCTATAGCCGGAACATGATACAGGCGATGAAGAAGATCAGACGCCCAGAATGTATTGGTCTCGGAGCCAGAAACGGTGTACCCCAAAGCACACATGGTGGAAAGAGATCGACGGGTCTCGTAACTCAGGTCGCAAATCACAGTCTCATCAGTTGCATTTTCACCTCGCCAGTGTCCTGCATATCCTGTCGACAGATGAACCCGATCAGCATGTGAATTCTGTTTTCTTTTCAAAGAGCAGGTTTTCATACCTTCAAGGTCACAGTTTCCGTCAGGGTTGTCACAGCGAAATAGAACATCTTTCTTGTCGCCATTGACCACGATGTCAAAGGCACCAATCGATTTCATAGAGGGGCTGTTGCCAAAATACTTCCGGTAGATGTGGCTTTCATTACGCCATCGTAAGATGTGAGATTTCGCATGCTCAGCTAGCGAAACTGCCTCATTCAAGCCCAGAGCTATCTGCCGACGCTGAGTTGCGTTACAACTCGAGTGAATAGGAAATTCATTGACAGCACCTGCATTCCAAGGTGTGACTGCTGTCTGACTGAAGGGCGGAGACGTATTTTCCCCAGTTCGACCTGGAGCAGGTAGCGCAGCTGCCAAAGCTGCAAAGAAGAGGATAGGACGAAACATGTTCATTATTGAAAAGAAGTTTTCTACGTCCATTTCGATTGCGAAGATGAGCGTAAATACTCGTCTTCTCGCCTTCGATACAGAGTGGTGCCAAGAGCCAAGAAAGGACCCTGCGAGCGCAGTTATGGGTGTATTATCTTGTCAATCCCGTCCCACCAATTTTTATACCAATGGCCGTCGAGCAGGGCAGACGGTTCTCATTAATTCCAAGGGCCAAGAGCGGAGGAATTGCGCCCAGGGGATAGAGGTAATGGAAGCAAGTACCTTGAGGAAAAAATATCAAACGAACGAGTGGCTGTGCGCCGGAGGAATTGACATATGACGAAGGCAGCAAGCTAGACGAGCGGTATACTCTTGGCCTTGGGGCACCTTGGTGGTGCGACCATCACACAGCCTCTTTTCCAAGTGTGTTCCAATTTCAACCATTCTGGGAATCCAGATTTCGGATCAATGGATACTGGATTTTTCAATTGCCTAGTGGAGACCCAAGAGATCACGGAAGTGAAAATTGGCGACTTATATGTACAGTCACGGCAAAAAATCGAAAGATCGGACGGAAACCTCTGGGAGCCACCGCGAAGATGGCTATATAAATTTTGGCTTAGAAAGTGCTGTTCGATGATAACAACACCAAAAGAAGAGATTACCTTCGAGACATTTCCTTCATCGCAAAAATAAAACTGGGAGGAGTGTCATATTGAGCTTTATTGTAAAACAGACAGTGCATGGGTGATGACGATCGCACTTTAAAGCAAACCTTTCTCGGAGAATATTTCTCTTTTGTTCAACCTTTTGGACTAGAAAGCGGTTTCATAAGCTTGACCGTCTCCATCTTACGTGAAGGTGTGAATACCTTTATCATGGGGTTGAGCTTGTGAGTGAAGATATGCAAACCTTGAACGTCATTTTGGATACCGGCTACCAGGAGAGCAAGCGGTAATCGACATTCGATACATCAAACTCAGAGGATTCACCTTTATCACCTGTAGACGTGGAATTCATGCGATGCGTCCCAGTTTGAATGCCACAAACCCAACTGCGAGCTGGATAGGTCAGCCAAAGGGCCGCAATGTCTCTAAGCCTCTCGACATTAGTCTACCGCAAGACATCGAAGTCCTTTGGGGACAGTTTGATGTAAGCTACCACCGCATGGGTCCTCCAATATGGAGTATCAGCAGCTAACAATGTCTTAGTACTATAAGATGATCAGCCTTTGTATAGCGTAGAGTGTTTGCGCTTGGAGTATCACCCTTGGAGCATGTGAGCCCTATGACTATGTAGCTGACGCTTACGATCTCATTTTTTTGTCATGTTTTCCTAGTGCTGTACGAGGTCTATGTAGAACATAATTTGCTTTGTGGCATTCACATAATGTCTGGATTTCCTTGGATCACGTTGGTGGCGATTCAGGTTTGGGATCTATACGCTTCAGGCAACGGGTTACACAGACCTCTTTATCAATTAGGCCGATCTCAATCATCATCGGACAATCATGAGTGCGCCTTTTCGTTTGTATCCTGATAATCATAGAATCCATGGCCGCTCTTCACGCCTAAGCTTCCTTCTTGAATCATCTTTTGGAGATAGTCTCGCGGCTCAGGCGGGACCCCGCTCCGTGTGTCGGCGTAGTGGTTCTCGATATCAAGTACGACATCCAGGCCAACAACGTCCATTATCTCGCACGGCCCCTTTGGTGTTTTCAGGACATCCTTGAAAATTGCATCGACTTCCCGAGGCGTACATACGCCTTCAGAGAGTGCGAGCAGGGTTTCTCGCTTGATCGCAGCCCATATTCTTCGCAGGTGGGTTGTTAGCATTAGAAATCTCACACAACAATTAGTCCGATACCACTGTACCTATTGTAGATGTAACCAATTGATGGTTGTCTCACATGGAATGGAGAGAATCCATGGACTTTGCATTGATCCAATACCAGCGAGATGAGTGACTCGTCGGTCTCACCGTGACCCATGATCTCGATAGCTATAAGGGTTCAGCATGTGAACTTCTTTCCACAATTTCTAATTTGCACATACCCGTCGTCTCCGGAGGCCAGTCTGGGTCTCGTTCAGCGATTGTTAGACACGGATTTGGGGGTTCCTTTCACATACAGCAGTGCGCACTCAGAACTCGATTAATGTGCTTCAAGTTGAGACCAACTAGAATCTCATTGATTCCATAGCTGCTGGAGTTCGAGGCAATTATGACCTTTTCTGGAGCAAGTGAATCAATCTGTGTGAGGACCTTTTGCTTGAGCGGCAGTCTCTCGGGCACGCACTATCTTCGTTTAGTGATGACCATGACAATCTTCGGTGATCGGTGAATATACCTCAATGACTAGCCACGCATCCTGCAGCGAGGACTCCAGAGAGGAGGGGTGAGAGATTGTAATCTCGCCCCAAGACCCTAGAGGGTCATTTGCTTCAGCTCGTAGTTTCTGTACGTACTTCAACCCATCCTCGAGTTGCTGTTGTTGAAGATCAATAAGAGTAACAGGACCTCCCCTTCTTGACCACTGAAGCGACCGAAGATCCATTGATTAGCTCTTTGAACATAGGGGGGATCGGAGTGACTGGAAGTTTTACCATATAAGCCAGCCGTCTCCCCTGAGTCCCGGCTCCGATAATCACTACCGACCCTTGTGGTTGATGTTTACCACCACTTTGATTTCCAATCATCTCGCCGTTCATCTCTGGAAATGACCCGCTTCGTTCTCGAAGAATAATTGTTCGCTCAATACAATTTACTGAGAAGGGGCAGTGTTGGTAATTATAGCAGAGATTCGGGTCGTGACCTCGGTACGCACTTGGAAGGTGACTGATCGCCAAAAAGTGGTACTCATTCATCGTCCTAGAAAATCTTGATATTGTAGTGTTTGTCGAATTAGGCCCAGTCAATAGCTCAGTCATCCACTTCCTCTCGGTTCCGAATGGCACGTTGTCACCTAATTTGGGGAAGTTCACGGACCCTGCTCCACATCGGATCCGAGGTGGATTATGCGCAAACATTGGTCAGGGAACCCACACTTGGCGGAAGCTCCTCTTTTCCGTTGAAACCGGATTGTTGCCTCATGGGATCACAGGGCATACTGAAGATGTAAAGTGGGATGGCATATTGCCCGAGATGAGTGGTGTGCATAATAGTTCGAGTCAGCAAAGGGAGGTAAAAGTCGACGGGCTAAGACCAGACAGCCTCCATGCTTCCTCATTATGATTGTCCACATACTCGTCTCAGAAAAGAAGGATCAAGTTACTTCACGTAGGCTCTACTGTAGCACATCTGATCATGTAATTGTGGGCCAAGGAAGTCTTCGTATTGAACTATTTTAAATCGAGCATACAAATGTCCACTAAGCAACAGCCGTGGCTCTCAGACTGATCGGTACCGAGCGCCCCCTGCATTAAATTTCCAGTAATTTAGACGCTTTACCGCGCCATCAGGCCTCGACATGAGCAACCTCTGCACTCTTCTGTTCGCTATGGGTTTCACCCTTCTCCTCCCGAAGGAACGCACCGTAGTCACGCCTAGGCAGCTTGTTGGCTACAGACACGGCATCGAAGATTGAAGTTGTGGCCTCGAAGACTGTATCAATCTCTTCAAGCGACCGACCGGCCGTCTCTGGGAAGAAAAAATAGATCGTGGGCACAAATGCAGCGTTGAGGCAGCAGTAGACAATGAAGTATTTCCAGCCAATGTCGGTAAATGCCACAGGCGTGACCTCAGCGACCAGAAAGTTGAAAAGCCAGGAGACTGCAGTGGAGAGACCACACGTGGCTGCCCGAAGATGCGTCGGGGCGATTTCTGAGGCATAGAGGAACGGCAGGCCCAAAAAGCCGAGAACATAAACAAAGAAGTAGAGATATAGGAAAAACACAGCCGCTTTCAATGCAGCCGGATTATTCGCTTGTGATGTCAGGCCTGCGAGGCACGCAAAACAGATCGACATGGCTGAAGCGCTAAGGATCATGAGCTTTCGACGACCAAAGCGATCTACGGTGTATGAGCAGCAGAAAGCTCCGAGCACCATGACTAGCTGTGACGCTGCAGCTAAAATCGCAGAAGTTGTATGGCTGAAGTGAAGCTGCTCCTGGTAGATACTTGGCGCGTAGTATGCAATTGAATTGACACCGGTCATTTGCAAGAAAATTTGAGCGACAGCGGCGAGGACCACACGGTGGAAGGTCCTTTGGGGGCCCATCTTGAACATAGCGCCTAAATCGGTCTTCCGGGCACGTTCAAGAGAGATCTGGATGCTCTCAATCTCTTTGTTGACCGTCTCGCTGTGGGGCTCGATATCGTAGAGCAGCCCCAAGATTTCTCTGGCCTCTTCCCAGCGATTGACCTTGCAGAGCCATCGAGGGCTCTCAGGCAAGAAGAAGATAAACGAGCACACCATGATCGATAGGACCAGAGTGAATATCAGGGTGAATCGCCACGAGACAGAACTGGGCTGTGTGTAGGACATTCCAAATGCAACCCATAAGGCTAGAGCAAGACCCGAGCCGCAAAAGATTCCAAAAGCAGAAACGTGCTCACCACGGTTTTCAGCTTTGGACACCTCTGACTGCCAGACCGAGACTGTCGCAATGATACCACCCGTGCCCAGACCGAGCACAATCCTTCCCGCGATTAACTGGCCAAAGGCGAAGGACGAGGCTTGAAGTATAGCTCCAATACCCTGTACAACACTAGCGAAGAATATGGTTCTTCGACGACCTAGCCTATCTCCCAGGAAAGTGCATCCCAGAGCGCCAAATACACCAAACAAAGTATACAAGGCGACAACGGTTCCTGGCTCGATCAGCGCGGTTTTCCAGGGGGCCTCTTCGCCCTAGACTCACCTTGAATTCTGGCATTGTACTTCTGAAGAGATCCAGAGGTAGAAATGGTATTCAACTGGGGAAATTGGAGGTTAAAGGTCGGATCGCCAAGCACGCCACCAGCACTGGCCTGATTGTAGCCGAAGATGACGACGGCGAAGCAAGCCTCCATCCAGATGGCCAAGTGCAGCTTTGAGCCGCGAAGGCCGAAGAAACGCGGCATGATGAATGTGAAAGGTCTGAACTTAGGGAAAGAGACCCGGAGACAGGACAGTAATCATCCGGGTCAAGCAGACCGGCCCATTTAAGGATGATTTTCACGCCAGGCTAAGCTCTCTGAAGGTCGGCTTTCAGCACTTACATGATTGCTCAACCCCAGATCCGAGTACGGTGCTTAGGCATGTCCACTCCGCACACTTGATCCCCGCGATTGTCACACTACTCCCTCGGATCCGGCTCGAGTTGCAGATGTGGCGGCCGGCATTAGTTACACTGAGGAAAAGAGGGAGGGGAAGACGGGGGAGGATGGGGATGGGGATGGGGATGGGGATTGCGGATCCGAACCCCGGATTTTGATCGGGTAGTAGCACTTAATATTCGTCGTGGTCTCATACCTATAGAATAACCCCTGACCTCTCGAGAGGCGCTAGAACCGACGCCAGGTGGATGTATCATCGGATCCGGAGTGTGGATCCCGGGGTGCACCTTCTGAAATTCTTCGTTGAAGCAAAGCAGAGATTATGCCGACATTTTTGAGAACCGTTCGAAGCAATGGCTACTGTAGAGCTCACTCTTTCCCTTTATCGAGTGGTTATGATGGACCCGAAGATGAGTAATGGCTCTACCATCCCTTCGGTTGCTCCGTGTTCACCAACAGTCAATTTGAGAGTAAGATGTCGTGTCAAAGCTCAGCTCTCTCGTCCAATACTCCTTGGTATCTATGATGGACTAAATTGAAAGAAACGTTCGTGGCTATGCCGCATTACCGTGTTTAACCACGTGAGTCGAGAAGCGATGCCGTACGTTGGCGACCAAGATTTGGGCTTTTACAAAAGCACTGCCCGGCTTCCATTATGAGCGCTAAGCTTTCGCTAAGGGTGAGGCTGGACCCTCGAAATGTCAAAACCCCCCTCATTTACCGCCGTTCGTATTTCGGCTGCGAAACGCGGGGGTTGGGCCCGCCAAAATCAATTCTATCCTGTTCCTCGGACCCGCACTCTCCAAGTGCACAGTTGGCGCTACCATGACGCACAGTGATCTTGCTCCCCGTCGAAAACAATTTTCTAGCTGCGATGCCTGCCGAACCTCGCGTGTTCGCTGTGATGCTTTCAGAAAGCGCACCAAGTCAGGGCAAGCGATCGAGACTTGCAGCCGTTGTGCATACCGGAACAAAAATTGCACTTTTCAGGTATCGTACACCCTTAAGCTCATTCCTGACTCCTGGCATCAACTCTTTAAGAACCTAGCTGACCTCATCGCCGTATCGCAGTGGATGAAAAATGCTTCTGTCAAAGCCAACAGATCGTCTGTCTCCTTGAATGACCAGGGCCGCCTCTTATCGCCGTCGTCATCAAACGATACCCACTCAAATGTCTCCTATGAGTTGGGATTACAGCGTCATAGTATATCGCTGGATGATTTGATGGATGGGTAAGCTGGTCATATTCCATGTTTAATAGCTAAAGCCTCCTGACGATATGATGTAGAAATACTGGGTACTCTCGCACCGATGATGGCTGGCATGGAGCGACAGAACCACAGATATTCTCTCATACGGCCTCTGACTTTTCCGACTGGCTATCAGCTATGTATGAAGGTGTCTTTGAGGCCGTCTTTGGATCCTGGCTCGGAAACTACAGCTGCCCATTTGCGTAAGTAATGCCGAATTGCGCATGGTCTTCTCAAAACTTACTCACATTGTGATAGATTCGGTGAATCAGGAAATTCAACGACCGGTAATCCTGATTTATCTCTATCAGTCAGCATTTCGTCTCTGTGTAGAAGGTTCGACCACTTGATGAAAGGCTTAGAAAAAGAAGGCGAAAATGACCTTCATCTTCCGCCACTGAACCAAGAGGAATTAACAAAAGAATACCAAATTGATAACACCTTGAGTCAAGCCATCCAAGCATTTTCTGCGCAATGGCTACCTTTGACTTTCACTACAACCTCACAAAAGATCCGACAACTCCCGATCATTCAGGGGCTCTGGCGAGACTTGCGAAAGAGCCTTCCTCGGTCAATGAATAGACCATGCTATCGGTCCATGCTGAGCTTATATCTATACGCGATGGTTCCGGTGCCAGTCGGTATACCAGAAGAGGAAGAAGAGAACGGTATACCTGCCCAAGTCTGTGTCCAGGCCGCGTTGCAACAAGTGCGATTTCTGAGGGCTCGTCAAAGAAGTCTAGAATTCAATGGCTCTAAAGTTTCTTTGCTATCAGATCAGACACCTCCCTTATCTACCCGGAACAGGTTCGGATCGACTTCATGAAAATTGAAAACATGATCTACTGGGCGGCGATGACGTTTGACACCTCGTCTTCACTGACGTTAAACACTACATCAGTTCTCTCGGCTGGCTTGCTAGGCTGGGAGTCAGAAGCATGCTGGCGCCTAGTCAAAACATGCACAAACATATTCCATGAACAGTCCGAAGACTGGAGAGCCAATGGGGTGCTGATCACCGAAGAAACAGCAAATCAGATCATCGCGGCGGCACAAGCCTGGAAGCTTCGCGTTTGGAAAATGGGCACGATTCTCAAGGAGGCGCTCCGGGAGGGTCATGGCGAGGAAGCGGTATATCATGCACATACCTGTGTAGCGGACGTCATCCAAACATTCAATGTCACCTACCGCCCATTACTTGCTGCGTGTGAGCGTCGGCTTCAGTACTTATCCCAATACACAAAGATTCGCTGGTGTAAGTTTATTCTTTTCGGCGTTCGATAGCGCCTGAAGGAACTCTCCCGGTAACCACAGTACTAATAATTGTTCTAAGAGCAGACGAGTTGATGATACACCACAATCTGGCTATTCTCATCACAATTGACGCCGTGGAGATTGCCTCGAGGACTGATATACTAGAGGAATTACTCATAACAAGGTCCGACACGGAGGGCTGCTTGCTCAACTGCTTGAAATTTGGACTGAGCAATTACTTTACCATACCCAAGAACCAGGTCGGCGAAGGCAACGTCGGCCCGTTTGCATTAGTTGCAGTTGATCCTTACCCCCATCACGTAGTGGCTAGTGTCCAGCTGCTATGGAAAAGGTTAGTACAGGACTTCAATGATGGGAAAGTTGATCAGGCTGCGTATGGAGACATGCAGTCCACTCTGTTACAAATTTTGGAACTGCTGCCACAAACCTCAAAGTCAGTTCGTAAGGCCACAGAGCAGGCTCGGATGGCTTTGGCGTCTCATAATTAGCTGCTGGAGCTGGTATATCGCTTGTATCTGATGGTTTTTTGCCAACATTGTTACAATCTCAAATATCACGGTGAACTCAGATGGCGTGATGTGGCTGTGTATTGGGATCTGTGTATCATGCGAGCGGACAATCTGCGTATGGGAGAGCATGAAAGCTTCGCTCGAGATGAAACGCATTCGTTAATAGTAAAAAGTTCAAACTTACTGGGCGCGTACATGATGAAGAAACACCATCCAGTATATTGACCTATCTGCTTAGATCTTCCATAATAGCCGCGAACCTTTTCTCTGAAGGTTACAAGCCTTCCCGTGGTAAGGGAAAGCTCCCTTATTTGTAGGAGCAAGTTCAGAGTACCGAGATTAGAAGGTGAAGAAATATAGAAATAAGTCAGAGACATGTAGTTGATATATGCGTGCGGGCACCGAGCAGGCATCAGGCGTCAACATCAGTGAATCGATGTCTTCTCATTCACCAAGTGCCACCCCGTCTCCTTGAATCAAGCGCCAATCAAGATACAAATTTCTTTCCATTGATAGAATGTTGAAAGGTCTGTACGAGGCTTCTCAAATAGTGTACCTAAATCCCTCCACTCCGGCGATGATACGCTCTCCACGATCCGCTTGGTTATTGCAACGCCGGTACCAAAGTGCAAGCGACACAACAGCGAATAAAAAAACCACGTTAGCCCTAGTCAATATTTAGAACCAACTCATTGTAGCAAGGTATATAGAGAGTTTCAAAAGAGGGAGCCACGTACGCAAGAGCAGTGAAAACACCTGGTCGATATTGAGGTGCATCCTTTTCGAAGACCAAACTGGCAATGACACCGCCTATACCATCAAAGGCAATCAATGTCGCACTGGAAAAAGCGCGAGTCCATTGGCCTCGAATATTATTAGCCTGCCATGCCATGCAAGCAGGCACATTCGCATTGGCTCCGGCCACGGTCAAAAAGACACCGACGTATCGAGCTGAGTTGCTTTTCAAAAATCCCATCATGGGTAGACCAATTAATGAAAGGCAAACATTGAACAGCAGAATTGGAACACGTCGCTCGATCTTATCACCCAACCATGCAGTCAGAAACATCATCAGAGCTGCGAATATCCATGGTGGTGCTGTGAGGCATTGAGCTTCTCCTACACCAAACCCCATTCCGTCGGAAAGGATTATGGGGAGAAAATACGCCATGGCATACGTATTTATGGTCAAACAGCTATTCATTAATTAGAACCACTTAGCGAAGATCTTGTCGAACTTAGGTGGGGGCCTCTCACCAGAACAGGATTGCAAATGTCCATATTTTGATGTCGAGCGCCGGCTTCAGGAATCTCCGAAGGCTGAACTCCTCTGCCTCAGCATCCAGTCGATCATAATTGATCCGTTGGACGACGAATTCACATTCCTCCTCATTCAGGAATCTCCGACTCCGTGAGGCTTTGTCTGGGAAATCGACAATTAGGCTGTACACAAGAAAACCGAGCCCAATGCTGATCTGATTGGTTAGATTCCCATTTTTTTGAGACTGGAATCCGACTTACCACTCCTTCGAGAATGAATATCCAACGCCATCCCGCAATCCCGCGAGTACCATTCATTTTTGTCAACCCAAAGGCAAGTATTCCCGACAAAGCTGATGCTACGCAGCCCACACCGTAGAAAACCGCAAAGCGCTTCTGGACCTCGTCTGTTTGACTCACGCGAGTTAACAACCCCACGAAAAGCATATGTTGGCGTGATGGACAGAGACCTACAGCGCAAATACCAGCAAGAAAGAAGATACATGCATCCTGGGAAGTACCCAGCCGCAAAGACACCCAGAAGGATTCGTATGGCGAGGATCTCTTCCCATTTCTTGGCAAATCCCATGCCCTATCATCACACTTAAGAAGAAGAAACGCACAGGGCTGATGTAGACTCACCAACATCAAAGCACCCCAGCAGAAAACCATGAGCGAAAGAAAGTAGGGAGGGCCCATTTTGCGGATGAGAACAGTGGCGGGTGGCTGGAAGACCACGTACGTAATGAAGAACATCAGTACAACGAGCGACTACAGAAAAACAATTAGCGGTTGGCTTGAAAATTTGAAGAATCCAACCGCTTGAGTAGACTCACGTAGCGTGTTCCGTCAAAGTTGAGATCTGTGAGCATGCTTTTCGATCGGTGAGCTGGTAAGCACACAAAATAATGGTGGTATTTATCACTCACCCTCCAATGGCTGCCATTCCAATATTGCCACGATCCATCAAATTCACAGAATATCCTAAAGCAGCGCCTACAATTAGCCTCAGATCCACTTTCCTCATGATCTGCTTCTCGCGGTGGGAAAGTGGATTCCCATCGGCGGTGGATCCCTTGACAGGATCAATCGCCTCGACAATAAGCTTCGACATAGTGGATTCAGATAATGAACAATCAACTGAGAGACTGATAGAGCCAGTGGCAATTAGATTACCCAGAAAAGTGACCTTCAAAGAGTCTCTGGATAGGCGTATTCATATATATGTCTTGGAGATACTTGCCACAACGCCATTTAGCTTCCAATGGAGGAAAAAGAGCTCCTATGGTGGTATCCTGAGACTTCATGGAGAAATCACTTAGAAAGATTATTTTAAATCGGATCCGAAAGCTAATTTGGACTGTTGACGTGGACACATGACCCCTTTCAAGTTCGAGCGCTCTCTAACCAAAGATATCAATCGAGGCTGCACGAGCCTTAGCCTGTCTTGCCTAGAAAGCAATAACCCTCAATTGGAACGACTCATAATTGTAGGTTTTACCTGGAAAATACAACGGTAGGTGTGGGCTGAGTCGCAGCGCATCTAAAGCACCTCGGCCTCTACGACCCCGGTAAATGTCATAAGCCTTGAAGCATAATGGACTGGCGATATGTCATATTTTCATCTGAAGAGCTGGATCGGATCCGACTCTTCTCTTCTCACAATCTGTGTAGCATTCTCCACCTTCTACCCCGCACGGCACTTTCAAACCCCAGACGCACAGGCACCATTTTAGCACTGTTTCGACGGTGGGAGACTTCGTCCAAAGACCTAGCAAATACTTGTGCTCAAGGACAGCAAATTAATGAGAGTTTTGCTCATTGTGGCTTTGGGCAACAAGCCGATGTACCCTGACGATGATACCTGATCTATGAACAATCTTGAGACGAGCCTTCTCATATAAAGGACACAATGGTCGCTGATGATCTTCTTTTCTAGAAATATCAAGATCCGCAACTCGTTAAGCAAAATATACCTTGATATTGGATAACCACAATGACTAAATCCGCTTTCTTGATCGTGCTCGGCGCAGTCACCACAATCACTGTAGAGGCAGCGTCACCTCTTGGTGCCTATAATGTTGACGCCTCTGCGGTCTCCGTGTCTGGTCTATCGAGCGGCGGCTTCATGTCCGCCCAGCTCGGAGTGGCATATTCGAACGTCTTTCAGGTCGGCTTTGGTGTTTTCGCCGGCGGGCCTTTTGATTGTGCTCGTAATCAGGCTGTAAGTTGTAACCTCTACGCAAGTGAATCAAAAGAGCTTAAATGATTGACAAATGCTATACTGTGAAGTATACAACCTGCATGTACAATCAGAATCCCTCCATTACAACTCCAACTGCAAACATGAAGTCATGGAGCGGCAATGAGATTGCCACAACGAGCAACTTGGCAAATCGCAAGGTTTACCTCTGGGAAGGATCCGCAGACACCACCGTGGGCCCTAATGTGATGAATGCGTTGCATAGCCAGCTTAGCAATTTCGATACCTCGGCTGACGTGTCTTATGTGACGACAAGCGGTGCTGTACACACCTTCCCCACCGACTTCGACGGCACAGGTGACAATTCCTGCAGCATGTCTACTTCGCCATACATCAGTAACTGCAACTACGATGGTGCTGGGGCGGTCTTACAGTGGATGTATGGCTCCTTGAATGCCAAGAATACCGGTAGCCTCACCGGGACGGTGGTTTCTTTTGCCCAAACGGGTGAATACGGGGCCGCTGGCATGGACACAACCGGCTATCTTTACGTTCCTGCCAACTGTCAGAGCGGCTCCACAGTCTGCAAATTGCATGTTGCCCTACATGGATGCTTGCAGAGCTACAGTAATATTCAGACTGACTTTATTCAGAATACAGGTTACAACATGTGGGCGGGTCAGCACAAACTCCCTGGTAACTTCGATGGCATATGGCTGACCTATCTCATTCCCCAGATACTAACAATATTATCATTCTTTACCCTCAAGCAGTTCCAGACAACACTATGCACAGCATCTAGGGAGGCAGTGAGCTAAGCAACCCGAACGGCTGCTGGGATTGGGTGGGTTGGTATGGAACTAATGCGGACCAGATCGGAGGTGAGCTCAGACAGAAGTAGATTTGAATCAAAGCAGCTGACAATTGAAGGCGTTCAAATGGTGGCCATTGTCAACCAAGTGGCTCAAATCATCAGCGGTAACACCGGTGGGGGTACCCCTCCCGGAGGGGGCAGTACTACCACGCTGAAGACTACGACGAAGCCGTCAACTACAACGTCCACTACTGTGAGCAGTGGGACAGCGGCACCATTGTATGGACAATGTGGTGGTTATGGATGGACTGGTCCAACGACTTGTGCGCAAGGTGTTTGCACGGCCTATAGCACTGAATATGCCCAGTGCCTGCTACCTCTCTAAGCCCCGTTGAAGGTAATTCAGAACCTGGTCATAGGCATTGATTTGAACAGACAGATCACGGGCTGCCGCACCCTCTGTCTGCGCATACAATCTCCCGTGAAGCTATCACGGGGATTAACAGTAGCCGCATCAGGTTGGCTTCGCAAAGAGCCATTCGATGTTGTCTCTGGTCTAGTGGGCCAGTAAGTTGGTAAGAGTTTAGCTGAATGAACACTATACCGTATACACAATCCTGATAATTACTTTAATATAGTTCTCCATTTCTAAAGACGAGCAAGTTCTCCTCTTATTTTGACATGCGAGCCTCTATGATAAAGTAAAAGCTCAGGTGATAAGCACGCGTCCAACGGATCGTAGACTCGAGGGGCGCGACATCCATGTTACAGACCACCCAGACATCGGGCACTACGCCAAGACCTGGCTTGCATGTACAGATATCGCACGTGGGATTTACCGAGTCCAGTTAGGTCACGAAAATTTGATACATCTGATCCATGTTACGTACCGACAAGCCCTCTTTTCTGATGGACACAAAAAATTACAATATGGAACAGTGGCGCCTTCGCTGTACATTAGACCCCGCAAAAAAAAAGGAAAAAAAAAGGAAAAAAAGAGAGGAGGGTACATCAAAATTGGCACAGATCAGAATTTCGTGAGTCGTGCAGCGCTTAGAAACCTCACCTCCAATAAAATAAACAACTGGAACACGAGAATGAATTCAAAATGGAACGAAAATTAGATCAAATATGAAACGCCCCGGAGGTATGTAGATGGCGAATGAATAGATGACAAGATTGATGAGATTGAAATTAGTAATCGGAGTACGTCTCGTAGTGGGAGTATCCGTTTTGGGGTTGGGCCCAGGCTGTGTTGCGGAGACGGCGCTCTGTGGAAAACAAATCAGGTTAGTTATTTTGCTTGAAAAGGTGTGCCAAGGGAGTTGGAGTAAGGGAGGCACTTACCCTTTTCAAAATCACGCCAACGCTTCATGGTAATCTGCGAACTGTCGAACTCGCCCTCGGCATCACCGTGCCCCTTGTCCTTCTCACCGGCCGTCTTGCGCGTATCACCCCAGCTGAAGTCGTCGAATTTCCAGAAGGCGTATGTAGGCAGAACGAAGTTCCAAATTGGGAGAGAGACGAGATAAATCAGCATCCAAAGGACATAAACGAGACGGTGGGCGGTGACGACGATCAAGACTCCGGGGAGACCAAGAATCAAAGCAAGTAGGACTAGGGGAATGATCTGAACAGGTCTGCGGATGATGGAAGAGATGATGACATAGATGGTAAATGCGATAGCGGCGGGAAGGACGAGAGTTCCAATTAATTCGATGAAGATGACGAATTGCATGCTAAAGCAGAATGTGCCGCATAGGTCACGGACGAGGACGAGTTCGAGCAGATTGTGGACAGTACTGTTGATCCAGCGGCGGCGTTGGGAGAGAAGGACCATGAATTTGTCAGGAACGACAGTTTTGCAGACAGCTTGGGGAACGAAGATTTGTTTGCGTTTGGGGAAAGTCTTCAGCATGAGGGTTGTGAGGTAACGATCTTCGCCGAGGAGGAGGAGGTTCTTCTTGTGGAGAGTATCGACAACGTTTTCCGAGTAGTGTTCCACAATATCAGGATTGGCGAGGATAGGAACCCAGTAATTTTGGCCGCCTTTGGGGGCTTTGATTCGGTACATAGTGAAACAGCCCGGGAGACAGGTGACACCACCAAAGACGGACTCGAAAGACTTGGCTTGATGATGGGAAATGAAGTATCTGGAATGGGGTTAACGGATTTATCACGGAATGATGATGTTGAGGAAACATACTCAAAAACTTGTATCATGGTCACCCAGCTGTCTGTCTTGTTGGCAATCTTCGTCTCTCCACAAAGACCCATGATTTCGGGGTCCTTGACCATCGCGGAAATCATATGTGTCAAACTATCCGGAAAGACCTTTGTGTCGGCGTCAACCATGAGGACAACCTCGTAGAAGTCGGGTGGGATGCCCGTGACATTCCATAGTCCGTTAAACATCTCAAACTCGAGTTCTGTCATACGCTCATCGAACATGACCTTCTGCAAAAAGGACATCAGGATGATCTGACTGTCTCGCTTGCCTCGATTACCAGGCTTTGACGCAGTCGCTTCGGCAGGAGTACCGCACTTGACAATGACCATCATGGGAACACGCTGCTGTCTTTCGGGGGAAATAACGGACGTTTCGCCATAGTCATAGAAACCAGTGTACACCTTGGACATGTTGTGACGCTTCGAGCCAGTAGCCACAGCCACATAGGAAAAAGGTTGAACCTCATTAGGGGGGATGACATGGTCTTTCAACATGCCAAGAACAATGTCTGGAGTAGAGAACTCTTCTCCCTTGCCCTTGATGATACCGTCACATATGACAAGGATGGTCTTGTGGCTGTTTGGGTAATCTGTCATGGCAATGGAGTCCAGAGTAGATCGAATACCCTCTTCCCCTTCAGAGTAACAAGTGACCAGACAGAGTGAGTGAGCCAGCGGGTACCCGAAAGGCTGCCACTCGGCAGGAGGTTGCGGGACGACGGCTTCGTGAATAAATCCGGCAGGGCCAGGACCCTCGGATTCGGAATTGATTCTGGCAAATTCTGCATCATGCTGCCCGGGCCAAACTCGTGCGACTTGCTGCAGGGTTACTGAGAGTACCGCCACTGCTGTTATGGCTCATCTTATACATGGTTCCTGTGGTCGTGGAGCTCGGCATAAGCCGAGAAGTCGAGTTTTGACTGGCCATGGTGACATATTGCGAGGGCTGTTTGCTCCCATTTGAAGCGTTGACGTTGTATGGACTGGAAAAACGCGACGTCGTAGGTAAGAAGCTGGCACGCTTGCTAACTGAAGGGATCGGAGGATCAGCGATACGAGGCCCAGGCCTGTAGATATCGTTGGACCAGTCTTCTATCTGCTGGTTTCGAGTCCGTGTATCCGAGCTCATACTCGTTGTCTGAGCGGCGAATTTAGGCGCCAGGAACCATTGGAAGAGCAAGGCAAAAGCAAATTTGACAACGACAATAGAGAGAATGAAGATCAGGGAGACGTAAAGCACGACCTTGGACGCAATGCACCCGACGGTGTCAGTGTCGATGCTGCCCACTTTGATGATTTGTTCCAAGCACTTTCCAATCCTCTTCTGGTCACCGCTTTGAAGGTAGTAAGTGAGATCAACCCCGCGGACCGCGGGGTTCTCACGCAGCAAATCGAATTCATTGGGATATGAGACCTGCGACGTATTGAACCAGCGCAAAAGATCTAGGTCGAGAACGTTGCCCGAGTACACGGCCAAATTACGGCTCTTGTTCTTGGTGTCTTCCCAAGTGTAATAGACATCCCCAGAACTCCTCAAAGAATAGAATGGCGTACGTGCGGCTGAACTGGTATGGCAAGCCCAGCCAAGATAGTAAGAAACCGTCTCATTTGGCTCGGATGAACCATCCTGGTTGAAGGCTTGGCAGGGAAAGTACCAACCAAGATCACCATTCGAATTAGTGGGCACGCCGCCGCCATCCACAGCGGTGATAAGACCCTTGCAAGCACCGTTGACTTGCTGGAACAAAAAGCTGCCATCTTGGCCGCCGTACTTATGGGCAGATCATACAGCACATTAGCGTTAGCAGGAATGCCCTCAGCAGCAGCATGCTTGGAGTCTGTCAGGTCGTACGCTTCTCCGTGGAAAATCATGTAACCATCGCCAACCTCATTTACCTTCAAACGCAACGGAGGTGTACCGCAAACCGTAGCGGTGAAACCGAATGTCAAGAAACCGACAAAGGCAGCGATCATGAGAATGATACTGATGAGGCCGATTTTCTCTCGCCAAGCAGTACGCTGTTCCTTTTGAGGCATGCCAAAGCACTTGAGCACAAAATCCGGAACAAGACAACTAACGAGTGCGCAATAGGTCGTCCAAAGATCAGGTGGCCGCGCCGCATCCAATGCCTTTTGTCGCTGGGCCGATTTACTCCTGAGACACTCGACGAGAAGACGACCTCTTCTTCTTTTTCGAGCGATGGCGACTAGGCGCACGGTCCATAGGCTTATTGATGTTCCCATAATCCTTGGTCTTGATACTTATGCTGCGGGTACTATTGGTTTCGGCCTCACCGTCGCGATCGAGTAACGGGTCGTTTCCTGTAGCAGAGGGGTATGTTGACATTTGCTGTGATCGCTGGCGGTAATGGTAATCGCGATTTTCTCTGTCCACATGACGTCGCTCGGGCTTTACGAGATTCTTTTTACGTCTCACATCTCCGCCTCTTTCCATGCGCTCCTCGTCGGTGTCAGCTCCGCGCCGGTGGCTGTGTGAGTGTCGACGGTGTCGGCGATGTGAAGAGGGAGAGGATTGAGGGTCGTCGCTGTAGGCGCCGGTTTCAATGTCTCGGTGACGATGGCGGCGTGAGGGTTCGCGGAAGGCGCTGCGCTCATCTCGGCGCGGGGAGGCCTTGCCCGGCCGCTGCGGTAGAGACATTGGGCTTTCTGGGCGGTCTGGAGTCAGATTCGGGTTGGCGAGAGGGTGAGTCGTTGTCGCACTTACGTTTTGAAGGTTACGATCATGCACAGATGGTCAAAACAGTAGAAATGCTTTGAAGCGGGTTGTTGTTTTCTGTCTATCGGCGCATTTTCCCCAGCGATCAACCAGCCACGGCACCTCTAGTCTCCGTATGAAATGCGATGGGAGGGTGGCGTGAAAGGTCGACGGTCTGGATGACGGTCTCGGAGAATGAAGATCTTGTCTGGGGGCCTGATCTGGATCGAGGGACTAGTTGAGACTCCGTAAGATGTCGGCCGGTGCAACGAGAGCCGGGGGTGGAGAATAAACAAAGGTCCACACTCGGGTCCGAACAAGGACGAGAGTCGAGAAACCACACAATCACAGAATACTCCAAAGATCAATTTATTCACTTTGTCCTCACAGAGATGCCCACGAAGAAGAGAACGAAGTGAGACAGTGAGACAACGGTTCAGGTGGAGAGTCAGGGTCTCCAAGCCGGGTCACTTGGCACCAGCACTCGGAACATCCACGAGAAAGAGCACTAACACCAACAGCGCTACTACCACAAACAGCCCCTAAGACCTTGCATTCGCCTCCAGGCGGAACCGAGCTTCCCATTGCCCCTAATTCTGTCGCTAGGGGCAATGGCCGGGGTACACCACAACCCAATCAAGGATAGTAAAAACTGGGCCTAAGCCCAAAGGCAAATCACAGCGTCTCGAACTAAGCCAAAACTAAGCCAAATGAGGTTAAAGCCTGAATATTCCACTCGAATGTGAGGGGAAGATCAAGCCGACGGCTTATTTTTGCACCTTTTTTTCTTCTCATCACGGGGCTATTATTACTTACGCCATTCTACGATACATGGTCCCTTGGAACTCTTGGTACCAAAGGATGATTCCTCTGTCCTGAGCCCGATGCCCACGCCCAATATCGTCTTGTCCAGTATGATCTCTCTCTCAGGACCCACCAAGACCCGTTGACTCTGCAATTCGTCGGAATAGCCATTCTATTCGATACACCCTGTTGACAGTAATGCACTTCTCATAGTGGGGGCAACGTGAGCTTATAGCCCACGGTTCACAACCCCAATGTGGGTAGACTCTCTGGAGGCTCTCTTTTTAATCCACGGTGGCCTTTTTTCATTTCCTCTCTGGCCCTGTGGCCAAATTCGATATTTGTCGGGCTCGTGAATATGAGCTGCTAGTGGCTGTCCAAGTGGCTCCAGCATCAATTATTGCCATTGACAAAATAGAGCGTGCGCGTGCCTTGCTGCTATGTCGTCAGTCTCATGCGGCCTTACGACAGCGATGAGAGGCGTCATATCCTGGTGTGCCAAACCTACAACCTGAACCGTTTCGTAGAAGCTGTGAAAAAGACAAAGAGCTCAAATTCAACGGTCACTCCGATAGCACCCTCTTCCTCTACTCGAGTACCTCGCGATGCGATCGGCAGGCAATCCCTGCAGCACTCCGCCAACTCCAGATCATCATATACTCCTGTCATAATGTTCAAAATCTTCCAATGTAGCTTTTATTTCAAGGCAGTCCAATCACACCATCCAATTTGTACATGTGTGTTAGGCACCTAGTCCAAATCCGACCGTCCAACCACCCCCGACCGGAAGCCCGAGGAATCACCCACAAACAACAAGCGCCCTCGAACTTTTGGGGATTCTTTGTGCTGGTTATGCCCTTGTCGTGGGGGTCTCATCAGGCCCAATCACTTACGCAGGGAAGTGGTAACAATCTTGATTAATACTCCATACTCGATGATGGAAAGAATCAGTTCACCTCCAGCAAGAAGGAAGACAACTCCGACGGAACTTGGTTCGTGCGGCACCGGAATGCGCCACTGGCGAGGGGCTATTTCTGGCGACTTTACACTTCGCTGCCTGCCATGAATCGGGGAGATTCGATCTTCAGACTTCGAATTTCCAGATTTAAAGGAACCTTGGAAATCTTTGCTTTCAAAGACCGCTTTCAATTCTCGAATCTCCTGATACTGTCCAGCAAGGAGATCTCCGGCCCACTTGGGCCGTGCGAGTATGGGACAGTCCCAGCACCGGGACGACAAACTCAATTCCACCCTTTGCCATGGTAGGGATGCTCAAGATGCTCAAAGATAAAGCATGGCGTGACTCCAGTGTCAATTACCCGGTGACTCCCAAGTCCGTCCATGTCATGTATCCAGACGTCTGCGGTGTCAGCTTAGGGTTCGCCGCACTATTAATACATACCATGTACCCAAAGTCAGGTACTGACAGGGTGGAAATGCAGGCGTGGCTGCAGGGTATGCCGGAAATGCCGGGACGTTCGTTTCCGCTCGCAGGCTGCATTGAATTCCCCGTTTTGACTAGCACGATGCGAGGATGTTGTAGAGTTGTGCCCCAGCGTCGTCTCCACACGATCGCCGAGCTCCACTGAGCGCATGGCCATAGGATGTTCGGTTCGGCGGGCTGGGGTCGCCAAATATGGAAGCGAATGGAACCAGGTGCCGATACGGAGGTTGTCTCGGTTGACCGCTAGATGGATCGAGCACGGGGGCTATATAGAGATGTGGCCGTTCGATGTCTCCACATGTTTGTAAGTGGATCATGCCGCACAAGAAATTGCGATCAGGCTTTGGTCCCGTGTTATACGAGCAGGACGGCGACCCTAAAATAGCGAGGGACTAGCTCCACTCGGAGTCGTCTGACTCGGTCCCTAGGGGCTGTTTCCTTAACGCCGACTTGTGTTAAAAGACATGAAAAGCAGAATACTCTGGCCTAATTACAGGGACGGTCTAGGCACCGGACTTGAAGTACCGTGGCAACCAGTAAATAGTACGGTCCTCCCAGCTTTATCAATCAATAGGAAGAAACTAGCGACTAGCAACTCCAAGTGGGGGAGCCTGAAAGTGGAGGCCGTGATCTTTGTCGCTGTTGGCTGAAACACTACTTTTCTGCTAAACTTCCCCCCCTCCCTTCCCTCGCTTTATTCAAGTCCTTCGCTCAGGCTTACGGTTCACCCTCGTTCAGGATTCGTTTGTGTAAGTACCGAAGTGATAGACACTACTCATCTCGTTCATGACGAAGTTGCTAATTAGCCGCAGTCTTCGGTCCACAACTGGGGCTACCCGACCCCGACTGAACCCTTCCGTCTCCACGGATCATTGGAACTCTCATTGGAACCCAGCATCCTTCTTTCCATTGTGAGATAAAGCTGAGAGCTTCTGTCGTTTCATATTCTCTATGTCGGCGCAATAAGAAACCTCGCATTCTCTCCCGTCGCTGACTCCGCATCCCACTCGCTTTCCCCTCAAACGGCCGACAGTCGTTACTCGCACTAGCACACGATGGCTGCTCATCTCATACCCGAGCAGCCCATCCCGTCGCCTCCTGCAGCTTACCTTCGTTCTTCCCCCCCTTTTCCTTCGGACCAGAGCACGGCTCGAACAACGCCTTGTCGGCCCCAGAGCCTACAAATCACTCGACCGATGCCTGGAGAGTCTCCAGATTCGCCCGTCATCCAGCATTCCCCTCGATCACCTGTCAAAATAGACAATGGGATGGAGCTACCACTGGCCTCAAGCGCCCGCATTGAGAATTCACATGACGGTCGTCGAACGCCTCAGATCGAGCTTCCCGAGTTCGCGGTCATGTCCATCGAAGACCCCGCGGAGCCGAAGCAGGCATGGAACCCTTCATTCCCGCCAAGACGGGACTCGAATCAGACCCCGCACTATAGGCCCCAACATCCATATGGCCACACGCCCGCCAGTAGCGGCTCTTGGTCTGTCGTAGACAATAAACTCAAAAACGAGACCAATACCAATTCCAAGAAGAGCGCGTCGTCGCTGGAGCGTGAGAGGGAAAGCCACAATAGCTCTTCCCGCGGCAGCTTGGAAAGCGTCGCCCAGACCTCGGACAGCTATGAACCTCTTCCGTATCATCACCAGCAGCTTGAAAACCAACAGGCCGCGCGGGCATCCAGAATTGCCGTGAGCCCGGCCGACAATCCATCTGCCTCAACGGGAAATCTGGCTGTGAGAAAACCTCGCCTTTCTCGGCCCTTATCACAGTACTCTTCCGGTGGCTCTGATGTAGGCGGCGGTAATCATCGACGCAATCTGTCAGCCTCGCCATACTTGCATGCGCGTTCTCCTTCACGAAACTCTACATCTCCCGATCCTCGTCCTCTGTCTGTTCTTAATCTTCTAAACACATCTTACCCTCAGCCAGGTCCTGTGGTCACTTCATTCGACAACTCACGCCTCCAGTCGTCTGTTGGTAATAGCGCATCATTGCTGAGCCACAAGCAGACATTCGAGATGTATCTGGCGAATGTCAAGAAAACAGATGAACCAGCTGTGCAGTACGAATTTGCAGTCTTCATGATCAACTCGATGCGCGAGATGCCAAATGTCGACCTGGAAGACTCCAGCTCAATCACTCGCCAAAGACTCTCGCGCGAAGCCAAGTCCATTCTCCAGCGCCTCTCCGACCGCAGCTACCCATTCGCGCAGTACTATCTCGCAGACGGCTATGCATCAGGTTTATTCAGCAAGGGCAAAGAAGACTACGATCGTGCATTCCCGCTCTTTTTAGCCGCTAGCAAACACGGTCATGTCGAAGCTTGCTACCGCACTGCATTGTGCTACGAGTTCGGGTGGGGCTGCCGAAGGGACGGCGGGCGCGCTGTTCAATTCTACCGTCAAGCCGCGTCTAAGAATCATCCGGGTGCAATGCTCCGCATGGCTAAGGCGTGTTTAGCAGGCGATATGGGTTTAGGAAAGAGATACCGTGAAGGTATAAAGTGGATGAAGCGGGCAGCGGAGTCGTCTGACGCTCAGTACAACTCCGCGCCGTATGAACTTGGCGTAATGCATGAAGCAGGCTTTGGCGACGACGTGTTCCCTGACCCATCCTACGCCGCGCAGCTGTTCACGAAATCAGCCGAACTGGGTCATGACGAGGCAAATTACCGAATGGGCGATGCCTATGAGCATGGGAAACTCAACTGTCCCCGCGATCCTGCTCTAAGCATCCACTTCTACACCAGTGCCGCGCAAAACGGCCATCCATTGGCAATGATGGCCCTTTGTGCCTGGTACCTCGTTGGGGCGGAGCCAGTTCTCGAGAAAGACGAGAATGAAGCCTACGAATGGGCCGTACGCGCTGCTGCCACAGGTCTGTCTCACGCTCATTATAGGTCTCACTCCAGCTAACGCGTTTTACCACAGGTCTCGCAAAAGCCCAATATGCAGTCGGCTACTTCACGGAAATGGGCATCGGCTGCCGACGTGATGCCCTCGAAGCAAACGTCTGGTACGTCAAAGCCGCCGATCAAGACGACGAACGCGCCAAGCACCGCATCGCCACTATCCGAGCTGCAGCGGACGGCGCAAGTTCAACCGTCCCAACCAAAAGTAGCGGCCGCCTCAGGAGATCGGAACCCAAGGACCAAGGTACGTCCTACGTACCCGTTTCAGAAATATCAAACCTAGACCAGAACTAATATGACCAAGAACCCGAAAAGCCTAAGCAAAAGCGCTTCGTCATATTTTGAAATCTACATTTTTCACCACATATTCGCATCTACAGCTCCTTGAACGCTGTAAAACCCTCACAATTAGACTCCCTCGACAGACTGATATCCCCGACACGTCACTATCACCACCGCCGTTACCGTCTCATCCACTTGATTTACTCAATCCCACGCCACAAAAATCAAGCTCCGATCCTGGGCGTTGACCTTCCTATTTCCTGTCCCCTGCATAATCACAAGATACTCATATCTATAATCACCGTTGCATTTCCCGGTCGGTCTGGCAATTCACCATCCTCGAGCAGCCAGTTTTGGTGAATAGCGCTCTCTTTACTCGCATTTTGATTTTTGGGAAAGTTGCAGACCTCTACGAGGCTCCACGTGAGGGAACAGGCGTTCTTAATGATTCAATGATAATTTCGTTTTTCCGGACACAGTTCCATGTTGTAATTTACACAACGATATGTCTTTTTGGACTATATATGGGTGCATGTAACTCCATCTCTTATAAATTCTGACCTCCCTTCCCCAAAATATGGAGATACTCTTTGATTGCGGTAGGCCAAGCCAGAAAAAACTTTGTTGTTCAACCGATTCAACTCACTTAGTAAGAAGGCAAAGCTTGAGAGGTGCTGAAGAGTAATTTAGGGAGACGATATGATCACCCAACGCAGAGTATTATGTCTATCCCGGTGAGACTTGGTGTCACGCTACAATCGACTTTCTCAATCCCATCTATACCCCCCATCGACTCGTGGTCTCAAATGTCCAAATATACCTAGGCGTAGAGCACAAGGTCTATCTACGTCAGATAAGGGCATCACACAGAATGCCTTGATTCTACCGCAAGACGATCCACACAAAGTAATAACGAGTAATATTCGATATGAAATGCCGTCCGCAAGCTCCGAGCAGGGTCTCAGGAACTGCCCCACAGGAGCTTCTGCCTGGAAGTCTCCACTTGGCGCTTTGTTGCCTGGCGCTACTCAGGCAGCAGCCCCCAAATTGGCCTGCATCCTCAGGCCGACACAGGATTCCCTTATTCAAAAAGCCACCCATTTCACGGGATATTCAAGTCGCTCTTCATCTTCCTTCAATAATCCCGTCTCCTTCCATCTTTTATGCGGATCTTTTACATTGAAGCCCTGTCAATCCCCAATTCCCCTTAAACCGTCCTCGGATCGCGCTCTTCTTTACACACAACACCCACGTCTTTATTCCGACTTTATTGATTACTGGCGCCATGGCTCCACGATCTTTCAAGAAACTCGTCGTCGCTGTCAGCGGGACCTTTCCCGGCTACAAGCAGGGTCAGTTCCCTCTCAAATCAACCACGAAGATCTAGCCCCACATGGTCGATCGCTCGCACCATTGAGATGATACTGACTCCTATCCTGCAGCTGATCTGAAGAGCCTTGTTGAAGGCCACGGCGCTACATTCTCTGGCTCCGTTGTGGAGTCATGCACGCATCTCATCACGACTGAAAAGGATGTGGAAAAGAACACCATGAAATGTGAGTTTCGCTCATGCCAACTCTAAGACTTGGCATTAACAAACATCAGACAGAGCTGCTTGTGAAATGCAGTCTTGTCAGGTTGTTTCTCTCGACTGGTTGCTTGATTCACTCAAGGCGAGGAAGCCACTCGCTGAGGGAAAGTACATCATGGGCTCTGGTTCTGGCCAAAACGAATCCGATCAGGACGTGCTGGAGGATGCCGAGGATACGAAGACTGTTATCCAGATAGACTCGACGAATGGTGCTCCAAATAATACAGCAACTACCATGAAGAAGTCAAAGATTGGCGTTCAAAACAACCTCCCGACCGGTACCAAGACAAATGGGAAGGAGAACGCCCAGGCCTCAGGCAAGAAGCGCGGCTCCGCATTACTTGATAGCATGGAGGAAGATGCAAGCAAGAAGACCAAGGATGCCCAAAAGTCTGGGTTCAAGAACCTTAGCATCCCCGTTGATGAAGGTTTCCGTCGAATGGAAATCCAACACAAAGGTGAAGCTGCCCTCTCAGCGTTATAATTCGCCCGTCAAACTGACCGATGCATCATCTCAGATCCCCAAGTCTACGTCGATGATACAGAGCTCATATGGGATGCAACCTTGAATCAGACAGTGGCTGCTCAGAACAACAATAAGTTCTACATCATCCAGCTGCTTTCCGTATCCGGCGGCAAGAATTACTTCACCTGGACCCGATGGGGCCGTGTTGGTGAGTATGGACAGCATGCCTGTCTGGGAAGCGGTAACCTGGAGGAGGCAATCGGTCACTTCAAGAAAAAATTCAAGGACAAGTCGGGTTTGAACTGGGAGAACCGACTTGACCCCCCGAAGATGAAGAAGTACACCTTCATCGAGCGCAATTACGAAGAGGACGACGAAGAAGAGGAGAATGTGATCAAGAAGGAGGAAGGCGAAGATAGCAAATCTGGAATTGAGAGTGCTCTATCTAAGCCCCTGCAGAACCTCATGAGCTTCATCTTCAACAGCGATCACATCAACTCGGCCTTAGCGTCCATGTCATATGACGCAAAGAAGTTGCCATTGGGAAAGTTGTCAGACCGGACGCTCAAGAATGGATTCACAATTCTGAAAGAACTATCTGAGCTCATCGCGGATCCGAGCCTGGCAGGGTCCAAGTACGAAACAGATTATGCGACCGTGTCCGAGCACCTTAGCGACCAGTATTTCACCACCATCCCACACGTCTTTGGTCGAAACCGACCGCCTGTGATCAACTCGGACGCCCAGATTAAGAAGGAAGTTGAGCTTCTGGAAGCTTTGACTGATATGGATGTCGCCAATGAAATCATGAAAGATTCCCGAGAGGCTGATGAGATCAACCAACTTGATCGACAATTCCAAAGCCTCGGAATGGAAGAGATGACCCGGCTTGATCACAAGTCGAGTGAATTCGCTGAGCTGTCCAATTATCTGTCGAACTCACGTGGCCAAACACATCATCTTCGCTACCAGGTCATCGATATCTTCCGCATTGAGAGACGGGGTGAGAATGATCGCTTCAACGCATCTGTCCATGCAAATCTCAAGAACAGTGACCGTCGACTTCTATGGCATGGCTCCCGAAGTACGAACTTTGGTGGAATCCTCAGCCAGGGTCTACGCATTGCCCCACCAGAAGCTCCCGTGAATGGTTATATGTTCGGCAAGGGTGTGTATCTCGCAGACATGTCCAGCAAGTCTGCCAACTACTGTTGTCCGTATAGCAGTGGAAACATGGGATTACTTCTGCTTTGTGATGCTGAGCTCGGGGACCCCATGCTTGAGCTGGTCAACGGTGATTACAATGCGGGTGAAAACGCCGCCAAAGAGGGCAAGATTGCCACCCTGGGAAAAGGTGAAAGCATCCCTGCGGGATGGAAGGATGCAGGCTGCCTGAATCCGGCTTTACAGGGTGTCAAAATGCCCGACGTCAGCAATGGTACTGCGCACAGAGACGATGGGGCCTGGCTGCAGTACAACGAGTACATCGTCTATGATGTAGCCCAAATCCGCCAGCGATATTTGTTCTACGTTCACATGCAATAGCATGTCTGATTCCAAGATCCACAGCATGTTCAAGGAGTTTTCGGATTACAGGTAGGCATTGCGGCGGAGTCTGTTTCAAAAGGGAATCACCCACGCTTCAAGGTATCAATTGAAGCCGTTGGTAGCTATTTTGATTTCCTTACTTGTATGACAATCGGAATGGAAGCTAGAAGAATCTTGATTTTGAAGTGCAGTATCCCGCGTAGCTCACGCCCTTGCCTAGCTAAACTCCACCCCCAAAATCCGACCATCAGTCCACCGCTGAACATGGTTCCTATCCCCGAATCTATTTCCGTTTTTTCCCCATCAACCCCTACAATTCGCCTCCTATCTCCGATAATACTGCTCCATAATCCAAATCCCCTTTGATCATCGTCGCCTCAGCGCCTATTTCCTTGCAAAGGTCCCCAAACCCATCCCCCTTGTCCGGCAAAACACAATAACCTTTCGCTGAGCACCATCTCCCAGATGCAGCCTCACAAACTTGAATGTTATCCCTTGAAACAGTATCTTTGCAGTTCCAGATAGAGTATTTGATCTCGTGGTCCGCTTGGATGGTACATGCGAAGTAGACGGTGCCGTTCGAAGACATTGGGTGGAAATCGCCGTCTTTACAGGCCATTGAGCATTGATTGTTGCTACCGCATTCTTGATTGGCTTTCAGGTATGCGGGTTTGGCACTGTTTGTCGTGTTGGTGGTATTGGTGAAAGGGATTGCATGGGTGAGGGTTCAGAAGGGGAGGAGATGAATGAGATAGAGATACATTTTGTCTAAGCCAGTATTAGGATTGACGGATTCGCAAAAGGAGGCAAGTTTCGAACCTCTTTTAAGTTGTGCTTTCGTCTTGTGATGGAAGCGTGTTATCTCATGCGGTACTTTTTCATATTTTGATGCGATTTATTGTAATGACGAAATGCAAATCACCCCTTTCAAGAATCCGGGGTATGAAACGCAGTCAATGGCACCCCAAAATACTGTTGCAGTCTCTATTAGCTCCAGCCATTCCCGGGCCATCGTTCTAGGGGGCTTGATTTGCGGATCTTTTCTAGAAATAAACTTCGGTCCGGACAGAATGCTCAATACCTAGAGGTGATAGGGTTTTTTTACTCATCTCAGGGCTGGAACGCGGGCGGACCCTAAGCCGGGAGCTTAAATTTGCCAAGCTTTGTGTGGTGTGTGGTTCACTCATTCACTGAATCAAGGGGTTCATCGGGGTTTTGCTGATCGCCCAAAGTATGCGACGCTAAGAGAGCTTGGCGAGGTCCCTTATGACATCATTGCGTAGCAAAAGTCAGCTTCATGTGGTATGGGAATGTGTCTAAACTTGCAATGCATCCTCCAGCCAAATGCTGAGAGTGGTCGCTTTACGTTAGTACTACATCTGGCTTTCAAATTCTTATTTTTTTTTTGAGTTCTGTTTGACGTCTGATTATTCATGCGCGTTGCAATGATCTAGGGAAATAAGACCATGATGAGTAGAGAACAAGGACTACATCCAGCTCAGTCTTACTCAAGCGTCTACTTTGCATAGCAAGGTTTCAAAGAGTACTTAAGACCCCCATTGCTCCTGATTGGCGATGGAAATCGATGAATGGTAAACGTGAGGTAGATTCGAGCAGACTGGTGAACGGAGCAAGATGGGTGAAAACAGGGCGAGAAATGCAAACCCTGATGTCAAACAAGACCCTTAACGTGTAGGACTACAAATATATCACTTCGTAATATAAGTGTACGCCTGTCGCTTTCCCATGCTTCATTGACTGTGGCGTTGTCTTCACTTCCACTGATAAAACATATACGTTTCTTCTTACTTTCTATCACCAGATTGCTCGAGAAGAGGCTGCTCAGGGTTTCAAGGAATAAAATAATGTGGAGACAACGCGGAAATGAATCCATGTGCAAGCAAAACAGAGTATTCACAGTGACTCGATGGACTAAGGAGATACATTGGAAAGTATATGATTTATGCCTGGCGGCGACTCTTCCAATGTACATGATCGCATTGAGACCGTTAGCCAACCTTTCAAGCCGGTGCAAAGCATCGCTCCCCAATGAGCAATTTCATTATATGCATATTCCTCCTTTGTGCAGCGTCAAAGATAGCTCTTCCACCTTCGTCATAAGGACAAGAGTGGGAGGACGAGGCTGATGGAGTGCATCCCGGTCAATAGCATCGAAGAAGGCTAGGGGAACTCTCCGGACCGCGATTTACCTGTTGCGTAAGGCTCGGAACTCTGGTGTTCAGACAAAGTTGATGAGTTTGTTGAAGTAAGCTGCGGGGACTGATGTCTCCTTGAAAAGACAGAAAGTCCTCATCTAGCGATGGAATGCAATCAGTAGGTGAACAGGATTGTACAAGCGATCACACACAACATGGGAAACATCCTTCAGTACAGACGCCAAGCTACCCTGAGAGGAATCTTGCACTTTGTGCGCACAAAGATACATTCAAGGCAATTAAAATATTGTCAAATTAATGAATATGATAGTCTTAGAGTCGGTAGAATTGAGCCGAGGTAGTTTCCGGTTTGTCAGGCTGAAGTCACAATGCAGACATTTTCACTTCCTCGTGTCTGACCTCCTCCCCCTCCTCCCACGACTCGTACGGTTATCCTTTCAGCTACAGCATAATCGTGGTTCTGTAAGTCGGCCTCATTCCATTTGCAACACAATGATGGCCGCCAATCGTCCCACTCCATCGCCGCGTTCATCATCCGGCACCTTGACCTCAAACCGGGCTGGTGAATATTCACCGTTAACCATGACCAACCGCCAAATACTCTGCGGAAGAACCTGGTACTGGGACTGGGCGACAAATAGCCACATCATTCTTCATCCAGACGGAACGGGCGAAGTAAGTTCATCCCGACATCCCCTCTCAAAGTCACTGACAATCCCCAGTTGACATGCGCCAGTGGCAACACTGTCTTTATCGCCGTGGAACTCAACTGGGCCCCGCGCAGCGCCATCGACATGCCAACAACGACCGGTTCCTTCAGTGCTGATGACCCGATAACCTTGGGAAAGTGCAAGATCGGCATCGTTCTCAGCAAGCGCCCTGTGGTGAACTCTGGATACTTCGGTGTCGGTGATAGTACTTGGAGCGACGGTTTGCTTCTTGACAATGCGTTCAGGGAAAGACAATTTACAATCACACTTGATCAGGGCAGCTTTATATCCGGTGCGGATATCAAGTGGAAGAAGGTCAAGGACCTCTGGGGTGCGCCGAGATTCAGGTACAAGATGACGATGGATCCGTCGCCTTACCCGGCACGAAAGGATTGGGTAGACCCGGGCTCGGTGGAGGCATTGGGTTTCTGGAACTGGAATGTGTTCTGTGCTGAGAAAGACGACCTCTTCGTACCGAAGAAGGAAAAGAAAAGAAAAAGAAAAGAAGAAGTCGTTCGTGGCGAAACTGTGGGGTTTTCTGAAGAGAATGAGGGTATGAAAGAAACATCTTCATGTTGATTTTCCTGGAGTGAAGAGCAGCCTGGCTCGACAGATAGACACATCTATCAGGTACCTCAGTACAGAATATGCCAGGCGCTTTAGATTCTCATGTGGCTTCTCATTTCTTGCAGTTCGCTTTCCTATCACATATTCGAAACGTCCTTTCAGCCCAGATTCAGTGGACTATTACAAGAATTAAAGCAACGGAAGGTATAGCTGGTATGAAAAAGCTCAAAGCGATCTCATAAATCACTGTGCCGAAGATGTCAGAAACATCGAAAATACAGAAGTTTGATATTCTAGGGATTGTGGTCCGATTATCTAATCGAAGGAGTGCATGGTGTGAGCAAAGTTCCCACGATATGAGAACTGGCGAATGCTGAACCCAAGAGCAACTACGTGCAGTAAGACCCCACGCCTGCGCACTTGATACTGGATGCAAATTCGCTTTCATGACCGCTATACCCACTCCAAGTCTTGGCCTTGCATAGACCATGTAGATCTCAGGGAGATATGGGGGACTCTCTATGCATAGAAAGATTTTCCTCTGCAATCATTCTTTGCATCCATTCTAAAGGTCTTTCACTTTTCAATGGCTGGGCCGTCTATCGTGAGCCGTTATCATGCAACGCCTGTGTATACTCAGTACCTGGCTCTGACTTTATCACTGTCTTCGTTGCTGCAGACTTCTAATATAAATAGCAACCATTTAGTGCTGTCCATGTCAAATCTCTCATTCTCGTGTGGTTCTTCTGACTTCACTGGCTCCGCCCTAACGATCAGTTGTTGGGAGTACGTAGTCACCGGGGTCTGAACTACTTATAGTGCCAGCGCCACAAGATCCACTCACTGCCCCGTGAATTGGCAGATAAGAGCGGTTTTCACGGCACTTTGAGTCAAGATGTGGGTCTACGTGGAACGTTTGATAATTCTTGAAGCTCTCTAATTACGGGGCAACCAAGCCACGACAAGATGTTTAGATAGAAGGTCACGAACAGGTTCACAAAACAAGATTTAACCTGAGGTAGAACGTGAAAGAGAAACAAAAAAAAGCCTCATTCCAAAACAACAATGCAAATCATGACCATCCGAAAATATCTAGTTCGATGCACAGCTCCCACTCGGCGCGAAAATAACATCATCAATATAAACCCGGCCCGTCACCGAATTATCTTCAAAGTCACACGCAGCAACAATACTCAAGCGATCCTCGGATCTTTTCGGGGTATAGCTTCCGGTCACAGAAACCCACTTGCCAAAGTCCGACACGAACTCAGTGGCAACCTGGCCGACAGTCGCATTGCGGCCCATATAGACGTAGACAGAACAGTAACTGGCGCCATCCTCGGGGACCTGAACCTCCGCACTGAAGTCGTATTTTGTTCCACGCTTCAGATTCTCGAGGTTCTGAGAGACGGTGTTGCCGCCGTTGTCGATGGCAGTTTGCAGGTTGCTACCTACAATCAGTACAAAACCACTATGCTGAATCGAAAAATGAACTTACAGATAGTATTCACCGCTGTAAGCGCTGGTCGCATTGCTCACAGTCGCGACGTTGACGGCAGATGCGCGCCACGGGAACAGAGCGCCAGATTCGAAGGATGGGTTGACCACCGCGTTGCTGGCTGAAAGAGACATGATGGATAATGCGGAAAGTGGCAGGTGTTGTTTCGTTATCGTGTTATTTTGATTGTGTTATTGAAACAAATCCAAGAAATCGACGACAAGCTTTATAGAAAAAAAAATCTCCGGCAACAAGCTCACGCCGCTTACACGATTCAAGACATTTGAGACAGGGCGCGGGGTTTGCCGACAGCCGTCAGGGTCGACGCGGCACATTGTAATGCAACGCAACGTTATTTCCGAACCTTTCTGACCGCATTGGCCTCTATTTCGTATAAGCAAAGCTCTTCAAGGCGTCCTATCAGGTTTCAGTTCATAGACTAAAATCTGACGGTTGGAACATGGCCTGTCGAGGCCCATTGTGGTTGGACGCGTGCCTTAGGCCGCCCGTCTGAGAAAGGAAGAGGTTACGGTTACAAACCCTGCTCAGGGTTCATCAAAGGCTACTTGCCAGTGCTATTTATGGAACTTGCACGCTGTTGAACCCCCTGTAGGGGTTCTCCTTCTCAATACCCTAAGCACGTCACCCGGGCTGTGCTAAGACTGTGGCGCATCCCATAAGCCTTCATGGGCTGATCACGGGGTACATCAATGTCTGGACTCTTCCCGGTCTATTGTCGGAAGTTTGAGGTATCGTGATCTGTAGGGCTACCCTCCCCCCAGCGCTGATCGGATGCCTAATGCAACCGAGTTTTCAGCTTTGCACAGCCGAACCGCGATGCTACAGCGAATTCGTAGCATTGAAGGTAAAGGTCCTGAAGATCAACTTCTAGATCTCGAGGTCGCATTTCACTGACTGTGGATTTTTGCAACATGCTGAGCGCTCACAAGTACTGCCGTCGCTTTAAAGACCAAAGCCAGGCGAGAGAATTCTCTTGACTCGAACACAGGGGGAAAAGAGAAAACTTCGCACCGAAAGCAATATATAGTCATTGTTCGGCTCTAAAAGCGTCTTAGCAGGCAGACCTTTGACAGCCCGAATACTGTAGAGGCCTACCTCGGAGAAGTATTGTTTTTTTTTTCTCACTTCAATGCGGAGGCCTCCAACCACGGCTCCAATCTGCCCATCCATCCCTTTCAGGCAACAAGCGATACGCTAACCTATTCAGGAAAAGAGCCATCGAGTCTAGCCCGATTGATCAATTCATAGCCTACGCATGCCATGTCTGGACATTTGAGCGATGAAATCCACCTGACATATATTCATCGCGATCAGAGAGAATTTGGGGTAAATAGAAGCAAATATAATACCTCAGAATTCAATTCCAGTTCTTCACTTCTACCGAGTTGCTTCTAACCACACCTTTCAGCCTCGGCCACAACAAGAGCCTCAGCACTCAACAGTCGCCGAAATGCCGGGCCTCAAAGAAACCCCAACCACAACCATAACCATAACCCCAACCACCAAAGCAGCCATCTGCATTATCGGCTCTTTAAACATCGACTTCGTCACCAGCACCCCGCGTTGCCCAGGGCCCGGCGAAACGCTAACAGCAACCTCCCTTACGGTGACAGCGGGCGGTAAAGGCGGAAACCAAGCTGTCGCATGTGGCCGGGCCTCGTTCACCTCAAAGCACAGCCAGGATGTATCGGTCAGCATGATCGGCGCGGTCGGCGCCGACGATGTGTACTACAGCACACTTCTCAAGCCAGCGCTCGAGGCATCGGGCGTCAACACCTCGCACATTGAGGAATCTCCGGACGCGCAAACGGGGTCAGCGAGTATCATTGTCGAGGAAGAGAGTGGGGAGAATCGAATTCTAGTTGTTCCTGGTGCGAATCATGCCGGGATGATGGGGGATGTGGAGCAGATTGTCACTGCTGTCAAGGAGACAGGGGACGTCAAGTTGGTTGTGATGCAGGGTGAGATCCCTCGGAAGACAACACTGGGATTGTTGGAGTATTTCAACGGCGGCGTCTCGGGGTCTGATCGAGCCCATGTTATTTTTAACCCGGCGCCTGTATTCCCGGACGGAATTCCGATGGCGGCGTTGAAGGGGACTTCTGTTCTCATTATGAACGAGACGGAAGCCATTCAGATGTCAAGATCTATTGCTGGGCTGCCGATTGGGGATGTACCTACCGACTTGGATGACTTGAAGCCCGAAGAGTTGGCGCCGAGTTTCCATGAGATGGCGCATGTGCAGATTGTGCTGATTACGCTTGGGTCAAAGGGGGTTTATTTTTCGACTAGGAGTGGGAGGACTGGGGCTGTAAAGGGGGTCAAGGTTGCAAAGGTACTTGATACTACTGCTGCGGGGGATACATTTGTGGGTATTTCTCAACGGAGTTGGCGAGGTTTTTGGCACAGGGTGCTTCGTTGAAGGAGTTTGATGCAGAGATTGAAAGTGCTGTGCAAAAGGCGAATGCTGCGGCGGCGAGTACGGTTCAGCGCCGAGGTGCGGCGCAGAGTATCCCCTTTGCGTATGATATGGAATGACACGATTAGAGTTGAGGTATTAGGTATCTGCTACACACGTGGAAATGGGTTTCTTTTATCATGACATGATAGAATTAGTTGCATGATCATCCGTTTCCTCATCATACCGCGCCATTCTCCATACCGACCGAAGTTCTTCTGTTTCTTGTTCCAGATTGATCCCCGTGGTCGCTGTTATTCTCCGTAGTCGTTCTAGGAGCACAGCCTGTTGAGACTCGTGCGACATGTCTCTTGCGATAGACAAAAGACTCGCAACTAGTATCGGATCCCATTGCTCCGGGGAGTCATTGCTAGCGGCGATTCCAGCGATGGATTGGGCGTGCCAGATATGCGAAGTGAAACATCGGGGACCGGGTAGTGACTTTAGTAAACGTGGTTTATGCGTCAATAATAGGAGTGAAGTAATGTGGTAGACGGCGTTGGCGACCAGCGCCATTGGCGTTGTGAAGATGAGAATTGGGAAGGATGAGGAGTGGTGGGGATCGATCTGATCCGCTTCGCCGCCACGAATGTCGACTATTTGTTGGGCGTCAACCGGGCGCTCATTGTACCATTTCTGACAGTCCGTCCAGAGAAAAGTCCATTGGGATAGAAAATGGGACTGTCGCAGAGATGGTAACGCTGCTAATTGTGGAGAGCCGGCAGTCTGAGGAAAATTCACGTCTGGGGCTCCGTATATCAAGGCCAGGGAGTGACCGAGGAGACAGAGAGCATGATCATATACTCGATGGACGCTTCGACAATGCAAATCTAGTCGAGAGGCGTGTATTGGCGAGCCATCACGATGAAGAAAGGAATGAAAGGCTATTAATGGGGCCTTGGAGGTGACGATGGAGGATGCGAGGTCTGGGAAATCGTCAGTATGTTCCAGTGAAAATGATTTCAAGTTGTGGATGAATACCAAGTCGGAAGTGTAGCCAAAATAACGCTTCACCCAGGTCTTCTGTCAGAGACATTGGAGACAAGTAATTGTCCGCTGAATCAAGCCAACTTTTCCATCGATGAAGGCCGGATGGCAGAAGATCTTGCAGGAGAAGTATGGCATGACCTGCCTGTTTTACCAAATCAGGCTGGAATTCCAAGCTTTCTTCGGCCATCTTGCGAAATTGAATGCTATTACTGATGTCTTCTTCATGATAGTGGTGAGATCCAGAGAGAAGCGATCTTTGGCCAGCGGATAGCGCGAGAATGGCTGCCTGCAATGGTCTATTGGACCGCGAAAGGAGCAATGTCTGCACTCCAAAGGCACATTCGGGGTCCCCAACGTCAATCCAAGGACCAATGTGATAGCGGAAGTGCCGAAGCAAGTCAGTCTCTCGGCAGCTATGAGCCGTGGTCGGTCGCCTTGGGATCTGCCGGGGGCTGGTGAGGAAGCTCAGATATTCCGGAATGGGATGGGTTCCAGACGTTCCTCGTGATGTGGCATCCAGGAAAACGTCTGGCGTGTCTTGTAAATTTGATGGACCGGCTGCGAATCCGATCGATACATTTGACGTTAACATGTTGTCGATGGGAACCGCGGTGCGGCTTTCCCTAACACTCTGATATGCAGGTTCATTCACGCCACTGGAAGGTTGTTGAGGGGCCACGTGGGACACGGGCGTTATTTTATCCAGCTGCTGGAAGGATTCCTTCCTCAATGCGAGTGGAGAGTCATCGACGAACTACGCCTCGAAACATCAGCACCGTCTTCCAATTCTTCCCCCATTGAGACCTACCGTGATGGCATCATACAGCTGGCCCGTCCTACCGCCCGACGCCGCTCCAGAGCGCGAGGGAACGAAGGTAAGATCAGCACCGTAGTTACAAGTGAATCCTTTGACTTCACAATTGGCACATCGCGGCTTCTGCTCATCGCCTGGAGACAGTCAGTACAGCGCCCAAAAGTGGCACTCAACACATACATTTTCTCCGCCTCTTGCGGCACGTCAGACAGCCCGTCCTGACCCTCTGCTTGCCTGCAGGTGTGGGCTTCCTAGGCATGGTCTATGGCATGCATGACCCCAGGATGTTGGAGAACAAAAAAAGAGCGGAGCCTCCAGTGTCCCGAAGAGCCAAAGACCGGCGGTTTCCGAGTTTGGTGGGTCCGCCCAAAGAGCCACACTCGACGCGGCTTGAACCGCGTTTCTATTATGTTTGGGAAGCTTGACTCTTTAACGCCACCCGCGACATCGAGACACTACGGGGTCGATCGTGAGTAAATCTTGGAGGTCTCATACGTGAACATTGAACGTTCAGGATTCATCGTGGATCGTCATACGTCATTGCTATTCTCTAGACATTACTCGGGTATACTTCGCCCAGCATTTTTAAATTATCCTGATGTTCAAAGGGTCTCAATGTACTGAGATCCCTCCTTCTTCTCCAAATCACGACCTGTCGCACATCCCATTCGCTCAACGAACGCGGTCAGGCCGACATCGCGCTGTGCTTCGCGAAGCAACTCGGCGTCCTGTTCGCCAGTGTGGCTACCGAAAACGCGGTCCATCTCCTCGAGACTGGCATTCTTGGTCTCAGGCAGGAAGAACCAAACCCAAACGATGCCAATGGCCAGGAAAGCAGCGAAGAAAATATAGGTTCCCCATTGCCAGGCCTGCAGCATCGGGGGCACAAAGAAGGCAATGGCGAAGTTGTTGATCCAGTTGCTGGAAGCACCGATCGAGGCTCCCTTTGCACGAATGGAGAGAGGGAATATCTCCGAGACGAGTGTCCATGAGCAAGGCCCCAAGTGGCTCCAAATCCGGCAATATACAACCAGATCAGGGCTAGACTCTTGATTAGTTTTGATCTTCTCGAATAACTAGGTGATAGCTGATACTTACCAACAGCAGTCCAGCCCGCAGCCACATGGTGAGGCCAGTCATGTTGGTACTTCGCCACGATGATCCCGACAATGACCATGCTACAGAACATGACTAAGGATCCGACCAGAAGCATAGGCTTGCGGCCAACCTTATCAATAATCAACTGCGAAAATCCATCAGCATGTGTTCTATCTGGTCGGTGTACGAGGGAAGCATACCATTGCTGGAATAGTGCTGATCATGAATACCACACCAGTCACTCCGGTAGCCAGCAGTGCAATGGTACCACCGGTCAGACCAAGACTCTTGAAAACATTGGATGCGTAATAGATGACTTTGAAAAGGTCAGAAATATGTTCGATCCCCTAGAGAAGGAAAACTCACTAGCATCAATGCCACTCCATTGCTGGAAGAACATGATCAGCCAAGCAGTGGCAACACGCTTGAAGTTATCCATTGTCCGCACGCAATTGGCATACTGCGCAATCTGGTTCATGAAAATACTCTGGCGCTCACGTTCGGCCAACTTGGGCGAGTTGCGCGCAAACGCCCGCTGCTCAAACACGGACTCGGCCTTAATTTCGAGGTACTCGACCTGGACCAATTCATGCTCGACTGGCAGCTTGCGCATCCAAGCCAGAGTAGCCTGAGCTTCCTCGTCGCGGCCCTGTTTAACCAACCAGCGAGGCGAGAAGGGCATAAACCAGATACCACAAGCCAAGAAGAACGCAGGAATTCCCTGAATGATCGAAGGTAGACGCCAAGCAATGTCGGACTGCATCTCGCCAGTTCCGCCGATATAGTTGCTGCCATAACCGACCCAGAAGGAGATCATGATGCCGAGAATGGTCGCGAACTGATAGAAAGATACCAAAAGACCACGCATCTCCGGAGCAGCGAGTTCGGCATTGTACAGGGGACCCACACCGCTGAACAGGCCGACGCCCAAGCCAGTGAAGAAACGACCGGCGTACAAGAGCGATGGGTTACCAGATGTAGCACCAACATAAAGATAGCTTCCCAGAACAACCCAGCAGCAAGCGAAAAACATGGTATACTTGCGCGAGAAGATCTCACCCAGAATACCGGCCGAGAGTGATCCCACAATTCCTCCTACCTGAAGAATTGACGTCAACCAGCCAGTAGCTGTCGATGAAGCCACCACAGACGGGAAATTTTCAGTGAACCGAGTCATGACCAGAGACTGGCCGAGGACACCCTGTTGGTAGCCATATTCGAAGCCACCGAGTCTGATCTTCATGTTAGACGAAAACTTCTCCCCGCCAAGACTTAGCCCACTCACGAAGCAAAAAATGCGATAAAAATGACCTTGGGATTATCGAAAATTGACTGCCACATCGATTTCTTCGCGATCTGAACGCGCGGAGCAACCTCCACATCGACGGTCGACTCAGCCATGGCAAAGAATGTGAAAAACCACCAAGGAAGCAGATCAGTAGAATAAGAGAAGTGGTTCTCCACAAGACGATCTGGGGAATGGAGTTGAGATTACGGGGAAGCGAGGGACATTATATCTTGAATCTAAGTTCCTACCCCAATCCGACATGCCACCACCCCAAAAAAACCCTGTTCACCATTTACCCCGGTTTGTCCTCGGCGTCCCGAGTCGCGTGGTCACACCCGTGAAAAACACAAGAAACGTGGAGGCAAAAAGCAATTGCGGAGAAAGCCACTAAGCCGTGTGCGGATGGGCGTAGGCTACGCTCACCGTTTCGGGCGAAATATCGGGATCGGGTGGATCCACTCGGGTAGCGAAGGGGGAAACTGACGCCAAAATCCCGTGCGAAGGCTCGGACCCTGGCCGTCCAGGGTCTAGTTTCCCGGGTTGCGCGCATTTTCGTGACTGTTCGTTTCCGCGGGTGAGACTAGCTTGGTGGATTGTGGGGTCTGCCCTGGGTCTGTGCCTGCTTTGGGGAAACAGAGGCAGGGTCTTGCTCCTTTGGTCAAGTTGATGCGGGGAGGTCGTGTGGAGGTGGAGGAATTTTGACGTCAATTCCTACAATATTGTGAGGATAATGGGAAGGACGGAGTCGGGACTGGCCGATGAGATGGGGTTGGCAAGTAGGCAACACTAGATATAAAGAGTTCGGTAAGTGAACCGGGTGGTTAATTGGGGAAATTTGCTGTGAATTGTTGGATTGGACATGTATTGGTCAACATCTTTGCCGCTGCTATGCAGCTCTCTGCTTCCTTTGGTGGCTGGCACCATCATCACGGATAAACACTATGCCATCATGGACAATGATTGGTACACCGCTGGGTTCGTGCCGTATCTGATTGCCCTCGATGGAAACGTGGATGTTCTAGCCCTCGCGTCAGGTGAGTATGCCGAAGGCTAGGTGTATCCAGTCGCTGACATTCACAGACACCGCGAACTCCTGGCAACCTCAGGTAGCGCTACACGCCGTTGCAACCCTGGAGGCTGGAAATTTGAGCTGTATCCCCGTTTACCCTGGTGCTACTTGGCCGTTGATCAATACGCCTCAGCGCTTTCAGGCATGGGAGACTATTCACGGCAAGCTTCCATGGGAAGGAGCGTTCGCACCCTATAATGAGACCTACGAGGCCGAGGGTAACGATCCCACTTCGGGAAACCCCGAACAGAATTGTGATGTCGGCCTTCAAGGAGGGTTTCCCCAAGGGCACACCAAATAACTCGACCTCCGCTGCAAACTTCATGGTTGAGATGGTGCACAAGTACCCCGGCCAGGTGTCCATTTACTCCGCTGGCGCTCTGACCAATGTAGCACTAGCTGCTCGCATGGATCCTGAATTTGCATCGCTGGCGAAGAATCTGGTGATCATGGGCGGTTATGTTGATCTTAACATGCTCGAAGCGACTGGAAGCATCATGCAGGCTGATTACCAGTCCGACGTGAGTTGATTGTGTATTCAGGACGTGAGCAGTACACTAATGGTATTCAGATCAACCTGATGATCGACCCTGAAGCGTCCAAGATTGCTCTGACAGCCGATTTCCCCGAGATCATCATCGCTGGCAACGTCGCGAATCAGGTTTTTCCTACCCAGGAGTTCGTCGACGAGATCAAGACAGCCGGCAACCCCTACAGTGAGCTCTTCACTAATTACTACGATCTATCCTTCCCCTTCTGGGATGAGACTGCTGCAGCTCTGATGGTCGATCCTTCCCTCGCTGTCAACCAAACCACAGGTATGTCGCTCATGCCTTTGAAATGATCCTGAATCATGCCTAATCTCATCATGATCTAGTATATCTGGACGTCGACACCTCCTATGGTAGTCCCAATTATGGCAACATTCATGTCTATCAGAAGGCTCTTGCGCCCGCTGGTATTCGAAATGTGACTTATGTGTTTGAGGTCGACGCTGACAAGCTGAAGCAACGGATTAAGCATTCGCTCATGCATCCCAAGTCCTGCGCCGACTTGTAAATGTTGTCTTATAGTGGCTCACTACGTGTTTTTTTTTTTAAATGGAGAGTGGTGGATGCGTTGAAATAGATGAAGTGTAATAAGCCGCCATTATGAGGCAAACATAGCATGGCCATATAGAAACCATTGAAGCGTTGACTTCCTGCTCGACGCCTGATTTCCAAGGTTTATTCTCATCTTTGTATCCTTTGGCCCACATTGGGCGTTCCATGGCTAAGTACGGGTCGAAATCTCACCATCTTGGGGTCGCGCGGGTCTCCGTGACTAAGTGACTTTCAAGCCTGGATCTCCGAGCCGGAAGCTCCACCCATTACCTTTTCTCCTGTTCTACCCCAGATCTCATTCTCAACTTCATTTAACAGCGTCATGGACGACCCTGTCCGCAAATTCTCCCAGCGGACGAATACCCGACTCATTCACCAGTGCAACACCGATTTTCGAAGAAGAAGCTTTCTTGTCACCTGGGACATTTTCAAGCGCAGACGAATACGCAGCTAACCCACGATTTCTGGAACTCCAAGAAGAATTACGTTGCGTCCTCTTCTCCGCAGTCGCAAGTCTTGAACCAAGCTCGTACACATCGCCCACCCCAACAGACCCACTAGACGGCTCCGGGCCACGGGCAGCACGCCAAAGTCTAGATTTCACCCGAGTATCCATTCCGAAGATCCGATTAATTCATTATCTCAAGAATTGGATCATCGAATGCGCGCCTTACCTGGATAAATTTGACGAAGCACGGCATTTTGGGGTGCATATTCCAATCCTAGCGCAACGGTCTCCGACATTATTTTACGCTATTCTTGCTTTCTCGGCCCGACAAACGGAGCGCAAAGCATGTCTCGATAAAGCCTACGACAGCTTGGAACTCTATCAAGAATCCATCCGCCTCTTAGGACCATGTCTCCAAGCCAAAGACCCCAATGTCCTTGTGACCGTCTGTATCCTTGCAGTGATGGAGCTCATGTCCGTTAGCCCTCGCGACTGGCGCCGACACGTCAAAGGCTGCGCAGCATTATTCGACTCATTTAACGTCAACGGCCTATCAGGAGGCCATTTACAAGCTGTGTTCTGGTGCTACGCGCGCATGGAGCTGTGTGGAGCGATAATTTCGAACGGCGCCGAAAGCACAGTCCTCGCACTCGAGAAATGGGTTCCAGCGATGCCTGAAACATCAACACCAAAGGAAAGAGAAGATATGATCCGTGATCTGTTTTGCGCACAGGGCCGCATCAGTCCAGACATGCACGCAAATTGGGCGGTCTACCTCTGTGCCAAGACCTGTGACCTCGCCTGTCGACAAACTCGACATATAGAACTAGGTGAGATAGTTTCCGACTCACGCCCATTCATTGATCAATGGACGTCTCTTTGGGAGGAACTGCAATACTGGCTCGAGACCCGACCTCCGGCCATGCTACCAATCAAGACCACTGGGATGGGGGTGGACAGATATTCCCTGAGATTTTATTCGCGCATTGGGCTGCTATCTCGGGGAATCAATTATATCACGCATCATGTATCATGATGCTTGATATGAGGCCGATAGATAGCGTGCTACCGCCAGGTAAACCGCATTTCTCGGCGATTTGGCATGCGAGGAGGGTGTGTGGGATTTCGTTGACGAATCCGCATAGTGGGAATTTGATCAATGCGATTCAACCGTTGTATATCGCCGGGAGGCTGCTCAGTCATCATAGTGAGCACGTAGAGGTTGCGAAGTTGTTCAAGATCGTGGAGGAGACCACGGGATGGGGTGCACTTTGGAGGTTGAAGGATCTTGAGAGGGCTTGGGGGTATGAGCCTGGGGAGATCTTGTCTGCGATTTGAGCTCAGCATATGGCGTCACAATTCACGGTGATGATTGACGTAGATCAGTATGCATAGGTTATTGGGAAAGAAAGCCACCATATGACCATATATGCATCGAAAATTGAAAGCATCCAGATTACGCGAAAACAAGCCCTAGAATTTTTGCATCGAGAAGTGACTCGAGATATATATCTCACGGTTTTCGCATAGGAATGCGGATAAAACTCAGTGCTTCGGAGGCCATTGGCCAGATCTCAGCTTCATTCGCTGTCAAATACACACTATCATTAAATCAAGTGCTTGACCTTGGGCGCAGATCATTGCTAAGCTTTGAGATTGGCAGATCTCTTCTCGTGGTCGATTCCTCAAGCCTATGCGCGTGCCTTAGTGCCTCAAGGCACCAAAGTTCAGACACCCCCGTTTTCAGGTAAATTCACAGCGATGTTTGCCTAATACTCCTGTGCTGCCGCTGGGTCCCTAGAATTCGCTACCTGACCTCAGCGAAATATCTGACACGCTGCCTGAGCAGGAATGTTACGATTGCGATTGGAATTGCCGATCAGGTGTCAAAATCAGCCTTCGAGGCGAGATGGCATTCCAAAACACACGTGGACTCAGCCATGTCTCACGCCTGGATCGCACAATCACATTTAACAAGATGTGTCGCCCAGGCGAATGGCCAAGTACGCGCCAAGCAGTGAGATTAATCCATTGCTGACCCTCGGTCTACGATCAATGAATGGCCTTACAAGACACCAGTCAAGACCGTTAATTTGGTGGCGCTTCAGGGCCAAGTGGCGAAACAGTCAGGGCTCATATGGAGATGAAGGTGGCGGCGGCTACAGGTAAGGGTATCCCGTACTTGCAGGAAGAAAGAAAGGAAATTAGCACTCGGCCCCACCCTCCAACATCGCGCTCCGCGGGCAGCAGTAACAACAGGTCCAATTGCCCTGTCAACCCCTGAATAACCTCAAATCAGGGTCTCGCCAAGCCTCCCCACGACCAAGACACTCCATGCCCCAAACCCGTAAGCTACGCAGCGCCCAGATCGACTATCCCGCTTGGCCCGCTGTAGCGTCTCCCACGGTCGAGACTGGCCGTACGTGGTGGCGTCCACATTGCGCAGCGAATGCCACACCGGTCTCCGCACCCGTTCCAGAGCTGCACGGCGATGGGTGGGCTTTAACATGGCTAACAACGGTCAGGAGAAAGTCTTGCATACTACGTACTCGAGACTTTTGCACAAGGTTCGGAGGGACCCCCTGAGCAGTACAAAAAGCGTAAAGTCAATCGCTTACTTCAAAGCAATTATTGACCCCCCCGATCGGGGTGTACGCGGAAATAGGCGTGCCGAGACTAGCGAGTGTATTTTCAGGAGACGTGGAGTCGAGCGTGGCTTGGACTGTATTCAGTTCGACTCTCCACATGGTAATGTAGTCGCCTTGCCCGGCTGTTCGCGGCAGTCGGTAGGGCTGCCGCACCATCTTGACGATTCTTGAGGGAGGGGGAGGGGCATTGGGAAGTCTATGAGCTCTGAGTTTGCTTCAATTAGAGACTCTAGAACCCCCGTGGCATTGAGATCAGCACTGGAGAGATGGTCTGTCCGTCTCCATGTTGATCTTTGCTGCGGAGGAGGGTTGGCGAGGTTCTATGGATCTCGATAGGATAATAATTCTGGAGAAGAATGCTAAGCCTTGAGTAGAAGGTCAACCGGGTCTGATTCTGGGTCTAATTGCGGTCGGCTGGGTTCATAGTAGAACTTCAAGCCGGATGATCGGCAAGGATCGGTACAGCGCTTACGAGTCAAGGATGATTGAGGACAGTGTAGGGAGTGCTAGGGTACATAAGCAAGCCCATGAAACGGTGAATACCATAAAATGACTAATTTCGTGAATGCAACGATGCTGAGATGAAGCTATGTCATGGTTGCCACCTGAAGCAGACTTGCAGGTCAAGAGAGGACAGTACAGAAGGGACGGTTGAAATCATCACAAACATAAACGAGTACGATGCGTAAATAAAACCAACGTGAGTGCGATCGGCAGAACGGAAATTAGAATGAGCGGATGTGCCAATGACAGGCCAGCCACAGATCCGTTATGGCTGGATCTTGCCCGCTTTTAGATTAGATCGGGACCACATGGCGCGTTTGAGGTTTTCGGGCTTTTCTTTTTGTTTTGTTTTTCTTTTTTCGAATTTCTTTGCTCCTCATGAAACTCCAGGGTAACCTGTGAGCAAGGTAAAATTGACAGTGTACGGGATATAGTCCACCCTTTCCAGTATCTCTCGTAATCTCTAGCTCTTTCAATTTCATCTCGAGCTGGAATAGAGAGGACAGAACAGTCTAGGTCCATGCACCACTGTCAGGGGTAATCCGTAAGGGGCCCCCAAGTGAGACAGGGCTACAGTGCGCTGGATCTTTCTGCACAATAATACTGATAATACAGATACTACAGATACTACAGAGGCTAGAATACGGTAACACTGTGGACTCCCCACTCCTGGCCGAGCCGTGTGGGCCAACCAAGACGAGGAAAACACCGGGTCTGTAGGTAACCTCCAATAATACAGCTGTGCCTGGACGCCTGTCTAGATTCGACCCCCGTACGAACGGCCCAGGGGTAATCAAGATCGGTAGAAACAATCTCCCTTTTTCTCTGTCTCTCCCCTTTTCCCTCCTTTCCACACGGCTTGCATCGAACAAAAGGCCTGACGTGCCCCCCCCCCGTACTCTGCTTCTTTTAACCCACGTTCCTTGATACTACCAACTACAACCGCTTCACTCGTTCAGCGGGCATTCATTCTTTCGTGTGGACGCTTCTCTGAATTCTCCATCATGAAGGGTTCAATCTTTGCGGCCGCGGCCGTAGTCGGCTCTGCCATGGCCGATAGCCACCTCCACCGTCGCCACGAGGCTATTCACCAGCGTCGTGAGGCTTCGTCCAGCGTGCCCGCCCTCAGCGCGGAGACCTGTGGCTGCACGACCAAGGTCATCACCTACTACGGTTCGCCCACCCTGGTGCCTATCGTGGCTCCCACTTCGACTCCCACCTCGACTTCCACTTCGACTCCCATCCCCGAGTCGACCTCGACCTTGACCAGCACCGTCCACTCCACTAGCACTACTACTCAGACTGTGACTGTTACCCCGTCTGCTGTCGCTGCTACCAGTGCTACTCCCTCTACCTCCGCGGTCGTCGTGACTCTGCCCACCAACGGTGTTACCAGCTTCTCCTCCACTGGTACCTACACCATTCCGGCCACTACCATGACCGTTACCGACACCACCACTGTCTGCGGTGCCACCAGCACTGTCGTGCCCAGTGGTACTCACACCATCGGTGAGGTTACCACCATTGTTGAGACTGGCACCGTTGTGACTTGCCCCTACGCCACTGTCAAGCCCACCGGCACTACCGTGACCAGCATCATTGAGTACACCACCTACACTTGCCCCGTTGCTGGTACCTACACTGTTGTGCCCGGCACCGTCACCTCCGTGCCCTCGGCCACCACCATTGTGTACCCCACTGCCTCGACCATCACCCCCGGTGTTTACACCAAGCCCGAGACCACCATCACTGCTACCGTCACTGATACTACCTACTACTGCCCCTTCGCTTCTAGCACTGGTCTCGCCACCTCGACTGTTCCTGCTGTGGCCACCTCTGCCAGCTCCCCCGCTGCCATCGAGACTACCGCCGCTGCCGCTACTACCAGCGTTGTTGCTGCTACCAGCTCCATCTCCACCGCTGCGGCCTCCACCGGCACCTCCAGCAGCGGCTTGAGCGGCGCTGGCCAGCTTGGTATGACTTTCTCCCCCTACACCTCGTCCGGCGCCTGCATGACCCAGTCTGAGGTCGCCCATAACCTCAAGACCATCAACGACAAGGGCTTCAACCTCGTCCGTGTCTACTCTACCGACTGCAACAGTCTGGAGTATATCGGCTCTGCCTGCAAGGCCCTCGGTATGAAGATGATTCTGGGAGTCTACATTGAGTCCTCTGGCACTGCCGGCGCTCAGGAGCAGGTTGAGGCCATCGCCTCGTGGGCCCAGTGGTCAATGGTCGAGCTGATTGTCGTCGGTAACGAGGCTATCTCTTCCGGCTTCGTCACCGCCGCCCAGCTGGCCTCCTTCATCTCCTCCGCCAAGTCCTCCTTCACCTCCGCTGGCTATACCGGCCACGTCACCACCACCGAGCCCATTGACATCTGGCAGCAGTATGGTGCTTCCACTCTTTGTTCTCCCGTTGACATTGTCGGTGCCAACATCCACCCCTTCTTCAACTCCCAGACCACCGCCGAGAAGGCCGGTGAGTTCGCTCTGAGCGAGTACAAGATCCTCCAGAAGCTCTGTGGTAAGGACGTCCTTAACCTCGAGACCGGTTGGCCCAATGGCGGTAACGCCAACGGCGCTGCCGTTCCCGGTGTCGCTGAACAGAAGACTGCCATCCACGCCATCGCTCAGGCCATCGGCTCCAAGTCGATCTTCTTCTCCTACGCCGACGACGCATGGAAGGCCCCTGGCGACTTCGATGTTGAGCAGCACTGGGGCTGTGCCTCTGTCTTCTAAGCATGAACTTGCTACGACAAGGGTGTTTCGTTAAAACTGTACAGGAGGAATAGGAGTTTTTTTTTTTTCTTTTCTTGAGGTGACCTTCCTGGGTCCCACGGGGGCTGGGGGAGAGCCGTGATCTTTTCTGTTCTCTTGTCTGATATCTTGGACGTTTTACGTGGTAGATACACCTTTTATTCGACGTTGTCTACTGACCTGGTTGCATCCCATTTTTATTTGTTTTTGCTCTTTGCGTTGTCTGTATATGTTGATATTGACGCATTTGATGAACTCACTGCTCGCATAGACGTAAATGTAAATGTAGAGTAGATGTAGATCTACGTGGAGTGTAGTCGCAGTGCCTATCTCCGACATTCCTGTGGTGGTCCAGTATCTCCGTGGAATGTGTGACACCACATGAGCCGTCAGGCCTACAATTGTGCCTGACATGTCCCAGATGCAGTCAGCCATTGAATTGCTAGGATGTTTCTTGCTATTCAAAGTTTTCAAAACTACCAAGGTTAATATGGACCTGTAGCCCGATCCAGTTTCTGGTGATACCGTCCGCTACACCACCAATCGAACCAACCATCAGATTTAAGCTATAGGCTTTCCCTATATGGCAGATCCCCCTAGCCCGGAAATACATATCCGTCAAGCCCAAGCACCGTCCACTGCGACCGCAAATATCCCACCTGATTGAAATATCCTGAACTCAAACTCGGACGAGCTGCACCATATTTCTGAGCTCCAGGTCTCCTGCCTCCCTGTACCCTGCCGCATCTTCGCAGGGATGTCCCACGGATGAAACAGCCATTATGTACGGTCTCTGCAACTGACAGTTACACTGAAGTGAGGAGTTACCGCTGATGTCAGCATTCCTTGTTCCTTGTCCTGCTTTCAACCTGTTCAGTGTCCTAAGTATCGACCCCCAACCTTGTACAAAAGCAAACATTACGTAGCTGTAGATCAGACTCGACTGCTGCTAGGATTCAGAGACATTTTGAAACTAAGAAGATCCAAAGTGCATGTAATGTTCTCGATGTTATATACCCATTAGAGCGTATGTAAGTACAAGGAAGAAGAAACCTTTCCAGCCCCGGACCCGCGTTTGATCCCCTTGACAGCCAAATATGTGCATTTCATGTACGCAGCTTCGCTCCCTATCACCTCCAACAGGGAACAGCACTTAGTTCTGGTGAGGACAGACCTGTGATGCGTTAGTTGGAACATTCATCTCATGTGTTTTCAAATGAAATGTCAAGGTTATGGGAGATGACTTACTCCGATGGTGTTGTTTCCCTGAGTCACGCACTCGAGGGGATAGCAGCAAGCCATGGGCTGGCCCCAGGTTGCGATCTTGCTGCAAGAGGAGGTGGGCTGTGCGAATATCCTGATTAGGGCCTCGTAGTTTCTCATGCTGTGGATTGGAGTTGGCTTACCTCGCGGCATGTCTCAGCGGCCTTGGGCATTGCGTAGGAAAGGCTGGCGAGGAAGCCGAGGAGGAAGACGGAGGCGCGCATTTTGGTTACGGGTCAAGTGAGACTGCGATATAGGCTGAGATTGAATCGGTAGAATAGAACTGATTTCTGGTTGGAAGTGATGTTAGCAGAATTCGATGCAGGTTCGATTTGATTGCAATAAAGGGATGAAATTTGGGTCGTAGGGCGAACGAAGAAACCGAAATGAAAATGTAGCGGATAAATTAAGCAAGATTGAGGTTTCGCGAAGGTGTGAGAAAGAAAGGGAAAGTGACGTACCAGTTTGAGAAACGACTATATTCTTGCAAAGGTGTGGAATGTACGGTCACTGGGACGTCTTATAGCATTCCTGACTTTGTGCCGCCCAAGATGGGGCCGACCGCCACACACCCGTGGAGTTGGTGCCGATCATGGATGTAGGTGAAACAGGATCTACAGGGGCGGCGCTGAGGTAAGATTCTGGGATCCTTATTGGTTAGTTAGCAGGGGATGGACGGATTTTGTTGGAACGAATATGATCTAGATGACGGATGTTCTAGATCCTTTGGTCGATGAGGCTGATATCTGTTTCAATTAAAGTAAAGGGGAATATTCTGCGTTGCTTGGACGGATATTGCTCAGATTTTTCAGATCATACAATGATCATTTTAGCGTCGGCTTTGATCCTAGGCGATGAACTACTGTTCTAAGCGAGTGGTAGGACCATATCGCGGGGCTATCTTGGTGAGGAAGCTATAGGTGAGGAAGCTATAGGTGGTTGGTGCTGTGTACTAGGGATTAAGGCGCCGATGTTACCCCCAAAAGGTGATGAAGACACAAAAGAACAGAATAGGGGAGGGTCTTGGCGTGGCTGGTGTTTCTTGCTTGACCTCTCATTATGGGAGGATGTGCTGCGAGGGATGTGTCACTGCTGTGGCAGGGGCTTGGCGTGCACAACTTTTTGCTGGTGCTTCTTCGTTCGGTAGGGATGTGCTGTTGGTGGGGCGCAAAGGGGGTCTCACTTGGCATAAAGCTGTGATATCATGGTGTATGCGATTAAACAAGTCTGTGGGTATTCCTCATTCATGCTCTTTAGTAAATCAGGCTATCTAAGGGACGTCAGAACATGGGTTATATCCTTTCAAGGATTTGAAGGTTGCAGAACGGGCAAAATCTGACGAGCCTTTTAGTCAAGGATCACATAGTGGAGTGTGCTCCAGAACGAGACGCAGATCTCTAGCGTTTGAAATAAATAAAAGAAACTCTTTTTTCCTGAGATCGGCAATATAGCCTCAGGCTGACGACAATCATAAACAGGTTCTCTTATCTCTTCAATCTTCAGTCTGGGACTCAATCTCTAATCAGCCGTGACTTCGGCCGGAAGTGCAGTTCGCTCTCGGCTGCGATTCCCTATATTTACATGTCTCCACATTCAGGTGGACATGACGAAACAACATATTCGCCACGGGAGGTTTTTGCTATTTTTGCTGGTATTTCACATGGCTTGCTCAATGTAAGCACTAACTCACCTGTCCAAAAGCGAAAGTATGTCGTTCGCATATACATGACAGTTAGTTGAACCATGGCTATGAAAACGCCAACCGAAGATGTGGGAGCTGTCTGGCGTGGCTGACGTTTCGAACTCTCCAATCGCGGGATCCGGGGCTGAGCACGCTAACGCTAGACCTTCAGTGAGGGCGTTGCGGTGCCACGCTTGTCAGCCCCGTGGTTGGCCCGAATCGCTATGCTCCCCGCAGGCGAGGCCGTAGGCTGAACCAGGTGCATACGTTTTGGTGTGAATGTTGGCAATTGCTGCCGGGATGTTCTGAACGGTGAACTGTTCACGGACTTGGCCGAGTAGAATGGATATTGCTCGAAGATCTAGAGCTGATAGAGGGTGAACGAGGAATTGCTTTAAAAGAAGGTATCTGCCTTTGGAACCATGGCTTGCATTTCAGGCCACTTTCACTTTCACTTCATACATTATGATCTCAAAGATATCTCCCGCAGTCCGCCCAACACTGCTCCAGATCTACCTATCCTGGGTAGATGCGTGGCTGTTGTCTGCAAAGGGACCAGAATCACCCACAGAACCCCTCTTAACCCTCGATGAACTGTCAACCATGTTTCAGGATGGAAACATCCACCAATTGATGAGCCACAAAATCATCTTGCAAGCAATCCGATCATTCAAAAAGCACAACGAACAAAACAAAATTACCGTCGGCGGCACTCAACCCCCATCCAATGGCATGACGAACCTATTCTCCGAAACCTATAACCCCCAATCCGACTGCACTTGTGATCAGAACAAACCAAAGAGCAGTAAACATAGACAAATAACGTGTGGCGCCATCAATGGCATGGTCTCCGCAATGGAAACCGTCCACTACACTCAAGACGAATGGCACACCGACCTCTTCACAGCGCCCAAACTCCAAGCCGCCGTCGACGAACTCATCCTCGCGAATACCGATATCCAACCTACACACGATACTTGCCAAGGACCCGAGACAGCAGACTTGATCCCAACGATCCGAGCACCGGACCGCCGTCCAAATCCAGGCGTCGACGGAAACGCAATTATCGGAAACCAACTTTATCCCACAGCCGAACAAATCAAGATCTGTGCCGATGCCAAGTACTTCGGTGTCATTGCCTGCGGTGCAGGTCTCTGCGACGAGGGTCTCGCACGAGCAATCGCAGATTCATGCAACGATATCCTTATCGGCGACTATTGTGAAGCGGCGGATGCGAAGGGGTTGAAACTTCTTCAGCAGGTTGGTGGTGCTGCGATGGCGTTCCTCAAGTTGTGTAACATGTCAGGTCGAATTTCGGATTGGCAGTTTAGTAACCTAGCCGCTTATATGATTCAGTGTCGGGTTTTGGGGCATTTCCGTGACCATGAGCGACCATATCTGCCGGAAGGGATCTATGGGAGTCATATGACTGGTCTTGGAGTGCATCGGCATCTTGATGTTGCTGCTTTTCATGGAGTGATGACTGCTTCTGTGGCGACGGGTTTGGAGTGCAGTGAGAAGGAGTTTATGAGACTTGTTGATGCATGTGTTTATGTGAATGATTTTGTGGATTTCAGGGGTGATACGATGCGGAAGCAGAGGGAGAACGTCTTGTTAAGAGGACTAAGAGGAAATATCTGTCGGTACCTTGACAACATGATTGGCGAGTGTCTTGATGCGGTGGTTGAAGTTGTGGAGGGCTCGGAGTTGGGGGCGCTGGTTGTCATGGGATATTGCAATTGGGCGGTTATGGGGGCTCATCACAAGGTGTTCGAGGTCCTTCATGGAGTGAAAGGGGTTAAGCAGTATGAAACTTGCCGTTACCGATCCATTGCTGATACCTCGAAGTATTTGAGGTTGTTGAGGGCATTGGAGCCATATGGGACACTTCATGAGGATGGACCGATGGTCACGAAAAGGCGGGTGGAGATGGAGAAAATTTATAGCACTTGTCGATCAGACCCGGCGGCACACTTGGCCTGGCTGGCCGACGCAGCCCGGAGCCTGCTTGAGCCTACTGTGCTCAGGAGGATAGTGGATGTGGTTCATTACGAGTGGAGTGGAGATGTGGGTGCTGTAGATTATTGCCCTTAGAAAGCTCCTTCTTGATTGATTTAATCTTATCCTGCAAATACTCGATGACATTACGACCTTGGACACAGTCGCGTTCTATTTTAGAGTTGACAAATATGACAGACGATCTAACCTTACCTCACTCCCTAACTTTACCTCACTCAAAGAAGGTCTTAGTATGTCGTAGGCCGCCCACAATCATTTTGGGGGAACGTGGGCTTCCTAATTGGGCAAGGCAGTCGCGATGGAGTCAATTACGTCCAGCAAAATTCTGGGGCTCTTGGGTTTCATAATTTGACAGTTATGTTTTCCTAGGGATAGTTCGAAATTCCAGATATGTGCCCCTTTTGGGAATGGGCGCATTAGGCAAGGACGTGAGAGAGAATCCTTCCGTGACATCATATGATACCCAACAAGAAGGCGAAGGTAAGCGACAATGTTTCTTCACTACAGCTGCCAATGTTTTACCAGATTTCTATGATTCATTAGAGAGCTTGACTCATCTGGAAAATATTGATTGAAAGATTGATGGTTGCGTAGCGACTCAAGGTCACAGATTTGAAGAGCCAAAAAGTAAATCATGCAGTGAGAGTGTGTCTGCATAGGGCAGGCCGCCAAACACCACGAGTGACTCAACAGAACATCAAGTTCCAGTAGAGCCCAGATTGAAAGGAAGAATCCGGTGTGTTCCATCCCATCTTCCAGCCCTACGCCGCACCAGCCGTAAGCGCCGATCATGCCACCCCCGACAGATTCCTACACCTTATGACCAAACAGAAGTACGATTCCACAATCACCCGAGACTATCCTCTATCAGAAAAAGAAAATGCGAGGGCTGAGCCTCACGGCCAACCCGAAATTCTGAATGCTAATGGCCCGGCAAAAGCGCATTCCGCGTGGTTCGGCCATACCACACCACCCTACGTCACGACTCATCGCAATTAGCCTACCACGACAACCGACCACATAGCCCCAGTCCCCGGAGTCGCACGAGGCCCAATCGCACTGGAGATAGATCATGTCACCCAGGGAAAATATCCGGGGGATGCGGTCGATATGCGCCAATGATATCGAAGCTATGGTCATCCGAGATAGAGTCTTCGGAACCGAGACCACAGAGTGGGTTCGGCGTCGATCGGGTGAAGCATATGGTACCATCTCTATATGGCTTATTCTTTGATTCATGAGGCTATGTCTTATCTCCAGCAGGTCTTGACACGAATATATAAAGGTGTACGAAATACCTCCATGGACTTTCTCATCATCCAACACAAATACAAGATCTTCACTCAAGACAAGAGTCTCTACTCAACACCTTACATCGCCACTTACAAAGACCACTCAATACTCAAAACAATGTCCTCCACAACAAAGTCTTCCCAGGACGCCCGTCTTCAGAATGACTACGGTGCTGATTACTGGATTCGCAACCCTGCAGAGGAGCACCGCGTAAGTTTTTTTTTTTTCAAAAGGAACCACCTTTCAAACAAGCAAACTAACACTACCATAGCGCCCTACCGCCGGAAGAGGCCTTTTCGCTGGTCTTCAAGACACCAAGCACTACAACGTGGAATCCGGCTGGGCTCGTCGCAAATCTTCTGCCGAGTCGACTGGAATCCTGGGATCGCTCTGGGGCCGGTAAGATTCTCTAAGCGGATAGTGTTTACGAATGCAAAACTGACTTGTGGTAGATTGATTGGAACTTCCTAGTCTGCCAACGGTTTTTCGAGTTGCATAGTTTCAATTATGTCCTTACAATCTAATCCTATCAGAGGATGAAGTTGGTTCAGTTGCCGAGATTACGTCGTTTGTTTAATAGCTTTGGAGTTTGGTGCACAATTTTCAATTATTCATACATGTTCTTTTCAATACATAACCCATTCACGGATTCAAGATCAATCAAACGGTGCTTTTAGTATTCATTTCCTCTTGCAATGTAGCTCAACGATTGGCCCTGGAAGGAATGAAGCTAGTGAAGATGCTAATAAAGGAACCACTAAGAAATTTAAACGGTTGAACATCATTATTATCAATTTATTGAAATTGTAAGTGTAAAATAGGCCAGTGAAACCATTCCAGACACAGCTCGATGTTGCGAAGAGGCACAAAACCCAGTCACTCCCCGACTCGAACGTGACAAGGGCATCTTTAACCCAAACATCTCAATTTCCGCGGGTTGACTGAATGATGCAACAGTTGGCGATAACATAAACCAGGGGTCCAACACCTTTTCCAACCATTGATAGGGAGTAAAACCAGATCCTCGGATGTCTTAAAGCTCGCAGGGTCCACAACAATATAGTCGCCCATGTGACTGTCGCTCTTGCGTTTTCGATCCGTGATCGTATATTGAGTCCCCCAAGAACCGCAGCCCATCTGGGCTCAGGCAGACAGTGGGTACATAAATCAATAAATTGATCTGATCACTGAGCAACAAGAGAATTAGCCTGAGCAGTAAGGATTGAGTCTTCTGCGTTACATTGTCGATTCTTGCCATAATTAAATATTGGGGCTTGTAATAATCAGAACGGAAAATAGAGTCTTTTTCATTTTGTAAAGGTCATGGCTGGATTCCCTCAACTGGGCAAGGTACGTGGCCTCTGCAGGTGATTAGAGTAATTCGATGGCCTGCAATTCCAGGGGTCAGCGCGGTGCAATCCCGAGCAAGGCACAGACCAATAATCCTTGGCATATATTGGAAGTGCAGTCGACAAGATATGGTGCAACCTCAGCATATCTACTTTTCGACAATCAAACACAGGGGACATATGTTGTATAGAGCGTCGCTATGATCCACTAGGTTATGCCGGGCCTCGGCTCGATTATAGTCAACTCGGTACCCCGCCTAATCGGGTATACCAACGCCCGTTCATGCAACATTCAATGAAAAGATGTGAAATTTTCGATTGCAGACAATCCACTGTCCCATCGCACCGACTAACTCTCATCTTTCCACATCCATATCTAGTCCAGTTCTCCCCGTCATCGAACTATGAATCCTGAAATACCCTCAGTTCCGCCCTCGCGCTCCCTAAAAGGCAAAGTCGCAATCGTGACAGGAGCAGGCTGCCTCGGTACAGGCATAGGCAACGGACGCGCGATTTCAATCCTTCTAGCCTCCGACGAATGCTCCGTCATCTGCGTGGATTTGAATCTAGAATGGGCAACTCAAACAGTCAACATGATACCTGGAAGTGGACGGGAGAAGCGTTCGCATTCCAGGCCGATGTCACTTCGTCAGAAGATTGTCAAGCCGCGGTACGCTTCGCCATTGAAAAGTTCGGGCGCCTCGATATCCTGGTGAATAATGTTGGTATTGCAGGTGCAGCGGGGACCGTTGTTGATGTGGATATGGGGGAGTGGGCTAGGGGGGATGGAGACTAATGTGGCGAGTATGGTGCAGATGAGCAAGTATGCTATCCCGGAGATGGTGAAAAACGAAGGAGAGATTAAGGGGAGTATTGTTCATATGGGGAGTGTGGCTGGGTTGAAGGGTGGCACGCCACATCTATTGTATCCGACTGCGAAAGGGGCGGTGGTTAATTTGACGAGGGCTATGGCTGCACATCATGCGCTAGAAGGAATACGCGTGAATTGTGTTTGCCCCGGGGTAAGTTCGGTGTAGGTTGTGTGTTGGGATGCTCGCTTACCTTGAGTCTCTGTTGTAGATGCTGTACACGCCTATGATGTATGGGAATGGCATGAGTGAGGAGGCGAGAGAGGCTCGGCGAAAGCGCAGCTTGTTAGCTACTGAGGGTAATGGGTGGGATTGTGCTGGTGCAGTGGTATTTCTTGCAGGTCCCCATGCCCGATGGATGACTGGAGTTATTCTGCCAGTTGATGCAGGAACAACGGCGGCAGTGGGGATCGGAATGACGAAGAGTGCCAGCGTAAACGCTTAGAATACGCATGGAGTGTCAATCCGGAGGACATTTTGGTCGGCGACATGAGTCCATCCGGAATCAGTGTCTACGTCTGTACAGACTCGATCTTAGAATCAACGATAGAACATCACTGCAAGCTCAGCAATGAAACACCAAACTGATGAATTGTTAACCCAAGCGCTGATAATATGTACATTTAAATCGATAACTCTGTAATATAAACATCCGTAAACACCATCACCCTTGACCATCCCACTACCAAGAATCAATCTTCATAGTACCCTTCTCCTGCAAGTTCTGATGCATCTTGAAAGCCTGGAAAAGCATGTGCGGCTCATGACCCATACCCTTCTTCAGACACTCGAACTCGGCACGGTCCAGATAATCCGTCAGAATGGGATAGTAGTCAGGGTGCGAGCACTTCTTGATGATGACACGGGCGCGCTCACGTGGCGACAGACCACGCACATCTGCAAGACCCTGCTCCGTCACAATAACGTCAAGATCATGCTCCGTCTGATCGATATGTGTGGCGAACGGAACAATACAGCTGACACCGGTGGGGTCTGTCTTGCTAGGTCTAAGTGGAGGGTGTGTGCATGATACTGTACTTGGAGTTGCGAAGGAAGTCGGCGGAACCTCCGAGTCCGTTAAGCATACGCGAGCCCATCACGCAGGTGCTGTTCGCGTGGGCGTAGATGTCGACTTCGACGGGAGTGTTCATACCGATACAGCCGAGACGGCGGATAATTTCGGGCGAGTTGGACACTTGCTGGGAGCGGAGGAGGAGCTTGCCGGCGTAACGCTCCCAGTTGTCGTAGAAACGCTTGAAGCCGTCAGGGGAGAAGCGGATGGAAGTTGCGGTCGCGAAGTCGAGGTTGCCGCTGTCGAAGAGGTCAAGGAAGGAGTCCTGCAGGACCTCAGTCCAGACCTTGAGATTGGTGAAGTCTGCGCCGCCCTTGGAGAGACCGCCGACGACGGCGTTGGCGATGTTGCCAATGCCGGATTGGATAGGGAGAAGGTTCGGTGGCAGACGGCCGTGCTTGACCTCGTGCTTGAGGAATTCAATCAGGTTGGCGGCGATCTGCTGCGAGGTAGCGTCCTCGGGGGCGTTGGGCTGCGTCTGGTCCGGATAGTCGGACTCGACGATGGCGACGACCTTCTCGGGATCGATCGGGATGTAAGAAGTTCCGATACGGTCCTCGGGGGCCATAACCAGGTATGGCTTGCGGCCAGGCGGAAGATCGGAGCACACGATATCGTGCAAACCCTCGAACGAGGGACTGGCAGTGTTGACCTCAATAATGACTTTGTCGGCCATCTGAATAAGTTCAGGCGACGCACCGACGGAGGCACCGGGAATAATGCCACCATTCTCAGTGATGGCAGTAGCCTCGATAACCGCGACGTCAATCTTGTTGTTCGGCTTGTTCATAGTGTAGTAGCCCTATGAGCTGCGGGTTAGCGCTGATCCATTGATCTCCGCGGCGGGAACGCCCGACGCTAAATTGAGACGTACATAAACCAAGTCCGAGGGAAACATGCTGAGATGCTTGTCGAAGAACTTGATGTTGCCATTGTTGATTCCCTTGGCGATCTCTTTTCCGACCTGATGCGGGCTGCGGCGCTCGATCATGTTCAGCTGCGCCCAGCGGTTCTCCGTCTCGGCGCCGGAGGAGGCGCCCACAAACAGGTTGTACTTGAGCTTGCCCTGCAGGTTGTTCTTCTCTACGTGGTCTGCGAGAGCGATAGGAACTTTCCTACTCAGTTGTCAGCGCCCGCCCTTGCTACGAAGTCAATTGCATCGAACATACTTGGGATAGCCCACACCCGTGAAACCGGACCAGCCGATGTACGAACCATGAGGAAACAAGTCAATCAAGTCTTCAGCTTTAGCAAGCTTATTCAAGTAAGAAGGCCGGCGAACGCGGCTCTTCAAAAGCGCAGAAGCAGCCATCGTGGAGAGATAGCAAGGGAGGGTAAAGTGTCTAGAAGATGGAGAGAAAAGGAAAAGGAGGGAACCCAGGGATAGAAATACTCTCGAGCTAAAAAAAAAACACCCCACGGGCAGCTTAGGCAGAGTCCCACCTGGTCCCACCGGAAGAAGAGGGAAAGGGAAGAAAGGAAAGAGAGGAAGCTCTAGCTGGGCAACGCGGGCACTGGTCTCGACCGGAGTTGTTAGCCATAGCTCTGCAATCACCTCAATGTCAACTCAGAGCTATCAGATTACCCGAATACACACTGCTATGCCTTCCTAGTCCCCCTTTGAAACATCATTGTACCACCTATCTCCCTAATTCCGCCTAGATCCAGTCCCCGAAATCAAACATAATCCATGGTTCATATTGACGTCAGCTCGGCAAAGACTCGGTGGGGCTCGGAGATACCTCGCATCTTCCCTAATTTTACCAGGTATCGTTACATCAACACCAATTACACCAATCTACATCCATGTTCATTCCGGATACATCGGATCCTCCCTCTCTGAACATCCGTAACAGCAGCAAAGCCAAGCGGACCTAGATGCCTGCATGCAAAGCCAAAGCCCGAGGATCCGGAGATGAAATAGATCGGGGTGGGAGACCCGCCCGGCCCGGTGGTTCCATCAGTCAATTCACTGTCTCGGACTGTATCGGTTAACGTTTTCGGCCCTACGGAGACCTGGCCACACCTATCGAACCGTCCCCTGGCCTCCGGGTATGATTGATTTAGGGGGGTATTGGTGGGGTATGGATCACTGATCGACCCGCTAGTCACCTGGACGGTCGCATGATGTTTTAGTGAATGCTGAATTTGTAATTCTCAGTTGCTTATAGGGTATGCAATTGCTACCGCTACAGTCAATGGGACAAGACCTAAAGCCAGGACTAGAGCTAGAGCTACGCACATGGCACAATTTGAATACCCACGAATTCAGGGCTAGAATACATTGAATACAGTACATTTATTTGGGGGGGGGAAAGGGGTCCTATGGCAAGATTAAGCACAGATCAAACCCCAGCTCCGGTCCACATACCCCGTATCTGCTTTAAGTCCATTCACCGGCCGTGCAAAGTCAAAATCAAAATCAGCACTAGGTTTTGTGCAAGTGCGAAATTAAGACAAAAGGCGATAATAAACCAACCGGGGAAGATCATAGATCGGACCCTAACCATTGAAAAGTGAAAGCACAGAAAAAAAAAAGTAAAACAAAAAACCAGAGTGGCGAGAAACCGTAAGAACTCATAGTCGCAATTTCCTCGTATGATAAGACGCCGTCCCGTTCTCAGCAGTAAATGCAATTCATCCGCCAATATCCAACCTCAGACATACACTCAGCTTCAAGTTCAGCTGAAACTTAAGGTCTGTCGTTGACACTTCACGCTGTAGCCTCGGCGTCGGCCATTTCGGTGTCCGCCGGCTCGCTCTTCTCGGCGGCTTCTTGCTCTTCCTTGTTCTCTTGAGCAGGCTTCGGCGACTCCTTGCCCTTGGACAGTGTACCATTCAACCAAGAACGGAACTGCTGATTCGACTCATCGACCTTATCCTTGCTCAACCCACGCGCCCAGTTCGGGTTATTAACGAACTTCTCGACAAAGCGGTCGTGGCGCTTTTCGCGTACTGCCGCCTTCTCCTTGGCTGCTTCCTCCAGCTTCGCCTTGACGGTCTCGGCATCGGCGTCCTTGTCGATGACCGGGGCCGTGGAGCGCCAGAACCAATCGTGACTGGGGGGTTGGTACAGGATGGTATAATTGTTGGCACAGATGCGGATGATCAGGCCATCGAAGTGCTGGAGACGACGGTAGTAGCGATCGTATTCCTCGTCTTCGTCAAGTTTGCTTGGAAGGCTGCGCTTCAAGAAGGGCATGCGCATTTCGGAGAAATGTACGCCTTCAGTGGGGTCGCGCATGGAGTAGGCGGTCACGTAGTATGACCAGCGGGCTTCAGGGCTGAGATCCTCGCGGTCGAGCGTGGAGTCTTCAGCGGACATCACCTGAATGGTGACGCGGCGCTCTGATGGGATCTGTAGAGTAATGTCAGCGGTGTAAAATTCAAGTATACGGGGATTACGGACGTAAGTAACGCGGTAGATATCGCCATCCTTAACGAGCCTCTCCACTTGCTTGCGATACTGGATCTCTTGGTGGTGTGTAGTTTCTTCTTTCTCCCGCTCCTTGAGGAAGAGGTTCGCGACATCCGAGCTGCGGTCTCTCGAATCACCAGTAAAGATCGAGGCCACGAACTTCGTGATAGAGGAGAAGATGCGCTCGAGGTTGTACAATAAGTAGCCGCTCTGCATGTAGAAGCGACGCAGTGTCTCCTCAAGGTGAATCTGATCAATATCTCCCCTAATGACTTCCTCGCACATGCGGACGATCTGCTTGTAGAGATTGGCGTTTGGTTCAACATCGTAGAAGAAATCAGCCGGGAAGCGATCGATCAGACATAACTCGTGTGCTGGCTTGGGAAGCATACCGCGGCGTACCTGCTCGCGGGCTTCGGCTTCTTGTTGCTTGATACGCAGCAGGCGGGCGTACAAGATCTCAAACGTGCGCAAGAAGCACAAAATATTCAAGTTGCAGTACATGTGGTGCACAGTCTTCTTGTACTTCTCGTTGAGAGTGTACTCACGCTCCAGGTTGAAGTTTCCCTGGTCGGGATGTGACATCCACTTCAGCTCAGCAACGTCAAAAGCATCCTCGGCTTCAGAAGCAGCTGTTGAAATTGCACGGACTTCGGGAGTAGGCTGCTGGCTAATGTCAGGAGCATCATCCTTGGGCTGGCCATTGGTATTGCTTTTCTCGACTCGGCGTTCAAGAACCTCACGCAAGAGATCCAGCTTCTGCGTGTTCACAACCTTTCGGCTGACGTTCGAGGCATCGTCGGCACCAAAGTTATCTTCCAGCTCCTCAGCAGGAGTAGCACCGACGGCAAGCTCATCCATGTAATCGAGGAAAGTATCACGGTCCAATCCGAAGAAAGCAGGAACAAAGTCCTTGATGAAGTTGATGAGACGCACCGGGTCAGCACCAAACCCGGAGGTAGTCCTGTCGATGTACAAACAAAGGAGGTGGGTAGTGTCCAAAAGGACATCCATATCCTTGAACTCCATCTGACTTTGGTACTTGGGTGGGTTCAAGCCACTCTTCCGACGGCTCTGGGTCTCTTCAAATTTGGCCTGAAGATCCTGCTGAATATTCTTAGCAATGAACAGTTTCTTGTCGGTCTGGCGAGTAGCAATAGCCTGGTGGTCGAGACTACGCCAGTAGGCTCTTTGCATCTGCTCACGCCAGACCTTGTCCCATTCGCGCTGGCATGCCTTCCATTCCTCGAGCTTCTGCTTGAGGCGATAGAGAACGATAGGCAAAACGGCGCAAGGACGCTCGAACATATCACGAATGATCTTCTCGCCGCGCTGGCGATCGTAGACCTTCTTGATGACTCGCTGGTAGATGGCCTCGCTCTGACCACCAAGGCCAGGCGGCAACTTGAAGTTGGCACGCTCGTGCTCAGACATGTGGAGAAACTGTTGGACAATAGGCTCAATTAATTGGATCGTGCGGACACAGGCCTCAATGTGATGGTCATAGTCGTGACGATCTTCTTCAATGCGATGAAGAGCATCCTCGAACTGATTCTTTCTGTGTGCAACGAAGCCAGAGTCTTCGGAAGCCCAAGTAGGATGCGAAGCCCATTCGTCGTTCAGAACTTCGAAGCACAGTTGATCACGACCACTGCAGGCTTTTTGTCTTTCTCTCTTGGGAAGCAGCCGGTAGCTCGGGCCCAAGGATCGGCAATGTGCAAGGTTCACCAAACCAGACTCAGTCTTCGGCTTAGGGTCGATGGTCTTATCCTCGGGTTCTTCGACATTCATGAATCGCTTGAACCAGCTCATCAGCTCAGCATTTGAGCCAATGAAACCCTCGGCCCTCTTGACCAGAATGAAGCGGTCGATCAGATCGTTGGTGTACAGATTGCACAGCTTTAAGAAGTCGCTGAAGATCTGCTTGTTGGCGATGAACTTCTTCACGCGGTCGAAGAAGGCAATCTCCTCTTGACTGGGAGTCGTCAACATGGTGGGTGGGACCGGCTCGGGGAGGGCTGGAATCAAAGTCGGCGAAACGTTCGGAATATCAGCGCCGGATGGCCGGCCATGAGTGTGCTTTTGTCTCTTGGAGAGATTACCAAACGATCCTGGCTGGCCACGGACTTGAGCATCAGTCATACGGGTGGCATCAACACCCGAAGGTCCAGACACGGAGCCAGTGATGCCAGGTCCGCCCCTTCGCTTTTTGTTCTCTTTGCCAGAGTCTTTGACATTGAACTGGCCAAGAGGGGGCATTTTGACGTCACGGTTAGGTGTCTGCGAGGGGAACTCGCCGGGACCACTGCGAAGATCGCTGACAGGAATATTCTCTGCTGCACGTTGCCGCTCAACTTGTCGAGCATGTGCGGCAGACTCAGGCAAGAACTGCTTGAAGTCTTCGAGGAGGTCAGGGGCAGTGTTGAACAAATGAGTGACCTGCGCATAGACATCCTGAATGGGTTTTGACTCGCGCTGGTAGGTCTGCAGAATTTCGAGGAACTGCTTATAGATCTCCGGGGCGCTGGAGAAACGGTTCTTTATCTTGTTGACGTAACTGATGGCATGATTGAATTCAACGGGACCACGCTTGTTCAGATCAGCATGGCCGCCCTGAAGCATACCACCAACACCAGCCAGGCTGTTCAAAGGCTGGGTCAAGCCGGCATTTCCACCGGCACCGGAGACCTGCATCATGCCAGGTCTTCCCATGCCAGAGGCTGCCGAAGCAGCGCCCTGTAGCTGGGCAACACCTCGGTGATCCTGCTGGTGAGACAGAGCCGAAGCACCCTGAGCCTCTTGACTTTGATAGCCGTAGTGAGAATCCTGCGCGGGACCTTGGCCTTCCTGCTGATACATACCCGGGGCCATCATCCGAGAGCCAGGCGAGTATG